TCATTGCACTTGCAATGCTTCCAGTCCCAGTCCTTGCAAGATGGGTCCTTCTTGCATTTATCATTGCACTTGCAATGCTTCCAGTCCCAATCCTTACATGATGGGTCTTTCTTGCATTTATCATCACATTTGCAATGCTTCCAGTCCCAATTCTTGCATGATGGGTCTTTAAAGTCACAGTTCTTCTTGTCAAGACATTTACAGTGACCCCAATCCCAATTCTTGCAGTGGAAATCCTTTCGGTGGCATTCGCCACGAACTAGCTATGGTTAGTAATGATGCCGGTTATAGTAATATGAAGTCAGGTACATACTTTCAAGATCCCCAACTGAGTCAGGGGCAGGGGCAGCTACAGGAGACGCAGCTGTAAGGCCCACAAGGAACACTGTGATTATAGCAAAATTGACCTTCATGGTTCCAGGATATTGTCAATTTATATCCAATAAGACGTAGAACTCGGTGGATGAAAAGATGTAGTGAATATTTGAGGCTGCTAGACCAGGTAGATCTGTATCGACGCTGAAGATGAGTTTTGACAAGCCCTTCGACTGTATTTATAGCTGAATATAGAGATATAGTTGCGTCGACGACTGCATGTAATGACTTTCTTTTGCAACTCTCTTCATAGTCATGAGCAGATAATTCTCGTATTCAGAGGGGTCTAGATCAAGTCAATTCTACTTAGAGCTTCCCCGCATTGAGGGGGCTGAAGTCTCATGATAGGAATATAATAAACTTCAAGTCGATTGCCACCAGCTCGCATATAAACCATTGATAACCACAGGATGAATGACGACTGAGTGAAGCATTTTGAGGGGCGCGACCATCTAGCTGTATACCACTTTACGAACTTGAGCCATGGTTCACTTGAGGCTGGGGGGTGCAGGCATCCATATCCGGATTGTCAAAAAATAAGCATAAGACATACATAGATTGACCATAATAGGAAATCTAGATTTACATCACTATGAATTAATAGATGTGAGAAGGGCGAGCAAGTCCGCTCAGATGCCAAGTGTCTTGGCAAGCCTCGAAGTTTGATTCCGCCGAATTATCAATGAGAACCAAGAAGTAAAGAAAGACATGACCAACAGATCTATAGATCCCAATCCGACCTATGGTTCATGCCTATAATACATAATTATAGATAGTCCAGCTATTCATAAATTTTCTTTAGTTTTGTATTAGTTCTATTTTGAGGTAGTTCCATTCCAGCAACCATAACTCTGTTCGTTAAAATGACCAAGAGGAGCCCAGACTAAATATAGTCATTAATAGCAAATTTAGTGAACTGCCACCTAGAAAAATATCCAGAGAAACTCTCTATATTTAATTTATTATAATTCCTGGCTAGTGCTGCTCTCTCACTCTAGTAATTAAAGGGAATCAGGTGCACTACTTAGAAATAGCAGTTATTACCACTTTATATTAAAGTTTATCTTAGTACATGAACCGAATTTGCCACAAAGCTTACATAGCAATGAGTGGTTCATGCACCTTTAATCAAGAACGCAAGTCAATTAAGGTTATGGGAGCTGTAATGTCATCAAAATTACGATACGGCTAACATCTTTTGAAGGCTCTGATGCCTATACTTCCACCCTGCTCCCTATCCTTCTTTTTTTTTTCAGAAATATCCTATCTCATTCCTATCGACTTTTATATTACTATTTGTAGTCATTACATCACTGAGTTAGAGTGTATTAGAACTATGTCTAGAACTTGATATATATTACAAGGTTACACATCAAGTCCTGACTAACTTTTAAATTTTACCTGACTGGGTCCCAATACCTGTATTGGCTTCTATAAGGGCTCTCCCTAATGCACCTAATGGACACACTACTCAAGGCGAGACATGCCCAGTTGTCGTCATTATTAGGCGCAATGACTTGTCAGAGGTGGATTCGAAGACTCTTTCCACTTCGTTCGCGAAGCCGTTTGCGGATCATGCAGTTTCAAGCATCTGACGGATTCTCTCAGGTCACATTTGCTTGTCTTTTTCAGTTTTGGGATGTCCGGAGGCCAAGCAAAGGAAGATATTCACCGAGGAAACACGTTGAAAAACAAGGGGATGGTCTTTTGAGTAAAGGGAAAGGAGGATATAAACTCAAAAGCTGGACAATGAGCTTCATCAACAAGACTACTAGTAACAAGACGGACTAAGCAATACCAACATCCAAATATCAGCCTGCACTTCCTATTTTGTTAGAATAATCCATTCCTACATCCACTAAAAAGGGCTAGCATTGCCAACCAAAGATGGTAAGAAGACGCCCGTTGCCAGCAGATATGAAATTACCACAAAGTCTCTCATGGACGGGGCTTTCAAGGGCCCACCAAAGACGAATAGTCTGTCCGCGTTGAGCATGTAAGTTAGGTAATTTAATAATCCAAGAGTAAAAGCCTCAAAACACGGGGAAAATACAGCTCAGCGGCTGGAAGACTGACGCCTCCGAATATCCCTATTAATCATTACGACGATCCTAGAAACCAACAAAATAGAACCGCACGTACTACTCTATTATGCCATGCTAATGTATTCGAGCAAAGGCCTGCTTTGAACACTCTAATTTTTTCACAGTGAAGATAGAACAGACAACGCAGTCAGTTGAGGTGCAACTTTATTAACTAATATATAGATTAAGTGATAGGTAGATAGCGCAGACACTTACAAAAACAGTAAAACAAACAAACACCGATAAACGATAGACATATTATTTGCTGTATAAAAAATACAACAGCAGGGATTCATTGTGGTAACCCACATACTCCCGAGCTTTCAGAAGGGTTCTCAATCTCCGTGTAATGACACACTAGGGGCCAAATGCCTAGCCAGCTCCGATGCGCTCGATGGGATGTGCCCGGGAAAGTGGATCGAATCTCTCGCCGAGGTTCTCGTCATCCCCAGTGCGGGGAATGTGAGTTGGATAGTAGAGGAACCACTGTGCGCAGGATAAGTAGTATTTTACCCATGTGAGAGAGTACTGGGCTGTATAAATACTTACGGATTGCTGTAGACCGAGCCAATCGATGATGTTTTATTGCAGGATATTCGTTTTGCTTTGCTAAAATGTCGCAGCATTATGCGTCCGTTGCTGTCACTATCACGGAACCTTCTGACTGCGAAAGTACCGGCATTGTAAACCTCTCACAATGAGCTCAGTGCTCAGAGCTGCACACACCTCAAGTCCGTTATCCGAACAAGAATGTATCCAAATTCTGGAGTTCTGCCACTGGGACTGAGACATGGCCATTTACTGGGAGGGTGGGGAGAGTATCGAACATGAGCTCTACTGGAAGAAACAGTGGCGCACTTGCCACAACGTTGCCATGGGCATAGTCCACGGTCATCCTCTGGACCCTCTGGGTACACATTTGCTGATTCTATCTGAGACTCATGGCGCTGTGGCTTTTAAATCTCTGCCACCTCTTGAATAAGATTTCCCCTCTGGCTATATTAAGGATATAAGTAAACAAAGATGGGTCCAGCCATTTCTCATGTCAAACTAAATTCTGGTAATACGCTGTATATCGTTGAGAAACTTACTGTCTCTAACCTCCAGTATAAAAGAAGGGTAGTCATTTTGTTGTGCCTAATTTCACAGTACCCAAGCCTTACTAGGCCACCTATTGATACTGCTAATCATTTATTACTTTACTGCTCTAGAAGGTATTATGAGAAAAGAGCTTATTATAACTGTAGGATATTGGTGGAGTATAATGTTATAAAAAGACATCACATGCTCTCTTTGAAGAGGCAGCAAGCTTAATAATAAGACAAAAGTCCTCTGAGAAGTTACTAACCCCCGTTGAGGGAAGGCACTGCTCTTGTTTTTTTCTGTGGTGTGATCTTTAGCTTAAGCCTCAGTAACATTGCTTAAGCAGACCTATTTCTGTCTACCACTCGACCATCTATCAACCATGTACCGAATAAACCCCGCTGCATTATCGACACCTAGAGGTCTCGTAGTTGCGTCAGAGGGAACTGGATAGATATCTGGCGGAATGTGACTTTCGTGGGATGAGTTGAATCTTAGAAGGGACCAGAAAACCCAGAAGCATCTCAAAGGGAGACATTGGGTTCTGAACGATAGGGGTGTAAGAAGAGGCGAGGAAGAAAAGTGGACGAGGAGAGGTTGTGGGAGATTCAATCAAAACGGTGTTGACTGCCCAGGCCTCATTCAATGCACTGTCCAGGCAACTCCATCTCCATGATTTTCAAGTGACTTGCCTTGATCAATTCATTAATTTATGCATCGGATACTTGGTAACTAAACTTTTTTATCCATGGATAATATTAGTGTAGCATAAAACCTGAAATTCAAAGTGTGTCTCCATATTAAATTCATTACACTGCACAAAATAGATTATCTGCGTTGGTACAGATTTATTGGAGATATTCCCATCTGGGATGATATAGATAGCTTTATACAAGTCAAGGTCTGAATGGAAAATTGATTTCATGCAGTAGGCTTCTCACACATGAGCCACCATGTGTTTGGGTGAAACAAAATGGGTAATATACATGGCCGCTATTGTTATTGCCAGCTTCCCTTATCCTATTGTCTTTGGGACATTGATCTTTTCATCCATTGATGATCGCGCGGCAGATACAATCGTAGAAGTGGTTGTGAAAGTCGTCGATATTGTTAAAGATGAGTGAGCAATTTGAGCACTTACCGCTCACTTCACTAATTTCAGCCGGGTTCTCGCCATCGGTATTAAGGCTTTCGTGACGGTTCGTATTTGCCTCATGGTCGACCACGAGATGACGCTTGAAAAGATCTGCCCGCCTGAAGCTCTTCTCCGCTAGAGATCTAGATTCGGGACAGAACCCACAAATTAGATCACCCTTGTAGTGGACGAGGGTATGTCTTTCCCTATCATAAGCACGAACGAATCTCCGAATATGGTAGTCACAGTCGAGAACTGGGCACTTTTCAGGTCTATCAAGGTCGTGTGTGGCCATTGCGTCGCTGGATGAAAATTTAAAGGTGCGGGATCTATCAAGGCAATGTTAACTATTAGCTGAAGGGGGAAAATGTAGATTAACTTGTACTATAGTTCTCTTGGGCAGGCAATAGTATGTGAGGTGTACCTTGGTAGAGAGATCGGATGGTGGGGGAAGCGGGAACTGTGTGACGGCTCAGCCGCACACTTGGCTTATATAGGCTGCCATACTACTATGTGATCTGATACCACCCCATAGCTTGATAGCTTCTTTTCTTCTTCTTTTTATGCTTGATATTCTCATTGTACCTACCTAGTATATCTGATGAACAGCTAGTTGTTCCCATGGGACTGAGACATGACACTGTGGTAGCAATTGGAAGGACTAAACTAATGATCCATAAGCGAAGGTCCCCCCACCCACCACATCTTTTTAGTCTAATATTCAAGTAGGCAGTGATTGACCGTACGCTATAATCACAACTTGGTTGAAACATATAAATAAATACTGTTCTAGTATTGGTAATGACCACAGTAATAGTCTTTTCCCATATCATGCTGTACAGAATCTCCTAAATATTTCAACAAACTATTGCCAACGAACCCATCATAGCCATGCATAAAGCACCCCTTCAACTCCATCCCATCAAAAAGCGTTCGCGCTAAAATATTGTCGCATGAAATGATCTTATCATTGAGGCAGTCTCACCACTGCCCTGCCGGTTATAGCATCGTCCTTTAACTGTTCAATCAAACTCGGCGTTTCCGTCCAATCGAACACCTCGATAGAAGGCGTGATTTCTCCTCTTCCTGCTTGTTCCAGCAGCTCGGTCATTTGGTCTTCAGTTCCCACCGAAGAACCAATGATAGATAAGCCTATCTAGTTAGTTATGATCCAGTATCAACAGAGTAAGTACTAACCTCTCGCTGCACACAACGTAGCGGAAACAGGAATGTCCATCTCATTCGGGGGCAATCCCACATTGACAATGATCCCCAAATTCCTCACCAGCTGCGGTGCCATCGCAAATGCTTCTTTTGTGCCTGGGACGACAATGGTCGCATGTGCGCCTTCGCCTGTCACTTCCAGTACTCTCGCTGCGACATCTTCGGTTTTATAGTCGACAAAAACCTCCGCTCCGGAATCCAAAATAAGCTGCCTCTTCGCATCACCACTATCAATCGCAATAACCCGCAGCTTCCTCACCCTTGCCGCAATCTGCACTCCAATATGCCCCAACCCACCCCCAGCCCCCGAAATCGCAATCCAGTCACCAGCTCGTAGACTGTCGAGTTTCGATAACGCTCCAGCCATAGTAAGACCGGCACACAAAAGCGGCGCCGCAACCTCATCAGATACATTCTCGGGAATTCGCGTGACGAATCGCGCATCCGCAATGACATACTGCTGTAACGTGCCCGGGACGTGGCGGCTTGTGTTGAGCTGTTTTGCGCAGTTCTGAGGAAACCCGCGCTGACAGACGGAACATTCATTACAGGCGCTGTAGAGCCATTTCACGCCTACGCGCTGGTTGAGCAGGGACTGGGAAATGTTGGGCCCTGTTTGGACGACGACCCCTATGCCCTCATGTCCGATGATGGGGTTGTAGTTGCCCCAGGCGAGAATGGCGCGGATTTCTGAGCGGCTGCGTACTCTATTAGATCATTATTCAAGACAGCAGGGTGAGAGATTACCATAGTCCAGTGCAGGTTAATTTCATCAAAATCTCATCCGGACCGGGTTTGCCGACCGAGATGTTGTCTTTGATTGTCATGGAATAATTAGGTCCTGGGTTCTGGACGACGACAGCATGCTGCTGGCTGGGGATGATATCCGTCATTTTAATTTCTAGGAGTTGATACTTGATTATGATGTTGAATTATGATAAGAAATTATATCTCCATCTGCATACTTTATAACCCCGCGGTTGTTCCGTCTGACAGCCGAATGAGCGGCAATTCGTTCGGCATTCCGTATATTAATACATATCGGCCAACCAGCATATATTTATCACATCTAACTATATTTTTCACTGTATTCATAAAACCCTTCCTTCTAGTATCCACGCTTTACCAATGATTTTCCTTTGCCATGCACTGGTGCGGTGGAGTTGAAACCTGACGGGGTGGGAGTCTTGGTGGCGACAGAAGACGTCGAGGTTGAAGCAGAAGTAGTCCAAGTAGGCTTAGAGGAGCTGGCAGCAACGGAAGAAGACGAAATCGATGGCAAAGCACTCGAAGACGAAGAAGACTCCTCCGTACAATACCCGGTATAAAACCCATCAATATGATAAATCACCGACGGATCCTCATAGAAGCAATCACACTCCCACATATCCCACCACCAGTTCTTGATGCCGGGAAACTGCTCGCAAAAGGGAATGCATTCTTGGGGGGTTTTGGCGACGAGCCAGTGCGCTGCTTGGTTGGTGTGGCCGGCTAGCGTGCCTGATTCGTAGGAGCTGCAGTTGAGGGTTGCAGAGGTGAGGGTAGCGAGGGCCGGTAGGGTTGTTATGGTGGAGAGGTGCATTTTGAGGACTGAGAGATAGAATGAAGATGATGCAGAGAGTGGGAATGTACAGGATGTAAGAGGCTATTGCTGGTTCATATACCTCAAAAGTGAGACATTCCTGCAAGCTATACAGTCGAGACTGAGCACTAAACATATAGTGCAGCTACAGTAGCATGTTTTAGTATGAAAATATCCAGAGCAAGTTAGTATATCATCTGGTATGAGTTCAAGCTAACTACAATAGGCCAAGTGATATTGCCAAGAGATAATACAAAAAAGAATAACCAACCACAGCTGTTGAAGAGAGACATGTCGGATCATTAATTACTCGATCAAGCCTAGCTCAGAATCCTTCAATATAACTTCAACCTGCAGGGCTAGAGGGGAATGTGCGAGTATCCCTCTGAGGAACAGGGTCACCCCATTTGAGAAGCATATCCATGATAATAGTATAAGTATATTAAAGTTATAAAGCCCGCTGAACTGAATCCGAAGCTTGTCGTCAAAGTAGCCTTGGATAACCCGAGCATGAGTGGGCATTATAAATGATATCATATTGACCTATGTAATTATTAGCATCTGAGTATATCCCAAGTAAAGATAAACAAACCGGAAATATAATATGAAATTTAGACCAGGGAACGACTTTCCATAATGCGTATGTCTGCGCCCTCATGCCACCCAACATCCAGCTAACCAGCATGACCAGCTCAGAGACTGTGATGCGATCCTCTTCGGCTTCATTAGAGATCTTGATCATGATAGTCCGGTGTGATCTTCGTTTGCCCTTATATTCTGCTGCTGCTTCACTGCTGGTTCTCTCCGGCGCGGTACATGCATAAGATTCCTTTTCGTCTTTCAGTCCTAAAAGTCAACATGTTAGCTATGAATCGGTATAAGAACATATAGAAATACATAATACACGCAGATTGCGTTTTAAGCTTTTCCCACAGCGCATCCGAGTACTTCATGTAAGTATGAACAAGCGCATCAAAATCAGTCCACGGTCCCTTGTAGTAACTAAACAAGCAAAGTCCTCCAAAAACCAGTCTTTCTCCTGGCAGAATTGATCGAGCTCAACTCCGGATTCTGCAATATTGAAGCTGACTGGTGGTTTTTGGAAAAATGGTGATGACGTAGCGTCATGCAAGTCGAATCTGGAAAACTCTATCCCCAGTTGCTGACTTTGTTCGGGGGTGAGGTATTCTGCTGGTATGTCTTGGAGACGGAAATGGAGGCTGCGGATGGCCTCATTTCTGTCGAGATAGCATTATGTTTTTGCAGTCTCGTCTGGTTTTGAGGTGGCCATCTTATTATTCCATAGTGGATGGGAGTAGAATGTAATTTTACAGAGGCAGAAATGAGAAAGATGGAGATGACTTTATTAGGCAGAATCAGATGTCGGCCACTTCCTCACAACAGCTATATCCAGACACCACCTAGTACATACATATAGTGATAAATTACCAATCACAATAATTCACATTCAAACTGACCCCCTGATAAGTCCAACTTCCTCCATTCCTCTGCCCATGGCATCTAATGATATTCTCAAAAGCCCCGTCACAACCCTCCTTAGATTCAAACTCTCCAATCTGACCAACATAGACATTCTGCTTCCCCTGGTCGCCGACGTGAAACTCGAGAAAGTCCAAGGTGGGATGACTGTAGTGGTACTGGCAGTAAAGATCTTTGACAGTTTGCACTTCGTCTTTGGTCGCGCAGTTGCTGCCGTAGCTCCGGGTGTAGCATTCCTCGGCCAGGACGGCAGAGAAAAATAAGAGGATGGATGGGATTGGGAGGTGCATTTTGCGACTGATTGAGTGTTAGTCAGGAAGTTATGGGGTGTAATAAGACTGGCTTACTTGGATGGATCTTTCAGTAGAGGGCAGATGTCTCGATTCTAAGTCTTTGCGATGAATTCTAGATTCTGGGTCTGGTAACAAGGAGGGAAATCGAGGCAGTATTTATGTCTAAGCTCTGACCTTTTGTATGAGCGATTAAATCAATGTGAATCAACAAGAACATGTGAAATTATTGCATCCAATCCTTGTTAGGTAGCCTGGCACTGCCAATGATACAGCCTTGCATGATTCGATCACAATATCAGAACCTGCAGCTGTACCGAATGTACTTTTTACATACTACAATCTATCAGCTGGATAACAACAAATCAACAGAAGCTAAATTTTTGCTTCTCTTGCATTTCGTTGAAAGAAAGTGGGATAGAACAATCATTACGGAGTAGCTAGTATAAGTCCAAATCCCAAAAGCGTAGACTCGAAATGTCTATCACCTGCATATGTTGATCTCCCGTACAGCGATCTGCAAGGCTGTCACACTGAACCCTGACGATCAACGTAGGCTCAGTGGGCGGGTGTTTGTGCAACTCACATGGGTACCTGGATCGCATCTACTAGTCAACTGTATCACACATGAGCTGATCATGAATTCTTGACAACTCAAATGCATGACTCGGTCTCCCCCACATATCACATCAATGTTCTTTGTCAGCCTTGTACAAAGTACTGCCTGATTGGGTATATGGTAATTCATACAATGCAAGTAAACTCTCTAGGTAAGAATCTGTATGATGATGTTGACATCACACTGAACTGCATTATTAAGCCAAGCCAGTACAGTTCATATTTTCTTGCGTCGAGTATATGCAGCAAACACTTTCGGGAATGCCGTCAGCGGGCCGGGCCATCAGAGCAGGGATGTTGTCACTGCGAGGATTGGATTAGCGCTCAATTGAGAACAGGTTTTTTTTCTCTGCCTCTAGGACATCGGAATGGATGACAGGGTGCTATGAGAGTTGGCAAGTTTGAATGATGTGGAAGATGTAACCTGGTGTGATGGACCACATCAATACTCAGTCAGTCCAAGTGACAGAGAACTTTTTGACTAGGGACATACGCTTCGTTTACCCCGATAGAGATATCCAAGTTGTGTACTGATGATGGTTTGTGCAGCGATTATGCATCGGTTAAATTATACTGATCCTGGTGCCTAAGGCACAACATCTCCAGCACGGCCAAGAACTTTGCCCAAATCAACGACCAGCAAAGTTCTTGTAAGTAGAGTAGTTGTTTAGATCCAGGAGATGCTATCCATCCATGCAAATAACAGTCATAAACCAATATCTTAAATTATCCATCTCAAAATGTCAGAGTCTACCGACACAAAAACAATCTACCTATTCGGCCAACCAATCGCCCACTCCGTCTCCCCATTTTTCTACAACACCATCTTCACCAAACTTAGCCTTCCATGGCGGTATATCAGACTCGATTCACACGACCCCGAGGATCTGATGTGGATGATGCGTCGGGATGATTTTATGGGTGCCGCGGTCACAATGCCGAATAAAGTCCGCGCGATGGCGTGTGTGGATGTTTTGACTGAAGAGGCGCGGAGGATTGGGTGTATTAATACGATTTATGTTCAAAGTGGCCATGGTGGGGATGGTGAGAGGGTGTTGGTCGGGACGAATACGGACTGGATTGGGATCCAGCGGGCTTTGTTGAGGGCGCAGCCTAAGTTGAAGGAGGGAGATTGGTCTGCAATGGTCATCGGAGGCGGTGCGACGTGTAAATCGGCCATCTACGCCCTGGCTGAAGGACTCGTTGCGAGGACGATATATCTGGTCAGCCGCGACGCAGGGGAAGCGCAGTCCGCCATTGACGATCTCAAACAACGAGGCCTACAGCGGGATATTTGCCACATTGACACAGTCGAAGATGTTACTTCCCTGTCTCTCTCCGAAACCCCCATAGTCACAGTCAGTGCTGTGCCTGACATCGCACCGAAGACGGAACCCGAGCAACGAGCACGCGATATTGCTATCGTCATGCTGCAGAGAAAACCAGGCTGCCAGTTTCCGAGAATATTCCTGGAAATGTGCTACGATCCGAGACCTAGGACATGGTTGGCGGGTGTGGCTGGGGAGGCTGACTGGCAGATTATCGATGGTTTGGATGTGATGGAGCATCAGGCGATTGAGCAGGATGTTTTGTGGATGGGGAGATCGCTTAGTGAGCTTCCGGTAAACGATGCTGGAAAAGCAATTCGTGATGCTCTACATAGACATTGAGAGGCATTATTTCTGTCATAATCAATGAAATATTCCTTTCTTTCTTATAGCCCAGTACATACGACCACAGGGTGAAAGTGGCTTCCCAACCGCGATATAGATCGATATGGAAAGCTCAATATTATCCTAAGCAGCTCCAGCAACGGAATATCAAAAGCAATCCTGCCAACAAAGCTGCTTTTCGCAAACTTTTACATGATATCAACATGTTCGGTCCCGGTCATCCCCTTGACGTCGTCGAAAACCCCTACATCGGTGTACAATAGACGGAATACGTTCGTTCTCTGTCCCCCAAAAGAAGCCCGGCAATAGCCCCATCTTTTGTAGATAAACGATAAATAAAACGAAACCATATTTCCTATAGGTAGCTATAGACACGGTAACCGCTTTAAGAGTCCTCATCATAAGCAGGCAGATATGCGTCCTTCCCGGACAATACACTAGACAATTCCTCTGATGCGCTGTAAAGAGGATCATGTTACCTAATACGAAGTTCTGTCTCAGTCAACGGTTTCTCTTCGCTCTGGAGTCTATCCTATACTGACCGAACAAGGTGAAGCACAACAGCAATGATTTAGTACTATCTATAATTTTATATATACAGAAAACTGCGTATTTTATGATATACTTTTGTTCGGGGAAGATGCCCAAGACATTGTAAATAAAGTTTCGGTTAATTTGGAAAACATTTTCCAATGAATCAAAGTTCCTGCTGTTTTATTTAGCGCAATCTATTTTATATACACCAGGAAATGATATACCTGGCTATGGCATTGGTTTCTTTCTCTCTTTTCATTTGGTATAGTTCTATCACTGAAAAGGTTCCTATATCTATAAGGAGATCATCATTCCAGAATGTACCGATAATGAACTAGTAGAGCGTTTGACCCCGCCCTGGTGTATAGGAATAAGATGTCTTTCATCGGCGTGGAGCAAATCGCTTTCTGGATTAATAGTATACAGCTATGAAACATCGTAAATCAATATGTCAAGTCTATGAGTTCTCCATATACCACTCAATTGACTCCTTCAATCCATCTTCCAACAGAACCACCGGCTCCCATCCCAGCTTCTCCCTCGCCAATGTGATATCCGGCCTGCGGACTTTGACATCATCCACCGGCACCGGTCGATATACAACCCCCACCTTCTTCCTCCCCGACACCTTGGCCACCATCTCCGCCGTCCTCTCCGCCAACTCCTGCATGCTAATCTCCGCATCATTCCCGATATTCACCGGCTCCGCATACTCACTATTCATAAGCGTATACAGCCCCCGTACACAGTCAGTCACGTACTGAAACGACCTTGTCGCCGTCCCATCCCCTGTAATCTGAATATCATCCCCACGCAGCGCACACGCAATAAAACTCGATATCACCCGTCCATCATCCGCCCGCAATCGCGGGCCATACGCATTGAATATCCGCGCGATCCGGATATCAGTCTGGTATTGTTGTCGATAGGCATAGCAGAGTGCTTCGGCGGCGCGTTTGCCTTCGTCGTAGCAGGAGCGCGGACCGAACGGGTTTACATTCCCCCAGTAGGTTTCTGGTTGTGGGTGGACAAGGGGGTCGCCGTAGACTTCTGAGGTGGATGTGTGGAGGAGGCGAATGTTGCGCGATTTGGCGAGGTTGAGGACGTTCTCGGCGCCGAGGAAGCAGGTTTTTAGGGTGGAGAGGGGGTCTTTTTGGTATTGGATCGGGCTGGCAGGACAGGCGAGGTTGTAGATTTGGTCGATTTGGTCGAGGTTGTCGAAGGGGGCTTGGACATTGTGGCTGTTCATGTTAGTGCCCTTATCTGAGATGGTAGATAGTTGCGGCTTACTTGATTAGTGTAAATCTGGGATGATTTTCGAGATGTTGCAAGTTCTTTGGAGAGCCTGTTTGGAATGTGTCTGCGCCGATGACTCGGTAGCCTTTGTCGAGGAGAAAATCAATCAGGTTGGATCCAAGGAACCCAGCAGCCTAGTGCAATCAGCAGGAATAAGTTTATCAGGTCGCGTGCCCTACCCCTGTAACCAGTATTGTCTGTGTATCCATATTGTTGATATAATAGCCGATCGGCCCGAATCAGTAGTGTAGTGTTTTATATGTGCGATAGAACATGGCAACGAGGAAAATATAACCGCTGGGCAAGACAGATTATCTCGCTAAAGCAGTGTGGGGAATGACTTCAGCTCTGTGTAAACACACGATGCAACAGATTTAAAGTTTTCCAAATCGGCATTAGTCCCTTCTCCCCTTGGCTTTTCGGGCATCAACAGCTTTGTCTCCACCAATCAAATATGCCAACTGCATGGAATTGCCCCACTCCTGTGCCGGGCTGAAGCAGAGCTGAATGCTCCACTCCTCCTCCAGCCAATTGCAGCAAATCTCCATACATCCACTCTCAGCTTCAGCCCAGCTGAGATATTGCACACGTGATGCAGCGCTAACAGCCCACAGCTGCCTTTCTCTCATCCTGATTCTCTGTATTCCTCTCAACAGCACAAGATGATCCCAAACAACGTCCCTCCCGTCACCGGCAAGGAACTCGAGTACATCACCCAAGTCGTGAATGGCGGCACCCTCAGCGACGGCGGCGGCCCGTTCAGCCAACGCTGCCAATCCTGGCTTGAGGAACGCCTCAACTGCCCCCGAGCCTTCCTGACACCATCCGGCACCGCGGCTCTCGACCTCGCCGCGCTGACGCTCGACATCCGGCCTGGCGACGAGGTCATCGTCCCCAGTTACACATACATCTCCACGGCAAATGGGTTTCTGCTGCGCGGGGCGTCGCTCGTCTTCGTCGATGTCGAGCCAGATACGATGAATATCGACGTGGGGAAGGTCCGCGAGGCGATTTCCCCCAAGACACGTGCTATTGTTCCTGTTCATTATGCAGGTGTACCGTGTGATATGGATGGGCTTGTGGAGGCGATTGGCGATAGGAAAGATATATACATCGTCGAAGACGCAGCGCAGGGGTTGTTTTCTTCGTATAAAGATGGGAGGGCGCTAGGCACGATCGGCCACATTGGGTGTATTAGTTTCCACGCGACAAAGAACGTCACGGCCGGTGGTGTGGGGGGAGCTATCCTCATTAATGATCGGAGCTTGATTGATCGCGCAGAGACGATCCGGGATAAAGGGACTACGAGACCTCAGTTTCTGCGTGGCGAGGTGGACCACTATACATGGCAGCAAGCGGGGGTTAGCTGTGTCCTGAGTGAGATGCAAGCGGCATATCTCTGGGCTCAGCTAGAGGCGTCTGACCAGATTCAGGCGCATCGGCACAGACTGTGGAAATATTACCAAGAGAGTCTGGGTGGGCTACGGGATAAAGGTGTTGGGATTCCAGCTGCGTGTGCTTCGGGCCAACATAATGCGCACATCTTCTTTATTAAAACGCGAGATGAAGATGAGCGACGCCGGTTCACGTCCGCCATGAAAGATAAGGGGATTGCAGTCCTGGCGCATTATGGACCTTTGCATAAGACTCCTCCTGGTCAGCAGGGTCGCCATGTTTTGCATCCAGAGGACTATGCATCGCGGGAGAGTGGGCGACTGGTTCGGCTGCCGTTGTTTTATGCCTTGACCTTGGAGCAGGCAGAGTACGTTGTTAGCCAGGTTAAGGGTTTTTTCGTAGAGTAGGTATATATTTATGACAGAATGAATTTGAATATGCATCCTAAATAATACAAGTGACGTATACCTGCACTTTGTGGACAAATTGACCAACTAGGCAAGGATAGTCTAGCCCCAACAGCCCCGCATTGGCTGAAAAGCGACGATCTCTTCAGCTGAGCTTCAACTTCCCCTCATCCTCTCCCATCCTCTCATCCCACTCTCAACCATGTCATCTGCAGTTGTATTTGCCTACCACAATGTAGGCGTCCGCTGCCTCTCCGTCCTCCTAGCCCAAAACATCAATGTCAAACTCGTCGTCACCCACGAAGATGACCAGTCCGAAAACATCTGGTTCGACAGCGTCGCCAGCCTCGCCCACCAGCACAACATCCCAGTCATCTGCCCGAAAACTCCGAACACAGAAGAACTCGTTTCGCGCCTGAACTCCCTAAAACCAGACTTTATCTTCTCCTTCTACTACCGCAACATCCTCAGCGTGGATGTCCTCAACACAGCTCCCCGCGGCTGCTACAACATGCACGGCTCTCTACTCCCGAAATACCGCGGCCGGGTCCCTGTCAACTGGGCTGTGTTGCGCGGCGAGACACAAGCCGGCGCGACGCTGCATGAAATGGTGAAGAAGCCCGATGCAGGCGCGATAGTCGGCCAGATGGCAGTGCCGATTCTCCCCAACGACACAGCCGAGGAGGTCTTTGGAAAGGTGCTTGTTGCGGCGGAGATTGTCCTGAATGACACATTACCGGCGATTGTCGATGGAAGTGTGCAACGGCAAGAGATGGATCTATCCCAGGGGTCTTATTTTGGTGGACGCAGGCCGGAGGATGGAGTGATTGATTGGAAGGCTATGGGTGCGAGGGAAGTGCATAACCTCGTGCGAGCAGTTACGCGTCCGTATCCGGGTGCTTTTACGGATACCTCCAAGGGGAGGTTGGTTATTTGGAAGACGTTGGTTGTTGAGAGTCAAAGCCAAGGATCAGCGGAGCCTTGTCTGTGGTTCAAAGATGGTCGGTTGTTTGCGACTGCTTGTGATGGAGGTATTTTGCGTATTCTCTCTGCTGAGATGGATGGGAAGGCATTGGAGCCGGTGGATTTTCCGGCTTCATTTGCACTGTCCTAGGTGACAGAAGTTATTCAACCTACATGTATCCAAATCATAATATTCCATCCTGATTAGCCTAGAATTAGAGGAAATGAGAAGCAAATTCTATATGCTAATTTCCAAACAATGCCATTTCTCTCTCTCTCTTTGATATTGCCAACGCTTGTGGACGATTTATACACAACAATCTCAGACGCAAATATCCAAACTTGACATCACACCCAGTCGGGTGCTGCACCCGGCACTAAACCCCCACAGCCGATTCCCCTCGCTGAATACAATTACGAATCCTATGGCAGGGATGGGTTGTTCCTAAATACAAGGTTCGGCTGAAGCGGCTATATAATTTAAAAGCAGATTTCCCCTCGTTTTGGGTTCTGGAGATCTGTTGCCCCGCAGCAGGCAGCGAATCAGGCATAACAGTAATCAAATAAGTCTACAATTGGAAGGTTGTTCCGCCCCTGGGCCAATCATTCCCGCCCATATTAAACTCTAATTTGCTCATAAGATGGATAACCATAGATTGTGCCATTGAATAGGCAGGTGAACCCGTCGCAAATATGTATATATATCCATAGGAAAAGAAGATCCTCTTGACTTAACACATCTCGTATTTGCTTTGAGTGGTTCTTAATTCCAAAATCAATCTAAACTACAGCCGTCAACATGCCTTTCATGCGTTCCTTGACAGTGGTTGGATGCCACTGCGAAGGTGAGGTGGGCGATGTAATCACTGGCGGCGTCCTCGATGTCCCCGGCAACACAATGTCCGAGAAGCTCATTCACATCTCAACAAAACATGACCACATCCGCCAATTACTGCTGAATGAGCCCCGAGGTCGCCCGTCGATGAATACAAACCTTCTTCTCCCACCTTGTGATCCACGCGCAGATGCCGGCTTCTTAATCATGGAAAGCGAGGAATACGCGCCCATGTCTGGGTCGAATCTCATCTGCACCACGACCGTGCTACTGGAAACCGGCATGGTTGCGATGAAAGAACCTGTTACTGAATTGGCCTTGGACACGGCCGCCGGCTTAGTTACCGTCACGGCGGAATGTGAAGCGGGGAAATGCAAGGCGGTGGAGTTCAACAATGTCCCTGCGTTTGTGCTTGAACTGGATTATAAAGTTCATGTCCCCGGTCTCGGCGAGGTAACTGTTGATATCGCGTATGGGGGGATGATGTACCTATTAGTTGACGCTGCATCACTTGGCTTGAAAGTCGACAACTCACAAGCTCGCCAGCTTATTGAAATCGCCGAGCGCATCAAACGTGCCGTCGAAGCGTCTTATACACCCATTCACCCGGAAAACCCTAATATCACGGGATTCAGTGTGCTGGAATACACGGAGCCCGTTGAAGTCGAAGACGGGGTAAAGGTGGCTGCCAACGCGGTGGTTGTCTCCCCAGGGCGATTCGACCGTAGCCCCTGTGGCACCGGGACGTGTGCCAGGTTAGCAGTCATGCATAAAAGAGGCGAGATCACTGAAGGAGAAGTCTTCAAGCACCGCAGCATTATTGGCACGGAGTTCGTATGCCGGATTCGTGGCACCGCCAAGGTCGGAGATTACCAGGCTGTGCTGCCTACGGTCAAGGGTCGAGGTTGGATAACGAGCTTCAAACAGATGGTCCTTGACTCCACCGATCCTTTTCCAGAGGGATTCAGAGTGGGAGACCAATGGCACATGGCTCCAAACTAAGATCATTGATATTGTAACCCACGACTTTCATTTAATATTGTTCGGGCTTAATATCGCCATTCTATTTGAGACAGAAATAAGGATTCAACCTTGTCTATATCTACACTACAGGGAAGAACACCTAGTCCATGCCTGTTAATTGATAAGATGTCTGAAAGGAAACAAACACGTGTACATACAAATGAGGGGACAATGAGCAACAGAAACCCACATCCATTTCTCTTATTTAGCCGTTGGAACTTCAGGTTGGCAGAGAGACCACTCGTGAGATGAATCCAGGCATTGGGCATCTGACTCAAAACAATCCAAGCAAATATCAAAATCGTAGCAAGCCCCGCAATGGTAATAGTAGCCATCAGACAAGATATCTCGAGTGCAAACATCGCACCACCGAGAAGATCTGGAACTGGTCGCAGAATGTCCTACCACGGGCTTAATATCAGAAACCTCAATGTCTTCTTTCGGAAAGTATGGGCGAACAAGCTCAATGATTTTTGTATAACCGCCTCTTGTCGCCCACCAGATCAAGGTTCTGCCGAAGCCGTCCTGGGCAGTGACTTGGGACTCTGGTAAGGCGATTAGACGTTCAACTACCCCCTCATGCCCGTTTGTAACAGCTGCAAAAAGTGGGGTCGAGTGGTAGCGGTCTTGAGCATTTAATGAAGCCCTTTTTGAGAGTAAGAGCTCTACCACTGGAAGATGCCCTTCTTTAGCGGCGTAGAATAATGGCGTGCGACCAACAATATCCCGAATATCGGGGTCCACTTTCGAAATTTCAAGGAGTAATTGAACCACTCCATCGTATCCATTCATTGAGGCTGTGTGTAGAGGAGTCCATCCATCGTTGCTGGTAACCTTCAAGTCCGCGCCACTGTTGACAAGCACCTTAACAGCCTGTAAATGGCCATTCTGCGAGGCTGAGTTCAATGGGGTCCATCCTTCATTATTTGCAGTATTGATGAGTTCTGGGCCATGTTTAAGAAGTAGTTTAATAGCCCCAAGGCGACCATGAGTTGAAGCTATACCCAATGGGACCCATCCACTAATATTAGGGATTGTAATATCTGCCCCGTTATGAAGAAGTACCCTAATAACTTCCACATGGCCATGCTCTGAGGCAGAGTTTATTGGGGTCCATCCATCATGATTCATAGCATTCACCAGGTCTGGGCCATTCTTAAGGAGTATTTTGGCGGCCTCAAGCTGACCGTGAGATGAAGCTAAATTCAATGGTGTCCATCCTGCATTGTTGGTAATGCTGATATCAGCATTATATTCAAGAAGACGTTTGATAACTTCTAGATGGCCATTCTGCGACGCAATCATGATTGGAACCCAGCCATCATTATCAGCAATTGTAATGTCTGCACCATGGTCCAGAAGTAGATTGACGATATCAATATGGCCATTCTTTGAGGCAATATTGACCGGCGTCCATCCACCACTACCGGCAATTGCAGGGTCCGCGCCACAATCAAGAAGAAGCTTGACAACTTGCCCATGGCCCTCCTGTGAGGCTAGGTAGAGTGGCGTGCGGCCCACGTTATCAGCAAGGAATTGTGCCTTTTGCTCCAACAGTAGCTTGCAAGTCTCGACATGACCATTAGATGAAGCTTCGTGTAGTGGTGTGCAACCGTTATTCCATCTAACATTAACATCTGCTTTCTCTTCCAGCAGTAACTTGCAAACCTCAACATGGCCACAGGATGAAGCTACGTGTAGTGGTGTACAACCGTTGTTGCATCCAATATTAACATCTGCTTTCTCTTCCAGTAGTAACTTGCAAATCTCAACAGAGCCACGACTGGACGCTTGATATAGTGGTGTTCCTCCGTCTTCACCTTGAAAGGTGGCATCTGCTCCCTTCTCTAGAAGATATTTCACCACCTTCACATGGCCATTCCATGACGCAGAATGCAGTGGGGTCAATCCTCGTGACGTTGCACCATGGATATCTGCCCCCTTCTCAAGTAGCTGCTTCACCACCTTTTCATGTCCTTTCCATGATGCTAGAAGCAGTGGTGTCCGTGTGTCTCGGTTTGCCGCATTGAAGTCTGCTTGCTTCTCCAATAGCAGATTCACTATCTTCAGGTTTCCTTCAAGGGATGCGACTGTCAGCGCTGTATAGCCACGCAGATCCATTTCGTTCGGGTCATAATTGCGTTCCGTTATCAGAAATTCAACGGTTGAATACAGCCCAAGCCGGGCTGCATAGCATATAATTCCATAATCAGGTGTGGCTTGAATCCCATGCTTGATATTTTCCAGCTTTGGGACGTCTCGATCATACCACTTTCTCCACGAATGCCAGTTCGGATTGTTTAGTTCAAAGAGTTTGTGGATGAGCTCCTGGACCTCTAAATTAACCTGGCCGCTCACCGTGGCGTGTTTATACCACATATCTACTGCATAACTTCGAAATGACCAGGTCCCATTATTCAGCTCAGTCTCAGATCTGTCTTCCCAGACTCTTTCAAAGTCCACATAGCGAAGACAACATCTAGCTAGCAGATCGTTTATGAATGTCTCCGTGGAAGGCTTTAAACCGTTACTCACAGTCCTGGCTTGTGCCTCGGCAGAAAAGATCTTCAGTAGATATTGTTTGACGGAGAAATGCGGTAGACGTATCGTACTTGATCTGGCACATGTGTCTGATTGAAAGGGTCTCACCTCGAGGAGTGATCCACAGAGACCGATTATCTCCGTATTAATGTAATCATCGTCAATTTCCTCCGGTAATTCATCCACTGGAAAGTCTTCGAAATCATCGTTAATGAGAACAGCCTCTGTGATTTCGCTGACTGTCAGTGGGCGCAAGGCAAAGGCAACCCAGCGAAGCAATGAACATGCCCTGGTTCTATCGTACTCCGAGAGCTGGGATATTCTGATCCAGTTACGTTTGTATACACTTTCGAGCTGAGTTGGAGTTTCATCAATGGCCCTTTCAAGCTGTTTCTGGTTCTTTCCGGCTGTCAAAGATTCTTGTTGGAACTTCAGCCATAGAAATTGGCCATTGGAGCGATCAGCCATTTTCTGAGACAGAGATGACTTCATTATCTCTGGCTTTTTGGATAGTTTCATGTTGACCATCCTTCGAGCATACACCGTGATATCAGGTCGTACATCGTCGGGTGATATCTTGTGCTCGGCAAACCAACAATCATTACCAGCGAAGCTTTGTCGAATTTCCGGTTCGTCTCTGCTAACAACCATCAACCGTGATTTTGAATCTTTGACCGCGATGAAGACCGCCTCCAAGAATCCACTCACAGTATCCTGGTTAGCGTATTGACCTGTTTCCATCCATGTGCATTCATCGAGACCGTCAAGTATGAAGGTGCATCCAGGTATCGTCTGAGCAATATCTCCAAGCAGAGTGACGATATCTGTTCGGGTGGCTACTGGGAGGGATTGGCTGGCCCATCTTTGCTCCACCAAGGCATAGGCTTGTGGGTAGGTCATTACTTGCGATAGCCATGATCTTATTGCTGCAAACGGATCCGTGCGTGTCGCAAAGTCCGACGAGAAGAAGAAGCACACTATCGGAGTCTTCAAGGTAGAGGAAAGATGGGCCATCACTCTTGCACACAGAACCGACTTGCCAAATCCTGCTGGGCCATTGACCCAGAGAATCTTTGCCGAATCATCCCTGAACTCAGATGAGCACCAGTCATTGAAGAAGGTGCGGTCGAAGATCCAGTCACAAGTTCCATCAACTCTTTCTTTCGTCAATCTGCCATACGACTCATCCGGGGTCTGGCCACCAAGAAGCCACTTATTCATCTCGCGTCGCGTCTCGGCTGTCCAAATTAGCTATACGGTGCCTGCTCAGGGATGTGCGTAAACCGACCCTCTATCTCCTCCTCTATCCTAGCTAGAATTCTATCAAACTCAGAGTCCCGAGTGGTCCCACGAGCAAGATATCCTAACAATATTGTTAGATTGTTCCCAGAGACACCAGCAGCATTACGCACCAGAGGGTTGCTTGGTGTCATTGGCAGACTCTCTATTAGGAGGCACGATATCATGCAGATCGTCCACCAACAATCCAAACTGTTCAACCTGGGAGAACTGCTTGCGCTTGTCCCTTAGTGCCCAGGCGATCCGGTCTCTCTTCGACTTCAATGATGGCCTGTTACCACCATAAACCTTTTGGATAACAGCAAGATGTTTTTTAATGATCAGCAATATATTCGCATCATCAAGGCTCTTATGGTGGCTTTCTAGAAGCGTCTGTCCCTCAATCCCGACAGCCTGGCCCCATTGTTTCAGGCGTAGCTTTGTGGAATTGAACCGGGCCAGCAGGACACTGGAATCATCACCAAAGTCCTTCCAGTCATCGTATTTTTCCAGCACATCCAAGCAGGTGCTGAAGAGACTGACGACTGCCAAGGCTAGTGAGATCCCATCCATCGCTTTCGAGAGTCTCAGGCAGCGTACAAAAACGCTTCCTGGGGAATCAACTAACTCGGGGTTTTGTATACGAGAATAAAAAGAGACGTTGTGAGTTTAAAAAGGCAGTGATTAGTTCTATAATGCCATCGATAGAAGGATTTGAGAGGGGTTCAAAATATGCAGCAGTTCAGGAGGCGAGGCTGTGTTCCAACGAGGCTGGGCGACAGGTCTGTGTTGGCATTGTGCATCAAACAGCCAATCATATATCTTATACAAGCGCTTACTTACTCGCATGGATAGTTTGAACAATTCCCAACAGTCTTACCCCTGAAAGAATCAAAAGGTCCGTGGACAAATGATCCTATCTGATTGTAGTGGATTTATCAGGCTCTATACGACCAACTTCCCACCCCTATTCCCAAGCAACATAATCATTCCTAGAAAGACGTGAAGCCCAAACCGCACGAATCCCTTGCTGCTGACGGTGGCCATCCAGACAATTTAAAGTCATCTTTCCAGCGGGAAATGGACGTTAAATGAGATGATATAAATATCCACTGTTTGAACTGCAGTAGCATCCATATGTCAAGTCTGTTCCAGTATACCTTTCATGCCATTCATTCAAATGATAAAAAATATAAATAAATAAATAAATAAGGCTCTCTCTATGCTTCTCATTCAGACAATTTCTGTCTATCTGCTGGTCTATATAGTCACCAATATCCATTCGAAATACCTGGATGGTGTGACAGCAATGAGACAAAAATGAAATACATGCGTGGTAGTGGTGGAATAATAACCGATTGTGTGGTTTAGCCCGGAACGATCTCCATATATTCTAGCAGATATGTGATAGATCAAGGAACCTACACTAGTTGTATTGGAATGTGGCATTATGGGTCTCTGTGAAGTCACGCTCCACCCCATACTTGCTGACCACCAGAGTGGAAGCGTCGCCCTCGAAGCGCTGCACTCTCGCATAAGGGTTTCCCGATTCATCGCACAGCGTCAGCTCCACCTCCATATCGTTGGTAATGATGCCCTGTTGGCTTCGTGCTCCCACCTTGCGGAACATGAACTTGCTGGCGCGGGCCTTGCGCGCATAGTACAGGTACCCAAAGAACCGGTCACCATAACTGCCGGCTGTGTCGGCGGCAAGGAAGGTGTCGTGCGTCTCATCGTGGGCGCGGATCAAGTAGGGGACGTTGAGTTTGAGCTGATGCGGGTTAGTATGTACATACTGGTAGGATTGACTGGTAACATACCCTTGGTACTTCGTCTGACAACGTGGCAACTTCAACCTCAAAGTTGCACCCTCCGCCGCGCTTGTTGAGTTTATCAATGCCGACGTATTCTTGGAAGTTATCCGTAAACCCAGCGCCTTTGATGCGAGATTCCAGCGCCTGGTAGAATTTGATCGCCGGATATGCCAGGTGCGGAGAACGGGCAACGTTGGCGAGAGTCCTTTCGGCGACCTCGTCATTGTCACATTGAAGGATTTCATTTCTGTACTTGTGCAGGAACGGCTCTGTCTGTGTTAGTTGGCCCGTTTACCTTACGAATTTGAAAGACTTACTCAGTCGCTGCTCGTCCTTATCCTTGCGTACTCCGTAGTATTCATCATAGTCCACTCCGTCGTGGACGTTGGCCTTGAGCCGGAATTTGCAGGCCGTGATGGTCTTCGTTTTCTGCCTGATTCGGTCGACATCGGCCGGGACGTGCTTGTAGTCGGGGAAGGTGCCGATAAAGTCCGCCATGGGAATCACATCTCGTTGCTATGTCTGTTAGCATTGCTTCGCCTGAATCTCGAACGACTTACGTTGATAACTCTCCAATTGGCCGATGGCTTGACAGTCGGGCACCAGTTGGGGGGGCTGAGCAATGTTAGCATGATTATTCCATCAATAGTCACGTAGTAGGATTTACTCATTGCAAAGGATGGTATCGCCACCACGAGCCTCCCAAGTAAGGCTGTTGCTCATGCTGCTTCTTGAACCGGATTTGGCGCTGTTTTTCTGCGTCTCGTGGCTCGCGCTCACATTGGCTTCGAAGGCGCCGTAAGAGAACGAGGCAGCGGCGCTGACCTTCATTGCATTCGCCTTTTCCTCTGCCTTGGACGATTCGGCCGAGGTGAACTTTTCCGAGGCAAACAGCTTCCCACCCAGCTCGACGTTGGTCGCGAAGAAGTGGCCAAAGTCATGGTGGAATTGGATCAGGGTCTCTTCATCCTTGATTCCTTCGAGGGCCACCTTGCATTCCTCGGTCAACTCCAAGCTTCTGTTGTCCAGGTACAGCACAGCGCGGGGGAACTATCCTCGTTAGACTCAATTTTCAATAGCTGAAGTTGCACTCACGTTATATGTGATGTTCATCGACCTGGATGAGCTCGACTTCGCCGTCGCCACGGCTTCGCTGTCGTTTTGGCTAAAGCCAGCCTTGACAGACATGCTTGCCCCGAAGAGACTTCCACCACTGGGAGGGTCAGTATGTAACATTCATCCAATAGCAGGTATAGCTTACGCTGAGGCCTCAATGTCCGTCTGGGAGAAAGAGCTGGATGCAACACTTTCCGAGAGCGAACTCGCCGTCTCAAACACATTGACATACGAATCATCCGTGACAATATAGCGCGGGATGCGGTACTCGGCCTCGACATTGATGGATTTATCGGCCTTTTCAGAGCTGAAAATCTTCCGAGGACGGATGGTGAAAGCTGGGAAGGTTAGATTCAGTCATGCACTTCATCTGAGAAAACATACCGGCATATGGGGCTTTATCAATTCTCTTGAACTGCTTTGTGCCGTTTTCAAGCTTGGAAAAGACCATCCGATAGCCGTTCAGGTAGTGGGTGTGGCGCAGGACAACGTCCCAGTCATTCTCGGACATGGAGCCGGCAGTTCTATATCTCTTAGCCATGTCGAGTAGTTGGATGGTGTCGACCTACACGACAGCACCACCACTGGCAGCCTTGAATTTGTTGTGCTCGTAGGTACTAGCCAGCTCTTTCAGCGTCGCGGTAATCAGAGCTGGTTTGTTTTGCTGTGGATTGTCAGCGAGAAACTGGCGGTTCAGGGAAATGCATACCACCAGATCCATGTCCAGCTTGCCGTCCAGCACGGCCTGAGCCTGCTTGCTCAGTGTCTTCTCCTCTGTTTCGTTTTCTTTGGGCAGCTCAAAGTACACATCATGTGTTTGGATTCTGGAGTTTGTCTTCTCTTTCTTTGCAGTACCTCCCTGATCAACATTAGTCTGTATTTCCCACTACTGTCTCTCTTCTCCTACCTCTGTCTCATCGTCCTCGACAAGGGCTTTGTAAATGCTCCATTTAAAGTCATCGCCAACACGAGCACCGTCCTTTCCACAGAATGCAAGTCGCACCCTAAGAGTCATAAGTCACTGACGCATTATATAATATGGGTCACCCCACTTGGCCGAATCCAACTTTTGCTTCACCAAAAGCTGCCGAATAGTGTCAAGAGTAGCCTTGCCATCGTCAATCTTCTCGTCCAAAGTGATGCGGCTCTCTAATTTATCTGTTCCAGCGCTGTCGACCGTTCTGATATTGAAAAGAACTGGAGCCATGATGAGGGCAGGGAGCTGTGGTATTCAAACTCTGGTTCAACTGGGGATCCTGCACTTTATAGCCGCTACAAGCTCAGCTCGGCAGAGCTGGATGGTAGATCCACCTTGGATGAGGGGTTTGAACCAATAACCTCGGGCCTGTGGGACTGGTGAATTAAGCTGAAGGAACCTCATCTTGTGATGGGTCAAGCATCTAATGCCAATGCGATGTGGAAACGTTTTCCGTTGTCTGCAACCAATAGCACGCTTTCTATGGGTTCAGGCTGTGCTAGGCGGGGTAAAATCAGGAACGAACTTGCCACCTGTTGAACCCTCCTTGGGCATCAAATAGATTAACTAGTATTATCACAGGCCATAATTTAGATGTTATGTAGATGCTTTTTAATTATAGTTTTAAAAATATATTATAATAATGTATGCAATTTAAAGCACCGCAAGCATATGATGACGGAAGTGGCGGTGAGCGGAGGGGCATGGCTATCTAAAGTGGGTTTAACAGCTGAAAATTCTGAAGATCTCAACACATACTTAATACTGTTGGGATCTGGAATCTTGATCTACCATCGAACGACACATCTCAAACGAAGCGACCAAAAAGGGATAGAAGGGGGCTACAATATCTAAGATACAATATCTAATCAGCCCATTCCATACATTCTTATAAGTTCGTTGCGTGATTGAAATAGATAAATCCTATCTCTCTTTTTATGTACCAATATCATTAGAAGTAACATTGATACTCAGACAGCTATATGTTCTGGGCGTCTTAAGGTTTCTCGGTAAACTTGTGACAATAATATTCGCCAATCATCTGATTCCCTAACCATTCATTTACCGCGAAACAGCGTAAAATGGAACAGGAACTCGTGGCGCTTGTAGATATAGTAGATGACCGGTGTTAGGAGCCATCTCTCGAAGGAATCATTTTATGAGGACCTGGACATCAGGGCCATCAAGACTCCACCGAGGAATGTTCAAATCATGTTTAAGGGTCACGTTGTCCACTGTTGTATCATATAGTTCCATATTCAGTCTTTGGAACAGTTTTGCAGTTGCCAGATAAAACTCCGCAAATGCAAGGCTGGTAATAATGATCTCAGTCAGCCAACCGAGCTCCATTTGTCAGTATGATAAACAGGAATACACTTACTTTACTCCAGCGCACATCCGCGAGCCTTTACTGAAAGATATAATATATCTACTGAGTTGGTGTCGCTCTTCTTTGTTCACCCAGCGCTCAGGTATAAACTCGTCAGGCTGTGGAAAGATAGCTCTGTTGCGATGAATCATCACAGATGTCATGCTAACCGGAGTCTGAGACAGTGAGCATGGTATCAAAGAGTTGCTGGTATCACACGATGCTCACATTTGGTGGGATTACCCAAAGTTGAAATGGTAGAGGTTGGTCTGGGACCACTCGAGCGAGTCGTGCAGAAACCCCATGTCCGATTCTAGAGGGACAGTCAGAAAGAAGATATATGGTGAGTAATAGAAGGGGAGAGATGCAAAGAGTTTACCTCAGTCCTTCATATATGACGCCTGTCTATTGTAGAAGCGTGATTTTAATATATTGCGGAGTAGGGTGGGATTCTGTCACATACCAGCTATGGTAGCTGCTCTAAATCACTGACTGTCAGCGGATGGCCTTGAGAGCGCTCAGCCTCTGCCAGCTCTCGTTTCAATTTTGAAAGTTTCTCTGGATCATTGAGAAGATAGAAAGTGATGGTAGTCAGTACTATAGTAGGAGCTTCTGTTGCAGCACTTAGAATGATTTCCATTTCATGCTGAAGGCGCTCTGCACTCTTTTCTTGTGGTGGTAGATCTGAGTTCACAAGTTCGGCGAAAAGTGTGTTTCTTTCTGCAAGGCTTTTGTGGCCTGACTCCGAATTCTCGATTATGGTGTCAATCTCCTTGCGACATTGCGTACTGTAGTCATTGATGAGCGCCATCCCCGGTATGAGAGCTGACAGCCAAGACACCGGGAGTATAGTTCTTATCAGGTGGATGGCCGGTATATGTTTTGCAACTCCTGCTGTCTCGGCCATCTGGCCCACTGACTTTCTCCAATGTGGTACAAAGCTCGGATCATCCAGAAGATGAAGTGGCTTGCCTATGGTGTATTCACTGATAGCATCTGCAAGAAAGCAAGAAAGGGCAGCCGCGATATCAACGGGAGTGTTTGTATTTTGAAAATCAGTGAGGCGGTCACAGAGTCTATTGACGAGTTTTTCAATAATAGGCTCTGCCTCGCGCACTTTGCTCTTGGAAAAGTAAGGGCTGATGGCCTTGCGACGAGGCCGATGAACGTCGTGGTCAACAGTGCTGAATGCCGTGTCCATGTAACCAAATTGAGAGGCAAACCAGTCATACTTGTTACGGGGAGCAGTGTGGGAATACAAAGCATCGTAGAAGTCGGGATCATTCACGTGTAATTCGAAAGGACTGATTCGAACAATGGGTCCTAGTATTTGAAGTCAGTCCGACCCTCAACAGAAGTAGAAATGTCTCTTTTGAGAAGTTACCGTATGTTTTGTGCATCTCCTCTATCTTGAAGATGTATTTTCCACGGCAGATAACATCATAATAAAACTCATACCAGAGTGTTGCTGCCGCCAGCCGAGGACCCGGAAATTTTGCAAGCTTGGAAAACCGCAATCGATAGACGACCAAGGCAATGGCGTAGGCTATGATTGCCGTTGATATGTAAAAGACAAGTGCCATCGCGCAGGCAAATGTAAATGACGAAAACACAGCGATTGTATTCAGCGGCTACCAATTCCACGTAGGCTTCCCGTAATATATGACAATTTTCTTCTCTCAAGCACCCCGCAGATAAGCGAAATCGTGTATTACCTTTCGGCCTTTCGCCGATCTGAGATCTACGGCAACCATATGTGGATCCAATCCAGCTTGCAGAACCAGCTGAGAAGCAGATCCAAATACGATCTTCAAGTTCTCAAACTATTTGTAGTGGAAGATTTCCGCTTTGAGTCGGGAATTTCACATAGAAGAATTGCGGTGTACACATCTTCCTTCAAAAAAAAAAATCTTGCAGCAGTATGGTATTTTTGATACTTTTTAGGCCCTGGGGGATCTCCACAAAATGATTCCATTGAAATACTGATATTGCTTTTAGCGATTATTATCCATGGACAGCCTTTTTCCACCTTAATATCTCTTCTAGCAGTAATCTTGAATCTAATACCAGTAAGATACTCGCTTAACAACTTGGGTGCTGTTTCTGTGTACGCTGAAATGCCCAAACATAGAATCGGGGTCTATGCGTGAGATCTCCAAGTGATTGGTGGTGTAATGTTTGTGGCGTTCTTTTCCGAATTGTCGAAACGTCAATTGGGGTTAATTTACATATCAAGTGGATCAAGGATATTTCACCGTATGAATTTTCTCGCTGATCAGTGGATATCGTGAACTAGGCGACCTTTCTACTTGACGATTGTGGCGTGTTTTATCATGGCTCAGCTGAACTACTCAAACCCAATTTCCTCGTATTCTGCGTCATAGTACGGGAGAATGGACAATCGACTAGGCTTCAGCAGATCACGATCAATTCTCTTGAGTAATGCTTTTAAGCCAGATGGCTGAGGTATATTACTGTTAATCACCTGTGTTTTGTGTTTTGTGTTTTTTTTTTTTTTTTTTTTTTTGTTCTTTTCATCTTCTTCTCAATCTCCGCATACCCCAGCACAGCACAAAAGAACTCTTCAATGATGGGTAATATTCTGAGTTACCTCCGGGACAGTAAATCCTCGATACTAGGGAGTGTTGCTCTCAAGAGCATCTTTCGATGGCTTAGAACCCCTGGTGGAAACGCGGTGCATGAGAAACAGTCTGCGCCAAAACTATCTTTGACTGGTAATATGGGTCTTTTCCCCTATACTATACTAAACTGACTTGCTGGTGTTGAAAACAAAAGCTATGACGATACCGGAGGATCATTCCGATCTGTATCCTATCCGTTATGTTTACAATTATGTCTCTGAACATGGCGGTTATCTTCAACGTCCGACGTTGAAACTGAACAAGCACCTAGAATCGAAGATATTCTTACGCCTAGGATCTCCAGTAATTCGCGAACGAGACATCAAGGAAGATGAGCGAAATAGCGTCATGCTGTTCCCTTCAGCGAGTAGTGTATACTGGCCCACCGGAATTCAGATTGTGGGACAGACCAGACATTGGAAAGCACAACTAGACAAGACTGTCCAAGGTCTGGAGGACTTTGCTTCGGATTGTATAGCAAAGGAGATATTTTGCAAACATGGGAAGACCTTTGCGGAGCATGCACGGGGCGAAATGTCCAGCTTTGCGGACGGGTGGTTCAGATTCTACCTGTATATGCTGCCTTGTCCTGACGAAACGAGAGCAATTCTCTTGGCCCAGGCGAACTTGTACGTCATGTTATTTGATGGTAATAAACTGCTTCCCTACTAGCCCCTCCAAACTGATGAATGAATTTAGAGATATGGGAACTGGAAGATGAATACGGAGTAAGGCGTGGCTGATTCATAGCATTTATGGAAGATGATCACTAAACCAAGCACAGGTATCCAGTTTTCATAATGACTACATGTCACGGATGATTTCTTCACCCGGATATGTGATTGATCCTCCCAAATCATCAGGACAGGCTCACATCGATTCGACCATCCAACAGCTCCATGAGCAGGACAGAATACGTGGGAATGGTGGACGAGAGGTAATTGAAACACTCAAGCAATTCTTCTGCCATAAACCTCCACCAAAGCGGTTCGAAAATATGGACCAGTATTTGGATTATCGATTTGAGGATATAGGAATCCCGTGAGACAGCATCCTCAAACCGCTCCACTTATTGACCGCTGACGTGCACAATGAAGGTACATTATGGCGTGTATTAAATTCTCAGCAGCCTCCGATGTGGATCTGAAGGATCCGAAGTTAAAGACATTCATCCGGCTGGCCGGTAGCCACATTTTGATCGTAAACGATCTTGGCTCTTGGGCAAAGGAAAAGCGAGCCTATGACTCAGGCAAGGCGGCATATTTGATCAATGCTGTGGATGTGATGAAACAGCTGCTTCGTCTGCAGTCTGACAGCAATTCAGTCTCCATGACATACGCTTTCCAACTTCAGCTTGAATGCGATCTTGACGCTGAAATTGAGAGGCTCATGTTTGCGAATACACTAGATTCGGAGCAGTGGTATTTCATCCATATCACCCTGCTGTTTCTCACTGGCACTGTGGCAAGTACCGTATTTATGTCACGATATGGTGGTGAAAAAGCCAGGATTTACCCGAGCTCTAAATAAGTCCGAAACTCGTATTTGATGGTTTTATTCACAGCTCTGATTGGGGTTCAAGCCTATTTTGAGGTCATACATTACCCTATGTATTTCCTTTTGTCCAAACTCTACTCGCCTTGGCTTTGACTACCAAAATCTACATTGAAGATTTCTATTCGGCTTTCTCTCTATTCATCGACTGTTTCGACGAGCTAGTCCTATCCGAAGTGGCATCAAAATGTCATTCTAAATATCTTTTCCTTTAGAGTCATTTGACATGTTCGCTTGATGCTCAATCCTAAGATCCACACCGAGGCCTCACTTCCACAGTAGTGGCCTAATCCTATTATTAACATAAAAGAAACGTGGATTATAATCTGGGTGGTGAGCGGACAGAGCCTTTATTGCGACATGAGAAACCTCAATCCTAAGGATGCTCAATGAGGGTGCGTATCTTCTTATTCCAATGTTTGTGCCAATTGGACACACAGGGCCTATCACGGAGCTTAGACAGTCAAAGGGTTTCTGAGAATCGATTGAGTATCGTACACGATCCTCGGGGAAAATAGACGCGCAAACACGGTAGAAGAGAGCCAGATGACCGGCATAGCTGTTGGCCTCTGCAGCTGACGTTGGGGCTGGCTTGAGATCTTGAGCTGCTTGGAAGCATCCGGAATTTTCGGTGGGAGATACACCGTTCATTGCCATGGTCGCAGCTCTTGTGTACTGCCTAGCCTCCAACCTAAATTGGGCATTTCCCCCTGAATCATCCAGTGCGGAGTTTTCCAGATTTATCACCATGTATCTATCTGGGGTGTGTTGCGGAAAAGTTCTTGGGCTTGGAACTATAAGGCGGTGGCACCGATTGGACGATTTTCTCAATAACCGCTTTGGGAACAGACGCCCGGACTCTATTTCTGTGGACCAAAAGACCTTAAGAACTTTGTGAGACTGTTGAAAAGATTTGCGATATTTGCATGCGGTAAAGGGCAATTCGCTTTGATTTTAGCTCCCTAGCATGGGTCGAGACGTGCGATGTTCGGTTGGCAACAATTCCACCCCTCGACGGGCATGATCCAGACTTGAATCAATCTTCGATTTCAACTCAGCGGGCGGTATGGGGTTTTTGCGACTCTGACGTGAGTTCACTGGCTGCTCTTCATGGGGCTCCTCCTGCCATTGAGAGGTGTCGATGTCCATGGGTTCAGCCATTAAGGCCGAGCGATCTCTGGGGCCCTCTGGAATTGGAGGGAGAGCACAAAAATGGAGCGCCAATGGCCACCTGTAGAGATAGAAGGGGAAGAGTCAGAGGACAAAAGGCTTGTTAGGCTAAGTTGAAGTGGGAGTCGACTCGTCTGACACGACTAGCACCAGCCAGTGAATGACAGACTGGTATACTGTTTATTTGGAGAAATCTCCAACTGCGGTTCTTTCCGCCACGCTAAACCCCGACGGCCTGTTTCAGCCAATCACCATGCAGTTAATCTTATCTCTTATCTTACTGATAAGATCGCGTTGCTAATGAGCCTTTGGTCGAAGCAAACTATGCTGGAGAATTGCTGCAGTCGATGTTAATTTCCAAATTGCAGATAAGACGTCCGAGAGCGGAGAGGCTCTGATCGAGCGGAGTTGTCTATATATACCAAGATGTGCCTATCTTGGAAAACCAGCGCATCATCGTCAACATGGTCCGTTTTTCTACACTGGGTACACTGGGCCTATCTGCATGGCTCCTCGGGCTGATCAGCTCAGCATCAGCCCAATTGGTGTCCACTGGCTTTTCCGTAACTCTCAATGAGATCGACTATCTTATCTCGCCATATCCGTCAGGCAACATAACTGTCTCTTCAACCTCACTATCCAACATCCCAAGCGTCCACGGCTTCTACCCAGTCACTGTTCTCCAAGAGCCAATCCATAGCACCAACCTAACATCCCTCTTCTCCACCTGGATCGCGAGAGATGATGTCTTTACAGACGCCTTCACAGGCGCCGTCTTCACCCACAATGCACACACAAACCCAACCACAACCATACTCCCCCTAGACTCTACATCGATCCCCTCAGGCCCTTACTTCATCGAAATAGCCACAGGCAAGCTCTACCCCGTCTATCGTCTATACAGCGACTTCGCCGGCGCTTTCACGCAGCCCCTCCTCCAAACCCCAGACAACAAGTTCCAGCCCCTCGCCGCTCAAATTGCCGGCCTTACATCCAGCACAGTCGGCGTCCCATCGCGAATCTACTACACCCCCACAGACGAAAAACCACTCGCGGGCGTCCGCGTCGGCGTAAAAGACATCTACAGCCTCGCCGGCGTGCGCCAAAGTAACGGCAATCGCGCATGGTACTACCTCTACCCCGAGAATAACGTCACGGGCACCGCCGTCTCGCGACTCATCGACGCAGGCGCGATCATCGTCGGTCTGCAGAAGCCGTCGCAGTTCGCGAACGGCGAAACCGCTACGGCGGACTGGGTCGATCTGCACTCGCCGTTTAACCCCCGCGGAGACGGATACCAGGACCCGTCGTCTTCTTCGTCGGGTGCGGGTGCTTCCATCGCGTCGTATGACTGGTTAGATCTGGCATTGGGAAGTGATACAGGCGGCTCGATTCGCAACCCGGCCCAGGTGCAGGGCGTCTACGGCTCGAGGCCGTCCCATGGTCTCGTCGAGCTTGATCACGTCATGTCCATGTCTCCGGTGCTCGATACAGCGGGTCTCCTTACCAGAGATCCCTATTTGTGGGATAAAGCCAACCAGGCTCTCTACAGTACGAATTACACCTCGTACACTGGACACAAGACAGTCACCTACCCCCGGAAACTATACACACTCGGTTTCCCAACCACAAACACCACAGCATCAGATGCGCTCCTCCTCGCCTTCCAAGACAGACTAACAACCCTCCTCAACACAACTCCCACACCGGTCAACCTCACCGCAGACTGGACCTCGACGCACCCCTCAACCGTCTCGTCTGACGTCTCCCTCCCTGCCCTCCTAAACCTAACCTACGCAATGCTAATCAGCAAGCAACAAATCCCGCTAGTCCGCGACCCGTTCTACGCCGACTACGCAGCCAAACACGACGGCCGGCGCCCATTCATCGACCCTGTCCCGCTCTCGCGCTGGAACTGGTCGTCCGCGTACCCAGATTCCGCGCTAGACGAGGCAATCCAGAACAAGACTATCTTCATGGACTGGATGGCGGGGAACTACCTCACCCCTGTCTCTGGGGCGGAGTGCTCGTCATCATTGATGATATATGTCGGGTCAAACGGGCTGGCTTCCCAATCTGCGCGGAACGTCTACCGCTCGTTACCTGGTGCGCCGCTTGGTTTTGGGAATGCCCGGATCTCGAATATGGGGGAGGTGCCGGACTTTGTGATCCCCATTGGCGAGGTAGAGGCGTATAGCACTATCACGCACCATGTGGAGAAGTTCCCTGTTACTGTTGATGTTCTTGCTGCCAAGGGGTGTGATGGGTTGATTGTGAGGTTGGTTCAGGATCTGCTTGAGGCGGGGATTATCTCGATGCCCAAGGCGGGGGGGAATATGGTTGGTGAGTCTGTTTTGTTCTAGTTTATAGCAGATTGTGTATAAATTTTATATTCAAGATTCATATTCAAGATTCAGCTTGGATGTCAATCATTATCATGTACATATATGCTATATAACACTGATTCACCAAGCATTCCCGGGCTGTCTAATATTCTGAACCTCCACCATAATGGAATTAATCTTCTCCATCGGATTCTTAGGAGACTGAGTGTTCATATCTGCAGTCGGATTCGCCGAACCCACCATTCAACGTCTCGATCCACTGGTCGAAGCCCAGGCGTGCTAATACGCAACTCCTACCAACACTGAAGGCGAACCTTAGATACACTATTTAATATGACTATTTTAGAAGAAATGGGACTGCCGTTTAGTTCACCTCCGGTATTCTGCCTCTTTATTATTTATAGGTATTTAGGGAAATTTTCTACTAGTTAGTAACTAATAATTACCCTTTGAAAATTCTTTCCAGGGGCTGGTGACATCTCTAGGTCTCTATATACTTAAGAGCGAAGGAGATAGTAAGGGAGCAATCGCTTCTAGTAAAGAGGGTGAGTAATAGAGATACGTTATAATAAACTTTGCTAAACTAACAGGCTCAGTAGGTCTAAAAAATATATAGTAAATATATCAAAGATTCAATGTCTGATTCTTTGAATGACCACTGCAAATGCTTATGGCTGGTTTGGCGGCTAGCAATTCAAGAAGCTCGCTAGTTCATAGTCGCAGGGCATATAAGCAGTGCGATGCTGACAAAGGCAACCCATTCTTTTCCTACTCTTCTATAAACACTTTGACTCCACTCAAAGCCTGCAACCTTTCAATAGCGCCTGTAGTCATCGGTCTGATATGAATGCATATCAGTATCCTGTTCTCAATAGAGTAGAGTCAAACTCACGGAGGGTGATAAATTGGAGGATAGCTTGGTTGGGTGGTGATATCGTCGTCCTCAGTATCATCCTCAATTATGCTTTTCATCACAGTCAGTGGATGTCCTTTTCGGTCAGGAAGATAGAATAGAGACCCACGCTAGAACAGTCTTTTCGTGCTCCTCAAATACATCTTCATTATTGAAATGAATGATAATCTCCTGGTTTAATCACATGAGCTATGGTGATAGTGCTATGGGTGTCATATATATACCTTTCTGTCAGATTCGGACATATTGTTCGTGGACTAGAGATGTTATTATGATTTATTATGATTGCTTTCGATTTCTTCATCGCCTGCTTTATAATGTATGACTACGGCGGACGATTTACCCCGCCATGTTTGTACTGACATCATTTGCAGATCACTGCTCAATGGAGATTAATTTTGCAAGTCATTTTCAGCTGTTAAAGCTGTAGTTCAATTAAGGGTATTCAGGTGTTGGGTAATGGCACACAATACTCTTATACTTATGAACACCGATCAGCTGCTGGAACGATCAGGCCTTCCTTGTCGGCTGATTTCTGATATTGAAGAGGCAGTTCATTCTATCTGATCTAATGAAGACATGTTGAAGATGTATACAGATGGTCACACTATCTGACCAATCTGATGCTCCACTACTCCACGATAACAATAACTCCCTCCAAAGCTTGCAATAAACAAAAGATAAAAGAAAAAAAAAAGAAAAACATACAACAGCAGGGATTCGCTGGTGGTCACCCACCCAACTACTAACCTGCCGGCGTGTGGCTTAAGTACGGCTGAGCGGACGGGAAGCCCTGTTCTCCACACCCTGTGGTCGTATGTACTAGACACAGCATAAAGGAGGACTATATAGAGATTATAGAGAAGACAAAATGTCTGTCTTCCTAACCAGGAAGAAATAACATTGGATCATGCTGTAGTGGCATTTCCCAATGCAATGAACGGGAGCACGTTTGACGCTGGTAATGTCCAAAATATGATCCTGACTGTCTGATTACATCACTGAATTGCAGAAGTATATTTGAACAGTATATATATCCAGACCAGATCTGAACAATGTTGGACTATCAGACGAATTTTGAACAACCCAGAGTAGAGGTCTGGAAGCCATCACGGGCAATGTAGCCGTGTCTTTGACAAAAAGGGCGCTTCAGAATAGCGAGTCAACGTCGTATGCCGATTTCGCCAAATCAAAAGATCAAGTTTCCCAGGAACTATTCCCTCACCCACTCAACCACCCTTCTCAACACCTCAACACCATCCGTTGGCTGCTCAAGCCTGTTAAGCTGAGCATCTAGCTGTTCCTGTGAGAGATTCCCATTATAGACATCATCTTCTTCGAGTAACATCTTCCTAGCAAGCGCAGGGTGCACCTCTGGATGTGCTTGGAAGGATAGAATCGTGTTCGCTGCATTGATGAACATTTCGTGGTTCTCTGCCAGCTCGACGAAGTCAATTCCGGGCTCTGCTACCTCGCGTACATGGAACTCGGGTAGTCTCTGTGTGTATATCAGTACAAGGTAAGATGGGGATTCATGGGTAGGAAGATACCAAAGTGATAGTATCTGGGCAGCCAAAGAATCTTCTCCCTGCTTCTGTCAACTTGACATCTTCAATACCAGCCTGCAAAAATGACATTAGCTCCCTTAAACACATCAGTATACTTAAGAGCTTACAATCGGCCCCTTCACCACACCCCTAACAACCCCCCCAAACGCCCTCGCAATAGCCTGATGACCCCAACATATCCCCAGAATCTTCGTCTGCGGCGCCTCACGAGCCGTTCTTCGCAGAAATCCTAGTACGCCCAGAACCCACGGCTCGGATGAGGAAGCGTCTGCTTTTCCACCGCTTAGCACGATTAGGTCGTATTCTTGGGGGTTGGGAAAGGTGGGTCGAAAGACGGGGTCGAATACGTGGATCTCGGAGGTAGGAGAGACGATGGCAAAGGCGGATTGGTAGGAATTGCGCACGTCATCCCAGAAGGAGGTGTTGGGGGGTGTGTTTATGAGGAGGGCGATGCGTAGGCTCATAGTGACAGATTGAATTATGGGTTGTCTTCTCCTTGGACCTGGATGTGCATAATTATATAGCTTACTGTCGCTTTCGTGATTCTCCATGGCATACGCATCGCAATTGCACACTGTTTATGGAAGACTATCTACAGTGGATCCTAATATAGGCTAATCCAAATCGGGTGGACGGGAGCGATCGAGTGGGGAAATCCCTGAAAGACCCACTATTTACCAAATCTGGTGCGCAGGAACAAAGCTTGGCGTTTAGAGTCATAGTTTGATGGCGATTATGTTGAATCCAATTTGTATTTCTAATACCTGATGTGTGATAGAGTATACTGACAGGCTTAATTGTAAGGTATATAAACCTGCATCATTCCCAAGTTTCTACTCAACTGCAGTAGCCATCAATTCCTGTGACCATGTTCCTCCCCAACATCCACGCAGAGCGCGACACCGAAGCCCTCCTCCAATTCATCAAAGAGAACCCTTTTGGTATTCTCATCACAGGCATAAACTCTGCCTCCCACGACTTCCTCCAATGCACCCATGTCCCATTTGTGCTTGACGTCCCGGAAGGGGAAAACGAAAACCCCCAACTCCGCGCGCACATCGCAAAACAGAATCCCCAAGCCAAAGCAATGATTGAGAAACTCGACGGGCAGCCACCGGGTATTCTCTCCCTTGACCAGGACGTGCTGGTTGTCTTCAACGGCCGGCATGATCACTACGTCACACCGAAATACTATACCGAGACGAAGCCGGATACGGCCAAAGTCGTCCCGACGTGGAATTACTCTGCTGTGCAGGTGTATGGCAAGTTATCGCTGTACTACGATTCCAGGACGCCAGAGGCAGGTTCGTTTCTGGCGAAGCAGATGCATGATTTATCGGAGCAGTGTGAGAGGGGAATTATGGGGTTTACGGGAGGGGAGAGACCGCCGCCGTGGAAGGTTGCCGATGCGCCGGAGAAGTATATTGAACTGATGAAGAGGAATATTGTGGGTATCAAGATTGAGATTAGCAAGGTTGAAGGCAAGGTCAAGATGAGTCAGGAGATGAGACCAGGTGATCGGGAGGGGGTGGTAAGAGGGTTTGCAAAGCTAGGAGGAGAGACGGGCGAGGCTATCTCTGCTTTGGTTAAGGAGCGGGGGGAGTTGAAGGATAGAAAGAAAGAGTAGAATAGAATTGATATTTCCATCTACATTGATTCTAGAAACCTTCCTGATTAGGGTTAAGTTGTCACGTGTGGCGATTTGCCACTTTGACGCATCAACTGACTCATTTTACGAATTCATCAACCAAATTCCAAGAAATACGCTACAAATGTACAAACCAGCCCCTCCTAGACCAAAAAAGACAGACATTGTACGCTCGCGTAATGGCTGTAAAAGCTGTCGCAGCCGGAGAACAAAATGTGATGAGCAGAAGCCAACATGCCGGACTTGCCTGAGACTAGGCAAGGTCTGTGATTATGGCCAGCCAATCTTTAAGTTCCAAGTGATGACAGTGAATGATTCGAAATATAATGCGCCAGAAGAGTCGAGAAAGCGGGCAGAGGAAAGATTGACTATCCAAGTCCCCAGTATACGAAACGATATGCTCAGATCATTGCAGACGACGGACCGAAATGTCTTCTACTCGACGTATTGGGAGGATCGCTGTTTACCGGCCTTACATCCAATATTTCACTCTGCTACTTTATTAAGGACTGACCACCCCATCCTCAACGATGCCATCCTTGCCCTGTCCTCTTGCAACATCGGGCGTCTCCATGCCGAACGCAAGACATCATCAACCGAGCTGATGAGCCCAAGTCTCCTCCATCAAACAAGAAGTCACTTTTACTACTCATCAGCAATCAAGAAACTCACCGCAATGAATTCATTCGACTACTACCATGACCCTACAGTCATCCTTACCGTGCTCGTGCTATTCGCCCATCTCGAATCCGCCATGGGCAATTTCCAAGGCTTTTATTGCCATGTACGAGGGATGATGAATCTTCTGGAGGAAAGAGAAGGGGTTGGCGACGTGACTATCAAGTCCCTTCTCACGTCGTGGATGCAGATTCGCTATGTTGTATGGTGGGCTCGTGTGTATTTCAGCTCGCTGGATATAAGCCAGCAGATCCCCTCTATCACATTGCCTATTTTGTTGAGGGGGGCTCCTTGTACACTGCATGAACGACGTGTTCAAGTCCTTAGCATCATGTGTGAGTCACATCGGTTGAATTTTAAGGTCGTGCTGCAACATTTTAGGAATTGGGGACTCGAAGGAAAAAGTGAGCTCGACGAGAGTTATGCTGATTGCATAACCCGTCTGAGTCAAGAGGCTGCGTCATTAGATGAGTGGCTGTTACATCTTCCACCATCTGAACAGCCAATCTACGGAGATAATGGCACAATCCACTTCCACTCTCACGATGCAGCGCTCAACTACGCATACTATACAGTAGCGCGCATAATGCAATGCACCGGTCTCCTCCGCCTCCTTTGCAATCAAGATACTCAACTCCACGAACAAGAACACCAAGAAGAATTCTGGGCCCTCCAACTCCTCAAAACAGCCCAAGGCATCAACATGCAAACCTCCCTCACCAGAAACAGCTACACAATCGGCTTCTCGGGCCTCCTCCTCGCAGCCATTCTTCGATGTCAGAATCTCTCTATCGGACTCGAGATTCAGAACTGGTTACAGACGTTAAAAGACCTACAGCCAACAGAGGAAGGCGCTTTTCCGGTGTATCAGACATTGAGCGTGGTCAAGGTCATCAATCAGCAGAGGATGGTTGGGAGGGATGTGTTTGCTGTTACGCAGCCGGTGGATGATGGTGGTGGGACGCCGAAGGTCACGGCGTATAATAGTCAGTTTATTCGGAGTTTGGTGTTTTATGGGAGATGTAACCGGCTTGGGTGTCTGTTTGAGGAGTGTATTGCTTTGGATGGGTAGTTTATATACTCGGTTCGAATTCCTGGGGGATTGGGGGAGGTGATGTGTGGTTTACCTTATATCAGAAAAGCATACTGAGAAGTATGAGCATCTATTTAGATATGATACCCTTTGGACTTATTATGATTTGTCAATATTTATGCTAGTCTTCTATCAATATTGGATGGTAGTAGTAGTCTATTTTGATAAATATGTCTTGTTCACCATACCCCACTATTCACACTCATCGCGATAGATAATCCCATGTAGCACATCTCTCTCCGAGCTTCGCTCCACCAACTCCCTAAACGCTCCCCCTTGTTCCATCAAGTCACGCGGGGTCCCAAACTCGACCCCTCTGCCGGCGTCCAGGACGAGAATTTTGTCAAAGTCGGCAATGGTGCTCAGCCGATGGGCGATCACCAGGAGCGTGGACACGTGCGGGAGTTCCTCGCGGATGGATCGCTGGATTAGCTTGTCCGTATCCATGTCTACGGCAGATGTCGTCTCGTCGAGGACCATGATTTTGGGCTGGGATAGGATTGCGCGGGCGAGGCAGAGAAGCTGTCTCTGGCCTTGGGAGAGGTTGAGTCCGCCTTCGGAGATGGTTGAGGTGAGCGAGGTGAATATATTGGGGGGTTGGGTGTGACCTGGTTCAGTATCTGTGGAGAAGCAGGCTTCGTCGCTATTGATCAAGTGGACTCGCTCCAGGGCATCGAGGACTTCGGCATCGGTGTGCTGGCTGAATGGATCGAGGTTCGAACGGATCGTGCCGGAGAATAGGACGGGGTCCTGGGGGATGATCGCCAGCCGGCTGCGTAGATCGTGGAGGTTGATTTTGGAAATGTCAATCCCGTCGATGTGGATGCTGCCGCGTCTTGCTTCTAAGAACCGGAAGAGCGCCAGGGAGAGAGTCGACTTTCCTGCCCCGGTGCGCCCAACAACACCCACTCTCTCGTTCACAGCACTAAAAGTGAGACCGTCCAGAACGGGTGGGAGATCGGATGCGTAGCTCACGGCGAGGTCCTCAATCTCCAGCCGTCCGCTTGTGGGCCAGGCAGCTGGGGGTCGCAGTCCTCCTTGATCTTCTGTCTCGATGCGGGAATACTCGATGGCGCGCTCTGTGGAATTCATGTTCATCTCTGTATTGGCGTATTGCTTCAGGCTCATCGAGATGGCGTTGCTGTACTGCAGGGAAAAGCTGAGGGCGAATCCAGCGAGGGATGCTGTGACTCCAGGGGTATACATCACCAGAGCGGCGGTAGCAGTCGAAAAGGCCACACCGACGACTGAGATTCGAAACCCGAGCCATCGGTTGAAAAGCCACAGGTTCGACCAGGCTCGGGCATGGCGATCGACCTTGACGTGAATGAGGTCGAGGTAGGCACCCACCCTTCCAAAAGCCCGGATGGTGGTTAGCCCAGTCAGACAGGTCTCAAACTGATCAGATATGGGGCTTCTGGCCACACTCTCCAGTCGCTTGATTTCTCGTGCTCCTGCGAGATACGTCGAAGAGATCTGTAGACACAGCAACAGCAAGATGAGCGAGAAGACAGCGAGAAGGGGCGAAACGAGGATGCCTGACAATGTGATGCCGAGAACCTGCAACAGTTCATCCGTGACATTGCCGAGATTGACAGCGAGCCGAGAGTCAATCAAATGAAAATCCATGGTGAATCGGTTGAGAATGCGACCCAATGGCACCGTGTCGAGCCATCGCAGTGGCGCGCGAAGAACGGTGTAGGTCAACTGGTCGAACAGATTCTTCGACGCCTCGACGGTGCCGCAGAGTAGAAGGTAATATTTCGTGGCACCAAAGATGAAGGTAGCGATCGACAGGGCAATATATACTTCCAGGTAGAAGCTGATGGGATGGTCGGCCTGGCTGACGGTCATGACGTTGTCAATACTGTGGGAGACGATGTTAAGATGCCGTTCGGGCTCAAGATGTGTCGATGTTGACTTCGTCCACACATTAACCCACCAAGCCTGGAGAAGATGCTGGTTAGAAACGACTGCTGAGAATGGAGAAAGAAGAAACTCACCCGGCCAAAGTAGAAGAGAACATAGCTGAGATATCCAGAAATCACCAGCACCCACCATGGAACCCGACCACCCATTCGGAAATACGCCGCCCACATTGAGAGCTTGATCGATCCTTTTCCTCGTGTCTCTTCCTGTGTGAATGCCTTTCGTGAAGAACTTGTTTGATCTACAGAGGTCTGTGTTGAACTCACAGCCCCGGATGGCTGTTGACCGAATCCTACAAATTCATCAGGACAAGGCATCTCTTCTCGCTTTTCCCCATTATCAACCGGCCCGGCATACCCAACGCCCCCATTCTCCAGCACGACAGAATAGTCAGCGTGGCCCAAACAAAGGGAAGCATGATGCGTGGCCAAAATTCGAGTACGTCCGGCTCCCAATGGGCCCACGAGGGCATGGCGATATACATGTTCGCCGGTGTGGGTATCCAATGCACTGAAGATATCGTCCAAAATAAGAACGCCTGCCCGGGAATACAGCGCCCTGGCTAGTGAAACGCGCCATCGCTGACCACCGCTCAAGTTGACTCCATCGGCGCCGATTTCAGTCAGGTCCTTGTCTTCAAGCATCTCCAGGTCTTTTTCCAAGGCACATGCGAACAGGGTCTGCTGATAGCGGGCGGCGTTGTAGGGAAGGCCAAACAGGATGTTGTCTTTAACCGTCGCATTCTCTATCCACGGGATCTGCGCCACGTATGCGATGGCACCATCGACGATCCAGCTCTGACCGGGTGGGCTTTGGGGACGTGACGGGGACGTGACGGCTCCGCTGAGTAGATCGCACTCTCCCAGAAGAGAGGCAAGTAGAAGACTTTTGCCTGATCCCGTCTTTCCAGAGATGATGCTCAGTCCTTTGTAGGAAAAGGTTAGGTTCAGATTTCGGAGAACGAAGCGTTGTTGATTAGACGGTTGTTCTGGATTCGAGGCCCAAGATATCGTGGCATTTTGGAGGCTGATTTTCTCGTCTGGCAGCGCGACAACTTGCCGTTCGGGCGTTGTTGTCAAGTAGGCCTCAATACGTTCACAGCTGATCTTTGCCTCCAGCCCACTCGATATCATCTCGGGCAGAATGGATAAGGTCATCTCCAAAGATCCAAAGATGGACATGGCTGTGAAGGCTACAGAGGCAGACAAATCCCCGTGCAATATGGAATACGCGCCCAGGGAGACCGTCGACAGCAGCAGGGGGCCAAAGATCCAGAGACAACTCAAGCTGATATTATAGAGAAAGGACCTCCATAATGCTCGCAGCTCAACCTGTCGAGCTGCCAATATTCGACTTTGGTACTCGCCTTCCATGGCGGACAGCTTGACCTGTCTAATACCGCGCAAGATCTCAGTGACAACCGCCATCTTCTGGTCTCGATGAGACATCAAGATCTTTTGCGCCCGGGAATAGCGTCGGGCGACGAACATATTGACCGGCATCAGCAGCAGGAAGCTACCCAGGCCGCACGCTAGACTCCTCCACCCAATCAACCGGATGAGAAGAGCACAGGCGACGGAGAGCTTCAATACAGACGATGGCAGCCGGTATCCGAACGAGGCAAAGTCGGCAATCCGGCGCGCGTCCACCGTCGCCAGGTTGATCACACTGCGGTTGCTCTTGCTTGTCGATTCACCTTGGCCAGGACTTGGCCGTTTAGTGGGTGCTTTTCTGATGTCTTTCTGGCGCATGGCCTTGTCAAAGATAATGGCCGTCAGTTCCTCATAGACCGGAATCCCGATGCGCGAGTAGATGACCCAAAACAGCCATTGTTTAACAGCAGAGGAGAGAAGCAGCTGGCCACCAAACATGAGAATCCATACCGCAGACCCCCAGCCACGGGTATCGCCAGAGTTTGCTTCCAGAGAGCTGAGGATCTGGTAAAGAATCACCTGGGGACAAAAGCTCAGGACGGCATTCAGAAGCGTCAGGGCCAGCTGAAGAACAACTGGGCCCTTGTGTGTCAGAATTATTGTCTTCCAAAGCTTCTGTTTTGCTTTGTGATTCGACGCAAACTTTGCGCAGAGGGTTTTGGATCGCAGCGGATACGGTAACGCAGGGAGGTCATCTACTTCAATTCCCTTGTTCTTGCCTGTTCGCTTCAGCAGACCGTCCACCCAGTGGAAGCTGTACCGCGACAACAAAGACACGCTGGATTCTTGGTCTACCACTTTTCCATCCGTGTACACGTCCGGACGGCGCGGGAGTAGGCTGCCAACGACAATGCAGAGCACGGCAATGACACTCTGAGCCGTATAGAACCGTATCGATATCGGGGATGGTCGAGTTCCACTGGGATACGAAAGCGAAATCTCAACCCAAGGGACGATACCAGCGAGAATGCTCGCCCCGGAGATCGATTGAATGAGAGAAAAACGAGTTTTCGGGGACGAAACAAGGAAAACGACCGCCGCCTGGAAGGAAAGGAGCATCTGGAAAAGGTCAACAAATTGGCCCGTTTTCATGTATTAATACCTGACTTACCCATATGCCTGATAACAACCAGCTTTCAATCACAAAGCCATGGTGGTTGTGTATTGTTGATATGACGGCCAGAGAAAGACTGACCGCCAGGCCCGCGACAGCCAAAAGGAAGATCACGACCCGGTTCCATCTGTCCGAGAAGGCAGCAAGCGACTTAGCCGTAGCCTCACCATCCTGATCACAGTAGGACGAACATGGCTCCGCAAAACCAGACGCATTTTTTGTTCGCTTGGAACGAAGGTGAGAGGCGCAAGATCGGAGGGCCGGCAGTGAGGTGAGAATGGCCAGAAACAGGGCCGAAGAGCCCACGGTCAAAGCACTGCCCATTCTGTCCACTGACGATCAGTTACCTAGAATGGGCCATGGCAAGAAAGGCAGGGATGATATAGATGATGTGAGGGTGAATGGCCTCTGCATGCAATTGAAGAAGTTGTCCTGCGACAAGATTTGTTCGTAGCGCACCCCATCAATTGATGCGTATGTTACGTCTCCTGTGTTGGAAGTGGAATGTCAACTTGGCCTCGGCTGGGCTCTCAGCTGAAGCTGAAGAGAGTATGTGATTTTCCTATACCCACCGCTTTCCTATCCAAGTTTACTGTAAGGTACCTACCAATGATATTTACTCATCTGTAAAGCAACAATCAAGTGGGCCAGGCACAATTGCTCCAGACCCCGGTCCTCTGCACTCGCATCATGCATTTCCACGTCCGGAATGAATTTGTTATTACCCCGTGGATCTGTCAATGATTGCAGACCGTAGCGTTACAGGGTACTATGCTAGGTCAAATCGTCGTTCAATAAGCGAGCAAAAATCGGCTCTCATTGGCCACAGCTCGAGTAACCAGCAGGTGACCTGACTAGCCTATATAGGTTAGTCTCATATCCGTACTTGGTCATTAGTATCCGAATCATATGATCCTCTCTATTAGTATCTTCATCAAGCATTTAATCAAGCCGTTAATCAAGCAGTTAATCAAGCAGTTAATCAAGCAGTTAATATAGATCTACACTCATAATAGGTGGCGAGGGTGTAAGTCCGAGCCCCCTAGTTCTGAGTCTGACGGCCCTCCTGTCGCAATGAAGATGGGAAATGGCGGACACTAACGAACTGTGGGGATTATTTGAAACGGGTGGATATTATTTGTCGCAGCACGATTCAGCTCCTCAAGGTTCTTCATAATGATTGTGGTGGGAAAATGGGATAATTTTTTGAATGTATGTGTACTCAAGCGGATCAAAATATGCAACACTAGTTAGTGTTGACCGAATAAATAGCCCACTGCAAGATTTATTCAATATCGTATGCCATATTCTGGCTGGCTGAATGGCACTGGCAGTGTGAAGTACTTATATAATAACTTTGGATATTATGAGATTCATCATTACTGTATCGAGATCTCTGGGGTGGGAGTGTCCAGGCTTTTCACAGTATCCCACATCTTTAGCCCTCTTTCCAATAAATGATTTCCAAATTGAAAGTGAATATGTAATATGGTTTCTAAATAGCCTCATACCTGTGCCTGACTCTTGCATGTGTTAGTAAGCGCAGGCAAATGATATCTGTGGATTACATAAGGTGCTGGCAGATGCGTTAATAATACAGGAACGGACTGGGGGAACCACGCCTGCGTTGACAACCGGAACAGACGTTCTGCTTCACGCATCACGTTCCACCTTTGCGACATGCAAGAGTCTAATACTCCAGGGTCCAGAGCATCCTTACCTGAAGTGCAAGGTCAGGGCATTTCGCGCACAAGACATGCGCAACTCAAATCGCGAGGCAGCCGTCGACATGCCTGTGATCGCTGTCGTAGGCAGAAATTAAAGGTCGAGACACCCGATAGAATATTCTAAGGATAACTGGTTAATGGCAGATTTCCTTCCAGTGTGATGTTGAAAAGCCATGCTCTCTATGCATCCGGTCTGGCTTTCTCTGCGAGACAACATCAGCTCCGTTGCGGTACGTCGTTTGTCATAGACCAGCGTGACCTGGGCATTGTAAAGAAAACACTGATTGATGCCTTGTAGAAAGTCTAAAAGATCTGCAAAAAGTATGGATAGGCGGCGCAGCAGCGTACAACGCATGCTGTCTGATATTCCCGCATCCTCAAGGTCCAGCCCCCGAACTCTCGATACTCCTCGAGGGTCGTTGAACAGGGCTCGGACAGATATCCCTTCGGACACTGGCAAGCAGCCTGAGCCTCCCTAGCAGCCACATAGATATGCCCAAGCATCTGCAGTGGAATTGACCGATGAGGTATTTTGTTGTTTTCAGTTATGCATTTTGCTGAGCACCTATTACCTCTACAATGGCAATATGCTTTTGTGCCTTATACTAGGGTCTCATCCAAGGCGAGATTGGATGTCATTGTCCAATCATGCTTGAGATATAGTTCACTATGATAAAGTAGGCAAACTGTTTCAATCCCAAGATAAGCACTTGGCATGTAAGTTAAAAATCGGCTGTAAACAGGGGATATGTGAATTGCCTCCTATGATTCGTTTTATTGTGTTAGATTTATCAGCGTAGTACAGAGTACAGTAAAGACACGTAAGAGTAGATCTTTGCCTTATTCTTGTGCGGGGAAGCCCAAACGAAAGCCTTGTCATCTGCATGACTGACATAGCCTTGTTATAAGATCGACTTCCCCTCCCTAATCCGTGAGTCGATTGTGGCTTTTTTCATTGCAGCTAACCCAACATTTGCTTCGGCCGCAAGACTTTTTACAGAGCTTTTTTTTTTTTTTTTTTTTTTTTTTTTTTTTTTGGCACGGAAAATGAGCTTTGGTTACGGCGTAGGAGATATTCTGGCAATCTTGAGGCTCGCTGATGATCTCAAGAAGCGCTTCTCCCAAGCCCCTAAGGAATTCAGCAAAATATCAGAGGAGTATAATCATCAACTACTCGTAGAGTCCTAACTATGTATAGACATCGGTGTAATGCTGATACGTGGAATGAAATAGGGTCAAACGAGTATGGACCGTCCTCCATGATATTCAGGATATCCCCGTCGACGGTTTGGATAGCCAGCAGGAGAAGGACATCCAGAGAGTCTTGCAAGGTTGTCGCGAAGTTATCGAGGATTTGAAATTGGAGTTGGACAAATCACAAGTTTTGGCTTACACCACCTCCGACTGGAAGGCTAAGGCTCGTCAAGCATGGAGTAGGATCACATGGGACCAAGGGGAGATGGATAGACTTCGCGATAGGATCGTTTCCACTATATCGCTCTTCAACTTGGTCATGGGCAAAATAAACCAGTACGGTCCCCAACGATGATGATTCCCCCCGGCTGTCTGACATTTCTTTGAGCAGAAATCTGGGATCCCTGGAGCTGGAAAGACTGTGTTATGCTCCGTCGCCATCGATTATCTAGCACAATTGTTTGCAAGTAAGGACGGAATTGGCATCACATATATTTTCTTCGACTTCAGGCGGCAGCTGAGTCTGTCTTAGATCCTAGCTGGTCTTCTGAGGCAGCTGTCACAAGAAGTGACAAACATGCCACAGACTTGGAATGTGTCCAAAGAGTACGGGAGGCTGCAATGGATTCAATATGAATTCAGAGCCCTCATTTTGCGCTTCAAGAAGACCTTTATCATCCTCGATGCTTTGGATGAATGCTCCAGTACTGAGGGTACCCTTCGAGAATCATTGGGTTTTCTTTTCAGTCTCCAACGGAGCGCAAACGTCAATATTCTGGCGACTTCGCGGTTTAGCGAAGAAACTGCAAGCCTTTTTGCAAATGGAGGGGTAATACTGGAGATTCAAGCCACTGACGACGACGTCCGAGCATATATTGACCACCGAGCGGCATATTTCCCGCCTTTTGTGGCCAAAAAACCCGGCCTGTTAACATATATTCGGGATGAGATTGCAAAATCATCAAGGGGAATGTAGGTGGTTCATTCATCGTCTATCACGAATCATTCACTGACAGCATTGAGGTTTTTACTCGCCAAATTGTACGTCAACTTGTTGCAAGGCGAGATCAATGAGAAGCGAATTCGGAAGGTGATAGAGCGATTCCAGAATGGCTCTGGAGCGTATGATGACGCTTATGACGAGACAATGAAGAGAATCGAGAGCCAAGGGCAGTATGCTCAAGAGATTGCCAAAACCATATTTGGGTGGATATTGTTTTCCACGCGCGAACTCTCTATCCCTGAGATCCAACACGCTCTTGCTATTGAAATAGGAAACTGCGAATTCGACGACACAAACATCACTGACGTCGAACAGCTGGTGTCCATATGCATTGGGTTGGTTACAATTGACGAGTCCAACTCGCTCAAGTTTGTTCACTATACCACCAAAGAATACTTTGAGCGGAAATTGGAGCTGTGGTTTCCAGATATTCACCGTGTTCTCTCTAACACTTGCCTTACATATATGTCTTTGGATGCTTTTAACCAGGGACCCTGTACGACTGAATTTGGCCTGAATGATCGACTCACCGAGTACCCATTCTACAAATACTCGGCTCAAAACTGGGTCCACCATTACCGAAAGCATCCTGGAGACGGATCCATGACCATGGAGTTTCTGGCCGCCGAGGGCAAAGTGCTTGCAACCTCCCAAGCTATATTCGGCTTCTCGGTCGACCTCAGCTTGGTGGAAGAGCCTAGGACACTCAGTCCTATATCCAAGACGAGGTCGCAAGATCCAGTCATCAACATGAAGGAGCCACTGACAGGTGCTCATCTAGCAGCATTTTTTGGTCTAACGAGTCCCCCAGCATCCATGGTGGATTCGGACATGATCAGGGTTGATATCGAGGACCATGCGGGACGCACGCCCTTGTCCTGGGCTGTTGCATACGGGCACGAGGAGCTTTGCAATATGCTTCTTCAGAGAGGCGCCAATCCTGATACCATGAACCACTTCGGGTTTACCCCTTTGTTCTACGCGGCAGTCAGCGGCAGAGTGGGAATTATGCAAAGTCTGATCCAGGCAGGTGCCCAAGTCGATACAGTAGATCAAAATGGCAGGACGCCACTGTTCCATGCGGTTGCTGGTGACTCACCTCACCTGATGTCTCTTGCCGTCGAGGGTGACTGTCTGGCCTCTGTCAAACTCTTGCTTAATCACGGGGCATCTGCTACGCCGGTAGATAATTTTGGCCAAACGCCGCTTTTCGCAGCTGCAAGCAAGGGACGAGAATCAGTGGTTAAGCTTCTCATTGAAAAAAATGCTCATCTGTACTATGCGACATCTTCTCATTCAGGCGCATTGGACCCTTTGGCTTATGCCGCCATGAATGGCTATGCGACCACAGCAAAAATGCTTTTCGACGCTGGAGCCCACTCAGTATCTGCTCACCGTGGAGACGATGCACCATCATATGTGACACTGGCCAATCTTTTAAAGGCTAGGTCAGAAGGCCGTGATGATATCTTTCGAAATCTAAAGGACGAAGGTGCTGACCTCAACATCCGCGATTCCCGCCACCGTCTACCTCTGCACTGGGCAGCACTGAATGGTGACGACAATCTGGTCAAATGTCTTCTAGCGAATGGTGCTGACGTCAATGCTAGAGAAGCATTTGGCCGAACACCCTTATTTTACGCCATTTTTGGGCGCCGGCTTTCTCCGACTCTACTTTTGCTCGACCATCTGGGTATTGATTTTCAAGGGACGGATATATTTGGCGATACTCCACTCATACAATCATACAAGAGACAGGATCAAGAGAATCAGTGGAAATTGCACAATCTATTGAAAATAAAGAGCGGAGATTATGAAGGTCTCTTCTTATTCAACACAAGCTTTCTCAGTACCATCCAGACGCCGCTGGCTGCCATTTGCGATGCATGCTGTCAACCCGCTATATGTTCATTCTCTTGCACAAATTGCACTTCTACCATGCCACCGGGCCCGTATGCTAAGAGCCGTATGGTGAAATATTGCGAGTATTGTATTTCGGAAAAGGGGCCACACCCATGCCCGTTGTGTGGCCACACGCTCGAGGAGCATGGACTCTCCAAAATGCGTTCGAGCAAACTGGATTGGCAAATGCGTCCAAGTCAAAAAAACCAATAGTATCCGAACAGGCCAAGAGTCCTCTCTCAATTCTCACGCCGGGGCTATTCCCGGCAATGGCGGGCCAAGGCTGGATGGACTCTGAACGACCATTTTTCTACAGGGGAAAAATTTTCAAACCAAAACCGCATGATAGCTGTAGTGAGATCACAGGATACATCTACATCTGGAGTGTTGTTTTCTTTCGGGTGCCAGGGGATCCTGCGCTCGACCGGAAATGCAACCCTCGGAAAACATTCTCTCATTACCTACCACCTTAACGAAGCATACACTCATCTTTGCGCGTTTTGTAATGGAAGTTTGGCCTGGGAGTCAATTCTCAAGTCCTCCACTGTCTTTAGTCATTGTTAGTCGCTTGATATGCATAAATATTATTCGTTAGTTAGCTTTTCGGAATCTTGTTTTATCAGTATATACCTCTTAATCGACGATGAATATTCAACCTCGACTGGAGATGAGTTTACTCTCACTCCATATATCACGTTTTCCGAACCTTATAAGAAAAGCGTCTATGATAGCAGATGATATATAGTGATATCACCGAGTGTGGCGGTAGACGACCACGGAACATGTGTCCGACATAGTTATATCTTTGCAAAATAAATCACTCCATCCCCATCACCATTCCAAGTAAACAATGTACATACAATGTACGACCTCATACGAGATTCCGCCTTTGGGCAAATCAGCCGATACGTCACGAGGAACAAATACTTTCAGTATATCGAAGAGCGCGATAGTTTTCGACATCCATATCTCTTGCCAGAAACAGGCGATCCTGGCGATGACGAGGCAAATGCGATACCACACAGCCATACACATGGTGACCCCCCAGAGCAAGTGTCCGGGGCGTGTACGGGGATGGGGAAAGCGACAAGCACGCCAGAGCCGAATCCAATCCACCGGCTCATTATCCAGCAAAGCCAGCATGAGGTGGAAAGATCGCAGAGCCGGGTAATACAGCCGTGTAAAGCGGCCGATGGGGTTACGATGGTTAGTTGGTATACAACAGATGATCCGGATAACCCGCAGAACTGGAGTCGGAAGAAGAAGGCCTTTGTAGGGTTTATGATTTGGTGTGTTGATCTTTCTATATAGGATCTACGACTGACATAATAGGATGTATTCCTTTGCTGTCTATCTTGGTTCGACTATCTATTTTGGTGGATTCAGAGAGATTGTGGTTGTACTCAACATCAGTGTCCAAGAAAGCAATCTGGGTGTGTCGATGTATGTTCTGGGCTGTGAGTATATACCTCAGCACTCCCTTTCTATCTTCTAATATGGATGACAGTTGGACTCGGGACGCTATTCTTCGCTCCTCTGAGTGAGTATGTTTAATCTCTCTTTGCTATTAGTCTGCCGTCTAATTATGACAAGAATCCCAGTCGTTGGTCGGAAACCACCATACGTCATCACGAGCATCATCTTTGCTCTGCTTTGGATCCCCATTGCGTTGACCAACAACTTTGCCACACTTATTGGCCTCCGGTTTCTGGCGGCTTTTATGGGTACAGTCCGTCCCAGAGTATCAGCACGGACTATCTGATATGTTGAATCTAGGATCGCCATGTCTTGCTACAGGGGGAGCAACATTTAATGACCTTGTAAGTTGACACACTGAGGCCTTCAATACACGACTGACAAATATTCAGTATCCACTCATAAAGTTTCCATATGGTCTTGTCGTGTGGGAATCTACGGGTCAGTTTCTAATCCTGTATCGCTTCATCTTGCTAACGAACTCAGTCATTCTCGGACCCCTACTCGGCCCCGTCGTTGGGAGTTTCAGTTCCCGCGCCAAAAACTGGCATTGGCCTTCATGGGAAATGCTCTGGTTGAGTGGCCCTCTCTGCATCTGTCTGTTCTTCCTCCTGCCCGAAACCGCATCACCGACTATTCTCTATTACCGGTCGAAACGGTTGCGAAAGAGGACGGGAAACTCACAGGCACAATCAGAAGCCGAGGTAAAGCAGGCGGATTTCAGTGGCAGACGGATTCTGTATAATGCCTTGATTCGGCCGGCTCAGCTTAACATTCTAGACCCGGCAATCCTTTTCAGCACCACCTATATGTGTGTTGTCTATGGGACTTTTTACTCGTTCTTCGAGTCCTGCCCACTGGCATATCATAATTTATATCTCATGGGCTGGGGCGTTGATAGTCTTCCATTTTTGGGCTTTCTTGTCGGACTCTCTATATCCGCCGCTGTTGTCGTGCTTTACTGGCGTTTCTATATAGTAAAGCCCTTTTCAAAAGAAGGCAATCTCGCTCTGATACAGCCGGAAAAGGGGCTCGTCCCGGCCCTTTTTCTCTGCTTCTTCCTCCCTATCGGGTTATTCATCTTCGGTATGTTTCTGCCCACGGAGATATGCGTACAACTAACAAGTGGCATAGGCTGGACAGCCCGCCGCAGCATCCACTGGATGGTCAATGTCGTCGGACTCTCCATTACAGTCGTTGGTGCGTTCTCCATCATCTGCTCGATCCAGATCCACCTTGCATTCAGTTATCCGGAATACATTGCTTCGTTATTTGCGGCTAAGAACTTTGCATGGTCGGCTCTTGCTGCTGGGGCTGTGATGTTCTCGCGGCCTTTGTTTATCAATCTTGGTCTTGGGTGGGGGGTTAGTTTGCTTGCGTTTCTTAATGTGGGTTTTTGCTTTGTTCTCTACTGTATCTGGGTATGGAGCCCGAAGTTGCGTGCTCGCAGTCGATTTGCTGTATAATATGTGACAGCATGAAGAGAGGAGGCATAAAAAGAAGGAACAATCATGGCTCAGACATAAGATCTTGTAGGTTGGAGAAGGATCTCTGTTTTCTCTGTATTTTCATAGATCCTTTCTATCTGATTTGTACAGCACGACTTACGCTTCTCCGTATCCATATAGCCGTGAAAAAAGCTCTGTCTCCATTCGTTCTGCCGGTTGTGGTCCTTCCCGTATCTCTCCCATCATGTCCGTTCCAAGGGGAAAGTCATGCTCGAATGCCGGTTCACCAGCTCCGCGCATATTACAAAGTACAGCTTGTTCATAGTGCCAGCGTAACAGAGCATCAACAACACTTGTAGGGTTACCAGATTGCCGACAGGTAGGGTGCAGGACTTTCCCATGATGTTGCCATGCCGTCCGTGAGAATGCCTGCACCTTATACCCATCGTGTGGATTCACTGCAATGACATAGTTGTCCCAGAGCTGATGAATGTGGGATTGAAGTAGAATCCCATTCTGAGGGGAGTTTATCCCAGGTGGGTGATTGTGTGTTATCAGTTGAGAAAAACCATGGCTGATAAAAATCGGGTCGAGAGCAAGTGGGAATATGTGAGCGGCCTCGAAACCAAACCATTCATCATAGTCTGCATCATGGTTGATCTGGTGAGTGATGACACAACGGCCGTCTCGCTCTCGGACCTGGTCGCGGAAAGCAACATCTCTCCTTGTATCTGTCAGAGATAGAGTACGCTGGAAGAACCTCTCATTACACGTTTGCATTTGGTGTCCTGGTAGATGGGGGGTGAGGATATAGTAGCCGTATTCAATGAGCTGATTAGAGGCAATCAAAGGGGTGTTGGAGTCACGTAGTCGCGCGTAGAATCCACCAGGTGCAGAAAAGACGACATGAAGCATGTCGAGGAATTGAGTTGCTGTCAGGTTGCTTGGGGCACGTAGTCCCCCTTGGATATGACCAGGAGCTGACGAGAATTCAATCCACACATTACGACCTCTCGAGCGAGTTGATGGCATTGTAGACTTGAACTGCAATGCCATCAAACAAGGCTCCAGCGGACTCAGTTGGCACCGACTTGCCCAACAAGATTATCGCCCCGATACCAAACAAGCTATCCACTAGTATCTTTTGCGCCCATGGATATGGACAATCTTCTGAGACAGTTTCGGCCTGGTGTACAGGTCAATGCAACTGGCCCACCCTGCCACTCTGGTCGGCTTGTCGATGCACACTGATTACATTCGAGGCTTCGCGGGCCGTCAAGCTCTATGCCCTCATCGACAAAAAACACAGCACCACTTTATTCGACGCGTACACAGTTCGGCAGGACCAAGTGTTCTACTCTTCAGAATATAGAAGCTTTGCAACGACGGTGAACAATAGAAAGCGCAAATGGAATGACCTTGTCCTGGAGTCGTCAGTTGTTGAGTCCTCCCTCCATCAACACCTACCTGGTCTGTCGTGAGCATGGCCGGCTCCGCTCCCTTAATCAAGCCTGAAGAAAGTTTTTTTTTTTTTTTTTTTTTTTTTTTTTTCAATGAGATCAGATTGCTGATGGCGGCATACGGTATCACTAGTGTCTCGGCAACTCTGCCGCGTCTGAAGAGCTTTTTGGATGACTTCCTGCCACGGGAGTCGCCATTTTTCCCGCTTCTCGAGAAATTTCTGTCAAGCGCCTCTACACCCTCCGAGTTCACTGAGTCTGATACCGGATTGCTAGTTGTTCAAATACAGGAGGAGTGGGCTGTATCAAGGGGCTTTCTCCAAAGATTTGTCATGCAGTTGAAGGATGGCATGTGCAGCGCCAACCTTACAGTCCCTTACAAGTACGCTTATGGGTTTATTGGACTAGGATGCAAGAAAATTTCAACAGTCTTGGGATTATGCAGGACATGCAGGACATGACAAGTCTTGTAGTTGAGCTCTTGGACGATGTCCAAACCACAATGGGGCACCAGGAAGTGTCTCCTTTATCGAAGCCCAGCAAGACAAAAACAACTCATCTCATCGCCAATCGCCGGTTCTCTGCAGTGTGCCGGTCAGGAAGCCGAAAGAGCCGCTGGTGATTTTCCCAAAGCTTATGGCAATAACACTATACCCTTGCCTCCCGACCAAATGCTCGGGTATCTGCCTCATGTGCTCGAGGAGGGCGGGCTACAACTTCTCGTTCGGCCGATTTGGCATATCACTGTCATGACCATGGCTCTAAGACCCGTACTATAGCCACCGCCCCTTACTGTATTTACCCAAGCGCTGCAGCTGGCCGAAAAGCTTGACTCGAGTGACAAAAACATTTAATCTTTTCTGCATCCTTCGTTCTATGAAATATGAACCTACCTTGGAACGTAGTTTGTCATAGGCATCGGGTGAACACAAGAATATTTAGATTCGAGAGTTTTGACAGAAATAATAATTGACCTATGCCCTCCTCGTTCCAGTCGACGTATCATAAGTAGATTCCCAGAAAGTAATACAACGATTCAAAAGCCTGGTACAAGAGTTAAGACTTGGGGTCGAAAATATTTAAGATAAAAATCCTGGATCCCTGGAAGGACCAAGATGTTCTCATGATCAGGTAATCAGGGGACAGTAAAGGTTCTACACAATTTAAGAATTAAGGACACTATATATCTTATCTATTATCAATGGAACGAAAAGAAGAGCATACAATAGCAGGGATTCAACTATGGGATTAAGCTACCCTTTGAATCTGATATAAATATATGATAAAATTTGTCCAAGTACAGATTCATGCGTATGGATGACGCATAGTTGGGAATGCATCATGTGACACTATATCTCTGGGATATCTTATCCATCATGGGTTTTATTTAGATATTCACTATTCTACCTCATGATAAGCTTCTATTCACTTGTCAAAATGGATGAATACACACGAGAGATTCACCATGCAGGCCCTAAATTCACTGATATCGCTGCATTTTGCGCCTATATTGAGCAGAAAATCTCTCAATCCATAACTCCTCAAATACTCACTTTTACTGACATTAGCCCTGCGTGGGTAGATGATCTTTTGAACTCTTTACAGCGTAAAAGAATCAAATTGAGGTTCGGATACAACGAAATCACTCGAGTCTTCCAACTGAGAACGATGCCAACCCCTATCCACAACTGCGACCAACGCTGGTATCAGTCTGCTGCACTCAAATGGGTAATATCAGGTCTTATCACAGCTAATGAGCACAACCAGATCACTGGCGAGGGTAATACCTGTAAGTATCATCACTCTATTGATCGTGTGTGATAGCTAAGAGAAGGCTTAAAGTGGTCAGATTCACCTCTGGTCCGGATGTCGGTTTACACAAGATGCCCAACTTTATGGCCGCACAGCTGGGCACCGTGATGCCAACATTGGCCTTTGAATCAGGTTGGAGTGAGTCATTCGCAGATCTTCAAGATGACATGAATCGTTGGCTTGTCGGGGGTGCCGGCGAGGTTCAGGCGGTGATCATCACCAAATGGACAGAGATTGGCAATACCAAAGAAGTCACTGGCTCAATTGAGCTGTATACCTTGGCTAGAGATGGTACTCCCCGTTTATCCCAGAGGGAGGTATGTACTATGATTTCTGGCGTACTTGTTCGGTTGGCTGATTATAACCAGGAAGTCTTCCCTATTCCAGCAGGAACAGGGCCAGGAGCACAAAGGATTCGTCTGACCCGACGGATGCTCTTTGGCAAAGGACTGAGCCCTGGCCGCAATCCGCGTGATGTGTTTGGGCTGGATGTCGACAATCTTCGGGTGCATGCCAGGGAAAGTTTGGCCCGTATGAATCTAAGACCGGCAACGTGAGCGGAGGAAGATATGGATCTAGATTGCCTTCTAAATACGGTCTTGTCGGACTTTTCAGGTTCCAACAAATGGTGGACAATTGCCAAACGCTGTAACGCATGGCGAGCCCAGGGGGACTCGGGGGGGCAGCGCGACGCCGAGCATGATGGGAATGGGCCAGAGCCCTTGGAGGTCAAGGGGGATTCTGTAGCCCTATACGGTTGATCAAAACTCTTTTCAAACTAGACTTCTAGCATAGCTGTAAACAGTTAGCAGTAAGCTCAAATGCCGTATATCCTCTACACGAAGAGTCACCTTGTCATCATAAGGTCATCATTCCCAACACATCCTGTTCAACATTATCTCAACACCAAACAACTCACCCTCCTATACACCGAGGCAGTGGAGGAACGACTCCGTAATTATCAACACCTGAACACCGACGATGACACCGTCACGGTTCTGCAAGAAACCTTCAACTATCTGTCCGCTCAAGGCAGAATCAACGTCCTCGAGGATGTCAGACACTGCGAAAATGATCATCAGCTACGCCAGCTCGCGAAGAGGATCACATACAAGCTATTAATACCGATCAAAGTAGCTGGATGGCAATCGTCGCGGACATATGATATCGAAGAGTCGACTGAGATCGAGAATCAGAAGAGACTGCACGCACAATGTCTACAGAGAGATGGCCATATGTGTGTTGTTTCTGGATGTCTCGATTACGAACAGTGCAAGGCTCTACCACGGAATGCGAAGATAGCTGACTTGGAGGTTACACATATAATTCCACCCACACTGGGAATTTCTGCCTTCATCTGGTCGAATATCCATCGATACTTTCCCGGCGTGCAGTTCCAGCCCAACGAGAGGGTGGATAGGCTCGAGAACACCATGATGCCAGCGAATGAGCTACGTAGACAGTTTAGCAAATTCCGTTGGACACTAGAAACCACTGATTCCGTCCACGAATACACCATAAAGACTTTTCGTCTTTCTGCCAACATTGTATTGCCGGATGACCGAGACTCATGATAGTCGCGGCCCACTGCCAAATCCGGCTTTTCTGGAAGTGCATGCCTCCATTGCCAACATCCTCCATGCGACGGGATACGGGGACAAAGTGGAAGCGATTCTTAGTGGCAGTGATGATCTAAACGCGCTATTGGAACTGGTTACCTCCAATCATCCGTTCTGGCTGCATTAGTCCATGCTTGAAAGAAAGCATTATCATTCATAAATATTCATACATCATAAAACCCTTCCCTATTTATATTTATGAATCATCTTCGGCAACCTATCCGCAATCCCAATCGCATCAATCCGCCCAACTTCATGCTCATTCTTATAAAACACCGACATGGGAAAATCGGCAAGCCGGTACTTTCTGCTCATAATCTTTTTTACTGCATTGTCGCAGTCGACCGTGATGAAGAGCACGTTGTCGTGATAGTAGCATTCATCCAGTAGCTGCACCAGATCGCTCAGTAGAAGGGAGGGAGAGGAAATGTCGTCGGTGAAGCTGACGACGACGAGTTTTGGGCCTGCTTTCTGGACTCGGGCGGTGATGTCGTCCACGCTGGATGGTATTTGGTTAGTTGGTTTTGGAGTTTTGGAGTGTAGATGGGACGTACTCTTGGGTTGAGTGAAGCATTTTTTACGGATAGGTTGAGGAGTGGTGGTTGGATGTAAATGGTCGGAGGGGGAGTTGGCAGGGTTACATTCGGTCAGCGGTACTGTGTCTTTGGCAGATATTTATCCATATTTTCTCGAGTCGATCATTTTAATCAAATTATCATAATACGATGATACTATATAAGATGGAATGAAGCACTATCAAGCAGACGGAATCTCCTCTTTATCCGCCACATCCGCATTCGGTTTGTTGTGTCATATTCCACGCAATGAACTTACCACAAAACTAAGACACAGACAACTTAATATCATAAAACGTAATGCAATGCGTAAGTAGCAGACGAAATATCCATCATCAAATTCCATCTCCTACATATACTCATTCATAATATGCTCCAGCTCCCCACGATCCGGCCCGTAAAAATGCTTCACCGCATGGTTATTCTTCACCAGGATAAACGACGGCGAAGATCGCACCCTGTCCAGCTTGAAGATTGCGGCTCGACCGCCGAGTTCTAAGGCCAATCGCTCGATTTCGGGGACGAGTTGTAATGAGAAATAGACAGAAATCAATTTCCACGAAGATTAAAGAAAGTATATACTATCGCCACATTAAATACATACATCAAACACCGATATATCTACCACCCAAACGTATCCGTATGCAACTTGACCTCCGCCGCATGTCCCCGAATAACCTGCCGCTGAGCCCTGGCAACCGTATTGCTCAGCCCAATCTTCATACTCTCCGGCCCACATCCAATCACGATATTCCGCTCACTGCCCAGAAGCCCCGGGATGATTTGAGACAGCTGCGGACGCTGGTAGGTAATCTGGTCGATCCAGGAAGATTTTGCCAGGTCTGAACTACTGCCGTTATCTTCCGACACACCGATCTGGGCTTGCGGGTGGTCTTTGGATTTTTCGGTTATGTGTTGCTCGTCGTCGCTTGGTGCGGAGTCGGAAGTTATCCAGATCTGGATTGTGATTTTGTTACTCGGGTCGCGGGATTTGATCTCGTTGAGCTCGTGCGACATCCAGTGCAGGGAGGAGGTGTGTTTTACGATCCAGAGGAAATGCACCTTTTGGGTTATGCAGTTGGATGACATTCGGAGGGAGAGGTGTTCGAGCCACGGCAGGACTCCGGATATACCGCCTCCTCCGCCGACGAGGATGGCTGTTTCGTAGCGGGTTTCGACGCGAGGTCGGATGATGGTACCGTATGGTCCTTCGACGACGGTGGAGAATTCGCCTTCGAGGCCGGGGAGTTCAGATGACTGAGTCATGGAGGCCAGTCGAGCTGTGATGCCTGTTCGAGGACGGAGGAGGAATTTAAGTGTTGTTCCTTCTGGTTTCTCGGCGTCTGGGGAAGAAGACGGACAGCAATTTGCAATTGTAAACGGGTGATTCTCGAGTCCATTAAGAGTGGGAAATCGAAGGTAGACATGCTGGCCAGGCTCCCATTTCCAGGTTCCCTTGGGGACATGCACGTCTGCTCTGAGCATATTGTCTGGTACGCTGTACATGGTGGTCGGACAGCCTGATCGCCATTGCCGAGACATTGGGAAGGCTGTGCTTTTGGCAAAGATGCGTCCGATGTAGGATACCACCCACAAACCAAGAGTTACCCAGAGATAAATCCAGGAGTCCATCTCGTGGGCAGCATGCCAGAAGCAGAGGCCGACGAACGCAATAGCCAAGATGACGTGGAGATTCACAAACAGCTCATACATGCGTCGACGAATGGGGGGAACTGAGAAGACGGATAGTCCGAGAAGCATAAATATGGTAGGAGTGCCCGAGTACTGCACTTGTTAGCTGGGTCGGAGTCTCGAGAGAAAGGTGACCTACTTCACGGCTGCCGTTCTTATAAAACATAAAGTTGAGAAATGGATAGCCTCCGTCTTTGAGGAGCTGGTGGATAAACGGAGTAGCATGAATGATGCTCAAGCAAAACATGAGGTATCCAATTCCTCGATGGAAGCAGTTGAGCTTCTCATGGCCAACTCCAGTAAGCAGGGTAATGAGATTATACTAATATACAGTTAGTTAACATCGCAATAAAGAGCAAGTAGACAAACCTTTCCAGCCAGCACAATCTCCATCGGGATCAACGCAAACGCCATGCCTCCCGCACGAATAGCCAGCGGAGGCATTCCATACGCGATCTTCTCGCGATAATACGGCCGTTGAACGAATACCATCACCGCAGCCGCGAAGAAAAAGAACACAATCAAAGACAGAACCCCGAAAGACGGGAGACTGAGGGATTCAGCCAGCTTCCCGCTAAATCTTTTATAAGTGAATCTTCGAATCCAGCCGACAATCCAAGATCGCCATTGCGATGGCTTTGAGCGACCCCAGCCCAGTCGATCCCGGCACTGGTGGAATCCAAAGGCGCCGATGAACAGCACAAGGATGATGGCGTAAAACCACGTCACATAATGACCGTAGTTGAACTGCGATACTCGACTGATCTCAGCCTCTGTCTTGTCGACTGCGGCTTGAAAGGCAGCGCAGCTTGCGTTGGAGCATCTTGAGTCTGACAGTGGCAGCTGGACGAACCAGTCTGCCACGCCAGACGAGCTGCTCGAAGACATGTTCCTGTATTTCTTTCGTATTCCTTTGCCACTGTAGAATAATTTGTCACTGGTAAAGTTTTTCCTTGCCAGGTACCTCGGCGGTCTTGTCTCACTTGGCGGTTGATATTATATACAGCAAAGGGGTGGCTGGCGTAGTCCATGTCGTAGTCCTTTTGCGGTTGCAAAAAATCCCCTCAAACCCTCTCACAATGACAGGTCCATTTTAAAGCCAAACCCTCCTGATAGTGCTGTCAGAAACAGGTTTGCTTCGAGGTACTGCCCTCAAAGAGTGCGGAATTCACCGGTTCCTTTGATATACACGGTTGCAGTCTGGAGCTTGCCTACGCGTGAGCGAAAACAGATCCACTTTTCATGTTAGCGTCAGTAACTGCCAGTAACCTGTCTAGGAACAGATGTTCTGGTGGTTCAATGGGTGGCTGGAGACTTCATTTGTTGTGGTGGTGCATTGGATCGCCGAAAGCGGAAATGCTTCATGATAGCCGACGGACATCGCCGTTCTCGTCTGTTCAGGACAGCCAAGTCTATGATGGTCACATTAAACATGACTAGGCCTGAATTTGGATGATTTAATGGATTAGGTCAACGATGTTGAGGACTTGATAAAATGGCTGTCTCGAGCAACGATCTTCATGATAAGCCTGGCAATCACAAAGAGACGACGCTTTTCTCAGTCACTGCATCATACACCAGGCCGAGTGATCTCAGACCTAAATAGAATACTTGCTTGTTGAATGGATTCTAGTATCATCTTCAGAACAGACGATTCTAATTCCAGCGTCTATTGCAGACCCACCGCAGACCCCTTTCGCAATTCCTTGTCGAACGATGCAACTCTGGAGTAGATATATTCAAAAAAGAATCTATTTCAGAGATTTTCTTCTCTTCCACAAGATGTGAAAGACAATGTTGAACTGTCAATCCTGGGTAGTAACTGGGTAAGGCGATTAATTGCCGATCTGTCATGCTGACATGGATCTTAGCGATCTATGTCCGAATCACAAGTGCAGCTCAAGATCCACCACACAATCCGTCGAAATGTGCCTGTGAAGTATTCTCGTAGCTCGAATAGCATCAAATGGACCCAAAATACTGGTTGCAATCATTAGCGATACTAAATTATTCGTCGATTCAGTAAAATGGCAGTATATAATGGCCATGTGTTGCTGACCGGGGCAAATGGCTTCATAGCGTCCCAAATTCTGTCCATCTTACTCGATGTATGGACAATCCCTCTTGAGCTTGCGAATGACTGACTGAAAAATAGTAGCGTGGATTTGCCGTCACGGCCACCGTCCGATCCATTGAGAAAGCAGATGCTATCGTCAAAACCCATCCTTCATGGGAAGGAAAGGTGGATTTTGTAGAGGTGGCTGACTTGGCATCTGCAGCGTCATTTGATAGCATTTTTGTCAATGCAAAGGTCCCGTTCGAATATGTTATCCATACTGCATGCCCAGTCGCAGTTGATCCAGACAATATTCAAAAGGGCATGATTGAGCCTGCAGTGATGGGGTATATCTCTCTATCATGAGCACTATTCTTCATAGCTGACAATGCAGCACAACGGCGATTCTCGAAAGTGCTCATCATCATGGCAAAGCCCTCAAGCGATTCATCCTGCTGAGCAGCGTGACAGCTGTATTCAATCCGTTTCAGGATATGACCCAGAAAGGACGGCCATATACAGAGAAAGATTGGAACCCAGTATGAGAACCGTCAACAAAAAGATAACCATGTGGCTGATAAATCAGGCTACCGCCCAAGATGCCACCGAGGCAAAGGATCCAATGCTTGGATACTATGTGTCAAAAGCCCAAGGAGAAGCCGCTGCATGGGAGTTCATCCGGGCCAACTCTCCATCGTTTGACCTTGTTGCCATCAACCCGGATCTCACAACGGGGCCAATGCTTCATCCCCTTTCCGGCGCGGAGTCCATCAATGGATCGAATTATTTGCTCGTCGCTGCTTTCCTGAACGGTACTTATTCGGACATCGGGGCTACTAGATTCCCCCTGTACCACTTTGTAAGTTCTGCGATACTCTCTAACTGCCAAATCGCTGATCCATCATCCAGGTCGATGTCCGTGACGTAGCCAGAAGCCACGTTGACGCCTTAACCAACCCTGCTGCAGGAGGTCAGCGGATTCTTCTCACTAACAGCCTTGTCACGCCGCAGCTGGTTGCGAATATAACCCGGAAGAACTTCCCTGATCTGAGGGATCGAGTGGCGGAAGGAAACCCTACTCAGATCCTACCAGATGGCGTCCATCCGACAAGGTGGGACGCGCGTGCGAGTCTGGACATTCTGGCCAAAGGGACAAAAGAGAAGGAATGGAGATATATTGATTTGGAGGCAAGTGTTGTCGATACAGTCAGGTCGATGACTGAGAACAACCTCATCTAAGACGAGGTGGATGTTTTCGATAAGTTATCTCTCTCGAAGAATCCGCATTAATATGTGCATAATTACTCATCGTCTATGCATAAGTAATGCACTCGGGAGACCCCGAGATAGTCGCTCCACTTTTTGTCGATCCAGAAATCCCACTTCTTCAGCATCAGGAACGCGTTCTTTATTTGGACTCCATCCTCGACATTTTCGTCTTTATTTTTGTTTTCTTCGCGGATACTCTTCTAACAATAGCATTTGCCCCGGCAAACAGATCATCATGGTCGGTTTCAGTCCCAGCCGTCTCACATGCCCTACGGTATGCGGAATCAACATCTCCGCAAACGTCATCCTGCGAACGTCCATCCTTGAGCCGTGCTCATTGCAGCGGCTTTTATATCCCCAGGATTAAAGAACAATCTCATTTCATCTCCTTTACCTCTCCTTGCTGTTGAACAAGGGTTCTGGGCGTTTTCGATCAGGGTTCGGTCACACCGTCGACAAACATTCTTCTGTTTCTCTTCCTCCTGAGACTTGGGCGCCCTGCAATAATTTCACCCTCGCATTCCTCTGGGAGCAGTGTGGCTATGAACAAAAAGGATTGGCCCAGAATGATCTCGTCCGTTCGATCTTAAGCTTCTGCCGGGCTTCTTTTTTCTTTCTTTTTCTTCCCCAGAATATCGCCTGTCGATTACTGTGTTGCTGGCTTCCACCATGTGTATGTTCCCCCTTCTCCATATGATCTCGATGAAGGGAGTAAAATGGTGTCATGGAATGTCATAATACGTGACGGGAATTCAAAGAATGTTCTATTTTATTTTATCTTTGACCACGAGCTGATCCCCGTTCTTCTACAGCTGCCGAATCGCTCACCACGGCCGCCGCGGTCTTTACCGGCCCGGGGATCGCAACGAATTCAACGCCGGCCGTAAATGTACGTCGTGATTTACCTCAATGTGATCTTGAAGAAGCTTATAAGATCTCCGATCTTACAGGGCAGCGTCGGCTTTCATTTCGTCCTCGATGGCACCGTTCAAACACTTTCCACTCACAACTCTCCTGATGATGGCCCGATCAAAGGACTACTTTTCGTCCCCAGCCTCGATACCCAGGATCCGTGCCACGATATCACCGGCTCATTAATACCTTCAAATGTTACCGGCTACGAAGATGTATCTACGCTCGGATACCGTACGATCGGCCTGGCCCCATGGGTATCTCTTGAATGTACAAAATCGTTTCTCAGCGCCTCGCGAAAGGCCGAGATCGATGCGCTTGTCTTTTATCAGCCTTATACCAATAATACGGGAAAACCTCCACCATCAGACGATATAACTTGGAACCTGGGCGATAATAGTGAATGGAAAAATCAGAATGAATATCCTGTATATGCAATTTCTGGGCCTGCCGGGGCTACGTTGATGCATCAGCTATCGTTATATTCGAGCAACATGACCCAATCACGAGAAAAGTCCACATACCAGGGTGACATTAGACTTTTCACCCTGATTGATCTAGGTGAGATAGCGTCCTTTTCCATTTCCAAACCACCCAGCAAGCTGATGTGATTACGACAGAACAAGATGGCAATAAAATACCTAGCCTTTGGGGCTTCATCCTCGCCATTCTCGGAACAATTTTGGTTCTCAGTCTAATCCTCCTAGTCTGCTACCAGCTCGTTCAGAAGAGACGCCGGGATAACCTCCAACGTCGCATCGAGGCCGGAGAAACGGACATTGAGTTCCTAGGACTGAATCAAGTAAAGGTCCCCCAGGAAATCTTGGACCAAATCCCCGTCTACACATATCCCGATTTGAACGCCCCCGCAAAAGCTGTACTACCCGACGAGACCAGGTCCATCACAGCCGGACGAATCTCCGGCGAACACACTTCACTCCGGTCCGCCACCAGCGAAAACAAGAAGAATGTCCAGACCGATTCATACGAGCTCAAAACACTAGATACAGCAATCACAAGATCCGATCCCGAAATTAACAACAACAATGATAATAATAGTAACGATTCCGATTCAGCTCCCGTCCATGGACAGGAGACTTTCCGACTAAGTAACTCACAAACAACCTGTGCAATCTGTCTGGACGATTTCGAACCTAGGCTCTCGATTGTCCGGGAACTTCCATGCGCTCACATCTTTCATGCAGAGTGCATTGATACCTTCCTTACACAGAGCAGCAGTCTCTGTCCATTATGCAAGAAGAGTGTCCTGCCGCCAGGTTGCTATCCTAGACCCATTACTAATCTTATGGTTCATCGCGACCATATGTTGAGAAGGTCACGGTGACTTGAGTTTTCGTATTGATGGTGATTTACTGTAAGTTGCTTGTTTTGTGGATATGTGAGTTAGCTACCTTACCTATGGGTGTATTTGGAGTCTTGTCCTTTTGGCGTGTGTTTGGTGTTTTTCGCCTATGATACCCCCCTTGGTGATTATGGTTTATATATACAGAGTAAATTAATATAATGATATTTCCAAGTCTTTAACTAAATCAGGCAGCACACTCTAACAACTACTTAACTACAAGACCAATTTTGGTTCCAATACTTGTTGGGATTGTCCGTTCGACTAAAAGAGTGATAACCATGATTAATCTTCATGGAACTAATCTTTCAAAAATTATCATGTCACTTTCATTCAGTTTCTAGGAGGCCGGTCTAATGCCGTAAAGGAGTAACCACAACCTCGGTACTATAGACCTTCACAAATCCACCAATCAAGCCGCATCGAAATGAGAATATGTACTGGAGGTAGCAACCTTCAAACTAAGGTCCGTGATACTCTTCGTCGTCAGATCTGACAGCGACACACTCGCTCCAAGTTCCTTTCCTAACCAAGTCCTAAACTCCATCTCGATCAACGAGTCGACACCATTGTGCCGGATAGACTTTTCCTGATCAAGCTGGTCCTCCTGAATATTCAGGAGAGAAGTCAACTTCCTCTGGATTCCAGTCAAGACAATATTCGCTCCCTCCTCCTTGCTCCTAGCGGCGGCTAGCAGTCCTGGGACGTTGTATATCGGTCCGCTATCTTCTGAGTGTGCTCCTCCTGAGGCTGCAGTTCCCTGTAGATGCATAAACATCGGATATTCAAGATGTCTCGGTGGAGGAATCCGTCGCTTCTGATATGCCGATTGGGTGGCGAGCCCGCAGACGAGCTGACATGTTGTTTCAGTCAGGGCCTGTCGGGGATCAACCAAGTACTCGATGATAGCTAACATTTCGTGCTCGCGATGGTGGTTTGCTATCTTCATACTGTGTCGCACAAACTCCTTGTTCTCGGCCATGAAACCAACAGAAAGTACTGCACCGAGATCTGCACTGGTTGCTCGTTGGCCCTGGGAGACCCGGTATCGTGCCAGTGCATCTTCGAATGTGTTGCCAGCGTTGTAGTTGGCCTGACTGCGGTTTCCTACCACACCCGCCACGGAGGCAAGCATGACAAAGAAGTCCAATTCCTTTGGAAGGACTTCGTGGAGATTGAGGGATCCGTTCATCTTGGGTTTTAATGACTTTTGCCATGACTCGTGGGACATGGTCTCGAATCCACCATCGGCCCATGCGACCGAACAATTGATGCACCCCTTTATAGGGGGGAGAGTTTCCTCGCACTCTGTTATGACCTCTCGCAGGCGATCGGGGTCGGTGATATCGCATTGGATAACATACGCTTGACATCCTTTTTTCCCAAGCTGCCGAGTCATCTTCAACGCAGCCTCAGAAATGGTCCGACAGAGAAGGATCAAATGTTTCGCACCTCTGGATGCCATCCATTGGGCGATGCTGCGCGCAATACCTCCAAGCCCACCTGCGAGAACATATGACGCATTGCTGTCGAATGTGTACCGTGTTGCCAGAGCGGGAACCACGGGAACTGGCTCTTCACCAGGTACAAAAACCAGTTTTCCGAAGGTAGTTCCTGCCTGTAGCATGCGGAGGCCCTTTTCCAGATCACCATAAGGCAGCACAGTGGTCGGTCGTGCTTCATGAATTTTCCCATGGGCCCAGAGGCGAATCATCTCGTCCAGGAGCTTTTGGATCACCGAAGGTCGTAGTTGCGCCACAGTAAGAAGGTCCACGCCAGCCATTGTCGCGTTCTTGAGGAAAGGGGTCATGTCGAGTTTTCCCCCTGACTGGATGTCTCGCTTTCCAAGCTCAATAAAACGACCGAATGCACCGATACAAGCCCAGGACTGTTGGAGGGCTTCTCCAGAAAGGGAGTTCAAGATTACGTCCATACCTGTGTCTTCGGTCATTCTCATGACTCCCTTCGCAAACGTCAAGTCACGACTGGAGAAGATGTGATCTTCAGCAAGGCCATACTCCTGGATCAGGAAATCTCGTTTCTCAATGGAGGATACAGTGGCAAAGATCTCAGCGCCAATAGCCTGTGCATATTGGATTGCTGCTTGACCAACTCCTCCGGCAGCAGCGTGGATTAGAACCTTTTCCCTTGCCATCAATCTTCCGATATTGTTGAGGGCATAGATGACAGTGGTATAAATCACAGGCAAGCCGGCTGCAATTTCCAAACTTAGCTCCAAATGATCAGGAATTCTCACGACCAGTGCCTGGTTTGCGCGTCCATAAGTCCGGAAAGTCCCAACTCGTGCTGGATCAGCAAAGTATGCGACCCGGTCTCCAATGTTGAATCTTGTTACCTTTGATCCTATACTGGAGACGATACCAGCCGCCTCCCCGCCAATTGTGGTCTGTGGTAGCTCGCCCATGGCAGTGAGAAGATCTCTAAAGTTGAGTCCAACAGCCTTTACATCGATTTCCACTTCGAATTCACCCAAATCCTGTACATAGTCTGGATCAGTTGACCACTGAAGCTTGTCCAAGACTCCAGGCTGGCTGTTCTGGATCATGACCGGACGGTCAATACTGCTCCACGGTACCAACTGTGCAGGAGGTGTAGAAAATTGCGCGGTAATCGCATCGGTGGCATCGCTGTTTTCAACTATCCGATTGGTATGAATCAACCCGTCTCGCAATTGGTACTCGGAGTTTCTGTGGGAACTCATTTCACCAACGAATTGATGACGTGTGATTTTCAGTATCGATTGAATCAGGTCCTCTGTCGAAGTGGCACCCAGGTTAGCCGCCAGTGTGGTAAGATTGAGCTCGTTTGAGTCCCGCTCCCATCTGATTGTGCGGATAAGTCCAGTCGCTATGTTGAATCCTGGATCTTTCGCTGGATCTCCTGTCACCCACAGTAGCCTAGCGCATGTCGTAAGCATGTGCCTGATGTTCAGAAACATGTCTTCCGTAATTTTGCCGAGCATGGGAGCCTCAACTTCCAGCAGAGAGATGCACACTGCCTGCGACAGGTCCATTGTCGGTAAGTCAACTGGGAAGATTAACGAACATTTAATACCCCCTAATGCTTCTTCCAGTTGATTCTTCAAGACCTGGGCCAGAGCTACAGGTTTATCCAGATACTGACAGACAATAACAAATTCTTGACTGTTGTTATCGGGGATTGTTTGCACTGCTGTCGAAGCCATGATGCTGATCTTTGTGAACTCTGGATATTGTGAACTTGGCATATCGATATCAATACCAGAAAAGCCAGAACGACGAAGAAAGCCATCCCATTCTTGCGTAGAGACATATGGACACCAGCGGCGAACTGGCTCTTTGCCTAACCACCAGCCTGGAAGGCCACTGAAAGAAACATTACTCCAAAGTGTATCCTGCCGCACTCCTTCAAGGAATAATAGCTTTCCACCAGGCTTAAGTAGTGAACGAACGTTTTGAAGAGTCTGGTGTATATCAGGCGTAGCATGCAAGACATTGCTAGCGAAAACCATGTCGTATGATCCCGGCTGGAACCCTTGACTTTCTGGATCGCCTCCTGCGTCTAGCTTTTGGAAATCCAAAATATCACCCCAAGCACTGAGTCTATCTTTGGCCTTTTCAAAGAATCGTGGCGAGATGTCCGTGAAGGCATAAGACGCAATCTTGTCACCGCTTACCTCGCTCTGGTTAACCGCGGTGCTTTCAGACCTAGGGCACAAGGAGTCCAGCAGCCGTTTTGTAAATCCTCCAGTGCCCGCACCTACCTCCAAAACTTTGAGACCCGATGAGTTGTATCTCAGAAGTGAAAGGTAACAGTCAAGGGTCGTGGGGATAGGTCCCATCAGTACATCATCGTCATAGTAGCGCGTCATGAGATCATCCTGGCCAAACATCAGGAAAAGAGGGTCTGCCAGGTTTTTGAAAATTGACGCAATTTGAGATCCCATTCGAAGCAGCACAGCGCCATTAGTATCGTATGATTCTACCTCTTTGTATAGATCTTGCTTGAGCTGTTCGTTTTGTGAATACTTCTGCCAATCATTGAAGGTAACATGCGGGATGCATCCCGTCATGATATCCGCAGTGACATGTTTTAGCAAGTCGTAGAACCTTTGGTAGTGGGTTTCCAATGAAGCAACAGAGATACCCTGGATCTCTACCAGTGCATCGGTTACCAAGAGTGCCGCAGCGAGTTGCAGTCGACTGAACCACCGTTTCTCTGCTTCGTAATTCCCCGCATTGGGGTCGAACGGGACCAATGTCCTGAAGCTGGATGTGTCGAGAAAATGGACATCCGGTTTCCAGTCTATTGAGTAGCAAAGCTGACCACTTCCATTCCCTGGTGTGCTTTCTGACTGGAAAGGGGTCAGTCTGACCCCTTGAATGGCAATGTTTGGCGCATTTCCATTCTTCCCCCAGACCTGAGCATCAACGTTGTAAATATCAAATGTCGACAGGGAAGCCTTTCCAGCGCAGCGGAAACTAGATTCAGAGCCGGTTTCGGCGGAGACCCATGCACTTTTGATGAAGTTTGGTACGAGACCTCGCTTCAACATTGATTGGCCGGTAAAGCCACAGACGGAAGCCATACCTGCCTGGAAAACACTGTCTAATGTGGCAGGATGAATAAGATGCGAATGTATATACTGTTTTGGCATTTTGGACCTGATATCTGGAACAGTTATTGTGGCCAGGGCGCTTCCTCCTTTCTGGCCAGTCGTGGTCACTGCGGATAAGTTTCTGAAGAGAGGACCGAATTCAATTCCAAGGTGCTCCAAGTCATCATAGACTTTGCTGAAGTCCAGAGGGGATTTACAGGCGCTTGTGGCTTCATGAAATGCCTTTTCCCACTTTTCTTTCTCCAATGTCTCTTCACGCCCATTGTCGACAGGATTAGGGTGGCTTGCCATATCGACAGCGATATAGCCCGTGCAATTTTCGACCCACTCGTCATTATCAACATCATATGAGTTGATCTGGAATTTATTCCATACATTTGAGGTGCTGATATTGGTGTCATCCATAGGGCAAAGTGAGAGGCTGGTCTCAACTCCGTCTTGGGTCTCGGGGACGATCAACATTGCCTTGAGCGCAATGTCGCGTAAACGAAAGCCTGTCACGGTATTATCTTGCACCAGCTGCCGGGATGCCTCGATGGCCATAACCATGAATCCAGCGCCGGGGAAGACGATATTACCTGCAATCTAAAAGATAGAGTTTAGCGCTTGATCTGAGAATAAGATACTTAGAGAGAGGACTTACAACATGGTCCTTGAGCCATGGATTCTCCGAGGTACGCAGAAAATGGCGCCATTTAGGATTCTGGGGATTCCAGTCCTGAACTGGTGCGCCAAATAGGTCATGTCGTGGATGTTCTCTGAACCGTGCATTCTTGCTGAGTCGACTCTCGAAGATGCCAGCTTCCTCGTGATTAAAAGGGTAGGGAGGCAGGCTGACCAGCATCTGTGGCCTCAGACTCCTAGGCGGCTCCGCAGCCTCATTGGCTTCAAAAATGTTGACTGGCACGCCTTTGGCCGCGAGAGCTCCCACCGACTCGAGCAGGGTGTTAGGGCCAGGGTCTTGACGGACGAGTGTTGGCAGGTACGAGATTGAAGGGTCTGCTCCAATTGTTTCCTTAATAGCACTCTGGAGTGCGCCATGGGGGCCAATCTCGACGATTTGCTGCACGGCAGGAGCACCTCCCTCAAGGCACATGGACAGCAGGACAGAGGTGAACTTGACAGTCGAAACCAGATTGTGGACCCAATACCAACCATCCAGAGATGATTCCAGCACTTCTTCGCCCCTCGAAGAGGAGAACATCCGGACCGAATCTATCCCTGCGAAGGACTCACGGTAGATGGGTGCAGAAAGGGCTTTCAGATAATCCTGTGCACTTCCCTGCATGTGGGCTGAGTGATACGCTCTCCCAGTCCGCAGCTTACGTGCAAAAATATTGTCCGCATCCAGCAGCTCTTTTAGTGCGTCGACCATTACCTCATCTCCGGAAACCGTGTTGTTCTTGGGACTATTGAAGCAGGCGATGATAAGCTCGCCGGTATACTCACTGTGAACTTTATCCAAATATGGCTGAAGCTTGGTTGCCTCTAATCCCACGGCCAGCATTGCACCTTTGACTTTAGTTGGCATGACTGCTGCCACGGAGCCACGATAATATGCGTCTGTCCACGCAGCTTCGCGTGATATCTTTCCAGCGCAGTACGCAGCAGCGATTTCACCAGATGAATGACCAATGACACGCGACGGGGAGATGTTCCAACTTGCCAACAACTGGACCAACGCTACCTGAATAGCAGTTAAGCAAGGGTGAGAGAGGACTGGCTCGTCAATTCTGGAGTCGCTCTTTTGTTTGGAAATCTCGTCTAACAGTCGTCAATAAATATCATTCTTGTTACTGAAGGCTTTCATCCCACTTACCAATCAAAGACCATGGACTACCTAATTGTTTAATAAACTCGGAGGCATCCTCTAGGGACTTCCTGAACACAGGATACCCCAACAATTGATGTCCCATTTGACTATACTGCGCTCCTTGCCCCGTAAAAACGAATCCAATTTTCGGGGCTACGCGAACGTTGCTTGCTTTCGAAAGGACCATTCCAGAGGATAATTTTCTTTGTAGGTCATCAATGGAAGTTGCTAGTATGCAGTTATTCCAGCGGAATCTAGACCGTTTCTCCGACAGAGTATAGGCAAGATCACGATACATGTTGCTAGAAAGTTTGCCAGACCAGCTTTCTTGCCGTTGCAGGTAAGAGTTGATCCCTGTAGCCAGTCTTTTCAATCCGTTTTGATCAAAAGCAGACAATAAAAAGATTTTTGGGGCAGGTTTTTCCGCTGTAGTACCGTTCACTAAGGAGCCATTAGCATGACATTCTGGCTGTGCTGCGCCAAGTTCCCCCTCTTCCATCGCCTGATAACGCTTAATAGTCTTCGTGACGATTTGATCAACTTCTTCAGGTGTTGGAGCTGATTGCCGAGAATTATGGAATCCAACGAGGCCCCTTTCTTCTAGGTAATGATAGGCGTCGTCAAGGATGCAATGGGCATTCGTGCCACTCAATCCGAAGCAACTGACGGAAGCACGGCGTGCACCGTCAGGCACAGGCCAGGGCAGGCATTTGGTTGGAAAGCGAAGGTTCCATTTCTCCATCTCAATCTTGGGGTTGACATTTTCAAAATTCACGTTAGGAGGAATGATGGCAGATTCTAACATGAGAATCGCTTTGATGATTGCCGCCACTCCAGAGCCTCCTTCCAGATGCCCAATTCCTGATTTTACAGCCCCAATGTACATGGGCATATCTCGATTCTCACATTGAAAAGCTCTGGCTATGGATCTAGCCTCGATCGGATCACCAGCGGGTGTTCCTGTCCCATGAGCTTCGGAAAACAGTGTATCCTTTGGATCGAGTCCCGCACTTGCATAGGCACTGCGGATCAATCGCACCTGTGCATCACCACTGGGATAGGTCATCCCAGGGGTCCGTCCATCTTGGTTGAGGGATGTGGCACGGATTACGGCCCGGATAGTATCCCCATCTTTCAGGGCGGATACCAAGGGCTTGAGGATGACCGTTGCGACACCCTCGCCACGTGCGTAGCCATCACCTCTGTTATCAAAGGTAAAACATTTGCCTTCTGCACCCAGGAAGCCAGAATAACTCATGCCAAGAATATGAGGCAGATAGCTAATGGCGTTGACCCCACTAACGATTGCCTGAAGGTGTGTCAGTAACGATATAGTGCTAAACGAAAAGGATGGCAATTACAGTTTCGCTATCTCCAGACTTGAGACTCTGACAGGCAAGGTGAAAAGCAACCATGCTACTCGAACACGCCGTATCTACTGTCATACTCGGTCCCCTAAAATCGTAGAACCAACTGACTCGTCCTGATATCATCGAATTCTCCGACCCTGTTGACCGGTGCTTCATCGAAGTCTCTAAGTCGCTATTCATTCGATTCGAGTGATCGTGGTTGAACCCACTGGCAAACATCGATGCATTTGAAGATATTGCCTTCTCCATTGGAATTCCGGCTGCCGTCAAAATCAGTCATCTCCTCAGATCCACGTCGACATATGCCCGTGTCATTCTCACCATTTTCAAGCGCATGGTAAACATTCTCCATAACGAGCCGTTGCTGGGGGTCCAGACTCAAGATCTCTGTCTTATTGATATTGAAGAAAGCTGCATCGAAAGCGTTGGGGTTCTCCTGCAGAAAATGGGCACCTTTTGCATGGACCTGATGAGAACCTCGGTCAGTACAATACAGAAGCCTTAGAACAGAAGCTGGACAGTACGAACCGTGCCGCCATGGTCTGGATCGGGGTGATAAAACGCATTTTGGTTGAGTCTATCAGGAGGAAAAGAAGTGGTGGACTGTCGAGCTCTGAGGAGGAATTCCCAGAACGCCTCTGGGGTGGTCGCTTCTTGCGAGAAGCGCGCGGCCAGACCAATAACCGCCAAGGGCATCGAGACATCCGCGTCTGCCGGCTGCTCAACAACACGACCGATCATGATGGTATTTACAGGTACAGTAGAATGATAATATTCACAAGAATGATTGCAGAAGCTGACTCGAGAGGGCTTTGCTCCGTTTATATAGACTCCATGGACTTCATCTCTTCTCGAGCACGACAGGATTATTGCATGGCCACGTCAAGGTTATTCCATAAACACCACAGTCAGCGTGCGTGCAATTTGATTTGCTCCAACTACCACCAGATAAAGCCAATTATCAAAATATTCACGACGAATTGAGCTTCCGATGTTGTGGAACGATATGGTCCATGATGCTCGTCCATCCCTTGCCTTCACGACAGCACACGAGGACCATTCTGCAGCACCAAAGGGCATGCATATTCGGCATCATGCAACACGTGTTGATTCTCAATTTATCAAACTCGGTCTGTTTCTCGGTATGAACAAACGGATTTGTTCCATTTGATCGGTTCTTGCAATCATCTACAGTCTTTGGCAGGTATGGCACGGAGTACACCGCAAGTCAACCTACATCCTGCACCAGGACTCATCATCATACCAAATGCAATATTCAGAGCCTGCTTACTTAGAATGCAATAGAATCAGATTGCCAAAAGCATCGTAAATTTCTTTTGCGTCGTCTAGCGGTGTGTCAAAAGGCCTTATCTTCCCTTCAGCGCCAAACATCGCATTATAGCAACACTCGATACTCTTTTTTTTAAAATCACCAGTACCACGTACCCATATAATGCACGGTTGCTTGATGTACGATGGCAGCTATTTTTGTTGAATATTCAACCCCCACATATTGAGCCGGTAGTTGATGACAGCCAGTTAGGTAGTCTCCTCGCATACACCCTTACGTTACGCTCCATCTTCAAGGTCAATTCCCAGCACCTCGTTGGATATTCAGCTTCCTTTCACACGCTGTCCCTGGCCGTGCGTTGTCCTTGTTCCATTTTCCACATTTCCTAGGTCTTCGTTTTAATGATTTGAGCATCCAACCGAATCATAAGAACACCGTCACCATCCCGCAACGAGAGACGGCCTTTATGCAGTCGAGAACCATGCTAATAAAGTTTCTAGTTTCTTTTTCAAGGTCTAAAAAGCTGATCAAGTGATGCCGAGCTTGCTGTTGCTTTCCATCAAGGTCCAGGCGGCCATGATGCCACCATGCCGAGAAATCTGGCCTGGAGTCTGTCCTGTGCAATGACATGCAATTTATTTTTTTTAATCATACATGCCTACCAGGCGAAGAGGATAGTTGGTATCCATCCCCGGAAATTATGATATTGAAACGACCAGCTCGAGAGCCAAGAGTCCGTACCACTTGTGACACATCTCAGACAATCCTTTGTTCTAATCGCACAGTTTATCTCCGGGGTTTCTGCGCGACAAGAAGCAAAAAAAAGAAAAGAAAAGAAGCCCCCTTTCAAAACTGAACGGGTAGTATACTTGGTGGCAAACGATCTATTTGACTAGATGGCGGTCTCACCAACCCGGGCTCGACAGACAACCCCAATTCGTGATCTATACGGCGTATACTACTTCCCAGCCTTCGCGATAAACGTTATTGCATTGGTTTGACATTCTCTATCTAGACTTGCACTACAAAGTACTGCCTTCGATCACTTCTATCACAGCCTGGACGGTCAGTGAGCCACAAGACATTGCCACTTCAAGCGGCGGTCAAAATGCAATATGCAGGTTTCGACGATCAGATTGCTCAAGCGAATAGAAATACCATCTAAGCTTCATTCAAATACTGCTGTATTGGATCGGGGTCTATTCAGCTATAACTTTACCTGGCGTAGCCTTTGGGTATCACTTCGGCTACAGTCGATCTGGACAACCTCTTCCAGTTCGAGTCCGCACAACGTGGAAATTGATTTCCACTGCCGCCATCTGCAGGCGCATTATCGTTGTCTTAAGTAGCAGTCATCAAGCGCTGGTTGCCAGCTCTACACCCAACTCCATCTTTGTTCAAATATGTTTGGTTTCCAGGCCATCTCACCTCGATCACCACAATCAAACAGGCATTCAAGCTCTCCGCACAAAATATCGACATATCAGGGTGCACAGTCAAATTTCCCGACAGCCAAGATGAGATTGAGCAAGTCGCCAATCTAATGGCGGAGACCTTTTCCGAACACGAACCCATATGGAATGCCTTGTTGACATTCAACTCTGGCCTTACCAGAGAGACCTTCAATGAATTCTGCCGCCTTTTCTCGACCGCAACAGTCGCAGCCGGTTGAAAGCAAGTGATGGCTTATCGCTAGGCTCCGTCATGGGCGCGGCCTCGGAGAATGTCTACCCTACGCCTCCACCCAGGGATGGAATCCTTTTACGATTCTCTAGACCATCTCAAGGCCGCATCACCAATGAAAAATGAACTGTCCTTGAAGTAAAAATTGCAGCGATTCGGAAGGGGTTGCATTATCATACTTCAGGTGACTTGCTTCATGTCTTGCTTAGAAGACACATCAGCAGAGCTATGAGGAAAGCATCATCCTCGCGACAAGTCGATCCCAGATCTCCTCCAGTCTTTTGGTTAATGTTGGGGAAGATCGAGTTGTATTTCGAGTCGCTGAATTTTCTTTCTAAGACGGATTGCCAAATGCGATCTAAACTCTGACAAACAAACAGAGTGTGTTCATATTCTTGCCAGAATGATAATGCGTAATGTGTATACACCTTCAAAAGCCATTCGCGATCGGGCGCTCGGATAGAGAAAATCTGCAGAAGTCCATCGGACTATAAGCTATTCTTCTATCGGCAAGTCTGTTGCAGATCGATCGACGTATGTATATCCCGATATGAACAAAAAGGAGTTACAAGATATTGAAAGGCTGCATTGATTGGTCCATATATATATCATATATCAAGTGGACGGGTCTGTCTCATGGCTAGATGAGCTGGGCTGAGATGGATACATAGTAATCTACTCCATAGAGGATCCAGTGCAAAGTGAACTAGCAATTAGCACTATAGAAGTATTTTTTCCTGTTTAATATAACAGCTTTCATCTCTTTTTTCCATCTCATTCATATTTTCATTGTTGATCTCGCTTATAGCTCACGAGTGTAGATCCTCTAAACACACAACCCTATTGAATATCTCCACCAGAGCATCAGCCAACAAAGAGCTCTCGATCCATCCCTAACCTCGGCCCTAAGACCCTCACCCGGCGCTAGCTCTACCGTGGAATTAGCGAAGACCGCCGTGTCCAGAACATTTTATTTTCTTTCCTTTGATTTTCTCCCTCGCTGAGTAGATTTCAAATATGAACACACTAAATACTGCACAAGCCTCCGCCATTGAGCTTGCTATCCAGGCCTGTACGGAGAGGAGTGCTATACCCGGGTACACGATCGAATTCCCAGACCCGAACGACCAAGATGTGATTGAGCAGATTGTTGAGTTGATGACGGTCGACTATTTCGACCGTGAACCGTTGTCGAAGGCTTGCAAGGCGAATGATCCGCTGCTCACACCGGAGGCTATCCGGCGATATTGCTACGACTGCACGATGAGAATAGCGGAGATCGGGACTATTCTTGTTGCGAAAACCGGGGACGGAAAGTTGGTTGGGTTTCTCAACACCGCTGTCGCTGATAAGCCTTATACACCCGGCGTCTGGCCGGGTGGGCTGAGTCCTTTGATTGAGCTCACGACTCGGGTGAGGGCTATGGCGCCTAAGGGCCAGGGGAAGGTTCTGTGTCTTGCCCGGGCTGGGGTGAGGAGAGATTTCGCGGGTCATAATGTCTTGAGGGATCTGATTTATGTCGCTGTGTTGAAGGGATATCTGGAGGGCTATGAAAAAGCCATGGGTGTTTCAATGAGCAAGCCGTCGCAGCGTGTGTTGGAATCATCTGGCCTAACAGCGGTGGCCGAGCTTGCATATAAAGACTACGAGTATCGCGGCACCGAGCCCTTTGCTCAGGTCAACACTCCACCCTCAGTCAAGCTGGTGTGGGGTGATATGAAGAAGTGCTTGAAATTTCAGCAAGACTCGCTTTTGGGAAGGGAGGCCCGGGGGCAGGCAAGGTTGTGAGAAAAGAAGGAAGATAAAAGTGTTTAATAGCGATTTGAGCCCATCCATCCTTTTTAGATGGGAAGAAGATATGACTTATAGATTTGCATAGACTTGGTTCCGGCAACGAATTTCATTTATATCGTCCGATATCACTTTTTCGCTCGTAAGTCTGGCGGACCGCTTTCAGAATTCAAATAGCTCCGTAAAACGAGTATTGTGACGCTGTGGACCGCATGACAGTCACCTGCTTTTTTCAATATCTTCCCTAGCGATCTGTGTCCTAGTATGTGTTGAGCAGTTCCGACTCTGGGTATCTCATTATAGGTGTCTTGATCTGAAAAAGTCAGCACCACACCACACCACAGATCCAAGATAAACCAACCAATTATCAAGCAAATCAAGCAAACTTATCATGCTTCCCCTTAACCCTCACATCCAAAACCTCCTCATGGAAATTCCCTTCCCTCCTCGCCCTCCTCAACCTCTTCACCTCACTCTCTTCCAACCGCCTCCCAACCAACCCCTCCAACTCCTTCTGGCTAATCTTCTCCTTAGCCTTCGTCTCCTTACTAGCCTTAATCCGCGGCTTGAAACGCGCCTGCATGCGGATCCGTATCGTCGTCTCAAAGGAGAGAGTAGCCGCATCACCACGGATTTCTACCGCGCGACTAGTCTTGCCTTCCCGGGCGCACAGGAAGGTCTCTTTATCGCCGCCGCCGGTCTGCAGGGAAAATGTGCCGGGGATATCGGGGGAGGGGATCGTGAGGAAGGATTCGTGGTGCGAGATTGCGGCCGCCGTGGCGCTGGGAATGCCGTAGTTGTCACAGCCGAGATATCTGTTCAGTTAGCAAAAATATCCCAATACAGAGGTAAACAACGTATGACAGATAGGAGAATACTCACTTCCCATGATGCCCCTTAAAGCTAAACGACTCCGTCCCCGCAACCCGCGTCGCAACCCAAACCTGCCTCACATCGTGCGGTTCCGCCGTCGACGCATCCCCCTCAATCAGATTCTCCAACTCACTCGCAAACACTTTTCCATTCGCGTCAGACGCAATACACGTCGGCGGGTCGGATGGGAGAACGAGCACAACCGGCCCTGCAAGGTCCGAGGGTGCGTCGGCGGACACCCAGCTTTGGTCTTCGGGGGGTTCGTCGGTCTCGTCGCGGGCGATGGCAGCAGCGGATGAAGGCTTGGAGGTTCTTGGGGGGAGGGATGAAGGGTCTGGGTATGGGGCTTCGCGGTGTTGTTTGCGTTTTTTGGGCTTGTCGCCTTTGAATGTGAGGGGTTTGACCATTTTGGTTGGGTTGAATCGGGGGTTGTTGTTGGATGGATGAGTGGATGGATGAGGAGTGGAGGAAGATTGATGATGATGTTGCCGATTACATAGCGGTCGATCGTCAGTCGGTTTTTTTAACGTTGATGAATTCTTGCAACTACCACCTTTTTTTGCGTTTAGATTATTATATTTGAAATATCCACTTGATCAATTCATACGTTAATTAATTAGAGCAATTAATGAAGCACCCAGATAGTAATCGTCATACGCCACTGCTACCTTGGTGGAAAACAGATTGAAATATCATCAAAAAAACGAATCATTTGTTCGTCAAGGTCCTCAATTCCCTTCATATATATACCAGTTTCGCCCCCTCTACTGTAAATCATCTGTTTGAATTGCTAAATATGGTCACATTTCATTATTCATAACATCACATGCAGAGTATCTCGTATACACATTCCCAGCCGAAAATCGGCCAGGAGAAAAGAAAGGTTATGAAAAATCCAAAGATTTTGTCTATCACGCCCTTATCCTCTAGTCGAAAGTAATAGCGGCCTTGATGGCAGTCTTGTTCTTCATCGACTCCAAGCATTCCTCCCACTGGTCGATCTTGAAGGTCTTATTCACGATGCCCTTGACCTTGATCTTGCCTGAGTCAAGGTAGTCAATGGCGGCCGGGAACTTGTAAGTCTCGGAGAAGCTGCCCACGATGGTGATTTCATCGCCGACTGTTGTATGTTAGGACAGGATCTGGAAGGATGATACATGGCAGATGGGTACTTACAGATCTTGCTGGGAGGCCAGTTGACACGGTCCTTGTTGGCATACACACCGTACACGACGAGCTTGCCGCCACGACGGACATAGTTGATAGAGTCATCAAGGATCTTGACACTACCAGTGGCTTCGACGACAATGTCGAATCCATACGGGTTGTCCGCCTTGAGCTTGGCGAACTGGGCGCTGGGGTCGCTGCGAGACAGAGCAATATACTCATCACCAGCATCGAGAGACTTGGCCAAGTCCATCTTCAGACCCTCAGGAGCAACCACAGTAACCTGGCATCCACCATTCAGACGAAGCAACTGGGCCAGGATCAGACCGGTAGGGCCAGCACCGAAAAGCAGGACAGAAGAGCCCATCTTGGGAGCAATCTTGTCCAGACCGTGAGCGGCACAAGAGGCAGGCTCAAGCAAGGTGGCATCGACATCGGAGAGGTTCTTGATCTTGAACACTCTGCCAGCTATTTACAGTCAGCATGGCTGCTCACCCAACGCTGTTGTATGTCTACTTACCAGGGTACGCGCAGTACTCGGCGAAACCACCATTCATGGTAACACCATGGGCCTCAAAGTGCTCGCAGAACAGCTCAGCACCACGACGGCAGTAAAAGCATTCGCCGCACAGTTCCGAGTTGTCCGCAACGACACGCTCACCAATCTCGAAGCCCTTGACCTTAGGTCCAACAGCAGCAACCACACCAACCGTCTCGTGGCCTAAACATGTTAGAAGTCATCCAGGTTTGATCTAATTCATAACCAACATACCAGGAACCAAGGGGAACTAAAACCAACCAGTCAGCTTGAATCATCCTCGACACTACACACCAGACCAGAAAGAAAGAAAGAACATACCTTGGCAATAAACTCTCCTTCATGGATATGCAAATCAGTACCACAAACACCGCAAGCCTTAACCTTGATCAAGACATCGTTGTCGCGCAAAGTGGGCAGAGGGACATCCACGAGGCCGTGGCTCTCGGGCTTGTCGTACTGGAGAGCCCTCATGGTCTGAGGAAGATTGGCAGCCATTGTTGTGGATGGATGGGAAGAGAAGAGGGTGGTTCTGTTCAGGGAAAGGTTGATTAGCGACGAAGACATGCCGTACAGCAAGGGTGTTGAGGTATTTTTCTGTCTGATGGCAGGGGTATAAGGTTAATGGGAAAGAGGAAGACGACGTACCAAGTGAAGACAAGAGAAGCGAAAAGATGATATCTAAAGAGAGCGAGGAAGTCTGTTTGGAAAGAACACAAAGAACAAAAAAAAAGGTGGGAAAGCAGAGGCTATTTCAAGGTTTCCATTGAGAGGGGCAGACAAGAATCAAAAGAAAACAAGAGAAAGAGGGGAAAGACAATGAAGTCAGAAAGGTAGACAGTGAATGGTTCATTTTCCCTCAGATTTGGTTACAGACCAAGGAGAAGCCCAACGACCAAGTGGGGACCTCGGATTGTTGCAGCTTGACACCTTGCCACTTTTTGACTGCTGCAGATCCAGCTATACTCTTCGAAGAAGAGGAGGTGAGGTTGGCTATAGGACGCGATGCTATAACCGCTCGGATCAAATGACCACGGAGTACAGACGTCCTATACCACATCCACTGCCTGTCGACAGATCGGCAAAACTATATCTCCATCTGAATAGTGAAAATAAATCAAACCACTGCTACACAACTATCTACACCATCTAAGATGACTTCATCAACGAGGGGGGTAACCCCGCTATGACCTCGGCGCAGGCCACATCGGGAGACCAGGAACCAACCAAGTCGGGATTGCAACGGGTTGGCAAATCGCCTGATCGTTCCTGATTCCAAGTCTACAGAGTCGAAGCTGGAGATTCCGTGGTATGCCGAGCATACCGAGCATTCATCACCATGGAGCACACGTACTGCGTCAGTCTGGATCCGTCGAAGATGCGAGAAACATCGCTGCTCCACTTGCACTCTCTATACCAAAAAGAGCAATCACAAAACACCGCGAAAAGCTTCATGCCAGCAGGTCTCATGACCGCCGGATCCCCCTTCGTTGATCCCCGCCACTCGGTCTGGGCCTCAAACAGGACGCTATCGCCGGTCGAAATGACTTCTTTTTCTTTCTTCTCTTTTCTTTGCTTTTTTTATTTCTCACCTGCAGTCTGCATTATCTCCTTCCCCTCTTCCATCCAGTCAATTCAAACTTCACATTTACGGTGACCAAATATTTTGAATCAGCAATTAAGAATTATTCAAAGCAGTCGATTCTATCTTCCACTTCAGAGTTAACACTGTTATCTGGCAATTCGGATTCAGATAGATGATCGCCATTCCCTTCCAGAATGATCCATAACTCCACAGCAATTCGCAAATCAAAGACCTCCGCCCCCTTCCCAAAAGCAAAGATACAAACACTGACAAAACACAGCATCACACTGCCAAGCCTGGTAGATAACATACAGCCTCTTACAAATATCGGCATCAGGCATCGTGGGAAATGTTACACTCTGGGAGACCTGCCCCCAATTACCCCCACGCTTTACTTCAGCCCGAATCCCTCACTATTGATCACCGCATCCCAGAGCTTCCGCTCCAGCTTCTCCTTCCGATCATATCGATACAATCCCAGAGTATTGAAGCACGTTCGTGCAGTAGGGTACCGTGACGAATCGTCTCCGAGACACGCTAGGCGGATCATCAGGCTGGTTGCTCCCATGGCGGGAATCCGGTCACTTCCCGTGATGAATGACAGAATCTTGCGCTGGGCTTGCGGGTTGGTTTGCTCAAAGAATTCCCAGAACCATTTCACAACCGGTACCGACTCTGGTCGAGCCACCGACCAGTTGTCATACGTCGCAACCGCCCGCAGCGAGGCAACATCCAGCGCATCGTCCGAGCCGCGAACCAGTAATTCTATCTCCTCAGGTCGGAATAGGGATAGCGCATTGCCGCCAACCACCGAGAAGAACCCACGCTTGAAGGGCTCAAACTGCCGAGTAACAGCGGTGTCCAACAAATACTGAATATAGAGATCCACGAATTCCCGCCGGTTCGAGTTCGTCACTGGTCTCTTCTCGCCTCCTGGGCAGAGAGGCACCTCAATCACCTCGCCGTAGCGATCCACCTGCGCGACAAAGTCATAGCAAAACGTCTCCGTAACATCTCCCTCAAAGTCTAGTAGACCCCGGAGACCCTTGGCAAGCACCGGTCGATACTCAGCAAGATCGTCTAATGTACACTTAAACGATGACCTGGACGTCGACGTCTGCGGTCCATTCGACTGCGGTGCGGCAGCCAAAAGCTTCTTAAAAGCAAATGGCGGAAGCGCGATGTCAAGGATTGTGGAGTTATAGATCGCTAGTCCTAGTAAAGTCCCAACCAGAAAGAACTGCTCGGATGATTCAAAGCAGAAGGGGTTGAAATAGCAGTACTGGGAGTCCTCGTCGTAGAGAAAGAGACCTAATTACACATCAGCGACTTCTTTGACAAGGATAAGATCATCAATACTCACCATGATGGGGATCAAACACCTCTCGCACAAGCAACAGGAACCATTCCTTGCGAAGACCGCCTGCATCGACACCCTCTTCACCAAGAAACTCAATGCGTAGTCCCTTCTTGATCTCCTCTTGGCTAGAACCCACCACTTCACTGACGCCCCGAAGGCTGTCCTCGACCAAACAATCTCGTCGAACTTTCAACACGAGATACTGACTGATGGCCTTTCGGCTAAGAATACTGTTAAAAAAGGCTTCCCGGGCTTTGACTTCCATCTGACGGCGAGCGTCATGCTCCAGAACATGAATCTTCGCCCAGATGCTGAGAAAGAATGGATATTGACAGAACGAGAACTTGCTCGCTTTTGACTCCCAGGCCTCAAAGTCCGCGACCAGGTCGGAGTAGTCCAGCAACGTGTTGTAAAATGAGCTGATTGGAATCAGATGGCCCCGACGACCTCCGGGGTGTTTGGTCGCAGGGCCCGCCTCTTGACCAGGAACACTATCCGATTTCCGAGAAACATTCGCATTATTGGCCGTGAATAATAAAGACATAACTCGGGCCGCCACCCGAACCTGCCAATCTTCTCCGTAGACCACCGGCTTGTCCTGTTTGTCCTTTGCCGGCTTGTTGGAACTTCTTCCATTGATAGCAGCGTGAAATTCTGCTGGCGTATGGCCAGCAGCGCTGGAGAAACTTGGGACCAGGCTATCATCCTCATTCTTGGTGGACGCACTGCGCTTCCGGCCATGTTGACGGGTGAGTCGATAGGTAACGAAGCTACCAACAAGATCGACAATCTTCTCAAATTGTCCGACGGAGAAACGTGAAAACCAAGAAACGAGGTAGTGATGACAATCATTCGACAAGTTGGCCAAAAGGCCTAGAATTCGCTTGATAATCCCAGAGTGATGGCCTGAGCCCCCAGTCCGACTACTAGACGATAGTTCTCTTCGAGAAGAAGGTTTAGCATCACCGGGTGCTAATTTATGGCCATCCCTTGGATGAGAAGGTCTTCTCTCATCCCTGGCTGCAGAGGCTGCAGCGTGCGCCTTTGAATGTGGGCTAGATGGGTATATTAAAGGATTCGCCAAAAGAATCAAGAGGAACCTGACCTCCTCCGGCTTTTTGAGAGGCCGCCGTGGTCGCTTCAAAAGATTTTCCGTGGCTTTGAGGAGTGTTCTATGCACGTGTAAACGTGCATCCGTGATTTCCCTTTCTATCACAGACATATTAATAGAATGCCACCTCTTGCTTTTCAAAGAATCCTCTTCATTGGCTATATCAAGCGGCTCCATGCCCGTCCATTGCTCAACCCATGAAGTCCCTGCCGTCAGTACCAGTTGATACCATTGGACCATTTCAGCCCAGTTGATTCGAGGACTCCTAGAAGTAACAGGCCTAGACGAACTAGAAAGCTTCTCTTTCGATGGAGCATGGCGAAGACCGTTACTTTGAGTCCAATCATTCATCCAGAATGTTGAATTCTCAGCAATGTCCCCAATAAGAAGTGTTTTAGCATCGGGTTCGAATATCGCTGCTTGGGACGAATCAGATACCATGCTAGTGGCAGTGCTGTTTTGAGAGTTTGTCGGCGGGCTGTTTTCACTGGCAGGAGGAGAAAATTGTGCCGTTGTGAAAGAGTTATTAAGACAATCACAGCCTCTGAACGAAGATATTATATATTCCTCCAATGCTTTGAATATTGGAGGACGACCAAGTTTGTCCTTGGCCCCCGGGTCTGGTTGTCGAGTAGCTTCACGAGGCAGGCGATCACCGTTCGGCGCATTATGGGCGGAATTTGAGCGAATTCGCATCTGTCCTTCACCATGAGGAACTGGAGTAAGATAGGGCAACGGTTTATTCGGGCTTCCACTCATCACCTCCGGCTTCCTAGGTGTAGACGCAGACGAACTGCGACTGCGTGGATCCATCGGTGGCCGTGGGTCAGACAAATACCCGGAGGTTTGGTTTGGTGATTTCGACGGATTCCCCACTGCAACATGGTTGCCATTTTGGTTTCGATTCGGGCTTACTCGCGGTGCTGGGGCGTCCAACAGATTTCGGAGATAACTCGAGACACATCCATCGATCAAAGCTCTGGTCCGTTTAACCGATATAGGCATTGCTAAACAAACAACGAGTCAGTCCACTACGTAGATATCAAACCACGGCAAAGCCAAGTAAGTACCTTTCCTAGGAATTGTCGGGGCAGGCGGTGTCGCCTCCTTAACCGGATGACCATGACCGGCAGGGTCATTCGAATCCTTATACGGCTCCAAATCATTGACAGTAAGACACTCGGTACACCTAAACACGTTGAGATTCCTTGGCCACCGCACCGTCGAGCTACACGTCATACACTTCCCAGTCACCAACTCCTCACCCGGCGGCAGACGAGGCAACGGTTTCCCCTTCGGACTCGTAGGAAGCGGGGCGGGCGTAAAAGTGACCTCGTCATCGTCGTCGTCGGAATCCAAAAACTCCCGTGTCGAAATCGATCGATTACGCCTCTTGCCAAAGGGCGAAGGAAACGGATGGCTGATCGATCGGGTGTGCCCTTGATGTCGAGAAGGTGGTGAGTTCACCGGCGGAACGCCAGGAGTGCCATTTTGCGGAATCAAACGAGGCGCGCTCCTCTCCGGTAATGGAAAGGAGCTGGAGGTGGTAGCGATCGGACGAGTAGGGGGTGTTGTCGTTGCAGGTTGGGACTGATTACGTGCGGACCACGACGGCATATGGGCGCATTTGGTTGTATTGATTCAGGGATCGGGGTGGAATGTATAGCTTCAATGATAGATATGGTGATAGTATGAGGATTTCTTCGTATCCTCGCTCGTATTATCCTCGACCAATCCAGCAGGGAGAGTGTATGGACAGAAAATCGATCGATAGCAGCAACCAGGTATGCACCTTAAACCAGGACCGGACCCAGCCGTGGATTAACGAGTTCGAAACAGCTTGTTGATGGAAAATCGAAGTTATCGAGGGATGGAATGTATTAAAAACCAACTCCAGAGATGCAGCAAAGTGACAGGGGGTAGAACAAAGAATGTGAGATTTGACAGTTGGAGGGGAAGGCGGAGGATGAGATGAGGGGGGTGAAGAAAGACAGACACGAAAGACGGATTAAGCAAAGGAAGTCGCAGTGGGCCCGGGCCTGGTCCGGCGTTGTTAGGCCGCCCAGTTTCTGACAGGGAACTAGTTAAGACTACAAATGTGACGCTCCAACGAACGGTGGTATTGCCGGCTGCTGCTATTTTGGTCTGCAGCCACACTGCCTAGTGTCTGAGTACTGGACTGATAAGTCTAATAATCATTATGTATCTGTCTGGATGCTGCTTCTGTTCCAGGGTCTGTCCTTTTCTCTCTACAGGAAATGGGGTGAGACTAGGTAGTACGACGGTTTCTTTTCTTTCTCTTTTTTTCCTATCCAGTATCCACCTACTGGGGCCGCTGTAACCTCAAGAATCGAGACACTGTCTTGGGTCAATTACCGGACAGGATCCACACGATTTTTTCTTGTTCAGCTCGTACGGACCAAGCTTCTACAAGTACGATACCCCAGGGAATGATCGGAAATTGAAAATAATAAGAGGTCATACTTCGTTAGATGAGAGAACAATAGAGTTGAACATGGAGAAAATTTTTTTGCTAACATCGGATCCGATGGATCTGTTGCATTAATCTCGCGTCCGGAGACTTCAATGATGACATTGTCATAGCGAGTTTTGATCGAAATAAACACATCCTCGAGACGAGATTCTGCCCATAACCAACAATCCCAGCGTAAACACCCCCTACGCTTAACGGTATCTCCAGTAGCTCTGGGTGTTCTGGCGCTTCCAGGTGTGGCGGCGACCACCGGAGGTGTTGTTGTAGCGGTGGCCCTTGTTGATACCACGGGACTTCTTGCCAGTGGCGGTGAGACCACGGGCCTCGCGGTGCTGGTGAGAAAAGGGTCAGTATCGTAGACCATGTAGCCATGAATAATCCAGTAAAACGAACCTTGTGCACGGAGTTGCAGATCCAGTTGATGCGGGCATCGCGGCGGATGGCCTTGTGCTGGGGGTCGACAAGGATAACCTCGAAGTACTTGTAGGTCGAGTCCTGGTTGATCCAGTAGGAGTTCAGGACACGCAAGTTGGCGCAGCGGCGGCCAACACGCTCCTCAGCGGTGGCGGAGAGAGCACGCTGGTACTTGAGCTGGTTGATACCCATGTTGGTGGGCTTGCCTATAAGCTAGTCAGACACAATTCCTCTCCCTCGCACATAATATCCAAGAAAATCGTACCGTAGGTGGCACCCTTAGGAGCGGGCCTCTTGCGGCCACCGCGTCTCACACGGATACGGTAGACAACATATCCCTGCTTGGCCTTGTAGCCGAGACGACGAGCCTTGTCGGGACGAGAAGGACGGGAAGCACGGTGGATAGCGTTCAGCTGACGGAGCTATATTGATGCACTCTCAGCAAAGTTCAACGAGTGTATAGCAAGACACAATCAATGTGTGCCACATCCATCCGCCGGCGAAAAAAGTAAAAGATTTCTTTCCGTTTTTTCCTTTTCTATCGAGTAGCCTGCCGCAGCAAAAAAAACACCAGAGAAAATAGGAACTTTTCTCGGTGATTCATCCTATGGCATAGCACACGAACATCCGGCGGGATGTCTTTCAAACAATCGAGGTATAGGGGGGGATTCTCACCTCCCAGCAACGGACGCGCAGCAGGAAGCGAATCACGTCGGACTGCTTCTTCTTCTGGATCTCTTCCACGTACTTGAGGGCACCCATCTGGACGTTGTGAAAATCGCAATGTTAGCCGCGATGTGATTCTCGCAATGATTTTAGGAATCTCAGGCTTCCTGATAGCAGAATCAGACAGCAAAACGTACCTTGTCGGCTTGGCTGGTCGTCGGTAGGTCGTCGTTGTCGCTATTGAAAAGTTCGAAGGATAAGACTCTTGAACGAGGTTGTGTGTGGGACGCTAACAATTAGGCGAGTGTCTCCACCTCCCACCCGTTTGAGCCAACCAGCATTGACGCTAACCCTTATTGCCTCAGGTGTCGACGCCAAGGCCTTTCGTTTCCCTTTTCACAATTTTCCATCTTCAAGCCTAGTCTTTTTCCGCACTAGTGCACTGAAGCTCAACGTTTTCGGTCTCAAGATACACTCCTCTACGATGCTCACGGAAAGTTCTTCAAGTACAGTACCTATTTAACTTCATAAAAACAAAACTATTGACCATTCAATAACATAGAATACATTCGTATATCCATCTTGATAAAACAAACCCTGTTCAAAACAAGTCAAATCAAATCATCTTCATTGCGCGCCATTTCGCCAATGAAATCTGATATCTTTCCGTTTTTCCTTTTTATTTATTTCTTCAAATATTCCTATCCCAAATGAGAAAACACTCATCGTCAGTCCTCCTGACTCTGCCAATCACAATCGCATCAGCGATGATCTAGCTATTCACAAACTGGTGGTTTCAAAGCCTGAGGCAGGTACAGAGAGAAGGGGAAACATAGACATGACCCAAGTCAGTGTAAAACAAAAACAGAAAAAATGTGTAGGAGTAAACGACAGGAATTGTAAGCGGAAAAAATGAAGCGATTGGCCATCAATTCGTTAATCTGGAGGTCTATTAGGTATCGGCACTAACGACTGGTCGTAGATCTCTGGTGATCCACTAGACATGACTTCTAATCTCTTGTATCGGAAACACGATAAAGGAAAGGGAGATGAAAAACAAAGAAAAAAAAAAGAATATGAGTTGGATAGGAGAGAAAGAAAAGAAGACGATAAGAGAGCCTGGTTGAGAAGATCAGACAAAATATTGTCAATCAATATCTCAAACCTAAGTGCCTTCACTGCGAAATGGTAGTTTTCTAACGAAGGGATACCGTTGTTGCAAAGAGGTCGCAATCAAGAACCAAGGGACAAACCTTGGAATCGAGAGGTCCAGTCACCTGCTGCTGGATGAACACGAGAGGGACCACCTGGGCCAACAGCGTTCACTGGATAATCGACGTACCCCGAGTCCAGTCCATAGCCACCGGAGGAGTATGGAGAGAAAGGGTCTGAGGGAGACTGCAGACCAGTAGCAAATCCACCTAAGCCGGGTTCTGGCTGACGAGGGGCCGGGCTGAAGGACTGATAAGGGTCCGCATAGGCACTCCGCGGCAGGCCCATTTGGTTCGGGAGGACGTCTCTGCCATCCATAGCATCCCGAGCACCACCGTAGGCCCGATTGTCGTGCTGGAGGCGACGATCGGTGTGCGGCTCCTGACCGTATGGCGGAGTGTTTGGGATGCCACCCGTAGGCTGCAGACCAGCGGAGGGCGGAGTGACAAAGGATGCCGGGTTGATGGCAGACATCCAGATTCTAGTCTTGTAGATCTTGAATAGATCGGTGACCAGCGAATTGAAGTTGATGTACGAGTCCGCAAAGTAGTAGAAAGTGAGCTTCTTCCAGTCCCTGCAAGTAGTTAGCGTCAACTATCACTATTACACAAGGGTAAATGATACTGACATTTGGAACTCGGCATCAAGAATCTCCATGTTGAGTCTATGTTCAACAACCTTTTGCTGGCAGACGCGCTTGGCCTTTGCTTCGTTACCTTCCTTGTCGCGCAGAGTCATGATTTCATGGTTCTGGGCAAGTCTCTTGATCAGCTTAGGCTTGATGTCGGTAGGAGACTCCTGCGCCCCGTGAGAGCCATGAGGTCCCATGCCGCCAATTGCACTTCTGCCATTCAAGCCCGAGGCACTTCCGGAAACATTGACAACATTGGATGCTCCATTTTGGCCTTGTCGAGAGAACATCATCAGCCATTTGTAATGTTCTTCTGCGTATTGCTGCTTCATCTCCCGCGCCTTTTGCAGCGAGATGTTCGCGTGTTGAACAGTTCCAAGGTCAGTGCCACGATCGGCTTCGACGATAACGAGATCGCCAGGCTTCACTTGAAGTCCCGTATCCTCCTGGATATAGAAGACATCGGCACGGTGGCACTTGAAGGTAACGATGTACAGAAGCTGATTCTGGTGGGCGAGTCCGGGTTGGTGGCGACCGTAGGCATTTGGCATCGTATATGCCTGGTGAAGGGAAGGGGGTACGACGGATGGTCCATCGGTGGCGCGAATGCCCTGCTCATGGGCAAAGTACGATTCTGCAATTTGACGGGCGTGTAAATATCCCAACTCCATTTGAAGCTCCTCGGGGTGAGGGTGATGGGTCATATGAAAGGTTTGAAACTCACGATTTTGCCCTTGGGTATTGGGAAGAGGGCCTTCACCAATGCCTGTATAGCTGTCTCCTCGGTCTGCCAAACTAGGCCGGGGAGTGACACTTGCCTGTGTCTCAGCAGCCGAGCTGATCGAAGAGTGGCGGATGGGAATATCAGCAAATGAGTGTCTACGACTCTGTGGGATGTCGGCAATGCCACCGAAGTCGAGTGAAGTCTGCCAGTGAGCCTTTCTGACATTCTCGAGGGCACGGTTTTCCAATGCGAAGTTTGAAAGTTGCTTCTCAAGGTTGCCAGAATGTTCAGAGAATCGTCGCCTCGGGTTGTTCCGGATGTTGCTGTATCCAGGAATGTCGCCAAGTTCGTCGAGGTCTTCGACGGCAAGGTCTACTTCTTCCGGGACGCTTCCTCGGATACGGTGTACGTTGTGAAGAGCACCACCGACGGCGTATCCACTGTTGATGGAGGCGGTTGACCCAGCACGGTCCCTTAATCTGTTATCCATCTGACCAGCGGCAGCTGCCTGGCGCAGCAACGCGTTTTCTCTTGACAGCTGTTCAATAGTGCGTGCTTGGTTCACAGAATGATGATAGTCTCCATCTGAACCGTTGGGGCTGGTTTCATCATCGTCATCTTCGCGAACACGACCGAGCATAGCAGGATCATGACCAAGTTCTCCAAGGAGACTAGGGCGAGACGAACGGTGTTGCAGTGCAGAAAATTGCCCGCCATTTCGAGGACGGCTACCGGAGTGAGCTGCGCCAGGCTGCTTGTTGGCCATCATACTCAAATATTCGGGGTCCATTTGGCCCACGGAGTACGACTGGGATCGATAGGTTTTAGGAGTCGGGTGAAGTGGGATAGAAAATGGGATGGTTGAATCACCAGGGCCCGTGCGGCTGGTAGGGCTCATAATCTCCTCAGCAAGATAACTGTTGGCAGTGGGAGGATTGGACATGGTGGGAGATGGCACGATTTCTGAGAGCCGAGGAGGTGGCTCTTTACGAGATTCGGTATTCCAAATCCCATTTCCTCCCCAAGAAAACGAGCTGTTTCCAATATTGTTCCAAGACATAGGGCCGCCCATCCCAGGGGTTGAGGCCGCTGCCCAAGCTGACTGGTCAGTTGCGGGACTGGTTGGGTTAGAGGCACCAGATGACAGAGGAAGTCCTGAAGTCAAGGAGCTCTTTCGTTGGATGTTGGTGGGGACTTCGTTGAGCCACGATGTGCGACGAGCAGGTTTGGGGGCCGGCATGCTCGCAAATTGGTGAGTCAGCTGTGAATGGTCTCCATCGTCGTCAGAGGATGCCAAAGCCTCTGAGTCAGGAGTAGAGCGACGAACGCCAGGGTGTGTCTTTTCGAGTCGAACTGAGGCGGTACTCGCAGGCGAGGTGGTGGATTTTGGCGCCTGTACAGGCTTGCCGGACTGTGCAGCCATGGTCATTCCTGGATCGGAAAGTCGTGGCTACACGAAGATCAGGTTGCACGTTCGAGTTGCAAAGTCGGAATCAGACTAATCACACGTTAGTTGGTTACGGTCCCAAGACAAATGAGCCGGCATGTTCGAGTAAGAAACCGCTCTTCCACGTAGGACAGCGCGAGAAAAAGAAGAATTCAAGGAGGGAAGATGCGACTCAACCTCGGCGGCTGGATTCGGTCTGGGAAAAGCGTGACATTGCAAAGGGCAGCGTAATAATATTCAGGTTGTACAAAATAGTCTGACCAGCATAAAGAAAACATCTTGACCACTCACCTTGAGCTTGTTGGAGAAGTGACGTCAGAGGAGAGGTAGATGAGTGGAAGAACTGTGAAAATTGAGAGGGGTGAGCGTGTGTTGTCTTGGCCCCTTTGGTATAACACTTGCAACCAAATAGAGAAGCATTCACTGCGTGTGGGTATAAATAGACAAAGTAAAAATGGTACAATCCCCTTTCCAAGTCAGGTGAATAAACAAAGGAAGCTGGGTCTCTATTAGTGTAGGAAGACTTGATCAGGGTAACTGTTCATATAAAACGGCAGACACAGTCACTCTCCAGTATCATATAAAACTTCAAAACGCTTCAAGTCAGTTCGACGTGCATGGGTAATTGGAGGAAGTCACTTGACGAGAGATGGCGGGAATAGAAAAGGAAAAACTGAGGAAGGCAAATATGAGAGCAAGTCACACAGTCATAAACTGCTGCTTGTGGCAAGAATGAGAGCTCCCAGTCTGTATACACAGGGTCACCCGAAGCTCGACCTTGGGGTCAACCTTGCAGACCACAGATTTGCCACAAATATGCCACGGATGTGGCAATAATGATTCCATATAGAATAGCATGCAGATCCCAAGAAAAACAAGGGTTATATCACAATCACAATAAATGCACAGAAAAGTGCAGGAAAAAAGGAAATTGGAGGCGCATTGCAAAACAGAGGGATATCGATACTGTTAGTACATACCTTGTATGTGAAAGAAAAGTACAATTCCAAAACAGATCAACAATCTTATGACGATTCAAATATCGCAGACGGTCCCAGACGCGAAGTAATATAAAAATAGGTCGATTGTTTCGTGGTCGCGTCTGTCAATAATCTCAAATGTAAGTGACCGTCCTCGTATCATTGCATAGAAAGAACCCCAGACTCACCAGTCTAAAGATCAAACAAAACAACTTTTATTATCTATCCAAGATGAAGAATCGCAGTCGCAGATTAGCGTCGAAGAAGCGACCAGGCTTCCAGTCTAGGTGAGAGAAATTGTGGATGTGGCCGGCGATTCGCAAAAGGCTGGCGACAAAGTAGCATCCGTATCCTCGGCTGATCGAGCGATGCGATAGAGACCTCGGAGATTTAATTTCTTTTTTCTGCTTTTTTTTCTTCTTTTCCTTTTTTTTTTTATTTATCAATCCAATAAGATAAACAATTCTATAATCGTACTGGCGTGTCGAAAGCGCGATGTGAAGATGTCACAGGGCAGTGTGAGTTTGGAGATCGATATGCAGGTGGTAGCGTGACCACAGATGACGTTGAGCAGCAAACTGGCGCCAAAGAACGATTGGCAGATCGCCTCAAGAGCAGCAGCGCATCTTGAGAAAGAAAAGATATATAAAGAGCGAAAAGCAGACAGCTAATTATCGATGGGAATCCGATTGCTAGTTGGATGAAGCAGCGATAGGGAGAGGGATAGTGGATTGACGGGAAAATGATTTTCGCGGGGGAGGAGGGAGGAGGAGCAGGAGAGGTTCTAGGTGGTGCGGAGAGGCGAGCGGCGCAGCTTCGCAGGGACAGGCGTTTGGGGGAGGGCTGGAAACGGGTCTTTGCAACGTTGCCCGATTGATGGACCAGGGATGCAGGTCTTCTTTCAAGGGGACAAAGGACGGTTGAAGATCGGAGGATCTGGTGTGGGAGAGAGATGGAGAGAGGAAGAGTCTAATTAATAAAGAAAAAAAGAAAGGAAAAGGAGGGGAGGGTCGAGGTAGAAAAGGCCAGAGGGAATAAATGGGTGGTACAATCGGAGCTACCTCAGGCCACTTTTGGGTTGGAAGGGACAGCGACCCGAACGGGGGTTGAGCAGAGAAGAGGAGAAAACGAGCCACGGGTCGGAGGGGGAAGAGCAAGTGGCGTCGAAGAAGAGGAGTAGGAGGGTTAATTAAGATGGGAGGAGGAGTGGCAGGAGAGAAAAGAGGATGAAGAGATGAAGAAGAAGAGGAATGGAGACGAGGGCACGGTCGTTAGTTAGTTCGTGACGGAGAATAATACACGATGACAGCGACAGGGAAGCAATTCAAGTGCTCTTCAATGGAACGCTTTGGAGCGGGTCTGCGGGTCTGAAGATCCTCCACTCGAAAGTACTGTCGACAGACCATACAGACTAGACACTAGATATTGACTACGGAGTACTGGTCAGGATACTCACCTCTCACGGGCAATGTTAATAATGCAGGGAAGCAGAGCTATCCAAGTAAAGCACGGTTATTCGTACTAATGTTGAAAATGCGGAGAGGCTGTGGCTGTTCGGCTGCTCTCCGTCCCAGTCCGGCCCACAGTCTATTCTACAAGATCGAGAGAGTAAAAGGTCAATTAAATCAGATTCTGTATCTCATATCATCTGGCAGAATAATTGATCTGTAGACTGTCGACTGTAGACTGTACGTATTCATGCGACGATCAGATATTACATGCAGCATTGATCAGGTTGCAAAGATCCTCTACCTAGGTACACACAGACTGTGGACCTTGTCTCTTCGGCCCCGTATCCGTGAACGTCATTTTGCCTTTTGATTCGGTTCCTTCAACAGGGGATGGGGAAGAAGAAAAAAAAAAAAAAAAGAAATTATGATAGTAGGATAAAACGAGAGGAAAAAGAAAAAAGTACTCATCATCACTCAGCCTGGATCATCTTCCAAATTGTCTGTGCATCGATCTTTGTGCGGGGGAAAGGCCACAAGTCAATTCCAGCCCTTTTTTTTTATTTATTTTATTTTCTTTTTTTCCATTTTGCGGAGAGAGCTTTTGCTTCCATTTCTTTCCCCTCCCCCAGTTTAAAATGCCCCGCTACATCACATAGTATTTCTCTTCTACATTCCTGTAATACATTCCTTGCATTCTTATTTCAATCGTATCAATCCATCAACATACAGCTGAATTATCCAGATCCCAGCCCAAAGTAACATTAATCATGGCCCAAATCCCATGGTTACAAGCTCCCAGCTCTCGACCCAGAACTCCCCCTCCTTCTCTCCCACGGATCGCCCCCGTTCGACGCTTTCAGTCGGAGCCAAGCTCTCGCCCTCTGTACACTGACGTTTGATGCCCATCTCTCATGGATGTAGCAAACAGGAACTAAATACCAACTACACCATCCAACCATTCATTCATCCCAACTCCCTGTCCTTAAGTAACCTTATATAATGTACTTCCTCCGTAACCCCTCTTCAAATATATCCCACAATGTACTGGACTATGTGTTATCCGTGTCGCCTCCTCTCGGCGAATCGTCGTCCCCACCGAGGTTTCCGTGTGAGCTTGGTTTTTTGGCCCAGTTCCAATCCATGATGAATGATGTAAGAATCGAGTCACATTTTACTCGGTCTCCTGACTTGGGCTCCGTTGTTTTTTGCACGGTCCAGATCCCTGGCCCAGCCCATTCCGGATGGTGCTGGGTTTTGTTTGGTACCTGGTTCGATCGGTCATGTGGGCTGCTGACATGTACCTAGGTTAGGTAGGTAGATGAACCTCTTCGTGCGAGCGTGTGGGTTGTGGCTGGTCTGGTGGTTTCGTTGATCGTTTCTCCTGCCAATCAGGCTGGTTGTTGGAGCTTGGGCTAGATCATGATTGTGCTATCTATGATGGTCTGGGTCAATGTCGTAGAGGGGAATAGTATATCGTGTCTATTACAATCTCATTTTACTATGTACAATTGTCAAACAGCATGACAGTGACGTATAGATATCAAATCAAATCAGATCAAATGCTCAAGCCGCGGAATCCAATGTCTTTTGCGAAGCTGTCGCCTCAGGTCCCTTGGTTTGACGCAACTTCTCCTCAAACTTGGCAAACTCGTGCATCGAGATCTCTTCTTCCTGGTCCATCACCTGCTCAACTCCCTTGACTTCCTCAATCTGTGGAAACGTTAGCCTAGAAACTACAACTCACTTCTCCGAGAAACTTACGTAGTGCATCAGCATAGACTCAATGCCGTTCTTCAGCGTCACAGTGCTGGAATCGCAGGTTCGGCAGGCTCCACGCAGCTTCAACATGACAATTCCATCCTCGAAGCCACGGAGTTCAATGTCGCCTCCGTCCTCCTGAATCGCGGGTCGGATTCTAGTCTCCAACAGCTCCTTGATCATGCTGACAACCTCATCATCCTCCTCGTTGAAGCTCAGCGAGTCTTCCTCGCCACCTTCCTGTGCATTCTCGCCGGTCTTCTCAACAACGCTGACAATCGTCTCGCCAGATGTCACGGCTTGTGTTATCAGGCTGAAGACTTCCGGCTTGATATGCGCCCAGTTCACATCACTCTGCTTGGTCACTGTGATGAAATCGGGTCCGTAGAAGACAGACGAGACACCTTCGATATTCAGCAGGTTTGCCGCCAACGGCGACGGGTGAGGCGGGGCGAGAGTCGATCGCGGAGAAAGATACTCAAGGAAGGAGGTCGGGAAGTCCTCGGGGAGGACATGGTGGTTAGGGATGAATTTCAATGCCTATAATTCACATAGTTTAGAGTCTTGGCCTATCATTATGACAAAGATACTATAGACTCACATCAGGGTTGGGTGTGTTTTCAGTCTGGATGAAAATCGTTCGGGCAGAGAGGACCTGAGACGCAGGCTGGTGGCGAGGTCGCAGAGTCGGTCTGCGACGCGCCTCAGACGCTGTGATAGCAGGCAACCGAGCCGAACGATGGATGGTTCTGTATGATCCAAACGCCGCGGGTCTGATGGTTCGCGAAGCCGACTCAGCAGCGCTCAAGGGCTGCATTGTCAGTCTCGCGTTGAGAATCGTCCGTCGAAGCATGGTTCCTGATGTTGAGCTAACAGACATTTTGATGTGAGAATCGTCCAGATAACAGTATATTGATGTATGGATCGTTTGTTAATGTTTCGTCGAAGATATTTTGACGGGATTCCTAAACGCCTATCCGAACGCCCGAGCTCTGACGCAATTTCCTTCACGTGACTGTGGCATTTTTTTAGGTCGACTCTGATTGGTCCGTCGGGCATGTTAACAGGTTTTGATTACTCATTTCTTGGCATCAAATGTATCGATGATTCGATTGAAGTCGAAAGTCGAAATCATGAATAATATACATGGTGGTGTAGTATGCAGGGTAGTATGTCATACCAACAGATGGTAGCAGTTAGTTTGTGTATGCTATTGCAGACTGCACTCTATGATTCTATCTGGAATCACTATCCGAATACGTCTGCTCAAACTATATATAATGGTTCTGGATCACTACAAGCTAGGCGCAATAACATCAACTCTAAGGAGTAGCAAGTCATTACTCGTCTTTAGACATTCCTCATTTGCCTCTATATTAATCATTTCAATTATATCTTACATGTCTATCCATTATTGAAAAAAAGTTGCATCATAGTACATCGTACATCCTCGGCACATTTCATCGAGGTGTATCACTGGTGTAGACGTGCTTTATAAATACGTCGTCGTACAGCAGCATATGGGCTTGAGAACCCAAAGAGATCCTTCACTTCCCAGACATGTTACCGTGAAGAATATCCCCTCATGCAGATTCCCCCTGGTGGTTTTCGTCATCACCAGCAATCAGAGCAACAAATCGCATGAATCCTTCCGCACTTTTCCCAGTCTCTACTCCCTCTTCACACTGTTCCCTAAGCTTCCTGACTTTCCCCAATCCCCGGTTGAAGCCTTTCTCGCGACTCCAAGGTCCTCGACTGCGCGGAGCTCCTCGTCTTCTTCCAAACCCGCGTCCTCGACCTCGGTGACTGTGTGACACCTCCACCCACTCCTCTTCCAGCGTAGCTTTATACATATCCCGTAGTTGACCACGAAGCTGAGGATACCGAGAAAGCAGGTCTTTGAGTTCTGGGGATGATCCGAGCGCTTTCAAATCGAACTTGCCATGTTCCTTGACCGCGCCATTACCGGTTTCGTGTCCGTTGACAGCATCTTGTGGTACGTCGGAAGCATTCACTTCAGAGGGTTTCGGCGATTCTGGTTTGGGTGCGCAGTATATCTTGTGGGATTGGGTGCAGGCGAGCGAACAGCTGATAAGAAAATAATAAGTATCCAAATCCCAAACCCGACAAGAAAAATTAGAATAGATACCTCATAAGCCCACAAGTAGGACAGCGATATTTGGATTGTTCCGAAGAACAGACTTCACAGACACCAGGCATTTTGATTTCCTGCAGGCCCTGAGCACTTAGTACTTGCCGTCGATCATATCATGGTTGTTCCCAATCAGCTACGGTAGATCGCGCTGAACGTCTGAAATTGTCGACGCCTGGAAAAATGTATCTGGAGCAATCTCGACAATCCAAGCAGACTGCGAATATGCAGCTCAGCAATAGATAACACGAGTGGACCGGAATTTCAATTCAACTCGCGACCTTGAACTTGAACATCTTGGTCTAAAAAAACAGGAACGGCGGGAGCGTAGCATCACATGTCACGTGGGGTAAGGGCGATCGACCTCACCAAACAACAATCCTCGTTAATTATAGGGCATAGCTAGCATATCATCATTCAAACGAGCAAGAGTTCTAGTTACTTCGCCGATATTTGTGGCGTCGGTGAACCTGTCCACCTGCATCACGTTTGAGATGACTTGCTGCTGACCATTTCCGAACGCCTCCGACGAACATGGGTGGTGTGCCGTTCAAATCAACAGGGTGCAATACTTGCCGACGGCGAAAGGTCAAGGTACTTGATTGCATATTATTCCCTATTTATAGTATTTGCAGATATTAATCATAGCGCACTTATAGTGCGATGAGGCGAAGCCGGAATGTATGAAATGCGTCAAGAATGGCCATGTGTGCACGGGCTATGAGAGAAACAGGGTCTTCATCCACAAAACCTCCGGGAACGATACCCAGAAGCTTGTTTGTCGATCAAAGCCAGCGACAGGAAGCTCAAAAAAGCCTCAGCCAATCGAGGTGGCTTCTGAGATACCTCATCTCAATGCCAACCCTCAGGTCCGATCGCAGCTAGCTGCGTCATTCATCGACAGCTATCTTCCTCCGGGACAATACATAACCGGAAAGAATCTCTTTGAGACTTTGCCTGATCTTGCTGGACGGAGTCAACTTTTGGACAAAGCAATTATATCCCTGTCAACTGCCTTTGTTGCGACGCAGCAGCGTGATGATCGGCTTCTACAATATAGCACGAGACTGTACGGCAATGCGATGGAAACTTTGCATGGCAGGATCATGTCAGGGAACAATCTAAGCAAAGATATTCTATACACCACGGTGATCTTTCAGGTATACGAAGTAAGTACCAGGGTGCTTCTTATTAGTCTCTTGGAAGTGAGACTGACGATATAAGTTAATCAATTGTTCCCCTCCTGGGTTCGGAGCATGGCTGGCTCATGTACAAGGAAGCAATGCGATAATGGGTCAGGTTAATAGTCGAAAAGAGAAGCCTCTCATAGAAAATTAATTTCATCGACAGCTTAAATTTGTCACGGTTAGTTTCTCCAATGCCCATTATCTGTGTGATGATATTTGAATTGTGTACTGATGAAGTAAAATAGCTTTGTGATGCTGTTGGAAAGCGCAAGGCAGCAAGCCTCTATAATGCTCTGGCTAGCCACGATCCTTCTCAGGACACGGCTGATCCAGAGCCTGTGGATGAGTTTATCGACATGTTGATTGAATGCACTGCTCTTTTGGAGCAAGTTGACCGTCTTATCCAAAATGAGAATTCGGATTTTGAATATACCCGGAAGACAGGCGAACGTCTAATGCAAGCTTGTCTGTCTCTTGAGGAGAAGCTTCACAGGACTTGTCTTGCAATGCAGGGGAAGCTTGGGGCGCCGTCGTCGCTTAAATGCGATGCGTCTTCTAAACAGAACTGGAAGTCATCCATTTCTTTGGATGTCTTTCCTGATGCCGTCCACTTCCCCTCCCTGACCTGCGCAGAATCCCATTTGTTGTATTGGACTGCATTGGTTCTGATTTATCCGCTATTTGACCAGCTTCTCGATCTGCTTGGTCAAACTGGCAGCAGCATGGCATCTCCAATCACATCTCCCTCTCTCAGCGGAGGGCCGATAAGCCCAAGTCAATCCGTCGAGTCTCAATGTGAGGCAGATTTCACCACCCTTGCGGACCACTTCGCCAGTGAGATCTGCCGATCGGTTGAGTATTTCATACAGCCAGATATGAAGACATTGGGGGCCCAACTTCTGCTAGCTCCTCTGAGCCAAAGCACGCAGTTTTTCTATGTTCAGGAGTCGACTGAAAAACACCGATGGTGCCAGGGGGTGTTTGTGCTTATGGGCCAGCTGGGACTTGGCATCGCTCCTTTACTGAAAGACATGGTTTGGCCAGAGTACCGTGCAGCCCAGAAGAAAAAACCTTTAGCTCCACCGCGCCCGGTTGAAGCGATTTCATGAAGATCGCAATGGTCAAATTCTACTTGAATTACTGCTACCGAAGCAGCCGCGACAATGCAAAGGACATCATCCCTCCAGAAGCACATATGTGATAATGGCGCTGTCCCAATGCCAATCAGGCAGGGAACTGCCATCTATTGGGTTCCACATTGTTGGGATATAACTGCAGGGTGGTATGGATTCCATCCTTTATGATTCTCCACTGTTCAAGTCTAACTGTACTACCTTGAAGGCGGAAACACGTATCCGCGCAGCCCATTTAAAGCCCGCGACAATCTTGGTGTCATGTAGGCTGCAAAATCAGATGCATAATCACACCGATATTCAGGTCCAGGCTGACCTCGAGATTTCACGTGCGATGATCGAATTTACGAAAGGAACGTGAACTCATGCAAATAAACAATTGACCGATATACATGATTTCGTTTCCCCGAGTTGAAAAACAAGGGTGCTGGATTTCGGCGAAGTTTCGGCCTATTATTTACGGGGTGCATGGTACTTGGTCTGCATATTGGAGAGCCCGGGATTTGATGCGAAGCTGCAAAATCAATAGAATGTAGCAGGGGCCATGGCTATCAAAAATGAGGTCCTCGATGGCCTACCTGGGATTTGGATAATCCCTAAGGGGGAGGAAAAGAAATTATACGACACCGACAGGGCTCGAACGTCAGGCATATATACTAGTGGCAAATGGTTGAAAACTTCACTTTCCAAGGAATCTAAGCACGCGACTTGAATCCGAACAATATCAGATTATCAAAAGGCAATCTGTATAATTTTTTTTGTTGGTTGAACAGCAGGTGACTAGGTTCATATAGTAGCATTTCTTTTTTTCTGCCTGCCTTGGTGGTTCCAATCCACTGGATACAATTTTCTACGGCATCCTCGTTTGTATATATCTGAGCGTTCCATCCTCAGATACCACCAGTCCATGCCAATAAACATAAAGATAGACACAGTTTTCTTAGCATCAACTAGTTTCTGTTTATCCACCAAGGTCCCGAAATACATCCGATTCAATATCCAATGTCTCGGTAACCCGAGTACGGCATGCATCTTCCCTCTCTCCTTAAGGGTCCCATCCGATCTCACCAGCCCAATGCAGTGCAACCTGCGAAACCATCAAATCCCGTGTGACATTGTCTGCATATTGCAAGAAATACAAATATAATAATCATGTGCTGGTTGGTTGAGAGCTGAAGGATGCATATTTGATATCAGTTGCCTGGTAGGAGCCTTTTTTTTTTTTTTTTTTCTTCTGCAGTCTCTAGTAGTTTATCGCCCCGCAATGATATGATAGACGATAAGGATGAGGTGCTCAATTATGTTTCTTTCTTTTCTTTTCTTTTTCTTTCCCGGTCCCAGGAACTTAGGTGATTTACAGCTGCGGGTTTGAGTTGGCGATCTGAGATTATTCTACACCGATGCCGTGGTCGTGGTATTTGCGTTCCGTCGGCGGTTTGGTATATATAGGCCGCTAGTGGTAAGACATGGATTCAGCAGGGATATCTATTGGTAATAATTAATTAGTTATGGATGTGACGAGAAGAAAGAAGAAATATATTCAGTTTAATAACATATAATCGAGAAAAGAAAGACAGTGTTGAAGGCAGCCTCGATGCTATACAGATGCTCTTTGTAGACCCACCAGACAGGGATATTAATAGCTCGATGGCATGATAATTATCCAATTTGAGACAGCGAGTACTGAAATATCCAGCGTATAGCGCATACTATGTCGCCTTACGTATCATATCCTCTGCACACGATCGGGATAATGTAGGCAAACGGCGCGGGTCATTGCCTCGTTCTCCTGCATTGGCCGATGCCATTGAATCCATGTGGGTTTGACGCCGTGATTGGGAGCAATGAGAGCATCTGCTCGACTTCATCCTCTCCATCATCCCGGTTCTGTTTGCAAAATGCTGCAGCGAATCCCCAGCTCTGGCCTCGTCGCTGTCTTACGGGCCCTGTCTAGCACCATCTGTAGTCTCCAGTCTCACTCTCCAAAAACATCCGGTAAGCGAACAGGTCTTTTTTTGGCCCACCAACTAGACAAGACGATCTGAATGCCCCGAGAGCCTTTTGTGGTGTCGATGGTGGTGATTGCTCGATGGATGGCCTGGATTGCGGCTGGGCGGGGCTCGCTGCGTACTTTTATTACGATGGATTCTTCTGACAGGACGAATCCTCTGATTCATTCAACCATTAATCAATCCATTGGGACTGCCAGAACACCCCAATGCCTCTGATGGCACTCCTCCTTTGACTTCTTCTTTGCCTCGCGGCGAAGATCCCGCGGTCCGTGGCCAAGCGGGCGCACACCAAAACTGGAGAATATCCGACGGACTCACCTCTTCTTCGACTGCGAGACTACGGGGTCTAGAGTCAACCGGACGCATTATTCGTGATAGTCCCGGACTCTTGTCTTTCTTCTGCTGTACCTGTCATCTGTCAACCCACTGCAGGCTCGCAATTCTCATCTCTCTCCTCGTTCTGGATTTTTATTTTATTTTTACTTTTATATATTTTTTTTTCTCGCTTTCTCCACACGGCCTTCCTTTGTCCTCGTGTTTCTCCTTCTCTCCCGCCTTGCGGGTGTGCATTCCGCCATTACCTGAAAGCCCGTCGAGGACGCCTTGAGGCCGTTCATTCTTACTGCTTGGCTTTGGTAAGAACTCGATTGATCATCATCCGAGATCCCTCCCCCTTTCACAATTGCGGGCCTTGCTAATCCATCTTCTTACCTACTCTCTAGATCTAACTACGGAATACCCCGAACTGTGTCTGTTCTTTCAATTAAAACGAGACTTCGGAGACGTTCGGTGTGACTCAACAACAAATCGATTCCTCTTCGAATCCTGGACCTCTTTGCTTTTCTTACTATTCTGATTTCGAGCAACAATGGATAAGCTATCGTGTCTTTCTCAGTTACTCACGTAGTAGTCGGAGCTTTGCGCTGTTGCACATTGTTTGTTCGATCCTTTTCATCCGCCGCTGCCCGGTCGACCCGTTTGTGCGCACAAATTACACCAGCCCATCATGACTTTCCAATCCCCTAGAAGAGAGCGTGCCTCGAGTGACCGAGCGCAGGAGGGTCCTGTCGTCGCTCCGCAACGACCGGGCCTACAAAACCGAACCTTCTCCGCACCCGTCGGAGGTCTTTACAAACTGGATTCTTCGAGAACAGCTATGGAGGGAGGGAATAAAATCGGACGTACGGTTATTGAGGAGGATGAGAGCCCGAATGGGCGTACTCCTGTGTCACCACAAGCTTGGAATACTGGCGAGGTATGGTCTTGAATTGGGGAGTGATTGTAGTCTGGGGGTGAGTGGGCTGATCAGATTTTCTAGACATTCCCCAAGCCTGATTTCCCACATGTTACGATTGCCGTTGTTGGTGGAGATCATGTAGGCAAGACGACGTTTATCAGAAGTGCCTTGGATATGAAACACACCCTATCGTCACGATCAACAACCAAGAAAATGTCTTTGGATGGTTCCGTCTACCTCGTGCGCCTGTTGGAGATTGCCTCCAAGCAAATTTTCATTGGAAGTAATGGAGCACCTGTCTGGCCTCGATTTGGCACCGACCCGACAATTGATGGAGTTCTTGTTCTGCACGATGCGACCCGGCCTGCGACCTTTTCCGAAACCACCAGTCTACTAGGTGCGTATTTCCGACGATCTGGTCTATGGCATCTCTTTTCTTTTTGCGGGCCGACGACCCGATACGGTCATAGGAACGAAAGAAAAAAGAATACCAAGAGAACAAGAAAACCTTGGTTGTTGGTTCTGCTGCTGATTGACTTTTGTATTTCTGTATAGAAAACTTAGCCACTTCGTCACTGCCATGTGTCTTGGTCGCCAGTAAATGCGACCTTCAGAACCAAGATGGACCACTTGATCCTGACCTTGGAAACTATGAAATGCACCGGACGTCGCCCGAATCGCCACGATCGCAGAAAATGTGCATCGCCTTAGTTCTGCGGTCCGTCATCGCTAATAAGTATGGTGAGTGTCAAACCCCCGGAACCCCGGTCTTTTTTTTTTTTTCCCACAACGCACACGTACTACTACTGGCTGCCTCAACCTTGGATTTTCGCTTCTTCCCCATGGAACTCTTCATCTGAGGTCCTCATGGCGAACTTGCGGCGCCCCAGCCCCTTTTGGTGGTCCACCACGATCCATGGTCGCGCTAGTTGGCGGCGCGGCCTGTGGTAAGTGGTTGAATTGGCGGTCGCGTTAAACCCTTTGGCTTGCCATGGCCGCCGATCAACAGCGTGTTCTGCAATAAAATCCGCATCTGCTGCGCTTCACCCAGCGACGTCTTGTTCTCGATAAAATGCTGACCCCCTCCTTAACACTTTAGACCTCGCTGTCTCCTACCAAAGTCATATAAATCGGCAACTCTCTGGTGATCCGTCGCAGAACCCAGCGCCTGCGCACGACCATTGGCATCACCACGTCCGTGCCAACTCGGAAAACCCCACAGCCGTATTCAACGGAGCCGCTGGCGGCCCAGCAACCACATCCCTTGATCAGAAAGTCGATGGGAGCGGTGAAAGCCGGTATCCCACCGACCAGAACGACAATCTGGATTCAAGTTCTCAGAGTTCGAGATATGCCCGGAGTAACTCGCACCCGGTGCGACCGCAAACCCCCTCTGGCCGGCTAAACCATCATAAAACTTCAGGCTCGGGCGACAACTCCCCTATAAGAGATCTCAACCGCCAACAGCGGCTTCATAATGCCTGGCGCAATAGCTCCGGGTCGGACGTTTTCAACAGCTTTTTGGATATGGAGGATGAAAATGATGGGTCGCCGCGCAGCGTCCCCTCGAGTCCGGATGGGAGGAAGGACCGGCCGATGGAAAGTGTCTCCAACGAAACCGGCTTCACGTTTGATGAGCTTGTAGACCGTCTGGTTGCGCAGCCGATGTCCAAGCAAGACACCAAATTCGAGTCGATATTTTTATGCCTGTATCGCAAATTCGCCGCTCCCGCCAGTCTCCTTAACGCACTGATTAATCGATTCGAACGGAATGAGAGGAACATTTCCGACCAGCTGACTCGCATCGCCGATCAACTAAGACTGCTCAACGTCATTTCCCAGTGGGTTTCGGAGTATCCAGGTGATGTGGCATATCCCAAGACCCGCCAACGGATTACGGATTTTGCATCAAAGCTGGAAAAGAGCCCTTTTTACATGTTTGCTGCCAAGGAGATTAGCTCTTATCTCGAAATCAATGCCGAAGATGATGACATCGGCTGGCCTTATGGTGATGGTGATGTGGAGGAATTCAGCAACAACGAGACATTCCTCGTCAACCCCGACCCGAGCTCTCCATCGATGTTTTTGGGTGAACCGTCGCCGGGCGAAGACGAAGACGAAGAGGAGGAGGATCCTATATACAACATGAGTGCTTTGGATTTAAGCGAGGGGCCACCGGAAACCGCATCCAGGCTTTCTGGGACGCTGTCAATCTCGTCTACGATGGAAAAACCGGGCACGATAATGGGACAATCATTTACCATTTTAAACATCGACACTGCGCAGAGAGAGGCGCAAAATCTCGAACTCACTCCCCGAGTTCCACTTTCTAAACTACAATGGCGACAATTTATGGAGATTCCCGACGAGGACTTCGCTCGGGAACTCACACGGATCGACTGGATTATGTATAATTCATTCCGACCTCGGGATCTGGTGCGACATGTCAGCATATCCGGACCCGATAAAGATAAGATTCAGAGCTTGAAGCATGTCAATCGAATGATCAAGCAATTCAACCACCTGGCCTTCTTTGTGGCCAGTATGACTCTATTTCGAGATAAGCCCAAGCATCGGGCTAGGGCGATGGAGAAGTTTATGAACATAGCGCAGGTGAGTTGACGCCTTTGATTGGCAAGTGATATCGCTAACGAGTTTTCCAGAAACTACGCCGGCTGAACAACTACAACTCTCTGGGTGCAGTTATTGCTGGAATTAACGGAACACCAGTCCACCGCTTATCGCAGACCCGGGAGCAGGTCCCCGTCCAAGTACAGAAAGACTTTATGAGGCTGGTCATCCTCATGGGAACACAAAAGAGCCACTTTGCATACCGACTCGCCTGGGATAATTCATTTCAGGAGCGGATTCCTTTTCTCCCACTACACCGTCGCGACTTGGTCTCTGCCGAAGAAGGCAACAAGACCTTTGTTGGCGACAGCAAAACACGGATTAACTGGAAGAAATTTGAGGTGATGGGGGAGGTTGTGCTTGGAATTCAACGCAGCCAGAAGATGCCTTATTCTCATATGCCTCGATATGACGAGGCCATGCGATTCGTCCTCGACATGAAGCTCTCTGGTGATGAAGAGGTTTGTTTTCCTGATCTTGGCTTTCAAAAGAATACTTTCTAACTTTCCTAGGACCTCTACGCACGCAGCATGCAGGTTGAACCTTCTGCCGGCGGCGATACCGGACGTAAAAAGTTCGGCTGGCTACGGTATTAATCCAACTTGCACCCACCACAAATCCTTGACCCTTGATATCCATCCCACCTGAAACATCTACATAACCTACGTACCCGTACCCCTTGTACCCCGCCTTTTGACGCCGATATGCCATTATATGATGATTGATTGATTGATATTTCTTGATGAGATCGGGCACCCCGATGGGACACGGTGATAAACCTGGGAGGCATGTTTGTACATAAATCGTTGTATTGTATGCGATGAACGTAATATACCTAGTTTAAATCTATCAATGCTACTTAGATAATATAGAAGGTAGAAAGGTACTGTAAGAATGCACATGGATGTTCGACGTAAATCACGTGACGAAGCCTGGAACCATCCTCCATCCATACCGAAAACCATCACCACTCCCCAAACCAAACCTCACAACCACCAAAACCAATCCAAATCTCACAAACCAAACCACTTAAAACAAACAAATAAACAAAAATGACAGCCCAAGCCCGCTCCGCCTACCGCGCCCTCCTCCGCGAAATCCCCCGCCGAAACCTCAACAGCCAAACCACCACCCCCCTCCACAACCGCATCCGCGCCGTCTTCCGCACCACGGAAGAGTCCGAATCAGGTGCGATCCGCGCCCAGGAGGCCGCGCAGATGGCGGCGTATGCCCGCGCGCAGAGAAGCTACGCCGAGCTCGTCGATAGATATAACCCCGGCAGTTGGTTGGATGAGGAGGAGAGGATTAGACTTACTGCGAGGCGGGTGGGGATGGAGTTGCCGGTTTTGGGGGGGAAGAGCTAGATCTTTTTTTTGATATAAAGGTATGTTGGTTTATGAGGAGTGGTTTGTGGGTTGGGTTGGGATGATGTTGACTTGAGTTGGATAGGAACGATGTGGATATAGTTGGACGGTCTGGTGGGAGGATAAGAGAGGGTGTAAAATAATAGATTGTATTTTATGGTTTGTACATTAATGAATGGATGAAAAGTTTCATTTCTATTTAATGCATATCATTCCAACTGATGGGTTATGAATGCAGCTATGAGGTCGGTGTACCCCGTAGGTGGTACTGAATCAAGGTTGTTGGTTCTTCGTGGTTGAAGACCGTCTGGTGAGCCGTCTTGGTCTCTGGTGCTGGTGCCATCCGAATATCTTGACAATTGTCTAGAGCTGGAAGGTCGGAACGGTTCCTATCGGATTGCCGCCGGCGGGGGAGTGCATCGTTGATGCAGGCTGGATAGAGATCACAGATCTCGGTGATGGTAGCTGAAAGTGCTGATAGTAAAGCCATAAGTCGTATCTAGCCCGTTCCCGATGTCAATTGGATCTGTTCCATCTGTCGCATGAGAGTGCTGCTGCCCTCTTCATCCTCCATCCCAATACCAACTTCGATGGCAGTTTTGGGTCGATTCTTATTCAATCCCTCCAGAAGCGAGCACGCCTTGCAGATCTTCTGACTGGAAATGTATCCGCATCGCTCGCACTTGCCCAGGGTCTGCGTCTTCAACGGCTTGGTCGTAATCTTGGAACCTGTCTTCTTCTTCTTAGGCTGAGCATTGGCAGTCGGCAGCTTGATCTCGGTCTCTCTGGACTGCGCGGTATCGTCTTCGGTCAGTTTCTTTTCCATCGCGGCCATTTCTCCGCCGCTGGACCGGCCATTCTGGCTACCACAGCCTCCAGTCGATTCCTCCTCCGCCGCACCGGATCCGCATTTCTTCCCTCCAGTGACTTGCTTCGGAACCAACTCTGCCATGTCCTCACCACTCTTCACAATATCCAGAATCGAACTGGGCCGAATCTTCTCCAGGTCCTTAATCAGCGTCCGCGCACTGCCCCGGAACGCCTCAGGCGAATAGATACACTCGGTACTGAAGTAATCCAACTTCTTGTGGTGCGCATAAAGCACAATCTCCTTCTCATACGCATACTTGAGCGGCTTACTCCGCTTCACCTCCGACGCCCCAGAATCAGTAACGATACTCGTACCCCGCGAGAGACGAGGCAGATCACCTCGCAGCAGATTCATCATCACCGTCTCCGCCACATCATCCGCATTATGGCCCGTCACAACATGCTTGATTCCCAATCGAGCCGCACCCCGATCGAGCGCCTGTCGACGGAACACGCCGCAGTACGTGCAGTTGCCTTTCTTGCCCACCTGCGCGACCACCTGGTCCATCGTCCAGCCGTAGAGTTCATTGTATCCGACGATCTCGAGGGGCATTTCGTACTGGGTCGAGTTCCGCTTCACCGTCTCCAGACTGTCGTCGCGGTAACCCTTGATACCCTCATCGATGGAAAGAAGACATAACTCGAGTCCGTAGTCGTAGCGGTCGTTAAGGGTTTTCATAACAGATGCCAGCACGGTACTGTCCTTACCACCACTGGCGCCGATCGCGATGCGCTCGCCGCGATAGAAGAGGTTGGTAGAAGTGATGGTCTCGTGGACTTCTGTCTCGAAAATCTCCAGGAAACACGCTCTGCACAGCTTGTGTCGGTTCTTGGGTCGGATAATGACTGCCCTGGCCTCCTGGCAGTTGAAACACTGAGTGGGAGCCATGATTGATCGTGAAAATGGTTTTGAAGTGGGAGGGGAAGAATTGAAGAAAGAAAATCTGACCCCGCCATGCATAGTCGGATCCGATCTGTGTTGCTTACTCAGCATGCATTATTATTCGATGCACGTTTTTTTATGTCCTTGAATAAATTGATTTGGATTATTCAATAATCGGTATATTTATTAATTACAGATCATAATGCCAAAAGGGCTAATAATGCGGGAATTGAAAAATCCCCTTTGTTATTACATATCGCATCAAAGGCGCCTGACACAGAATATACAAAGTTATCCTCCCCGGGTTTTTTACATCTTCCAGCGCAACAAGTTGGCAATCATCTCACGACCGGTGATCCGGGATGTAGCCCAGAGGGTAGGGAAGTCGAGAGTGCTGGAGAAGGTATCGGCGTAGCCGAAGAACAGCATGGGAGGGATCCAGCCACGGGCGTACTCGAGGGCGAAGCACGAGTCGTCCATCTTGTATTGCTTCACCTCACCGCGGCGGAGGTGGTGCACGCTACCCTGGGGGTAGACCTCGGCCTCGTAGGAACCAGGGACGTAGGCGAGCTGAGTGCCCTGGAGGATGTTGAAGTAGTCGTCGGCGGTGTGACGGCCAGTGTGACCCTCAGTACCGATGGCAGTGCCTAATTCCAATTAGAAAGGACCATATAGAACGAGAAGAAAATAAGAGTACTCACCGAAAACAATCAGGTACTCGGTGATACTGGCGTGGATGATGTACATGGCACCCATAGCACCACCGGCGTTGTTAAACACCCATTCCTCCTCCTTGTTCAAGTAGACTTCGTTCTTCTGGCTCAATTCACCAACAATGTAGTCGACGACGGCGCGAGTGTCATTGCCGTGGGCACCGATGGCCGCCTGAGAGACCTGGTGCAGATGCTCCGGGTCGAAGATGTAGAATTGCTCGAGACGTGCATTGAGGTAGCTGTAGAGCGCGGAGAAGAGGGCCAGGAAGACGGCGAGGAAACCGAGGGAGCGCACGGAGAGGCAGCAGCAGCAGGAGCTCTTTGCGGGCTTCTGCTGGCGGGAAGAAGACGAGGAAGATTTGGAGGGCATGATGGGCGATCTGACCTTGGAATTGACTGGAAAGGATGGATGGAAGAAGATGCAGAAAGGCCGATTAAAAAATCATAACAAAAAGCAAATGGCGGCCGCGGAACCCGACGATTTGCTTCCCCTTTCTTGGCTCGGAGATTCAACAATCCGCTCAGGCCACTTTTGCATCTTGAAGGATTGACGATTTATGATTATGATTATGAGAATAAAGGATAGAGATAGTTATGAGAGAGAATGGTAAGAATTAGCATGTGGAGTTGTTTGTACATTGTTGTATGAAGACATGAATAGCTTCAAAGTAACCCAAAAAGAACACTAAAATGATTGGATCCAAAGCCATCATCGTCCATGAATGAGAATCAATTGAAATAAACAACTGAACAAGCCTGATTGGATTGATTGATCAGCTGGCATGTGACGCATCATCCGTACTGACAGTGTCTAACAGTGAAGCCGAAGAGTGTCAGCCAGAATCTTATAAAGTACAGCAACACCAGGGGCACCTTCAATTTATTTTCAGGAGATTCAAACGACATTGATTGATGAAACATCTTCAATATAAAAACGAAGATCTCTTCTGGATCGGTAGGAAAACGGGCATGACTCCGGGATTGAACAGCATCATTCCACCAATCTTGATGATGTTGGTATTCTTAGACAGTCTCTGGAATCTAGACATATTATATTGATATTAATGTTGAGATTGATTCAAGACTTGCTATATTGATGATGCTTTTATTTTCCTCATCATCGGTTGTTTCACCTGGTTTCGACAGGTCAACGGTCAACACTGCAGAATCATTATGGAGTCACCATCACAATCCATTATCAATTTTCCATTGTCTTCCGGATCATCCAAGACATTTCGTCTCATATTGATATCAAACTACTATAAGAATCGATGGTGGCATCGAACCTCAGAAGGAGAAAAACTCCACTGCACCAGTTTCGGAGAAAATCCGTCTTGTCAGACCATCTGGTTAGCCTGTGCTTTAATTCAATTGATGGAATGAATATGGATCGAGTAATTAATTAATCTATAACCTTGGTTGATCAGCCTGTTTTCTGGTCGTATATAAGAATGAATGTTTGAGCCATCGGATTTTTATTTTCATTCATTCATAATAGCAGATTTGCAGAGACTGGTTCTCGTTTCTTTCTTTCTTTCCCACTGACCTATCCTATCTTAATCCGTTCGTTCAAAATGAAATCCTTCATTACCATCCCCCTTCTCGCCGCTTTGGCTTCCGCTGCCACTGTCCCAACCAAGTCTCTTACCCGTCGTGCTGACTCGTGCGAGCAATACGCCACTGTCACCCAGGGCGACTACATCATCTACAACAACCTCTGGGGCAAGGATAATGCCGACAGCGGAAAGCAGTGCACTGGACTGGACTCCATCAACGATGGCACTGTTGCCTGGCACACTTCGTGGACCTGGACCGGTGGTGCCGGCCAGGTGAAGAGTTTCGCCAATGCCGCTTACCAGTTCACGGCCAAGACCTTGAGCAGTGTTTCTAACATGGACTCGGTGTGGAAGTGGAGGTGAGCACATCCGAGCTGAAGTTGAAAGGGAAAGAAGCTAATGTGGTATAGCTACACCGGTTCCGACCTCGTCGTCGATGTCGCCTACGACATGTTCCTCAGCTCGACCGCGGATGGAGACGCCGAGTACGAGATCATGGTCTGGCTCTCTGCCAAGGGAGGTGCTGGTCCTATCTCCTCGACTGGCTCTGCCGTCGCCACCACCACCATTGCTGGTGTTACCTTTGACCTGTACTCGGGCCCTAACGGCGCCATGACCGTGTACAGCTTCAAGGCTCAGTCCGAGACCGAGAGCTTCTCTGGTGACCTGTTGGACTTCTTTAAGTATCTGGAGAACAACCAGGGCCTCGAGTCCAGCCTCTACCTCACCGACGTTCAGGCCGGAACCGAGCCTTTCTCTGGCACTGACGCCAAGTTCGTCACCTCCGAGTACTCGGTCACTGTGGCTTAGACGTTTCAAGAGCCTGTGAAATTGCATCACCTGTGTCAGTTGTTAATTTCTTGTTGATATTCAATGGATACTGTGCATCGTTTGTGCCATGCATGATATGAGCATCAGCTTGATTGGGTTTGGTCGCCATCTCGCAGACCCTGCTGTAGAATGTATGATGTAACCGTAGGCCGAGAATGGTATGACAGCGGCAACTGGAACATACCAGAGCGCTTTAGCGTTTCATGTCGATCAACTGAGCTGCATAGGCAGACGGATTCAAAGCTGAAACATCCGTGCATGTACACTACTCGGTAGCAGATGATAATTCTCATGAATCCAAGCCTCACAACCACTTGATTCCAGATGCCTAGTGAGGCTGTGCCGTTGAACCATGGATTAAAGAAAGCGACGCGCCCATTGACTTCATCTTCTTTCTCAACGATGCAACGTGTGGCAAACATCTATCCTGCGATTTTGTTGAATTGAGCAGATGACTCGGTTTGGCGCGTGCTTCTAAGAATAACAGCAATTAGCACGATAACCGAACAGAACTGACGATAAAAATAACATCTGCTAGGAGACTACCGAGTCGAACTCCATCATCGACGTCAATGCCGGCCGGTCAATGGTGGGGAGTATCTAAGCGCTGGGACCTGCAGCGGGGAGTGATGGTGGGCGCTTATATCGGACGATCGCAAGGAAACGAGCCGTGACGCCAGGCTAAAGCTGCAGGAACAGTGATTAATATAGTATTCCGATGGAGAAGATGTTGATAAATATAGCAAAAGATGGAGTTGGAGTGCAGATGAGTTCTAGAAGTAGGATGGAGACGATGGAGACGGATGGGAGATTCTGCAAGCACCTGCGGCGATCGTCGTGCTAAATAAAGAACAGTGATGGTGAGGTTTATGATGACTTATTTTGACGGTCTGGATTAATGATTTGAATTGAGGATAGTAGCACTGCGTCTAGGATGAATCCTTGTCTTGATGTTTGTAAAGTACGGTCGGGTTTATCCAGGAATGTTAAGCCCTATGGCCCTGTAGGAGAGATTGATCCTATACAGGTCGTCGACTTGGGATGCATTCTCCTTTCAGACAGTAGAGGGGTTCATTCCAAGAAAAGAGGAGAGAATATATTTGGAATCGACCAAGTGTAGGGTTAGTGAGGGGTATCTCTCTGTGAAGCTGTCAATTGTCGGGATGCAGGAGATGGGCGCGAGGGTGGCGATCCCTGGATGGGGATGCTGTCACGCAGCATGTCAGTCCCATCCATGTCGTGCATCGTTGAGGAACTAGCAGGAGCAGCTAGTGAGATAGTCGCATCAACCAGCTGGGAAAGATGAGCTAGGATAGAGTATTATTAGAAGAAGAAGTGGATGCATTGGAAGAGGCTGGGCGGCAGTTGGGAGAACAGTCGTACAGATGGATTATTGGGGGATTATCTGGCGCCAACCTCGAGAATGAAGAGCAAGATGCCAATTCTGGGAGTATCGGATAGACAGAATCGGTTATCCATCCCTACGAGAGGATCAACGCGTCGAGAGGAGGAGGGGTCAAGGTTCACTAGCGATCAGAAAGAATGAAGTCAGTAATCTTCATCTATCCATTCCAGTTTCACGACGGCGCGTCGCCACCAGGATTGTACTTTGTAGAGTTTCAAGAGCTGAAGAGAGTGGATGCAGCGATTCCAGCCAGCCAGCCTCATTTGGAGGATGAAGATGGATGTTACAAGATGGAGATGGCGAAGATGGATGATTCGTGGCGGTTTGATTCCCCTCGCTTCGTCAACACCCATAATACCCATAATCATAATAATCAACAATCAGGCATAATAATTATAATAATAATTACTACCATAATAATACTACAATAATATGACAATAATAATAATATGAGAGTAAATAATAATAATAATAAATACACAGTAATAACAGCCAATCACCACGCGTTCCCACTCGCGCGCCAAATCCCTTCACGATCCTCTCTTGCGCTCCTCTCCAACTCCTCCACCTCCTCTTCTCCTCGCCATCGTCAAATCCGCCAGAATAATCGCTTCCACAGTTATGCAGGTTTCCCCCTTCTCTTGTCGATGGCTGCCAACCGCTGGTGGGCCATCCTTGCAGCCTGATTGACTCGTTCTGGCTCCAGCCGCCCATCCATTCTCCTCTCCCACGCCTCCTATATCTATTCCACTTCGCCTCGTTGGGATTCTTCACGAGAATCATCCACATGCTCAGTCTCGTCACTGATCTCAATCTTCTTCTGCCTTTCCTTTTCGTCCTTTTTTATTACTTCTTTCCTTCCCTTGTCTCTCTCCTACTATAATTACTCTTAATATTCTCTTTTCTCCAACGTCTCACCGTTTCACTACCAACTATTCATTCAATCAATTATTTTGTCTACTTGCAGTCTCACAGCCACTGCATTGTCTGGCCTTAAATCAATAGTTGCTGCATTGTGACTCCATCTCCACTGCCTGCAAGTCTCCTGTTCGACGTGTCTCACTGGTGAACACCTCCACAGCCGAGACATCTGCTCCATATATCGATAAGATCCATCGTTCGAGGTTGACACGACAACCTTCACCATCCTTACTGTTTTTTCATCGCCTTATTCCTGCAGGTCGGGATTCATTGCAGATTGGCCTTTGTCTTTCTCAGTCATTGTCAATTCATTGTTCTTTCAGTTCATTCTTCCCTAATACATCTCATCAAACATCGTGGCATTCCTTGGTCGAGACCATTCTGCAACATTCATTGTCTCTTCATACTTGACAATTGTTCAATTATTCATCTGATCAAGTCATTGTCTTTTTTTGTCTTTTTGAATTCACTCAAATTGAACTCACTTCCTCCTTGTGACGACCTTCCTCAGTTTCCCGATCAAACCACTTGATAATGACCCAACATCCTTATTACGCCAACAACAACATCAACCCCAACACCAAAATGGACGCCTTGACTCTCAATAGGACCGCCCTCAATGACTTCGTGGCTCTTCCTGTATCACGGGAGATGGTGTCACATCTGGCCCGCCAGGCCTCGATGGTCATCCGCTGCGAGTCGCATGTGACCACTTCTCCCAACCAACACGGCCAGCCCACGCCCCCCAGCACTCCTCCGATGGATGCATTTGACAACTCGCCGCCTCTGCCCTCGGTTGAAACTTTTATCGCTTCTCTTGTCACCCGGTCGCAAGTTCAGGTGCCGACGCTGATGACCTCGCTGGTCTATCTGGCTCGTCTGCGCGCTCGTCTGCCTCCCGTCGCCAAGGGCATGCGCTGCACTGTTCATCGCATTTTTCTCGCTTCGCTCATTCTGGCTGCAAAGAACCTGAACGACTCGAGCCCGAAGAACAAGCACTGGGCTCGTTACACCGCCGTCAAGGGCTATGAAGGATTCGGCTTCTCCGTCCCGGAGGTTAACCTGATGGAACGCCAGCTTCTGTTCTTGCTGGACTGGGAAACCCGAGTCAACGAAAGTGATCTGCTCATCCACCTCGAGCCCTTTCTTGCTCCTATCCGCCAACGTTACCAGATCCAGGAGCGCGAGGAAGAACTGAGACACCACCGCGAATGGCGCCGCCTCCATGCCTCCGCTGAACTTTTGGCTAGCCGTCTTCGCCGACAGAAGCTGGAGTCAAGAGGTGAAGTCCGTCGGGTCGAGAGCAACAGCAGCATCAACTCGCGCAGACGTGTTCCTGTCCAGGCCCCGATGCCCCCAACAGCCAACATTCAAACCCCGCCGACTATGGGCGATGGTGAACGCTACAACCCACACTATCACCGTATGCGCACATCGCCCAGCCGAAGTGGCCGCTCCATCTCGCCCCCGTCGCTTCAGGATGTCCCATCGCTCTCTCGCGCGGAAACTCTCAACTCGCTCAGCTCTCGTTCATCTAGCATCGCCCCCAGCTCTCGCGGCACACCGGCCAGTATCAGCACCTGCTCTTCCAACAGCGCTGACGAGGTCATGGTCGCAGATGGAGTCAACAGCCCGGCAGGATCATCCATGACCAACTGCAGCTACGTCAACATCCCAGCTATCCAGTCCAACAAGCCATCGTACGAGGAACTGCAGCAACCAAGCAAGAGAATGCGCATGGCCAACCACTCCGGGGGCGCAGGATTCGTCGCGCGATTCCTCGCCTCGGCCGCTGGGTCGTACATGGGTGGACGTATCGGTCGGCCACAATATTAAACAAGTTTGAGCTGGCCTCGACTTGTGTGCGGCGACTTAATATGCCATCCCAGTCGCCATCCCCCCTCATCTAGACTGTCGCTACGTTTTTTGTTTTCTCTTATCTCATTCAAAAGCATTTCACCGGTTGATTACATCTACATTTGTTGCAATACCCCCTGCTTTTTTATCTTTCACACTGTCGCTACATTGGTTGAATACATTTTACGCATTGGGCATGGATATGGCGTTATTTGCTTTTTTTGTTTTTCTTCTCTTGGTTTCTTTTTAATCTGCTTTTCATGATATCTTGGTTTGTCTTCCTTTTCCCCCGATAGATATGGGAACCAACCTAACTACCATCTTTCACTGCGATGTATGTTTATGTATGAATGGAAATGCCATCTACCTTACGTTTATTAATGGGTGGGAGATATTTTAGCACAGAAATGGATAGCATAAGGCTCAACTCGATTAATACAAACAACAACACACGTTTTATGATTAAATTAAAGAGGTTTCTCAATTTCCCAGCTTCCACATTTTTTCTTTTTTTTAGTCTTCTAATTACAATCTGAATCATAACATGTAAGGGGCCATCTAATAAATGCATGCACAGTGGGAACGGCACAGTCACACAAGGGAATTGCAAAACTCAATTTGACATCATGAATGCAACAAATCATCATCGGACATAATTCCACTTGTTCTCCCAAGTCTCGGCGTTGGGAAACTGTCCAGGCTGGGTTTTCTTGTGTCTGTTTTGTTTGGCATTTTGCATTTCTCGGGTGTGGTCAGCTACTTTCCGCTCTGTAGATGTTTGAAATCGCTCTTTTCATCGATAAGTTGGTTCTTGGTTTTTTCTCATCATTTGGTGACTATTTGCCTATTATAGGTCCTGCTAGTATTAAGGATTACCAAATTATGCCTCGTACTGATACCGATGCGTCACTAAGATAGACGCGATATAACCCCTAATCACATGCTGATAGGCTAAAGTTCTATTCATTTTTGATGAACGACTTCTCTTACTCGAATTTCTCGATTGCAACCACGAGACTCTTGGATCAAGAACAATCCCCACTAGTTGTTCCATACCAGAATCCACGGAAACATGGTCTATGGCGCTGTATTATCCGATGCCCAGGATTATGGGTTTCATTGCAGAGTATAGTAATGCTGACTTTACTGGCTCAAGGTCAAACTATACTCTTTTACACGATGTAAAGGCGACATATTGGATTCTAAGCCCTATAAAGCAAAGCAAATCAAATCAGAGGAGAGGTTTCCCCCTTCTTTTCCCACTATGCAGCTCGGCAAAGGCTGACTTGATGAGGCCTAACTTCCAGGCAGTCTGCGGGCATCCATCACATTCACACGGTAGTGTCTTTTTTATCTGATATGATTGGCTATCACGTATCGATATCACGCTGCTCCCGGCACTAACATTGATGGGTTGGCTAGCTTTCCCCACCAAGTCGTTCGTACGTCCTGTTGTCGAACTCTGTTGACGTTTAACCTTGAGGAACACCATCATCCACGTTGGTACCACAGATTATTCTTTTGTCATCAAGAGAACTTTGCAGTGTACTACGGCGATGGAGGAAAATGGCTACATGCCGTCGATGGAGCAGCAGCGATTACACTGTCGGCTGTATATGCGCCTTACCGTGCGAGCTGGAAGCTGCCAGACGGGCATTGGACCAAACGCACTACCACGGGCACGAGTTCGAACTGGCCGAAAATGACCAAAACACATACACCTACGGAGAAATCCACGGCCACAATGTGGTAATAACGTGTCTACCACCCAGTTTGTATGGGACAACGTCAGCAGCGATTGTTGCACAGCAAATGAATGCCAGCTTTCGATCGTTGCAATACAGATTCATGGCTGGGATTGGAGGAGGTATACCAAGTGAATCTAACGACGTACGACTCGGTGATATTGTGGTTAGCAAGCCTGAGGGAAAAGAACCGGGGGTTATCTAATATGATTTGGGGAAGACGCTGCCATCGGGTCAGTTCGAGGAAGTTGGGTTACTGAACAAACCACCTCGGGTCCTTCTCAGCGCTATTCCTCACATGCAAACAGACCGGAATTTTACTCAGCGACTGGCTGCATCTCTTGCAGCAGTTCTCACAAACGGTGAACTTATACAATCCCCAGGATACCATTCAGATCGTCTTTTTAGCTCGAGCTATCCTCACCCAGAGTCAAATTCAACGTGTGAAGAGTGTGATCCGCAATGGGTAATACAGCGGGAAAGAAGATCTTCAGACAGCCCTCGTGTGCATTATGGACTGATTGCCTCAGGTAATCAAGTGATGAAGGATGCAATCAAGCGAGATAAGCTTGCGAAGGCTAGAAATATCCTATGCATTGAAATGGAAGCAGCTGGATTGATGGATACTTTTGAATGTCTGGTTGTACGAGGCATATGCGATTATTCAGACTCGCACAAAATCAAAATCTGGCAGCCTTATGCGGCGGCTTCAGCGGCGGCATATGTCAAGACACTCTTGGAAGTTGTGCACCGGCGTCAGGGCCAGCAAACTCCAGAAAAGCAATGTAAGATTATCCAATATTGCTCTATTCGACTTGACACTAATGCAAGCATCATGTAGTGCAGATATCTCCCGAGCTGGATGAATACCTGTGTGAATTATTCGTAACAGATCCTAATGAGAACAGGCGAAGTCTCATGGTACGCAGAGGAAGGCCGTCGGAAAATACATGTCAATGGGTCTTTGGCACAGATGAACTGGCAAAGTGGTTAGACCCCAGAGCAGAAGATAATTGCCCTGCGGATAGTGTTCTCTGGCTCCACGGCTTACCCGGAAGTGGAAAGTCAACAATGGCGATGTGTCTGACAGAAGGCCTAGAGCAACGGTTTGAAGGTCATAAGCAGGACCCATTCGCTTATTTCTTCTGCGAGGCAAACCATGACACGCAGAATACCGCTACATCCATTCTCAGAGGACTCTTATGGCAGCTTGTCCGTCAGAACCCAATACTTGGAGATTGCTTGGTTAGGAGGTTTCGTGAACGCAAGGATACATTGCTTTCATCATTTGATGCACTTTGGACCACCTTCACAGATATAGCTGTTGACCCGAGGTGTGGAGTTTCGTACTGCATTATCGATGCCTTGGATGAGTGTGACTTTGAATCTCAGATGCTTATCCTTAGGCAGCCGAAACTGAGCTTTTTTGATCGACCTTCGAATCAGTTCACTTCAAATGTTCGAATCCTCATCACCAGTCGGCCTTATAAAGAGATTGCCACTTACCTCAAGCTATTTCCTTCGCGGGATCTTACCACGTTCGAGGAAGGGAAAAGGGACATTGATATAGTTATTGAACAAAAGGTCGGCGATTTAGACATGTGCAAGAACTACCCAGACGGAATGAGAAGCAGAATTCAAAATATTTTGAAAGAAAAAGCGGAGGGCACGTTTCTCTGGGTTGGATTGGCATGCAACGAGTTGATGAATGTCGACATGCAATATACACTGTCCTTCCTTGAAAGCCTGGCTCCTGATCTGAACGCGCTTTATGCGAAGCTGATGGAGAAAGCTGTCGAGAGTGAACAAAAGCGAGAGAGAGTTTACTCCATCCTTGCTGTTGTTGCGGTCTCACGACAAGCACTTACCCTGTCCCAACTCTGCATGGCCTGCTCTCTGTATAAAGGAGAGGAGGAAGGCACGAGAATTAAGTTTACACGAGAAGACGTTGCGGGCTGCCATCTAATGGTTGTAGAGAGAGATGGCCTTGTCAACCTGCTCCACAAGTCGGTGCAGGACTTCCTCTTCAGATCCGATCTGACTCAGTTTCCAACCATTGAAGAGTCGCATGCTCAGCTCGCATATTCTTGCATCAACTACACGGCAAAGCGCTTTCAGAAACCGTTGTCGGGTCTTGAAAAGCTGCTGGATGACATCGAATATAGGTTGCAAAGGGCAGAAAACGCTGATGATTTATATGGTCAGTTTGACCAGAAGAATTCAAATCAGATAAATTCATATCATATGGTAGTCAATATTGGATGGAGCACGCCGGCCTTGCAGGTTCCACATTTGATGTTGGCAAGGTCACGGAGACACATTTTCTCACCCTTGAATCTTCGTCTCGCGAACGGTGGTTGCGATATTGCCGACTAAGACTTTGTCCCTATCCTAGATACCTGTATCCTGTTCCTAAGAAACTGGGGATATTACACATCGCAGCAAAGTGGGGCATTTCTCAGTTGGTTACTTTCGCACTTGGTGAACAGTCGGCGAATGGAGGTAATTTCTACGTTGACACAGAATTCCTGACATCTAAACGCTCTACGCCGCTTGAAGAGGCTGCTAAATCGGGTAGTATGGGGTCGCTCACTGATTTGGTGTCTCGAAGTAATCCTGCAACAATTATCACAGACTCCGTTCTCACCGCTGTATTTCGCTTTAACTCTAATCGCAATGACTTGATCGCCGGCCTACTTAAGAATATAGGCCATCAGGTCTTTGTGAATAAGAAACTTGAGATCGCAGCGGCACAGAACGATGGGGAAGGGCCGGAGATATTGAAACTCCTGTTGGCTCATCGAGATAGAAAGCTCCCTGCCAGTAAGCCTCATATCAGTGAGTCTGTGCTTGTCGAGGTCGCGAGAAATAAAAGCAAAGGGAAGCAGATCATGGAGTTCATATTCAATTACCTCAATCATGAAGTCTCGGTCACTGAACGCCTTCTGGAAGCCGCTGCAGAGAATACTAAATGTGCAAATGTTCTTCTGGACATGCTCCTTGATCACTGGAAGAAACCAGATATTCCAGAAAGCGTGGTCGCTGCTGCCGCAGGAAATCGGACAGAGGGTCCTGTTGCTATCCAGCTACTGCAGAGGCGAACAACTAAGGCAATTCAACTCACCGATTCGATTCTTTACTCCGCTTTCGAGAACACAGAGAACGGCATCGCATCTCTGGAGCAGTTATGGAAAGAATCATCACAGCCCACCATTGTCGGAGAGCGGGCGGTCAGACATTATAGATCTGGAAACGAATTGGTTCTATGTTGGGCTCTTTCACAACCATGTGACTGTGTAGTTCTGTCTAAAGATGCAACTCGAAGTGTCTGGGCAAACCGGAGCGTCACGGTCATAAAAAAGATTCTGACCCAATGCAGAGAAGGTCTGGATCTGCCCGAAAATCTACTGGTGGCCGCCGCGGGTAACGAGTACCATGGTCCATCTATATTCACATTTTTGTTCCTGTCTTACTTTCAACAAGTTCAGGTGACTGAGACAATGGTGGAAGCAGCGGCCAAATCGAATAAGAAGACATTAAAACTAATTCTGGCACATAGACCAGCATATCGGGATGTGGTCAGTCAAGAGGCCATTGACAATGCTGCGCATCTGAAGGATGGATCATTGGAGGTTATGGGAGCTCTGTTCGATGCTAAGACAGGACCTATCTGTATTGGCCAGCAATTAATGGATATAGTGTTTGATAACGCTATGATGGCGAATCTCATTCTAGACCAACCAAACGTCACCGTCGACATCAATAGCACTGTGATTGCAATTCTAGCATACCAGGACGGAAAAGAGAACTTGATGGAACGTTTTCTGACTTTACCGGAACACCGAATCAAGGTTTCGCGTGAGGGTGTTGAGTCTATTGTCGAATATTATGGGCGAAATAATACTAAGCTGCTCCTTCACCGCGAAGATATCACCCTTCCATCTGACAGTATCAAATTCATCGTTCAACATCATGATGCGGAACTAGTATCTCTTATGCTGGATGAATGGCAAATCGAAATGACCCGGGAACTTCAATACGCCGCGTGTCGGAATAGCAACGCTCCTGGGATCTTGGCCCTTCTCATAGAGGGTACTTCAGGTGACTTATCTTTGAATGAACGAGTGCTGGAGATTGTTGTTAGTGAATGTGAACAGCACATTATCAAAGAATATTTTCAGCGCCTGCTACCTGATACATGGACAAGGAACATGATCAGTGTTCTTGTATCTTGCCAATCGAAATCCAAATACACCCAGCCATTGGTACAATTACTGTTACAATGTCACGAAGACGCTTGGATTGATCAGCAAGTGACCGAGGAGATTGCCGAATGTTGCCATGAGCCCGTGGTAGCAATTGCGCTACAGCGAAGCGAGTGGTCCATGGATAATCTGCTGATGGCAGCCTTGAATAATGTAAATCACGGTAGTGCAGTGTTGAAACAACTCCTGGTTGGCGATGACATTCCCAAATTCAGCATCAATGCTGAACTCATCTACGGCATGGCGCGAATCTCGGATCCAGAGACCATGTACCGTATGGTTCAACAACGCTACGATTCTCAGCCGACTCTGAGCATGTTCTTGCTTCTTTGGGCGGCCACAGAGAACCGCAATTCCGGCGATAGGGTTATTGAGTCACTGCTGATCATCGATGGTGCTAATTCAAGCACGAATGTCTCGGTGAAACAAAAATCTCCACCGTGATGGTCAAAGCCCCATAGAAGCTCTTTACCAATCACCGAAGTTGTCATAGATGCCGCTTGCGAGAACCAACAATTGGGACAGAAAATAGTGCGAATGTTCCTGGGGAGCTACTCTGACCAGATCTGGATCACAAGAACTGGATTGAGGGCGATAATCAAAAAGTTTGACATTGAGTTGATACACGATGTGTTGTCAGATGTGAGCTTCCAAGTGGACATTGATCATTTGACGATCGAAGCAGGTGTGGGCAATCAACTTGGGGGCCCGAGAGTTCTTGAGCTCTTGCTCTAGCAGGCGACAACGCAAATTGAGTTTACAGGACAAACGATTGTCATCGCTTTAGTCAATAAAAGTCACCAAAAAGCTTTAATGAGTCAGTTGATAGCCAGTGAAACGACCTTTTTTGGACAAGCTGCCATCACGGAGGTCATGAAAAGCTTGGATCCTACCATAATCACAGATTTAATTCTCTCTCCCAGTAAGCACATCAAAGTTGATGAAGTGTCTATATTGGAGGCTATCGCAGTGACACGATTCGCCTACTCACATCGTCACCTTATTCCAGCTTTTATGCACTCTTAATCAGCCAGTCACAATAACGTCCAACACAATAAGAAGCATATGGCGTTGTAGTCATGGGCTCCAGGCGATTGATGAAGTTTTGAAAACCCGAGATAACGGAGTTTCTGTCACAGTATCTGCCATGATTGAACTCGTTCGTCTATACAAAATGTCTTTTAACTCATATTCGCCACAATTTCCCCAGAAATTGGATCTATGGTGCGATGTCTTCGCTGCATACTGCAGACAGCTAGGTGAGAAGGGCGAGATTGACGAGGAAGTGCTGGTGGCGCTTCTTCATGCAAAAGATGACGACCGATACCTTTCTCGTATTTTGTCACAGAGACTCCATTTTTCAATACCTATGGTTGAAGATTGGATCTATCCTCTTAATCGGTTTGGGTCGATAAAAAAAGTTGTATTTTTCTTGATCGATCCACTCCGCATCCATAAAAATGTTCATCCAACACTGGCCATGACCACGGGAGGTGTCATTTGTATTCTCAAATTAGATGAGAGAATTCAATTAGCAGTAGCTCAGCTACCACGCGAATGCTTTCGGATGTGTCAGGAAGTTGCTATCGAATTGGCCGCAGTTGCAGATTCGGAAAAGGTGATGGCGACTATATTCAACCGGCGTGATGAGTGTATCAAAGTAACAGAAGATATGCTGCTTGCTGCTGCTGGAAATCGATGGCATGGAGAGGAGGTCACCAACTATCTACTCAGACTTTCGCCAGCGAACATTACCCGCGAAGTTATCATTAGAGTGCTGGAAAACAGCAGAGCTCCATCGGAGAATCTCCGCTCTCTTGTGAGACAATTAGGAAACAGTATCGACATCACTGAGGATTTGCTGATCGCAGCCTCTGAGGTGGAGGGCTATGGTAATTCGGGTCTCATGGGATTCTTGAAGATCCATAGCGCGCCACCAAGCTTTTCAAGCTATATCTGTGAAGCAGCCCTCATCGCAGCAGCCAAAAACAGCAATTATGGTGGCCGTATCATGCGGGAACTGCTGGAGACATCGGGCCCATTGCCAATTACAGAAGAGGTCCTAGTTTGGGCCTCCCACACTGTTAAGACTGGATATAAACTTTCAGGGTCCATGATCGAAAGGCATATTATGGATCTTCTGGTTCGAAAAGGGATCGATCGGAAACCCCCAAGCATCGAGTTCTTGGAAACTGCTTTTTCAATGTTCGAGCCATGTGTATTGGCATTCATGATAGAGCTGTACAAGGGCCTTATCGAAATTAACACGGAATTGGTCTCTTACTCGCTTGATGGGGCAGATTTTCGTGAGATCCAGAAAATACTCACAGCAAAAGGCCTTGTGAGCGATGTTAATGCAAAGTCGACCATTCACAAACTGCCTGATAAAGCCGACCATCATTGCGGTGAAACCGACTCTATAGATTCGATGTCTGAAAAAAGCGAAGAATCTTGCGCTGATATTACTCTCACGGCGGAAATGGTTCAGTCTGCGACTAACATGAAGAGACAAGATGGCCACGAAACTCGCATATACTCACTCCTGGGCCAACAGACCCGCACGGTCATAGTAACAGCCGAAGCTATTCCTGCAATAATCAAGTACGATGACCTGAGCACGATAAAACTCCTGGTGTCGGGGAATAATAACATCGTCATTCCTTCAGTGCTGCAGTTTTCATTGAGCAACACGAGGGTCGAGGACATACAACACGCTTCTTTTCAATCCGAGATCGCCGTCACGGACCATATCATATGTGCCGCGATCGAGAATACCCGCGATCAAAATCTGGCTATTTTGGGATTTCTGTTTGTTCTTTTTGGCTGTCCGACTATCATATCCAACAGAGTCTTAGTAGCTGCTGCTAGTCTAGAACACAACCCCACAAACGTTCTTGAGTTTTTACTTTGTTGCAACCAAGGCGAGATTGACGGACTTGAGTCAATCGCCGTCGCTGCAGCAGGAAACCACACTGATGGAGATCACCTTCTTATGCTTCTTTTTGATCATTTTGGAGATGAGATCCAACTCTCCGAGCGTTTGCTCGTCGCTGCTGCGGAGAACGAGAATACCAAACATGCTCTATTACAATGTCTTTCGTCGCCGAATTGCCAAGTGACACCGAAGGTACTTGCTGCTGCTGCATGTAATACTGTTTTTGTAGTGGAAATGATGAAGATGTTGTTGCAACGGTTTCAAACGCCAATCACAGAAAGTGTGTTGATTGAAGCTGCTCGCAGTGGATGCCTAGGCGATAAACTTCTTGATCTGTTTCTCGAAGAAAGGAGATACGAGTTTCGATTGACTGAGAAGGTTATCGAAGGATTCATAAAAAGGACAGCATATTGCAATGATTGCACAGGACATTCCAGGGTCCCAGAGACTTTTCTTGATCCATCCTACTACGTCGATCCATACTCTGTTCAAACTGCTGCAATTCTGTCCAAGTCACTTTCCTACTCACAGTTCAATGTTTTCCTATCCAATTATCAACTTGTCAACCCACAGGACTTGGCTTTAGAGCTTGCTCAGGAATGCAACGATGTCACTCTACGAATGATTCTCGAACGATATGGCTTCAAAATTTCCATGTCAGAGGCTTTGTTGAAAAGAGCAGCCCGGAATACGCATTCGAGAACAAATATTCTCAAAGTCTTCATTTTTTCCGGGGAGAATATAGGGCAAGTCGCGGAAATTACTCCCGACGTGGTAGCTGCTGCTGCGGAAAACCCAAAGTACGGATACGAGTCTGTCCAGCTGCTGCGAACACGATGCTCAGAAGCTCCATTTGTCGACTCGAAGACAATATTGGCCGCTGTTTCTAATCAAGCAGAATTCTCTCTTAGACTGCTCAGGCTACTTTTTCGATGCTCCCAGTGTTCTCTTCCGATCACCACCGAACTCCTCTCCACTGCTGCCAAAAACTCTAAGCATGGAACGGAGATGTTGCGACTCCTTCTGTCTCGCCTTGAAAAACAAGGGGATGATCAGATCAACTTTGAAGATGTCCTGAAAGTTGCAGCTGCCAATACCACAGTCAGCGAAGGATGGGCGGATTTCAGTTACATCTGGCATTCCCCTCTGGGGCTGCTCATCCGCAAAAAACGTGATAGGATAACAATCACCGAAAGCGTTTTAACTGCAGCTGCAGCAAATTCTGAAAATGGGAAACGCTGTTTTCTTCTCCTAATGAAATACGCTGGAGAAGGATTTGCAATCACCGAGAACGTTGTTTGTGCGGCCGCTAGGAATCCGGAACAGTGGCTTGACATCTTAACGATTATTCTTGATCATCCAACATACCAAGACGTTGATGTATCAGAAAAGGTTCTTACAGCAGCAGTAGGAAATGATGGTTTGTTTACTCGGGATAAAATTATCAAGCTTTTGCTCAGTCACCACAGTGCGTCGCTTCCAATTTCAGGACGCGTGGTTCTAGCTGTAGCTGAAAATCCGTGTTACAGCAAGGAAATTATGGAAATGCTTTTGAAGCAATACCAAGGTCCTATCTGCATTTCGAACGACACATTACAAAAGGTGTCAGCAGAATTGGGAGGCTCCATTTGTCGAAAGCTGCAGGCGCGTCAAGTCCATCCACAAGCCCCCGAGAGCATGGAATGGCACGTTCTGTGGCGGCTGTTCATTCTTTTTGTATCTTGTTATATATGGCCTCTTTTCCATTGGGATACCACCAGAGATGTTGGATGAACTGGTTTGACAGCAAAATGACGGAACAGCTTGTTCTGGAAACAAACTGCCCTATGGAACAGTAGGGTGACTTTGTGCCTTCAGTGTAACTTGGCCAATGAAACTGATGGAACTCCTAAAGTTTGACAGGCAGCATAAAACAGTGATTCCTACCAGCAGTGATGCTTGTCTCATCGATAGTAGACGCCGCCAGATTCGTAGTGTGTTTGAATATAAAATTTAGTAGCTTGTTTAGGCCAACAAGAACATTCAGCAACAAATTTAAACTATAATGCTAACTAATATAATTATCCTAAGGCGCGCTGATCGTTCCACCTGATTCTATGGGCATTGGTATGACAGCAGCTGGTACATCGCGTCCTGGACCTGGACCTACTCTTGACTCGTTATCGTGCGCAGAGACAATATCCTAGCCAAGCAGCAATCTTATTAAATTGTTCTACATAATCTCCTCTTATCTCTATTCCAGTACATACAACCACAGGGTGTGGAGAACAGGGCTTCCCGTCCGCTCAGCCGTACTTAAGCCACACGCCGGCAGGTTAGTAGTTGGGTGGGTGACCACCAGCGAATCCCTGCTGTTGTATGTTTTTTTTGTTAATTCCTGTTGATTAACAAGTTTCTTCAATTTTTGCTGTTGCAAAGACGAACGAGAGTATGAGACCCAACGCTGCTACTCCCGTGACAACATCACACGCTCATCTCCAGCGATGTGGATCCCATGACCCCTGACGAATAGCTCACCGATACATACATAGCGCTGCATGATCAGCGATCCAGGATCATGAGTTTTCATAGTTTGGAATTTGCTTGGACCAGTTCCTCTGGCTTTTAAGCGACCAGGGCAAATCCCAAGGTGGGTGTACAGGTAATTTGCGAGTTGAGTTTCCGCGTCCTGCCATGTCAAGCCCCCGCCACCTCTCCAATCCAACGGTTTTGCATTGCACAATGAAGAAGGCGTGTCGTCGCGAGCCCGTCTCCCAAACGGTGTCCATGAACTAACTGTATTACTGAGCTTTCGACCCAGGCAGTATGTCCTGGGATTGATTGTTGTTTTGTTAGATCGAGGCGCCGACGGAGTGTTTTGGTAGAAAGTATCGCCAAATCGTGCCTCCACAGGAATGAATTCAGGTTCAGGGCCGATTCGATCATAGTGCGGCATGATCGTCAAGACTTGCTCTGAGCAAAAAGACAGGACAAGGCATTGAAAGACCTAAAATTGAGCAATGTCTGGTATCTTTCAGATTAGCAGTTGGTACATCGTGTTCAAGTGATAAAAGGAACCTACTCTAGAATTGTTTTCTATACATGGGATAGAATTCATGTCCGTCGATTATCATACACCACACTAGGACGTTCAGTTGCTTCCCTCTCTTCGAAGGACAATGGCTCGTAGGCTGGTGTATATAGACTGCTCGGTATCCCCCTGACAGCTCTTGTACTTAAGATAGAGACTGGTCGTATATAGTCTTGTTTAGGTGCTATTGCAGTTTCGATGTTTTTGTATCTAGATATGTGCCATGGTATAATATTGCAAGAAAAGACACGACCAAGTTATGGGCCTTGGTGAAAAGAATCAATCTGCTATAGCCAGCAAAAGCAAATCGATCCCAGCAAATCGAGGTTCAATGAACGTTTTTATTTGTCGTGATATTGCTTGCCGTTTGTAACTCTACCTAGAGCCAGTCCAGGAACTGCTAATTTGCAGTTGGACCAAGCGAGAGATAATTTACCGGATTCCAAGACGGAATTTTCTCTTGCCCTGCTTTGCTCCAAAGAGCTGGGCCATTTCATCGGTGTCTTATTTACGACATTTCCTGCTTTCAGCAAGCGAACCAGTCCAATCACGGCCTTCAGAGCCTCGCGTAGATCGAGTCGCAATTTTAGATTGAATTGGTGTGAGCCCCAGACAAAAACACGCTTATTCTCACGGAGCAGTGGCATTTCAATATATAACCTGTACGGATCTCGTTCGCGTTCGAGAGGAAGCATTGTAGACGCTCGCTCATGCGGTGCATGTGTTCATTCTGAAGTTCCCATTTCTTGATCGAGATTTCTAGTCAAGACAGCTTTGACATGCCAAATGATTCATAGAGCCAGAAACGGACATCGAGATTCAGCTTTGACTGTGATTGTTTCATCGAAAAATCATGTGTAGCGCAAGTTGTTTGTGATTCATCAAGCAAGGCCAGAATAACCGAATTGATGGGCCAGGTTGATTGATAGAAATATGGAACTATGTTCGTATGTTCAATCGATGAACAGGAAATACAGGCAGTGATCAACCCGTTTTGCGTACCAAACACTTGCATCATGATTCGGAGAATGACTGGCGACCCTGAATGGGGTGTTGCAAGGAATATTAAGCCGCATTTGTTGATGCAACTAGTTCTCCTTGCCCTGAGTGTTGCATCTCCGTTTCAGATAAAAGGGAGGTACTTGTGTGACTTATTGGTTGACATACCAAGTTGGGATTGTGTCTTGAAGCTAACACAGACAGATGGCTGACACACGGATTGGAAGGGCATATCGGCCATTATGACTTCGAAAAAAAACCTTTCGGTCCTTTTGTTCTGTTTATTTTGTGATGTTTGTCTCTTATGTCCCAACCGTTGTTCCCAAGCTAGCATCAGAGGTATGATGCCTTCCGCGAAAGCGAGAACAGGATGAACTGGTTCCTGAATCCGCGCATACTCGTAGCCAGAGATTAGTTTAGCCATATACAGAAGCTAATAATGGTCGCAATAGTGGTTCAGTAAAGATATGATCCATTAGACCGGCACTTCACAGATGCGAGAAGAGAAATGCGTGAAGCTGCATTGCCAGTGTCGCGGATTTTGGTGCCGTGACCACAGAGTCAATTGTTAATTTGGCTCACATTTTCAAGAAAAGCCCAGTAAAGGGGAAACGAGACAGGTAAGAAGTCATGTACATGGTCTTCTGTCGTTTCAAGCGTTATCCGAAACCTCGCAGGTTTCAATGGCAGCTCTTCATTTCATCATTTCGAAAACTTCTGCGGCGCCGCGAAAACCAGCAACTCTCTGAAGGTGCCACTGTAGCATCAGGAGTTCCAACGAAGGTAAAGAAAAATCATTCTTGGCTGTGGCGTGCACTGATCAAGAGCCATTGGGCAGGAATGAACAGCTGCATTTTGGATTCCATTCAATGGGAAGTTTGGCATTCAAGGAGCACGTAGAAAAGAAGTGATATGAAATCGTTCTGATTTGCAAATTGGATCGCCAGATGTAACTTGGTTTGTACATCAAGTACTCAGAAAGACATGGCTCTGGGGCGATGGTAGCCCAGAAAAACGACTTGACTGGCAAGTCGGTAGAAGCCTCAGCAAGGCCAACTGATCTCATGATATCATTCCATTGCATGTGTGTAACTCATATGGCTTGTTTGTTGATGGCATATCGTCTGGACAAGGATGACGCACTGTTCCATTCCGTGAGTGGCCATTTCTTCATTGTATCTGAAAATCCAAAGAGGTAGAAGCCAACAGAGCATGAATAATGAGTACTCTCATCGGCCAAATATGTCTTAAATTCCAACTTCTTGCTGCAAGACCGGCTCATAATCCAAACGAGTGCCTAGGTGCATTGGGGCTGCTGTCCTGTCCAGGGAGGCAAACAAGTACAACACTGGGCCATCTTGCTGTCGAAATTCGAGGAGAATCGTTCCTAGAGTATAGCTCCTCTCCTCCTGCAAGGAATTGCAGTCATTGGTTTTGAATTGTCGGCAATAGAGTGATATTCTGTCAAAGCACCGTTTGGTAGTTCCACGAAGTGAGCTTGCTGCATGTCAGATAAAACTCGAAAGATGATGCACCATCGCTCGTATATTCTGTGCGCGATTAGGGTTGAGTTGATCCATTCGAAAGCTTTGTGGGCGTTTCTCACTTGGGAAGATGGCTCTCAAGAGCAGAAACTTCGCCCTCATTCCTCTTGCTTAGAGATTACAGTCGGTGGTAGCTGCTCAGTGACTCCATGGTCATGGCAATCATATGATCACCTTTCCATGCACTGGCCCGATTCATCGCACACCAGTACCTCGGGTTTAAAATCCGAAAGCTGCAGGACATCTTCAGAGATGCATTGCTTAACGTAGCGGCGACGATATTGCTTCCCCAAGAATTTTTCTCAAAAAAAGTCCACGTAAGTTGATCTCAAGGCCTTTGCCTGTTGCTTGCTCAAACCTTTTTGTTGATTAGTCTTTGTCTGATGGAGAAACGTATTGCAATCCTCACCAGTATGGGAATTGCCTGAGATATATTTGCATGCAGAAACAAGAACAGTAGCCCGGATTCTCCACATTTGTGACCGTATTGCTATCTGCCATCCCATGACTTTCATGGTTTAGCAATGACCTGGTTTTCGAGATAGGGCAGTAGTCTCACAGTACCTAGGCTTTTGATAAGGTTTTTCCAATTCGTTCGGTCCCTCGCAGATTACAGTTCCATTATTGCTTTGTTTGATGAAGAGTTGGTGCAAGCCTAGCGATGTTCAAAAAAGCCATTGCAATGAAGACCCGCGTATATTCCTAGGGTTGAAAGAACGTTGTATGGAAAAGTTTCAACTGAACGAATGAACCGGACCTGGGACTCTGGATAGTAAACAAAACTGATCATAGAGCTTGAAGATTGTCTTACCTCTCAAGATCCATTTTCTAGATCTCATTCTAGACCACTTAGGGAGAAAGCCACGAAGTTACTTCGTCAGCGAAGAGCTCTCTCGCTTCTCTCAAATTGGTATATCGAGCAATTAGATATCTCGAGGGACGTCCAATAGAGGATGTCTTCCCCATCCTCTGCCAATGACCGAAAGAGACGAAATTTAGCAGTCTCGGCAATCATCATTTCATGAAGGGTAGACGCTTCGCTTCGAATAGCCATGCATTACTGTATGCCAATAAGTTAACATAAGCCAGTACACCGAGAATGCCACTTACTATTGAACCCACGAACCGACTTTTCCTCGTATTAGTCGATGGTCAACCAAGATCCTGGACAAAAAGTACTGTAATCGTTTGGCGCGGGATAAGATTGTAGATTGGCACCTTCCTCGTGATGTGTGATCATTCCAAGGCCAGTAAATTTTTCCATTGGCCTTCGTTCTGGGATATTTGCCTTGCGTCTGTAATCTGGCGAAGAGGAGACGATTGGGCGTGCCAGGTATTCTATATAGACCAACATCGATAAGCTGAAGGCAAGGGTGCAATATAGAGGAAGAGATAAGAACGTATATATGAAATGCCGTATTTATAAGTCGCCAGGAAGCATTATTCACGCATTTGCTTGTAGCCTGGATCGGTGACTGCATCAGTATTGGATATTGGGAAGGTTGATTCACTATAGAGAATCACGGGTAGAGCATGTCTATTACTTTGAAATTAGTGATTGCAATGGTATAATCAGCGTAGGCTTACAGTGCCATCTTCCACTCATCATGATTTTCTGCGTGTCAACTAGTTGTATGTATAGTCAGAGAGGGTATATAGTTGTGTTGAAGAGACGCCTGGCCATGGGTTAACTGGGGCTATATATGCTGCCTTCTAGGCAGAAATGTCGGAAGACACATTCCGTATATCTCTTTTAGAGAGTGAATATAAAGATAGAAAAAGTAATCACGAAGTATAGTGGAAGAAGTCTAGCACTGGCGTTGTATTCATGGTTGTATGCAATGGCTAATCCGCCACAGTATAGACATAATCAATCAATCATAGCGCTGATACATGCTGGAAGAGAAAAGAGAAAGGAAAGAAAAGAATAGAATCTACAAAGCAGGGGCTTCCCAAGAATCGCGTTTGATTTTCATCACGGCCGATTGCTTGTGGGGGAAGGTCACCTCGCCCTCTTTGTAGAAGCCGTTTTGTTGCAAATAGCCAATAACCCTGTTTCACCCTGTTAGTATCCGATGGTACTTTGAAAAGAAGAAAAAAGGAAACTCACTTTGCATTATCCACTCTTGGCTCCAGCATCACGGTTTCAGTCCTGTTATCCGCCAGCCAGCAGTAATGCACCAATGCACTGAGCCAAATAGCCAACCGGTGTGATCCGCGGAATTCCTGCTCGCCTACCAAAAGATGAATGCCCCGGTCATAGTTGGTGACTCCGTCAATCAACCGTCCCAGGCGATCCTCCTTCACCCAGTAAATCTCAAAGTATCCAAACGGCTTGCCGTCCCAGCATCCAATCACAGGGAAGCTGTGTTTGTTCTTGAGGTTGCTGCGAAGGAATCCTTCCTGCTTCTCGATAGGCCCACCTTCGCCCCAGGCTGCGTTGACCCGTGGGTCATTCATCCACTTGTGCAGCGTGTCCAGATCCGAGGCCTGGTTCTGAGGCGGCTGTTCGACGCTGCCGGTAGAAGATGTATGCGAGTGGGTTGGAGTAATTTGGGGATTAGGGGGATTAGGTGAGGGGATGTTCGGCACCCGGAAAGAGAGAACCTGTCCTACACTAGGTACATACCGGGTGTAGAACACCTCACCCTGGTGAGGTGGCTTGGGCCGAATGGGGTGCCGAGTTCCATCCGTGAAAGTAAACTGCGTAGGCGGCGGAGGGAAGAACGTAGGGAGGTGGCTAGCAGATGTAAACGGTCCCTCATTTTGAATATGCGGCATAGTGGTGCTCTCTTGACCCGAAGAATCCGATGTGCGGGGTCGGTGGCCAGAGTCTCGTACAGGCGACGCCCTTCGCGAGGGGAAAGGCGACAGCACCGCCGTCGAAGGGGTGTTTGTCGGCGTCAGCGTGAAGAGGAAAAGGCGAGGATCAATCTGCCAGAAGCTACGTCGGCTCACAAACATATGCGACCAGGCTTCCTGATCGTTGACGTCGTCACCGACGGCCGAGTCCTCGGAGGCAATCAGACCCATGCGCTCCAGCTTCTGTATAATTGTTCGCTTCTTGAAGATCCCATCCCGCTTGATATTAATGCGCCAATCTCCCTTTGGTTTGCCTCCATGGGGAGTGCTCGCTGAAGCGTCTGTCTGCAGATGGAGGTCTGGCTGGGGCTCGTGAAAGTACCACCAAAGAGTCGCCCACAGCATCATGGCAACCTGACGCGTCGGGGAGCTAACGGGCTTGTACTCGCTGCTGGGAGGGTTGACAATGGACGAGATGTAAACGTAGTCATCGTTCAATGTTGGGGCCGTGAATCGGGCGCTCTGCTCGCGCTCATCCTGGGATGGGTCTTCTGAAGCTTGCTGTTTCGAGCTCTGCTTGGTATTAAGGACAATGGTCCATCCTGGAGGAAGAACGGAATGCTGTCCGTTGGCTTCGGAGGACTTGAAGGTGACCCCGCCGAACACGGGCGTCACAGTGAAGACCTGCCCATTGGGGAGGTGGCAGAGTCGATTGTGCATGATGAGAAGCTGGATACAGACGAGGGAGAAGAAATAATAAAATGAGGAAATTAGAAGAGTTTTAAGGGAGAAAAAAAGCCGTAGGGAAAAAATTGGCCAATGCCCAGAGACGCCGTGGGATGATTTTCATCTGCCCCTCATTTAGTCGAAATCAGCAGATAATCATCCGCAGTGGAATTATCTGAAACGTTGTTTCTTTTTATCAATCTCGGGATATTTTCGTGAGGATGGAGGGATTGATAGGGCATTTATGTTGTTTCCATTATTTATCCTGCTGTTCTATGGCGATCGCTGTGTTGTAAGGTCGAGTGGTGTTGACGTTATTTTCAACTTTAATCATTTTGATGTCATATGTTGCTATCAGTCGACAATTGCATCCATTAGGGTATAATCTCACAATCTACTATCTGCTATCTGCCATTAATAATAATACATTACTGCAGGGGTACAATCAGGGAAATTAAAAGTCCTCCACAGTGGTCCCGACGTTTCTTTCTCTTGCCAGTCGAACGAGATCGCCTCCTGTCACCAAGTCCATCAAGCCCAACCCCACGCTTTTGAAGATTACATTGCCCCGCTGCACCCACTCGCGCAGGCTCTTCGCATCTTCGTCGTCGTCCCCTGCCTGAGACTCTTTTCGTACCATTAGAAGCTCGCCCAATTCGACCACCTGGCTCGGCTTGACTCCCGCCTGGATAATCTCGCCCGCCTCCTTCAGGGCTCCATCAAGACTGTCGACAACCACGACACCACTGCGCTTGGTGTGCTTGTGGAAGTGACGATGGGAAGAGTGCACAGTGACCTCGTCGCGCAGGATATCCGGGTGCAACTCGGTCATGTGCGATTTGTATGATCCGATCGCGCTGACCAGGCGGCCCTTCTGTCGGCCTTCGCGCGAGGTGAGGAGCTCCGCAGGGAACAGCGGCTCGATCGAAGGAGTGCAGCAGAAGATAGCGTCGGCCTTGTGGATTGCATGGTTCAGGAGACGTGGGTATTCGACAAAGTCGCTGCTAACGGCAGAGAACTTGACGTCGCCGCGCCAGCTGGAATTTTCAGCGGCATAGATATCCTTGAGTAGTTCAGCCGCCCGTTCAAAGGAGCGGTTGATGATGTAGACTTTATGAATATCGGGTCCACGCAGCGTCAGGGCGAGTCGAATGTGCCAATACGCCTGCTTACCAGCTCCAAAAACAACCACCGTTCGCACACGTTGGCGTTTATTGAACAGCATAGTCGAAGCGAGCGCGGTGCGGAAGGGCGTCAGCTCATGTGCATTAAGCAGTCCAAATGGCAAACTGTCCCCATCCAGCAAGGTTACACTGCCCTGAGGAGAAGTGTCTCGGGTGCCTGCCCCAGGCCACGCTCCCATGGTATTGGACACCTGAGAAGAGCTTCTTTCTCCAGTCACGGGTTGTTGGTTCACGCAGCCCGACGGCAGCGACTTGCTGCTGGACGTACTCAACGATTGGTCGCCTTCATGTGAAGACACCGACAAATCACTCATATCAGATGAAAGCGAGGACATGGAGCTGCGAAATCCAGACGACCGCGACCGTGATGACGACTTTTCGCCCTCGGGGATCTCAAAGCCAGAATCCGTGGCGCAGCCAGCCTTGTCTCCATCCTGCAGCGAGATCATCTTCATTCCAATTGTCTGACCGGTACTAGCCGGCATAAAAAGTGTAGTACAGCCATTCTGGCGAGTGATGGCAGTTCTTCGGGGTTGATAGGACGCGGCACAGCCCTGTTCCTGGCTACCGGTCGAATAATCACGGAGGGCGTCTGCAAGGTTCTGCTGCAGAGAGGTGATTTCGTCGCGGGTCAGCGACAGCAGCAAAGAGCTAAGCTGCCCGTGGGAGAGGATGGTCAATGGCATGAGAGGCTGTATGGTATGTGTTGAGTTGAAAATAAAAGAGTGTGTGGTAGTAAGTTGGAGAAGAGAGGGGAAGAAGAAAGACGGATCAAGTAAGTGTGATTGAGGTCAGATAAGCTCAGCCTACCACGAGGATCAGTGAATGGTTATATAGACCAAAGACAAGTTGAAAGTACCTTTATGACAGTGATAAAACAGGAGAAAGAAAAATTCTCCTCAGCTCGAAACGACAACGGGGCGCATCGGGCGTTGCTGGTGGGCGGTTGTTTCTTGGAGATGACGACAGACAAGACTTTAAGGCGGGGATGGGCGGGGCGTGCGAGAGTCACCAAAGAGTCACTATTATCTATCTGCCATTCCAACAAAGAATTCTTCTCGACATGTGCTAGACAATGGTGAGGAGGTTACGCAGGTATAACCACCGGTCATGGATATGGCTAGCTGTGGACGCGTGGTGTGGAATGTTAGCTTACGAGGCTATCCCGTCGATCCATGAGGGTGTAGAGGGAGATGGGAGATGCACTAGAACCAGCATTCTACCAAGGTGAGACAACTAGTTCAACATTTCAAATTGACTAAAACTGTTATCTTGCCATGCAACAGAAAGTACAGACCAAACTTTCGGTCCCCGCGGAAAGCATAAAAATAATCGAGGATATATACCTCCCTCCACCCAACTCCGTATCTGGATATCAAACTATAAAAAACCCGAGAAAAACCGACAAGATTAACCCCACATATCATCATCATCCTGGACCATATCATCCTCATTCAGAACATGAAGACCATTTTCCTTGGTCTCCCGTTTCCTCTGTCGCTTGGTCACTACCCGACTAGGCGTGAGGGGCGTCACCGGTGTAAATGGCATGTATGGACTATACGGAGTCGGAAGTCCTGTTCGAGGCCCGCTCTTGAGTTTATCAGGACGTTCCAAAATCGTAGTCTTGGTCGCCGGAGCACTTTGCAAAGGGAATGCATCACGGAACGGGAGGGATGATGCCGACTTTTGGCCCGCAGTGGAAAGAGTCAACGGGGCTGGTGCTGGCGCTCGTCCCATCCGTGGTGGCTTGCTGGAACTGACCGGAGCCGAGGCAGCCGGTGGCGCTGGAGGTGGAGGGGGGTTGTAAAGACGAGGGGTCAAGGGAGGCAGGTTCTCGCTGTATGAGGCAGATGGGGGAGCTGGCGGCGGAGGAGGGTTGTAGAGACGAGGGGTCAAAGGAGGTTGGTCTTCGCCGTATGAAGCGGACGCTGTCATGTCAGGCGAGGCCAAGGGAGAAGAGATGGACATCTTCCGAATGGCAATCCGTGGTGAACGAAGCTTGCTTGCACCCGCTGGTTCGCGTGAATTCGAATTGTTATTGTTATTGTTGTTGTTGTTGTTGTTGCTGCTGAACAAAGAGAGCGACGATAATCTGGATAGACGAGAGTTGGTTGACCGTGGACTCGCCGGGAGCTTCATGGAGGGTCCCTCTGATACCCGAGACGAACGATCCGTAAAGGGATTTGTTTGCACGCTATCGGGCGATTGGGAATCATCTACAGAGTCTTTGGACATATCGATCCCGGCCTCCTTTTTCGCCTCGTGCTCCAGCACCGCGGCATAGAGCATTTCCATCTGCTCCTGCGCCCGTTGCCGGTCATTCGCAACCACTGATTCATCGATTGTAGCCACACTTCCATTGCCGGAGATGTGGGATTTGGGTCCTTTAGTCAGGCTGCTCCAGGATCTGTTGAAACTATGTCCTTTGGTAGGACTGGGCAGGTTGACCGAGATCGGAGTCACCGGACTGGGCTCCATGGTGGATGGAGATTTGATGGGCTTCATCATTTCCACTTGTAGCGAATAGTTGGAAGCGTGGACTGCTCGTCGCAAACGTCGTCCCACCACGAGAAGAAGGGTCAAGAGAATGGCCACAAAAATCACGTATGCGCCTACAATCCCACCGATCTGAATAGCAAGAAGCGACTCATCCAGTGGAATGTCCCCACGACGATTCAGACCCAAATTCGGCTTTTCCAAGTGCCCAGAGACCGGCCCAGAAGCAGCAGAAACAGCGACGATAAAAGGAGTAAAAAATGTCAAAAACATTGAAATGGGTATCATGATCACGGGTCCGCAGACATTAAGAGATTAAATATCAATCGACATGTCGAGGAATTGGGAACAAGGCCGCAAATCCTTTACGGAAACAGACAGAGTGACGGTGATACATCCTCGAAGAGGGGGGACGGAGGGAACGGGAGAATATAATGAAAAAGCCATCACCGACTGATTGGCCGTGACAGTGTGAAGACCATCCAAGAAAGTTGCAGGGACCAGAAGACGAGGATCGAATGGGGATGGTGAAGCTGACGATGGGCCGTGAGAGACGACGATCGAGGGACGCCCGTTGGTGCAAAATACGCGCCCGGATGCACGGCCGACACAGTCGTCACACACCGTCACTGGCCATTGAGGAGGAGGGATGGAGTGCCATTTCAAGGATGGTTATCACATTGGAGAAGGAAGGGATAAAAATGGGATAAAGTTGAGACTATGGTGGATATCACGAGACTGAAACAGGATGCACTGTGCATCGCTGCGTGATTTGAAGCTATCACCACAAGTCAGTGACGGGGTTATTTGCAGCGAATTAGAGCGGCGTATTCATTAAATGCAGTAAAAGGAGTTATGCCTGATATCTCTGGCATTCGTTTATGATTAGATTCTACTGGCATTTCTGTTGCATCAGTAAAACAAGTAATACAATCAGTTTTACAAGGTAGAATATTAAAGTGAAATAACTAGAGCAGCCGATAATAATTTGCTGAATTCCGGCAATGATGAACCCAGTAGCACCTTCTATCACTGGCAGAGTAACTCTGCTGGACATTCTTCTTAAAGGCGTTGACGTGGACAACCAGCAGCCATCAGCTTCTTTATCGCCAGTATATATTCTGTCACTCATTCAGATATAAATCACTGAATTATCGATCATTATTTCAGGCAAAATGGGCCATAAAGTCTCTGCTATCCATGGCGTCAAGTCGGACAACTTCTACAAGCCCGGAAACGCCATCAACGAAGTCTGGGTTGGAGATCTCGAGGTTATCTCTCGTCTTCCCTTTGGAGACTCTGATCTAGGTCAGGCTGGCTGGCCGATTCATGGATACCCCAAGATTCCCTGGCATAACTTCATCATTCCGTTGAAACGAAGAGCGCTATCAGATAGTGCCTCATCGCCGAGCCCAGACTGCCCAGGTCAGAGAGATGCTGCACTCTTACCCTTCAGTCCTCTTTCTCGAACTGCATCGCTCATCACTGCCCTCCTTCTCTCATTTGTTGCTATCGCAGCTTACTATCTTCCTATCATCCTAAACGACACATCGCATAACCAGATTCACCAAAGGCTTCAACAGAAAAAGAGATGGTATGCGATCCGGGCCAGTATTGCCACGACATCTCTCATTGCAGGCTTGGTGATTGCCCTGTTGGATTTCCATGCCTTGACGGCCGTCTCGGATGCGTTGAGTGACTCGATGCTCGTGCCGATGAAGTTTCTATGGGCGTTTATAGCGACATTCGGCTTTTTCTACTCGGCAATGGCCGTCAATTCGCTCTGGGCAAGCTGGAGGGAGATTCGTCGACGGGCCAACGAAGAGGACGGAGAGGACGAGGAGGACTATATCAATGTTCCGGTCGAATTTGTAGACGATCAATTACCCATGGTTGTTGCGTCGTGGCTGGAAAGACAACGGCGACCGTGATTGCAGTTCAACCAAGACCGAATATTCTTAGACCTTCTGACTTTCTTGATGCCTCTTGAGAATTGTTAAATCTTTTCCTAGTCCTAATAATGTACATCTTAGCGCAGTCCAGTCTATATAAGTACATACGGTTCCAGTCCGATCGGTTTCAAGTCATATCTTACAAACGTCAAACGTATATTCATCAGGACTAGAGATCTTATTTTTTGGAAAATAGATCCTGCCAGAACTCTTTGAATCCATACCCCTTGGCCTGGTCTTCATCGTAAACCCGGGACGTTTGTGCCGTGCTCAGAGAACCACTGAAGGGCCCGGATGGCCTAGCACTTGCTGTTGAAGTAGGGTGGGCTCTTTCTGTTGCCCGCCTTTTGATTTCCTCAGCCAGACCTGGAGCTACACTTGCGAAACATGCAGATAGCTCGCGATCAAGATTGAGATATGGTTTCTGTGCAACTGGAGGCGCCTGGAGGTTATACGACCGTGTTCGTGCATTGAGATCCTTTATTGCCAACTCGTGGAACGAGCGTTGAGTTGAAAGATAATTGGGATCCCGGAAGGGCGGGAGGTGTGGTAGATGGCCTGTATCTTTGCTTTCCGATGCTGAGGTGTTTGATTCTGAAGACGTGGATGACCCTCCTTCTTCGTTGTTGCGCAAGGATTCCTCCATCTTGGATTTATTCACTAGCCGTACTTCCGCAGCAGCATGTGCATCGGCACGCTTCATCTGATCTAACAATGACCCGCCTTGACTGGCAATCGATCGTGCGGCATGTCGCCTCCACTCAGTTCGTAGACGCTGGCGAAACCGATCGACATCTTTAACAAGTTCCTGCTGCTTCTCGATCCAAGGCGGAACAATCTCCTGCTTCTGGATGATCTTATTCATGAAATACTCAGTAGTATCAATGAATGCACTATTTGCATTGTGATCTGTTGCGGTATTGATGCCGCGACCTCTCTTGATTTTTTCGAATTGGCCGCGCGCCATCGCATCTTCGATCCGTTCGTTCGCAAGCGACGCAAACCCTTGAACAGTGACCGGCATCGGGCGAGCAACCGAAGTGAACCTTTCTCGCATCTCTTTTCGGAAAGCTTCACGCTCTTTATCAGAAAGTCCAGGATCCTCGCTCATTTTATAGGTGGCGGTACGCTCTTTCGCACTGGCGATACGGAGACCGGGAGACATCTTAGGCTTGGGGCTGAGTCGGAAATCGACGGGACCAGGCTGAGGGGGTTTAAAAGGGACACGCATTGGCTTCGGTGCACTGTCGTCTAACATACGCAAAGAGGAGTCGTGAATGCTCTCCGTTCCGGTCCACGGCGCGGCGGCGGCGATGTCTCGACTTCCTTGTCCTGCGCTTTTCTTTGAAGAAGTCAGCTTCACGTCGAATATCTGAATGACCCCAAGGCTTAACATACCGGCATATCAACAATTGCATGAGCAGCAGGATATTCGCTTTGGAAAGAGCTTGCTGCTATTCGTTCCTCGAGCTGTTTCTTCAGGTCCTCTGAGAACCCCGCCTGCTGCATGTTTTTGCGCGCAGATCGTCCTCCTTCTAGCATGGCCTCTTCTGCCATCTCAGACAGTCTCCGCGTCATAGCGCTATCCTTTTTGGGCTCATTTTGGGGTTCGGATAATTCGTCCCTTTCGTTTGGTTTATCGGTTTGCCCCCGCGGGCATGTCGTCGAGAAACATCTCGGTATCGAAGTCGTTAATATCCGGCGCTTCGGTACGTATAGCGACGGAGCACTTGTAAGATTCAAGATTGACACATGCTTCCCGCTCATATCTACCTCGCTCCAGCGTAAGAAACCAGCTCTTCAAGTGTAGGTGTTGCAGTTGTTGTGGCCATCGTCGCATGGCCGATAGCTAACTATTGCAGACTGATTATGTCAGCGATATTATCCGCGGAGGCAAAATCGCCGCAAAAAGTCTTGGCACCTCCGAAGGCTTCCCGAACGAGTTGGAATTCAACAATCACCGCTTCGGTCTTTCAGTCTGCGTCATTTGCGTTCATCGTCTTGCTTTTGAAAGTTTTCTCGTTTGAAATTCAATAGCGTTTAATCGATCTTACTACCAAAATGCCTGCCAAGGGTGCTGCAACCCGCCTCAACCCGGTCCGCCTGCAGACCATCCCCCATCTCCGAGTTCGTCGTCCGAATCAGCATGAGCAGAACCCCTGTACTGCCGTGATGTCTTCAATGCTCAGTATGTTGGCCCTTTGGATGATTCTGGTGCTGTTCGCCCGCGCCCTCCCTCTTTCCTGAGCGGTTGGCGTTCGACTATATCTTGTTTTCGTATGGTGGAAAGATCACGAACAAATAGCTAACTCTGGCGTGTGAACAGGCTGCTGGGCCTCTTCTGGATACGGTGCAGAAGGCTGCGCTGCCCTTGAGCAACAATTGAGAGCATGCATGGACAAGCCTGTACGTTTCCTATCTATGCTGACCGAATTAATGTATACTAACCACGCTTTTTCTCCGCCCTACAGAAACCCAAGAACACCAAGAAGAACACCATCAACTACCACTTGATGAGAATGTACCCCAAGGTCGTTGGTCCCCAGAAGAAGGAGGGTCGCCTTGGTTAAACAATTCTCTTTTATGCCTCGTCGAATCATCTCATACGGCACCGATCATATGATGGAGTTGGGGATTTTGATGGGTCGCCTGGACGACTTGTCAATTTGATAAGTGGCTCCCTCTTACTCGAGTCTTGTCGGTGGGCTTGAGAAAATCGTTTATAATTGGAGTTCTGGGAATATCTGTTCTTTTATGGCAAGCTTAGAGATAAAAGGTTGCGCTCTTGGTTTTGCTTGAGACGTGGGTGTTAGTAACGTGTTGAACTGTACATTATGATGTATATCTATCAAGATAACTATTGATTCATTTTACTATCAAGCTAAAATGGTTGCAGGACGTCAAATAATTCGATTGCCTATATCTAGACATGTTGGAATTTTAGTATCAATTTATCCCCCCTGGGTTGTACCGTATAGGCATCAGTAGCTTCGATATTGTCATCATTGACAACTGTGCTGCTAAAATTGGTATAGATAGCGGCGACTACTAATTTAATCTCTGTGTCCAAGTTAACATCCGCTATTGATCAAGGGCTAGCCACGAAAACTTACCTTGCAGAGCTAGGTTACTTCCTACACACATTCTTCCACCACTTCCAAAAGCCCAGAACCATCGTCTTCTTTCTTCCAAATCAGATGGTGAGTTGCCCTCGTTGAGCCATCTTTGCGGTTGCCATGACTCGGGGTCTGGGAAGACCTCTGGGTTGCGATGCAGCGAGTAAGCTTGCGTGTTTACTCTTGTGTTGGCAGGGATATTATCATATCCGACAAGAGTGCAAGATGGAGATGGGGTGACTCGAGGTTGGATGCCCGGGATTGCGGCATGGCGGCGTAATGTTTCTGTAACGATCGCCTCTAGCAAGGGCAGTGCATCGATCCTTTTTGATGGGGGCAACTCCGTTGATGCAGATGCCCGAGGATAAGCGATTTTCGGTTCCAATGTGAGTAATTCTTTGCGAAGCTCTTCTTGCAAATCAGGGCGCCTGGAGAGTTCCCAGAACAGATAGGTCAATACGACGGCACTGGTCTCGAAACCAGCTGTGAGATGGTCAAATAGCTCACAGGCCATGTCCAATCGTTGCTTGCTGGCGGCTTTCTCGTAAGATTTCCGGTCATCTTTTTCGCTTGGGATTTGCTTTGCCATGCCTTGTTTCAAATGCTTGAAAACAACAGGCTCCTCCTCCAATTTGCTCGATGTGATGAACTGTCCCGCCTTATCGTATAGACCTAGGGCCCAAGCATCGAGCGCTTCATTTGCTTCGTCACAGAATTTTGGTATCAGACGGATGCCCAGGGACTTTGCTAATGGGATAAGGTCCGGAACTTCCTGGTGGTAGAATTCGTATGGCTTTCTGCAATGATATAAATGGAGTATTTTACGCCTGCATAACTCGTCCTGGAGGAAGTTGGTCCCGTTTGCGAGGCCAAATAGATAAGGCGAGATAAAGTCCATGGTTACTCCTTGGTTGATATCGTGGACATCAATTGGTGTACTAGAAGATGCCACTCCATGGATAATCGGCAAGAGGCGACCCAATATGATTTTGTCGGAGATCAAACGCAGATGAGGCGATGATTGCAAAAACGATTTGCTGTAGATGTTGGACAAGATCCTCTTACGGCTCGAATGGGCTTTGGCTCCAGTCATTGTAAACATGCTGACCGTTCTGATGGAATGTTCTATTAGCCTTCATGCATCCATGAATAAGTTTATGACATCTTACCCAAACGACCCGAACACCCGAGGGTACCACTCATGTTTCTCAAAGCCACCCGTGTAAACGGCTTTGATTCCTCCTTCCACGCAATTCACGGAGATTTCGGATGGCGCCAGTCTCACAATGGATCCAAGTCTCTCATGGGCTGCCTGAATAGTCCGGTTGTTCTGGCTCCTAAACCTCTTCCAAAGGATCCAAGCAGGTGATATCGGACTTGTCCAGTGAGCATTCGGGATCCTTGACAATGGAGACAAAAAGGCCGGATAGATGACGGTTTTGTAGAGAGCAAACAAGGAAACAAAGATGACTGCGCATACAGTCAAGCTGGGAAGTGCCATTTTGCAATTGTAATCTTTAACAACAGATCTGTATACGCATAGACAAGTCTCAACCGACGCCTTCAACCTTCTGTCAGCTCAAAGGAAGAGACTGGAATAAATAGCCATGCAATGCTGATAGAGTTCCTACAGAATATCAGGGTTCTCCACAAAACCGACGCCACCAGCGTTATCTCTCGCCCTCTGCAGGATGGACCTACCTACCTGGAATAAGACTCCTCATCCCCGCATGGAGAAGCTCGGCTACCGTGTTGCAGTGTCGTATTAGGAGTCAGACTAGTTGACTGCACATCCCACTGTGACTCATAAGAAGGAAGCTATTATTAATGCGGTGTAGCAGACTCGTGTAGTGAAGGGCTTTGACAGTCACAAGTGTCTTCCCCCACACGAAGATAAGAAAAAGGCGATAAGCGGATGACATAACCACGACACATGCTCGTCGCCCACAGAATAATGACGACGCTTGCCACAACTTCCCCCTTGATTCCACGAGTTATTCTCTTTTTATCCTGATATTTCGACAGCTGGTGATGGAGATCAGCTTATTTATTTCTATATTGCCAGATGCATAGCATGCTGAGTGCATGCTGATGAGTCAAGCCATGGCTCATTTCCAAAGCGGATCTTCATCGCCGCGGTGAATCACAGACAGGGCACAACAGCCCTTTGCTACAATCGCCGTGGAAACTGGGGGCGATGCGATATGCCAGGTTAAGAGTCTGATTATTTTAATTTTTATATGTGAGTACTTTCTTTGTTTCTCATGAAATTTCAACCATTTCAAGAAATCAAGAATTGACTGACATTCCCCTCCATTATTGCGACAGAGATTCGTGATACATCATTTTCATTGCTCTGCATTTCTTGCAGAAAACAACCAACCTACATATTCGCAGCCTCGTCCGAAATGCTCTCCGATCTGCCGTCGGAGATCATTTATCAAATCGCAGTTTATTTGCCAACTGCGAATGCTTTAGCTTCTCTCGCGCAAACCTGTCACCGTCTCCACGATATAATCACTGCCGAAGATTCAAGAATTTTTCGCGCTTTTGTAAAAAGCAGATTTCCTTCGATCAAGACACCCCCGTACTGGAAGGATGCTGCTCAAGCTCTTACCTGTCGCTCTCGAGCTTTGGACAGAAATGCAGTGATTGGTCGGTTTGTTGTTCCCCCGCAAAATGCCATCAAAGTGGGCTCCCACCAGGCGGTTAGGAATGACAATCCTACGCATGGCTATCGCCCTGCGATAGACTCGTATGAGGTCTGGAATGGCGACAGGTGGGCCGATAGAAAAGAAGTGCTTGTCTGGGGCGCTGCGGATGAACTTGCGGTACGCATCAAGCAGGGTGGAACCCACGAAGGTCAGAAATGGCTTGTTTTCAACGACTTGAACCATATCAGTAGCTATGATGATATCTGTGGGGTACATCTTCTCAAACCAGAGCATCCTAGCAAAGAGGAAGACAAAGAACATCTGATCTTTGGCAGAGTCCGCGGCGAACTCCTCCACCTCGCAATCTCTCCTGACACGGCTGGCCATGAATATAAACAGCGGTTTATGACATACGGGCTGGTTCTCGAGCGTATTGAACTCAGCAACGTTCCAGAGCCTATTTTAGCTGCTCATTTTCTCAACGGATCGATTGCGTTATATCATACAACGACAGGGGAGGCCGAAGTTGAGCCGTTCGCCCAGCTTCAGAATGCTTCGGACGGAGCGTCAAGGATTAGATACTCCAAGTTTCTATCCCCTTCTCGGATTGCCATTGGCACGGGGCGTCTCGAAAATTCACTGTCTATCTTTGCGATTACCCCAGAGCAGGTTTCGGTGTACCGCGAAATTGGCGTGGATTCTTTAGACTTTGAAGAGCATATTGGTACCACTGGGAAGACTAATATAAGCGCGATTACGCCTCTCAATTCAGATTTTAGGAATGCGCCAGGCGACGTCTTTCTCGCTGCTTGGGGTGATCGTGCGGTGAGGCAAGTATTATCTTCAATCTGATCATGCGATATTCTTGATCAAGAACACAGCTAATCCCCGCTATAGACTCCACGATCTTCGCTCGCCAGAGCCATATGAATACACATACAGAGATACGACCGATCACAACCCAATTTACAGTATCCACCCATTTAGTCACGACCGCTTTCTAGTGGGAGCAGGTGGAGATGCCGTTCTCAAGATATTTGACCTTCGCATGCCAAACACATACAGCTACCTTGACGCAAATGGGCCTGCTGTCGTTCATCACGCTTCAACCAATCCGCCGCACTCAATCAAAGCTTCTACTGCTGACCTGAACGGCTTCCCCACCACCGTTGGCTTTCCCCGTAAAGACTTCTCGATCTTTTTATCCCACCTACCCCCGGGCATGGCCCAACCCAGCCGAAGTCGTGGTCGCGGTAATCGCTCCTACAGAGGCGCAATCTACACCATGTCTTCTCCGTCCCCATCCTCCCCAACCGTCTACACCGGGGTCGAAAACGGCATCTTCCGCCTTGACTTTGCCTCTACCGATGACTTGCATGGCTCCTCCCGTCGATGGTACCAGGACTATCTTTCTTGCGACCCAACCATGTCTCAAGCAGCTGCAGCCCCCGACAGGATCGTCGAATTATCAGGCTACGAGCGCCCCGAGCCGGAGGATCTCACCACTACTTCGAAACTTCGTATTCAGCAGCCATTCAGAGCGATTGAGCAGCAAGATGTTTGGAATGAAGTGGTCACTGGTTGGGATCGTAGGTGGGTTAAACTTGGTGCGGAGGCTGCTTGGAGACGCAGGGACTAATGGATTATCGCTGTTGAAAATTATTTCCCTGGATTTTCCTTTTCGAAACGGTTTCGTGATGGCATTTTCGGTTCTATGCATTAGTTTTGATGTGAATTATATTTTGTCCAATCATCTTGGCGATGTCGAGGTTTGCTTTTAAGCTTTGTTTGGGCACTTTCCAATATTGCACTCTGTGGAGTATAGCTAGGGCTAGTCATGCGCATGTCATATAGAAGTAGATAAAAAACATCAAAATAATTCGAGTTACTTGAGAATCGCGTTCTCAGAAACAATCACAGTAAATGAATCTACTGGAGCAAGGTACTACTTTGGTTTCTAGAAATATAACATCACATTAGGTCCTGAAACTTTTGAGAATCGTGAAGAAATAGATAAAATATCGAAGGTAAAACCTAAACAAGCAAATTATTCCACCCCAGTTCCATCAGCGCCTGGCTTGCAAAGAGAAGATGCAGGTAGAGATCTAAAGAAGAGATCTAGATCAATTGTCTAAGATATATGAGCCAATGGCCTTGTTAAAAGTTCAAATAAAATCAAGCGATAGAAGGCAGCCTAAAAGCTCAAACTCGATTGGCCTCGTCGCAGAGTTGGCCCGTTTTGCTCATGGGATATGAAAAAAGAGAAAAAAGCGGTTCACTGAAGGTCACCTAATCGTCGAACTTGAAAGACTTTCCTCCAGTGATGTCAATGGGACCTCCGCGGTAAGAGCCGCGCTTCTTCTTGTTCTTTTCCTTAGTGAAGCCCTTTCCACGAGTGATGATCAAGTCATTGTATGCTTTCTCCGCATAGGCATAGGGGACATAAGTGTTCGAGGGATGGTCGTGGGGAAGCTCGCTCAGAGCAGCAAGAGGGGTAGGTCGGGCACCGGTGTGCTTCTTCTTGGACGACTCATTTCCGGGGGCAGGGCTAGCACTTGACGAGTTGGTCTCCTGGACCTGTTGAGTAGCCTTGTTTGCATTCTGGGCATCCGAATCCGAGCCTTGGAGAGTGCTGCTGCTGTCGGGCGACTTCGAAGAGTCTTTCTTGTCATCCGAAGAATCTTCATCCGAGGATGAATCGGAGGACGAGTCGCTAGATCCGCTAGAGCTAGAGCTAGATTCAGAAGCAGGGAGGGGTGTCTTGGTTGCAGTTTTGAGGGCCTTCTTATCAGCCTTCTTAGTGCTTTCCTTTTCAGATTCAGATTCAGGGTCCGAAGAGGAGTCTGAATCGGAGCTCGAATCGGACGAGTCACTCTCACTGTCTGATGACTCGGATTCCGATGCTGAAGAAGAATCAGAGTATGAGGATGAAGACTCCTCGGCCTTAGAAAGCTTCGCCTTCTTGTTCTTGGGCGCTTCCTCCTCAGAGGAAGAGTCAGAGCTGGAATCGGAGTCGGAGTCTGATTCGGAAGACGAGGACTCGGCCTTGCGCTTCACGCCAGTGGATTTAGGGGTAGGAGCAGGGGCCGCTTCTTCCTCGTCTTCGTCATCGGCATCGCTGTCGGAGCTTGAGGAGGAGGATGATGAAGAAGAAGAGGAAGAAAGAGATGATGATCTAGACGACTTCTTCGACTGCGCCTTCGGTGCATCATCCATCTCAACATCGGAGTCGCTGGAATCGTCAGAGCTGCTGTCGCTGTCCGAGTCACTGCTGTCGGAGCTGTCGGAGCTACTCGAGTTACTGGAAGAGCTAGAGCTGGCCTCCTTCGATTCACTTTCAAATTTCTGGAAGACCTCGAGCAAAGAAGGCACATTCTTCTGGGACTTGACGATCGATTTGACATCCTGCTCTTTGGCGAAAGCCTCACTGGCGCTGGAGAAGCCAGAATCGGACAGGAATGCGGCAACGGAAGCAATTAGCTGTGCCGGAGCTGCATTGGAGCCCTTGCTGGCCTTGGACTGTTAGAGGGAAAATCATGTCAGTCCCACCATATATAATGCCACTGATTTGGTGATAGCATACCTTCTTATCATCCTGTGGCTTCTTCGCAGGGGATGAGGTCTTGCCTATTTTGACAGCCATAATGACCACTTTCTGCAGAGTCTCTCAATATAGCTAGAAAGAAAAGGACTTGCGTCAATGTTTTGCTCCTCTTCTTTCGACGTAAATTATCGGGGGAAGAAAAGAAAAAAAAAAGTTGGAAAAGAGACTAGTGAAGGCGGTGAGCGAATTAGCGACTTCTAATTGGGTCTTCCTATCTGGGCAAGGAGGCTTCACTTGGAATCCCCGTGATAGGATGAGATGCTGAGCAGAAATAGCGATTAATGGGAATTGGAGGGAAATTGAGACCAAGAATATGTGAGTATAATTGAAACATCCCCGTTTCCCCTGCCAGTATATCATATCTTTGTTGACAGGCGAGCCAGAGGTAAGGGAGCGTTATGCAACAGCCACGAGCTCTCCGCCCGCTCTCGGTCCTAGTGTCCGCAAGTGGTCCATAGTGGCTGATGAGCTAATTCGCTTGCCTGCTCCTCCTCCAGTCTCCGGACATTCTTGGTCCAAAGCAGCGCCAGCAGTTTACATCATTCTCGTTCTCCCTGTTTCACTATCTCTAGTCGGTTTGCGGGCTGTCTGGAATACACTGCCCCCAGTTTTTCCCCGCTGCTAGACGCGTTGTTCCTGCGTGCCCGATTCCGATTAACCCGATCATGTTCACTTAGTTCCTGGTACCTCCTGAGTGATCCAGGCTTCCAGCGGGAAAAAACACGATGATGAACGGCCGTGATCGTCCACGAGGGCCGCCGCCCAGCGATATGCCAACCCATAGAGAACCACGTCGAGGCGCGGACGGTCGCAATGGCGGGCTCGCGGGGCCCGGAGACGGATCGATGTCGAGAGCGGAGAAATTCGAAGATGAGAAGAGACGAATCATGCAGAGTTGTTTCTCAAAGAAGGACACTGATGGCACCTGTATGTGGCTACTCCCTATACAAAATGCTCGAATCTGTCCGTGGGGCCGTGGTCCCTCCGCTAGGGTACTGTTTGGCTTGTATAGGAGATTCGAGCCTCACCCCAAGACATCTGAATTCCCCCAGTTTAGTTACAAATAAACTGTTGATCAAGGAATTACATAGTTCTATGCACAAATTTGGGGTACCATTTATGTCCTGTATAGATCACGGGCTGACTCTTGGTTGTCTAGTGGCTGAATCCTATATAACACATGTCCGCATCATGGAGGATGCTTCGTATCCTTCTGCCCCTCCCCCACCAACCTCGCCGCCCGAAAACAAGAAACCTCGAGTCATCATTGTCTCCGTGAGAAAGTCAGGTCGAGTGCGCATGCACAAAGCCAGGGAAAACAATGATGGGACATTTTCAATAGGAAAGACTTGGATGCTCGACGATCTATCCTCAATTCAGTCATACAGCTCTTACACCCCAACAGGCCCTACGGAACAGCAGCACAAGCAATGGGCCGGTAGTGTCGGATTCGTCGTTACAGTTGGGAAACCTTATTATTGGCATGCTAGGAGCTCCAAGGAAAAGGAATTCTTCATTGGGAGTCTGGTGAAGATTTATAGAAAATACACCGGCGGCAAAGTCCCGACCCTCATAGGGTTTGATGATCGCGAAAAACATATGCTGGTTGGAACACCCCCCGCAGCACCTCCAAGTTCCAGGGGGCCTGGGCAAGCTACGCGCCCTGAGGTCCCGCCTCTGCGCCCACCCTCTCCCTCGCAAGGCAGTCCGGCCCAGTCTCCCTACTCAAGTCGTGCACCCAGCCGCGATGGACCGGCTCGAGATTACAAGCGATCGCCGGCGGAGGAGCAAGCAGTACGGGCCCAGCGAAGTCGCGATCAAATGCGCAGGCCTTCGACCGGCCAATCTGGGAAAAGTGCTGTTCCACCCTTTGCGCCGCCTCAACATCCACCTCCAGCAGTACCGTTGGACCAGCGAGACCCTCCACCCCGTGCAAACGAGCGTCTTGCGGCAGATTCTAGAAAGGCAAAACCCCCCGTGTTACCACTGGACTTGAGAAACAAAGACCCTCCCAACAGCCTACTACCGGGGTCGGCTAGGGAGGTGCCACGAGATTCAGAGGAAGCCAGTCTCATCAGTCCGCAAATTGAACCTCGGCCGTCTTCATCACGCGATGGGAAGAGCATACCAGACGGGCGGCCCACCCTGCTAACCCACGATTCAGGGTCAAGTTCGCCAGATGTCAAACGCAGCAAGGATGGACTTCGACCTGTCACTCCAGGATCAATTTCTGGTGAGAATCGGAACATTGCGCAAAGTCCGGCAAGCAGTCTAGCCATTTCATCTTATAATGAAAGTAGCGACAAGTTATACCCTTCAGAGGCGCGGGCGCCATCTCGAGGCAATGACAGCCTGAACGATTCGATAAGCACACAGTCGGCTATTGTACCACCTGCTTTACAACTAGGAACGTCTTCAAATAACCAAGTTTCCCAACGACCATCTACCACTGAGACGTCAGAGCCGACTGCACCGGTTACTCCGCGTGGGGACGAGCCCAACGAATCTATGGAACCAAGCGCCGCTTCGGCAGAGTCCCCCGCCCCTGTTGAGGATGATAACGATGCACATCGCCCAGGTCTCGGACCGATGATAAAAAAGAAGCAGAGCAAAGAGGTAGCGGGCGCTTTTCGAAAAGCCGCTACGGCACATGGAGCCTTTAAGCCCAGGCCTGGAGGAGCTGGTGAGAGATTGTTGGCAGCTGCCAAGAAACAAAAAGGCAGCTACGACGAACCAGATGGAATTACGGGTGTTGTTCCTGCACCGTCCCTCCGAACAGGCAGTGAGTCCACTAGTGTGGCAGCCCCTGAGACACCAGACACAGAGACACCCCAATTCATTGCCTCCCCCGCCAAAGAAGCATCTTCGTCCGTTGCATCTCCTGCAGTAGAGTTCCCCTCCTTTACAGAATCTCCTGTGGCAGAGGCACCCCCTGCTTCATTCCCAGCAGCGGATCCACCTATTGTTGAAGTTACGCGAGTAGCCACTGAAGACGTCAATGTCACTTCTGCCGAGCCCCAAGGCGAGTTGAGAGACACATCAAGAGCCGCTGTGAAGATTGTGGCGGATGAGAGAGCGAGGTCTGTGTCGCCATCTCCTAACCGCCGCAGGCGCCGTGAGGACAACACAATCAAGTATTGCCAGGCACTTGGAATTGATCCTGGTGCGCTGGAAGGACGTGGAATAGATTTCGATGATATTCTGACCGATCTCGGCTGGAATGGACGGTTGAGTGACGACAAACGCATCGAAGATCTCGAGGCGGACGTTCGTCGTGAAATTGGGCGCGTGGAGGCCACTAGCTGGCTGGGTAACCTCGAACAACAGGAAGGCAAAGTTGATCAGCTTGCAAGACTGATTGACAAGACAATTGAAGAGTGTGAAGAGCTCGACGGTCTTCTGACCCTGTACTCTCACGAACTCAACGTAAGTCATGATAAGCTCGCAGGAGCTGTCTTTGTGTGAAATTTTGCTAATCCTACTATAGACGCTTCACGATGATGTCGCCTACATTGAAACTCAGTCCCAAGGTCTACAAGTGCAAACTGCCAATCAGAAACTCCTCCAAAATGAACTCCAAAACCTGCTCAAGACCCTCTCCATATCGTCTAGTGATTTGCGACCACTGAAGGAAGCCTCCTTGAGCAGTGTGAGCGGTCTTCGAGACACTGAAAAGGGACTTTCGATGCTGTATAAAGCAATGCTCATGATAGATTCCGATATCTGGCAAAATAAGAAGCGATTGGTCGACGCCGCTGGAGAGCATGGCAGCGTTGGGGTATACGCCGACACAGAAATCGGACAGATGCGCGCAATCAAGGAGAAGAAAGAAGAGTACCGCACAGAATCCCGACTCTTCTTGCAGCGACTCAAGCAGTTCATGGCTGTCGCCTATAAGATGGCTGAACAAAAGCGTGTGGATGTTGCAATGAGTAGCTCGAAGGAGGCCATGAAGCTTGACGGGAAAGCCCGAGATCATTTCCGCCAAGAACTGTGGATGTACAATGCTTTGATGCTCTTCGCGAGAGAAGTCAGTACGCCGGAGTGGCATGGGCTCATTAATCTATACGAACAACAGGCCAAACCCTCGTACCAAAACGAATTCCGGGACAATGCCCATGCATGGAAGAAGGTGTCAAGAAAGCCCACTGGAGAAGAGCAAGAACTTCTCTTCACCCATCAAGAAAAAGAAAAAGAAAGCGAGGGCATCACTATGGCAGCACGAAAATTGACAGTGAGACGAGGAAAGACAATGAAGGCTGCAGCAGGTCTCAGGCTCTCCCTCGGTGACAAGCAGCATGGTAAGATTGAACCATGTGAAGCGTTCGCCGGTACGCTCAGGGAGACCCTGAATATGATGTCCGAAGAACACAACTTCATTGTCCACTTCTTCCACCTGAACTCACTCGTCAACACCGACTTTCCTGACCTTGTGGCGTCTTCTTACCCCGACGACCGCAAGCGTCCAGATTTCAGTGCCAAACAACCCCATGATCCTGATCGAGGAATGGCCAAGAAGGTTGAACAGATTATGGACGAGCTCTATTCATTCTGGCCGAATGATATGCAGGCCCTTGTGGATTGGGCTATCAAGGCAGATCCTCTGTAAGTCACTGCCGATCAGGGAGCATTGTTATTTAGCTAACATATTGCATAGGCAAGGGATTGGGATTTTATTCGCTCTGGAAAAGGCTATATCCGACTTTGACGACACGAACCAAGAATTCCTTATTCACTCTCTTCAGAAGCTGCATGCCCGTCTGGTCGGATTATTCAATCGATTTGTGGATGAACAGATTCGCGGAATTGAAGAGACCAAGGTCAAGGTCAACAAGCGGAAGGGAGTTATCTCATTCATGCGGGTGTTCCCCAACTTCTCTACTGCTGTAGAAACCATGCTCTCGCAACCATCGCAAGAGTTCTACGACGTTCGTATCAGCGTGAATGATGCTTACCACCGGATTAACCGTGCCATGTGGGAGTCGTTGAAGTTCATTGCCAAGGAAGCACCTGGTCAACATGCGGCAACGGCAGCGACCACGGGGGCTGGTGATCCCGAGGACAAGGAGGTGCTGAACTACCACATTCTTCTCATCGAGAACATGAACCACTATATTGAGGAAGTAGACGTTCGGGGACTGCCGGTTCTTGAAACATGGTGTGACCGGGCACGGCAAGATCTAAATGAGCACATGAAGCTCTATCTGGATTCAGTCATCCACCGGCCCCTGGGCAAGCTACTGGAGTTTGTGGAGTCGACCGAGAATCTGATGGCTGCGGGTGGCCACCCGCCGGATATCGCCAGCCGCGCCAGTCACTCCCGATCAGTGGCAAAGAAGGTGCTGGCTATGTATGACAGCAAGGAGATCAAGCGGGGCATTGAAATGTTGAAGAAGCGGGTTGAGAAACACTTTGGCGATGCGGACGACCCGGGACTCAGCCGCAGCCTGGTGCTGAAGGTGCTCCGGGAGTGCGAGGCGCGGTATGAGAATGCCCATGACCGCACCCGACGCATCATTGACGCTGTGTACGAGGGTCAGCTGGACCTGGAATGGCGGAAAGAGGATGCGATTGCGATGTTCAAGAAATCATAATGACAGGCTACTAGCTTTGTTGCTTTTTTGTTTTGCGTTCTTTTTTTTTCTTTCTTTTTTACGTGGGTATTTCTGTTCTCAACACCCTGTGCATGTATCTGGGGTGGACATTCTACGGATCATCAATTGGGGCGTAACTGGATGTTTTTGAATACATATGCATTTATGATCTGGGGCTTCCAGGTAGGATTTGATCTTTCTCAATTGACCATGAGTGAAGTCTTTTAATATTGTCTGCGTATTTGAATTACTGGAGAGTACAGCGTGTGGTAGCACTCCACAGCGTGCAAACACCCGTAGTTAGAAGGGATCATTTACCAAGGGTGGTTGAACCCTAGCAGACCAGTGGACAGGATGGGACGAACCGCCAGAAATTATATTAATGTTCGTTTGATGATTGTTGATCATGGATGAATCGAGTTGTATGCGATGCTGATCCGATCCATCCCAGGCAAATTGGCTTGTGAGCTCTCACACCTGCCCACAGTGGCACATTCAGCTCGTGTTGTCGACAGGTACAGATATGTATTGTATGTGCAGCTGAAACTATTTGATGGATAATATGGAATCTACTTGTTACTCAGCATATCAAATACTCTATTTGACCATCCTTGATTCACTAGCAGATAATAAAGCCGTTAAAAAATCGAAATCGAATATATCGATGATCTGCAAAAAAGCAACTTTTTCTCCTCCTTACGTGACGATACGGTATTCGTGCTGACTAATCAGGCCCCACTCTTGGACTGGTTTGGTTCAGGGGCAGCTGCCGGTCTGTGCTGCAGTAATTCGAGGGAAGAAAAAAGGAAGACGAAAAAAGAAATGAGATGGAAAAAGAAATATAGAATGGGAGGGGAAATGAAAGACGAAAAGAAGAAAAGAGAGATGTGAAACATGGCAGTTGGAATGGCGATGGCTAGTCACAGGTTTCTACTATGGAGTACATTCAAGGGAGAACGACGATAGACCGGAAATAGATTCATGGACATGTCTAGGTTTTTATTATTGACTTGACCAGGAGAGAGAGGCGTAGATAATTATAGATGGCAATCAAGGAGTATCACTAGCATCTGAAAGAATAGTAGAAGAGAAAATAGATCGATGATAGGAGGCCGACAATGGCAAACCTGGCGAGGCCAAACGATCATCAGCTTAATTTATTCCCCTCGAACTCCTCAACGCCTTCATCGTCTCTCTGTAAGGCGTCGTGTTCCCGCGGCCTTTTCTGTCTGGATCTCTTCGTTATTGATTGATTAGCTCTCCTTTGTGTGACCATTCATCTATCTCCATTGCAGTGAGTGTTCTGTCTTTCTTATCCTCGTCTTCCTCTTCTCGTTCTCTTTCTCCACAGTTCTCGCCAAGCTGGACAACATAGAGAGCCAAAGACTCCACCGGCCAGTCCAATCCATCCACCGCTAGGGGGAAACGAGGAGGTTATTATTATTCTTCTTCTTCTTCGTCTTCGACGCCAATTCATTCCATCCATATTCAAATGTCCTAACGCTCTTTTTACCATTGTCATCTTTCTTTTCTCCTCTGTTCCTTTTTTGCTTCTTCTCCCCCCCTTTCTAACGTTATGGGCTGCTAGCTCTCTTTTCATTCCTTTGTCCCGCTAAAATCCTCATCACTATCCAAGGAATCCCACATTCCTCCCACCCCCGAAGCGATACGAAACCTGCATGTAGCGCCGTTATCGACCTTCGTCCAGATTCCATCCCCTCTTTTTGCGTCTCCCCTCCTTTCTCCTCCTCCATCCATTCCTTACGGCCGTTGACGACATCTGCGGGGTCTAATTCTGGGTCGCCGCCTCGATTGCAGATATGCCCTGGCGGCCTCTGCCTCGCATCGCTTTCGCCGTTGCTATCTACCCTTTCCAGCCCTCGACCCCAGCCGACCTACCTCTGGAGCTTGGTGATGAACTGTACATAATTGAACAGGGAGGGGCCCGTGGAGAATGGTGCCGTGGTTACTTGGTCGCGCCGCCCTCGTTGCTGGCCGGCCTGACCAGCACCAAGGGTCAAACCCTCGAGGCGAGAGTTTTCTCGGGTATCTTCCCCCGCAACTGTGTCGAGATTCGGGAAGTGCTAGGTGATGCAGATGGGAACAAGGCGCTACTCAATGGAGACAATCGGAGCAGCACCGGCCACGTGAACGGTCAGGAGGGGGACCAGCGAAGTAGCCTGGCTTACTCGCAGGACGACGAACATACGACCGGCGAAGTCACGGATGTCGTGATCGCGAAGAAAGGGAAACCCTCGCAGATTATAATTAAAAAGCTGGACGATGACGATCAGGCAAGTCCCCGCTCCGCCACGACCTGGAAGTCGACCTCGATTCCTCCTACCCCCAGTACCGCGTTGCCTCCCCGCGACCCCGATGCACCAAAACCGGCCGCGCCCGTTCCCATGCTCAAGATCGGTGACGAGACACCGACTTCGGTTTCGGAGCCCCTGGTAGACGAAATTGCCTCTTGTCTACGCGAATGGCACTCGACGAACCTTCATGAACTGTTACTGAATCGACAATACAATGTGGTGGAGGAGATGTCGACTATCGTTTTGGAACTCGACTTTGCTAGGCGACAGCTTCTGCACAATGTATTGACCGGGCAGGAGAAGGAAGCTCTACGTAATGAAGTGGTTTGGAAGCTGGTTCGAGGGAACAAAATGCTGGGCGGGGAGGTCATTGTCCGGGATCCTCATCAAAAGGGTCGTCTTTTGACGGGTGAGGATTCCGCCATTCAGTTGGCCAAGCTTCAATCCGAGATGAGCATGCTGGAGGGAAGTCCCTCGCAGCAGTCAGATACAGCAGCACTTCATAATCTACTGCTGGATGTCAATGCCGTTTCTGGCAACTTTCCTGGCCCGGTGATTCTAGCTATGCATTTGTGCTCGAAATCCGATACCGGTGCCCTCAAACCCCTATCTGAGACCTATATCCTCGACATTCCGTCACCGGAGAAGTTTGCCAGCATGGGACAGAGCAGCAAATTAAAGACGCTCTTCACAGAACTATGCGCCACAGACATTGGTGATGGTTCTGCGAATGGCTCCCTGTACCTGGTGGTTGCAGTCCGCGCGCCCGAGAGCGCTTCCAGTAATGCCGCTTCTTCCCAACCAAGAGCATCGCTCTCAAGGGAAAGTTCGTCCGCGAATAGATCGCCTCCGCCGGCCAGTAATTCTGGCAAAAATTTGAAGACGCGACGGAGCATGATTTGGACATCCAAGCCACGACCTATTCAAAGCCCTGAGATTGTCAAAGAGCCACCCAAAGCCCCCCCACCTCAGTCTGCTGGTAGCTCATCCAGCAGCAAGGTTAAAAATGATAACCAACCAGCAAAGGAAACAACAGTCATGCGCACAATAGGTGTTGGCGTTCTCGAAGTCTCACAGATCCTCCGACAAGAGAAGGATGTTGAGCAAGTTATTAATATTTGGTCTCCCCCTGGGGAGGGTGAAGAAGGAGATGGACTTACAGATGGGTTCGATGGATTGATTCGCACTCTGCTTCCCAGTCCTACCGGGAGGTACATAAGATCTCCACGCGCAGCTCGACTGCATCTCCATTTACATCCTTTCGTGTCCTCTGACTCTGACGCTCTGGTCCGGAAGAATCCTACCATCATGCACAATGTCGTTCAGACCAAGAGAATTGGCTTTTCTCAGGCTCCTACTAAACCAAGATCCGATATCTACGTTACCGTCTCCCACGCCATCTTTCCTCCTGAGGCCCTTTTGTCCCATCCTCAAGCGGGCCAGGTCCCTGTTCCGGTGAACATGAGTCTTCGGAATTTGCAGTTGACTCTGGAAGTTCGGACCTCCTCCGGAGCACGGGTTGATAAATGCATCTTTCCCTCATCCAACAATACGGCACAGACGGCATGGCGCACAACAATCACTGGACGAGGCTCGCCTTGGGGCCAGACGATCCGGCTCAACATTCCCACCGAAGACATACCAGGGTCCCATCTGATCATGAGTATCGCAGATGCTCCCGAGTTTCCATTTTCTCTTGCTTGGATGCCATTGTGGGACAATCAAGCCTTTATGCGGGATGGGTCTCATTCCTTACTCCTGCATGCGTACGACAAGTGTACCTCAAACATTGAGAATGGAAAAGGTGCCTATCTATCTCTCCCATGGAGCTCTCTCGGCAAGAATGAGTCTACAAAGGATGAAGCGGTTACTGGGCCTTTGGCTACCCTGCATCTGGAAACTTATCTCTGCAGCACTGAATACTCTCAGGATCAAGTGATCTTGGGCTTGTTGAATTGGAAAGAACGGCCTGTCAATGAAGTGCTGGACACTCTGAAGAGGGTTTTGTTTGTGCCTGAAATCGAGATAGTCAAGCAAGTCAGCAGTGTCTTTGATGCTCTCTTTGGAATATTGGTTGAGAACGCTGGGAACGAGGAGTATGAGGATTTGATTTTCAACAACCTGGTTACAGTTCTTGGTATCGTCCATGATCGCCGGTTCAATCTTGGACCGCTGGTCGATAATTACGCCGATAATCAATTCAATTTCCCCTTCGCCACTCCTTGTCTCATCCGAAGCTACCTGCGACTTCTTCAAGGTAGTTCCGATGTCCAGCAAGCTCGAAGCCTCCGTGCCACATTCAAAGTGGGCCGACATGTTCTCAAATTCATCATCAATGCCAGGCAACAGCAGCAGGCCAAGGAGGAAGGTATCGGAATCACCAAGGTCAAGTCCACTTTCAACCGGGACATGCATACGATATTCAAATCGCTGGAAGCCTTGATGAAGAACACTTCGCCAGCCATGATTGGAAGCAAGACCCTAGTTGTCCAACATTTCCATACATGGCTCCCTGAGTTTGCAAAGGTGCTTGGCAAGGATGAAATGATTATGGTTGCTCTCAGTTTCATGGACTCTTGCAAAGATGTTACGGGCATGCTCGTTCTTTACAAGTTGGTTCTGATTCAACACTACACGCAGCTTGAGATGTTTACGTCCGGCTCGGAAAGACGCAGTTTAATCTCCAGCTGTATCAGCTGGCTATCACCTTACTGGGGCGCTACTGCAGATGTATCCGACCAGTATCGTGACCAAGTTCGACTGAGCTGCGCGATCGTCGCCCAGTTGTTGATTCAACCTGATCCATTGCTGTACGAGTTCATGCCAAAGATTTTTGCGTCATATTGTGCCATCATACCAGACGGTGTAGATGATACCGACTATCTTTCGCTGCTCTTTAGCAAATCCTTCCCTTTTCAGGTGAGGGCGTCCAAGAACAAACAAAAATTCGATGAAGCCCTGGTAGAACTATCCGCGATCATGGCCGCGACAGCCATGATTCCCAACCCTAAGCGACTGAAACTGAAGGACCTGGATCTGGCCACTTTCATCTCGCAAGGCTTCGAGACCCACAACTCGATTCTGAACTGCGAGCCATACCCCGAGAACTGGCTCAGTGTAAATGTTTATAATCACCGTGCTATCGTCAAGAGTCTCGAGTACCTTTCCTCGATGATGATCAAGAAATTCCTCCCGGCGCCAGACGATGCGGATTCTTTCGACACAAGATTATGGGAAACTTTCTTCATGACTCTGCTCAAGGTCGTGTCAAGTGATGCTCTTGCTCTTGAGACTTTCCCGGAACAGAAGCGTCGCGCGGTTTGGAAGATTGCTGGCGATGTTCGTGAGCAGGGTGCGGAACTATTGCAAACCAGCTGGGAAGCTATCGGTTGGGAGACCACTGGAGATGAAAGAGAGCGGTATGGCCTGAGAAAACTTGGCGGTTACCAGGTTCAATACGTCCCTGGCCTTGTGGCTCCTATTATTGAGCTTTGTCTCAGCGTCCATGAAGGTCTGAGACACGTTGCGGTCGAGATCCTGCGCACCATGATCCTAAGCGAATGGGACCTTAACCAGGATCTTTCCATCATCGAGACAGAAATCATTTCCAGCCTGGACGGACTCTTCAAGACCAAACATATGAATGAGAGCATCATCCAAAAACTTTTCGTCGGCGAGTTGCTTGACTATTTCGAGGATTCCTCGAGCGTCGACGAAGGTCTGTCCAATGCGGTCAAAGCTCTGATTGCGACCGTCGACGAACTGCTCGACCTTTTCGTGGCCTCACAGAGTGGCTCTATGACGGAAAGTTTGCATACTCTCAGGCTGATGGAGTACATGAAAGATATGGGCAGAGAAGACATCTTCATTCGTTATGTCCACGAACTTGCCAAGGTTCAGGCTGAGGCTGGCAACTTCACGGAAGCCGGCCTTGCCCTCCAATTCCACGCCGACTTGTACGATTGGGATCTCTCCGACAATGTTCCGGAACTTCTGAACCCTGCCTTCCCTGAACAAAGCTCTTTTGACCGGAAGGAATCGTTGTATTTTGCGATCATCCAGCACTTCGAAGATGCCAAGGCCTGGGCCCATGCTCTTGTCTGCTACAAGGAGCTTGCACTGCAATATGAGGGCATGCTGATGGATTTCTCCAAGCTCTCGAGGGCTCAAAGCTCCATAGCTAAGATCTACGATGCTATTGCCAAGGAGGAAAAGCAGTTCCCCCGGTACTTCCGTGTTGTGTACAAAGGACTCGGCTTCCCTCCCACCTTGCGGGACAAGGAATTCATCTTCGAATGCTCGCCGTCGGAGCGTATGGCGTCTTTCATTGATCGGATGCAGAGAGAAAATCCTGCTGCGCAGGTTGTCTCTAGTGAAATCCGCGATTATGAAGGCCAATTCCTCCATATTAGCCCCGTTAGCGCTCATCGGGATATGATGCATCCAGTCTATCAGCGGTCCAAGGTTCCACAGTCCGTAAGAGAACATATGCTGATCTCTGAACCTTGTCGTTTCTCGTCCACACTGAAGAGACATATTGGCAGCTCAGATGTTCAAGAACAATGGGTAGAGAAGGCAGTGTTCACTACTGCAGACCCCTTCCCGAACATTCTCCGCAGAAGTGAAATTGTCAGTGTCGAGGAAATCTCCTTGACACCCTTGCAAACAGCACTCGAGCGGACTTGGCGCAAGACTCAGGAACTGCAGCTGCTGCATAGACGAGCAGCTTCTGGTGAAGATCCAAGCTTGTCGAATTTGACGGAAGCTCTGGAGCAGTTGCTCGAGCTCAACTCTTCTTCATCTAGTTGCGTGGCTCTGTATCGTCGATTCCTGTCGGACTCGGATGAAAAGCAGACAGAGCTCAATGAAGATGAAGAGGAAGACGAAGGGCTCGTTGAAGATATACCAAAGCCGATCGACCCTATGGAGAATGCCTTGGCAGTGGCTCTCATTGACCATGCGCTTGCAATCAAACAAGCGTTGGCACTCTTTGGCCGTCCCTCACACCAAGCTACCCAGAGCGAGCTGATGCGTCGCTTTGAGGATGCTTTCTCTGTGGAATTGGCTTCTCTCACTCCGTCAACTTTCGAGGCACCTCTTCAGCTTCAGCGTCATTCCCCGAGTTCTTTTGAGATTCGTCAACAACATGCGCAGGCACGGTCTACCAGCCCCGAACAGGAGTTGATTCGTTCTACTCGACCCGTGCACAATCGCAAACACTCGAAAAAGCAGTCTGTCAGCCATCGTATCAGCGTCATGAATCCTTTCAAGCGCTCCCACCACGCATCCAGTTCGGTCGCCACGGTACAAGCATTGGCTGATACGAGGCAGCAGCTGGAAGGGAAGACCAACGGCACTTCAGAAAATGGCCACGCGAGGGGGGATGACGGCGACGATGCTGCCACCATTCACAGTCGGAACACCAGTGTTTCGCGGTTCTCACGAGATACCAACCACAAACGTCGCAGTATCTTTGGTGACAAGTCACAACACAAGCAAGGGTCTTCGTTGTCGATTGTTCCCGGTGCCTCTACTGAAGAGTTCCATGTACACAAGAAGCAACCTTCTCGAAGCGCTTCTCGAGACACGAACACTAAATCGCATGATGGCCGCAGTCGCTCTGGTTCCCAGCTTACCGGGCATGAAAGAGCGAGTCAGAAGGGTGGCTGGTCTGCGATGCCTTCAGTGAAAGACGAATGGCCGTCGACGCCCAAGAGTATGGGCAACTCGCCCAGGAGTCCGCAGAGCACCTCCACTAGCCATTCTCACGGCAACTCCCATGCAGGTGGTGTTCGAGATTCTGTTATGAAGCGGTTCAGCCTTCTCAAGGGAGTTGGACGAAAGGGCAGCCGTCTTGAGTTTAAGGATTCCAACGGCATGGCCGTCCACGAAGAATAACATTTTTGCTCGATGGACTTTTTTTTCTCTTTTTTTCCCTTCCTTTGCTCTTTAATCACTTTTTTTATATCTCTTTTACCACTTACTATTCTTCATAATGTCTGGACATTAACTTTACAGATTTCCATCATCTCTTTCAGCGTCGGTTCATAAGCATAGTTTGTCTTGCATTGCAGCGATTTCATTCTTCTGATTGTTATGCACGGCTGAGATCATTCCCTTTGGTTTATTTCTATCTATTGTTTCTGTAATCGTTGCCTCTCCCTTCCTTCCCCTCTTCTTTCTTCCTTTTTTTGATCTACAATACCTCATGATAAAAATTTTCCAATTACCTACTGAGATACCAAGCTCCCTCTTCCTTACTTGATTTGTGTCGCAGATCACACGACCATCTCTTTTGTTTTCTTCCTTCTTCTTGGCCTTGTTGTTTACTTTTTTTGTAAATTAATATTTGTTATTATTTTCCTTCCTTCCTTTTAATTTCTTCCTGTCCAGTTTGAGCATCCCTTTTATACCCGTACTGTACAATGGATGGGTTGGATGGCGGTGGGTTTGGTCTGAGTTGGGTTTTTTGTTAATCGTTAAAAAAGAATTCAATTAGATATATATCGAATAGATATAAATTTGGTGTATAATTATCAAATGTATTAGAATACATTTATTGATTAAATTATTATATTTTTTTTTTTTTTCCGAAAAATCTTCTTGGCTGTTGTGGATAGAAACACCATGTCCGCCATCAGACTAGCGATATATACAAGTAGGAGTGGGGATGGATATAGGTCAACGTTTTTACACTTAGCATCGTTTAGTCCGTCCTTAAATCCTTAGGAATAATGTTACTAATTTCAACTGGATTATAATATATAATAATCGAAAACCAAAGCAATAAAGCTGACCACACTCAACACCCAAATCCCAAACTCCATAGTTTAAAACAAAACTAATGTATAACAAGACCTCATGTAGTCTAAAAAATTAATTCCTTTTTACGAAGCACCAGCAACCGGAAGATCCAAGTCAACCAACCAAGGCGCATTAATAGGGTTATACTTGATATCAACCACGCTCGCATTCACGAACAAAGTCTCCTTGCATGGCTTGAGCGGTCTTGCTCCCTCCGAGCTAACATCGTAGTAGGCGCATCGATCCTCCAGCACCGTCTCAGGATCACATCGGATGGCAGAACAGTCTAGCGTCGACCAATCCATTCGTCGCGCACCGTATCCTTCATGGATGTGTCCGAAGACGTGGAGTTTCGGTCGAGCGCGGGCGCTGGCTTTGAGGAGATGCTCGCAGCCTACGTTGTCGCCGCTGGGGACTACGCGGTCGAGAATCCCATGCGGAGGACCGTGGGTTAGCATGATGTCGATACGGCGATTATCCGGGACGGGGGTTGATGGCGTGAAGGAGGAGAAAGAAGAAGGATGGTCGGGCATGTTGAATCGATCGATGGATCGATCGTAGGCGAACGCCCACTGGCAGAACTCTGGCTGGTAAGCGGAGGCGTAGATGGTGAACTGCGCTCCGTTGGATAAGGTGAAGGTCTCGATGTCTTCTTCCATGTATCTGATTCCTGCGTCTCGGGCGGCCGAGTCGGTATACATGGCTTTTATGGCGTGTATGTCCTCCGATTGGGTTGGGTCTGGTTCTGTCCAGCGGGTTGCTGCAGAGGGGGCGGTATGGTCTATCCGGCGATGATGGCGGAGATGGCCTAGTCGGGTGTAGTAGTCCTCGTCGAGGGTGATGTCGTGGTTACCGGGAATGACGATCTTAAGTTCGGCGTCTGCGTCTTTGAGCATGGCGACCATTTGCTCGTGTTCGGCCTTGTAGCCCACCTTTGTGAGGTCGCCGGCGTGGAGGAGGACGTCGGCTTTGGGGAGAGGGTAGCGGTATGCATTTGAGGTGTTTGTTGGTGGGTTGGGGCTGCAGGTGTGTGTATCTGAGATCATGCAGATGCGGGTTTTGATTGCTTGTGTGGCTGTCATGGTAGATGTGTATTTGCTCTTCTCTTGTTGATCTGGTGGGGAGGTCTGCGATCGGGGCGGGGTTGAAGATGAGTTTCTCTTAGGTAGTCAGGAGGATGATGGTCAATGTACTAAGAAACGGTTAATATTCAGCGGTGATGGTCAAGGTTGGATGAGAAGATGGTTGATGGAAGTTGAGATGGTCGTGGAGGGGAATACCATGGGATGTCGTCATGGTCGTTGGTAGAATCTGTCTACAGATGAAGCGAAGAGGGTAAGGCTACAAGACAATCTACTAGACTCGAGCTATCATGGAAACCAAAGACAGTAAAGATTTAAAATTTCACAAGCATAAAAACTAGGATCATTCCCATTGATTTGACAGCTCAGAGCTCTACAGACATTGCACCCGCGGATGCCCAGATCATGAAAATTTTCTGGAAACAATTGCTGAAACTCCGATACCACCCTTTTACATGACGGTTTCCTTTTTTACTTTCTGATAGCCTTCTGGTAGAAAGCCAACTCATCACCCTCCAAGATGTATCCATCAACACGTCCGCTCTGGCCGGGGCGCGAGGCGATGACGGCGTACAGACGACCGGACTCGAACTGTCTCTCGATGGAGCCCTCAACCTTGCCGTGGTCAGCGAAGCGGGCGGCCTGCTTCTTCACAACGCTGTTGCTCTTCTTCTCCTCGGGAGCGTCGGTCTTCTGCTGGCGCCTGCGGCCGATGGGCTGACCGTAGTGAGCCTCATACCATTGTCTGAAAGGAGCGGCATCGATCTGGACGACGGCGGACTTGGTCAGGGTGTTGGTGCGGACCAGTTCGTTGTTGGAGGGGTGGTAGGCCACAACGATGACACGGGTCTTGCGGGAGATACCCTCAGAACCCCACGAGAAGTTACCGGACTCGAGACGGAGAGCACGGAACTTCTGGTTACCACCACGGGTGCGGACCAGGTGGATTCTCTTGGTGCCGATACGGGTGTTGGAGGTCTGGCGACCCTTCTCGAACGCTCTGTAGTAGTAAAAGACTCGTAAGAACGACTGAACCCCTTTCACTCGCTCGCACACACGAGACGCAAAATTCGACTTGTTCCATACCTCTTCTTGCGGTAGAAAGACCGCTTCGCACCGGTGGCCGAGCGCTTGTGGCGGGAGTCGCGTGAGATACCCATGTTTGCGGATTATGACTATTCTTTCGGTGATATGCGAATTAGCGATGGGGTTTGTTCGTAGAAAGAAGATGGCTTCTAGTCCAATCTCCTCCAATTTTTCTTTCTTCTGTTTTCCCGGAGCGAAGATGGAAGGAAGAGAAGTCGAATTGATAGTAACTGCAACGGGTGACGATATCGTAGAGAAGCAAATCCCTGCTTGTAAGAGAAGAAAGATTTGTGCCTTTTCCCGATCTCGTTTCTGGACCACTAGTGGGCTCGCACCGCGCAACGACAACCGACCCTCGACGCACCACGAAAACAGAAAAATTGAAGACGATGGAAAAAAACCTTCTGGGAATGATGATAAAACTCACCTCTAATCCTGCGGCCCTTCACCAGTAACGCAGCGGGCAAGGGTCGTTGGGTGGTCGTGGAGTTGAGTGCTTGTCGTCGACTGTCGTGAATTTCGCACTGTGGCTCGCTTGTCGAAAGTTGCCCTACCCCAAAGTGCGCGCTAAGCCACAACGGGACTAGCCTGGTCCCGTGACCTTTTCCAGACTATCAGAAATGCGATCGGTTCATGACGAGGTTAATTATGATAATAATATTATTAGTATTCAGGTACCGAATACGTTCTATGCTAGTTACATGTGATTAATTAATCATCTCCATCCATCACTGGCGATGCTCCCTCTTCGCACTCTCCTTCTTCACCATCTTCCCAAATCTCATCCATGCTCCCCCTCCTTCAATCAGAGTTGACACAATCCATGCGAACCATACGCCCGATAAGAAGGTTACTCCGTGAGGCTTCAGTCGCAGAAACGCAAATAGAGTTGTTTCAAGCAAGTGAGCACCGAGCACGAGTGGGAAGAGAAGAGGTTGGAAACTGTAGAGGAACTCGGCCACCGAAGGGATATTGGCAAGGCCAATGGTGTCGTAGAGAATCGAGCCGGGTTGGAAATCGGTCTGTCGGGGATACCCAAGCAAGATGGCAAGGCAGATGGCGAAGGTCACGGCGCCAGCACCCCGGGGAGCTCGATATTCCTTGATGATAATGTCAGAGATTCCCAGCTTCTGCAAGCATTCTTTGTGCATGGCCACCACTCGAGATCGTGCATCCGAGAATGTTTTCATCGGCGGGTCAACTGGAACACTGTATCGCGTGCCATTGGCGCTGATGACCAGGTCCGAGAGACTGATGTCTTCCAATCGAGCAGACTTGGCCTCCCTGGCGGAGATTTGGGAGTAGACCCGGAGATAGAGCACCAACGAATCCTGATGGTCGGCATTCATGTGCTTGATGATAAAGTCTTTGCCTCCGTTGGATGCCGCCATGATTATGGTCAGGAGTCAGGAAAAGATGAGAGCGATTTTCGTCCTGATGCGATGTCCAGATTATGTATCGATGGAATTGCGGCGATTGAATCTCGCTCTTCTCTAATTTCAGATGCACAATTCGTAAGATGTCACCGTAAGCCTCGATAAGCGTCTTGTGTTCTCTGTACAGCACGTACGAGTGGTAGGAACAGATAGAGTGGCGGGGATATTGTCCAACGCTGGATCTCTTTTAACCGTCGGCGCGTCGATCAGCGAAGCCAAGCCTAACCTCGGCTTTAATTTTGAGGGTGAACATGTGCTTCATATTATTTTCATGTAAATAGTAAAGGCCATTGTTGATTGAAGGTTTACTGCATCGTTCAATATATGCAAGAATTAAAATAGTTTTCATGCACCCAGCAACAACTATTTGGATGTCACGTGATCCAATCTTCCCCTTTTGGGTCTCCTCGACGTGGAATCTTCACCGACTTTCAAAGGAGAAATGATTTTTGGACATATCATACATATGATCCATCACTCATATATATCTCTTTGTGACATTGTTGCCCTGGGATATCCCCGTTTTTGTTGTTGACTTCAACACCAAAAGATATATCTCCGAGTCTCTATCCGACCATACCAACTATCACCACTTGTCAGACCTTAAAACTGGTCATAAAATACGTTTCCTATACTCCATGAATGTACCGCAGCAGCTCAACACCACAACTAATGATTAATACCCATTCCACAGGCTTATCTTATTATACACTCAAGAATTGGTTTCCAACAGGCCCAGGCATCTCAAGTCTCAGATACAAAAACGGAAGCATAAGGACCAACGCAACCAAAGGAGACAATAACGCCAGGCAGGTCTGGAGTATGATCCCGGATACAGAAATATTTACTGGAATGTATGCTCTATGATGAATCATAAAAAGAAGGAAGAGCAAATTCGATCGTGATAACTTCCGTGACTCTCATGAACTCCATAACGAATATGCAAAACACCCTGTCCATCTCAGTGTTTATGGTTCATAAGCGGAGGTATCCTCGGCGAGCCGTCATACTTATGGGTATACAGAAAGGTATTCGGCAAGTGAGAGCATCATAGCATGTTTCATGTTTCATGTTTCATGCACTGCAGTCGTCAACTCCTATTCGATGTTTGAGCCAGATCTTGTTGGGGCCTTATCGACCGTGGGGACGGGATGACCGTAGGTAACAAATACTTACATCAAAGCCAAGGTTAGATCACCGTGGATATGTGCCTTGAGTTCGACCTCGATGTCGAGATTCAACTCCAACTTGAGTTTCATTCCCTCCTCCTCGTCTATACTCGGCTTCTTTTTGTCGATGACGTCCATGCCTCCGTTGGTGATGGTGCTATTGGTGCCATTATTGTTGGTTATCGACTTTCCGCCTGACTGGTATGGCTGTACGGACCGGTTTTGTATAGCGCCGTCGTCATAATAATTGTCGTCGTCGTCGTATTCGTCCGAATAGAGCTCATCGGAGGAATAATCGTCATCATCAGTCTCATCATCTTGCCGTCTTCGTTGTAGCTGCTGTAGCTGCTGCTGTCGCTGCCGTCGAGGCTGTTTCTGTTGATGTGCTCGTTGGGATTGAGGTTCATCTTCCTCTGAAAGCTCGTAGTCATCAGTCTCATAGTCATCCCCGGAAGAGTAGTCCTCTTCCTGTTGGATAGGAGCTTTTTGCTTTGTCTTCTCTGCGGTCGCCATGGTTGTTATCAACAGCTGAGGTCAAATAGATGAACAATTATGTATATAGAACAAGAGAGACAGCCACCAGACAATCAAATAGTATATTAAAAGAACAGATGATAGAAGAGCAATAAGTAACGAGAAGCACCAAGAAAGAAAAGGGACGACAGGAAACAAAAGACATAACCACAGATGCTGGGGACTCCCATGACGTTGGCGGCGGACCTCGAGACTCTCCCACTTTTCCCTCTCTCAGCCTGCAACCTCGATACCTCCAACCCTCCACCACCATCAATGTCATTCCGGTTTGACCAAGGCGCTAAACACCCTTCTTCGGCCGTGTCTCTTGTCTTGGATGTGGGTTTACTTCCCGAAAGGGTCAGACGATAACCTGGGGATCATCGTTTGGTCAGCCAGTGGGATGCAGTCAACAAGGTGAGACCCTGCCATCACTGGGTGACTTCCGAGCCAAAGACAACGCCATGGCCTAACAATAGCGAAACTCCACTGACCGTTGACTTTGACAGATGCCGAATTCTGACCGTTCAAAACCTGGTTTTATTTTGATTGCGTTTCGCCTGGACTCCCAAGACCCATGGAACTTTTCGCCGACACGCGACTGGACCCAGGCAAATTGGGTATTGTTTTGGTCAATCCCAATACAAACAAGCTCTTCACCTATAAACATTACTTTTGACGCAGCAAGAATTACTCTTCCTGCGTTCTGAGGACAGCCCCCAATGCACACAATAGTTTCGGCCGATGGCTCCAGATCTATCCCAGCCCGGCTGACGTCGCCCGGCGTCATTTTCTTATCTTAGCGACCAAAGTGGACCAGCTAGATGGAGACACACGGCCTGGTGCAACGGCCGATCCCACCATGATTGGCCTCTGCCCGTCTGCCATCTGGTGCTAATTATATTAAACAATGCACCAAAATTCTCCGATCAGAATCATGGCTGACGATCGCCAACGGCCCATCCATAATCATAATACATGTTTTACAATGCAATATGGAGGGCCGCAACCCTGCGCCTGAGACGTCATACTGGATCTTGATTGTCTCTTCTACCTAGCAATTGTCTGGTTCTACCTCCAGTTGCGTGCCCATATGACGCTTTTCGCAGCGCGTCACTTGTCCCCAGTCCTCCCCGACTGGAAAGTAATGCAAATGGGCGTCTGACGTCGAAGGCTGTCGGTTCCAGGTGCTCCCCCCTTTCAAGGAAATCATGGTCATTTAAGTCGTATTTGACAAGAGGGGTTCTTTTTTAAAGGAGTGTGACTGCTAGCCGCTAAACCTCGACATAAAAATATAACTTCTTTCCTCTCTTTTCTCACGATGGCAGACCAAGAAAATCAACCTCAAACCCCCAACCCTGGCCAGGAACCCGAAAACACCCAGGGCTCTTCTGAACCCAAGCGAGAGTCAACCAAGAAAACACCACCTAAGCTGAACAAGAAGAAAGATACTCCCAAGCCCGAGGGAGACGACAAGCAGCCCATACGACAAGAACCCGAGTCGGACACAGAGCAGAAGCAAGAAACACCAGAGTCAGATCGCGAGCCTGACCCTGAGCCTGAGCCCGAACCTGAACCTGAACAACTGCCTGCCCGGCCTCGTAGAAGAAAACCCCGTCCTCAGAGATACCGACAGGATTCGGAAACAGAGGGCATCTACCGCAGCGATATGGATCCAGTCGTGGAGAGACCCCGCCGTCAGCGTCGCCAACGTAACCAGCAACAGGACGGCGGGCCACTCCCAGGTCTCGGCGGGGTCAATCAGACAGGTGAACTCGTGCAGAATACAGCCGGCAATGCCCTGAATGGGGTGACAGGCAGCGCTGGCAAGGCAGTCGGTGGTATCCTGGGTAATCAAAAGGAAGAGAAAGAGGATGGAGGCCGAGATGAGCAGCTGCGGTTGCGTCTGGATTTGAACCTCGACATCGAAGTACAACTCAAGGCTAAGATCCATGGTGACTTGACCCTCGGTTTACTGTTAGTCTTTTCTTTTCTCTGTCTCACTTTTTGAGCTTCATACTAACCGGTCTTCTCTAGTAACTAATCCATCCCAATTGGGGTATACCATAACACGATCCATCATGCATTCATGACTCCAATACCTCCCATCACCTGCGGTTTGAACTTCGTTCCTCGTCGGCCTTGACTAGACTTGACATTGGACGTGGTTTAGACGTCTCGTTTCGCATCTTGTTCTATTTTATCTATAGGGTTCTGAAAATGGTTTCAACTGGAATCAGCAGAGGTGTTCTATTGCTTTTCGTTTTTAATCTTTCTCTTGTGGTACCGTGTACAGTAATTATACTACCATGTACTATTGTCGATTTAGCAGGATAGGATAAGACATTGAAACATAACAAACGGAAGAGAAACCCAGTATGTTGACGAGTCAGTTGGCACAATACATGTATGGTTCAAACGGCGCCTACCTATTGTCATTGTATATTCAATGAAGCTAAAAAATTCGTCCGTTCGTGGATCTAGAAACTTATCAACCCAGCCCTGGCGCCACTCACTTTCATACTTGCAAGTATAAAGAGCTTTACAGTACTCCCAGTAGTCTGGGCACCATCCTGCCTGTTCCTAATCTATAATAGTAAGAACACCCAACAGCTTAGCTTAGTTGAAGAGATCATGATATTCTCTCTGTGCAAGTCCGCATGAGTTATCTTGATCATTCCAGCATCCGGCAAAAAGCACCTAGCGGGCACTTATATCTTAATTCTACAGGGAGATGTGATTGTGGCAATGAAGAAAACCAGTCATTCAAGGCATTGGTGCCTCACTGATATTCTATTAGATAGTCTACGGTCTTATAAGATCCAGATAGCTTCATTTGCAAAAACCAGAGATCTCTACCAGATTAATGACATTGAATATATGACTGCATATATGATATCACCTTCCAGTCTACCCCTTGACCTTGTATAGCCATAGCAAAGCAAAAAATGTTCAAGAGGGTACCTCTTTCGTATATATGAACCCAGTCTAAATGTAAGCATTACCCACGAACAAACCAAGCTTTTGACAAATTCTATCTATCATCACAGGGAAAAAAAAAAAAAAAAAAAAAAAAAAACCAAGGATATATATCGAATAAACATCCCAATTTGAACAATCACAACCCAGCAACATACATCAATCCATATCCAACACTGATAATCACAACGTAAGAAATTATACTAGATGGTATACCTCTTGTGAGGAAGTGGCGGACTGTGAGGTATCGTTGACCGGTTTCTGGAACTTCGGTCATGATGGCAGCTATTGAGAAACCCTTGTTAGCAAATCTATTCGTTAAATTGTATAATATGAAAAGTTATACGCACTCATGTTGGGGAATCCACTGGTTGGCAGACCCATGGCAATAGAACACATCAAGGCACTTGCCATGACAAGCAAGTTGGGATGCGGATCCGGCATGCTCACACCGATTTGTCGGACAAGAGGAAGGAAAATCAGTGCCGCGACAGTGTGAGAGATAAAAGTGGCCATGACGAGAATCAACGAGGAAAAGACGATCAACACCCCGTAGAGACTAAGGTGTTGAACTCTTTCTGTGATTCCATTGGCGATAGTGTGGAGAAGACCAGAGGAGGTGACGGCATGTCCCAGGCAGAGACCACCAGCCGCCAGAATGATGATAGTCCATAGGAAATTGTTAAAGTCTTCCTTGTTGAGAATACCAGTACCGAAGAAAAGAACCATTGGAATGATGGCGATCACACCCATATCACCAAAAATATGCTCGACCTGGTGACTGGCACACCACAAGCCAATGGTGCTTATTGTGACAACAGTGATGAAATATTGAACCCCAGTGAACTTGTCCTTCACAGGCCTAATCGGAACGAGGGTGGTGTCTCGGCCCGGGTGGAAGGTGACCAGCAACAGACCCCATATGAGGAGAATCGATATGAGACAGACAGGGATTGAAATAAAGAACCATGTTCCCCAGCTGATACTAGGGAACATGTTCTGGACGGCAACAATATTCTGCGGGGACGCAATTGGCGAGGCAGCACCACCCACGTTCGCAGCAAGAGCTATTCCCAAAACCAGCGCTTTGGCAAAGTTGGAATCAGGCGAAAGGTTTCGTAGCAGAGGCTGGATAATCGAGTAGCAGAGAACTGGCGAAGCCACATTGCTAATCCACATACTCAAGAACATGCTAACGAACATGTTCGTGAGCAGCACCACATGAGGCTTTGAGCCAGCTTTGCTCAAGACGAACATGGCCATTCGACGAGCAATGTCGTATTTCGATAGGGCAGCCGCAATGGTGAAGCCTCCGAGTAAGAGCATAATGACAGGAGTCCACATGGACGAAAAGGCCTCAGATGTAGCTTCTTTGGGACCCAGACGTTCGTAAGGCTTTTCGTCGGATCTTATGATACGAAGCAAAACGACCAAGAAAGGAATGAGAAGAGATGTGACGAAGAGAGGAATGACCTGCAAACGTTTTGGTCAGAAAAAACAAGAGCCAGGCGTTAAAGGATGGATGATATGTACGTACCTCCGTCGCCCATAAAAGACTGACAAAAACCAACATGGCCAGACAATTTTGCTGCTCCGGCTTGTCCATGATTGGAAAAGAGAGCAAAAAGATAAATACGATCAAGACTAAAATGAGCATGCCAAAGTTCACGCTGCAGAGCCACTCGGGAACACTGAATCGACCGAGAGGAGTCTTGACTTCCGTGATTCGGATTTTCTGCTCATCACCCTGTCGTTGGACGGTTACAGGATCCTGGTCTCCTCCTAGCAGAGTTCTGCGAATGCCGACATTGGCTGCCTGGGCTTTCCTTTCAATGCCAATCATTTCTCTCCAGACGGTGTTTCTCTCCCAGACGACTTGCTCCCTCAAGTGTAACCGAAGCTCTCGTTTAGCCAGTTCCATATCCCCTGACGTGACGATTTCCGAGTAGATCTTCTCGATCTTCCCAATGCCCTCTTCCACGCGCTTCATTGTAGAGTCAGTGAAAGGATATGCGGGAGATACAGTTGTGTTGATGTATCCCCGTCGGAGGCTGTGCTCAAGGGTCTTGTCGTATTTCTTCAAGGCCTTGGAGAAACCAGTCTTGTTCAGCTGGATATACGACTTGAGCCCACACATGGAGACATAAAGCTCAATACTCCGTTTCTTCAAAGACAGCCCGGCATTGTACAGATCCAACAGCTTCGGGTCTCCGAAATGATCATCTCGAGGCCCAGCACGACTGCTAGACGGGGCACCCGTAAGAACGGAATCGGCCAAGAGAGCCGAATCGCCCATATCCCCAGGATCATGCGATCGGGATCCGCGAGGTCTTGACGCAGCGTGGTCATCATCACTATCCGGGTCTTCATCCTCCCCAGCCGATTCACTGATTCCGCTACGCCGTCGATCCTGACTGAGGGGGAAATTGCGGAACATGCTCCCAGTGCGCGGTCTTGAACCGGAACTCATCGTGCGAGTCTTGATAATGCTCTCGGTCATAGGGTCGATGTTGACGCCTTCAGTCTCCAACTCGTATTCCTCCACATCTTTGACCAGTTCACCGACTTCTCCGAGGATCTCCGACTCCTTGATCTGATAAAAGGAGCATATCTTTTCCAGTTCGCCATCAAGAGCTCTCCGGAATATCACATCCGCGCTTGAGGAATCGGTATCGTCATCGAGCAAAGGGGCTGATTCAACGTCGGCAGCAGCCTGCCTATCCAACCGGCGCGCTTGCTTTTCCAAAGTATATATCCTAAAACAAAGATGAAACTGTAAGTCATATGCACAGAAAGGACCAGGTCACATCGTGACGCTTTGAACCCTGGTGTAATGTAGCACCTGCACACCGACCGTCGGCAAGCAACCGATAATACGAGCACGAACAGGGCACAATAATAGCCACAATTTTCAAATCCAATAAGACGACTATTTTTTTAATAGGAAAACTCACAATTTCTTCAAATTGCTATAAGCAAGATAATACGAACTCCAGTCCGGCACCGCATTAAACTGAATACTATGCGAGAACTTCATCTTGGGCTCTGTTCCTCGCTCTTTCAAATACTGCGAGCGACGTCGAAGGGCTTCCACCCAGTAGCGAAGGTTGATGGGTTGTCTGCGCGGCGGGACGAGATGATTCCTTTCTTGCTTCTCTTCCTCGTTATCGTGATGAGTCTGTCGGACAGACTCAATTGTCCGAGCGTCGGGTTCACCAGATGCAGTGCGCGAGGGACTCAATCGCCGAGAACTACCTGCTGTAGGTGGGACAGGCCGGAACTCGACAAGTTCTATGCTCTGGCCCGGTGGCAAAGACGCAGATGGAGCGTCGTCGTTGTCGTTGTTGTCGTTGTTGTCGTTGTTGTTGTCGTTTATGGAGTGGTGATGGTGAGGGTGGTGGAGGTGGTTTGCGGAGGCAGCCGTCGCAGAAGCGATGCGTGCCACGGTTCGACCAGATGCATGCGACGACACGGTGTCGGATGAGAGAAGAGGGAGAGCCAGAACGGAATAGAGCAGACAAATGTAGTACAAATGTTCGTGCGGAGATTAGGTGAACATTGATCGAAGATGGGGGGAGAGTAGTGATGCAACCACGAGCTAGCAGGCTGTCGACTCCTCCGAGTCCCCGCCAATGCTAGCTCCGGGATAGGCGGTGGTCAGGCCGTTTGGACGTCACAAGATGCCAACCGTGGTTAAATGTGCCTGACCGCAAGGGAGGGATTTTCAGATGGTGCAGAGGAGGCGTATTTAATATACGGAAGCTAATAGGGACTATTGCTATTACTACCCATGGTCATGCAGATGCAAATGCACATGAACGCCAGACCGACTCGTTAGTAATCCATCGTCCGAGACTGGTGAATCATCACCGAGTGTAACATCAAGGCAAACATGGATATATAAATGGATTCAAAATCCAGGATGACAACTCGAATCAAGAGAATAAATAGTTAACAACTAAGATAAACATACACAATGCATGGTGCTCAAAATAACCCCTAAAGTTACAAAAAAAAGAGTGAAAAAAAACACCCATTTCCCAATGTCGAAGAATGTCAAACCCTTCCAAACAAGGGTTGTATATCCGCAATTCGATTCATTCCATATTTTACCTGCGACTCATCAGTCCAAGGTTGGACCGGGAGCTGATACCAAGCTTGTGCGCCGCTTCCTTCTTATCCCACACACCGCTGCGACCCTCAGCGACGGAAGACAGTTCGTTAGCAACTCGCTGAGCGAAGCTGCTGTCTTTCCGTTTATCAGAAGCATCGATGATCCATTTGATTGCTGTCCTCCGACGCTGTCTCAACGACAGAGGAACGGGAATCTGAAGAGCCGCACCACCACCTGCAATACCCTTTTGCTGTCTGATCTTAATCAGAGGAGCAACAGAGTCCACGATCAAAGTAAGGAAAAGGACGGGGTTCAAAGGCAACTGAGGACCGGGGGGTCCGGGGAGCAAAGGACGCTTAGGGTTGGGCTGAGGAGGGGAGGTAGTCCGGAGGTGATCCAAGATAAAGGCCATATTCTATAAACAGCACAAAACGTCAGTACATGCATCAAAAACTAGCTATAAAGGCATAGAACCACAGCGCAAAATGAGTCTAGACCACAATCCGGTAACGTACCTTCTGAGCAAGGCTCAGCTTGCCATCGTTCATAAGCAACTTGGTGAATTGTTCCAACAAAGAGTCATATCTCTTCCGGAAGTTCTCCGTCTTGGGCAGACTCTCGGGTGCAGCGAACTTGAGACCGGGCTGCAGCTCAGCGGCTTGATCTGTGACCTGGGAAATCATGCTGGCAACCAATTCCGCCGACTGGTCGTTGGGGATATCATTCTGGAGCTCCGATTGTAGGCGTCGGACCGAAGTCGAGAACGAACGTGTACCGGTCGGTCCCTTCATCTGATCCTGCATCACCTTGGGGGCATGCTTCTGGGCTTCCTTGTCGCGGTTAAGGATCTGGGAAATAAAAGGAATTCGTTAATTCAACATGCTCCCAATCCAAAATCTGGGTTGCTAATCATGAAACCAACCTCGGAAACAGGTGTACCCTGCTCCAACTCCGGAGAGGAGGGAGTCGCATCGCATTTCTTGCCCTTGTTCATGATTTTGGACACCTCCGCGGCCTCCTCGCTAACATGAGGCATCGTAGGCTCAGTAGCACTCTTTGGTTGGGCGGGGTCATCTTTCGAGCCGGAGCTTGTCGAGTTCAAGCGTCTTTGCAATTGTGCCGAAGACGACAGGCTAACTTTCCTGCCATATCCGCCTGCATTGGGCTTGTTAAGGTTGAGAGAGGTGGTGATGCTCCGTCGCGAGGTCGAGGGTGTGGAGGATTGGCGGAGAACGGGGACAGCCTTGCCGGCCGTGAAGAAATTGAGTCTGGGCGGCATCTTGATGTGAATCAAACCGTTTGGGAACCTGGGGTTTGATGGCGGTTTCGATTGTTCTTCAATCCTGATAATAATCCAGCGTCGCGGAGGACGAACGATTTTCCACTCCACTTCGGCTTAGTCACCCAGCGCCAAGACCAGCAATTCGAGGTGCAAGATGAAGTCATGATTCTGTTCTACTTGTTTCTTGCTTTTTCGCGTCTTGTCTTGTTGAATTATATTATTTAAAATATGTTACGAGGTCCCTGTACAGGCTAGTAAGGTGTGTGGTAAGATATTAGAAATTTGTGTACGTATCAAGAGATTTTCAAGGACATTGCCTAGAACTAACAAATATACTATCGTGCTACCTTCAAAGTACCGCCAAATATCCCAAATCGATCCGAACCTGTGCACAATTTCAAAACAAACAAGTAGTACATGATGAAAAGTAGGACGTTGTTGAAGAGGTATTCAAGTCGTTGTTCTTGAGCCAGAGGTATCCAGGCCCATAGAGACTGACCAGCAGCGTATGTGTAGCGAATTTATAGTAACACAATAATGAAACAAGAGTGAGTGGTCTGCTTTCAAGAAGCAGTAAGGTACGACGTCGTGACGATGAGTCCGAAGACTCTCCAGACTCGTATCATCAAAAGGATGAATACATCCAATCTAATGTTGTATGGTTCAAGATAAAATGATAACAAATTAAGAAAATAAAGAGAGTAAATGGTTTTCACTCATGCATAACCTTTTCATAGACTTAGTTTCCAGTCAGGGGACCGAGAACGGCAGTATCATCCACGTTATCAGGGTAGACAAAGAAGGCAAGTCCCAGGATCAAATACCTAGAGAAGAGCAGTTAGTATGGGTCAAACGGTATACTAGAGCAAAACGGAGGAAGCAACATACATTCCCAAGCACAATCCACCTTCAAGATAGTTGGACTTTCCATCCTGGATAAGGTATGTCACAACCAAGCCAGAAATGAAGAAGGCAACAGTTTCGAATGTCTGGAAGTGAAGAGTCATCTCCACATCCATGATCCAACCCAAAATGACCAAGAAAGGCGTGACGAAAAGGGCAATCTGCAAACTGCTGCCGATTGCGACACCAATTGCTAGGTCCATCTTGTTCTTGTAAGCAACGACGACGGCCGTCACATGCTCAGCGGCATTGCCAACAATGGGAATCAGCACAAGACCAATGAAGGTCCGGCTCATGCCGGTCTTCTGCACCATGCTGTCAATGCTTCCAACTAAGTAGTCGGCGCAGATTGCCACGAGGACAGTCACAACAACCAGAACAACGCAGGCAGACCAGGGGTTCAAAAGGTGTTCCTCTTCTTCCTCCTCGGCGCCATCTTGGTTTTCCGGATCACCTTCAATGACAGCCTCCTCGAAAAGGTTGGCATGCGACTTGAGCTGGAAGTAGAGGTACATCACATAGAGAATCAGAAGAATGATAGCAGTTCCATGCGACAGAATCAAAATGTTATGTCTGGCGGTATCCGAGTTCTGGGCAGAGGATAGAGAGGCATAAAGGGTCGCAGGGATGATCAAGGATGCGGACGAGACTGTCATCAGAGACGACATTGTGGAGGCCACGGTACTGTTGAAGACCTGCTCCTGGTGGCGAAGACCACCAATAAAGAAACAGCACCCGAGCACAAGCAGAATATTAGACAAAATGCTACCGAGCATACTGGCCTGAACGACGCGAATCTGGTTCTCTTTGAGGGCAACGATACTGACCTAAAATAGCAAGACAATTAGCATACAGTTACATACGCACAAGACGAGTTGACACTTACAATCAACTCCACTGCATTTCCGAAAGTAGCATTCATGAGACCACCCAGAGCCTGTCCCATGGTGGCAGCCAGCTCCTCGGTCGCAAAGCTCAGCATGGAGGCCAGAGGAATGATGGCGAAGAAGTTCAGGGTAAAGATAGCGGTCGAATCCCACCCAAGGGCACCGGCAATGATACCCAAGGGAACGAAGACGAGAAGCACATTGGTGTAGTCTCGCGCCAGAGTGTACCATGTCAAATGAGCAACGTGCAGGGGCCAATGAGTCCAGTGCCGTTCGTTCTTGTAAGACATATGGCGGTGCTGGGAAGTTGACCTCGAGCCATTACCAAGAAGGGATTCAGTTTCGTTGGGCTCAACGGAGCCATTTCTCGACAGCCCCGACATGGTTCTGTTGGAGCCCAGAGTGTGTCTGCGCGAGATTGAACGAAAGGAAGCTGTATAGAGAACCCCACAGTTCCAGATTAGCCCAATTAGCCCTGAATCACGATTACAGCAACAATGCGATTTGCAGCAGACGTATACCACGGGCTCAACGGATGTGCGAAGGAAAGGACGGTTAATATAAAAGGAGGATGAAATAAGGATGATTAAGGAAAGTATCAGAAAAAGAAAAGAAATTCTCGAAGGAAATAAAGAAAAAAACGAGTTGAAAAGAAGAAAGAGGGGAAGGATCCAGGAAAAAAGAGCGTATCAACGAGCAATCACGAGGGGACGTAACAGAGAGAAAGAGAGGGTTTCCTCTGGCACATACACATTTTGGCTTTCTTTTGGTACAGATGGCAGTGGCGCAGTCAAGTCAAGCCCAGCTTTTTGAGCTACTAGTCCGGGTGTATCTGGACGGGATCAAACGAAAAGCTTCCCACTGGAATATGAGCAAAAAGGTGGAGGGGGGGATCCAGTTCTACCCCAGTCTCAATCTGCAAAGCAACACACACCAGCCACGTCAAAACGGTGGACCAGAAGAAACGACCGTGCGATAGTATGATCCTTGGTAAGGTTAAGATTTCGAAACGACGAAGATTGTCACTTCTAGTCTTTGCAAATTGGAGGGTCTGTATGTATTCTGTAATTTTTTTTCTCCCTGCCAAGTTGAGTGCGGATCAGTCAAGACATTCCACGGTTCGCCGGTCTACCAATGAATAGACATGGATCAGGATCTAAGTACCTCAGGGTGTCTTAATTTGAGGGACTATTTTATTTAGACTTGAATCTCAGTCAATCGCAATCAGAGATCCGGATGCTCCGGCTGTTTGATGTCGTATGGACTGGAATTATCACAAACAAAGGGGGAGGAAGAGAAAGAAAAAATAAAAGAGGAGACGAGTGACGACTGCACAGCCTCAATCTGAAAAGCTTCTTAAGATTAGGACAAGCCGACTAGCCGACGATGAAAGAATAATGAAGGGAAGCGAGAGGAATTTAAGAGAGCGTGTATGGATGGGGGAGTACAAGGGTTGGCGGTGGACCAACAGACCGCAATGACGTTGAAGACTTTGGGAGAGAGAGAAAAATGAATGCCCAAACAAAGAAAGGATTGGACGGAGAATTGAGTTTGGATACGGCGATGCCGTGGTGATATGATGATGACGATGATGATCGCGATGATGTTGACGACGAGATGCGATGGGGACGAAAGCTGAAGAAGAAGAGGACATGCGGTGGGGCGATCAGGGTGGACATAAAAGCTTCAGCTGAAGATCGATCAGCTCCAGCCACCAGCACCGAGTATCTACTACTTAGCACAGTCTACATTAATGATGCCTATCCAGGCATTCTCAATCTTTTGGGTCTCATTATTATCGCATGAAAGAATGAAACCGCGACAGTAACAGAACTGTTTGAAAAATACCCCCAAGACAGGGTTGATCCAGCCGCCAAGGGTGCACTGCCACACAGCTCATTCCCCATCAGTCTGCAGTCCACTTTTTTTCCCTCTCTTTAGTCTTTTCTTCTTTTTGGTGCTCGGTTACACAGGAGATCTTCAGTGATGGATTTCTGCGATTATGCAATTCCAACATGGAGTGGTGGATGTTGCTGCAAGGTAGCCCTCGACACGTGTTGGGATGCTGCATCTGCCTGCATTCATGAGACACACATGAGATAGGTATGAAGTGGTCGTGGAGTCAATATGACGGGTTATTCAGGAGTTGATTTGGATATCATCCGTCCACGTAGCCTGCATATCCCAGCCTGACGGGTTTGCTGAGTGGGATCGGATCTTGATCCATGCGCAGTCAACGTGGCTGCATTTCGCGGTTTTATCGACTAATTCTGACTAGATTACTGTTCTATATACGTGGAGATGTCGAGAGGAAACGTAGAATAATCACTGTCTATGGCTAACTGTGCACGGAGACTGCAATATGGACAGGTATGAACGTGGCCAACATCCGGAGAGAGGACTGGCATAGAAACGCTGAATGGAAACGTGAACCATAACCACTAGCAAGGAAAGATCACAAAGAAATAAAGCCATCGAGATCAAGATCATCAAGGTCATTGAGATTGCACTTCATCAGCAAGAAGGGATCAGTCGACTACAATGGGGCGCCACCAAGTCCTGGGATATGGTCAGTAAAGACTGCTAATGAATGTTCGCATTGACCAACTCACCTGCCACAAAGGCCAGATACCAAGTGCGACTCGTTCCACCATCAATAGCTCCGTAATCGAATTGTGGCTGGGAGAAGAATTTCCACGAAGTAATAGGATCAATCAGAGCGAGATTGGCGTACAGAACTCCTTTCCATCCACCAGCAACCTTTTCTGCAGGCGTAGAGGCATTCGACGCGAAGTAGGCGTTCCATTCCTCGGCCACGAATCTCTGACTGCGCGTGTATGGAGACGACGGCAACAAAGGCAACATGTGGATTCTATAATATAGGTCAGTTCCCCAAAAGCTGAATGAATGTCATGGAGTGCTGTTGTTGTCTTACCCTTGAATGAACTCGGCATTTGCACCAAAGTATGTGGTATGATCGACCTTGTTCTCGAAGAGCTGTGTTGTATCCTTGTTAGCCGAAGCTACTCTCCTGGTTGATATTTGAACCACTTACAATACCGGTGACTTTGTTAGGAACAAAGTTGGCCGGTTGGTTCTTGTTGTCGCTTTCCATCAGGAAATAGTTGCGGAGCGTCCGTCGCAAGATCCCAAGCATCAAGTTTCCGCGTGCCTCCATGCTGGCATCGCCAATGGTCTTACCCCACATCTTCAGAGAGTACGCAAACATGGTATCTTCCGATGTCGACTCCTGGTCTTTCCCATCGAAGGATTCGAAGAGCCCCTTCGCCCAAGAGTGTCCGTGAAACCAATCATACCCCCGCGAGAAGGGGAAATGAGGATCATTCGTGGCGGCGTTACCTGCATCGCGGACCAGCATGTTAACCCAGTCTTTATTGGCCGAAAGCCAGGACGGATCCAGATGCCCGATGATGGCCGCCGCGTGAATAAAGTATCCGTAATGGAAATGATGGTCATTGTACAGGGTGTTGCCGAAATCAGTGTTGGGGTCGCCTGCTACATAGCTAGCCGAAGATACCACGCCCTTCCAAACATTGTCATAGACAAGCGGGAACTGCTGCTGATTGTCCACGAATCGAGCAAAGCATTTTTTCAGCTTGTCGAGAGCAGGAGCCGCAAGTGTTGGGTTGTTTGCAAGCTTGTCGACCGTGTACACCATAGTAGCAAACTTGCTTAGAGCTTTGCCGCTGAAGTACATGCTGCTCAAATTCGTTTGCCCATCCATGTCCTGATCGAGCTCGACTGGTGCGGTATCGATGATAGTCTTTCGGGCTGTGTCGGAAAGCCCGTTGGCACTCCCATTTTGTACGGACCAGGGCGCAAAGCCCATATCGATTGGGAGACCAGGCTCATTCATATTCCAGATCTCTCCAACAACAGCTGTTGCATTACCTTTGGTGGTAGTCCGGAGCTGAATACTGGTCATACGGCTTCGTGTGCTGTTGTCAAACGATTCAACATGATGCGGCAGAGCAAACATCAGTAGAGGTGTGCTCTGAACATCTTTGCCTGATTTTGCCCAAGCGAGACTATATGTTCCAACATCCTGGGACACATAACCTGAGACAACGCCCTCGGTCGCAAACACACCGGCTGAATTATCGAAAAGTTTCTCTCCCAAAGGGCCCTGCGGGTTCTTGGCCACTTGCAGTATACCAGACCATCCGGAAGGCCCACAAAGGTCAATCATGGACTCTAGTTTGAATTTTGGATCATTGCCGTTTTGCGGGATTGCATAAAGCAGCCAGGTCATGTTGTCCTCCATAGTCAACCGGTATTTGTAGATACCCGGTCTTGGTGACCCAGCGGGAACAACATGTCGGAAAAAGATACTGCTTTGGATAAGAGGCTGGAGATTGGTGTAAATGCCAGTCACAAAACCCATACCTTGCACGACTGGGAAAGTGATTCGTGAGGTTGACCCATTGTCAGGTCGCAAGACTGCATTAGCTGAGAAAGGCAAAGGGTTTTCAGTGGTAAGCAACGTTGAGCCTTTCAATTCAGCCGCCGACAAAATCACAGACTGGATCCCAATTGCATTGACGTAGTTGGAGATCGGGTTTCCAGGAATGTTCGTATTCTGCGGGCCCTGGGAGGTCTTATCCAGTTCAGTATGCGAGACGGCCATGCCAAAGCTGGATGCATTCCCCCAGCCCTTTGCCCACGCAACCGTGTATGGGTGTGTGAAGGTGGCGTTTGTCTGCGTTCCTAGAAAGAGCCCAGCGTAGAATTTGTTTGTTTCAATCGGGGTTGTTTTATTGTCCTATCCATGTTAGATATCAGATAGAAAAAGAGAATCCAAAACTTACAATTGCCCATCTGGATACTAGGTGGTCATCACGCGACTTGATGCTGGATGGAATCCCTCCAGTCGAGACCGGCACGAAGACATCTTGACCGGTCATGGCTGAATTGGTACCTTTTTTTATGTGAGATCGTACCGAGATCTTGGAGTAGCTGGCCGATATCACTCACCTTTGGGGGCTTCTGGTACAGGCTCACTGGTGTTCTCAGGCGAGATTGTATGGGTCTCACTCGTATAGGAACCGTCAGAGGAGAAAGCACTTTCTTTGACCGAAGTAGTTGGCTGAGGAGCCGTAGTGCTGGTTGGAGTCTCGGGGTGTGTGATGCTAGCCGTGCTGATCACAGTTGGAATCGTCATCGGCTGCTTGATCACCGTAGGTTCGGTCTGTACGGTGTATGAGGCCAAAGTGGTTGCCGGAGCATGAGTTGATGACACTGGGTTAGGACCTAAGTCGGATACCAATTGGTCAACCAAGGAGTCAGTGTCCTCCAAACCTCCAAGTAAGTCGTTCAACCCAAAGGTTGGAAAAGGTTGTTGATTTATCGGATGGCCCTCGCGTTCCAAGCTGGTCGGGTAGAACTAACCATATAACGTCAGTATCAGCTTCAATGGCCTGCGCAGACACTTACTTCTTGTATGTTGGGAATGAGGACTCTTGCTCCCTCCGTAGACGGGGGATAGAGGGTCTCAAAAGTAGTGGTAGGCGCTGATTCCGTTGATTTAGGGAGAGCATACGCCGTCTCTGCCGTGAGGAACAATGTTAGCATGAATGTCGAGCGCCATCCTGCTCCGGCCCTCATTTTCGAAACGAACGACTGCATCGTGAAGGACAGAAAAATGGGAAAAACTAAAGGAAAAAAGCAAAGCAAAGACCAATTTCGAGAAGTCCTGAAATGAATGTAGCCTTCGCTACGGGGCAAGGAGACGGGTGGAATGAACGATAGAAGCAGAGAAATCCAGCCAGGAAAGGCAAAGATGAACACGAAGACGAAAAGAAATAGAGAGTAAAAGAACGAATACTGCGCCCAACCCAGTCAATGCCCCCCTAGCTAAGCATCCAGTATACTGGACACAAAGCAGCTAGAAGGAGAGAGGGTGGAGCAGAGCACGAATCTTCTCCAGGGTACGACTTGAAGCAGGCGAGAGAGAAAGAGAACGATGATCGAGAGGAGGAAAGAAAGAGATGTGAAAAGAACATAGCTCACCGATATAAAAGGTAAACAAATTCCATTCACTGGCTCACAGCTAGCGTGAATCCCAGGCAAGCAATCATCCAACCCCAATCGAGTGACACCCAATGACAGCTTCCAGTGAATGGCCCTGGGGGAATATTTCGAGTATGTCGATCTAGTCAGCCGTCAGTCAGTACACCAATTGAAGCATGGACAATTGGACACATGGAATAAAACACATTCATTGAGGCTCCCAAAGGGGCCGAACAATGCAGGAACCAGGGAAGCGGAATGGGCAATCACCGCGACAAAGAGCAATTGTCTTGAAGCTGGCGTGAATTGGTCCCCACAGAGAGGTATGTAGGGCTTTACTGACCTGGCGCAACTGGCTCGACCGTCTGATAATAAAAGCCAAGGTGAATCCTGAAAGTCAAACAAGTGAAGCGGTTGCAACGGTTCAATTTATCCCGCATTCGAGGTCCCTGGGGAGTGACGAAAGGTGGAGTAAGGCAGAAGAGTTCCGGCGACGACTAAACAGCCAGGAACAGCATCAGACCACGTGAGAATCATTGCTCTGAATATCACCCGACAGTCGAAAAAAATTATTAATTTTATTGACTTTGTTTTTGGCTTCGTTGAATATGCCAATTGTTGATGTTTCGGAGGGAGGGATGGATCTGGGTTAACTGGGCTGCGTAGGGTTGGCTGCATTCCAGCGGATCTCGAGAGGGAGACACGAGGGGCAGCTTGTTCCGATCGAGACTGACACGCGTGGTCATCGTCACTCTTGATTTTGACATCCATGCAGATATGAATTAGGATGTCTTCTTGATGGACAGGGGCTGTTGAAGGCATCCCTGGAAGTCGTCGCTGTGAAGGTGGTTTGCTTCCTGCTGACCAGCTCAAAGGCTTTTGTGCAACTGCAAAACACCACCACGGTCCACCCGACCAGATCATCAGTATCTTATAAACATCAAGACAGAGGATATTAGGGATTGCCAAGTCAGTGGCTTCATTTATTGTGCCGAAGGTTGTTAGGCCAGCCTTGAAATAGGAAATTCTTTTGGAATGATTGATCATTAAAATACAGACAACATCTTTTGAGTCCCCCAATGCACACTCGTTTAGTACCATATTGAAGCAGTCAGCTCTTGACCAGAGAGCTTGATCCTGCGCTATAAAGTACGATCCATATCTATAATAACGTAACTGAAAGACGTGGTATCTCTATCCGAACCTCGTTCATCAATGGCCAGATAACACCAGAAATTACAAACTGTAGACTCCAGCTTAAACCATAGGCTTCTCCATGGCCTTGATGACACCCTGCTTGACCATAACGCGAGGCTTGGTTGAACTTTGGTGTGTCTCCTTGGTAGACCATTCGGGGCCAATTGGAAGACGGAGCGATCTTTCGTACTGCTGCTTGGTCTCGAAGGGGTGGGGAAGCTGTGTGGCCAAGTATTTGTTATTCTAGAAGGAGATGATTAGTTTAGGATTTGTAAGATAATTGATAGAAATAAAGGAATATCCTTACCTTCTTGACACGCTTCTCGTTGATGATGACCCGCGAGAGTTTTGCATCCTTGCGGTTCTCGGGCTTCACACCCTCAACAGTAGTGGTAAAACGCTTCTGTCGTTTCTGCTGCTTCTTGCTAACTCCATCGCCAGCCCAGTTTCCCCATCCAGGAAGGGTATTATCAATCACTTGATCACCCTCCTCTTCAATGGCTTCTTCCTTCTCTTGATCGAAGTCTTGTACGACCTCATCCCCAGCAAAGGCTCGCTTCACAAGATCATGGTTCTTGAGAAGCACTGGCACATTGCTTTCATCATCGCTGTCATCGTCATGTTGGACGGTTTGCTTCTTAGAGGCTGACTTCTTGGCTTTCTGACTCTTGGGAGCATCATTTGACACAACGTCATTAGACTTGGAATCAGTTAGGGAAATGTCGACAGTTGGCTGTGAATCATCTGCAGTCGCTCGACGGTTGTTCCGGTTTGTCTGGACCAGCCATGGGTTCTCCTCTTCGGCAGCAGACTCTTGCTTCTCAAAGGGCTTGCTTGAAGAGAGAGATTGAGACTTGTTGTTCACGGGGCGTGTAGTCTTCTGTTTCTCAGGCCGGTCAACCACAATGTCGACATCCTGTTCTGCATCTGGTGCTCCCATTTCTTCATCATCAGACCCGGGTGCTTCTTCAAACTCATTTCGAGTTTGAGTTTGAGGTTTCTTCTGTGGCTTGACGCCCTGTGACTGACCAAATTTCCGCCGACCAACTTCAGACTCTGCCTCGGATTGTGACTCCTCCCCATGAAGATCTCGGTTGAGTCGTCTGACCTCTGCGTCATTTTGTGCTTTGCGCGAGGCTTCTGCGTTCTGCATGAACTTCATGGAAAGGAGCTTAGAGTGAGGTCCCTTCAATTCTGGCGCGGCATCATCACCGCCCTCAACTTTGTCGAGCTTTTGGCGGAGCTTGCGGTTTTGATAGTCTGAGTCGGCCTCTTGCCATGGGTCCTCATCTTCGGACTCTGAGCTAGATGAGCCAAGGTAATCATCGTCTCCATGAGAGACGCGTTTGCCTTCAATTCTCTTGCGCAGCTCCTCCTCTTTCTGAGCAAGTTCTGCCGCACCATGTCGGGCTTCGTCATCCCAAGCTGTACGGCCCGTCTGCTTGAGACTCTTGGCCCATTTGCTCTCTCGGTGCTTCGAGCCCATTCTAGCCTCTGCTCGCATTCGCTCGTTCTTTTCCTTCTCCTGTTCATCCAAGTCCACACCTGCTTCGAGAAGAGCTTGCCTCTCTTGCTGCTCCAGCCTCTCTCGTTCCTTCCGATGAACCCGACGGTATGACTTGCTCTTAATCTTCTTGATACGCTTGGAGCGAACCTCCTCCCGGAACATTAAATCACGGCGTTTGCGCAGCTCTGCTCGACGGGCCTGGATTTCCTCAATTGGCAGTTTACGCGCTTGTAATTCCTCAAACTCTTGAAACTGGTCTTCGGCTGATTTTCCATTTTCCTCCACAAGTCCACTTTCTTGAAGGATGTTCTGAATGGCGTTTTCGAGGTCGTTCTGTGGTTTAACAGTGTCTATTCTATCCGTTTGCTGGGCATCGGGGTCGGGAAGAGGGAACATGAGGTGTTCTGCTCTGCGGTTGGCCTTGACCGTATCGAGCCAACGATCCATAGTCTCCTTGCTCTTTTCATAGGCTGCTGCTCGCTCCAGCTTATCCTGTTGGCGTTTTGCCAGAGGTGCATCTAGCTTCCCGGGAATACCAGATGATGTTGCTTTCTGAGGAGCGGAATCAATGTTTTTCAATGAGTTTTTCAGGCGAGAGTCTGTAATCGAGGGCATGAGGTCGGCGAGAGTCAATTTTCGTGAAGACGTCAATCCATACTCCGTTGGCTTTCCGTGCTCTTGTTTGGCACCTGACTTCCGTCCTGGTTTATTGGTAGGCTCTGTGTTCATGGAGTTGACGAAATTTTGCAATTTCGATAGCCCATATTCGTTATCAGCATCATCTTCATCTGACAACCCAGCATCGTCGTCAGACTCTTCTTCAGATTCATCGTCTTCGCTTTCGGAATCGTACTCCTCGGAATCATCGTTTTCTGCGGGTTTCTTGGACTTGGATGCCTTCTTGTTTTCTTCTTCTTCCTCCGCCATATTCATATCCCATGCAGTAGTAAGATCCACTGCATCATCTCCTAGATCATCATCATCATCATCTTCGTCCATATTTTCATCCTCTGATTCGTCAGCATCCTCGTCAAGGTTGATCTGGCGGCTCCGCTTTGCCTTGTCAGAGGTTTTTGGTTTCGACTTCATAGTAGAGCTTCCGCGGAATGCAAAGCCTTCGAATCTTTCCTCGTCGCTTTCGCCCATAGCTTCGTCACTATCGAGGTCACTGTCATCGTCACTCCCAACCTCTCCTAACCTCCACTCATGACCTTCGCTATCGCTGCCGCCATTTTCGCTGGAGTCATCAACGGTTCTGCGACGTTTGAAATCGGGGCCATCTGAATCGCCTTCATCACGGCCATGGTTTCGCTTGCGTGCAGCAGCAGCAGCAGCAGCAGCAGCAGCAGCAGGGTCATCGCGTTCGCCTAATCGGTTACGTCGAATCTTAACCTTGGTAGGAAATTGCTGCTCGGCGATAGAGAGGGCGTTCAAAGCCTTTCCGGCCTTTCTCTTGGGGACCCTCTTTGGGCCTTGCTTTTGCGAGGACTGATCCTTTGGACCACGCAACTGAGTTTGCCTTCGAGGCATGGTCGCGTATGTCCCAGACTGAGTATTTAATCCCTTCTAATCAGTCGTAATATGCGTAGAAGAAAATAACGAAAAAAACTCGTTGCTAGTCAGTAAAAAAGTGTGGGGGTGGTGCATTCAACTTTTTTTTCTTTGCCCGCAGCAAAAAAAAAGTTCGGCGCGGCGGAGCTAATTAGCGCCGTCCGACTTTCAGAGCCTTGAGACGGGGATTTCAACTACTCCGACAACTGGACCATCGTCAGAAGCTCAGCGCAATCAATCCCCAGTTCGTTTAGGGACAGATCGGTCTTTACAGCTGCTCAAGATGTTCAAGCCTTCTCAACCGATGATGGCGCGATTGCGCTTGACCACGAAGCAGGTCAATGGCGGTTACTACAAGGGAAACCGAACCGGCTCCATGGGATATTTCTCCAAGAAGGGTTCATACGTGGTTGATTGGAAAAAGGTCCGCACTTATGTCGTTCCGGAAAATCTCGATCAATTCAAGGTGAGCAATTACAACGATCCCAGCGTACAAGTTAGAGACTAGCTAGGCTAACAAGATGTAAAGCTCACGCCCTTTGTAACGAAAAACATGGCCCCGACACGAACCAGATACACAAATGAGATCGAGAAGAACAACAGAATTATTACGGTCGAGCGGGCATTCGGTGGCAAGGATTACCTTGATATGTGGGCATCGGACAATGGATATGAGGTCCTTGAACAGGAACGACTTGAGGAAGAAGCAAAAGAACAGGCAACAACACCTCGCCAATAGCCGTCTCCTAGTCGAGTAGGGTGACATCGATGAGACTTGAAAGCTGGTATGAAAAATTGTTCTGGCATGGCTGTTGTGACGCCGCTCTGACTGCTATAGTCGTGGATGCTAGCATTTTCTCGCCGGAGAGTGTCATCGAAACACACCTGGGCGTTCACGCTCTCCCTACCCATTTCCTGCTCGCTGGTCGACCGCAACCTTTGTGTATTATATGTACAGTATGTGTGATACTTGAAGCATTTGGACAGAGCTCACACCGGGGTCTCGTGGATGGGTTTATCTTCCAAGGTTGCACAGATATCAATCAGCGGGGGACAATGGGCATCCTGACTATCCTCTTTTTTCTGGGTATTTCAGCTTTGCGGCGCATCTTCGGGATTTTTGCATTTCATGGTTCAGGTTTATATCATTCGAGATCATATATAAGAGGAAGTCTCTGTCCAAATGCCACAATAATTGTCACAAGCCTCAGCTGTCTATCTTTCAATGTAGCATCTATCTCAACCTTATCTCCTGTAGTTTATTTATTCAGCCCCTCCGATGGAATCTTCAGCTGGTGTCGTGGTGAGTGGCAATAAGAGATGGCAGTCATGATGTGCTCTGTCGGCGGGCAAAAAAGTGCGTGTGCATACCGCCGATCACCGCAGCTCCGCTGTTACTCCAACCGCTATCATATTTCCGGCGTATGTCATAGTCCGAGTTATCTTCCACCCACAAACATTACCTTCTTTGAGCGACTTTTGCGGCATGGGGTGATTTGGTCCTGCATATTAATACCCCAGTGATCATTTAACCCGCAGATAAACTTTTATTGGACTTTGAACTGAAAAAGAGGACGAAGCTATGTTCCAGTCCTTCACGGGCAACTCTCGCCGTCCGCGGCAGGTGAATCTCGGAGCCCGCAATACGAACCCTTTCGCTGCATTTCCTTCGGGCAGACAGAACCCTCACGGTGCCGGAACACAGAATACCCTCGCGATCGCACAGCAGGAGCGGGCACTGAGACAACAGGAGAGAGAACGATTGGGGGCAAGCCGGATCGTACAGCGCACATGGCGGGGTTATCGGAGCAGGAAGATAACGCGCAACACATGGCGGAGAGAGTGGGATGCCGCTGAGCAGCAAAAGTCAGATGTTCTTTTGTCATTCCAGAATCTGTCAGGGCAGCCAGACTTTGATGATGCTCAGCTTGCTCTCCGGTATCGATCGGCTCCAGATTGCCTTTCACAGCTGAGGCTCTTGGTGCAGTTCTTGGAGCCGTGGAATAGCAGTGATATTACTCGCCTTGTGTACTTTTCGAGCGCTTTCCAGAAGACCCTGTGGGAGATTCCATCGATTGCAACTGAACGAGAATGGACGACATTACTGAGGCGTCTTGCGAAGCTCACCCTCCGCGTGCTACAATCGGCAACATCTCCGACAGTGCCGGGATTCGCAGTCAGCCATCTCCTGCAGTTGCTGGCATTCCTGACAGGCCTAATCCCCAAGCCCATGGCGCGACTGGCTAGAGACTATTATGCTGTGATGGCTATTTTGACGAAAAACATAGACCTCCTTTCTCACACAGCGCATTTATCGAAAGATCACCTTGTCCAGAGTGTCCTCGCCTTGCTTCGACCGATCACCTCTGAGACTCTAACTGCCTATGAGTGGTTTGCCAGGAGCTATCTTATTATCCCGGATCTTCCGGCATACCTAGGGACGCTTGATGAGCTAGCGAACAACATCAACTATAAGCTGCTAACGTCGGCTATGGGATCCCAGAACACACAATTTGCAGATGCACTCTTAAAATCTGAAGATGTCGAGGCACGACTGTGGCTGCTTGCTTATTTTATCTTCTTTCATCGGTATGCTCTGGGGAGCCAGGCTAGCCGTCAAGCACCAGAACCTGGGTTCGTGAAAACCGTGTCGGAGCTGCTGAATTCCACCGCTGTGCATGTTTCGCGGCGATTGGAAATGGAAGAAAGTGGTGATTATGATGAGTCCCCTGAAAGATATCCACTGCAACCATTTATCAAAGAACAATTATTCAGCTTGATCAACCAGAGCAACATCACGGGACTTTTATCACAACTCCAATCCGACCATCTATCCCAGGGAGAGTTTGCAAATTTCCAATCGGATGCATCCCAAGAAGCCAAAATCCTTGCTACATACGCCCTGACGCTTCTGAGAGTGTTCCCTCGCCGGGGAGATGATATTCGTATGTGGCTATACTTGGGATCGGCCGCTACAGGTGATCAATTGGCAGGCCAGCCCGGCTCTAGAATACCAGCGATCAAATACTTCTGGCAGGCCTCCAGGTCTAGCCGGATATTCGCGACAATCAGCCATGATTCAACCAAGGTTCTTTCTTTGCTGAATCCAGCAGAAGACGTGAAGGATCCCAAGCTTTCCGACATAACGCCAAGTGAGAGAGATGGAGAATGGACGATAGTCCTCCTGTTTCTAGAACTGTACACCTTCGTTTTGAAAGTTATGGATGATGAAGAGTTCTTTTCGAGTGGGTCGTCGTTTACTGCCTCTGCGAATACGAGGGTCTCGTGGACCAAAGAGAGCGCGTTGCCATTAAAAGAGGTCCAGGATATGACAATATTTCTCAAGAACCTGGCTTTTACCTTGTATTGGAACTCGGCTGATCTTAGTGAGAACGAAACTACGCAGGATACTGGGGGGATTCGAAGTTATTTCAGCTCTCTGGTCCCAGCTTCAGACTCCATCAGCAGCGTTAAAGACCTTGAGATGAAGAACAAGGAAAAGGGACTACCCGGAGTCACTGGAATTCCACTGGACTACTTCAAGGGATTGGTGACAGGTCTGCTACGAATGATTCACGAACGCGAGTATGTTTCATTCCTTGAAACCTTTTGAAGATTTACTTGACGATGCTGACTTTACTCTCCACACAGTTCGAGACGGAAGTTTCTTCCAGATGGGCATTGGTTGATGACTAGTCGATTCGACATGGAGGGTTTCATACCTGCTGTCGTTGCAGAAGAGGAAAACAGACACCAGCTCCAGGATGACGAGGATGATGAAGAGGAAAATGACCTGATGAACGATAATTTCTACGAGCCATCCTTGGGTCTAATCGGTACAGGCCGTGCTCAGCAAACACGTCGCATTGAGGCACTCAGACGGCGTCAGCAGCAAGCCGCTCGAAGGAAGCAGCTTGAGGCCGTGGCACCTAGACTTGAGATACTGAGGAACATGCCCTTCTTCATCCCCTTTCCAACAAGAGTCCAGATATTCCGCGAGTTCATCTTCCGGGATCAGCTACGCAGAAGACAAGGTTTCATCGACCCCGACGCGTGGCGTATGTCGGTCGCTCAGGCTTCGATGGGCCGCATGATCGATGGGCGCCCTGCAGTGCAAGACATCCTCGGTCGGCACCACGCGAACATCAAGCGTGAGAGTGTTTTTGAAGATGCCTTTGAGCAATTCTACGAATTGGGCGAAGGCCTCAAGGAGCCAATCCAAATCAGCTTCATTGATAAATTCAACACAGTGGAAGCGGGAATTGACGGTGGTGGTGTGACCAAAGAGTTCTTGACAAGCGTCACGAATGAGGCTTTCAAATCCACGAGTGAGCTTCACCTATTCGAAGAAAACGATCAACACTTGCTCTACCCAAACCCAGCTGCTGTCGAGCAGCGCAAAGAGCTTCTTCGACAGGTGGGCTTTGTTGAACGAAGCGCAGAATGGAATGAGCAGGTTCGCGATCTACTCCGACGATTCGAATTTTTGGGGCGAGTAATTGGCAAGTGTCTTTACGAAGGAATTCTGGTGGATGTCAATTTTGCGCCCTTTTTCTTGCTCAAATGGGCCTTGACGGGTGGCACGGGTTCCGCGCAGAAAGAGACAGCATACCGTGCTAATCTCAACGACCTGAAAGACCTTGACCAAGGCCTCTATCAGGGATTGGTAAGTTGGACCCGATATGATTTGAATAATCGATGTCTGACATTTGATTGCAGCTACAACTGAAGAACTACCCGGGAGACGTGGAAGACTTTGCGTTGAACTTCACCGTCACCGACACGATACCGCTATCGAATTCCCCTAGTCGCACGATCACTCGGGATCTGAAAGGCAATGGGTCCGATATACCTGTTACGAATCAAAACCGATTGGTGTACATTTCCTACATCGCCCGCTACCGACTCCAGGTGCAGCCGGCCTTGCAGACCAATGCCTTCCTGCAGGGCCTAGGACAGATCATCCAACCTTCGTGGCTCTCGATGTTCAACCAATCAGAAATGCAGACTCTGGTGAGCGGTGAGTCGGGCGATATCGACGTCTCGGATCTGCGACGGAACACGCTGTATGGCGGAGTGTACACGATTGGCGACGACAAGGAAGAGCACTCAACGGTCAAACTGTTCTGGGAGGTGATGGAGAAGATGACCAACGAAGAAAGGCAAAAGGTGCTGCGGTTTGTGACATCCACTCCTCGAGCCCCATTGTTGGGATTCAGCCACTTGAACCCCCGATTCAGCATCCGCGACTCGAGTGAGGACCAGGAACGGCTTCCGAGTACGAGTACATGCGTGAATCTGTTGAAGCTGCCGCGATACTCCAATGCAACCGTACTCCGGGAGAAGCTCCTCTACGCGGTCAATTCTGGGGCAGGATTTGATCTGAGCTAAGCGATCAACTCTGGGCTATTTTGAGGTTAGGAGTGGGGAGGAGTATCTCTCTTTCTACTTTTCTTCTCTTTCTTTTGTTCTCTGTCAGCTGTCGGTTGCATAGCTTTAGGCGTCTTGGAGATGATGTTGACCTTGACTTTATCCATTATGGTTCTAATCATTAACTCTACATATTCTTAGTTCAGTAAATGTCAATACTTTTTTTCTATCAAATTGATTTTATTTTCTTTTTTGCTTTGTCCTTGCCTTGGTACTCTTTATAGGTTTCGGATCGCCACCACAGCGTCTATTACAGGTAGACAAAGCATGCATTCTATATTTAGCCAGCAGTAAAGCAGCTGCAGACAAAGACTCATTTTCCTTTCAGTCTATTTCCCTCCAACCTAGGCTCAACTCTGATGAACTCATGAATTGCATCACCATCTCTTCACCCACCCACTGTGAAGCCCTCAAGGCGGCGAGGCCATCCTTCCTGATGAAGTTTAGCGTCGCCCTCACAAAAAATTCCATTTGAGTTTTCCAGAAAAAAAAAAAAAGACAAAGAAAAAAAATTTGAAAAAAAAAAAAAGAAAGAAAAAAAAAAAAGTCCGCCTTTTCTCTCTTTCTTTTCTTCCCCTCCAAATCTTCATCTCTGCTGCTTCAATCCAGCATCCCTTCTTCCTCTTCTTCTTCTTCTCTTTAAACCTCCCCCCCTTTTTTCGAAAATCATCGAAAAAATCTTCAAAAAAAATCGGAAAATCCCAGAAAAATCAAAGTTACCCGCACTTTTCATCTTTCTTTGAACTGTGCAGTGTGTGTGTGGAAGATTTTCCTTTCCTCTGCCGCCTTTTTTTTTTTCCCTCCCTCATCCCTCGTGATCGCGTCACATTGCGTCGCTCTTCATCTCCAATCCTCTCAAAAATACTCTTTGGAGATTTAATCTAGGTTGTATGTATATGCTTCTTGTTAATGATTGGTTTGCCTTGTCTTTTCTTGCCTTATCAGTTGTCTTTCATTTTTCAGTGTGGCTTCGTGGGAGAGTATCGGTCTTTTGTCTCTGACCTCACAACGCACACATTGTATTGCCTTTTTTTTTTTGTCCCCTCCTATTGACGGTTGTGAGCTGTCTTGCTTTAATATTTGCATTGAACCACTTGACATATTCATCTTGATATAGATATTCTTTTCTTCTTCTTGCATGCTAATTTCTTTCTGCTCAACAGCCCCGTCAAAATGTCTGCCGACGTTGCTACCACTCCCGCCACCGACAACACTGTCAACGGCACCCCCGAGGCCGGTAACGCCGCTGCCCCCAATGCCGCTGAGGCCACTGCGGTTGAGAGCTCCTCTCCTTCTGCTACCCCCAACACCCAGCCCCACTCTGCTTCCCTCTATGTTGGTGAGCTGGACCCCTCGGTCACCGAGGCCATGCTCTACGAGCTCTTCTCCTCCATCGGCCAGGTCGCCTCCATCCGTGTCTGCCGTGACGCCGTGACCAGACGCTCTCTTGGATATGCCTACGTTAACTACAACAACACCGCCGATGGTGAGCGTGCCCTCGAGGACCTTAACTATACTCTGATCAAGGGCAAGCCTTGCCGTATCATGTGGTCCCAGCGTGACCCTGCTCTGCGCAAGACTGGCCAGGGCAACGTTTTCATCAAGAACCTGGACAACGCCATTGATAACAAGGCCCTCCACGACACCTTCGCTGCCTTCGGTAACATTCTTAGCTGCAAGGTCGCTCAGGATGAGTTTGCCAACTCCAAGGGCTATGGTTTCGTCCACTATGAGACCGCCGAGGCCGCTAACAACGCCATCAAGCACGTCAACGGTATGCTGTTGAACGACAAGAAGGTCTTCGTCGGACACCACATCTCCAAGAAGGACCGCCAGAGCAAGTTCGAGGAGATGAAGGCCAACTTCACCAACATCTACGTCAAGAACGTCGACCCCGAGGTCACTGACGAGGAGTTCCGTGAGCTCTTCGAGAAGTTCGGTGACATCACCTCCGCTACCCTGAGCCGTGACCAGGATGGCAAGAGCCGTGGCTTCGGTTTCGTTAACTTCTCGACCCACGAGAGTGCGCAGGCCGCCGTCGAAGAGGTCAACGAGAAGGAGGTCAAGAGCCAGAAGCTCTACGTCGGCCGTGCCCAGAAGAAGCACGAGCGTGAGGAGGAGCTCCGCAAGCAGTACGAGGCTGCCCGCTTGGAGAAGGCCTCCAAGTACCAGGGTGTCAACCTCTACGTGAAGAATCTCACTGATGACGTTGACGATGAGAAGCTCCGTGAGCTTTTCGGCCCCTACGGAACCATCACCTCCGCCAAGATCATGCGTGACACCAACGTTGAGCAGGGTGAGACCTCCGAGTCCGAGAAGGAGACCAACAAGGAGAACGAGAAGGAGTCTGGAGAGGCCGAGAAGACTGAGAAGACTGAGGAGAAGGAGTCCGATGAGGACAAGGAGTCCAAGAAGGCCGAGAAGGGCGAGAAGAAGACCCTTGGCAAGAGCAAGGGCTTCGGTTTCGTTTGCTTCAGCAGCCCTGACGAGGCCTCCAAGGCTGTGACTGAGATGAACCAGAGAATGGTCAACGGCAAGCCTCTGTACGTTGCCCTTGCCCAGCGCAAGGATGTCCGCAGAAGCCAGCTCGAGGCCAGCATCCAGGCTCGCAACACCATCAGACAACAGCAGGCTGCCGCCGCCGCTGGCATGCCCCAGCCTGTAAGTTCACTCGTCTTTTGCTTTAATGTTCTGTAATTCAGATCACTAACTTTTTCACAGTACATGCAGCCCGCCGTCTTCTACGGACCTGGTCAGCAGGGCTTCATCCCCGCTGGTGCTCAGCGCGGTGGATTGCCTTTTGCCCCTCAGCCCGGTATGGTCATGACTGGTATCCCTGGCGGACGCCCTGGCCAGTTCCCCGGTCCTTTCCCTCAGCAGGGTGGACGTGGCGTTGGCCCCAACCAGCAGCTTCCCCCCAACTTCGCCCAGGGTATCCCCATGGGTGCTATGCAGGGACCCGGAGGCATCCCTAACGGCATGGGTTACCCCATGGGTCAGGTTCAGTTCGGACGCGGTGCTGGTGGCCGTGGCCAGGTTCCTGGAATGCCTATGGGCCAGGGTATGCGTGGCGGTCCTGGTTTCGGCCAGGGTCGTGGTGGTGTCCCTCTTCAAGGCCAGATGCGCCCTGGTCAGGGTGGCCGTGGGCAGAACGCTGCTCAGCCCGCTGCCCGTGATGAGGCCGCTCCCGCCACTGGTATCACCTCCCAGGCTCTGACTTCCGCCCCTCCTGCTCAGCAGAAGCAGATGCTGGGTGAAGCTCTCTACCCCAAGATCCAGGTCCAGCAGCCCGAGCTCGCTGGAAAGATCACTGGCATGCTTTTGGAGATGGAGAACACCGAGCTCCTTAGCCTGTAAGTTATTCCCTACTTGTTTATTATTCTTGCACCCAGATACTAATCGTCTCCCTTTAGGCTTGAGGACGAGGAGGCCCTGCGCGCCAAGGTTGACGAGGCCCTCAGTGTTTATGACGAGTACATGAAGAACAAGACTGATGAGGGTGAGGCAACCGGCGAGCCCGCCAAGCCCAAGGAGGCTGCCAAGGTGGACTCGACCGAGGAGAACAAGTCGTAGACTGTGTCTCAATGCCTGATATAATGGCAGACAACGGCTGGATCATGTCCTTATGTCATGTTCGGCTCACTGTCTGCCAGCTCGGAGTTCTTGATTCACGTTTTTGATGACCTACCTTTCGTGTTCCCCTTTTTCTCTCGAGTTAACGATTTCTCTTATTTCTTTTTTCCTACTTTTTTTTATTTTTTCCCTCTCCTGATCCTGATATCCCTCAGTTTCCCAAAAGTTACTTTGTTAGCGGTGTCACCTACCTATGTCTAGTCAACGGCATTCGGTTTATCAGATCCCATAGTTTGACCCATCCTTTCATGTGTCAACAATCATCGGTAGCTACTTTACTATCTCTATGGTGGTGCTGCACGGACAAGAAAAAAAGGGGCACAAGAGAAAGAAAAACAGAAAAGAAAAGGACATCCAAACAAACAACATTGGGATCGGAGAAAAAAGTTGTTCGGACGGTTATGTTTCTTTTTCTTTCTCTCTTTCTATTTTTTCCTTCTATTTTTTTCACGACCTGCTTCGGGGAGGAAGTTGTGACGTCTTTTCTCTTCCTATCCCATCTCCCTCATCCTCTCATCATCACCTACCTCGTATCTTAGCTATCTTACACGAGTGTAATATAGACTTATGACTTCCTCACGGGAATTGGTTCTCTGTAAACTCCTGTATCTTGTAGGACTACTTACTAGTAGTATATTTGCACCCCAATGCTGCAATCGGACACTTGGCTCATGCACAGGTATATATTCAACATGTTTATTTACAAAAGGTAAGACATACAACCAACCCCGAATCCCAATTCATGCCACACAACACAACTAAAAACTCGGATACTGCTGCCCAAACATATCAAAAAGGGTATCAAAGTTCGCTCCCTGAAGCAAATCAACCATGTTAAGATCCAGGTTTGCCGGAGTCATGGTAGACCCGGAAAACCCACCGTCGAGAAACAGACGGTTTTCCAGGTCCTGCGAGTTGGAAGGGGAGGTCTGTTGTGTATTTGCGTACGTGGAGATGATAGGTTCCAGGTTTGTTGGGGTGGGGAGGATTGTAGTGTCGAGGGGAACTTCGTGATTGTTGGTGTTGGGTGGAATATGGGTGTCTGGTATTACTGCGAAGGGGTCGTGGGGGTTTAATGGTTCGTTTGCGTTGAGTTTTCGTTTTCTGGGCCGAGCTGCGTTGTGGTTCTGTGTAGAGGGTGATTGGGGGGTTTCTGTGGTGGTGTCGTTGGTGGGTTGACGGATATTCGATGATAATAATGTGAGTGCTTTATGGCAATGTCTGGCTGGTTCCCATTGAGCGGACATTATATGCAAAAACCTCAGACATTCGTTTAATTCCCTGTAAGTGAAGATAATTAGTCGGACACTCAATAAATTCGGTCTAGGAGTGCCACTTACTGAGACCCTTTGGACAAGACATATTGCTTGAGTTGGCAGGCAAAAGCAAGAACAAGCCCTGACATCCATGCTGCAGATAAGAACCCTGGCCAGAATAATGCTTGGCCTCCGTCAACTTGGGCTCCCAATGCAGTGAGAATGCCCCGAGCGGCACCAATGCAGGTTTGCAACCCTGAGCAGAATTCAGCAGAAGATGGATTCAAAGACAGCGAAGGCCGGTTGATGAGGAGGATCATGTGTTGGTAGAGAATGGTGAAGAATGGCCCAAATTCGAATGGCTTATTTATAATAGCAGCCGTTGCATTTCCCTCCAGCTTGTTAGGACTGCCTTGTAGCTCCGGTGGTAGACCATTCCACCACTTGTGGACGTCGGTGACGAGGAAGAGAACAGAGCTTCGGCGGATAGACCGGACCATGATAGATTTATGGAATAGCTCCAGAGCCCGGCCTGTGAGCTTCCCGGATTCAACATAGCTTGCAAGGGTAGCTTCCCTTTTGCGTTGCTCTTCTGTCCCCTGAGCGACGTTATCATGTCGCTTTTGTTGGGTCTCTGTTGGCGGGGTCATTCCGTCATCTCTCACGGGAGTTTCTCCAGTAGAAGGCTCCCTAGATTGAGAAAATGCGTATGATCCGGTTTTGAGAACTTGAGCACTGTACGCTTGCTGGGTGTGAACTTCACAGGCTCCAGGAGTACAGACGTCGATATCCGAATCCTGGATACCGAGGGGCAACCCCAATGCCTGGCTCAGATACCGGTCAATGGCATAGGCGCACCAGAAAACCCTCTTTCTCAGTTGTCGATCGTGCGAAGAAAGCTCTTTATAGCGAAATGGACAGCGATGAAAACCGCCATGAAGCATAGATCGGAGCGTGCAGCCGCCAAACGTCGATGCGGTTCGAAGCGACATTTTCGCAACCTGATACAGCTGAGCCGCTAGAAGAGCTTGGAGTGAGGGAATATCATGCTTGAAAGACAGCGTCGCCAGCAAGGAATGCATGCTGCTGGGTGATTCAATCCGAGATTCTACCGGCAATTGGATGTCGGGACGAAGCAGACTAGCAAGATTGAACACGCACTGGAATATTGTCGTCCAGCACGCATTGCGATGATTCGACGACGATTCCGGTTTGTTCTTATTCTGCGGTTCGCTAGAGTAAAGCAACTCCATTGCCTGGAGGAACGTTGGGCCGTGTAGAAAGGGAAACAGAGGATGCCAGATCTTGAAATACACCATCATGAACTCTTTGGCCATCTCAACGGGTGGAGCATATCCCAAAGCAGCTGCAACATCTGGATCATACCCCCACCGACCAAGGGATTCCGAGTCCCCGGTCATCGAGGGCGATGCTCTGGTGGAAGGCGCATGATGCTGCTTGCCCCCCCGCGGAGAGTCTTCGCTGCCCACGATGGTGTCTTCTGGGTGGGGGAAGTCCTGAGCAGAGGACGATGGCCCATTCGATGATGGAGTGAGATTCTTGGAAAAAGCCTGGCGAACAGTGTTGATAAAAAAGACGCCGCTGGAACTGCCGACAAACTGACTCTCTTCGTTGGAATGCGCCGTCAGGGAACCGATCTCTGAGGCGCCCGGAATGAAATCTGATGACTCCATTCTGGCGGGCACATCGTGTCCACAGAACCAGTGCCGTAGAAATATATTCACCTCAATGAAGAGGTTCGAAAATGAGGATTGATTGATTGAAGATGGATGCGAATCGAGTCAGACTTGGAGAAATTCTCCCGGCACAAAGTGGATTAGTCAGCGGGTCACAGGAGTGAATAACTTCAACAGTTCAATTCGAGCCTTCTTTCTTATCTATTTATGATTTTATTTCTCGATACTGAATGGTCCTTTGGCTATAAAAATCATGAACTCTATCTGATGAATCTTACCTCACCATCTAACTTCCATCGCCATACGTCCGTCGTGCACCTTGCCCGTTTCCATCAACGCCATCATCTCGTTGATGTCCTCCAGACGAAAGATTCTTGGGTTGATTCGAGGCAGGATATTCTTCCGGAGTGAGAAGTCAATGCATCTCTGGATTGAAGCACGACTAGGGAGTTTGGCGCCAATTATCCTATGAGTATGGTCAGTACTGTGCTTTATGAGAACTGCTCAAGACGTACTGAAATGCGTTCGCGACTAACGCAAGGCCAGATATAGGAAGGCTATCCCCAAATACGCCTACGGCGATGAGTCTTCCCTCTGGTCGGAGGGTTTTCAACGCTGTGTCATACGCTGCTTCCGATCCCAATGTCTCGACCGCAACATCTACGGGGTTTCCATAGTTGCGGAGGGCAATCTGATGGTTCAGTTCTTCTGGAGAGAGAGACCGGGTGTTGAGAATCTCGTTTGCTCCCCCTTCTTTGGCACGGGCTTGGATCTGTTCGTCTTGTACGTCGAGGGCAATGACATGAGCCCCCAGGGCCTGCGCATACCGGGTAGCCAAACTCCTCAGTCCTCCCACGCCTACGATGGCGAGGCTCTCACCCGGACGCAGACAGGCTCGTTCCAACGCATCCCACACGGTAATACCTGAACAGAATAAGGGCGTCAGGTAATTCGGTGACACCCTATCCAACTGTTTAGCGCGAGCAACTACCACCGCACCCTCCGGATCCACCAAAGAATACTCAGCAAAGTATCCGGGGCAGGTGAACCCCTTGACATTCATGCCTTTGCAAAAATGGGATCCGAGTTTCTTGCAACCAAAGCACGCCAGGCATACATCATGATACGGCGCAGCTCCGATCAGGTCTCCCTCTTGAAACCCATAGCTGACGGCTTCGGGTCCGACCTTGTCAACCACCGAGATTGCTTCGTGGCCGATGATTTGGGGAAGAGACCCGATGTCCATGGCCCCGCTGGTGAACTGTATATCCAAGTGACAGAGTGAAGCTGCCTTGACGCGCACTCGCATCTCTCGGCCGGTGGGCTCTGGAATAGGCACATCTTCGATCTGTAAAGGCGTTCCCGCTTAACATTTGTGAGACAAGTTTGGAAATGGGATAGGGAGGTGCATACCTTGTGGCAAATGGCTGCCTTCATAGTCCCTTTGACTGTCATGATGGAAACTATACTTGATATTAAAATGAATGATCCACAGCCATGTAAAGCTTTTTTGTAGCTGTGTCGGGGTGGGGTTTGTTTTAGCGGGCACATGATGCATAGTATCGTAGTACAATTTGGAATTATGGGATCATTCGGAATGTTAGATAACAGGGCTAGTATTCAATGAAATAAACATCCTATTAAGTACTTATTAAACAAAAGCTATACTATCAACAAACGGCAGATATCGAGCAAAAGCAAAACCGTATACATACATCTTGTCGAACATAACATTGGGAAACAGGAAAACGCTAACATTCTCAGACTCAGTGGCCACAGATCAGCTCTGGAGTGGCCTCGTGAGTACTCACCGTACTCACAATCTTCAATCGATGGAGAGATTCATCCAGATTCAGGAATATCCTAGTCACAGCCTGATGGTCATTCTTCGCAGCCCATGATAATGGTGTATGGCCATCGACATCTACAGAGCGTGGATCCACGTTCTGTTCCAGCAAAAGCTTGACCACCGTCTCATGGCCATTCTCAGCAGCCAGCGACAGTGGAGTTTGGCCATTATGACTCTTAAACTCTGGGTTTGCGTTCTTCTGGAGCAGAAGTTTGATGATGCTGCAGTGGCCATTTTCTGCTGCCCGGCATAATGGGGTTCGGCCGTCCAAATCTACCGAGTCCGGGTCAATATTCTGGTCCAACAGAAGCTTGACTACTGCCTCATGACCGTTCTCTGCTGCAAGGGACAGTGGGGTTTGTCCATCGCTGTCTTCTGGATGTGGGTAGGCCCCGTGCTCCAGTAAGCATTTCACCACGCCTGCATGGCCCTTGGCTGCAGCTCGTGCAATTGGTGTCCTGGTGCTGTGATCGTTGAGGCCGGCGTCTGCTCCGTATTCCAGGAGTAGACGGACTGTGCCTTCGTTTCCGCTGTGAGCAGCGAATTCAAGGGCTGTGCATAGCTGGAGCACTGTATCTGCATCATCATAAGTAGCCCAGGTGTTAGGGCTTGCTTTGTGCTTGAGCAGTTGTGCCACGACGTTTGTGTGACCGTTCATTGCTGCCAATGACATGGCAGGCATTGGGAAAGCGTCCATGACGTATAATAAAGCAGGTAAGGGGCGAGTCCCGCTGGTCTGGTGGGTGACATCGAATGGAGGGCAGAGTAGAGGGATCAACTCGTCGTGGCCATGCTCTGCAGCATAGGACAACGGCGTCTTACCGCAATACCCTGACTCTGAAATGTGGCCCCTTTCGAGTAGAGTTACTACTGCTTCCTTCAGCCCAAAGAATGCCGCCAGATGCATTGCCGACATCTTTGCTCCCTCCAAAAAGTATTGTGTGAAGTGTCGGCTGAGTTTGTAGGGCCGGTATGTCACCTCGCCATCTGAGACTGTTGCCCGTCCTTGATAATACAGAAGGGCTTGGTAGGAGGCGCAGCGCTTCGATCCACTCTCAAGAAACTTGATGATTGATTCTCCTGCTGCGGAAGCTTCGCGAGCATGATGTCCCCAGTTCTGCGCGGCATAGCTGTAAAAGGGGTACTGTTGTAGCCGCGCCTTCAGTTTCTCCTTGGTATGAACCTGTCCGCTCTCAAAAGCATCAAACGAAAGATAGGTCACGCATTTGGAGACAATTTCCTGGTGGGCATCAGGGAAGAAGGCTGTCCAGGTTCTCTCGAGATATTCCTGTGTCGTGGAGTGGATCAGTCGAATGATGCCACTTTGTTCGTCGACAGTGACCAGGCCTGCGCAGACAGAAACCATATCGTCTACTTCTGGCATGTTCTCCATGTCAATTCCAGGATCGCCATTCTCGACAGCAAAGACATGCTGTAGTTCGAGAATAGTCAGCTGTCTCCTGGAACAGGTAACCCATGACAGAACTTGCTTGGCCATGTCTCTCTGGTCTGGTATCTGACATTCTACCCGTTCCATGGCCTCGTCATAGGCAGAGTCATATACATCGGATCTGTTTTGGAAACCTTCCAAGGCAGTGCGAATGGCTCGAGCAGACTTTTTACCAACCAATGAATCCAGATAGAGTTGGGCAAGAAGGAACCTGGCTTGATGTTAGATAATGAAAAGAGAGAAACACGGCTAGCAAGAGACTTACATTCCATCAGCAGCTTTGATGATTTGGGCTATGATATCCTCTCGCAGCTTCTGGTTGCGTTCCAGCGAAACGAACGATGGGAGGATCCCCATATGACTCTGCAGGTATTTTTCCACGTCCTCTGCATTGGCACGAATCTCCAGCGACGGCTTTCCTTCAAACCGCCTGACGATGTTTGCGTTGGATCGTGATGTAGCGAGAAAATTCACTGCCGACTCAGCTTGAAGGCTGAATATTTCCTCGATTAGTTTTTCCTGTGCATCACCCGACACCTGGCATTCATCCAGTCCGTCAACGACAACAAAGACCTTGGAGAATTGACTAGCGAGTGAATGCACAGCTCTGGAAATTTGATCAAGAGAGGGTCGTGTTCCCTTGGGTTTGTGCAGCTCATACAGTGCCTTGACACTCTGTGGCATGCGCAAATGGGCATGCGACAACTGTCGCAAGAGACTGGCCATGAGATCTTCCACTTTCTGCTCGCTATGGCGTCGGAAGTTGCAGTAGAGATAGACAGTGCAGATACCGTCGTTCTTGGTGAATTTCCGCTCCAGGTGATCAACGACAACCGATGTCAGTGTAGTCTTACCAGCTCCTGGCGCTCCCTGACAGAATAACGTCCGTTTCTCTCCGTCTACCCACTGCTGGAACTCGTCCGTGTCCAGCAGCCAATTGCCCGTGCCTCTTTGTCGTCGATTGAGAATGTCTGTTTGTTGGGCAGCATAGTCGACAGGAGTGATCCATTCCAGGATGGTTTGGCCGTAGTCCTGTTGCTCTTGACCCATGGTATTGACGATTCTCTCGATGTTACTGACTTGCTTTCCTTGTTGCAGTCGACTGTTTCCAATGTCCTGAACTAGTTTTCTGGTTTCTCTATTAGTATTTGGTATAGCGCGCATGAGATTGAAACATACCGCTGGTCACTGGTCAAAGCCACATTAAGCAGTGTTTTTCCACGCTGAATCTCGTTTATGAACCGTTCCACTTCCTTTGCAGTAAACGGCCATTTCCTCGACATGGGTGCTGTTTTCGCCCCCTTTTGAGGAGTAAGCCTTGTCCCGACGATGCTGAGAATCTTCCACAATTGATCCAGCGGACCGCCAGGGGACTCGAGTGCCTTTTTCTTTGCGATCCATGCTGTTCCTCGCTCTGCATCATCGATTTCATCGATGATCTGCTGAAGAATGAACTCGCAGGAGCGGATCTCCTCGCGAAGACGCGTGCGATCCTTCTTCGCACCGGCAAGACTCTTGATGAACCCAATCACCTCTGATGACAGTTTGATCAGAGCGATGACAGTGATGGTCGTACTGAGAGGGTCAGCCATTGTCTGCTGTGTTTCTGTGTGCTCGTGTCAGGGGAGGTGAGGGAATGATCCAAGGAGAATATGGTGATAAAGAAGGGGAATTTCAATCCAGCCTTTTCGACCCCCTCTCCGGTCAATTATAGAACAGGAGGTCAAGGGCGCACATGTGTTTCCAATAAAATCTGTTGGGATATCTGATCTCTCACCTGCTCCTTTTCCTTAGCTATCACAAATACTGCACATGCTCTTGTCGGTCAATAAACCTCATAGTCAAGTCAATAATGGGCGAGCTCGTGGCCGATTCGATCCATATTATTTGTTTCAATATCCAACCCTTTATTTTTGATAAATATATCCATTTCACTCATCAGAATCAGTCCCTGAATGCCCTCAAAAATATCCATCGTAACTGAATTCGCCAATTTCCATTTTCGGCGAAAACAGGTTTATTGATATGCATTGCTGCTGCATTGATCTTGACCGCCACTGAGAAGCGTCAACAAACCGTCCCTCGTTATGCATTGCGACTCCACAGCCCGTCAATAGTAGATATGCAAATTAAGTCTCGCATCAAATAGCCTCAAAGGTTGTGCAAGCGATCGAAGGTTTGATTTCTATTATCCAAACTTTGTCCCAAAAAGAACTCACTATAAACATGCTGAGACCGTTTTCTACGCAACGTTGCGTACAACGTCGTCAATGGCTTTTGCCACATAATTTACGTTCTTATCGTTCACTGCGATTTACTGTTCAGTTTCCATCTCGTAAATAAACAAAAAAAAAAAAAAAAAAAAAACTTGCATCGACAATGAACTTACAGCCAGGCATGGAGATTCTCCCCGATTGAAGCATGTAGACATGGTGCCGATGCCGGATCGCCAGGACTTGGTTGACCGTCAACCCGGTGTAGGAAAACATGCCAATCTAGCGCAATTAGCCGTCTTTCTAACTATCGTCCTGTCCTTGTTGTGTGTAAGATGGTATCAGGCTCACCTGCGCGAGGATGTGCTCCCATGTTCCCGGCGTGCCTAGCCGTACCAGTTCGTCGTATAGTGCCTGTCGCATCGCTTTGATTCTTCCACTCATATAATCCAGATCAAGTTGCCATTTATCTCTTAGATCTCTGGAGCTGAGAACGGTCCGAACAATCTCAGATCCACCCCGGGGTGGTGTCGAATACTCACCACGAACCAAGTGACATAGGGTTCCCAGCACGGCTTGTGGAACGCCCGTTGAACTTGCACTCGTCACCACGTGTAGTGCTCCAGCACGTTGACCATAAAGACCAAAGTTCTTTGAGAAAGACTGCGCCACGCAAAACTCCAGCTGAGGACGATAGTTGAGGAAATACCGTACAGCCCATGCATCCTCCTCGACACTGCCGGATGCAAAGCCTTGATATGCGAGATCGAAGAACGGAATTAGGCCTTTCTCTTCACATAGGACTGCAAGATTAGCCCACTCTTCTTTGCTGGGGTCAGCTCCGGTAGGGTTATGAGCGCAAGCATGCAGAAGCACGACATCGCCTCTTTTCGCCTGTGTCGACAGCAACTGCGTGGTTCTTTCGTAGTCAAAGCATTTGCCTTCAAAGTCATAGTAAGGATATGTCTGCTTCTCCACCCCTGCAAGCTCCCAGATCGAGTGATGATTTCCCCATGTTGGTTCGGGAATCCAGACACGGCCTGGTTTGAGAGTGCGGGATAGAAATTCAGCGCCCAGTCGATTTGCTCCTGAGCCGGAGATGGTCTGGATAGAGACAATCCGATCCTTGTCTGCATCTTGTTGGCTTGAATGGGGTGTCTCTAGTCCAAACACAAGATCCCGTGCCAGGTTCAGGTATTCCACATCTCCTTGGATTGCGAGATACTCGTGGCGTGCAACGTTCTTGGACTGATACAGTTGCGTCTCTGCTTCTTCCACCACGTTCAAAGGCCACGGGGCTCCATCTTCTGTGCGATAGACACCTATGCCTAGGTTGACTTTGTCAGGATAAGGGTCGTTGAGATATTCTGCATTCACTCCAAACGGTTCATCCGCCGGAGGAATAGGAAGCGTGGCGAATCGAGAGTCCGACGATGCAAGGGCTGTCTTGACAGGAGTAGACTTTTGCGTGGCAACAAAAGCGTCCTGAATCTGAGATGGTGCCATGATGACTGAGGCTGAAGAAATTGTGCTGACTTGTATGCATGCAGAGTAATCATGCCAGACCGGTGCCGTTATTTATGTATCAATGTTCTTAAATGCACCATTGTGAGCTTACTGAATTACCGTGGGTATCCCCTAGGGTCTTGATGACGCCAGTCCAATGATAGTCAAATATATGAAAATAGAGAGAGTAATAATTCACAAAGGATGGCGAAAGACTCCGCTCGTCGTTTAACGCCGGCTGTTGGCGTCGAGGCAAAATACCCGCTTCCAACCGCTCTGTGGTGTGGGATTAAACGTGATAGATATCCTCCGACGTGGGGTTAGGCTATTTGATAATGCAAGTCATGGATATCTTCGCTGGTTGCATCTAAACCGGTTTTAATTTTGTGCTCGTGTTGGAATTAAAACACTTCGTGCTACGGCTGGAGGCGGATATTTTGAAATGACCGGGTGTAAAATTCTAGTAAACTCCGAATAGTGTCATCATCGTTGAGATAAGAGATTCAATAAATCTTATAAATCAAAAACACATAATAACCTCGATTCTAAGCCAGTCGCTCGATCTCGGCACATACGGCGTCCACCACATCCTGTGTATTGGCCGTGCCTCCCAAGTCGCGTGTCAAAATCCCATCTGCGCACACTTTTTCGACACAATCCATGAATTTCTTTGCAGCTTCCTTCTCCCCAATCCAGATAAGCATTTCGGCTGCGGACCAAAATGTAGCCACAGGGTTGGCCACTCCCTTGCCCGTGATGTCGAACGCGCTTCCGTGGACAGGCTCGAAGACACTGGGGTTTTTTCTGGTGGGATCCAAATTGCTAGACGGGGCGACTCCAATCGATCCAGCGAGGGCAGCAGCCAGGTCTGACAGAATATCCATATGCAAATTCGTTCCCACGATGGTGTCCAGAGAGTCCGGGTTTCCGACCATGCGGACGGTCATGGCATCGACCAGCATCTTATCCCAAGTGACGTCAGGGAAATCCTTGGATACTTCAGCTGCGACCTTGTCCCAGAGAACCATTCCATTTCGCATCGAGTTACTCTTGGTGACCACCGTCAAAAGCTTACGAGGTCTTGAGCGTGCCGTCTCAAACGCAAATCGCATAATCCGCTCGATGCCGACGCGAGTAAACATCGCAACCTCGGTCGCAGCCTCCCAGGGTTGATCAATGTGGGAGCGTCCACCCTGGCCAGAGTATTCTCCTTCGGAGTTTTCGCGTACAAGAACCCAGTCGATTCCTTTCGTGGCAGTGGTGAGTGGACACTTGGTGCCAGGAAAGGTACGGACTGGACGGACGTTGGCGTATAATTGTAGTGGTCCCCGGATTGCGAGTAAAAGACCCCAGAGACTTATATGGTCAGGGACATCTTTGAGTAGTTAGATATCTCGTCTTTTTCCCTGTCCAAGATTTTGACATACCTGGGGCTCCCACTGCTCCAAACAAGCACGCTTGGAACTTGCGGAGGGTTTCCAAGCAGTCATCCGAGACATATTTGCCGTATTCCTTGTAATACTGCGTTCCCCATGGAATATGGGTAAATTCGATATTGAACGTCCCTAGAGTCTTTGCCAGCTTTTCGACAGCTTGTATCGTTGCTGCAACGACCTCGGCGCCAATGCCATCGCCGGGGATGGATGCAATTCGGTATGTGGGCGTTGTTGCGGCCATTGTGAAGTTCTTGATAATTCGATGGAGTTTTTCAGATGGTCGATGAGCTTCATCTTATAAACTGTCTGCATGATCGCATTTCCATAATAGACCCCTCCGTCGATCGTACGCCTGAAGGTTCATCCTGATCGTTTTCATGGTTCTTGACAACGCTGAGAGAGCAAAGCTTGTCGTTGGACGCAGAGAAACTCATCGGCTCCATCGGCTGAACCTTCAACCGACCGGAATCTGCCAGTGCTAAACGCTCACTTCTGCAACCACCTTCACTGAACCATCTCCAAGATATCATATTCAATATCATACAATATTATACGTCACTTTTCTATAGCCAGCTTGGCTCTGTGTACTGCTATAGTTACTTCAGGCGACAGCCTGCATGCAAGATGCCCCCAGCATCGAGGGAAAAGAAGCCGTCTCGAATCACAATTGCCTGCAACGCATGTCGCTCTCGAAAGCAAAAGGTGAGAAGATCCTAGTCTGGCCCTCTCGGTGAATTTAGGGCTGATGTTGCTTCCAATCTAGTGCAGTGGGGGAAGGTGATCATCCCCGCCTTATGGCATTTCTATCTCAATCAAAGCACGAGAATATCCAGCTGATTGAAAAAGACCGGTTTGCACACAGTGCCTTGAATTTCATCGGCCGTGTGATTGGCCTGAGCAGTTGAAGCGGTTAGTTCAGGTCTGATTTCTCCAGCATGGATCTAAGCTCACTCTGTTTAGAGGTCCCGCAAAAGGCTATATCGAAGCCTTGGAGCATCGTCTACACGAAACTGAAAGCGTGTTGCTGAAACTGCTGTCACGCTTATCCGATGATCAGCTATCATCTACCTTATCGCCACCAAAAAGAACAAGTCGCAGCAATATAGATCTAGCGTACACCCCCTTCTCACGCCTAGGCAAACAAGATGCAGGGTTCTGGAAGAAGTTCCCTCTCGACACACCTGAAAATATCCGGGAATGGCAGCGAGATTGTCTGGATAGTGAAGGATCAGATTCAACCGGCCGTGAAATGAACCCGACTGGGTCTGAAATCATGAATTCTCCAAATTTGCGACACTTGGAAAACCCGTCCACCAAAAGACCCAGGTTGGAAAAAGATCGTGATGCGCCTGGATCTGATTCTGAGCTAGTCTTGTCTTCCGAGATTCCTCGACCCGATTTGTATGCTTTGCCATTGCCATCGGAACCCACGACTCCTCTGAGTAACAGCTCCAGTTCGAATCCATTGGTATCAAGTAGAAAGGATATGTATCAACCAACCCATGTGGATACGGGATCTGGAGGAGCACGGGTTCATCTTATGCTGGGGCCTTTAGATCAATCCGATCCAAACCCCACCGAAAGCTTCATTTCCAGTGCATCCCAAGAACCCAGTTTCTGGAGTGAAGCTCCTCCTCTGAATTTCCAACAAAAGTTCCTCTGGTAGTGGCTATTAACCTAGAACCACCGGTTTTTTGCAAACGACAGGGCATTGCTCCTTTGACACTGCCATCTCTTGTTGACATTGATATGGCTGCAGGCGCCAATCATTGCGGTCTCTTGAATCATCACCCTCACTAAATAAATAGCCTCAACACGGGCCTCGAGGTCCTTTTGTCTCTCACCAAAGCTCCACATATCGGGTTTGCCCCGCCCCCTCTTTGGATAAGCTCCACTTTGCTATCATTCAAGGAGATGATGTGACGAGGATGAGCCTGTGAGGCCATCTTGGTCCTGAGTATTCTGCTCTGGGCTATAAGAACAAATTCTAAGATTTATATGACCAACGGCAAGGACTATTAATATACAAGATTCAAATGGATTTGTTTCCTACATGAATCTACAAGGAAGCAGACTCGAATTTCTGTCAACTATCCTGGCAGCTGTCACTCCTTACTAATGAGTAGGGATTAGAATGGGTCCCCAAAAGCCCCACTCCAGGGCCGTTATACGAGGCCACGCAAATAGAGTAAACTGTATCGAATATTCGAAGGATTTAGTGCTGTTTGCTCTCAAAGTTAAATCCCAGGGGCTTCTCAAAAGTGTCCCACGACAGAAATTGACCCTGCCTGAAACTCATAACCAAGACATTGAGGAGATCAAGCGCTATGACCATAAAAAAGGTATCACTTCGACAAGTATTCTCAGAGATTAGACATCTAACAGTCATTAGGTCATTGTCGTCGGGGCTGGGCCATCAGGACTCCTTTTGGGGATTCTCCTGGCCAAACAAGGCATCCAAGTTGAATTGTTAGAAGCAACCTCCGAACTTGACAAACAACCTCGTGCCGCTCATTATGCACCGCCTGCCGTGTACGAGCTGGAGCGCGCAGGGGTTCTGGATGATGTGAAAGCCCGTGGATTCTTACCCAGGGACATGTCTTGGAGGAAAATCGACACAACCTTCATTGCCGGGTTGAACTTCGAAGATACCCCGAAGGAATATCGTCCTTATCGGATGGTAGTGCTTCCATTGGATCGACTGGGAGAGGTTTTGTACGAGCATATCCAGCGACAGCCTACGGCTCAAGTGAAATGGTCACACAAGGTTGTAAAGATCGGGCAGGATGGGGACACTGCCTGGGCGGAGGTTGAGACACCTTCGGGTCTGCAGACGCATGAAGCACACTACATCATTGGATGTGATGGAGCGAGTAGCACTGTCCGAAGGCAGCTATTTGGGCCAGAGTATCCTGGAGTCACTTTGAATACGCAGCTCGTCGCGACAAATGTAGGAAATCCGTTCACTACTCGAGTCCTATGCATTTACTAAACTAGACCCAGGTGTACTACGACTTCGACAAATATGGTTATTGGGATACCAACTTCATTGTTCATCCCAAGAATTTCTATATGGCAGCTCGACTTACAAAAGACGGTCTCTACAGGGTTACCTATGCTGATATCCCTGGGCTTAGCCGCGAGGAGTACATCAAACGACAGCCCTTGAGGTACCAAGAGATTCTTCCCGGTAACCCCAAACCCGGCGATTATCGCATCACCAAAATCGGTCCGTACAAAATGCAGCAACGATGTGCGCCTAGCTTCCGAGTCGGTCGGGTTATTCTCGCTGCAGATGCGGCACATCTATGCAATCCTTTGTCAGTGCAGCATGAGTTAATGATATGGAAAAATTGCTGACAATATATTAGTGGTGGCCTAGGCCTTACGGGTGGTATAGTTGATGTCGGACATCTTTTCGACGCGCTGATGGAAATCCATCAGGGAACAGCCGGTGATAGTATTCTGGATGAGTACAGTGATGCTCGCAAGAAGATTTGGGCCGAGATTATCGATCCTATGTCAAGAGAGAACTTTCGACGATTGCATGACCAGGACCCCGACAAGGCTCGAGAAAATGACGAATTCTTCAAGCTTTGTATCCAGGCCGAGACGGATAAGAAGCTCGCTAGGGATTTGATGAGGGTGAGTGGTTCTTTTCTGTAGACATCTCATTGATGCTAACCCTTGTTGCGTTTTGTTAGGGCTTTGACGCTCTTAGACATGATGGGAAGCTACCTCCCAAAGCACAAGATATCAAGTCACTCTTGTAGTGCAGTAGTAGTCTATGAATAGGTATATAAGTTACTATATTACATCTATATCATCACTTATGCAATGACACCCTTTTCTCTCAAACTTTGGATCCTTTCATCACTCATCCCGGTCAAATCGCGCAGGACCTCCTCCGTATGCTCACCGAGAAGAGGAGGGGGTCTTCGAACACTTGGTTCTGCATTGGAATACTTCACCGGGGGACTGATCGCTGGCATAGGACCACAGGTCGGATGCTCGATTGTTTGAACCATACCGCGTGCTTGTACTAGACGGAGTAAAAAGATCAGATAAGTCAAATACTGACAACAGCAGTTCGGTCAATACTCACCATGCTCATGATTCATCGTCCCCTGCAGATCATTGACGGCAGCATAAGGCATTCCACATCCCTCGAAATGGTCCTGCCATTCCCTGGTGGTCCGCTTGCGCGTCTCAGCCTCGATAAGAGGCTCGAGTTCGTTTCGATTCTTTACTCGATCGTTGTTACTAGCAAATTTGGCATCTGTTTTCCATTCGGGTTTGTCAAGCATGTCGCAAAGGATTCCGAAGAGGCGGTCGTTGGCGCCTCCGATGAAGATGTCGCCGTCGGCGGTTTTGAAGCCTTGGTAAGGTACGACGGAGGCTATCGTATTCGTCAGTCAGTCTTCTCCCTTGCATTTGAATATCTGCATAACCATACGATGCGCCGTCCCCCATCGCCCAGAATCACCCTTCCCACTTATCAACGCCGAAGTACCCATATTCGACAACGTGGCGACCTGGCAATCACTCAAGCAGACATCAAGGTGCTGGCCCTCCCCCGTCGTCGCCCGAGCCAGCAAAGCAGCCATGATGGAATTACACGCATAAAGCCCCGTAGTGAGATCAGTCACTGCGACTCCAACCTTGACCGGCTCTCCGCCCCGTGGCCCTGTCAATCCCATTAGCCCAAACTCGGCCGATACCATCACATCGAATCCCGGCCTGTTGCTGTATGGACCTGTCTGGCCGTAGCCGGTGATGCTGGTGTAGATTAATCGGGCGTTAATCGCGCTCATGGTTTCATAGTCTAGGTTATACTTTCTAAGTGAGTTAGGGAGATAGTTCTCCACGAGCACGTCGCATTCTTTGGCTAGTTGGTGGAGGATCTCGATTCCTTCTGGGTGGGCGAATGAGAGGCCTAAAGAGCGTTTATTCCGGTTGACCTTGACTAGGTTAGCATTTTTACTTATTGTGGGTTAAGGGTGGATATACAGAGAGATAGTATGCACTTTCACCATTCCCCTCTTTACCATCTTGATACGGTGCAAACGGCGGACCCCATGCTCGTGTATCATCGCCTCGAACAGGATGTTCGATTTTGATAATATCCGCACTAGGTACCAAGTCAGCCCATCTGATGCCAAAAAACATAGATAATAATCAAACATACCCCAAATCACCCAATATTTGTGTACAGTATGGCTATGTCAAGTATCAGCCAACAAAATCCATCACAAGGACAAAAATAGAAAAAAACAAACCCCAGCCAAAACCCGACTCATATCTAACACTTTGACGCCAGCCAATGGCAGCTTTTTCTTATCCACAGTTTGTGCACGACTGGCTAGTCCCCGATCTGTGATGCCAGAGCTGGCATTGTATCGTGATGTTGTTCTCCCGAGTAGTGAGAGGGGTCTGAAAGGGAGACGATTCATGATTCGAGTTGAATCAATAATTTCTTTTTGGAAATCTGCTTTTTCTGTATGTCTCTTTGTTACACCAAATAGTAAAAGTAAGAGTAAGAAATCATTCATGTATCATGTGTCCCCTGTATGATCTCCATCGGTGGATGCAACTGCCGAAGCCCCACGAGTGAAAGCCCCACGCAGCCACGAAGAAACCCACTTGTTCATCCGAAGTTAGCGGCGATGATCTTTCACATTCCAGAGTCGAGAATCGAGAATCGAGAATTCGAAATGGATGGAATCGGAATTGTCGAGTTTTAATCGGAGTTATTGGGTATCAGTCATCAAATAGTGCATTATCTCTAGCTGTATTGGTTTGTGGACATTGCGGGCATTGCCGTATCCAGTCTACTAGTCATTGTAATAGATATTGAACATAACAATCTAATTCATCTCTATAAATATTCTAAATTACAGCATGGGCTTAAGGTCGTCAGCAACCTTGAAAGGGGCAGCAGTCTTGCTGCGGATCTCCTCCACCGAGACGCCCTCGGCGTGCTCAACCAGAGTCAGACCCTCGGTAGGGCTGACTTCGAACACGGCCAGGTCGGTGATGATCTTCCACACACAGCGGGGGCCGGTGAGGGGGAATGTGCACTCGGGCAGGATCTTGGGGTTGCCCTTCTTGTCGGTGTGTTCCTGAAGATAAAATTTAGAATGAAATTCTGGAATACAGGACTCGGAAATACGTACCATGGTCACAACGACTTTAGTCTTGCTGGGGTTGGCAACCAAGTCCATGGCGCCACCAATACCCTTAACTTTACCGGGAAGCATGAAGTTGGCGAGATCTGGATTGGTCAGTATATGAATATAGGAATAAGATATATCAGGCTGAACATACCTCCGTACTGGCTGACCTGCAGAGCACCGAGCATGGTGAGATCAATAAGACCAGCGCGAATCATACCGAAACTCTCCTGGGATCCGAACACGGAAGCACCACGGCCAAGAGCAACAGTCTCCTTTCCGGGGTTGATCAGGTCGGGGTCCTCCTCACCAGGCTGGGGGTAGCCACCCAAGCCCAAGATACCGTTCTCGGCCTGGAGGACAACCTCAACACCTTCGGGAAGGAAAGAAGGAGCGATCAAAGGCATTCCGATACCGAGGTTGACATACATTCCATCCTTGAATTCCTTAGCAGCACGCTTGATGATACGCTCACGGCCTAGATAATCAATTAGTATTCTGGCTGGACTAAAAAGAGTATGTGACCTACCACCACCCTGGACCATTTCACTGGGGTCCTTGGCGAAGGTGAGCTTCTCAATCTGCTTGGTTCCGGTACTCTGGATGATCTTGTTGACGTAGATACCCTGCAAGTGAATGTCCTCGGGAGCAATCTCGCCGACATCGACAATGTGGTCGGCCTCAACGAGAGTAACCTTGGCGTTCTTTGCCATGGACTCGTTAAAGTTGTTCATTGCCTTGCGGAACTGACAGTTACCTAGCTTGTCTGCCTTGTGGACCTTAACCAGAGCGTAGTCACCGAAGATAGCCTCTTCCAGGAGGTATCCCTTGCCGTTGAATTCACGAGTTTCCTTGGGCTTGGACTTCTCAGCCACAGAGCCATCCTTGTTGTATCGTACGGGGAGTTCACCAGTTTGCACTAACTATCGGTCAGCATTCCATACTTCCAGTTATTCCAGGCGAGACAAACCAATTGTTCCATAAGCCGCGGGAGTGTAGAAAGCAGGGACACCTGCTGCACCGGCAGCACACTTTTCAGCAATGCTGCCCTGAGGGGTAAGTTCCAAAGCGAGGTCGCCACTGAGATACATCTTCTCAAAGACCTTGTTTTCACCGATAAACGAAGCGATCATCTTACTGATCTGCTTGGTCTCGAGCAGCTGGCCCAGACCGGCACCAGGCATGCCTGCATTGTTGGAGACGACGGTCAGGTCCTTGATGTCGGGGCGATCGCGCACAGCGTCAATCAAGGTGTTGGGAACACCGGAGAAACCGAAACCTCCCACCAGGACGGTGGAGGAGCCTTTCATGTCCTTGACAGCTTCCTTGGCCGAGTCGCATACTTTATCGATAGCTCGTCTCGAAGTGGTGACGGAGAAGTTCCGCCGCCAGATGGGGCGGAACACCGCAGGGACAGGCCTCGACATGATGCCTGTCTATGATCAATTGGTTAGATGGGGAAGAGAAAGAGAGAGAAAAAGAGGAGAAGAAGGAAAGATTAAAAGAAAAATAACCTACCGCGTGACCCCCCGCATCCTGAAGCTCAGCCGTGGAGGACGATAATATCGGCTAGGGAGAAATCAGTAAAGAAGCCGATCAAAAGCGATTATCCGGTTGCCTCTCCACAAACACTTTGCCGCCATCCGAAGCCGATCTGGTGGTGTAGGAAAAGTGTTCATCCGTATGTGGCCATTGACGTTGATATTGGGATAGAAACGAAGGCTAGATTGCCTGTTCAATGGTTCTGCAGATATCAGTTGCAGGACGATGCAAATTGAAAAGAAAAAAAAGAGAAAAGAGGGAGAATTGAGCTGTGTATATGATACAGTATCAAGCGGTATTCGGTACCGTAATTTACCTTCCGACCGGGATGTTCTTCGGCAAAGAATAAGTCCTATGGCTTCATGCTTCGGATTGCTGTTGATATTCTTAATTCTGATGTTATTATTCTTATCCTGAATCTAGACAATTGAATGAATTATGGATATGATATGCAACAATATGGAGATTAGTGGGGATCAAATCACCCCGCATAGTTCACTGTAAGTAGACTTTGGTATGTAATGAGATATATCTCCATTTACACACCAGATACTCTGTCAGAATGAAGCAAATTGTACTGTACAGTACATTAACAACTACACAATTGACCTATTATGACATAGTATGAAAGAATAATACCTACAATCACCACAGAGAATGTCGGATGTTGAGACAGACAGGATGATCTCAACGTGGGGCTTCTATAGCTTCATGCCCCACTGCATCTAAATCAAGACATGTAGCGTCTGCTGTAGCTCAAACCCTCGAAATAACCATTCACTCACCATCACCCCTCTAACATAACATCATCATGTTGAGAAGAACCGCTCGTGAAGTCTTTCAGAAATCGCCACACGATGTGGTCGTCCTCTCCTCCGTCCGCAGTCCTATCGCAAGGGCTTTCAAGGGCGGCTTCAAAGACTCCTACCCAGAGGAGATCCTGATGCCAGTTCGTCCTTCACAGTATGAATCTATTTGAATATATCTAACGGTCAGGTCATGCAATCCGCCGTTTCCAGAGCCAATATCCAACCCGACCAAGTCAACGATGCCTTGATCGGCAACGTCCTGGCTGAACTGGGATTCGCCAAAACAGGGCGTATGGCGCTCAATGCGGCTGGTTTTCCCAATTCTACCACTTTTCACACGATTAATCGACAGTGTTCGAGTAGTTTACAAGCTATTACTCATATTGCTCATTCTATCCTCGTTGGTCAGATTGATGTTGGTCTTGCGGGTGGTGTTGAGAGTATGACTCGTAACTACGCTACTCGAGGAATTCCTGTAGATGCCTCGCCGGTTCTCAAGGGATCGTCTGTTAAGGATGCGAGAGACTGTATTGAGCCCATGTTGAGGACATCGGAGAATGTTGCGCAGCGGTATGCAGTTAGTCGGGGGGAACAGGATGAATATGCGGCTGAGAGTCAGCGACGGGCTGGAGAGGCGCAGAAATCCGGTCGATTCGATAATGAAACTGTCCCCATTGAGGCGCGATGGGTGGATGAACAGAGCAAAGAGGTGGCCACGAAACTGGTGACAAAGGATGAGGGCGTTCGTCATGGAGTGACGGTGGAGAAGCTGTCGTCTCTGAAGCCGGTTCTAGAGGACGGGGCCAGCACGGCTGGAAACTCGTATGTCTACCCATATATTCGTTCTAGACAGCATCACTCATATACGATATAGGTCTCAAATCTCCGACGGTGCTTCTACTACAATTCTCGCCCGCCGATCATGGGCAGAAGCCCATGGTTTGAAACCGATTGCCCGGTTCGCAGGTACACAAGTGAAAGGATGCGCCCCGGATGAAATGGGAATTGCCCCTATCGACGCCATCAAAGCACTATACGAATACTGTGGAGTGCAGAAGAGCGATATAGACATCTTCGAGCTGAATGAAGCATTTGCTAGCCAGACACTCTACTGTGCCCGCGAACTGGGATTGGATCTGGACAAGGTCAACCCCAATGGAGGAGCGATCGCCCTGGGCCATCCTGTTGGTGCGACTGGGGCGAGACAGACGGCGACATTGCTGGCTGAATTGAAGAGACAGGATAAGGAGATGGGAATTGTGAGCATGTGTGCTAGGTGAGTGTTTTCTATCTGGCTGTTTTGATGTTTTTGTACTGACTTGGATAGCACTGGAATGGGGGTGGCTTCGTTGTTCATTCGGGAGTAATCTAGAGTATCTTAGCTACTATCCATAGATAATTAACCACTAATTCTTTTCGTATGATATTAATATAAATGACATGGATCTCATTTCGTCCTATGAATTCTCTTTTCCTTATTCCCCTCTTACTCTCACTCTTCCACATCGACCCCACACAGTTGATTTCATGTGGGGTTGGATTTCTCCATGCGTTCATCAAACCACTGGGGAATACCGAGTATTAGAATTAATACCACTGGGTGATTCTATTCCAAAGCAATGCCAAATACAGAATCTATTCCATCTGATTGAGAAAATGTCATTGTTCATCCAACTGGCTCGTCGATCGGCCACTCTGCTTCGACTCCGCATCTCCAACTCCATCTCCAAACGTTCCATCGGCTCTGTCAGCGCAATTGACTCGAGCATCTTTCGCACTCTATTTGGGACAGAGGAAATTCGCAAAGTGAACAATATATGCCCCATTCTGAATACAGAATACTAACGAATATGACAACAGGTCTTCGACGATGAAGCATACATCAACCGCTGCGTCGACGCCGAAGCCGCCCTCGCCCGAGCTCAATCCCAATGCAATGTAATCCCCTCCAAGATCGGTCCATTAGTAACGCAAAAAGTGCGTGAATCGCAACTCGACCTCGACAGACTCCGACACGAGACTGAAATCGTGGGTTATCCCATCCTTCCGCTGGTGCGGCAGTTGTCGGCGATATGCGGGGACGAAGCAGGGAAGTATGTACATTGGGGTGCCACGACGCAGGATATTATGGATTTGGCGAGTGTCTTGCAGATGAAGGAGGGATTGGTGATTGTTGAGCGGTTGCTGAAGGATATCATTGCCACTCTGCGCGGGTTGTCTGAGAAGTATAGGGATACGCCCATGGCGGGTCGGACGCATCTTCAACACGCTCTCCCGGTTACGTTTGGTTACAAGTGCGCCGTCTGGTTATCTGGGTTCCAGCGACATCTGGAACGACTGGAGCAGCTCAAGACCCGGACGTTGTTGGTGCAGTTTGGCGGCGCCGCAGGATCGCTCGCGTCTCTGGGCTCTGGGGACGACGGGCTCCGCGTCCGAAAAGCCCTCGCAGACGATCTCGGTCTCACCGACCCCCCAATCACCTGGCACGTTGCCAGAGACGGAGTCGCTGAGATCGTCAACTTCCTCGCCCTCATGGGTGGGTCAATGGGCAAGTTAGCTCTAGACATAATCATCATGTCATCCAACGAGCTGGGCGAGGTATCCGAGCCCTTCGTGCCACACCGCGGTGCCTCATCGACCATGCCCCAGAAACGCAACCCCATCTCCAGCGAGGTGATCCTGGCCGCGTCCAAGATCCTCCGGTCAAATGCTGGCCTGGTCCTCGACGGGATGGTGGCTGATTTTGAGCGCGCCTCCGGGCCCTGGCATCTCGAGTGGGTTGCTGTACCGGAAAGCTTTGTAATTGCCGTTGGGGCAATGTCGCAGACACACTTTGCGCTGGCTGGATTGTCGGTTCATCCTAAGCAGATGTTGGATAATTTACATTCGACTCGGGGGTTGATCGTGGCTGAGGCGGTGATGATGGGGCTGGCTCCTCAGGTGGGAAGACAAAAGGCGCATGATATCGTCTACGAGGCTTGTCGGGAGAGTATTGAGAAGGATCGGACGTTGCTTGATTGTCTGCTGGATAAAGACGAGGTGGTGGCTAAGATGAGCCGGGAGCGGTTGGCTAGCTTGTGTGATCCGGTGAATTACTTGGGAGCGTCTATGCGGATGGTCGATGATGTTTTGGCTGTAGATTAATCTAGAACGAGCGTGTTTATTCAATTTAGATGGTACTCTGTATTCTTCACTTCAGAGAGTTATTTCTTAATGTCCTTGAATCAAAGGTACTGGCGATTAACTAGTAGTAAGTACATCTTGAACTCAGAGCTCCCACGTAGACTTGTAGATCTCAGACTAGGAAGGCGAATAACTTAGGCTTCAAACTGACGATGTACGGCGCTTCTCCACATCCACATAACTGGCCCCGCATAATCCGATCAAAGGTTGCAGTGGGTCGGAATCGGACAATGACCTCAACAGCTCTCCATATGGGTCTTGATGGGAGATATGAGGATTCAAATAAAGCCTGCTCCATATGCAGTCTTAAATGTTTCGTACAGAGTTATTCCTCCGTTGACTCAACACAACGCATAGATTCACAATGCCTGCACCACCAATTAAGGAGAGAACTCCTATCAAGGACCTGCAAAAGGTCTTCCACTATACCGATACCATGACTCGGAAGCCAACTCGCGACAATGATCCGTACGAATACCTTCCTGGTTTTGGTAATCGCCACCAATCCGAAGTCATCCCGGGTACTCTCCCGGCGGGACAGAACAATCCCCAGGAACCTAGATTCGGCCTATACACAGAGGGTCTTACCTATTCTGCCTTTGCTGCGCCGCGTCATGCCAATTTTAGTACATATATGTACAGGGTCAGGCCGGCAGCTGCTCACAGTATGATTCTTCTTAGTCTGTTGAAGTAGATATGAACTGACGGCCGATTCCATGACAGATGGCTACAGAACCAACATTGAGCACAAAGCAGATGTTGAGAACTGTTTCCTAAGCCTCAACCCCAAAGTCGCGACTTTGGCTGAACAGGCAGAATGGTCTCCGTTCCCTTTGCCTAAAGATGACGAGCGAATCGACTTTGTGGATAGTCTTCATACCTTGGGTGGAAGTGGTGATCCTAACCTGCGAGAGGGTATTGCTCTTTATGTCTTCATGATCAATGCAGACATGGACCACCGCGCATTCTGCAACACCGACGGAGACTTTCTCATTGTGGCCCAACTGGGGAATCTTGACATCCAGACCGAGTTGGGTAAGCTGTTCCTGCAGCCCGGAGAGATCTGTGTGATTCCTCGTGGTATTCGCTTCGCTGTTCGCCTGGGAGCCGGCCACAACGTCGCTCGTGGGTATATCACTGAAGTCTGGGGTTCCCGATGGGAGTTGCCTGATCTGGGGCCAATTGGTGGTCACGGACTGGCTAACCCTCGCGATTTCTTACACCCTGTCGCTCATATTGACGAGAACCTTCATGAAGACTGGTCGATTGTCAACAAGGCAAACGGCACTTATAATGCCATTGAGCAGGATCACAGCCCCTTTGACCTGGTTGCATGGCATGGTAACGTCGTGCCCTATAAGGTTCGTGAACTCCTATCGAAACAAGTCAACGAAGCTAACAACCCCCCCTCTGACAGTACGACTTGACCAAATTCTCTTCTCAAAATGCGACTTCAATCGACCATACCGACCCCTCGGTGAACTGTGTGCTGACAGCTCCCTCGAGAGACCCGGTCACCCCACTGGCCGACTTTCTGTGGTTTGGACCGCGCTGGGATGTGGCATCCAACACATTTCGTCTTCCGTACTTCCATCGCAACTCGGCCACTGAGTTTTTGGCTTCTCTCTATGGCAATGGATTAGGAAGATCCGACGACTTCCTACCTGGAGGAGGTAGTGTAGAGATCAGCCATACACCACATGGCAACTTCAGCGATGCCTATGTGTACGAGATGAGGAATCAGGTGAATGGACCTCGCAAGATCCTTGAGAGTAAGTTAAACATCTGGTTCTTTCAGTCTTTCAGAATAGTTTATTGACCCAGCAGATCAAATGACAATCATGGTGGAGAGCAGTCGGTCGTTCCTCTTCACAGAATATGCCCGCAGTGGATGTGGCACATTTAAAGACCGGGGAACTGACCCTAAAGTCTGGGATAATCTTCCGGTAAGTTCTGTCATCTGACTGTGAAAGGTTAGATGCTGATTTATCCTCTTGCAGGACAAGTTCTCGTCGTATCCCAACATTCAGGAGATCCTTCAAAAGGTCAAAGCGGACAAGGAAGCCCGCAGGCAACGCCTGGAGGCATATTATGACGACGGGTTGCTAGCTGACCTGGCGCTTCAAAGGCCTTAAAGACCTGGACCGTCATCAAGGTTCAGAAACCGCATTGAAGGATTCACGAAGCGAAATGGTTTTATTTGACAGACCGAAATGGCCGGGAAGTGAAGCCTCGCCAAATGCCGATGGTTGGTTGGGTCGTACCAAGACGCCGTGATCGATCGACAAAGATGAATCCTGGCATTGACTCGAGCCGAGTGAATTGAGCGTTAGATAATAATTACCACACGAGAAAATGATGCATCCTGCATATCGTGCTCTCGTGTGATTTGGCAGAAAACAGACGATGGCTTGGGCCCTTTGCGTTGCCCCTCGTGGTGATGCAGAGAAACGTTGTTACTTTCCCCGTGGGGAGAAATGCCGCATTCTGCATCAACTGTCGATGTTGTTTTCGGTAGAGCACCTCCCGATGGCTTGAGATCAAATATGATAGTGAAGCAGCTCATAACGAATAACCAGAGAAGTTTTTGAATCTCAAGTCGAAAACAGCCAGTGTTTTGTAGAGAATTACTAATCATGATTAACTCCGACTTAACCCCATGTAATTTAATGTAAGGTAATGTAAGTACTGTATATTATACACAGAATAGCCGTTTATATCTCAATACACCAAGAAATACTATTACATAACAGCTACCGACAGCTCTCCCCAAAAAGTCGCTTCCCCTCTTCTCCATCTTGTCGCTTTTCTCCCCGGTCTATTTCTCTCCATTCCGTCATCTCGATCGTCTTCGTTGCAGACTCTTTGAAATAATGCATCGCGCTCTGTAATGAACCCTACACTTGGCCCTGTTCTCTCGCAGAATTGCGAGTGTCGTCATGGTTTTGAGAAAGTGTACCATCTGTGACCGTCGGTTCAAGAAGACAGAGCATTTCAAACGTCACGAGCGGTCGCGTCAGTTAATTTCTCTTCGCAATCTTCCAAATGCCATCTAACAGAACCATTAGATACAAATGAGCGGCCCTACGAGTGCAATGTCTGTCATAAACGGTTTTCCCGAAGGTGTGTTTTCTATACGCGATTGGATATTGCATGCTCTTTAAGCTTGCGCTTTGCATGTGAAGCCAGAAAAAAAAGTAGTCGTCTAATCTGTACACCCAGTGATGTCCTGAGTCGCCATGCTAAGGGCCATAATAACCAAACTCCTACCGCGACCAACGGGACTTCGAAGAATAAACAGCCATCCGTATCATCCGATCAAGATCACATTCGACGACCCTCGACGCTCCCCGGCGATACCCCAGCTGCTCTCGATGATGGCCAACGTCTACTTCCCAGTATAGGCATGGAAAATGTCCATCCAATGCAACCCATGCCGGTCACACCACGAGACATGTCTCTCTCCGCAGCGGCAGGCATCCCACCGTCATCCTTGGATTTCCTGGCCAATATCTCCGCGCACCATGCACGTACACCAACAGACATGAATCCAATGATGATGGATGATCGACAGGCCTATTTTGCGTGGAATGAGGTGGCTCAAGCTGATCAGAACACCGGCAGAGGGGTCATGTTTGATACTCCCATGCCAAATGATATGCTGCAAATGTGGCTAGAACCCCGCGGGGACTCTATCTCTCATAATGGTTCATTGGATATCATGCAAGATCCCAATTTCGGTTTAGTCGGGGAGAATCTTGGGATATCTCCAGAAAGGGAAGATAAACACTCGGTTGACAACGCCAAATCTGGGGGACCTATCCCTAATGAGCGATTTGCCAAAGTGCAGCGCTATTGGGTTGCTCCTGCTAGCAATACCGGCCGCCTCATGAACAGCTTATGGCGAGACATGGCTTGCAGTGATGTTGATAACATTTTCACATTACCCTTAGTGCATCAATTCAATATCCAGTCTGGCTCACCCGAGGGATCACGATATGGCCTGGATGAGGAGTGCAAACGAAACCTCCAAGCAGCATTTTGTCAGCTTCAAGTTGCTAACCCACAATTACAAAATAATGCATTCTCTCCAGTTACAAGTGGCCCTGTGCCGGGGTCTTTCCCAAACTTCCCCCCAGCTGAGATTTTAGACATGGCACTTGATTTGTACTTTCGCAACTTCCATCCCCTTGTGCCAATTGTGCATCTTCCTACTTTCTACGCGAAGAAGACACGCCTTCCAATGCTCTATGTCATGTGTCTCATTGGAATGATGATGCTAGAAACAAAAGGAACGACAAACTTTGTTTTCATGAACTTTTCCGTAAGTCATATCTGAAATACTTGGTGTCTAGGTTGTTATCGCTCCTAAGTACTGACTCTCGATTAGTTTGTACTTGAAAAAGTGACAGCACAACTGGCAAGATGCTCCGTTGGTGTTGAGGATTCCTTGGGCACTATGTGTACCTTTGCAACAACATTTCTGTTCCTCAATCTTGCTGCAATGACTGGGGTATGGCCTTGCCTCCCAAATATCAACATTCATACTGATTATCGTGCAGGAAAAAGGGCATCTGGAAAAATGCCAGATGTTATATGTAAATCTTATCTCTGTAAGTTACTGAAAGATTTGATTTTGTCCTCGGGGCTGACCAATTTCATAGATTGCACAACGGCATGGACTTTTTGCAGCAACTGAAGGCCAACTACTTGATATGAGCCTTTTTGAAGCGGTCCCTGACATAGATATGAGATGGAAAGCATGGAGCAAGATAGAATCTGCCAAGAGGTACGCCATTGTATAACACCTACTTAATAAGAGACGCATCCTAACAATGGATACTAGGCTGATAACGGGGCTCTTACTACTTGACTCGTGGTATTCATCTTTCTTATCCACGAGTCCCATCGTCGTACCCGATTCCATACAGCTTATCCACCCATGCAGCGAAGCTCTGTTCCGAGCCGACTGCTCAATGCGATGGATGCAGCTGATTCGCAGTGGAAAGCGGATTTTGATGCCCACTGTTGTCGCCCCATCTGAGAATACCCCTATGCCACCACTAGACTTTCCTGCTGATGATTTCTGCATACATGGAGTACTGGCAATGGTTCAGCTTCGACTCTCTGAAGCATATCATCGTCTTCTGTCTAACCGTGCAAGTTATCCCTTTGCTCCCTGTCACACTTATGCAATGGATGGCCGTGCGAGGTGTCTGCCATCTCTACAAGTACAGATTATTAGCCAGTATGGCGAATCCCTGGAACGATTAAACCCCAATGCAATCGTGATGTGGCATAACATGTGCATGATGCTCACAGCAGATATTCAAATCTTCAACTTTGCCGCAGGACGGGCGGGTCCAAATCCTGCCCGCAAAGCTCTCCATGATATCTCATCGTGGTCACAAACACCTGCAGCTCGGAGAGCTTGCTTACACGCAGCTCACATATACAGAGCTATGACCGATCGCAAAACCTCAGATAATACCATGTTCCATTCGGTGTTTTCGCTGTTTTCCGCTGCCCTCGTGTTGGGGCTGTACACATTCATGGTACCCAACTCCACCGAGCCGCACATTGGAGGTTCTTCGATCGAATTGCTGAATGATATCGACTGGACGGAAGTGGAAACGGAAGGGTTTACCAATTTTATGGAGCCTCGAGGCAGTCATGCATTCACGCTTACTGGTAACCCAGCTGTCAATTTCATCAGGAACGGTGGGACAGTATACCTTCGAGGTGTTCCCTTCCAGGGGGGATACCAGTCTGCGCGGCGCATTCTCCTGGATTATGCAAGTCTCCTCAAAGATGCCGGCAAGTGGAGTGTGCGAAAATATTCATATGTGCTTCACATTATGAGTGATGTGCTTATGGATGTGGAGTGAATGTCTCTTCTCAAGGCACCGAAAAAAGAAAAGAAAAGAAAAGAAAAGTCTGCGCAGGACGCTTGGAAATATATGACTTCGATTGCGATTTGCATCATAGAGCACCACCGGATGGTATCTGGTCTGGCAGAATGGCTTCGATGGACGGAAGGACTTTTGCCTCGGGACTGGTTCCTTTGACGTTCAACACGAGGGAACCTGGAAGCCAAATAACGCTTTGATCCAAATATCTTGAAAATGTGATTTCAAACGGGTACATTTACAATGACCTTGTACTCACATTTCAGCCTGGCTACTCAACATGAGGCTCTGTCATTTGAGTGACTGGATAAGGCCCGTGATGCTTCGACCAGGCTTGCCATGATTTGCGATATTCAGATCAAACCTTTCTATGGCGATGATAAGTTCTGGGATGCTTGGAGTGGCATGAGATGCACATAATGAAGCTTAGTGAGATACCCAGCTCTTTGTCGTGGGCAATTGTATACTATTATCGACATTATCTAATACCCCATACAACACTTGTGTTGTCCCTGTGCTCATTGAAATCCAATTGTTTATACTGTTTTCTCATTGCCAAGTTTCCCTGATGCTAAATGTACAGACTTCCTTCAAATGACACACAAGTCCTTCGAAGCATAGGACATGAAGAATGAACTGCACTTGCTGGCACTCATTCAAAGGTTTTTCTTTTGCTTCCAAAATAACCAACTGGTCTCATATAGAGATTTCTATTAAAGGCTTGCACTGTCAACACGACGGTGGAGTTTCTCCAAGTCTGCCTCGGAAGCATGCACACTTAGAAGATACCCCTGATCTTCACTGAGATATGTCTCTCCCTGAGGATCCCCCGCAAGAACCAACCTCCCCAATCCACAATAATCCTTTCCATACCACAATGGCTCCCCATTATTCCTATCCTCCACCTGGAAAGTCTTCCACGAAGTCAAGTCCTCCTGCGGGTTCTCCCTCAAATGCTTATTGATACAAACCCCATTGCAAAGTGCATCAGGAAAATGCATCACATCATTCAACACCATCGTCCCCGTCCTCTCATCCTCCGGTGCCCGGCGAACCTGCAACTGCACAGTCCCCACGCCCAGCACGCGCATGTGCCCTATTTTCCCCGGCGCCCGACGGTATGAGGTAAAGGCGGCGCGGTTTTTGGCGTAGTGCACGTTGCCGCTGACGAGCATCCAGTCCCAGCATCGTCGGTGGGAGCGAGGGGGGCTTTCGCGTTTCTGTTGTTCTTTCTGGTGTTTCTGTTTGAGGTGTTTTTGCTTGTGCTGTTTTTTGTGTTGCTTGATGTCGCGGTGGTGGTCGCCGATTTCGCCCATTTTCTTGGCTTCTTTGTATCTGGAATGAGAACCGGGGAGTATGTTAGTCTGATTATAGATAGAAGGAGTCAATCTGTGTTCAATGTCGTACTAACCTCGGGCTGGTGTTCCGGTGGTCAATGACGTTGAATGGATGTATGTAGAAGTTGCGGTGTTCTAGCAGTGGCAAGCCGGGAGACTGAGTCAACTCAATTCAAACTCTCAACGGATGTGACAGATAATCTTGTGGGAAATAAACCTTATCCACGTGGCACCCCCGGGGATAGTAATTGCAAGATGATCATCATGGGAATTCGTCATTTGCGTTTCTAGACCCGTGTTCTTGGAGTTGCAGACGTAATGCATTGTTGCTTTGTGGGGAAGGAGTCCGTCTGTCTTATCTTATCGCAAAGCATACCCAGCCGGATGATGGCATGACTTGGAGATGCCATTTCGACGAGTTTGGCTTCTTTATATCGATGATATTTGGTCATTCGGGGCATTCTCTCTGTATTTCTTTCGTTATATGCCTCAAGTCTACTCTATACGATGTTTCATTCAAGGCTATATACACATCTAGATGGCTGAGTATGCAAAAGCAAGGGTATAAGCGCTAAACCATCATTTTATTTACCGATAAAGAAGACCCTTTACCATCTCCCCAATCGCCAATGAACTCGTCAGTCCAGGGCTCTCGATTCCTAGCAGATTTATGAAACCAGGAAACCCTTCCTCTTCCTGGATGATGAAGTCCTGGAATCCCTTGCCGGTGTTCACAGCTCCGCCTCGTCCCAACTTGGGTCGGATACCACAGTAGTCCAGGTCGATGGCCTCTGGGTTAACGTTGGGAAGATACGCCTTGATTTCCGGGAGAGCTTGCTGTAGCCGTGCCGGACTGGGTTTAAGATCATTCGGGTCATCAACCCATTCCACATCTGGACCAAAGCGGATGCGACCTCCCATGTCCAGTGTGAGGTGAGTTCCTAGGCCACCGAACCCGGGCAGGGTCGCAGGGTAAACTAGGACAGAGGTCTTGGGGAACGAAGCAGAGTAGGAGAAATATGTCCCCTTTGCGTAGCAAGGAATGCGGTGTCGCTCGGGGGGTAAGAGCATGTTGTTAATGTAACAGGCGAAATTGCCCGCACTGTTAATCACCGTCTCGGCCGTGATGGACGATGTCTCAGTGCCATCCTCGGACGTAGCAGTGATCCGATAACCACCCTTGCCACCATCCAACGGCTCGATAGCCGTAACATGTGTCATGAATGCGCAGTCACCTCCGCGGTCTTCAAAGTCACCGTGTAAATAGGTCATCAGAGAGTGACTGTCAACGATACCTGTCGTCGGACTTTCCACGATGCCCGCCAGCGCCTGGACTTCAGGTTCCCGCCTCTGCGCCTCCTCCCGTCCGAGTATCCGTGTAGGAACACCTAATTTCTGTGCATGCTCATGGGTCCGAAGAGAAGCCTCCCATTGTTCCTCATTTTGTGCCACGATCCATTTCTTGGTGTTGCGGTGTGGGATCCCCTGTCTCGCGCAGAGGTTGTACATCATCTCTTTTCCTTTGATGCAGAGGTTCGTCTTGAGGGTATCTGTTCCGTAGTACAGCCCGGCATGGATAACCTATTAGTTAAAAGATACAATAAATTAGTATTCACATACTATTTTTCTTGGGTAGCTGGGGAAGTACCTCTGAATTGCGACTACTAGTCTCTGTCCCCGGGGCATCATGTCTCTCCAGTAATATAGTCGACGTACCATCTCTCGAAGCCAGCTCCCGGGCAATAGCGAGCCCTACAACCCCAGCCCCGATGACCTTGAACACGAATAAGTATTTTGCGTGGATTTATCGGGCGCAATTGCGACAGCCGTAGGTGTGGGTGGGAGAGATTAGTTACCGCATGAGTGACGTCCGCACTGGCTGCTCGCGTGTTACAGAAGCTGCGTCGTGAGGAAAGAGCCCGGGGAAGTGAGAAGCAAGCTCTAACAGCCATGGTCTGTACAGGGGTGTAGTCCGTAGATCTGAAGAGGATAATTCTCTGCCAAAACTTTCACGAGGAATGTTGGCAGACGACAGAGGAGCGTCCCCGCGCGGAGCGGGTGTCGGCGATGGCGCGATCGGAGACCATGATGGTGAATACAAAGTACGAAATAGCAACACAAAAACCAGGGGTAACTGAATGCAATTGTGTCTAAATATGATCTTGCATAGCTAGAAGATAGGTTTAATATTGGCCATTGAGGTCATAAAGTGGAGCTCAACACCAGGCAACACTTGGAATGCTATCTCGACTTCCAGCATCATTACACTTGTCACACTACAACTTATTCGTTAAAGTCGTAGTTTAGTCCAGCCATATTGTACGGGTATGTCTCGCTTGAGAAGCCTCGCAGAGGCCCAGCTTCAGTTATATTCAAGAAATGAAGTTAAGACAGATGTAAAAAAGAATAATTACCATCTTCTACCAGATCAACCTGTGATAGGCAAAAAGGACATTTTAACTACGTCTTCCACAGCTCTTGAGCATGTCATCCAAGTGCTAAGAAGCGTTAACATCATTATTGTTCAAATGCAGTCAGTAATAAGCTTACCTGTTTCTGCTCCGTTGCTAATTTACCATGGGTATCCTGTCTCCGAGTCAGTAAAACGCGGTCATCAGCAGTCACAGGTCCACATACGCTAATTATGGTCAAGATCAAAGAATAGTTGTTGTAAAGGAATCTCTCTCTTCGTTTGGCATCGCCGCCACTTCTGCTAAGCTTTGCCAAAAGGTTATCAAACTCTGAAACTAGTCGGCCTAGACTGTTGGAGACAGGTTCGTCATCCCCGGCATCACTACTGAGGACTAGAATTCCATGCAGAAGCTGACCAAACCGTTGTGTGAGAAAATGTGGTGCCGACGACTGGTTCAAGTCATCACCTCCTGCCAAGGAAAGAGCAGATACTGCACTCCGGCCAGTGTTTGCCGCCACCCGTTTGAGGGATTCGCGGTGGGCGTCCATAACTACCTGGAATCTGGGCCACAGCTGCATGTTCACACCATTGATATATGAATCAGCAACTGGGACTTTTCGCCTTTGTAGTTCAAAAGCTGCATGTTGGTTTAACCGAACACAAATCAACACGCCCAAGGAGTCTGTGGTATTTTCAATCAATTGCTTCGTCATACCCTGGCCAAGAGTAAATACTGGCTCAAAAATCTGAATGGCCTTGCGAGATATTTGATGGAACGACAGTGTCGAGAACATCTCTGTCATGAAGGAGTATTCGGCAGAAATATTGTCCACGAGAGCTAGATTGAAGTTCCTGAATGGCACTTCGATCCCGTGGAAAGAATTGTCTTCCTCCGCCAAATACGAGGATATAGCCATCTGAACTCCCGTTCGAAGAATGTCTATTCTTCTCCCTAACGAGAACGGGTCATGAGCCGCAGCGGCAGGTCGGCTGCCAGGGAGAAAGTTTCCTGTATCCGGTTAACCACAGTGCACGAAAGATTTGCAGTAGTCTGAAAAACCAACCTGTTCGTTGTGTGGATGGGTCGCCTCCCAAAACATCGTTTCGATCACTAGGATACACTTTGACCTTTTCGAGGGCTAGGAGATAGCGGTTAAAATTAGACGAATAATACCATCGCATTGTGTTAATGTAGGCCTGAGTTATCTCCTCTGTAAGTTTTGGGTGAGTCCTCGATAAAAAGCTATACAAGTCTTTGAACTTGACAAGCCGTTGCTGCTGGATGATTTGGGCGTTGATGTTTGGAGACCGCAGCGCTCTGATCTGGCTCACAAGGTAGTCTCGAATTCTTTCGACTGCCTGTACAACTTGTTAACACGGTTCAGAACAATAACCCATGGACATAAGGCACTGACCTTCTTTCTGATATCACTCAACAGCGGCAACACGTCCTCTACGGATTTAGCACTACCTGAACTAGTGACTTTTGCCTCGATACTTGTCGCTCGGGTATCCATTTCATTCAGCGCCTTGACCCAGTTCTCGTCAATAGGCCCTTCCGCAATCAAGCGGACAGCCCTTGGTGATATGCTTATTTCCTCCACGGCAGGCCCAAGAAGTTGTTCGACATTGCGTCTATTCTCCAACATTGCATTCAATTGTACAGACCGGGTTTGAAGGGTTTCAATTTCAGCAGAGACTGCCCCCAACTCATTCTGGAAATCGCCCATATACATTTCAACCGACTTTGAAACATCGTCGCAGCCTGTTATAGCCGAGTGGAGGTCCTGGAATTTGTCTCTTTCCTTTTCGAATTGTTCGATGGTCTGGGCACCAGCATCGGTGTTGGCTATCCTTCTTGGCTCATCTTCCTTTGTAACAAACTCCTCAAGACTGAGATTTCCAAATTCAATAGTCTCCACCAACCGCGTGGGCTTCACCTCGGCAGCCTGAATTGGGGCATCTGCATCTGAAGTTCCGCCCTTGTGCTTTCCAATAATACCATTTAGTACTTCAAGCGGATCGACAACATCTGACGGACGGGACCTTGCAGCACTTGGTTTCAGACCTGATCCACGTGCAGTCGCAGAAAGGGAGGTACTCGAGTCACTTGGTGTCAATAGGATAGACAAGGACGAGCCTTGACGACCAGATCCTGGACGAGTATTCTGAGGGCCAGGAGACAGATGAGACGATCTTCGAGGAGACGGCGAGTAACTGCGATTATCGAGCGGGGTTCCCGATGGGGTTGAATGGCCTGAAATGCGGTCGAGCCACATCTTGAGAGGCCGGCACGGGGAAGCGTGCAGGTACCGGACAGCTCACCGGCCTCATTGAGAAGTAATTGACAGGCCGTCCACCCAGTGTGAGCTTGTATTGCAAACAAGCTATCACTTCCGAGGCAGACAACACTCTAGACACAAAAACAAAGAGAAAATAAAGTGAGGGTAACGGCCCTGGGTAGAAAGAAGACAACTGTTTCTATACCGCTCCGACACTGCTACGGAGAACGGTTTGGGCAGTCGAGATGCTACGGCGGGCGAAGCACACCACGGACGACGTCTTACCAGCGCTAAGCCACTTTGGGTGCTAGCGACCCGCGAAAACCCCGCCACAACAAAACTGCTTTTAGTCGATTTGTCGATTTCTTTTCGCCTGTTTCCTCCATCGAATTTTTCCCCTCTCCTTTCCTTCCTTTAAACTAAACAGTGTCCTTCTCTTGCTTCTTGTTCTTTCATTTTCATTAATCACCTTATAACCAGTCACCATGGCCGACGAGGTATGTTCTCAGCTTTCTTGCCCCTCTGCGACCTTTTTTTTTCCTGCTGGTCATACAGCCCCGCATCTCGATTCCCCTCCCCTCTTTACTGCGCCCATCGCCATGCGAATGGCCTTGGATTTCTCAATCTTGCTTGGGAAAACATATTTATCGTGGATATGGTTCTAATACAAGTTTTTTCAGACCTTCGAATCCGCCGACGCCGGCGCGTCCAAGACCTTCCCCATGCAGTGCTCTGCTCTGCGCAAGAACGGTCACGTTGTCATCAAGGGTCGCCCATGCAAGATTGTCGACATGTCCACCTCCAAGACTGGCAAGCACGGTCACGCCAAGGTTAACTTGGTTGCCCTCGACATCTTCACTGGCAAGAAGTACGAAGATCTGTCTCCCTCTACCCACAACATGGACGTTCCCCACGTCTCCCGCAAGGAATACCAGCTCGTAAGTAGTCTCAAATGGTAGTCGCAGTAGTTTTTTGGACTGGTTTACTGACAAATTCCCAGCTTGACATCAGTGAGGACGGTTTCCTTTCCCTGATGGACGACAACGGTGACACCAAGGACGACGTCAAGGTTCCCGAGGGAGAAACTGGCGCAAAGATCACCAAACTTTTCAAGGAGGAGGAGAAGGACACTAGTAAGCAATACTCAACCTTTCTGCACCCATGATCTTCTGGCTAACGTTTAAACTTTCTTAGACGTCATTGTCCTGACCTCCATGGGCGAGGAGATCGCCATGGACGCCAAGGAAGCCCCTAAATAATGAATTACCGTACAAAAGGACCTCTTTCCTGTTCTGTCACTCGTGTGTTTCCAAGGGTTTCTTTGCATTCGTGTCCTCAAGTTCGTGCATATGTGACCTTTTGAACAAATCACAACATGTCGGCTTAACTTGAAACCGTCAGTACCGCCTTGGATGGGTACTCGACTGGCTATTTGCTTTTTAGTTTGGCAGCATGAGCGTGTTGATGTCAGAGGAGCAGTTCTGAGTTCATCCCTCTCACGATAGTCTGACGAATAAATAAAAATTCAGTGGATTCCAAATTTGTATTTTATGATACGTAAACAGAATCTGCTTTTGCAGAATATATTTGGCATTTATCAGCCCGGTTTTTACTAGGTATCATGGGTGGTTGTAAATTTATAACGTCAGCAAAGCGAGTGTTGCAAAAACGGCTTTGGAGAGAAAATTCTTTTCTCCAACATCCAACGACACTCGAAAAGTGAGAGCCATGTCTCCCACCTTCAATGCCCCGCAATAATCAGGTCAAGAATGAACCATTGTGCCCTTCATGGAGTATATTACCCGTGGGGTCTGTGGACAAGAAGGGTGCCGTGAAAGACGGTATTATCTCGACAATGGCCTCTGGTTCTGTAGGCGGGGTCATCAGCAGGAGGTACGAACGAACCTTTCGGCGCTCGCGGCAAAGCTCTACCTTGGGTTAAGGCGATTTTGGCTTACACAGTCATTTGTTTAGGGACAACAAGTTGAAGAAGATCCCGATGACTTTGGAACGCACGGCAAGGCAAACCGGGTGAAGAAAGCTGTTTCTGAGAAGGCCCAGAAAAGTAAGGCAGACACTTCATTCTTTGAGCTAGCAACAACTGATGTCACTAATACTTGACAGCGTATCGTGGTCGACAAGCGTACGGCCTTTTTTTACAAGCATATCAGCTGGTTCTCTGGAAGCAGTGCCATGCCTTTGTTCATGGGCAAGGATTTCCGGCAGAGTTTGAGGTTGGTTTGAATACACAGCATTTAATTCAATTCCAAGGTCAAGACTAATCTCCATGTACAGAATGTGGTTCGAGATCTTTGGGCTCTCCGTCTGAGCAGCTTCTCAGAAAAGATCAGTGACGATGATGGCGATGCAGAGCCGGAACTCTTCAGTTCTCAGCCAGCGGCAACACAAGAGTCCCAAGAGGCCCCCAAGCTCAGTGGAAAGTATGTTGAATGGCCTCGGCTGATTGACTCTATTGCTCTTTGCTATCTGGGGTCTTTTTTAATGAGACTGCCTGTTAATGTGCAAGATATTTACCGGTAAGATCCATGAATTGAAATACCAGAGATGTCGATCTGACTTCTCATCGTACTCTAGGATGGTTATGCGAGAAGAAGTCCCTTTCGTCAGGGTTATCAAGTCAATACCTCGGGAAATGAGAGACAAACTTCCCCAGGAATATCTTTCGCTTCTCGAAACAAAGGTACGCCACTAAACATTTCCAACGCTGATATGGAATTTCTGACTGTTGATCAAGAGTTTATTGAAAGCCGAACACCTACATAATGCAGTGATGGATGTGGCTCTACTCTATCACCATAAATTTGGCTTGGAGTTTCCCCCTTTGAACTCCCCTCCTTTACTTTTCCGGTATATTAAAAGACTTGCACTCCCAGGTAAGTACCTATTATAATTTCTTTGAAATTCAAATGCTTAAATCTAATCCATTGCAGTTGAGATATATCCTGCCGTGTTTAGGCTACAAAAACTTGCTGGTTTCTCTTTCAGCTACCCCACGACCATCGTCGGCAAAAAGAGGTCTCTCAACCTACCAGAACTTCAGGTTATGACACTTATTGTGATCTCGACCAAGCTTCTTTTCCCATTCGATGATCTGGAAAGATATCCCGTTTCATCCAAGGAGCCGACTTCTCAGGTCATCAACTGGGAGCTTTGGGCGCAAGTCCAAAGACATTTTGATAATCGAGAAACAGCTGGAGGTAGAATAGGTAAGGGAAATGAGATTCAAGTGAAAGAAGCGGATGTTTTCAATATGACGTCGAGTCAGTTGGATGAGTACATGGACTGGTACGAAAACAGCTGGCTGGACGGCAGCAGAGGTATGAGACAATCAGTCCTGATCAACTATGGCGCTAACATCTTTCCTGCCAGGACTCAATCCATTGGCGGATTTGTTTCCAACTGGTCGGGCCGGTGTAGAAAGCCAACCCGGCACTACCCCGGTAGTAGGAAATGAGGACGAGGATATAAACACAATGCTACAAACCGTAACATCTCAATTGAAACCTCGAAAAACCATCTCGGAGCTTGATGAGGATACCCTCCGTCCGGGTAGTTCCTATCCGCGATATCGAACGGAGACCAATCTCCCAGAGATGGCAAGGTCTTTTTACGAAGCAGCTGCAAAAGTGGTCGGGGTATCTCTACCTACTCTCGTCAGGGCTGTATTCCAGGCGGAATACAGAATCACTCGATGGCAGGAAGACCAGAGACGAGCGGAATACTATGGAGAGATGGAGATGAAGTTTGCAAGAGATGCTAGCGGCGATGAAATGGATGAGATGGATGAGATAGACGAGCAAGGGACGTCTGATTTAGAAGGAGGGCCTTGATTGTAGGTCGAGAATACTCGATTTCTAAGACTAGTCGAATTCAATTTGCGTACGGGAATAAGCTCTACCAGACAGCCGTGCTTTATGAAAGTAGATGTTTCATTTCATCATGGCAGGGTGTTGATCGAAACTCGAAACTCGAAACTCGAAATTCGAAACTCGAAATTCGAAACTCGTGAATTGACTTTGGGTCATCGTAGTTCCTAAGTTCTAGCATACTTGGATCCGACAAGTTTCCCATATCTAATCAAGACCATGGCAATGAATCAAATAGTCTTAAACAGGTTGACGATGACGATGACGCTGATAATGCGGAGGAAAAGTGGCACCTGCGTTCCGGCGGCCAACTCGGGATGACGCCGAAAATAGAAGGTTAGGGCTTAGGGTATCACCAGGTCGTTCCACCCATTCTAAGCGAGAAATCCTCAAATTGACAACGCCTCCTACGACCGACCTTTCAGCGATCGTCAGCCAGCAACAACGAAAAATCGCAACCAGTATGTATACCGAGATATTGTTTGAAAGCGTTAAATTGATATTTAATTCTGTGACCGATGAGCTGACATTATTTTTTCCGCGTTTTTACAGTGCAGATGTAGGTTCTCTCAATTCCAAGTCTCCACGATACATACATACATTACCCCCCTCCCGACCGGTCCACACGACAAGAAAGGAAACCCCCTCAATGACTGACATGAATCGATTCGCAGTTTCGTCAAGACCCTGACGGGTAAGACCATTACCCTGGACGTTGAGTCCTCCGACACCATCGACAATGTCAAGGCCAAGATCCAGGACAAGGAGGGTATCCCCCCGGACCAGCAGCGTTTGATCTTTGCTGGTAAGCAGCTCGAGGATGGCCGCACCCTGAGCGACTACAACATCCAGAAGGTATGGAGGACCCTTTCGATGGATATATTTCTGCAAATGTAATCGCGCAACTACGAACTTCGGTGGCGGGATGATGGATCTTTCGGACGGTTCATCATCTGCGGGACAACGATTTATCGGATTATGCGGGATATATATCAAAGGATTGGACTGACGGATTGTTTCAACTATTATAGGAGTCCACCCTTCACTTGGTCCTCCGTCTCCGTGGTGGTATCATTGAGCCCTCGCTCAAGGCTCTCGCCTCCAAGTACAACTGCGAGAAGTCCATCTGCCGCAAGTGCTACGTACGTCTCTCTAAACCTTGAACCCATGGCAGCGACGCGTTCGAATGGGTAATACTGTCGACTTGGCTTTTACTGACATCGGAATCTTATCAGGCCCGTCTTCCCCCTCGTGCCACCAACTGCCGCAAGAAGAAGTGCGGTCACACCAACCAGCTCCGCCCTAAGAAGAAGCTCAAGTAGACGATTACTTTCTTGTTACGGTTTTTTTGTGTTGCTGGAGAGACGCTGGGGGCCTGTCAATGGATTGCAGCGTGGGAGGCTTTTAAAAAGGCGTTGGAATGATGAAACATTATAGCCGAAGTCAAATTTTCCTAGTTGACTCCTCTCGGAAGAAGTTGCAATCAAACACAATTGTAAAATTCAATTCCAAGGCCTCATTTCTTTTCTCCGTGATACATACAGGTACAGGATGGGAAACAGTCAAACAGAACACTGAACAAAGTGACTATATGCTGCCGGAGCACAGTCAAACGAATCTACCAAATGCTAGAAGCAACCACAATATTTCCTCATTACCCCCTCTGTTCCTTACATTGCGAACATTAGTGGCTTGCCATCGTCACCCTTGTTTTTCTTGGAAACAGGGCTTCCGTGTCTGCGCAAAATACATCAGTAAATGAACCATTTAGATTCTAAGGCAGATAAAGACTTACGCAAAGAAGAGGATCTTAATGGCAATAGCCAACCCCGCATGCAATAAGATGACCAGAACCAAGAGGATCTTGCTTGCCTTGGCATCCGTGGCACTCAGAACTGGGTACAGATTGCGAAGAAGGAAGAAGACGGTCCAGCCAAAGCCAACGCCAACAAGCGCCCAGTTGAGCGCTGTCAATGGGCTCCAGCTCACCAAAGCTACTGCAATCCAGACCAGATTAGAGTAACCGTACAATGCCCAGCATTCGATGAGGTCTGCAGTGGAGCTTCCGAACCAGCGCAGCGCTCCCCACAGTGCGATGGGCAGGATGCCCGTATACCCGTAAATCAAACCCGCAGCTCCAGAAAGAAGAGTAAAGTCGTATTCGAAATGTTGGTCGTCGTTGTTAGAGAGCCATTGCGAGATAGTACCTGTCAAGAACAGGATGACCACCACCGTCGTTGCGATCCAGAACGGTCCGTACAGGTCGGCGTTGCCCTCGAGCACGTCGAGGAAGTTGCTGCGGGGGTATAGCGCCGCGACACAGCGTCGCAGCACCTCGTTCGTGTCGACATCGAAAAACTGCGAGTAGTAATGGATAGACCACCAGTTGAGCTTGGAAGGCGAGCCACCGGGGGACCTGTCACGGCCGCGAGAGGGTCCTCCGCCGAGGAAAGGCGCAGAATCAGACTGTACTTTGGCGCTTCGCTGGTCATTTTCAAAGTCTATATCATAGTGAAGGCAGAAGAGTCAGTGCACGGAAATCTCAATAACGGGATAAAAAAAGGCGATGAACCCACTGGAGGGGTGAAATTCAAGGTCCTCCTGGAGGTCGGTATGCCCGAGGTCGCCCTTGACGTGATGTTAGCAAAAAAGTAATAAATCAATCCATCGATTTCAATGCTCACCTCTGCATCCACGTCTACGACGACATCATAGCCCCGGTTCGCCATTTTGGGCTGGTTGCGTTCTAGTTAATAGCAAAGCGGTTCTGCTCTAAGAGTGCTACCGAGATTGGAGGGCAAGTGCGGGAGATGCAAGAGTACACATCAGCTTCCCTGCGCGTGTCGGAAAGCCACGCACCAGCCACACGTGTGGGGACGGCACATGCTATGTCATTCCTGTCACTCTGTGGGCAGATGGAGTTATCGTGAATCCCATCGACTGTAATAGTATGGTTATTGATTAATTAATTTTTAATAATTAACAATATTACTTCTTAATAGACTTTTTTTTTTTTTTACATCCAAAAGCAAATAAGCAATCCCCATACTCGATATAAGAGCCTAGAAATAGCCCTGGCTTTGGAATGCTGTTTTGAATCTGCCAAAATACGACCAGATTGAAGTATCCAGTCCCTTCTTTCTCAGCCAGATAGACACAGCACCGACGAATACGGTCACGGCGACAGATCCAATGGTTCTGCGGTGCTTCCACATAAAACCAAGGGCCTTCTTCTTTTGCTCCTCATACTGTAGGCGTCGTGTTTGTTGTTCAAACAGTTTCACTGCTTCTTCGGATGTTCGAATCTGGAAGATATCCCGGGAGTCTTTCAGTACACTCTGTCGGGGAACTTTCCTCCATGCTCTGAATGGTAGTGACTCTGGTGGGTGGTCATCGAAGAGTTGCACAGCCCTCGAGATGAGACCGTCCAGGTCAAGGGGGAAAGGCAGTTTTGATAGGGTAAAATGCAGCATCTCAGGCTCATCGACCGAGATGGCTAGTAGCTCCTTCTTTCGGAAGAGAATGATTGCTGCGAAAAGATAGATCGAGACCACGGGCTCTCGGGCCAAAAGGAAGTCAAAGAGCCGGGCGATGTCGCTATACTCTTGAATTTCATGGGCGTATAAGGTAAGGGTAGCTGCGAGGGCAAAAAATGGTTTGATGCCAGAGAGATGCTGTCGTAGTCCGGGGTCTGCTCTCTCGATAATTGCTGGAATCAGTTGGAGATGTTTCAACGCTGGTGTCAGAGAAGGCAGCATATAATCCCTTATTCGAAATAGAGAAATCTGAGCAACAGCCGGGGCTGCCTGTTGTTCGCCAAGAACCAGAAGAAGCACCTGGACGATATCATGGTAGCCCTGGAAGTAACATAGCATCGGATGGTTTCGTAGAACTTGTTTGATTAAACTTGATAGCTCCTCCTTTTTCAAGGACAGTTCCTCCTCGCTGCCTGGGTTATACCGCTCAGCAACACCTCTTGAGTCTCTCGATGTTTCCAAGATACTTACAGCGAGGGTAATATACAAACGAACGGTGAACATCCAGTTGGACCTGGTCTTCCTCTACATGCGGTGGCAGGTCTTCCCACGCTGCGAGGTCGCCAGCATGGATGTCACACTGTAAAAGAATAGGCCCTAGTTCACTACATTACTATCATATATCTGCCATCTACAGGCCATTAAGATCACTCACAGGCTAATTTTCGAAGTTCATCCTGAAGAAAGCCACCTTCAGAGGTAGCATAGGACACCAAGGCATCCAAATCGCGCTGGTCGCATGCTCGGCGGATTGCGTCTGCTTTTTCAGCCTCGCGACTTGAAACTTGCTCTATATCCGATGGAGGCTTTTCTTGCAGCTCATAACCGGATATATTCGAATTGTGTATTTCCTTATTTGCGATATAATTTGAAGAGTCGTCTTGTTGGTCCATCTTTCAGGAGGCCAAACGAGGGGCTCACCCAGACACAAACTGAGGATAAGAAAATAGTAGCCCCTTAAAATTTCAATAAATCCTCTTTTCTGCTGTGTTGGCAGTAATAATGAATGGCGTATTACTATTACACAACGTGACAGTGAGGCGTTGCTTTTCCTCGCAGGCCCACGGGGCCCTGTATTGTGTCAGTCGGTGGATGGTCTATCGATGAAGATTGCAGCAGGCAGTAAAGAAAAAAATTAGATAAAATATTCAACCAGATGGTCCTCTTACCATCTGTCGACCGTCATTGAAATAATGATAACAGCAAGGAAGAATTCGTCTGATCGAGGATGGTCGTTGAAAAGGTCGACCCGAACGGAAGCTCTTACGAGCCTCAGGCTCCAAGGCCGCCATCAGGCAGCCCAGAAATGTCCCGTGATTCGATCACGACCGACCGCCCCCAAGAGAGAAACGAAACAGCCCACCTGGAAGAGTTGGAGAGCTCTCTTGCACGCAGGCATTCATATCCCATCTTCTTGACAGGAGACCAGCTTACTGGGTTCCCTTGCGGAGATAACACACCCAGGGAAAATAACAAGAAAAAGCAACAAAAGCTGCTAGCTTTCGTGCACATGCTGGCCAAAGCTGCTGCATGACTGATTTGGCGGCAGATGGCCTAGACATATCAATTCTCGACGTGATCTTCCATTCCATTATTAGTACAGCAGACAGTGTCCAGTCATCATCGTCTCAACATCAGCAGGCTTGTTGCATTATTTCAATGACACTGGATATTGTTTTTGGTTCTCGGAAACAACGGTCCCTAGCTACTGAATATATATCGCAGATCCAGGGCACGGGTTAATTCACAGATCCATCTGCTGTAAGTTCGTTCATGTCTCTTTGTCTCTGAGCGTGTTCCTCTTCAGCTTCATGGTATACTGAGACTTGAAGGCAGATATCATTGTGTATACAGCATCGGTGAAGTGGGGGTGTAACAGGTCATTCAAGTCACAGCTTTGCAGTTTCGCGCTGCTTCTTGCATCTTACAACCTCCCCACTGTTGCTGGTGAAAATTTCAACAATACAAATAATGGGAGAATATTCTGATTCTTTTCTAAGAATGATCCAAAGAGACCGCTTGACTTTTGCCCTTTCATAGACTTCTATTCTTCTCTTCTGCTGAACTTCGGCATATTCGGTGCTTTTTTTTCATCTTTGATTTTCACTCGTTGCAGCACCATCATTGCATTCATACCAGCCAATTCTCTTCATTTATCAATTGCTATCCCCAAATTTTTTTCGGTTTTTTGATAAATGTCATTGTTGCCCGCATAGCCCAGCGATCTTGGTGAGACGAGAAGCGACTGTCTGAGACTGATAAGTCCAAAACTAAAAAACCATTGAGCCAGTCACTGGTTGCCCAGCCTTGAATTTATTCTGACCGCAGTTTCGCCTATACCTGTCAAATGAAACACCATGGCTCTCCCGTTGTTCAACCAGACACCCAATACTCTTTTGGCCAATTCCAATGACCCCGCGAGGCAACAACAAACAAATCACGTGGAAGTACCACGAGACTTGAAGGATATGAACGCTAGACCAAGAGTCGGACTACTCTCGCATACAGTGATACCTAGTCCAACGATCCAATGGATCCTACCCGCCCGCCTAAGGAGCAAGCACCAGAACGATGTTGTTTTTGTTGGCGAACGGCATCTTCAGATTAAAGAGGCTGTCTCAGGGATCCACCTCGAAGATGTCACCTCGAAATCCGACTTTGATGCATGCATAATGGCAGCTAAGGTGATCAACGTGGGGGTGGAATTGCCGTGGGAGACTCAAATGAAGCTGGGGGCCAGCAATTCAAATGCAATGGCTGGTATCAATCTCGACGTGCATAATGATTTACCTCCGCAAATGCTCGTTTTGAGTCTTGCTTCTCGAGAACTGGTATTTCTTTATTATTCGGCCTCACAGGGGGGGCGTTTTGTCCATCACCGGCGGCCTTTGCCAAATGATGTCAGTTCATTCGAACGCTTTGGTCGACATATTGCGGTGGAGCCAAGGTGAGTCTGTTCCAAACGCATCTGTAAATAGGTTCTTAGAAATTTTGCAGATCTCGCGCGGTGGCAGTCAGTGCTTCATGTGATTATTTTGGTGTTTTCTTGTTGAAAAAGCCATCCGTTGTCCAGTCACAGATGACCCAGAATCAACTGGACCCGATATTAGAAGTATACTCTCCGAAAACTCTTCTTTTGCTTATCAAGAATAAAGCTAAACTGCCTACTTTAGGAACGTTTCTTCCGTCTCGAAGGCGACATCATATTCATGGAATTTCTGTATCCAAAGCCAGAAGACGGTGACAAAATCATATTACTTCTCTTAATTGCCCAAAACCAAACGACTCATGCAATCTGTTACGAATGGAATGCAAATGAGACTTTGCGGGACCATCCACGAATAACCAGAAGATTACTCCCGCCTGATGATAAATTGCCCACCATGCTGATTCCATTGACCAAAACATCCTCTTTCATGCTCGTCACAACAACCACGATGGCGGTATACAAAAATAGACTCGACCCCCGGAGGCAGCCTAGCAGGTATCCACTTCCCATGCCAGATCGGGAATGTCGAAAATCGCCTTTATGGACACGATGGGCAAGACCATTGCGCAACTGGTCGTACAATCAAAAGCATGATGACATTTACCTCTGTCGTGAGGATGGCAGGATGTTCTACTTGGAAATCGGTAGTGAGGGAGAAGTCGAGAACCAGACCCATTTGGGGCATCTTTGTTGCGATGTTGATGCTGCATTTGATATCTTAGACATTGGCCACGAAGGTGGTGATTTGCTTCTCGCGGCCGGAAATATGGGAGACGGCGGACTGTTTGTTCAGAAGGCGCGAGATCATCCAAGGTGTGTTCAAAAGTTCCTGAATTGGGCACCAGTTACAGACTCGGTCCTTGTGAGTTCCGCCAGCCAGGGACCTCTGGCAGCAGAAATTGCCAGTGATCGACTTTTTGCTTGTTCTGCATCTACCTTTGGACAGGGCGCGGTTGTTGAACTTCGATACGGAATAGAAGCACAGATTGGTTTGGTCATTCAACTAGAAGATTTATCAAGCACGAGAGACATATGGACAATGCCAGATAGTGTCGACGGAGGTGTTTACATTCTGACTTCCGACCCGGTTTCGTCTATCCTCTTTTATCTACCCCCTGACTTTGGCGAGGAGATATGCGCTATTGATGAAGCAAATTCGGGACTCAATTTCTCTGCTCAAACTCTAGCAGCAGGATGCACGCCTGACGGTGTCGTCATTCAGGTTACCGAGAAAGCCATACACCTTGGAGCTATCACCGGTTCTTTATCAAATTTTCGCTTTGACTATGATCCCAACCAAAGCGCTGCGGTTGCCGCCGTTAATGACTCAACTTCATCAGTTGTGGCTATTGTCAGGACCAGCCACGAGTTCTACATTCATACAACTAGAGCCACCTCACTTAATGGCCAGCTCCAACTGTACGATATCGATGGTCCAATTAAGATCGACCATGAACCAGTTTGTGTTTCAATCGAGACCTTTGGCTATGCCTCTTTCATTTTTATAGGCACAGGAAGTGGAAAGGTACTTGTCTATCGCATTGAAGAAAAAGCCGTTACATTTATGTGCGATATTTCCGTTGCAATAAACAGGAGTGACGACATATCGAAAGCCATTGAAAGTCTTGCGACAATAAAATTTGCGACAGAAGGGTCTCTAGGAAGATCAATTTTATTTTGTGGTCTACGAAGCGGTATTCTCGTTCCGTTCGAAGTGAGCGTTGTCGGTGATAGTCCTGCCTCACCAATCGGTAAGCCCAACTTTGTCCCCCTGCTATAGTTCCTTTCTAACCTATCTGTCATATATAGAAATGAGGCAGACAACGCCGCAGCAACTAGGACATACATCGGTTAGAGTACAAGGCAGGGGGAACTTCGCATTGTTGACCTGTGGGGAAGGCTTCTGGCAGGTGTCATGTATCCAAGATGGCGAGCTACCTGACTACGCCCTCGAAAGGATTTGGATAACCGACCAAAATAATGTGGGTTTCTCGGTATACAATCTTACGGCATTCGCAGTATCTGACTTTCTTTTCTAGCCTGCCTACTACCCCAAGAACATTCATGGATTCACCATTAACAACGTGGTAAACCCACAATTAGACGGGCTTCCTGACTCCCTTTTCTGTATCACAGATGGGTCGCTCCTGATATGCACTCTGGATCAAGTCGCAAAACCAGTTCCTCGACGAATCGGCCTACCGGGAAGCGTTAGAAAGATAGCCTATTCCAAATATCTGAGGAGTTTGATTGTGGCATACACTCAAACTGATTTCGACACAGATACAGATCCTATCAAACGCTATACACGTCCGTTTATTGAATTTGTGGACCCAGATTCGCAGGAATCGGTGGTCGGTTCCCCTGCAGAGAACGAGTCTCGAGCTTGGAGACCACAGGGAGCAGCTGGTGAAAAGATCACCTGCATTTTGGAATGGACGCCCAGAAAAGGCGACGAGGAATACCATTTCATTATCATCGGAACTTCTCGCAGGAATCAACAAGAGCGAGGACGGGTTATTTTCCTTCAAGCATCCCGAGACGAGAGTAATCCTTCACTCATTGATTGCTCTGTCAAATATATCCACAAATTCGAAGGGCCAGTGTTTGCCATCGCACCATATGGCGATCTAACTTTGATGGTCTCGACTGGGCGTGAGATCGTACCGTTAGAACCCAAATTCTCCCAAACCCGATGGCCTCGAACCGCAAAATACTCAGGCTCATACCCGGCTGTTTCCATGACTGCCCATGAGCCGTTCTTATACATGTCGACGTCGAGGGAGTCACTTATGGTGCTCAAGGTGGTTGACGATAATTTAAATCTCCATTCATACGATCGTCAGAAACATGACGGTCTCTCCCACGTCCACGTTGGAGGGGAAATGAAACTTACCACAGCAACCAGCAGAGGTGGCAGGGTCAGCATATTCACTGGGCATGGTGTGACAGATAATGACAAGATGATGCCTGTCGCACTATGCGAGGCCCACCTTCCCTTGTCAGTGACAAAACTCTGCACCGGTTCCAAACCCTCTCCTCTATCTCCTTACTCCCCGGTCCTTTACGGAACCACCATAAATGGCACCGCCTACCGCTTCTTGACTCTAGGGGAGAAAGAGTGGCAAGTGCTACGCCTGTTACAGAATCTGTGCGAAAGGGATTCTCTCATCAGCCCGTTTACGCCCAGGAGAAAGCGGCAACGCAACCCTGTGGGAAGCGATCCTTCGCAATTCAGCTCCTCTCGAATGCATATAGATGGCGACATACTCAGCCGATTAGTGGCGCGAGGCTCAGGGCATTTGAAGCAGATGCTGGCCACAAATGAATTCGATAACCCCTCTTGGCCCGAAGCAGGTTCAGCCCAGACCACTATGGAGCGATTCTCCGAATTATCCAAGGATTTGCTTGGGGAGAATCCAAGTCCTGTTGACGCTGTGATGAGGTGGTTGAGAAATTCTCTGTATATGGGATTTTAAATTTTTTCCTCATGCTGTGAACTAGAGTTGTATGTAGTTGAAGTCGAAAGACCTGGTTTCTACTCCACGACAGTGCTTTCCTTGTTTTGCCTCATCGTAGTAACTTTTCTCCAGTCAATAAGAGAAAACACCGGATCGAATGTAATGTTTCAAATATGACGAACATAATGTCACCTTCAAGCTGTTGTACAACAGAGAAACCATCGTGGTGGCCACACCAGCTGCCACCAACTGGCCGGAATCCCGCCTTCGCATAATCGTAAATTCGGTCCCCACCAAAACGGAGCCCCAAAATTCTCACTTCCTTGTGCTTCCCGCCCCTCACGAGTCGTCAGTCTCTGGACCTTAATCAAAATAGCTACAGGGGGATATAAAAGTGAGTGGTTGCCCCCGATCTCTATCCATGTTTTTTAAGGAGTTCTCGTCAAGGGAATTTCGGTCTAGTTTGCCACGCTTTTTTTTTGTGTTGGTCCCGACTGCTGCAGGCCGCTGGCGGAGCAACTATCCGTGGATTCACCATCTATCGAAGCACATTATTATTCCAGAAACCTTTCTAATTTTCTCATAGCTCTGCCAGGGAGAGTTTTTTTTTTTTTTTTTTTTTTGAGTCCTTTCATTCTCGAAGAAAGGATAAACGTTCGATAAACGGTCCTCGAACAAGCTCGTCGCCCCAAGCCAAGAGAGATCAGTACCCTGCAAGATGCCACCCAAGAAGAAGGGAAACAAGAGACAGGAGGAGGACTGGGAAGCAGACCTCGGAGAGTCTGCTCCTGCCGCGAACACCCAGGCTGAGGAGCAACCTCAGGAAGACGCCACCGGCGACGGTGAAGAAGCTGGTGGTGGCGGTCTACTCGCCGCTTTGAGAAAGAACAAGAACAAGAAGGCGAAGAAAGGCAAGGTGGTCAACGATTTCGTTGAAGGCGAGGACCCATCAGAGGATGCGAACGGAGCCGTCGATCTCGCTAGCAAGCAGCCCGAGGAGGGAACCTTTGACGAGGACGATGTCTTTGCCGGAAAGAAGAACCAGAAGCCCATCAAGGCCGCCGCACAGGCGCCACCAAAGGAGCCCGAGGATGATACTTTCCGTGTGAAGAGTAAGAAGGAAAAGGAAAAGGAAAAGAAGGAGAGAGAAAAGCAGCGAAAGAAGGAGCAGGTATGTCTTTAGTCTTCCGGGCCAAAGTCACATTTTCGGAGACTGATCTCAAATTCTACTCTAGGCTTCTCAGAAGAAGAAGACAGCTCCCGCTCCCGCTCCGGCCAAGCCTCAGCCGACCAAATCCGATGAACCCAGTGGTGATTCTACTCCTGCACCTGCTCCCGCAGCCCCAGAGCCCGCCAAGAAGGGTAGAAAGCTTCCTCCTCACTTGGCGGCTCTCCAAAAGCAGCAAGAGGCTCTCAGAAAGCAGCGTGAAGAAGAAGAACGGCTCAAGGCTGAGGAGGCGGCTGCCGAAGCGGAAAGAAAGCGCCTCGATGATGAAGAAGAGAAGAAGAGAGAGGAGGCACGTCAAAAGAGAAAGGAGAAGGAGAGGGAAAAGAAGGAGCAGCTCAAGAAGGAAGGTAAATTGCTGACCAAGGCCCAAAAGGAAGCCAAGGAACGCAATGAGCTGCGCATGAAGCAGATGCTTGCCGCTGGTGTCGGCAAGGTTGCTGGTCTTGAGGAGGGCGGTGCCGAGAAGAAGAGGCCTGTCTATGAAAACAAGAAGAAGAAGGGCCCCAAGAAGCATGAGGAAGACCTTGAGGCTGCTGCCGCTCGCGCTCAGGCCCAGCGTCAAGCTGAGGAAGAAAAGCGCAAGAAGGAGGAAGAGGAAAAGAAGGCCAAGGCTGAAGCTGAAGCTGCCGCTGCCGCTGCCGCCGGTGGAGAGGACAGCGAGGTTGATGACTGGGAAAAGGCCGCCGAGGCCGATGATGTGAAGGACAGCTGGGACGCTCCATCCGATGAGGAACAAGAACCGAAGAAGGAGGCCGCTGCTACACCCAAGCCATCTGAGGATAAGAAGGTTGAAGAAGAGGAGTCATCAGAAGAATCCTCCGATGAGGAGTCGGACGAGGAGCAGTCCGCTACCCAGAGAGCTGCCGCTCAGCGAAAGGCAGAAGCTGCCGAGCGGAGACAGAAGCAGCACGAGGAGGCCCTGGCAGCTCGGTCGAAGGACAACCTGCGTTCCCCCATTTGCTGTATTCTCGGACACGTCGATACCGGAAAAACCAAGTTGCTGGACAAGATTCGACAAACAAACGTCCAAGAAGGCGAAGCTGGTGGTATTACCCAGCAGATTGGTGCCACTTATTTCCCCGTGGACGCATTGCGCCAGAAGACCAACGTTGTGAACAAGGATGGCAAGTTCGACTTCAAGATCCCTGGTTTGCTGATCATTGATACTCCGGGTCACGAGTCCTTCTCGAACTTGCGGTCGAGAGGTTCATCTCTCTGTAACATTGCCATTTTGGTTGTGGATATTATGCACGGTCTTGAGCCCCAGACTCTTGAATCTATGAGGTTGCTTCGTGACCGCAAAACACCTTTCATTGTCGCGTTGAACAAGATCGATCGTCTTTACGGCTGGAAGAAGATTGACAACAACGGTTTCCAGGAGAGTTTGGCCATGCAGAACAAGGGTGTTCAGAACGAGTTCCGCAGCCGTCTTGACCACACGAAGCTCCTCTTCGCCGAGCAGGGTTTCAACTCCGAGCTCTACTGTGACAACAAGTCGATGGCTCGCAATGTCTCCCTCGTCCCTACTTCCGCGCACACCGGCGAGGGTATTCCAGACATGCTGAAGCTGCTGACAACGTTGACCCAGGAGCGTATGACCAACGCTCTCATGTACTTGTCCGAGGTTGAGTGTACAGTTCTTGAAGTCAAGGTCATTGAGGGTCTTGGTACCACTATTGATGTTGTTTTGTCGAACGGTATTCTCCGCGAGGGTGATCGGATCGTACTGTGTGGTCTCAACGGACCTATAACAACCAACATTCGAGCGTTGCTCACGCCCGCACCACTCAAGGAACTGCGTCTCAAGTCCGCGTACGTTCACAACAAGGAAGTCAAGGCCTCCCTTGGTGTAAAGATTGCTGCCAACGATCTGGAGCAGGCAATCGCTGGTTCTCGTCTGATGGTCGTCGGCCCTGACGATGACGAGGAGGACATTGAGGAGGAAGTCATGTCTGACTTGGAGAACCTGCTTAGCAGAGTTGCCAAGGACCAGCGTGGTGTGACTGTTCAGGCTTCCACTCTTGGTTCCCTGGAGGCGTTGCTTGAATTCTTGCGGGTTTCCAAGATCCCGGTTTCCAACATTTCCATCGGTCCCGTTTACAAGCGTGATGTGCTGATGGCTGGAACCATGTTGGAGAAAGCCAAGGAATTCGCAGTCATGCTCTGTTTCGATGTCAAGGTTGACAAAGATGCGCAGGCCTACGCTGATGAGATTGGTGTCAAGATCTTCCAGGCAGACATCATCTACCACTTGTTTGACGACTTTACCAGGCACATGGCTGAGTTGACTGAGCAGCGGAAGGAGGAGAGCAAGCTTCTTGCTGTCTTCCCTTGCGTTATCAAGCCGGTGGCAGTGTTCAACAAGACCGAGCCCATTGTCATTGGTATTGATGTGATCGAAGGAAGTCTCAGACTGCACACCCCTCTCTCAGCCATCAAGACCAACGCTACGACAGGTGCTAAGGAGATTGTTGACCTAGGCAGAGTGTAAGTGTTTTTTTATCTATCCTATGCCTTTTGTTTCCTGTTACTAATACATTATAGGGTGTCCATTGAGCGTGATCACAAGGCGATCCCTGTCTGCAAGAAGGGTCAACCCTCTGTCGCCATCAAGATTGAGGGTTCTAACCAGCCCATGTACGGCCGTCATCTGGAAGAGAAGGACACTCTGTACTCGCGCATTTCCCGTGCCAGTATCGACACCCTCAAGGAGTTCTACCGCTCTGACGTGTCGATGGAGGAATGGGCTCTCGTCAAGAAGCTCAAGCCCGTGTTCGACATTCCTTAAACTGCTTTCAAGCAGTTTCCTGCCCGATTCCCCGAGGAATACCCTCGAGACCATGGTTTGTGTTAGTTGAAACGGGTTGAGCCCGTCTTGGGCAAATCGAGCCAGGCACTCAATACTTGGATGACTATCAGGCAGTGTTGGCTCAGAAGGGTCTGGGGAGGCAGTGGCCATGTGTATTTCTTATGAGTTTTCTACCCATGTGCTGTGATGATTCCAGCTGCACATGGCATGACATGAGAGTGGTAGGGGAGGAAAATGGTAACGTCTCTTTTGAACAAAAAAAAAAGTGCCATGAAGTATGACCACGACTTGATTGATCTAAAAGCAAGAGATGCCTGTACATGAAACGACAAGAAAATAGGGCGTGGTCTATAGTTTGTTTTTGTTAGTTAATGATTATTTATTGGATCTAACCATATACTATTCTTTCTTCGATACACATGATTTAATGGTCACACTATATACAGAACTACAACATAAATTGTACAGTTTCTTTTCTCAAACTTTACCATGCCACTAAAACGTCGGATCCAACAACGTATATCCCCTTAATCATAATCCGGACCCTCCCATCGCTCGACCTTACCCTCGTGGTCCACCCAGTCCAACCAGCTCCCATCATAAACTCCAAGCTTCGCCGGATCATATCCAGCCTGAACAGCCAATTGCGCCGCCGCACGGGCCCTCACACCAGCCTTGCAGTAAAACACAATCTCCTGCGTCTGGTCCTCCTCCGCACCAGGCTTGGGGTACCCGAAGCGAGTCTCGAATTCGTCAGGAGTCAAGAAGAAAGCATCGGGCTGGGAGGCAAGCGGGACGGACACGGCGGAGGGAATGATACCCGTTGAGTTGAGCTCGGCGGGTTCACGGACATCGACGAGGATGAGGTTCTTTTGGGGGGTTGCCGGGGGAGAAGCGGCGTTTGGGTCTGTGGGGAGAGCGGCGTTGATCTGGTATATATGTTAGTATGCATGCGTTTTCTATCCTCTATCTTGTCTTGTCTTGTATCTCGCATCTTCGTGCATGGAGGGGAGAAAAGACATAACATGACATGACATACATCCTCGAAACCCCATTGTCTCAACGGCTCTCCATTATCACTCTTTCGTCGAATGGATTGCTTGAATTGGCTTTGTCGCTGAACATCGCTCAATGCTCCAGCCCCGAATCTAGCACGAGATTGACCCGGCAAGCCCGATGTCCCGAATGTTCTCTTGCTCAGGCATTCCCGGTTGAAGATGGCGGCAGCACTGCGTGGAGCGACGTGGGCAGGGGCCTGGTTGGCAGCGCGAGAAGCGAGCGTTGTCAAAGATCGTCGGATAGATGGTAATGAAGCCATTATGGGATCTTCTTTATTAGACTATTATCTCTCCTTCCTTTTATGAAAAAAAATCTTTGGGGATGTTTGGGGATTGGATGGATGGTCGGTAATGTTAAGCCGATGAGGAAAATGGGTGATGTCAGAGTCTGCCAGTTTTCACCGCCTGCCGTTATAGGAGGACTGATATAGAAATGTAAAGTGAATATGTTTTATGTTGTATTCTCATTTTGCAAATTAAAATAGTGGGCAATGGATATTAGACAAAATCTGTGCAGATATTTTCAACTTCTATTCGGGGAGTCAGACAGTTGCTTGTTTTGAGCACACTACTATAATGTGTCCATGATTCCATATGGTGACGCAGGAGATTTATATATTGTGGTCTACATCCAATCATCACTTTTCAGACAATGTAAAAAAAAAAAAAAAAAAAAGACCCTGTATAGTATGTAAAATAATAAATAAGAATTGAAAAAAAATCATATATGCATTAACAAAAGGTACATACAGTAAAAGATACTAGTTACAAAGACATGACAGCCAAACAATAAAAAAGAGCCTCGCAATTAATATTAGTTCTAAGTAGCATAATCTAAAAATGGCATGTCACTTCAAAAAGAAACACCGCAACTGACCATGGTCAATCGAAGTGGACGATCCCACATGGGTCGTTGAAAGTTCATACACCCAAAACATCAGGATTTCTGGGGTAGGCAGAGGGTAGATCCCTTTTTCAAGGGATCGGGATCACCCAGCCACCAAATAGAAAACTCAGAACCATCTCAATCCCCACTCACATCTTCCAAATGTTAACTGAAAGATTGCGTTGGACACCGATATAAATAAGAGAAAGTAAAAGCTCGTAGCCTTTCGATCTCCGGGATAGAAAGGCAATGGTATAGAGATCCACAGGAGAGACCACTGCGATCGTTCAAGATACACTAGGTTGTGGTGAAAAATGAAGAAATTTAGGCACGAGGGCGGAAAGTAAGAAGGCAGTCATCCTGATTTACATTAGCAAGAGTTACATGAATAATTAAGAGAAAAAACATACCTGAGGGAAGATGGTAGCAAACACCTTGATATCCTCTGACTGAGGTGTGGGGGTGTGCTCCCAGTCCATCTCCATACTGGCCTTGCCAATCATGGCCATGAGGTTCTGTTGAGCGTAGGTCTGTCCCAGACAGTAGTGGGGTCCAGTACCGAAAACCAGGAAGTTCTTGGGGTGATCCTCAGCGTTTCCAGAAATCCATCGGTCAGGGTCGAAAGAGTCAGGGTTGGGGTAGGCCTCCTCGTCGTGGGTTGCGGGCCACACAGATGGAATGATCATAGAGCCCTTAGACACGGTGATCTTGTCGGTGATGGGGAAATCCTTCTTGACCAGGTAGGGGACCATGATGACGGGGGGACGGTAACGCAGGGTCTCCTTGACGACAGCACGGGTGTAAGGCATGTTGTCAAACAGGTCCATCGAGAGAGGCATGTTTCGGTCGCCGTTGCGAACGCGCAGGTTCTCCTCACGGACCTTCTCCAAGCACTCGGGGCGATCGGCCATGAGCTGGAACAACCAGGTGGAGGCAGCACTGGTGGCATCTTGGGAAGCGAACAGGAAAGTGAAGATAGTCTGAGCGATTTCGTAGTCGGTGAAGTCACGCAGCACCTGCGGGGGCTTCTCGGAGTCGTCGACTTCAATACCCTTGGCGATCTTCTCCCGGTACTTGGCGGAGTCTTGCTGGGCCTTGACCCAGGCGTCCATGATACAGGAAACTTCACCACCAGCAGCCATGCGGGTCTTGCACTTAGCAGCACACTTGGAAAACTCCTCGAGAACCATGTCCGCGGCCTTCTTTCCGTACCAAGTCTTGGTGTAGGGGAGAATGAAGGGGAAGTTGACCAATTCCAAAGCAGCGGTGATATCGTAGTAGTCATCTGCGATCTTCAAGATGGCCTCCTCACTGATGTAGTGGCCGACGAAAGTACGGCAGGAAACGGCACACATGAGCTCACGGAACTCGGCCATCCAGGGAGTGGGCTTGTGTTCGGTGGCAGCGGACTTCTCGAGGAACTTCTTGTAGTACTGGTTGTAGACTTCCTCCTGGCGCGGAAGGTAGCAGGCCAGCGCAGAGCGGGTGAACAAACCGTTCAGACCTTTGCGGAACTCGACGTGTTCCTTGCCGTCCAAGAACACCCAGTTGGTCTTTCCGAGGAGCTTGTGGGCAGCGTCGACCACACAGGGTTTGACATAGGCGGGCGAGTTGAAGATCTTGCGCGACATGTCACGGGACGATGCGATAACGACGAACCTGAGACAACAGTCAGCTATTGTTCCCGGCACATTCCACTGATAGAGGGGAAAGGAGGGGTGGAGATATGCTCATATCAAGGGCTTCTTACTTGTGGAAGACAGAAACACAGCTCAGTTCTCCACTGTTCCATTTGGCCTTGTATTCGTGAAACTTGGGGTTGACTGATTCGAGGAAAGGTCCCATAAACGGCAGCTTGTATGCTGGGCCGATAATGGAGCCTTTGAGATAGAAGTATCGCACTAGATTTTTCCAGAAGTCAGCTTTATATCCTGTCACGCAATTACATATGTCAAAGCACGAGAGCTTCATGTAAGTACAGTGCAGAAAACTCACGTTGGTCGTAAATGACAGCTCCGAGGAAGAGTGTCAACAGAGCCTTCCAAACGGTGAAGCCATTGGCAATAGATGCGACAAGACCGGAGGGCTCATAGAACTGAGGAGCGACTGTAGCATCTGCCGAGGGGGAGACAAAGCTCCCGTTGACGGTGGCCATGTTGGACAATCAACCAGGATGGAATCACTCCAGAGGGGAGGAGAAGGAAAGGAATTGAGGACAACACGAAAAGGGTGGAATATTGATTTCTTTGTAAAATTATTGTCGCGGAGGGAGACGGGCTGGCGTTACGGAGAGGCAGAGAGACGCAGACACGCAGTTTCTTCCTGTTTTTTTTTTTTTTACAGCCCCCAAATTCAAAGGGAAAAAACGAGAGACTAACAAAAGCCCAGACCAATAGGGAAACAAACCCAGGAAAGGGGGAAATGGGTGGAAAATAAAAAGAATGGAGAGAACTAAAAAGCAAAAAAGCAAAAAGAAATTAAATGAGAGAAATTGATAAATGTGAGGGAGCAAAGACAGTTGTTATTGTTACTACTTGGCTGGAGTAGGGGATCGGGACGTTGGTCTTCCGGTGGATACAGCGAAATTAAATTACGCCGATGCGTACAGAAGGTATGTATTTTACGAACAGACCGCGGGCTGGAGCATCTCAATCTCCTGCATGAACCCCTCTTTAGATCTTGGATACTGTTGGGCAGTTGGACATTGATTTGTTGCATTATCTCTACATAGTACATGGAATTTATGGAATTTACCAACTGATTCTATATTAAACATCGCGAAAGAGTTCAAGGTGGAGATCCATCATACGATGTTTGATGGATGACGAAACATGGAACTGAGGCGGAATTACGGAGGGAACCTAAAAGGCAACTTTCGAGCATAACGAGATCAACTAATGAATTGTTATTAATTACTTAGCGATGGATTTGAACTGTCTTTTTGATTGAATCCATTGGTCAATTTAAGTCCAGGGGTAATACCAGTGGTAACATGCGGTAAGATTGACTCCACAATGCCCCTGACTAACCCCAAATCCCCAGCAAAAGGTGATTCGGCAGCCAAACGCCCCGATTGGCGGGGCGGTGAGGTGTCACTCAGTCAATCCTACCCCGAAATGGTTTAGTACCGGGTCTGTATGCACGTGCCCATGCGAACAATTGGGTTCATTACTAATCCACATTGTTGGATACGATCAAAAGAAGTTGAAGATAAGGTGGTGGTTTTATCAAGAGCATTTCATGTCATCTCTTTTGTTCCAAAATCATGATTTTCTCTAATTACAGGTCTTCCACGCTGATCCAGTCAGTGACTAGGACGGACGGAAATCAAACCAGCTCGGTGGATATAAAACAGAGCTGGATCCAGCCTCCTCTGTCACATTCCAGGTAGCAATGTGTCATTGATTACCTCGATTCTCATTGGAAAGCCATATCAATTCACCGAATCGAACACTGCTACTTCATATCTCACCGACCGAAGCCGAACCAGCCACGTCGGCCGCCCTTCTTTTCTTCAGTGGCTGGCTCGGGAGGAGCCTGAGCTTGTGGCTGAGCAGCTCCTTCACGGGGGTACTCAATGTAGTTCCATGCCACATCGAGGAACAATGGCTTCACAGGAATAGCCTGCATTCGAGGTGGATAAGGGACGAGGTTTTTCAGGTCTAATCCATCTGCCGAATACTCGTGAAGCCGCTCAATAGCTGGACGCTGACTAGCGGATCTGGACGCCTGATCTTCGGAGATTTTCTCTAGGGTCACCAGGCCACGGTACTGTGCAACCAAGCTCTGCAAAATTGATGCCAGGTTTTGGATCTGTCCCTGAGAGACATCCAATTTCGAGGGGCCCTGGGTGTTGGCAGAAGGCTGAGGAGATGTCGAAGAAGCTGAACTGAGTTCTAGTGCTTGGGCAAACAGTGCAAGAGCATGCTTGGACTTTCCAAGAAGACCGTGTGACCGCCCAATGGCAAGGGATCTGCAATTTTACTGAGTTAGGATATATAGGTAAAAACTCTCGGACGTGGTGAACCATACCTCAAAGCTCTGAAGTAAGAATGCTTTCCCTCTAGCTCCTGGACAAAGGCGGAATCTGCGGCCACACCAGGAAGATCGAGGATGAATTCAATGCTCTGCAATGTTGAATCGTACAGAACCACCCTTTCACGTAGCTGGGTCAACTTTTTCCCATTACCCTCCTCGCGTTTGACGCTGGGCTTTTCGTCCTGTGAGGACTTTGTCTGGCTTGCCTCAAAGCTAATGCCATCTTGCTCTCCACATAATACTCGGTTGCGCCCGACTCTCCATCCAACTAGAGCGTAATTCACGGCTGTGCGGGTGATTTGCAAAGCTTGCATCCTCTTATCGCCAGAGTCCACACCCTCACCAGCAAGATCATCAATGGCGGTTTTCGTAGCATCGACTGCATCCTGACTGGCAATAATAACATTATCATAAGCGGCAGCCTTATCCTTGGCCGAGGCAGATTGTCCTGCGGCTTCCGCAAGCCACGACGCCAAACGAGATTCCGCAGCAGACGCAGCAGCAAGAGCTTGTGAGATTGAAGCATCTTCCAAAGCAACGGTTCGCGACCTCCACGTGATATTTTCTGGGAGTTGTTGCACCTCTCCATCAGCAGTACGTCTAGTCCCCGCACTTTCCTCCTCAAGACAGGCGGGTTCGACTCGTTCAACTTCTGATCTTATCTCGGCATCTGACGGGAAATAGGCGATTGCGAGAGATGGGAGGGGCTTGGAGCGTGGAAGCTTCATCTGGTATGCCGCGTAACGAAGGCTAGGGTCGACAGTGCCGGTGAGAAGATCTCGGAAGGCATCTTTCTTAGCTTTTTGGCCCAACGTCGTATATATCACTTTGGCAACTGAAAAACTTCTTAGAGATTGTTCCCAGTTTCGTTTCTCCAACCAAAGTGCCCCAGACAGTGATGCAAGATATGCACGTGCTTCAACGACATCAATGTCGGTGGCACCAGAAGTGGATCGATCCTGCAACAGAATAACAAGCTCCTTCGCATACCCAGCGGCCTTGTTCAAGCGAGTGATAATGTGGCGTCTGGTGGATCCAGCAATTCCCTTCGCGGACGGGTCGGCCGAATGCGCAGACTTCATATGCATTGCTTGAGCCCATGCTCTTTCTGAGCTGACGAGTAAGAGGTGTACGTATCTATAAGAGCAGAAACAGCCAGAGTCAGAAGGGCAAACAGGCAAATCTAGATAGAAAGGGGAAAGCATACGCCACATTGCTTCCAATATTCTCCGCGCTCACAGGAGCTTTAGCTGTATATTTACGGCCTTTAGGAGTGGTTTGCCCAAGCTTCTTGCGGAGCTTGTGCAACTTGCGCGAGGCGTGCGCATGGTAAGCGTTGTAATCTCCAGCAAGGAGAACCTCTTCTCTCTGAGCGAAAATGAAGTCTGTGATATCCATTATGACGATTATGACGGAATAAGAGTAAATTGCTGGCGAGGCCAAGTCAGACACGCTGTCGGTGGGATTGCCTGATAGTGCGGGTTTCCCCATCGGCAGTGTCAGTTCTCGGCCAAACGAATGCCCGGCCGACTCTGCGGGAATCTCTTTCCAGTATCCTCCTAAGCTTGTTGCCAGAACTTCCAAAATTTCGTTTTGCCGTCAACCATACGGGACCCAGGAACTCGTTGGGACTTAGAATTCATTCTCGGGAATCTTCTGTTTAACTGTCAGAAACTCCCAGTACTTTTTCTCACCATTGAGGAGGAACCTAGTCGTGTTTTTTCGGAGCTTCCGCGCAAGGTTCTTTTTTTCTTCGGTACGGCCTGTCTCTTCATGAAACCACCATATATCCTGGATAGTGGTCGATCTGACTGTATTATATTTCTCAATTTAGGCACTTAGGCAACGATATGTTACGCGCGTTGGTTTACTTCCGGTGATTTCAGGGTTTGACACCGCAAACATTGGGGGTAATGCTTGAACGGGCTGCCGGATGCCTCGAGAACGCAGGACGGCGTTTCTTCCGGGATTCAAATGGTGCAGTCCGAGCTCCTCGATCGATATACCCTCACGTCCAGGGCAAGTTCAATGGCGCGAGTACGGAGTGTCCGCAATGGCTTCTGGTCCTTCTACAAACATCCGACCAGCGAGTCCCCACCCCGAATCCAGACAGGGTTGCAAGCGATACACGAACGCCTTTTCTAGATTTTCTGTACCCTCTACGGACGCAGGAATTTGCGGCTTCATGTATTCTTCGCCCCCTAAAAAGAATTATCCCCCGTCGACGGAGAAAGGCTCTTCCCAATCTTACCAGGACGTACGCTTCGAACGCCACTAGTGTATCGCAGCCTGCTGGGGTAGACAAGTCAGTGCTGGATGGGGCTACTAGTGGTAAGGATCGCAAGCGGGCAAATGATAGCCTGAAGGGGCTCCTTGGAAAGGAAGGGCTTCCAGATCACGAAAGAGCGTGGACACTTTACGTTGCCGCAGGCCACCCAGTTGACCTAAATTCTGCCCTTCTCGTGTATTTGAGCACAGCAGAAAGAGTCGTTGATCACAATCGAGCAAAACGCTTATTTGATGGAATTCCCGCCAAATCTCGTACAGATGGAGACTACTTGCAGCTGGCAAAATCATACTTGGCAGCTGGCAAGGTATCCGAAATGAAGACGGTTTGCGAGGAAGCTATATCCGGAAACATTGGGATTTCATGTTGGAGTTTTACGTTTGCACATTTCGTGAAGAATTCACAATGGGATCTTGCGCGCGAGACGTGGGATTTGAAACTGGAGCCTCTGCAAAATGAGTGGCTACATCATGCTTTTCTTCATTTTGATGCTTCGTCCGTAACCAATAGCATCTATAACCTTGCCATATTCTTGCAAGGTCAAGCGCATGATAGCCCTGTTCGTGAACTGGCGCGCTCTTTACTTACTCACGCTTTTTCATCTTCAAGTTTAGTCGAGAGCATGTCAACAGAAACAATGCTGTTCTTATTACGAAAATTCAATGACCTTGGTGTTTTAACCCCAGATCACTATTTCAGTCTCATGGGGGCTCTTCAGTCATCCAAAGCCCGATCGACGTTCATCCGGTCCATTGTGATATACCGCAATTTCCGTTGGCAGATGGAAAGCGAGGTGCCTCCGGCAAAGGTTCTGGGTCTTTTCCTGAGGTCTCTTGCTTCATTTGAAATCACAAGCGGCATTCAATACTTTCTTGACGAATTCGCCCATTTTCATGGCAAGCCATCGATCGACGCATACAAAAGCGGACTCATCGCTTTCTCAAGAGCTGGAGATGTGGTTCAGGTCAACGACATATTCGATAGACTTGTGGCAGACCATGGAAAGCCGTTAAGCCGGAGGTTGTTAACACCACTACTCCACGTCCACGCGAGGGTCGGCAATGTACGAGAGACTCTACGGCAATTCGAGAGGATCTCAAAGGAGTTTGGTCTTGAGCCGAACACCGTTTGCTGGAATATTCTGCTTTCTGCACATGCGAATGCCAATGATGTCAACTCCAGCCTTTCGACATTCGAGCAAATGCTATCAAAGGGGATTGAGCCCAACGCACACACTTTCGGAACAATAATGGGCCTTTGCGCCAATAGAGGTGACATTGATACTGTTCGCAATTTGCTTGTTTTAGCAAAAAAGCGCCAAGTTCAAATCACAGCCCCTTTGCTTGATACGATTGTGGAGGCGTATTGCAACAACCGAAACTTGGATATGGCTGAAAGTGTTGCTGAAACGTGTTTTGGTCTGGAGGTGAAGGGCTCGAGGCTTCGGATGTGGAACATGCTTCTATGGAACCATGCGTTCAGAATGGATTTGGAAGCTGTTTCCAGGATTCGCTCGCGCATGGAGGCGGCTGGTCTGCAACCTGATGGCATGACCTATGGTGCTCTCATGCTCAGCTTGGTCCTCATAGGACAACCCGACGCGGCCCGCCGTATTCTCAGAACGCTCCACAGAAGTCGTCGCATGTATGCCACGGAATTCCATTATGCCATCATTCTTTATGGGTATGTCAAATCGCGGAACCGAGATATGGTGCATATCATCTTTCGGGAAATCCAAGAGCGGTTCAATCGACCAGGATTTAGCTCAAGACTTCTTGTTCTGAAGAGTCAGTTGCAGCGGGATCTGGAGCTCATCAAGAGTGACGGTAAGCCTGTAACTGGCGCCAACGTACGCCTTGAGAATGCAGAGAAGTTCCTGGCCGACACCATCGCCAATTTCGATCCTACGAAATATGCGACGAAGGAACCAGTCCCGGGTGCTGGCAAACAACCTATCAACCAGGCATTCCCAGCTATGTATTATGAATATGTCATCTCAGCATACGGCACAAGGGGGGCTTCCGAAAAGGTCCGAGAGCTATTTGATCAGTTTACAAGCGGCCAGCAATCCCTCAGTCCAACAGATCAGGCATACGACGCCGCGCCACTTCGAATGCTTTCTGCCCTGATGCTCACATACTTGAAAGCGGATCAGTATAAAAAGGTTGAGGCTTGTTGGAAATTGGCATTCCCGCGTGCTGTGAAGATGGCCAGTCGTCCAGATACCGATATATGGGTTTCTACTCGGGTTGAATTTCCGGATTCTCCTGAGCCTCCACGCCCTTCATTGCCAAGCTCAGCCCCAGGTCAAAACAACTTGCTGGTGAGTTCAAAAGATCAGCAGGCCCTGTATAACGAGAACCAGCACTCCATTTTGTCTTCATGCCGATTCCTTCTATCTAGACCCTTGTCACTGTACATGCGATCCCTCGCTTATCGCAATGAAGCTTGGAGGATCCCCAAACTTGTGGCAAAGATCGAACAAGAAGGGTTTTCTATGACGACTTTCAATTGGTCTACCTATGTGCAAATGCTTGCCTCCTCCGATAGGCCGTCGGATCAAATAGAGGCCTTTACACTCTTTGAGCGGAAGTTCATGCCAAACTTTCCTGGTTGGAAACATCTCCAACGAGGATATGGAATACGGCCTCCTGGAGTCCCTTCAACCATCGATGCCATTGAGAACCCAACGAGGCGGAAAAATCCCCGCGTTCTCGGCAAACAAGGCCGGAAATACTGGAGCAAGGTCCAGCCTGATTTCATGCAGCCCACGTATATCTCTATGGTCTATCTCGCATCTTCTTTGAACAGATTCCGGGAAAGAAGTATATATGACGGGGGTGCCGAATTGTATGCTCTCCATAGTACTGCCCCCACCACGGTTGCAGCGATCGCCGAGATGCCCTATCTCCGTGAGAAATTCCAAGGCGTGCTGCTTCGTCGTCGCGAAGAACAAGGTGATAGAGCCGATGACCTGGAACGATATGAGCAGTTTGTGTGGACTGGCGGTATCCTCGGTGTCGGTGGGAAGCCTAGGCCTATTACAGACGTGGAACACCCGTCTCCAGAGACTAGCGAATCAGATAAGACTACGCCGGAGGAGAGAAACCAGATGTCTCTCGACAGCAAAGCTGCTCAAGCCTTTGGGGTTTCGAGGAACAGGGAAGCCGGTGTTGCTGATAGCTCCCCTGAAGATATTGTCACGCCTCCTGAGAAGACTCTTGATTACCAGGATGAGTATGATATTGAAGCAGAATCGTTACTGGAGAGTAGACGCCGGTCTTCTGCTATGGATGATGAATCATTGGATAACGAGAGGCGGTCGAAGAGAACATATGAAGGACATCAACTCCTACTCACCACTCTGTTGGAGGGGACGCCGTCTAGTACTCCCGGTGCAACAGGAACTGCACGCCAGTTCCGCAGATCACGCCGGAGATGAGTACATTAGGATCTTGGATGGAAAAGCATACGGTCTCTGTTTAATTTTTGCGTGTATCAACATTTTCCAAGTGTACAATACGAACACCTTATATACAACATGTCTTCGAAGAAAGGCTTGCATCAGGGCATTGCGGCGCAGATGCGATAATGTACAATTAGATCATCTCATTCTATATAAATATATCTTGTTAGTTACTCTTTTATTTAATCTTTTGCAGATACCTCGCCCTCTACTTTGTACACAAACGAAGATCTTACACGTGACCAGAACCTATAAGCTGACTCATCAAATGTGCACTCTAACGCGTATTTTCGCGAGACCGCGTTTCAATTCTACCCGATTGGGATGTCGCGTCCTCACGAAAGATTCTCCATCCCACTCTGTTTCTTTGGCGGAGGACCAGGTTATTGGAGCCACACCACGCTACCATCTACATCCGGTTATTTACGATTCTCATCTTTGAAACTGCAAACTCTGGATCTCACGATCCTGACAATCAGATCATTTTCCCATTGACCGCCTTGCAGCCCCTGCAACAGCTCTCGCCATGGACGGGGTGCAACTCCGTGATGAGGCCGCTCAAGATCGAGTGCGAGCTGCTGTTGAGTTCCTCGATCCAAGTAAGTACCTCATTTTAGTATATATCGTTTCCGACATTCGCTAAACAATGGGGATTTACAGGCGATGCACGAGCACGAAGGTCCGTCAACAACTTACTGATACCCTGTCTCTCCCTTGTTTTCGCCTTGCGATAATGGAACTGACTGGTCAAAAGTTACCGAGCAGATATCGTGTTGATGCTGAATAGAGGTCTACGACGCTTGATAGTATGTCAATTTTATCTGAATGGAGCTTTGAGTCTTGAGTTTTGGATTTGCGATTAACCTTCCTTTTTATTTAGGTTAGCATCGATGAAATCAGAGCACACAACCGCGAAATCGCAGATGGGTAGGTTGTTTCTACTAAAGTACAAGCGCAACCATCTGACCAGTGCTGTATAGGCTTCTCACCTCCCCATTCGATTACTCGCAGGCCTTTGACAGAGCGTTGAAGGAGGTAATCAAGACACTGCCGAACCGACCATCGAAAGAAACTGGTGACGAAGTTGTATGTCTATCCAAGTTCCGAAATATCCATGCGCAAAATCTAATATAAATCAGAACTACTACTGTGCTTATGTTGGAGCCTTTGGTGAATTCGCTTGCAACCCCAGAACGCTCGGATCCAATCACCTGAACCGCATGATCTCGCTCGAGGGTATCGTTACAAAATGCTCTTTGGTCCGACCGAAGGTGCTCCAAAGTGTGCACTACAGCGAAAAGAAAGACAGATTCCTTTCAAGAAAGTATAGGGATCAGACTATGACTGCTAGTGGAGCAACAAGTTTGAACGTCTATCCCCAAGAAGATGATGAAAAGAACCCGGTATGTTCTGGCACATTCATACTCAGACAACCGTGCTAATAAATATCGTCTCTATTAGTTGATTACTGAATACGGATATTCCACATACCTGGATCACCAATCCATTTCCATCCAAGAAATGCCCGAAAGAGCCCCGGCAGGTCAACTGCCCAGGAGTGTTGATGTGATCCTGGATGATGACTTGGTGGACCGTGCCAAACCTGGAGACAGAATCCAGTTGGTGGGTATTTATCGCTCTCTAGGAAACCGAAACGCTGGCTCTGGCTCCTCAACCTTCCGCACCATTGTTATGGCGAACAACATTATTCAGCTGTCTTCAAAGTCTGGTGGAGGGATTGCCCAAGCCACCATCACTGACACTGATATCCGAAACATTAACAAGGTCTCAAAGAAGAAGAATGTCTTCGAGTTGTTGTCCCATTCTCTCGCACCTAGTATCTACGGACACGACTATGTCAAAAAGGCTATCTTGCTCATGCTTCTCGGTGGTATGGAGAAAAATCTTGACAATGGTACTCACCTGCGTGGTGACATCAACATATTGATGGTCGGTGATCCGTCGACTGCGAAATCCCAACTTCTCCGTTTCGTTTTGAACACCTCTCCGCTTGCAATTGCCACTACCGGTCGTGGTTCATCTGGCGTTGGTTTGACTGCAGCAGTCACATCTGACAAGGAAACTGGAGAGCGCAGGTTGGAGGCTGGTGCCATGGTTCTTGGTGATCGCGGAGTAGTCTGTATCGATGAGTTCGACAAGATGAGTGATGTTGACCGTGTGGCCATTCACGAAGTAATGGAGCAGCAAACAGTCACCATTGCCAAAGCTGGTATCCACACAAGTTTGAACGCCCGATGCAGTGTCTTGGCCGCTGCTAATCCAATTTACGGACAATATGATCCTCACAAAGACCCGCACAAGAACATTGCTCTACCCGACTCCCTCTTGTCGCGTTTCGATTTGCTCTTTGTTATTACCGACGATATCGATGACTCCCGGGATAGAATGGTCTCCGAGCACGTCTTGCGTATGCACCGTTACCGCCAGCCTGGCACTGAGGAAGGAGCCCCTGTTCGAGAACAGCTTAATCAGAGTCTTGGTGTTGGACTTGAAGATAACCAAGACTCGAACCGGCCCACCGATGTTTACGAGAAATTTAATGTCATGCTTCACGCAGGTATGGCCAACATGGCCCGTAAGGGAAAGAACATCGAGATCCTCAGCATTCCTTTCATCAAGAAATACATCCAGTACGCCAAATCGCGAGTCAAGCCTTTTTTGACCAAGGGCGCGGCCGACCACATTGTTTCGACTTATTCCGCTCTACGAAACGACGAACTGTCTGGCAGCCAGCGCAGGACATCGCCCATCACTGCCCGTACACTAGAAACCCTCATTCGTTTGTCTACTGCCCATGCAAAGTCACGTTTGTCCAGCAGAGTTGAGGAACGGGATGCCAAGATTGCCGAGTCGATTCTGCGATTTGCCATGTTCAAGGAAGTTGTCGAAGATGAGCGCCGCAAGAGAAGAAAGGTTACCACCTTCGAGTCGGACGAGTCGGACTCTAGCGATTCGGACTCGGACGATGACCAAACACCCGCGAACACGACGGCTACTCCTCGATCCACACGGAGAGGCGGGACTTTGAGATCGCGTACAACCGCAACGCAGTCCAGCACTAATGATGCCGGTGGCGAAGACGTATCCGAGGATGGCGATGGCCTGTACGACGCCAGTCCCCGTGGCCAAAGGATGCGGTCAAGCCAAAACACACGTACACAGACACAGAGCCAGTCTCAAATGTCCGTGGCATCTTCACAGCCTGCATCGCAGCTTGTCCAGTCTCAGACAGACAACTCGCAGTCTCAGACTGCATCCTCTGCCACCTCATCTCAGCCTATCCAGCCGGCACGTTTGGCAGTGTTCCGCCGGGCTTTGGGTCCTTTGATGGGTACTCAATTGTTTAGCGACGGCGATACTGCTGATGTTGAGCAGCTTATTGGAGCCGTTAACACTGCAGTGCGCAGCTCGCCCACTCTTGGTGAAGGGCAAGTCTTCCAGCGAGCGGAAGCAGTCCAAGCCCTGAGGGAGATGAACGAACGAAATGAGTTGATGTGAGTATACTGTTAATTCCCTTAAGTTTATAAAGTGTCATGTTTGACTAACCGTTTCTTTTTCAACTACAGGTATGTCGAAGAGGATGAAACCGTTTACAGAATTTAATCATAGACCTATATCTGCCTATTATGTTATTGAGACTTGACTTGGAGGGATCACAGCAGAAACGACCATGCTGGATGGTTTTTCTTTTTTTACTTGTTCAAGGGCATATTTACAATATTCAAGACGATTTCACCCGGGTTGGTGTTTGGAGTTTTTGTATTCATCTAATACAGCACTTGATATGAAGTGTATGGTCCCTAGCGTTGAATTAGCCATGACAGAATTGAGCTTGAAAATACACATGTTTAACTGTAGCAACCCATACTCTGTAGTTGTTTCTACGAAATAGATTGTCAGTACAGAGTCCGGAGTAGTCACCATCTTCCCCCCCCAAAGCTATTGTTAGAGAGAGAAACATCCAGCATAATTCAGAATCCTTCTCAGTAGGCTAATTTCAACTCAGCCTCTCCATAGATATCTCAATGATCACGAAAATTGTGGATGTCCTTCCACTCGGACCGGCGATGGCTATGCTTCTCCGGTTCGGATCCGGTGTGTTCGGATCCGGACAGTCTGACTGTATACATACATCTCCATGGCTTCTAACGGCTTGATTCTTTTTTTATAAATACCGTCGAATCCAAGATGGAACAAATTAACAAGCTCTCGAGTTCTTCATTCAAGCCTCATATCTTCAATCCAAAAACAAGAACAACATTCACATACCCATTTCTACTCGTCACTCAAATCACTCAAACAACCATCAACATGCGCGTTCTCGTTATCGGCGGCAGTGGACGTACTGGCAAGCTCGTCATTAATGAGCTACTTCGTCAAGGTTTGTAGTTGATGTTCATTGTATTCTCCTAGATGATCACCAGCTAACACCAAATCAGGACATGAAGTCACCACTTTAGCCAGAAACCCATCGGCAATGGGAGCAGCAACAAACCTAGACATCGTGAAAGGTAAGGACTTTCTTCAGACGTTTCCTTGAACCTTGACTAACCAGCAACTAGGCACTCCTACGGATCTAGCCGATGTGAGAGCGGCCTTCGAGCACAAGGTCCCAGACGTTGTGATTGTCACTCTGAATGCTCCCCGGGAATCCGATAGCCCGTTCGCCGCTCCCATCTCACCACCAAGGCTCATGGCGGACTGCAATGCAAACATCGTCAAGGCCATGAAAGAATTCGGCGTTCGCAAGACCGTCATCTTACAGGCCTTTGGCGTTGGTGACTCGTGGGACAACATGAACTGCCTATTGCGCATGCTCATGAAGAAATCCAACATGAGCTTACAATACGATGACCACAACCACACCGATCGCGAGGTCAGAGAAAGTGGTGTCGACTATGTTTTCGTCCGTCCATCGCGGCTGGTAGAGGGTGAAGCGAGCCTGGTGAAGGTGTGGCCAAACCATGGCCAGGGAGTCCCGATGATGGCTAGCACCAGCCGTACGAGTGTTGCGAAATGGCTCGTTGATGCGGCAGTGAACAACGATTGGGATAACACTGCCCCGGTGATCACCAACTAGGTCACTAGACGATGGGATAGATACTCGCTAAGAGTGGGTGGAGTTTAAGATCTGTCGACTTGTGTTTTACTACGGCTTTTTAAGTATATGGGTTGGATTTGGAAGAACTATCCTACTTTTTGTTTTATATTTTGGATACTGTGCATTCGGGGTAATAGACAAAGTTACTGATCTTCAAGATTTATATCACTTTCAACGCCGACTTCCCATCGAATAGCAATATGAAACAATATTGTTTACATGAAACTATGTATACACGGGAAGTGGGGTAATTGAGGCACGTACTACACCGCAATTCATCAACATATTAGACAAGAGCGATAACATCATTCTATTCCTCTTGTTTTTACTTGCCATGTCATAGATTGTCTGGTGATAGATGCAATTGAATTGGTCCCATATGATGAGACTTGATCTACACAGGGGCTTATTATGACAGTGTCACGGTTATATACATGATGCATGCATTACCCCTCACTGAATCGACATAAGCCGAAGCACATCACGCATAACGCGATACCGAACGCTGCAGCAATAATAATATAATGGATCCTTCTATTATGAAATTTTTTTTAGCTGGCCATTCCAAAACTCTAGAATCACACCATCGAAGCCAATTGCAACATAAATCATAATGTACTAGCCAGGTGGCATGATCCCGCGAATATCCAAAATAGATGTGCGATTGTCGATCGATCCGATACATACCCCGCAATGCCCCTGAGTTATCTGCTCAACCACCTGGACATTCCATCATCAGCATTGTCAATGCCAGAGGAAAGATACATTGATTTAATTTAGCTACAATGGCTACGTGGCTCTTCTACATGTCAGAGATTTTGAAGTATTTTGAAGTAAATTTGTTATTTATTCATCGAGATCATATCAAGAGAGCATGTCTATATAAGCCCTCTAGTAGTGGCCCTCGAGGTGCTCCTCAGAGTGCTTCTTAGCAGCGTGCTGGGCCTTGATCTTGTCAACCTGGTCCAGACCCTTGGTCTCGAAGAGGTTGGTAAGGGCAGCAGCGGCAAAGCCACCGATGAGCTCCTTAGCCTGGCCGTGCTCAACGACCTTGCCTGTATGATATTAGAATGTGATCAGAAATTGAGTACTTCATAAGAGCATACCGTGCTGGGCCTGGTACTCGTTGAACTTCTTGACGGCCTCGTAACCGGCAGCTCCACCGATCAGGTCGTGGGTGATGTGAGCCTCGTGGCCCTGGGACTGCTGGACCTGGTTGTAAGAGTCCTCGTGGAACTCGCCTGGTCAAGTCAGTCAAGTGATTGATTGGACGAGATGGGAAGAGGAAGACATACTGAAGGGAATGTTGACCATTTTGAAGGATGTGGATTGAAGGAGGTAGAGAAAAGAAGAGTGTTTGTTTGTATCTGGAATTCAGAATCAGGGGAGGGGTTGGAGGGGTATTTATGTCCTTTTTGCCCGTCCCATGACGCCCTCCTAATCAGCGGTGAGCTGAGCTGATAATCCCTTCTGCTAGTGCCATTATGTAATTCTTATGAGACTCGTGTACGATGGACTTGCGATTATCGCCGGGTGGATGAGAGCTGAAGTCGTGATGGCGGATCGGCGGTGCCTGTGGCGCTGTGATTTGATGCTTGGCGAGTATCAAGAGAAGCTAAGCTTCGTTAAGTGGGCGCCATGATGTCAGGGATCTGGCCAGGGGAGGGGCAGCACAGCCACAGGAAAAGTAGGCTTAGTAGTCTGTCTTTAGAGTGGCGGTAAACATGTACGTGTTATTCCGGGCTTTTGTGTATCCATCGAGCTGAGGACGTCGTGGATAGAAATCATTCGTTTAATATGCCCAAAGAGGAATAGTCAAAACATCCTGTGCTAAATCTGGTTTCTGTCCATCTGGTCCTTCCCGTCTGCCGTAACAATTGTTTACCACGTGCTTCACCTGGCTGTTCTGTATAGCTTCATTTCTTGACGTCACAGTATCAGAACACAGAAGCTCATTGCCATTCCTGGAAGGGGCTCCTGAGATGCACCAGACATGAAACTCATCTCCCCAAATATCTCACCCCGAAAGCTCCAATGGACGGCACTCAAATACGCAAACGGCCACGGCCCGTAGTGTCGTGTCTTCGATGTAGAGACAAGAAGCTGAAATGCGATCGAGTGACACCATGCGAGAACTGCATCAAAGCTGGATGCTCAGCAGAATGCGCGTATAACCAGACCCCAGAGACCGTTGACTCAATGCCAAAGGCAAAGCGAGTTCAACTTAATGCTACAAATACTGCAGTCAATCAACCCGGAAGAGCCACAGGCATAGGGGTCATCGAGGATCTCCAGCAACGAGTTGTCAAACTGGAAGAGCTACTATCTGTCAGATCGCAAACAGTCAACTTTGGACCGGCCAGAGAGGCTGCAGTCTTGGATTCTGGGTAACGAAAAATCGCTTCGTCCGTCTGCCCTGTACTAATCAAGGATGACAGTAGTCCGCAGTCCAGCAATATCGTTACTCAATCGGAAAATTCGCCACCGTACCTTGGGACTCTGGTGGTCAAGGGGTCTCGATCCCGATATCATGGACAGAATAACAGGATCACTCTTCTTAACCAGGTGGGTTTGATCTTTGTTCATACTACTCGGTATGCAAGTTCAATTGACATCTCCAAAGTTTGCAGAAGCCAAAGACTTCATCAACAAGTGCACCAAAGATTCTACACTTATTGGATTGGCTAAAGAAGTACAGTTCCTTCAGAGCAAATCACAACTACCATTGAATTCGCCAGATTCAGTTTCAGATGTGGATGGCTCTCCGGAGCTTTTACAGCTCCGGGCGTTACTCCCTTCGAAAGCAGTGTGTGACCAGCTGCTAAAGACATATACCAAGAATTTTGAGAAAACATTGAGAATTCTCCATGTTCCTTCTTTTTTTCGTCAGTACGCGGAGTTTTGGACTGATCCGGATAATGAAACTTACCGGTCATCGCTATTTATCGCACAGCTCACGGCAATATTAATTGTATCACTCGCATTGGAAGAAAAAGGCTTTAAATTGGACCATCCCTCCACATGGGAATACCTGAAGCTGACTGCAGTCGACCTTATCCGAGCGTGGTTGCAAAAGCTGGGTAGAAAGCAACGAACTGAATTCACAACACTACAAGTCCAGGTACTGATTTTATTATCTTGTCATCTACGGCTAGTCACCCCTGAGGAGTTATGGAGAGAAAGTGGTACACTAGTACGCTCTGCAATGGTGATGGGTCTGCACTTGGATCTCTCCAAGTCCACAAACTTCTCTGTCTTTCAGGCCGAAAACAGGCGACGACTGTGGATAACCATTGTAGAAATGGATCTCCAAGCTTCTATAGCATCTGGAATGCCGGTCATGGCCCCAGAACTCGATTTTGGTCCTCTCATTCCTGCCAATCTCAACGATTCCGATTTCGACGAGTCGACGGCTGTGCTTCCTCTCTCCAAGCCTTTACATGAATCTACAGATTCCCTGGCTCTGGTCACTCTGGCCAAGTCTTTGCAATATCGTGTCAGGGCTATGGATTTTGTGAAGAGTGCAGGCCCGGTTAAAGATTTAAGCGAACTTGTAAAGCAAGGGCAGAGGTTAGAAGCTTGTCTGCGGCAGATTCCATCCGCCTTGAAACTGGATCACACTCTGAAGGGTGATGATGTCCCAGCACTTCTGCTGAATCGCGTTCTGGTGGATGTATATACGCGCAGGCCTCTTCTTTGCCTCTATAGGTCCGTAGCCATGGGTGATTGCCGCGACGATCCGATGTTCCTTGAGATACAACGAGTATGCCTGGAGTCGTCACTGGCGATCTTATCTTATCAGGACTATTTCGACCCTAACGTGGCCGACCTAGACGTCTTCAATTCGACCACCTACTGGGATATCTTCCAAATCTTCTGCAAAAACGACATCTTATGGGCAGCTCTAAGCGTGTGTGGTTACATCAAGCTGTCCAGTCAACAACAGTCGGGCCCTCAGACTCCTTCCGATAATCCTCAGCCGGGTGTCTTCTCAAACTCACAGGGCATGATGCATAGCAAAGCTAGCCTAACTCGTATTGTCGAAAACTCTCTGGACAGTCTGACACGTAGAATCGGAGAGAATGGCAGCAATATCAAGGATGTCCTCCTTCTTTCAGTTGTTCTCCAATCAGTGCGAGCTCGAGGTTCAGCTCAGCTGAGAGAACGCTGGATGTATCAAGGAGCACAGAAAGCCTTGTCTGCTTGTCGACAACACCTACTCCCAACTATGGCAGAGCAGCCATACGCATTTAATCTACCTGACCTTGCACAGATGGTATACTCGAACCAGTCCAAATCTTTTGCAAGATTCTTTGCTGACTTGTCTAAAGCTTCAGTCTACCCAGCCCATGCTTACACCGAACCAAGAAGCCCAACTAAATCCCTCAGCTCAGCTCCAATTACCAGATTTCTTCGCTGAGTCATCTGCACTAGCCACTGAATTCAACAATTTCCAAGGCGATCCTTTTACATTCGAAGATGGGTCTTTTGCGTGGAATCTATAAACTAAACTCACAGCCTCCTTACATGCTTCATCGACAGACACAAGACAGATTTGACATCGCCCAGTCTGCAGCACAAATATCTCTATATAACTGTAAATAATGTATAAACATTGGTATAATGCACATGAAAACCCCACTATCAACAATCTCCTTGAGCAGTCCGAATACCTGAAACATAGTACTCGTCAACAAGAAGCTCTGTGAATTCGAATACGAACCCCAATTCTCATGGTGAAATGTATCCCCCAAATACAACAATATCTTAAGCCGCAATTGTTCAAATTGAATATTCAGCCTTGGATGCTCCATAGTAAGTGCAAAAATGGCCTCATTTGGGTGCCCCGGACTGAACGAACATCGCCGCTGCATATTCCGGAGATGGACTGTCGGATCCGATCTTGGACTTCGGATCCGGACAGCTGTTCGGCTTGAGTATACAGGTCGAGATACTATATAAAAGCGAGAAACCGTCGAATTCGATTTCAATTCATCCACAAGCATCTAAAGCATTCAGGCATTACCATTGTTACAAAACCACCCCGATTACAATAACTCGAAACAGCATGTCGTCTACTGAGAACATCGCCATCATCGGTGCAGGCCTCTCTGGTCTCACACTAGCTCTTGCACTCTATCAACATGGCATCCCCTGTACCATCTATGAGGCCCGCGACGCACCATTGAACATCGGCGGAGCCGTCATGCTCTCTCCCAACGCCCTCCGAATTCTCGATATCCTAGGCGTCTACGAGCGCATCCGTCCCGAGGGCTACGACTTTGACCACTTGCACTTCCGCACTCCCAGCGACGAGCCCTTTGACACATACGAATTCGGGGATAGCAAGAAATACGGGTACAGTGGCATGCGCATCTATCGACACGTTCTCATCACCGAGCTCTCGGCTATGATCAAGGAGGCGAACATCCCCATTAACTACCAGAAGAAGTTTCAGCGTGTGGTTTCTGAGACCACGACGGACGTGACGTGGGTGTTTGACGATGGAACGACCGCGACTGCGACTTGTCTCATTGGGGCTGATGGAATCCACTCGCGGGTGCGCAAGTACCTCTACCCTGAGCTCGAGCCGCGATTCATGAACGCCATGGGTGTCACTGCTGCTGTGCCCACTAGCCAGTTGCAAATTCCCGAGGGCTACCAGCTCCCCGTGACGATTATGAACAAGTTACACGGGGCGTTTGTCATTGCACCCCAGCTGAAGGATGGATCGGAGGTGTTGATCGGAAGACAGAAGCGCGCCGCGCAGTTGGACCGGGAGGGCTGGAACCAACTCATGAACGACAAGGAGTGGTGTGTTGACTTTTTGCGAGACGGAATCAACGACTTCCCGGCGATCGTGCAACGGGCCGTATCGGACATTTCCCCATCCAACATCAACCTGTGGCCGTTCTATATGGTCCCCAAACTTGACAAGTGGAGTTCTGAACATTCTCGGGTGATCATCCTGGGTGATGCGGCTCATGCTATCCCACCAACGGCGGGGCAGGGTATCAACCAGGCCTTTGAAGATGTATATACGTACGCATTGACTCTGGCGAAGCGTGGAGACACCTCCCTCGAACGGGCTTTGAAGATCTGGCAGCAGGGACGCCAGGAGAGAGTTGACAAGGTGTTGGAACTCAATGCTCAGATTGACAAGCGTCGCATGCCGAAGGCGAGTGATCAGGAAGAGTCCGAGGCGGGTGGAGATTTTGATTTGGAATGGCTGTACAAGCCGGAGCTTGAGGCGATAGTTGAGAAATGGCTTGGTGAAGGTTTGGAGTAGAGTAGAGCCTCAATGTTTTCTTGTCCTGTTTCTGTTTCGTATATATCCCTTTTCTATAGTCATTTGCCTGTATATAGAATTATTGTTTGACAAAAATGTTTGAATTTCAAGCCATTGGTCAGTTCGATTCCTATTTAATAGTTAAGCTTGGGTATTATGGCCGTATGAAGACATATCACTGGTCTAGAACAAACCTGGTGGCCAGGATAGAAAGCAGGTTCATATTCCACAAGGCAAGCAATCTTGGAAGACCCGAGTACTTCGGGACAAGTAGGTATATTAAAAGATCCAATTGACACATAAACAAGGACATTAGACACAGGTGGGGAAAAGTAAAGAAGAAGAGATCCACAACTGGATTTTCCGGATATACATACATGATGACATGTAGCACATGACACATCCAATGGGTAGTTTAAGGCGGGGGTATAATAACGGAGGGGAATAGAAAGACCCGAAAAAAAAAAAAAAAAGTGAAACAGTGTGATGCAAATGGCTTCAAGATTCAAACTTTTCGTCCTTGTCTTTCTCTCCGATTACACTGATGGAGTCATCTGATGAAAACGACGGTGGACGCACGCCTTCTCTGATCTGTGCTTGTGTGAGGGGCGAGAGCCCACGTGGGAGTGTTTTGGAGCTTCTCTTCTTTTTGTTCTGGCTGTGTTCCGTGGTCGAGGTAGTAGAGGGAGTTGTGCTACCTCGACGAGGACGACCGACGGGAGAGGATCGTGAAGGAGGTCGGTCGTCAAGGTCAACCGGGGTGCTGCTGCGAGATGGGGTGCGGGAATGGGAGTCGGAGCGGGTGCTGCGGCGAACAGGAGACTTAAACTCATGACTGTGTTTGGTGCTAATGGAAGGATGATGGCGATGCCCATGTTCGCCAGATCGGTTCAGAGTAGCAGCAACAGCTCGTCGTCGCTGCGACGCCTTCCATCCCAATCCAACCCACCAGAACCAGCTGCCATCATGCTGGGCCACCTGGCGCTCTCGTTCCCGTAGTTCCTGCCGAAGCTGGGCGCGTCTTTCATTTTCTTTATCCCAAAAATCCGTGCGATAATCATCCCAGTTTTCACGAAATTCCGGCGAGAACGACTTGGGGAGAAGCAAAAGTCGAATGTAATCGCCCCCGGGACTGAGATCTTCCTCTACTAGGCCCGACTCGGTGTCCACGTTGTAATATTGCTGGTAGTGCTGCCGACCACCGCGTTTCTCGGTCAGATTACGTTCGACATAATGGAAATTCCCGCTGGGCGATGATGAAAAGGGAGCGGAAAAGGGAAACAGAAAAGCCAGGTACGAGAGCAATTCCTGCCACCAAGACCCGCGAATGATGATGATCTTGGTGTTCATACAACGCAGGCCGCGGTTGGCGACGGCAAGCCAGCGCCGTGGCCAGCGTACTCCGCGCTCCCACTGCCCTGTGCCCCAGCCCAGAAGCGCTGTCACGACTCCTCCAATCAGGGCAACTTTCTCTCCCATATCCACCACCCAATAGACAGAGCCTCCCACCCCGCGGCCATCTTCTCTCGGGCGGAGGAAGAGCGCGTAGGCGAAGTAAGCAATCCACGAAGCGAGCAAGAGGAGGAAGAAGGTATTCTGTCGTCGACGTTCACGTAGTGCCAGATATTGAGCCCGAAGAGAGCTTTCTAGGATAAGGAGATTCAAGTAGATCTGGGGTGGGGAGGAGGGCAAAGTTGACAGCGGATCCGGAGTCGAGAGATGTGGCGGGGAAGAAGAGGAATCCGGAGAGGGAGACGACTGTGGGAGAGGAGCATTCAATGCATCGGAAGGTGAAGAAGACGAAGAAGCCGTTTGGGGATCAGATGAAGCTGAAGATCCCTTGACTAGCTGATCTAAGTTTTGAGAAGCCATGGTAAAAGTAGGTGAACGACGGTGTTTTCGTTTCTTGGAGGTCAACGAGGGGAGAGGAATCTCCAGGAGTCAAACAAAGACACAAACAAGGAATCAGGGGACAGCAAGGCCTTTGCGGCCAGATGATGCTATCTCATCGCATAGACAAAGCAGCGAATGACTTGGACGAAGTTAAACGATGGATGGAGAGGGAAAAGAAGATGAAGGACGACGCCGAAGTGGAGGAACCGGAGCTTTTGGCTGCCCCATCAGGTCGACCCGATCGTCATCGTCCACGCTTTCAACGGTTTTCGTGTTTTGCTCCTCCCCGGGGTTTTCTGTATGACTTCATCTGCCTCGCCTCTAATCGATCGACTTTTTTTTTAAGGTTTTCATCACGTCTCGTCTTGAGTTTTCCATCGTTTCGCCTCCATTCGTACCACGTTGCGTCGGGGATAAGCGGCCTTGAGCTTTTCTCCGTCCCAACCGCTTCTTCTTCGCTTCTTCTGCGTTTTTCGATTGCGTCTGCCTGTCATCCATCCCTGAATATATAGCCATCACCATCCCTCAATCCGATTACGAGTGACAGAACCCCCTCTCTGTCACTCCGATTTCTCCTTGCGACAAGGTGTATACCGCGCGACTCCCTTTACCCTCCCTCCAGGCCCCTCGACCTTGGGCCTCTAAAGAGGTCCCTCGCGTTATCCCCTCGTTCAATCCCGCCTTATCGAGCCGAAATACCTCTTCGATGACGTCGGAATCTTTAAAATCATCGGGAAGCAGTATGCGCGACCAGGGCCAGCAGCAAGAAGCGATCGATTCTGCTCAAGCCGCTGGGCGGTCGTCGTCAACATGGTTCCCGATGGGCTATAGAGAAGGCTTCAGCCAGTGGGTATGTCGTACGCACTAGGATGATAGATAGTTTATGGATATGGGGTATTTTATACAGATACTAAACCTGCTTTCCAGTGGGCTTGTTTGCCGGCCGCAGCAGCAGAGCATAAAGTTCTGTCCTACCTGCCTTACCTTCAGCACAACCCTCCCACCCATCGACAGACGGGAAACACCTCGGACGTCCCTGCAGGCACGCCTGATAGCCTTCAAGCTGCAGACCCCAGTCAACAGGGAGACGTGTCAATCAACTCCCTCAATGATCCGTACGGCCCTCGTCGATGGCGCTCTACTATGGTTGAGCTGAGTGGGAAGGACCGGGCGCTCAATGAATTTTCCGTGGAGAGGGTTGGCGAGGATGCTGATCAGCATCTGGTTATGCTTCACGGATATGGCGCTGGACTGGGCTTTTTCTACAAAAACTTTGAACCGCTGAGCCGGCTCAAAGGGTGGCAACTTCATGCCCTGGATATGCTGGGCATGGGTCGCAGCACCCGTCCTCAATTTCGCATCAAGGCGAAAGAAAAGGAGGAGGCTACACGGGAGGCTGAAGACTGGTTTGTGGATGCGCTGGAAGAATGGCGTGTTAAACGCAAAATTGATCGATTTACTTTGCTCGGTCATAGTCTGGGCGGATACATGGCAGTCGCCTATGCTCTCAAATATCCAGGCCATTTGAACAAACTCATTCTCGCGTCTCCGGTGGGAATACCAGAAGACCCATTTGCTGTTGCGGCCGGAATGCCGGAGCACTCTGAGTCGACCATGGCCAACGAGTTCACACAGGATCAATCCAAAATCACAGAATCCTCGTCAGCGGTCCCTCCTCCTGGAATGTTGCAGCAAAAAGGCGATGGCAACACCCTCCTCACTCGGCAGACTGTAGACGCACAGTCTGATCGCCCTCCCCGTCGCACTCTTCCCAGGTGGTTTGCCTATCTCTGGGATGCTAACATCTCTCCCTTCAGCTTGGTTCGGTGGACTGGACCCTTTGGGCCGCGAATTGTATCCGGCTGGACCTCTCGAAGATTCTCCCACTTGCCAGCAGCAGAGGCCAAAGCCCTGCATGACTACTCATATTCGATCTTCAGTCAGCGAGGGAGCGGAGAGTACGCTCTGACATACATTCTCGCCCCCGGTGCTTTTGCTCGCAGTCCTCTTATCAGACGGATCCAGGGTGTTGGACGGCAAATCATCCAGTCGTCCTCTTCCACACCCCCCTCGCTACCAGCCGAAGCTACAGAAACATCTCCCCACCAGTCCACTTCCGAATCGCCTGTTAAACCCGAACCCTCTTCATTGCCACCCGCCAGACGTGAGAACGGTATCCCCATCATCTTCATGTATGGTGACCACGACTGGATGGACGCAGCAGGTGGTCTCGCAGCCCAGACCAAGATCGAAGAAGAAAAGCGACGTGCCCTCGAGAATGCCACAGCAGAAGAACGCAAGGCAGACAACGGCTCTGCCAAGGTGGTCATCGTCAAGGGATCAGGACACCATGTCTACTTGGATGCGTGGGAAGATTTCAACAAAATGGTTTTATCCGAGATGGAAGAGGTTGGCCGGCGAGAGAGAAATGGGAAGCTATGAATGACGCTGCAGTGAGAAATATTACGTGTATAATGGAAACAATGCGACTTGCAGCGGTTTTTTGACCTTTACTCTTGTTTATTCCTTTTTTTGTCCTTATCTGCTCGCTATCTATCCCATGTACTCTGCTCAGTATAATGGAAGATGTATATATATAGATCAATAGATTTGAAGAATCACAGTGTTCTTAATCTCCTTCATTCCTTTTTACTTTTATCCCTATGGGCTGTATTCTGGTCAATAAACAAACAATTCCCCGTCCGATAATTCGAACTAGTCACCATAGACGTAGTAATAGAGCGCTGATGATGCCGGCGCCCCCGTTGCTGTTGCTGCTGTTGCTGCACTTGCTGTTGCGCCGGCTGCGAGGGAAGCTCCAGCCGATTATTTATCGACAACCAAGCCCGTTCATCCGCCTCTTCGTCATTAATAGCATGATCAGACGGGGACGGAGACGACGGAGACGTAGGAGACAAAGAAGCCGATCTGGACGGATGGCCGCTGCGGGATTTCGACGACGACGCTGGGGCTGGACAGCGCCACCCGCCTAAACCTTCAAAGTCACGACCTTCGTCGCCGCTGACGAGGCTAAGGAAGGAGGCCGTTGTTGCGGATGAGGGGATCATGCAAGGGTTACTGTTATTGCGGGCGTCTCTGGTGCGTTTGTGAAGCTTGCGATGTCCTTGTCCATCTGAGTTGGAGCTGTTGTATCGTCTTAGGGCTGGGCGGGGTTTGGCGTTAGTGATGATACCGGGCCCGGGTCCGGGAGGGACGAGGAGTCTTAGTTGACGGGCGCTCGGGGTTCTGGGGAGGGTATGGCTGCTGGTATTGGTATTGTGGTTCACGATGGATCCATGATCTGAGGATCGACGACGGAATGGGGTGGTGGGTTCTGATGCGGCAAAGGTCAATAGGGACGAGTTGGAGGATGTGGGGATGACAAAGTAGTTTGTGATGATGGCGTAGGATAATTCGATGTAGATGATAGAGAGACGGATGAACAGGGCCAGGACAGAGAAGCAGATAGTGATGTATGCTGTTAGAAGTAGAGGGACAGAGAGGAGGGCGAGGAAAGGGACGGTCACAAAGCTGGAGAAGGTGATGGTAGGCATGAAGGCTTATATATACACAGAGACGCTAACAACGCAAGAAGATATACGGATTACGGAGGGTCAGAGATGAAGAAGAGAAAGTCATGATATTTGTTCGCCCGTTTTCAAATGGGCTGATTTATTCCATGTTTTCGTCTTTTGTTGCATCCAAAAATGCGGAGAAGAGCATGTGATCTTTTCTGCCTCAGGCATGACATTACATCATATCCCACATATTCCTCCACACTCAATAATGATGCGAGAGCGTCTCTTCATACATCTTCGACACCAGACAAGATCATATTCAATCACCACAGAAGATAATGGCACAAGACGAGACAGCTTTCCCTTGGGAAATCGGGGTCTTCGACGCCCATTGTCACCCCACCGATACCATGGCTTCAATCGCTGAGATCCCCCGCATGAAAGCCACCACTCTCACAGTTATGGCCACTCGAGGCGAGGATCAAGATCTCGTGTTTCAAACCGCAGCGCCAGTAGAAGCAACCAAGTCGGTCACCACCAGCCGAAAAAAAGAGCGCATACTTCCGTGTTTCGGGTGGCATCCGTGGTTTTCACATCAGATTTTCGATGACGAGGGAACGCGCAAAGATGAGGACGATCCGTTTATGACCACCCAGCTTAAACAGGCCCATTATGAAAAGGTCCTCACGCCATCTCCAGATGATGAGACCTTTATCTTTGCCTTGCCAGACCCCAAACCGCTGTCACATCTCATCTCAGAAACACGGACCCGGTTACTGGCCCATCCAACTGCCCTCGTCGGTGAGGTCGGGCTGGATCGCGCTTTTCGACTCCCCAATGCCTGGACCAAGCAAGAGGTTCAATCCCGGGATGCCACCATGACGCCAGGCTCCCGGGAAGGTAGGTCCCTCTCCCCGTACCGGGTGCAGTTAGACCACCAAAAGACCGTGCTGAGGGCCCAGTTGCAGCTGGCTGGGGAGTTGTCTCGACCGGTCTCTGTTCATAGTGTACAGGCGCATGGGGCGGTGTTCGACCTCCTCAAGGAGCTCTGGTCTGGTCATGAGCGAAAGGTTCTTTCCCGACGGGAGAGGAAACAGCGTGATGCGGAGAGGAGCCAGAGGGGCGAGGCTGATGAAGAAGATGAAGAGAAAGAAGCATCATCAAAAACAAACGCAACCCCTTTTCCTTTCCCCTCGAGGATCTGTATGCATTCCTATTCTGGACCCGTCGATCCTGTCCGCCAATTTCTGGACCCATCGAATCCTTCTGATGTCTACTTTTCTTTCTCAAGTTTGATCAACTTCAGTGGGCCTTCCTCGCAGAAGGTCATCCAAGTTATAAAGGCTCTCCCCGATGACCGGGTACTTATTGAGAGTGACCTTCACACTGCCGGGAAGCAGATGGATGATCTACTCGAGGAGGTCGCGAGACAGGTTTGTGACGTGCGCGGATGGGATTTGAGAAAGGGAGTTCAGCAACTTGCAGATAATTGGAGGCGGTTTGTATATGGTTCAAGCGAAGTGTTACCCAACGGACATGATGTTTTAAACAAACGATGAATGCAAAAGATAATATATTCAAGAAATAGAACAACCGAAATAGTAGATAGTATTTCCAATTAGTGGTATCATTCATATACAGCCTGTCGGCATATGGTATGGTATGGGCAATCATTAATCCCTTAAAAAAAAAAAATCCCGAACATATAAACAGAATGATAATGTTTTAGTAGAAACTAGTGCATCCATCCTCCATCCTGGAGAAGGTCTGACATCGGAGTTTCTTGCCAGTAGATTTGACGCCACTCGTCCTCAAGCTCTGGTAACCCTTCCATGGGCATTGGAATAGGCTGGTCCGGGTCGGTAAATGAGAATAGCTGTCTCCAGTCTAGGAGCTCCCTGGGATGATCCATGGGCTCCATAGATGATATGTTGTTCGAAGGTATCCAGCTATCGAAAGGCTGGCTTGGTTGAGGGTCTAGGGCGGGTTGTGGTATATGGGCCGGTTCGGTAGATGTCTCGTAGGGGGATTGATTATCTGTCTTGGGTATCGGCAATACGGTATTGTTAGAAGTAGCGCTGACTTTTTTACTGTTGCCGTTCTGTGTGTTGCTAAAGGCTCGCGGTCTTTCGCTGGTCGCCATTTGGAGATCCTTCTGGAGGCGCTTGGAGTCCTCGAAGAGTCGTAATATAGTACCAGCATGTGCCCAATACCCGGATAACTCACGCAGAGAGTAGGATGCCGAGTCAAAGCGGCGGAGGGCGTTGATTGCTAGAACAGGATTGGAAAACCGGAGCTCGACCCGTACTTGAATCATTGCAGTAAAAAGGGTATGGACACCAGAGTACCACAGGAACTTGAGACGATCATTCAGACGGAGCTCTTCGAAAATGGAACCGATGACACCAGCAGCAGCACTGCAAATCTCTGCATCGTGGGGACCGTAGTCGTCCGAGTATGCGGAAGCTCTTGGGTGTGGGCGATGGAGAAGAATGAGGAAATTATTATATGTGAGATGAAGCATGGCAGACCAAGGATCCATATCAGATGCACGAAGACGCAAACTGTCCGGAAGTTTCAAAGACCAGTTGGCGAGGGCTTCGTCGGCTTCTTGAAGCACCGCTTTGCGACGTTCAGCACTAACCCGGAGGCCGAATCGTTCACGAACGATGTAGAATATCATGGTGCAGAGTTCCGAAAAGTGAGTCACGTACTCTATCTGAACTCGAGACCCGCAGTCTTGAAAGTCAGCGGGTGTTAGTGGTGCAACGTCGGAATCCTCAAGATTTCTGATGGTTTATTAGTATGCAGCCGCATCAGATTACAAGAATATTCACTCACATAGCGTGGGGTCGACCATAGGAAAGAGATACCATGACATCAAACTGGAGCAAAATGTACCACAGCCTCCTCCACATGTGCCTGTCTTCGGGCACGAATTTGCTCGACACTGGATTGCGATGCATGCCAATACCCGTGGCTATTCTGGCAGCGACACCAACCCAGTAGTGGGCATTTGCAGCCACATCATCATCAGCACTGTCCGAATGCCAAGTAAGAAGTAGTGCTGCTTGAACTAAAGTATCCCGACTCCGCTCGATGCGGTTATCAAACAGCCATTTGCAACGGCGGAAGAAGATCTCTTTCAGAGGATCTCTTTCTGCTTTCGGGCGGGACACATGTGCCCCAACGAGCAATATAGCCTGAAGAAGTAAAATTGACGGGGGATCAGAAGGATCTCGGCTGCGATATTGGGCCATGAACAAGTCTTCGTCGATGATAGGATATCCCGGGTTCACGTAGGCGAAGTACGCCTCTACCAGCTCATCAGCAAGAGCCTGTTCTGGTAAAGTGAGGGCATCCATGAGGAGCTGGTCGTGTCCCGTTCTCAATTGGTGTCGTGGAATTTCATTGCCCGCGAAATGATACACATCGTCATCGTTATCCCGTTGCTGGCGAATCAAAAAGGACATATTTGAAAGTTCATGACCGACATAAATTGCTCTGACACCCCTTTGAATGTGTCTTCTCCCAGATTCTTCCTCATCAATGAGTTTCACTAAACGTTTTTCAAGATCATTGTGGGCATCTCGTTCGCTCGATGGGTCCGGGCCCGATGGCCGATGGGTTGTTTCGGTGCCCGAAAAAGACTGCGATCTAGGATGCGGAACATGATTCGCAAAATGATTCGATGCCACAGGCTGGCTGGTACTAAGGACATTCGGTAACGGGGTGGTAGCTTGGGTGGAGGATGATGGAGATAAAGATTTCGAGGCGGATTCGGTAGCAGAAGGCACGGGTCGACAACGGATAGGAACAGGGTCAAGAATCGAGCGTACAGCAATACGCTTTTTCTTTTCATGGATGCGACAATCTGTCTTCCCCGAGGAACGACAGTTGGAGCAAGGCAAGCCGACTAGGCGTGCATCGCATCGGACTTTGCGCCGATGACAGTGAACACAAGCCGCGACACCTAACACACATGCATCTAGTGATTAGCATAGGGTTCTCACACATGATCAGAAATACACCAGTTATATTCAACCGATGGACAGGCAGGAATCATAAGGTTGATGCGTACCTGATTTGCGCTTAGTCACACCATCTGCGGTGGACGAATGGTTGTTATTGTTCGCTGCGGCGGACATGGCAAAAGCATCGATCCAGATTTAAGCCCGGATACTGTATATTCATCGTAATATGCGGGCAGCCACTAGACTGGATGGTGAGCTCAAGACATGATGTCTAAAGCAACATTGAAAATAACACACAACGGTCGAGACGGGAAGCAAGGAAGAGAAGAAGGGAAAGATGACTGTGGGGGAAAGAGACCGACGGGGAAATGTTCATATCAGTGGGTCTGCGGGGGCTCACGTGGGCTGCGGAGAAAGAGGCGATCCCAGGCAAAAGACGGGATTGAACGGCATCAATGGCTGATTTGGGTATTTGGGAGTTTGTAGAGCATAGGATAGAGGGAAATGATGCTGTATCGATGATAGTTGAGCAAGAATCATGGATGCGACGAGGATGAAGATCAAGTGAATCATCGTCTGTTATCAGACCCTTGAGCCAATCAATGGGCCTGCATAGATAACTTATCAATTGATGCTAATAATTGCAAAGAACTAAATGCATGAAGTGCAATAAAGGCAGCAGATATAGAAACAAGTTCTATTAATGGTAGGAGTGGTCTCCTTCAAAGACAGTTCGAAATATATCAACCCCAGCCAACACCGAATCCCAAAGACAGCCATAGCAATATGGCATGGACATTGAAGTCCTCTTCTCTCTCTATCAGTTCAGTTCCCCATCAATCACCCGGGCATTCCGTATGAAACAATAGGTAACTCGAATAGATAAATACAAAAATATCACAGGTTTCTCAGTTATCTTCCTCCATGGTCAAAGTACAAAAGCGATCGTATACGTAGTCAAGTGGTTCAAGTAGCCTCCTTGTTGTTCTGTTCTCCTGGAGTGTACAGTATTGTTGTTGCGAGGAAAGAGAGGCGCACGAGTTGCTGTTTCACCCGAGAAAAAAAAAAGAAAAAGAAAAAAGAGATGAAGAAAAAAAGACCCCAATGATTCTCATCCGTGATTTTGTTTCAATCACGGTCCAATCCGTAAATATCCCATAAGAAAATCCATTTATATCGTACCAGTTCATCAAGATGCTGCGCAAGGATTAACATCCGGAGACTGGAGGTAGTCCTCTCACACATCTCGAACCTCTGTCCATGGGCGAGCTCTGTCAAAGCGGAGGCCGATACTGCCTAGCCATCTTGCATGCGAATCAGACGGTTTATATCGCTCTTTGGCTTATCGATGTCGAACGGCTCGGGGTTGGGATGGTACCAGGGTTTCTCGGATGATCCTCTTTGCACATTCTAGTAAGACTCCCCTGTCCCATTGTGAGCCTGGCCAACCATGGGCGGGTAGCCATAGGCAGAGGTGTCCTGCTCGGAGGGGTCTAAGCTCGGGTTCAAGATACTGTTGGCGTTTTCGGAATCAGGGAAGCCCGGGCGTCCAGGCTGAGCAGCGTTCACTGGGCCACCAACAGGTCCAGCACCGTAACCACTGCTGGTTGGTCGGTTTTGGTTTTCTCCTCTGGCGGATTGCGTCTGGGGGGATAATCAGTATTGATTGCGATGGGTGCACGGCAGGTTGTCTGTGGACAGGCAGATCTCAGATGTTGCACAGGTCTTACCTCGCGATATTTCGACAGATAGATTTTAAGGGCTTCCGCATAGTTCTCGAAGCCGAGCGAGGTCATGGCAAACAAAATATCTTCACCGTTGACGGTTTTCCGCTTTTCCTGCTGGCATTTCTCGGATGCTATACATTGTGAGTATAGAATAAGAAAGTATAATTCAAGCATGACAAACCTTCACTGGTGATGAACGAGATAAACTCGCTCACACACTCTTGCATGCACTCCTTGGCTTCTTTCGCGATCTTTGCGTTTTCTGGTAGGGCAATCTTCATGATACGTGCCACTTGATACCGGATGTTAGCATGTCCACTTGCAAATACGAGGTCGCTCTGCAGGATTGGATGGCCATAGCGGGGGAAACAGCCAAGCGGGAAAACAGTGGCATGCGCTCCATTGGGATAGAAAGGTTGCACATTCAGGATAAGTGCTTATCATGGGAGCAGAAAAGGAAATTCAAACACGAATGACAATACGGGAATCTGGGGAGAAAAATGCCAAAAGTGAAACGCTTTTTCTCGACGGGAGCAAGAGGGGTTAAGTGTAGTAGGGCAATCGGCTTTCGGCCAGCAGTCCAAAGTAAGGTACGCGCAAATCAGGAGGACAGAAAAGCTGCAAGGAAACGCAACTAACCATTTGCAATCGGAAGCCATCGATCTTGTTCCTTCACCTCAAACTCGCCCTGCGCCGCTTGGTCTTGTTGGTCCTTGTCCATTTGGTCCTGTTCTTCACCTGATTGAACTTCAGGTTCCACTTCTGGTTCCTTCGAGGGAGAGGTCGACGACATGTTTTTTAGCTGTTCGGATAACGTGCAGCGGGTCTGGAACGATTGTCTCTAATTGCTCTGTTGGCAGTCCACGTCAGAGATGAGCACGCACGCGATGCCTTCGGCTTCTAACGGTAATGATGCTTTGGATGGGTTGGTGGGAAGGTGTCCGACTGGGCAGCGATTTGCTTCACAACAGCCTGAACGGGGAAGAGAAAGAAGCGGCCGTGTGGGGGATTGGCAAAGCTTCTGCGCAGCTTTGCCCTAGCGGTGTGCGCCAGGAATTAGATGGAATTGAAGATGAAGCGCGCCAGTCGCCTTTTTTCCCCGCGACAAAATGATTTGATACGACCACGAAGCCAACGAACCGTTTTCCAGGAATTTTCTGTGTGGGGGAAAACAAATAATGGGGGGACTTACAAACTGCAGGGCGATAGTAGTGCAGTGGTAACGTATGCGCGACTCTTTCCTTCTCCAACGCGGGAGATCTGGAAACCCAAGAGCTTACTTTTGGTGACGCGGGCGAAATGCAACGCGGGAGTCGCAACAGTGGGTCAATTGGTGGTGGAAGTGTGGCACGTTGCGCAGAGAAAGGGGACCGAGGGAAGATTGGGAGGGCAGGTTAGGCAATCAATCAGAAGAGTTTGAGAGACAAGATGATCATCTGAAATCTAGGTGTATGTAGGAGAAGCAGTAGTGGTGGTGATGGTATGCAGGCGAAGAGCAGCTGTCGGTACTAAACAACAGCCCCGTACTTGTCCAATGCGCGCAGCAATTAATTGGCGGACCAGAAATAATAATGGCAGCACAGCGAGTGATTCCGTTGGTCGCTCACCACAAGAGATCAGAACGACTGGCTATCAGTGGCTGTTGGGCGTAAACACCAATAATAGTTGTATCCACGGAGATCTCAATAACCACCGTCTAGCAGCACTCGAAAAGGATGACTGATTGTTTGATTTGATGATGATGAAGACGATGAGTCTGCAGGGGTAATCGACGGATGGACGGATGGGGGTTGCTGTCCTCTCGAGGGTGCCTAAGGCTGTAAGGCTGTGATTACAGTATTATACGGCTGTATGTTATTTACTTTCTTCCTTTGGTATAGTGTTGTTGAGCATATAGTGTGATCAGAGAGGGGGGCAGTATTGGTATGGTAAGCAACGTGACCTGGTGCCTTGGAATCGATACAGACGTCTCCATCATGATGACAATGTTCATCACACTCTTCGCAGACGCGATTAGATGTATCCAAAACAATTCCCATTGTTCCTTGTCTGTGACGGAAATGCCTGCAAAGGCTCCACCTCGATCATCCCAATCATCCGCATAGGTAAAGTACTGCGGATATGCAGCGATATGGATCACATCAGCATTTCTACAGCTCACTCATTGGGGCTGTGAATCCTCTGTATTTGGGAAAACATTAACCAGTGATACTATCCAATTTGACCTATCTCAAACACTGCTTTGGCGTGTTGATGCCTTGGACTGGATAATCTCCGTCACATAGTGGCATGGATGGTGACCCTCTCATTGGATGAATCACAGCTCTGCGGAAAAGAGGCTGGTTGGGTAGAGCCTGGGAGAAGTACTATACGGCATCAGGCATTCAAGAAGAAACAAGGACACAAAGGGTCGAACAACCTTGGATTAACCGTGAATACGACGATAATGTCAGGCAAAACCACAATGTGGAACCGTCTGCAGCCCGAATCCATCCTGTCGAGGGTCAGAGCACACGGGGATTTTGGTCTGAGCTTTTGTGAACCATGAATTTTTTAGATGATGCTATTTTGATCTTTCACAGCCCTGTCCAGGCTTATGCAATGGTGTTCTGGAACTTCTTCCTGGCTGTTCGCTTCTGGTTGTTTCTATTGGCGATGGATATAGCACAGCGTCTGATGAAACTTACCCCACATCTGGCAATCAACGTATAATGGATCGTTGTATACCCAAGTATATGTATGCCTGACTCGGTCCAGCTGTTCCTCTAATGCATCATCCTACTGTAGGATGTTCTTGCTAAGTCACTAGATCTATTTGCATTTTAGTGATAATGCAGGTGTTGGGGGATGGAACACCAACGGAGCCTGAATCTACAGGCAGTCTCATAATGCTGATGTGAAGCAACCAATAGTAAGGCCGAAACCAGGTATACTTAGGTAGAGCCCTCAAGCTCAGAGTCATAATAATATCCAGATACTCAAAAGCCTCAGTTATCAGGCCAGGTGAGCGTTGCCTCTGTTATATCGCCAAGGGAGTCGGGTCATATCAGTTACAAAGTCAACCGAGACTGGCTTATTAATGTCAAGGATGATAACTATCGAATGACTTGAATAAGTTTTGTTTGTTGTTCATTTGTTGGCAAGTACATGTAAACCTTCTACACTTTGCCTTGGGTTGATGATAGTCTGATATGATATTAGGCACAAATGCGTCGAAGCCCTCCGTCAAAGCCTCTCTTGCCGTGGCATCCGCATCATTCCCTAAATTGCTGACGTGTGGATTTCCAAACTGTCTTGCCAGACAGTCCATTCCCCCGTAGACCAAGCATGAACACCAAAAGGGTATTTATCGTTCATTATTCATCGGGACAAACAAAAGCAATGATCGTGAAATGTCGAAAAAAGACTTCTAGTATGTCCGGTTTGTTTTCCAGGTCCTGGTAACGCCGATATCGTCCTCCGTCTATATCCTATACCCATGGGAGAACCGATGTATCTGGAACACCGCAGTCACGATGAGACCCCGTCTATGGCTGCACGACCTGGATGTTGTTCTTTTTCTGCAAGGCAAGCTCATATCAGCATTGAAACGTAACATGGATGGCGGCATGATAAGGGCGATAAGGGTCAACGCACCTTCCAGCTGTCCAGCTCACCCTGCTTGGACTTGTACTGCTTCAGCATTTCCTCCAACACCTGCTTCAATCCATCCGAGTTTGTCTTAAGCGAAGGTAGGACATCTTGAACCGTGCGCTCGACCAGCACTCCATTCACCATGCGAAAACACTTTCGTTCTTTGGGGAGGGGGTCGAGTGTCTCAATGACAAGCCTAGCAGACAAATGCGTTAGTAAGAGGGCTCTTGCATTGAAGCCGAATGAGCAGATAAAACAAATACAACACTCACTTGTGCTCTTCGGCTTCTTGCTCAAGGTCGCCAATCTTTTGCGCCAATTGTTGCAGCGTGTTTTTGAAGTTTGTGTATTGGAGCTGGAGCTCTGTTCAAGAAAGTCAATCCACCGTTAGCCTTCTATCTTCTTCGAAGATCGACATAAACCGGGGTCAGAAATGAATATGCGTACCCTGCTGCTTCTTCGGGTTGATTTGAGGTTGGCTAGACATGGTGATGTATCGAAATGCTGATACTGCGCAGGACAAAGCTGGAGTTGGAATGCGGGGCGCTTCGCTTGATATCAGAAATGATGATGGCTCCGTCGGAGTGACTGGCGGAGTCGTGCCAAGAGTATCGAAATGTCTTTTAATTGAACAACCACGCGATATTTCGCTAGTAAAAGAGTTGAATATAGGGGTAGAAAACTTTACAAGTTTCTAAAATGAAATAAAACATTTATTGTACTGTGAAATCCCAATTCCCAAGGTGCGGGGCGGGATTGGTAGCATCTACATGCATATTGAGTCCATTTCATACCCAAATAAAAACCTAAAAAGAAAATTGAATAAGATAAAAATCTCAAGAAACTAAGTAGGTATTCATATTAAATATCCGAATGTGTTTTGAATATTTCGTAGCCTTTTTTGACTTCATCCAAGTCAATATACAAGCACGTGATTGTGTACTGTTTGTTCTGTTTGTCTTGTTTGCACTCGAGGTGGACGACTGTCGGACTGCCTTCGATATTTCCAGGAAGCACTGCAGACAGTCGGTGGCCATTTTTGCCGCCTCAAAACCTCTGTTATTTGTCTCTAATCATATTCTTATCGACCCTCTTACGGTCGATAATTCCAATTCGTCATGGCTCCCGACGAGATGCCCCCAGCCAAACGGCAAAAATCCAACCTTCCGCCACAACTCCGCGACGCGAAGCGCAAGGACATCGATAACTGGGAAACAAATCGAATGCTCACGTCCGGCGTTGCGCAGAGAAGAGATTTCGATGGCGATTTTATGCCCGAAGACGAAGAAGGAACTCGTGTACACTTACTAGTTCATGATTTGCGCCCGCCCTTTCTTGATGGCCGTACGATTTTCACCAAGCAGCTTGAACCCATCTCCGCCGTGCGCGATCCGCAGAGTGATTTGGCTGTGTTCAGTCGAAAAGGAAGCAAGGTTGTTCGGGAACGACGTCAGCAGCGAGAACGACAGAAACAAGCACAGGATGCGACGACAGTGGCGGGTACGGCACTGGGAAACCTGATGGGGGTTAAGGAAGATGAGGGTGATAGTGCAGTCGCTATGCCTGTTGAAGATGCGTACAAGGGTGGGAATAAGTTTGCGCAGCATATGAAGAAGGGCGAAAGTGGTCAAAGTTCATTCAGCAAAAGCAAGACACTCCGCGAACAAAGAGAATTCCTGCCCGCCTTCGCAGTGAGGGAGGATTTACTACGGGTCATCCGAGATAATCAAGTTATCGTTGTGGTTGGCGAGACGGGCTCCGGAAAAACAACACAATTGACACAATTCCTGCACGAGGATGGCTATTCAAAATTCGGTTTGATCGGTTGCACCCAGCCTCGTCGAGTGGCTGCTATGAGTGTTGCAAAGCGTGTGAGTGAGGAAATGGAAGTTGACCTCGGTAGCGAAGTTGGATATGCAATTCGTTTCGAAGATTGTACCAGCGATCAAACAGTTATCAAATACATGACCGACGGTGTTCTTCTACGAGAATCTTTGGTTCAGCCAGACCTTGACAAATACTCTTGCATCATTATGGACGAAGCTCACGAAAGAGCTCTCAACACGGATGTCCTAATGGGTCTTTTGAAGAAGGTCCTGGCACGACGAAGGGACTTGAAATTGATTGTCACATCGGCTACAATGAATGCAGAGCGCTTTTCGCGGTTCTACGGTGGGGCTCCGGAATTCATCATCCCTGGAAGAACATTCCCGGTAGATGTCCACTTCTCGCGAACACCATGCGAGGATTATGTCGACAGTGCAGTCAAGCAGATTTTGGCTATCCATGTGTCGCAAGGTCCTGGTGATATTCTGGTGTTCATGACGGGCCAGGAAGATATTGAAGCAACATGTGAACTCGTTGATGAACGACTAAAGATGTTGAATGATCCGCCCAAGCTAAGCATATTGCCCATATACAGTCAAATGCCCGCAGAGCAACAGGCGAAGATCTTCGAGAAAGCTGCTGCTGGAGTCCGCAAAGTCATCGTTGCGACTAACATTGCCGAAACAAGTTTGACTGTCGATGGTATTATGTATGTTGTGGACGCTGGATATTCTAAGTTGAAGGTATACAATCCCCGGATGGGCATGGACACACTTCAAATTACACCTATATCGCAAGCCAATGCCAACCAGCGTTCTGGACGAGCAGGCCGGACAGGGCCTGGAAAAGCCTACCGTCTTTTTACGGAAATGGCATACAAGAACGAACTTTATATACAAACAATTCCGGAAATCCAGCGAACCAGTCTTTCCAACACGGTTCTTCTCTTGAAATCTCTTGGAGTGAAAGATCTCTTGGATTTCGATTTCATGGACCCACCCCCACAGGAAACTATCACAACTTCCCTTTTCGAACTGTGGTCGCTTGGTGCATTGGACAATCTTGGCGACCTCACACCACTAGGACGGTCCATGACCCCGTTTCCCATGGACCCGCCTCTTGCTAAACTCCTGATCACCGCATCGGAGGAGTATGGGTGTAGTGAGGAGATGCTGACCATCGTTTCCATGCTGTCTGTACCCAGTGTATTCTACCGACCTAAGGAACGTCAAGAGGAATCCGACGCAGCGCGCGAAAAGTTCTTCGTTCCGGAGTCTGATCATCTGACCTTGCTTCATGTGTACACACAGTGGAAATCCAATGGCTTTTCGGACTCATGGTGCAACAAGCACTTCCTCCACTCTAAATCCCTGCGAAAGGCTAAGGAGGTTCGCGACCAACTTAACGACATCATGACGGCACAGAAAATGAACCTGACAAGCTGCGGCACGGATTGGGATGTGATTCGCAAGTGTATCTGCTCTGGGTTCTATCACCAAGCTGCCCGGGTGAAGGGTATCGGAGAGTTCCTCAACCTCCGGACTAGTGTCAGCATGCACCTCCATCCTACCAGTGCGCTGTTTGGTCTGGGATATGTGCCTGAGTATGTGGTCTACCACGAGTTGATTCTCACCAGCAAAGAATACATGTCTACAGTGACAGCCGTCGACCCACATGTAAGTTTCCTCTGATAACAATGCATGGAACGCTGACTAACTCCCCCCAGTGGCTCGCGGAACTTGGTGGTGTCTTCTACTCGGTCAAAGAAAAGGGTTACTCCCGTCGCGAACGCCGGGTGACGGAACAAGAATTCAACCGTCGCATGGAGATTGAAACCCAAATAGCTACAGACCGCGAACGGGCCGTCGCGGAGAAGCAACGCGAACAGGAACGCAACGATCCTTCGAGACGGAAGAGAGAAGTCGAAGTCGGCTCTGTCGTGCGACGTCCCGCTGCCGCTGCAAGAAGGATCGGTGGGGTTACGGTGTCATCGTCCTCCCGAAATGGTACCAGCGGGCCACCTGGTGGTGCTAGCTCTGGGGGTAGTGCGGTTAGGAGACCGCAGGTGAAGAGAAGAGGGGGTGGACGGGCATTTTAGTTATCTGTACAGTGCATCAATATAATATACCCTGGCTTTAGCGTTGAGTATTTGCAGAACGAATGTGATTATATAGGGACATGATAGAGACTTGGCAGTTGTATTACTTCGTTGGATTGGAAATTCCAGAACATGTTCTATAGATTGAACGGCGAGAAGCAAACGTATGGGCTTTTAAAATACAGTCAAATGCAGAAGACCCGCTACACGCTCGTCATAGCAGATAAATAGATAGCAGGGGAGGAGCAAATAGTTCCGAGCTCAACGGTCAATGTCGAAAATGTAGAAAGAGACTGGTCTCCCACTACACATGCATGGTGTTAAGAATTCCCCGGGAATTCTCCTTATCTTTTTTTTCCCATGACCACGGGCTCAGTTGATAAAGTTGATGCAGAAGAAGTGTAGAATGAGACTTCCAAAGACGTAATCCGCGAATGCCCTGTGGATAATCAATCAGCATCGAGTCGTTCTGCTATACGCATGGAATAAGATGAACCCACCTCTCATGAGAAACCGAAGCACCATCTTCATTATCCCCGCCGGCAAATCTTGCATTCTTTCCCTTAGAGCTAGGCTTTGATTCCTTCTCGTTGCTACTCGTTTGCATCCGTAAACTGGCCGTAAGAACGAACTGACCGACAGCGGCACAGAAGCCACTCAGGAAGGCGTTAAAGGGCTATCCAAATAATTCAATTAGCAATCTACCCCCCAGTAATGTATTATTCCGGCAAATGGTCACTCACATAGTTCCCCGCCAGCACACAGTATAAGAACTGCACGCCTCCGATCAGCACCAAGAAGGCCATGAACGCGTCCAGCAGCATAGTCCGCTGCGGCGTTGTACTGGTATACTGCTGCCAGACATGATGGGCGATCTCGACGGGGGAGGAGTTGGCCTTGAGAGTCGCGGGGCCGGAGGAGAGGGAGGATGCGCCTGTGGCTGCGTGTCGTTTCTGCTGAGGCATTGTTTGGATTGGTTTGGGTGTAGTCGGTCGGTCAATAGGGGCGAGAGGAATAACTAGTATGCGAGTTAGGTCGCGACCGATTGACGGAGGTAATTGGGATGACGATAGTCGAGATTGACGGAGTGAAGGTGAAGAGTTGGCGATGGAGCGTTGGTGGTTGTCTGGAGAATCGGAGTACGTATGCGGATCTGGCTAGGTGGTCTCAGTCTTGGCGTGGTGCAGTATGCACGACACGACTACATTCACATTCATATAATAATTCAGAGGCTGTTATTGCTTTTTATTATCCTATTCTCTATTGCGTCTCTCTTCTTCCCTATTGCATAAAAATATGGTCGAGCACGAGTTGGAGTGTTGATATCGTCAGAGGTCACATGCACGCTAAGCCTATTTGGATATCGTCCTGGATGTTGTTTTGTCTCTGACAACATTGCAACGTCGACATCTTTAGATTCAGCAGAATGCCTCATCAGCCCTGCTCAATGCTTATCTCTATTGAGCCAGGAATCAAGGATCGTTGGTTTCTTCCCCTGTGGAGGTCCTAATATAGAAGGAATCGATGTGTAGGTAAGCTTCTGGACGATCTTGTTGGAAAACAACTAACAGGTATATTTGGTAGGAATTCCCACTGTTCCTGGTAACTATGGAGTAGGCTTTTTATACCCTTCTGGCTTTTTTCAGGGCCCAAGAACAGGGCGTCATACTCTGTCCGATTCTGCCTAACCAGAATGCGGAGAAACAGCTTCCTTGGTCTGTTGGCAAAACAATTGAGCCTCGAGGCTAAGACTTAGTATAGGCCGATTCTATTCGATTGACAGTGAAACTTAACTTTTGACAAGTCACCTTCGTATTCAGTGCTTGGCGGATGTCTTAGTTGCTCTTGTCTATACTAGGCACCTGCTAGGTCACTCATTGAGATGGGCCCTCTCAAGCAAACAATGCTCTCTTCGTGCAACGTTGACTCGCGCCGAGCCCTATACGAGAGATCTGCAGCCTCGAGCAGAAATTTCGACTTCCTATCCGTCAATAATTCCAAGGAAAGTTTGGCCAGTTCGTATTCATGTGAAATGGCGAGGATCGTCGATCAAATCAGGTTGAGATCCCCACTTAATAGTTACCTTTGACGACTTTTGCACATACCATCGGAGAAAGACCCTTAGAGCCTCCAACCTAGCGTCTCAATGATATATGCCCGGATCTGGAGATATAGACATATATATAGACTCTTTGAACCCCTCTGCTGACTTGCCTTCTGTACTTCGAACTCAACCTTCTGCTGATACCAGAGCTTCCATTCTCAAACAAGACCCTCAACCCTCCTGTTTCACATCACAAAAATGCAGTTTCGCTGCCTGCTCCTCGCCTTTGCGGCTCAGTGCGCTCTCTCCTACGCTGCCACGGAAACTTTTATCCTCCCCGACGGCAGCACCGCCGAACTTGACCCAAGCACCCTGAGCAAAGCCTTCAGCCCTGACGACAATGGTCTATCCACACGCGGGCTCAGAGGTGGGCCCGTGAGTCCCAAGAAGCTCTTTGCGCGTGACTGCTTCGACCCAAATTACCCAGTTGTCTGCCAGGGTGGAAACTTGTGTTGTCAACCTGATGATTTCTGCTGTGAGGGCCGCAGCTGCGTCGACCCCGATTACCACAACTGCTGCAAATATGGATACTATTGCAACAAGCCCGATGTTTGTATGTTGAACCAGTCTGGAGGGGTTTATTGCCAGGCTCCATGAGGTTACTGGGCTTGATAGGGTTACTATGTTTTCCCGGATAAATGCTTTAACGCCGCTTTGAGCCTACAATCACAGTCAATCGATTGATTGGATTAAAAAATTATATACCTTCTCGCATGTTATTGAATTCATAATGCATATGTTCCAAAATATAATCTGTATCATCATAATTATTTACCACATCGAAGATATGTCCTCATCTGATCAAGAAGACTCGGCATGCTACTTCTCCGTCACCTTCACGCCCGTCTTCTCAGCCATCTCACTCGGACTCAGATACAACCCCTGGGCCTCCCACCCTTTTCGTCCCAGTTTATACAACTCCTTTTGCTCCTCTCTACTTGGAGGTGTTTCCTTCAGCCCCCTCCGTGCCCTTGATTCACCCGTCTCAACGAGAGTCGCATTTCTACCCCCAAAATCCGTTCCCGCTAGATCATCATATACGTCATCTGTGAAGACGTAGCTTCGATACTCAGTGTTTGTCCAGCCGGTACCTATCCCGTCAATTGCTTTATTCAAAAGGTAGATGGTCAGGTGATAAGGTGAGTATATACCTGTTCCCTTGCATGCATCCTCCCAATCTTCCGTTAAGTAATGCAACAAGCCACCATGCGTAACAAGGACGATTTCCTTCTCTGGCCGATCCTTCAACCAACATCGAACATCACGACATCGTGCACTTATCGTCTCTGTCGTCGGCTCATACCGACCAGTCTATCATCATCACCATCAGCATCAACATCTACCCAATCCACCCCAACCAAAACAAATCAATAGATAGATAGATAAACAAACCTACCTTCTTCTCCCACCCCTCCCCCAAAAGCCCCATATCAACCGGAACCCCATTCTCCCTCATCTCCTCTCCCAAAACACCCACCTCACTTCCAATATCGCACGAAAACCCACTATACTCCTGTAAATCCGGCAGCAGAAGCAACTTCCGGTCTGGGTTTGCGTCGAAAGCAGGACGGAATGCATGCATTGCAGTGTAGATTGTTCTCCGGAGTGGTGATGCTGCGATTAATTCTACATTGGCGTGGTGGGGGAAGATGGATTGTAGGTGGTGGCTTTGTTCTTTGCCTTTGAGTGTGAGGGTGGGATCGATTATGCCCCAGTGGGAGGGGCCGAGGTTGTTGACGCCCTAGATATATATTTCTCTTGTTAGTATATCAATTGATCGATGAATGCGCATTAATTGGCTGGTTAATTGATTAGATATAAAAGAAAGAGTGGATACCTGAGCATGGCGAACGAAATGAACAATTGGAGCCATAATTCTGGTTTTGGGGATTGCCATTATTTGATGTTTCAATGAAAAAAAAAAAAAAAAAGGGAAGAAAAGAAAAAGAATGTGTCAACGTCATCTTAAGTTTTGATAACAGATGCGATAAAATTCCCAGGATCCACAACCAGTTTCTGTCTTGGGGTTAGTGTTGCTGTCCTGCATTAGCTTTCTTTGGTGGACCATGGTTTGTGTAAAGTCTATCCGTTACGGTTGTATTACAATACGTAAATACGTACACTACGAGTTGAGAGAAGTGAGTGACTGCAATTGTAATGTTGATTTATTTATATATCAGATTTCATATATCTGAGTACATGGGTCTATTTGCAGATTCAATATCATCAGCTCTGTAGCATTCTGTAGCAGAGCATGTTCAATATAGTACATGGGTTATCGCCGAATCAAAAGGGTATTGGCAACAACTTTTGGTTATTGGTATCATGAGGGGAGTTCGTCGAGTGGAGAGATCATAAAGCATGCTCATCGTCATACAAGAGTCCTGGTAGTCATAAAGGTTTGACTCAGGCCTCAGGGTAAAGGACCGGTTATACAAACCAGTCGGAAACATTGCCCATCGGGTGTGTCGCTTGAGTCTGCTGGACATCCATTTGGAAATCCCGCATTACCTGATCCCACTCTTCCCAGTTGAGCTGCGTGTCAGGTAGACATTCTGCACTGCTTCCTGGGAGGGTCGATACATCTGGTATGGCAAGTGGTGGGTTCATTATGGATGCGGATGTGGGCGGTTGTTGGATGGGATTCGATCCATTAGGATCAGCTAGAAAGTTGGTATCGGGGAAAATATCACGGAGCATATTGATTGAGCCTTTATTCAGGTCGATCTCTTCAAATCCAGTATCTGGTGCAGAGTCGAATGTCTCATTCGGTTGAGTAGATGGCGGCTCGGGAACTGTGGGCATGTGGATGCAAGGAAGAGATTGAAACTCAACAGGTGTCTGCATTCTGGCTTGGGTCGTGCTGGGCTGAAATTGTGCTGAATTCGGGCCGAATTGCGCCTGCATCTCCGCCATTTGTTTAGCTCGGAATGCAGACGCTCGTTTCATCAGTTGGGAAAGTGGTCGCCAGAGCATTCCCTTTCTGTGCTTCACATGGTTTTCCCATTCATCGTACACCAGACTCATTGCCATCCACGCACGATCGGTAAGAGGACACACAGGGCGCACGCAGAGCTCCGATAGAACAAACGCCACCGCGTGCCATTGTATATTAGTCCGGAACTGCCAGCCCCATTTGGAGGTCAGCTCATTCGCCTCCAGCAAGCGGCCAAATTCAATCACTTCAATCGAGTTCATGAACAAGGTTTCCCGAGACAAAGAGGATAGGTTGATCCCACGATCCTGTCGGGTCATCGGATGGTGTACCACCAGCCACAGCTTGGCCAGAATTAGACGGGCCACTGTTGCACAGACCCAATAGATGGGAACAGTGACATCGCAGTGTTTGATGTACCGGTCCTCGATGCGACGATTGATGACGTGAATCATTCGTGTGGATTCTTCGATCGAAGGCTGCCCATTGCCAAAGCGGAATCGACCACTGGGACATATATAGCTTACACGCCGGACAAAGACGGTGATTTCGCAGCGGACCAAGGTAAAAGTCATATCTGTACAGCCCTCTCGCTCGGTCGGAGCTTCTTTCATATCAGGCCATATATCTTCATCGTTGACGTTCAACGGAAGTCGAGTGTCGTACAGCCGTTCATGGATCTGGGCATCAGTCCCATGATCCTCGGACGAGCGAATATCCAATAAGCAAATATGCCACCACAGCCGTCGACGCATCTCCGTTTCGAATGGTTTCAAATCAAAATTAGTACCATCCCGATGTAGACCAATTCCTTGTGCAAGGCGAAGGACAATGGCGGACATGGACCAGACAAATTTGCTGTCATCCTCTCGGCGCACCCCGATCAAGAACAACACGGCCGCTTGCAGCAGCATCAAGCTTTGGGTATTGAGGAAATTTGCTTTGGACAGTGCCTGCTCCACGGCAAACCGATAACGACTGACGGCCGTGTCACGCTCTTCGCCCAGTTGCGACAGGCACTGCTGCGGCGACATACTCACCACAGTGACCAGGCACATAGCGAACACCAAAGCCTCTGAGTTTTTATCCAACAGCTCAGGCCGTTTCGCTGTCTCCAGAAACAGCTTCTTAGCTGTGGGTTTATGCAGAATACTGATCAAAGGCGCTACATTTTCCGAATAGTTCTCCCACAACAAGGGTATCTTATCAGGAGAAGGGTGAAAGCCGCGAAGGGAATGCGAAAGCGAGTAGAAACCGAGCAAAAATCCATCGTGGCTGGCCGAATACGTCGAGGCAGACTCGGGGGAGGGATAGTCGTCATCCTCAGACGAGGTGGGGTCCAAAATATCCTGCAATTCTTCGATCTTGGCGGGGGTCAGTTTCATGAAACCGGCTGTTTACTATATTTTCAAAAGAGATACGTACCTCATCACCAAGACTGGCCCAGAATCGATTGCTCACGTAACGACTGCGACCTTCATCGATAACCAGCCGTCCAAACTCGTGTGCAATATTCTGCGGCTTGATATCCTTGGGGTCATTCTCCAGCATGAACGGGCAGACATCTTTCGGCTGAGGCTGTTCATGAGACCCCGCATCATCATTCCGTTCGACAGGGGAAGGCGTCGCCTGGGGTTGAGGAGTTTGAGGCTGAGGATTCTGGGAGCCCTCTGATCGATTCCCGCTAATCTGCTCGATGACGCCCTCGAGACGTCTCAGCCGGGACAACAACTCTGCATCCTGGGGCCGTTTCGACTTGCGACGCGCTCTACCGGGGGCGGGAAAGACGCATTCTATGCCTGCCTTGATGCAGTTGGAACACGGGGAGCGTTTATTGCAGCGGACCTTTCTGCGACGGCATGTGACACAACTGCGCGAATTGAGGGACTCTTGCGGGGAAGAAAGGGCGGTGGAGCTGGAGTTGGCGTTGGAGGGAGGAAGTTGGTGATTATTCATGGCGGACACGACGAATACCACATTCTTGATAATTAGGAGGAGAAGGAGAAGGAGAAAAAGAGGGAATTAAAAGGAAGAAACAAACAGACAAAGAACAGCTTTGTTTTACTTTTTTTGATCCTTTGAATTTGGAGAAGTCATCGACTCATAGTGGGGGAAACGGGGGCATGTGATTGGCGGCGTGATGACTCAGGCACACATATTTATAAGCAGATCGATAAGGAAATCGCCCATAATACGAGGTGTAGTATTAATAGTAATAAATAGATGAAGTGAGAGACGAGAATAAGTCATCAGTAAAACAGGGAAATAAGAGTTTATCAGATTAATAGTGATGATGCTGTCATAGTATCCTGAATGGCAATGACATCGTATGCATGTCTGTATGCTGTCATATCAGATGAAACATATCTTGGCCCCATTTCTATATTCAGACTCACTAGGATATCTGCTGTTAATATCAATTCAATACCTTTCATAATAAGATGATAATAATTATGATCATAATAATAACACCAATGCTTGACTCTATAATAGGCATCAATTGCTGACAAGTCCTTTGCAGGGATTCTTAGCTGGAGGGCGTAAGACCTATCCAAAATGGGAATTACTGTGTATTATCCATGATTGGCATTACAATACAGCAAGTACCTACCTACCTAGGTTACCTCTCTCTCTCTCTCTCTCTCTCTCTCCCTAATAGAGTAGAATATACGAGAAGTCCATATAAAATAACTTTAATATTGACTCTTGAGGACGGTTTACTGTAAGACAATCTAACTGCTCGGCGTTATTGGATCCACTCCTCTGATTGGCTGTTTACCTGCAGATGGATATCATGCCGCGGCAAAGAAACGGCCCCAATTCCCCATCGCCGATTGGCCAGGTTTGGGTGATTATGAAGATTTTCATGTTTCTGTCATCATCAGAAGAGTCGAATTGAAAAGGAGAAGTGATATTCACTAGACGGTTTATCTGAAGTAATGTGTCTGCATATAGACTTTGTAGATCTCGAATGTCATTGTCGACTAAGATAGTCTCTAGCCTCTCACATGACGACTAGCAACTCCGCCAAGTCGTGCTTCTTTCTCTCCATCGCCCTGCCAATTCGTAGCCATCGCCAGTCTCGAATGGCCTTTCTACCGCCTTGAGAGATGGGGCCTTCCTTTCTCCTTCTCTATTTCCTGTGACTTCCTGTATACCCCGTACGTTTTTGGTCGGTTTCTCTCGTTGACCGTCTTCTATCTACGGTGGCCTTGAGGAATGTCCGCCCCACCAACGTCAACCCCAGCCGATGGCGCTGGTTTTCAGCAATCATCGCTGCCGGCACAACCTCCCTCTCAACAATTGAATCGCTCGTGTGAATCATGTAGGGGTCTCAAAGTCCGTTGTTTGCCCGATCCCGCGGCTCCTCATCAATGCCAGCGTTGCGCAAAGGCCCGGAGACCATGTGTCTTCGTGGCTCCCCAGAGACGCCGTCCGCGCAAAAGAACCGATTCTCGCGTCGCCCAGTTAGAGAAAGAAATGCGCGTGATGCGCTCTCTACTTAAGGACCGATTACGTCCCGATGCGAGCAGTCCAGAGAGTTCCAAGAGTGAGCGTGAGGATTCACAGGATCTCGACGCTGGCATGGAACCCGTCGAGAACCCACTTTCTATCCCGGAAGCCCCTAGCAGTACAGTATCAAGCTCGGCCAGGCATATCGATACTTCTCCTGGCATTCCAGCGTCCGGTCCCAACCTCGACAGAGCTGGCTCTCTCCCAGATCCATCTTATTTCTCTCCTGGGCCTTCTACCATGTCACGGACCGACGATGTGATCGACCAGGGTCTCATTGGTATGGAGTTTGCTGATGAATTGGTCGAAATCTTCATTCATGATCTCGCACCATTTTTTCCGGTGGTCGTGCTCCACCCCAGAACCACTGCTGTGAATCTGCGTCGCTCCAGACCAGTGCTCTTTCTGTCGATCATCGCTGCAGCTGCCATCGCCGTGGATTCCGCCGTCGCGGCTGAACTCAATCGCGAAATGGTTCGACTATATGCAGACCGATTCTTTGTGCAAGGTGACAAGTCCCTGGAGCTAACGCAGGCCTTGCTCATCATGATCATCTTTTACTACCCACCCGATTCACCCCTAAAGCTTCAAGTCTACCAGTACACCCATATAGCTGCCACCATGGCCTTGGAAATAGGTCTGGCTTCGAAGCGAAAGGTATCCAAGAAACCCACGGGCAATGATGATGATAATGGTCCTTTTGATGAACACATGGCGGAACAAGCGAGGGCGATTCTGGGTTGCTATCACCTGGCCTCTGTGTAAGATACCACATACTGTAAGAGGAAGAAAGCCTACTGACTCGTGGTAGGGTTGCCATTAAAACGCGTCGACCGAACATGCTCATGTTCAACGACTGGATGAGGGAATGTGTCAAGCATCTGGAACGCTCGCCCATCCCGGTAGATAGGCATATGGCCGCTTGGTTCGAACTCCAGAAAATCACCGACGAAGCCATGGCTTCTTTCGGACTGGACGATACAAGCTCTACTGCACCATTGACAGAATCCCGCGTACAGGCTGTGTTGAGATGGTTTGATAATCGCATGCAGTCGTGGAAGAACAACATTCCAACGGAAATGTTTAATGGTACTTCTTCCCCTTGTCAGAGAAAATCTGAAAACATGACTGACACTATTCTAAGTGCCATTGACTCTCGACTACCACCATACTAACCTCTCTATATATGAACTCGCCGTTGGAGAAGGGTATCGCGATCCTGATGCAATCACGAAGCAACATTATACCCTACCCTCTCTCGAAGAGGATAGCAACGACCAACCCCCCGACAGTCCGCTGAGTGCCATTCGGGTAGATATCACGATGAAATGGCTGAATGCAGCTCATGAGATGCTCGATTTTTTCCTCAGCTGCGACACGGACACTATGCGAAAGATGTCAAACCTCATATATACGCGAGTAGGTGTAGCATTTATGTCGCTCCTCAAGATATACTTTTCGGTTCGAACCGGATTGATGGGAGATTTCATAATGCCCCAAGATGTCAACGTCGAAGTATATCTGGATGGATTGACCAGGCGACTTAGGGAGGCCGGCGATGGCCTAAAGTACCGAATCCCCAGTAGGTGGTATTATGTATTCGCTGTCAAAGGGCGAAATTGGTACGAAAAGTTCGAGAAGCGACAATCAGAAAAAGAAGCTGGTATGGTTCCTCCAATGGAGTCCAGTTCATCGACGACTCAAAGCTCCACACCTGGGCCATTCCAGCCGCAGTTTGGGTCAGTTGACCAGTCTCAGATGGGATCATATAATATGGGCCTTGGAATCTCTCAGACTCCTGCTTTCAGCCACATGGGATCGAGTTATAGTGTTCCGACAGGCATGAACACGCAGTGGTCATCGGACCAAGGGAACCATCTTCTCGGTTTGAATCAGTTCGCAGGGTATACGCCATCGCCAACTGTACCATCTCATTTTGTATATGAAGCACCTCAGAAGTATCCGGATGAACGCCAGCCTGGTAATTTCTATCCTGCGGGAACAGGGTTAGAACTTGACGGATGGTTGCCAGAGGGGGGTCTATACGGAGCACCCAGATTGCCGGAGTTTTGACGTCGAGGAGCTAGATTTTCACAATTTAGGGGACTGTTTTAGGGATGTCAGAGGAGATGTAAATACATACAGTATATATCTTTGCTGTACCGCCATGACAACTGCCTGGCAGTTGATAAGACTGGATGGATGCATAGAGAGCTCCGCGAGTCAAATACCCATGCTGTCTTCCCGTAGTCCTGCAATGATAGTTAAGTAGCCCCAGCGAACACCAAGGATTAGAACAGAATGAGAAATAGATCAAAACAAGAGCCCCCTAATAAAAGAGCAAGCGAGGGAGTCCCATAATAATAAAAAGGATACTCGCGTTCAGATCGTTACCTCGGAGCGTCGGTAGACACGGAACCTCCGATACGAGTACGGGTCTCTTCCCGAAATTGAAAGAAAATGGAGTTGATTCTTGGCTTGTATTGCAATATCGCCTATCAGATTAAACCATGGAAAGATCTTGCTCGTCTGGTATCACGGAGGAGCTCTGTGTGAGGTGTGCATGGTCTTGGGAGACCAAGCTGACATAGGTAGCGGAATAATGCCCGGAATAGTCGATCTGGAACAAAAAGAGAAGGAGCACTGCTTCAGGTGGGTCGAGGCTTTTCCCAATGCATTTCACACCTTACTTAGAAGCGAGTCAACTGGAAATCACCTCACAACTGATTGTGGAGGGAAGGGAGGGAACGTATACGGGGTAGAAGCGTCAAAGCAAATAACGATAGCCACTAGGGGACGTGAAATTAAAGCTAATCTGTTTAGCTGGCTCATGATGTCAAAATCCTCGTACCCAAATATGAATCAAGGCCGGCTGGCCCAATGGCAAGGCGTTTGACTACGAATCAAAAGATTGCAGGTTCGATCCCTGCGTCGGTCAATATCTTTTTGGATTTTTTTTTCCTACTCTCTATCATTCGCCGTCTCGTTCTTAAGCCCCGTTTTGATTTTTGCTAGTGGACCGCGCTCGTTTAGATATGATGACGTCATGATAGAGATGGAGTCACGTGGTTGTATTCAAGCCCTAGCGAAACGATTCGGCATCAACATATCAATCAACCCTTTGCAATCAATTAATGCCTTTAAGAGACACTTGGATTTTTGCCATGCTTTTATTCAGCTATGATTGTAGAGTCCAAAAGTATGCCGGTTGGCAAGGCTTCGGATGCCGCGGTCCCAGGAAACACTGGCAAATATTCAAGTAGATACTACCGGGTTTGGAGTCACTGTGAGAACCACACTGTCTCTTATGATTTCAATACCATTGTTCTCTACAGGAGTGTAGTTCTTTATGCTCGTATTACATTCCAAAGTTGCATTGAAAACTGGAAGTCCATCATTGAAAAAACCACGACAAGCGTCACTACTCATTGGCGAGAATGATCAACCAATCAAAATAATGGAAACACAAAAAATCTATCTGACCGACGCAGGGATCGAACCTGCAATCTTTTGATTCGTAGTCAAACGCCTTGCCATTGGGCCAGCCGGCCTGTGATTGGTTATATCTCTTGAGGATAAGACACTATCACTAAGGGCCAGGCATAAGGCAAACTGGAAACTTCCGTGTCCGCCAAATCATCGGCTATAGCACCAATGCAGAGCTATACAAATTTTCGCGCTAGAATCAGCACATATTGATGGTGTCAGCTACATCAAATGTTGATTAGTCACCTGGCCGGCTGGCCCAATGGCAAGGCGTCTGACTTCGAATCAGAAGATTGCAGGTTCGACCCCTGCGTCGGTCAAGCTTTTTGCTTTCTTTTTTGCCCTGGTAGCTGTCTGGATTGCGATTTATACGCTGAACTTCATGACGATCCAGTCAGGATGTGGGCAAAGTCTCTTGCTCTTTTTTCGTCATTGCTGAGCTCTAGGTAGCCGTTATTTTTGCGGTTTTTGTCTTTGGGTGGGGAGAAAAAGTGGCGTTCAGCTTGCTCATAACTTTTCTGTATGCTCCGAGATATATACATTACTGCGTGACACTTGTTTTTGCACCTTCCTAGCAGCTAGGCATTAGAACAAATGTCCCCGTAGGAAGTCTGATATTTATCGGTGGCCTATAGACCCGTTACCTGTCCACTGTGGTGTCGGGGCACGTGACCTACTTGCTTATAACCACACATATGATTATCCACTTTATAAATATAATACACTAGATAGGTAATCCATGAAGCTATTTAAGCTTAGTACTAAATATATTATTTTCCTATAGGTTATAAGCCTGAGGACTCTTTAAATCCTTATGGCTTTGTATACCTCCCCTTTTTATAGTTAAAAGCTTTAAAACAGAGAGATTACTAAGATTCTTAAAGAAGAGGAACCAGCTAAAGTTAACTCTCTCTCCATACTATTACTTATATTTTTATAATCATGATTCTGTACTTTAAGTCACTGAGGCTTACTAATTTATTAGATATGGTTTAAACCTATTACTATACCTACTTTTTATACATTAGTCAACTTTTGTTAGTATCATACTTATAGTTGTGATAGCGGCGATGAAAACTTTATAGAAAAAAAAAAAATACTATCCTGCAATGGCAACTTCCCTTAAAGAGAATTTCTATAGAGGTTTCCATAAGCATATTTTGCGCAGGATAACCGGATAAAGTCATTATATAGGAGAATTAATTTTGCCTTGCATAGCACTCTCTTATTGTGTTCAAGTTGTGCAGGAGAAAGCTTTAGACTCTAGGTGACCAACAGTTGGTAGGCAAAGTAAATAGGCAGAGAGAGCTTAAATAACAGCAATTTCGAGAATTGTTGGTTTACTTAGAATAGATTGATTTAGCTGTCCTTTTAAAATTAAGTGACCACTCTAGTTGAGTTATTCAGGCTACATGGTCGGGGTGTTGGGCATATGAGCGACGACCTTCTGCCCTAATAAAATAGTCTCGCCAGTGCTAGAAACAAAGGGCATTAAAAACCAGCTTTACAGCTGGCCTTGGTGGAAGTTTAGAGGCGTTTAGCAAATTAGATAGCAGGAAATGAGTGTGGGCATGAGTAAATGATCCCATGTGAGATTCTCAGCACATGCAAGACACCATTCGCTGGGCGACACACGAGGAAAAGAACCCAGCTGGTATGGCTTAGTCCATGGCCCATCCATACCTGGGCCTCATCGGTTCAACGGCCACTGTGTCTCCAGGCAGACACAGAATTTTCAGTGTACAAGGCCGAAGACGCCCAAATCGGCCGCAAGGATGGCCGAATATGGCGACTCCGGCCCCTAAAGGTAGATTCTGAATGTAGTTTTCCACACCCACTAATAGAGGTAGTTTATTAAGATTAATAGTATGACCTATTTTAATAGTGTCTTTATGATTTAACTAGACTAGAGATAATAGATAGCAGGATAAAATAACTAAGGTATCTGTTGTGACAGTTAGCGGGGCGCCGCAAGCGTCTTCTATTGAACCCTCTTCCGTTCGATGTGGGCAGATAACGTGGATTGAGCGCCATCTTCTTTTTGTATGTACGTGATTAGGTGTGATTGAATATTATTCCACCAGACACTTTATTCTTTGATTCCCTTCCGTAAGAGGGTTTCGGATTATATACCGCAGGCTACATAGCCCAAGCTGCGCAGCTGCTATAAGAAAACTTGCCCTTAGCCCTAGGGAAATCGTCGGACGAGTTGTTTCACACCGCTGCTGCGACCACCAGCAAAAGCGAGCCTGTTAATGCAAGTCACAAAGTTGAGATGGTTGGCCCCATCGACCTCACAGGCCGAGCCGCGGAATTCTCCGTTGACTTGCGGCAGAGCTCTTTGCTTCCTCTTTCGGCGCTTTTGCGCAGTCGTCAACCGTCTGTCAGCATGTCGGTTGGAATCTGAAGAAATTTCTCTTTCCCTTGATCCATCATGATCGGAAAACTGACAAAGGGCGAGATTTTGGCTTGTAGAAATGTGCGAATCCTCTGTCTCCGCAGCAACCCCACTAACGAGTTATTCGGTTTCTGAGTACTCGTTATATGTGCGTACTTCATAGTCATCCATAGGCAGAGGAAGGTGCATGCTCAGTGTATAAGCCCCTACGTAGTAAAGAATGGGTTCTGATGCCCTTGACTCTAGATATGAGCCATACTTTTGCCATGCATTAGGGGAGATCGATATGATTCGTACTATCGCGTGAAATCCCTCGACGTTGGACCGAACAGAGGGTGGCCGGTCCAAACGAACTTTGGCAAAACAGCTGATAATATCAATGAGTGAGGAACCAAGCTCGAAAACCTTTTCAAACTTGAATTTCAGTCAGCACGGGACAATTTTTGTAAACAAGGGAATTCGGGTACATACAATACCCATGCCGTGAACTTCTATGGATAAAGATGGTAAGGCACTCAAGGCTGACAACAGAGAGTGGGCGACTTGTTCTGGGTATGAAAACGTCGTCGATCGTGATCTGGAATTGCTGGAGAGTCGGCCATGGCGCAGAGCAGTTTTCCAAGCAACCAGTCGTAGCCAGTGCTGGGTGACTATTAAATCGGCTTTCTGCGTGTCGAACAAGGGCCCGATATCATCAGGAGAGAGTTCGAAATGATTTTGAAGATGCTCTAATTCGGTGGATGGTATACAAATCCCAGTATCTGACTCGTTCCAAAGAGCTATGAAACCTTCGCTAAGTTGGCTGAACGTTCTGATGAGCTGTCTGAACCCTGGGTCGACTTCATGTTGCTCCTTTATAATCACCTCCGGGGGAGATATAGTCTGGGACAACAATATCGGCTTGTGCCTCATTATTGCAAATGACCTGGGGGGTCAGAATTAGCAATGTGATGACGGTTGGAGAAGTAAACAAGGTTACTGCAACCCCAGGCATACCTCTCAGACACCAAGAGTATATAAAATGTCCGACGGTAGTAAAGGTCGGCCAAAGGATCCATGCCATGGTAAAAGCTCTCCTTATCGATCCCAACACCTTGCGCAAGGGTGATTGCTTCTCGCAGGTAAAACCAGGAGAGATGAGACTGGTTCATCTGAAAGTGGACGGATGATATAAAGAACGAAGTCAAGATTGAGAACAGAGAGCAATCTTCAATGTGGTTATAATATTGACGAGTCGCGATGCTTTCTCTTATAAGATATTGAGCAACTAGCTCCCACTTTTCAATGCCAAAGGTCGACGCGCTTTTCCCACACATATTGGTGATGGAAAAGGCGCACAGGGCATATATCAAGCTGTCTTCTTTCGCTTCCCGTGGTCTCTGGGCCAATTGGCGCAGCTGAGAGGGCTCCAGTACTGGCATGGTCGGAAACAAATGTTCTATATAGATCTCGATGCACCGTGTTATTAACAGGAGCAAGCTGACATCCGGAAACGGTGACTGAGTTTGAGGGTGGGCTCGGCGTCCATCCTCGCAGCTTCTGGTATCCCAAGACGCGGTAGAGGGCTCATTGCGCTGATGAGATATCGTACCCAGAATCCAATTCCTTATCTCGACCTGGTCACGCCCAACCTGTGACTCTATCACCCCAGTGAACCGTGTGGGTCGTGAAGGATTGCAGAAGGCAGAATTGGCCGTGTCGCTTACGGACCGTGCAGCAAAGGAGCGGTGATTACCTTCCAAGGACAGCATCTCATCATCCGGCCGACGAATTGGCAAGTAGGAAGTTGAAGGCCATGGAATTTGGTTGGCATCTTGCCGCAACCCAGAAGGCGACAGATTCTCTTGCAGCGGGGAGTCACTGCTAAACACGTCTGTGGCCTTTCTCAGTTTGGCAATGACTGATCCCTTGCCCGCTTTGGGACCAGGACGCTTCGATCCCATTTCTCGTTTGCAAATCAACATGGATGTGACGCAGCGACTGCAGGGAGTCGCACCGTTACAGCGGATCCGCCGCTGCCGGCATTGGTCACAAGTGACCCTTGTTCGCATGTTGATTTAGGAATGTCTTGATATTCGCAGGCGGAATTTGGGGAGTATCATCTCAGGTGGAATGAGGATAAAAAGACCGGCGATGGAGTAAAAGATCCTTTTCATGCAGAGTATTCCATTTTTCATACCTTTACGCCCATCCAGTTGTTGCCCATGGAACTAAAGATTTCACACTCGCTGCAGAAGCACGAGGGAGGCAAAAAAAGAAAAATAAAAAAAATAACGTTGTGCAGAACGACACACTGATTTAAAAAGTGAAGCGGGAACAGATAGATGATGATGGCAATTAAAATTAGGTTGGTCGGGGGAAATGAAAGCCATGACCCCCGTGGAGAGACGGTAAAATAATGTGGCGCTCAATCTGCCACCATCGTATTTAGTTGAATCTAACTCGTCCCACCCATCTCATGTGCAAACTCTACTTGTGGAAAATTCCAAAGCAGTTCTATGCCATTAGGGTAGTGGTGGCACAGCGAAATGTTCATACCTACCACCAACAAATGAAAATGACTGAATGGGCTGGCTGTACCGAGAAAATCTAGGGAGGGTAAAAGATGGAACTCATTTCTGCATTGCTTTAATAGCAGCGTAAAAGATCCCGTGAATAATAAGTCTCTTTTTATTTTCTATCATATCAGACACTACTTCACTCAACTTGTTCTCTGATATTATATCCCAGCTTCGCCTAATGCTTTACTCTAACCGTGACACCTCTGAATCGAAATAAATAAATCGTATTGGTAGGATAATACGAAACTCTATCAGCTGAAAGAGAGAAAGAAAAGATGGATAGCCACTAGGTGGCGATCAGTAAATACAAAATTGGTGGCAGTGGGTTTGTAAGACACACACCAAAAGAACAAAAAGAATAAATAACTCAGTATATCAACAATAGGTCTTCACACCAACTACCATTCCAAGATCCAGGAGCTTCCAGTCCAAGCAGTCGCGTTTAAGCCACTAACGATCAAGGTGCTCTTCTTCTTGTCGAACTGAACATTTCTGGGGCTGATCTTCTTGCCGTTGAACTTGACGTCGGCATGCTTCTCAACACCCCAAATCGTGACATTGCGTAGGGTGTTCTGGTCAACCCATCCACCCTGCTTGATGGCAGCCTTAAGCGTACTGTTCGAGACGGCGAAATTTATCATTAGAGTCTCGGTGGGCGCAACACTAACACCATCGTCAAGATACAGCTCACCAGTAGCCTTTCCTGCTGAAGGGGCAAAACTGATCCACCACGAACATACACTGGGATATGACCCAGAGGGGCGGTAATAGTGGTGTTCTTCTCTGAGGGCACGGGCACGGCAGTGTTGTTGAACCAGTCATACCACTTCTCAGTACCTTCAATTAAGCCAGGGAAAACACCCTTAACTGTTGACACATTGGGCTCAAGGACAGGGGTAACTAGGATAGAAGAACCTAGCATAAACTGGCGGTCCGCCGCAGCCAGAGTCGGGTCATTGGGGAACTCCCAAGCCAGGGCTCTCATAACAGTATGTCCTTGCTCATGGGCACGGTAGAACAGTGTATACATATAGTTCAGGAGCTGGTAGCGAACTGCCATCGCAGTCTTACTGGCGTCTATAACACCAGCCCAGTTATAGGCTTCCTGGGGGATGGCAGCAAGAATATTATGGTTGCGGTAGAATGGGAAGAAGGCACTTAGCTGCATCCAACGGCTGCAAAGTTCCATGTCAGTATTACCAGCAAAACCACAGGTATCAACGCCAAACATGGGAATACCAAGCAACTGCATCTGGAGTGCTTGTGGGATTGAATAAAACATGTAGGACCAGAGGGAGAAGTTATCACCACCCCAGTGGCCTGCAACAGCGCCAGAACCGGCAAATGTTGATCGGCCAATAATAAAGGGACGGGCCTTGGGGAACACAGCAGAGAGAGCCTTGTAGGTTGCCTTTAGGATACTATGACCCCAGACATTATGTAGCTCATACTCCAGAGTGCCATCAGCATGGGTAGCATTAGGGGAGATTGCGTTTCTTCCAAGTGCTCCCTGTATGTTATTGATGGTGTAGGGGGGGTAGTTGACGTCGCGAACCCCGGGAGTAGGAGTGGTGCGGAGGTATGATGTTGAGGTGGAGGCGGTTGGGTAGGCACTCATGGACGACGAAATCACCGCTGAGGCTGAGGCTGCCTCAGTGGTATTGGTGATACTGAAGCCTTCAGGATACATAACAACCTGGGCTTTGGGCTCACCAGGAAGCGCGAATGGGGGATGGACCGGTTGAAGAGTGAGATTCTTGCTTCCACAGCTACCAGTGCAGAAGGAGGAAATCTCGCTCATATCAATCCATGCTCCGTCAAAGGAAAACTGTTTATGAAATTCAACGAATTCCTCTATCCACCACTGCTCTGTGCCGGGAGCCACCCAATCCGGAAAGACAGTATATCCAGGCCACACATCACCAATATACAAGCTTCCGTCGGGGTTTTTCAAGAACGAACCCGTGGCGTTGCCGCGTTCGAACACCGCATAACTTTAAGACACGAGATGATCAGATTAAGATATTTGGGAGACAATTGAGGACTTACGCGTCATCCGGGTTACTGGGATTGGGAATATAAATGGCGGAATCGATAATTGGGACATAGTGTCGGCCACTATCATGGAGACGTTTCAGGAAGGCTGTGGCATCTGCGAGGTTGAAGTTAACTGGGTCAAGTTCAAAGTCGCGGTAGCGGTTCATGTAGTCGATATCGTTCCTATAAATCATTATTGTTAGAGCGCATGGGCTACTAGGAAAGGCATTACCTACCAGATAGTCTCAAGTGGGATTCCAAACTTTGCATGGTTGTCCACAACCTCTTGCATCTGGGTCCAGTTTTTATATCCCCAACGGCATTGATGGAAACCAAGGGTCCAGAATTGCTGCATGACAGGAAGACCAACCACATTGAGATATTGAGTAGTAACCTCAGGCTGGGAAGGACCAGAAAAGAAGTAAAGATCAATACTTCCACCAATAGATCTCCATGTGATATTGTTTGGTCGCATTAAGACATCCTGTCCGTGTGCATTGCGGAAGTACACTCCGTGGGAGTAGGAGGTATATTTTCCAGTGGGAGATGTCTCTGTCTCATTGTTGGTCACCAGAGACAGCTTTCCGTCTGCGCTCTGCTCAAAGTACCGAGTCTCCAGGTAGAAGGGGTGCGAGCCGTACAGGTTGCTGCACGGTCACTAGTTAGTGGGTCTGATCAAAGGGGAAGAAGAAAGAGGTTTGCTTACAGATCCACTGCGTCAAGAGCATCTGCTGCGTAAAAGGTCTTGGTGAAGTTATTTGGAACTCTCAGCGAGTTGATTGTCTCACCCAGACCGTAGAGGTTGTAGTTCTCGGGCAAGACACTGGAAAACTCAATAAATTGGTTCTCAAACACCAGTTTCTTACCCTCTGTCGAGAATAGAACATCCCCAGTTGATTTCCTCGTCACGTTGAACGCAAAGCTAGGGTTGTTGGTCCAGGAGAAGTCTAGATCAGACGACCCATTGGCCTGCTGCGTGGGTTTTGACACAATACTTGCCGGCAAGATGTACTGGGTCATGTTAGATTTTCCAAGATAAGTCGGCACAATCTCAACATGCAGTCGGTCGGCAGTCTGGTATTCAACAGTGAGGTTCAAGGCAGTAATGTCAGTTCCGTACACATTACATGCCGGGCCAGCCAGGGCAAGGGAGGCCGTCAGCCCGGATCCTGACTTGTGGACATCTTTGGCAATATACCCAGGGCAGACACTCTGCGCATCAACCGCCTGTGGATCTTTGATATTGGGCAACACAGCGGGAGCTTCGCCTGCAGCCTCAGGGACGGTGAATTGGGGCTGAGCGGAGCTTAGAGAGGGCGTTGGGGTCTGCGTCTGCGCCTGCGCTGTTGCAGCACAGAACACAGAAGTGAGTCCCAAGACTGTCTGCCAGTGGAAGGCTGTCATCGCGTCAAGGGGGTTGGCGGGGCTCTGAACTAGACTTGAAACTCGACTACTTTTGCAGTGGTGCTCTAACAGTATTTATAGATGGAATTTTGGGGCGAGGAAAGATCCTCTACAGGTCTGAAGACAGCCGGCATGCCAAATTCGAATTGCAGATCCAAATATCTGAGAAACATTGTAAACAAATCTTATCTTTGACTTCGCACCAATCCTGAGTAGACTCTATGGCGTGTGGTCTGCATGTGTATGCTACTGTAATAGTGTGGCCGCTGTCTCCCCAAACCTACACTTGAAGTTCCCCAGACATCCAAACGAATCAAAGAACTAAGCGGGGTTTAGTGTTACATCTGGACCCAGGTTGAAGTTCAATGCCTTCGTCGCCGAAAACGCACGTCTGTTGGAAATTCGCAGCCTGCCTCCCATGAGCTCAAGTCTGACCGAGAAATTCGCGCGAGCATTCGAGCGAGCATTCGAGCGAGCCTATCCAAAAGTTTATTCAGAGCAGGATCTTAAAGTTTAGGGTGGCAACACCCTCGCTATGCCGCCCCATGTAGTTTTTTGTTCTAATATTCAAAAGTTTTACTAAATATTTGATGAAGAATCATATTAAGAATTATATTAAAGTATTCCATCTCTATCGACCATTTCATCGATCGTTTGATTAATCGTTTGATTAATCGTTTTATTGATTGTTTAACGCCAGTATCAAGCATTTTATCGAGCATTTTATCGAGTAGATCATTTAATTCTTTAATTTCTTTATATCATAGTAAAATATAATAAATACGCTTTCCAAACCAGCGATTAGTTCTACTATGGGCTGACAGCTACGCTATCTAAGGTATACTCGATATTGAACCTGCGTAATTGTATTACCGCACGTTTTCACACTTCAGAGTTATAAACCCCTAAAGGGGTGTATTAGTGGCCTATAGACCTATTACCTATCCACTATAGTATCAGGGGCATGTGACCTATTTACTTATGACCACACACATGATTATCCACTTGTAAAATAATTCTACACATAATTCACTAGATAGGTAATCCATGAAGCTATTCAAGCTTGGTACCAAATACATTATTTTCCTACAATATTAAACACCCCAACTGAGCAGCAAATGGGATATTGCCCGGTTTAATTTATTAAACAGGCATTCATCTGTGTAACGCCACATATGCTAGGTCCCACTAACCACTTGTGTGTGCTATGCGGGTATTCATTGGGTGTACACACAGGGCAGCATGTGTAAGGTAGTGGTGTTGATGATAAATTGGGGATATCCAGGGAGCCTCCAGGATTTCCGAGGGGTTGTTGTTGGGTAGCATGCTGTTTTAGCCCTCTGTGCATCTTGGGCAATGAACTGATGTGCCGGCATCAAAATATGTATTTGACTAGAGGGTACAGTGTAAACATCTACCTGGGTAGAAGGCCTGCCAACCAAGTGAAATAAACTAAAGTGGTAATGTATAGGTAGTCAACTACAGCAAAGTATCCTACTGCCTCTTGTCACTAAGCAAAAGGAGACTGATTTTCGAAGAACGAAAGAAGTAATAAATTGATGACAATGAGGCTTTAGATTGCAGTGGAGGTTAACTGCGCGAACGTTGTAGTGGGGCGGGGTCAGGGAGGTGGACTATAATGTCAAATTCTTCATCTTCCGATATCGATTAGGCCGGCTGGCCCAATGGCAAGGCGTTTGACTACGAATCAAAAGATTGCAGGTTCGATCCCTGCGTCGGTCAATTCTTTTTACATTTTTTACACCTGTCTCGCTACATATTGCTGGCAGCTTTTGTGTGCAAACGCAACAGTGATAGAACCATCGATGACATCTTCCCGGTGCTTTTGATATTCAAACAGGGCCAATGCTTGTCGCATGGTTCTATCCAGGTTTCTTTTTTTTTTTTTTTCTTTGTCAGATGAATTCGACAATCCATGTTCCGTTTAAAGACAAGGCAAAAAGATAACTGAACGTAAACTCCACCTAGATCTCCCTCATCGGGGCCCTCGTTCAACGATGGTGAAATTCCTTCACCTCGCGCTGTAAATTCTAGAAATTGCCACCAAAAAAAAGCCAAGACTGACTTGACTGGGCAAGTAATAAAGAGATGGTAAAAAATCCAAAAAGATATTGACCGACGCAGGGATCGAACCTGCAATCTTTTGATTCGTAGTCAAACGCCTTGCCATTGGGCCAGCCGGCCTGATTGATGAGAATAACATGCCCTAATGTGCCTCTTGAGCCTATACTAGCGGCCGTAATACCTGCGAATTTTCAATTTTCATTGCAATATCGTTTACACATTGATTTGACCCGAACGAATGATACAAACAGAAAAGCCTGATGGTCAAAGCAAAATGTGGCAGAGATCACTGCCCGGCTAAATGACTGAAAACGCTTCTAATGCCTCCATGAATCCAGCAATAGCGCCGACTCCGAGCAAGCCTTTGGTGGCACTACGTGCGAAAGACCTGTGATGATGATCCTTTGTGCCGCCTCGGGGTCTGTGTGGTGTTGAACTGGGTGGAGAGTGGTCTAGAGATAATTAGCACATGGTGATGTTGTTGATTTTGTAGCTCGAGACATAAAATGCATACCTGGTTCCACGAAGTGAACTGCAGCCCTTGGAGTGGCTCTCTTTGTAGGTTTCGCATATGATTTGTCACGATCATGCCTTGAATGTGCCGTATATCCTCGCCAGGGATGATGGGGTGCAGGTGGGAAATGAGATGGCGTAGGTAAGCTCGTACTTTGCAATGGGGTTGCGTGGTTATCCATTTGCCTCCCCTCAGTGTTTCGTGACGATCCAATATAGACTGGATTTCTACTTCCACCCGCACTTTCTCGTTGGCTTCTATGAATTTCGTTGCACGTGCCGCTCTCGGAGTTTCCATCCTTATTATGTGAATCCCTTCGAGAATACGTACTTTCTTCCGGATCACTTTCCACATGGGCTTGGTATTTTGAGTGCCTTTCCCATAGCTGGGCTGCGTGTTGCCTAGCCTCTTGTGAGCGAGGTTTTCTCCAATCTATTGTTGTACTTTCTAGAGGATATCCTTGATTTTGAACACTCCGTGATGTTGAGTGGCCCGATGTAGGAAACAACGTGGAAAGTAACACTTCCACGGTCTTCTCAGATAGTTGAACCATATCTTTAGAAGATATTTCCATAGCACTCAAATCCATATTGGTATCATTGAGCGAAAAGTCAGGGTATTTTGTCAGCTTTGCACCGTGCGAATCAGACGGCGAAGTCCTCAATGTTGAGTAGTGGGATGTGATGAGTTGATTTGTTTGATCATTTGCAGCTTCAAATGCCTCTTGTTCCGCAAACTCCCATAGACGACTTAGTCGATTGCCAGACCAATAGCGAACTATGATCATATTTTGGGTCTCGGCTTTCTCTTGAGCAATTGTCTCATCTTTCTCCAAATCAAACGAACTGTAAAAGTTAATAATAAGCCGGAGTTCATCCGAGTAGCACGGGGACATACCTCATTGTCTTGATCAGCATTTCAATATGCACAATCTTTTGCAACACTATCAGGCTGAGCTTGAGATATTCAAGATGTGCCAGAAGATAGGTGATGTGATGTTTCCTGAAACTCCATTTTACGCGGTGGGAGAGAGGGATAGTGCGAAGACTTTCATGAGAATCGGTGCTCTTTAGCATATCCAGCATATGCTCTATCTCATCAAATACCCCTTGTCCTTGGTCCGCAATCTTCCTTGCCTTAGCCACTGCTATGCACGAATGATCTAGATCTGCTAGCCGGATAGTCTGCCCCATTTGCTTTAGCACCAAGGAAAAGAGAGAAATCCCTCGTGCAATGCAATGGATTTCGATTCCTGACTGTGATATCTGACAGGCTGCTGCATTTAGGAGGAGAGACAATCTGACACCTGCACCTGCGGTTCGAAGTATTTTGCCGGCTCCTAAGACAAAAAAGTGTTTAGACCCCAAAGAATGGTCACCAAGATAGAGACTGTACCTGATTGTCCCATGATTACAGACACTGAATATCTCGGAATTCATCAATAAGTTCTGCCAGTAGTAAAACGAAACTATGCAATATTTCCATGAGAAACAGAGAAACCCTGCCAAGTTTAAATCCCCTCTGACACGGAAAAACCGGCTGCCAAACTCAGAGCCATACATCGTCACTGCCTATCATAGTGAGGAAAAAGAAGTTTGAGCCTCACACTGAGCAATGACGAAATTTATCGACCGGAGAAGTACTCTCCTTGGTTCAAACACCCGCCCCCTGCTCGATAGCATCAGCTGCCCTCTAACAGAGCGCTGAGTGGCTGCCTGCAACACTTGGTTGCCCCGGACTGAGGTGATCCAACGCCCCGCGGAAGTTTGGAAGATCGGGGGATCGTCAACAGCCTGCAAACCTTCAGCACTGCCTCGTCGGGCGTGAAGCGTGTCTGATTGGAAGACAGCACATTCCAGCTTACAAAAATACCGTACCTAGTCTTCTTCAAGCCAGGGTACTTTGAAGGACTGGAATTGTCGTTTCATGTTTGTTGTTATCTTTCTGCTGACCGTGATGAGTGAAGCGAGTTGTAAGATGGGTGAAGTTTGTGGAACGCGAGAAGATGGTGTGTTGAGACTGAAGGCAGAAACGAGGCAGTCACATGCCACCTAAAGTAGTACTGGATGATTTCGACTAAGTGAGAGTTACTTTTATCGATAGCTTATTGTAGTACTGTTCAGTATAACTTTCTCTCGTTTCAGAATCATCCTTTATCATCCCATGAAATGTCAAAAAGCTATATAACTAGTTGAATATATCTAGATGAACGTCCCTACAGGTTGATTGATATTATTCTAGTCAAGTTGTCAGCTTAAACAAATGCTATCCGACTATCAGTAATGATTTACTCATGACGTATATCTATCTTAATGCTAGCCCTTTTCTCAATGATTATCCTTGATATTTGCCATACAACCCAAATTACAAGATGGGTGAGGGAAATTAGGCAGCGTAACACCATATATGGTGCAGCTTCTGGTCAGAAATGTTGCTAACCTCATGGCAAGGTTAAAAGGGCCTATGGATAATGACCACACGGCCTTGCAGCTTGCCGTATGCTACGATTCTGCATCGGGGAAATGCTTAGCTCCATATAAGCAGTCAAAGCGTGGGCATAGTGCGGAGAATTTTCCTCTGTGATATATCTTGTTAATCTTTGGTGTTCTGGCTGCGATTTGGAGAGAAAGATATCCCCGGATGATGTAATCATGGTGTATTAGATACCGTATCGTAAGGAAACTGTCAGCCATCTACATCGTACTCCATACATGTGATGAAGCAAAATATTGCACAAAAATATCCCAAATAAACTGATACATCATATAAATATTAGCCGGGAATAGCACGTTCTCTTTAGTAGATAGGCCGTTTAGTGGATAGCTCACTGCCGGCTCGATGAGGTCTTGCACCAGCATTTCCGCTTTCGGTATTCCGTGCTCCAGTCCACGGTAAGGACTGCATCTCCCCGAACCTCATTCCCCGGTCGCAGCCATTGTTGTTCGACTCTGCTGTTTCGCAACAACAGACTTCCGAAATCGTTCGTGTCCCTGGACTATAAACACCAGGGAGGCCCACTTATCGTTTTCTTCTTGATCTCCAGTCTTCTGTCTTGAGGTCAGCTCTCGACAGGTCCGATATTACGAACCCATCTTGCCGCCGTTCTACGAAGCCCCCCCACCCCCCTATCCGAGCCCGCGTGGTCAACTAAGATACCCCAAACTATCCGATGATCGAACCGAGATTGCACGAGGGCAAAGACAGGGTGGAGACGCAATAATCGGTGCCTAAAAGGAAAGGAGGAGTCTTGCATTTCAAGAATTCAGAGCGTTTTTTCGTGCGAATGGGCGATTCTCTTGAGCAGTTCGGGTAGGAACTTGCAAGGAGACCAAGGGAACAAAGAAAGCAAGGAACTGTATTAGAGGATACCTCGATCTCTATCGTTCATGAATAATAATGACCTCAGCCTCGAGTGCTGCCACTAATCGCGCCGCCGATCTTTCTGCTCAATCCGGAGACCCCTCGCACCAAGTTTTGCAGTCGTCGGGCAGTGGCGATGTCCACGATTTATCGTCAAGCACTTCCACGGAAAATGTCGATCGAAACCAAAAGGAGAACATAAGCCCACGGGCGGGAGATAAACCAGCTGCAGGTCCCGATGGGAGGAATGCGGGGGTAAATCAGGGAGCACCTGAGGTCGATGACTTTGGCCTCCCAATTCGCGTGCGCGCCAGACCTGAACAGTCCGATTCTGAGGGAGAAGTGTTCCACGATGTCCAAGATGGCGCTGCGGGCACGAGCAGTGACGGCAATGCGAGTAAACAAGAAGGGCAGACTATCGCAGGTGGATTGACACCGGAAGGGCAGTCAGAAAACGGAAAACCAACCGCTACTTCTGAAAGCAAAGAGGACTCCAAACTCGCTGTAGAACATGGGAAAAGCGACGGTGCAGAAAACGAGGACTCCCAGAAGGACTCAGGGAGCTCTACCGGTAGTGGAGAGCCCACCGCTTCTAGCGTTGCCCCTCAAAGCTCTCAAGTTGGGCAATCTTCAACCCCCAAAGAGCATAACGGTACGGAAAGCCATGAAGCGCCTGCCCAGTCCCAAGTCACACATACGAAACAAGCAAACCTCAAGCCATCTGAGTGGTCACACCAACGACTAGCCATGGGCCAAGATCCAGACACCGAGAGCGACAGCGAGGAAAGTACCGGTGAATGGCAGGAAATGCCTGCCCTGGGTGAGTTTGATGTATATGATGACTTCGGACGGCTAGTTGCTCGTGGGGCCAAGGAAGAAGGCGATGATGCGGTGTACAGGGGTCTGGGAGGTGCTGGAAAAGGGTACACTCGGGTACAGCTAGATGAGGATGCTCAATCGGCGAACAGCTTGGACGAAGATACAAGCTATCTTTTCCGAGAGACCGGTGATAACTCTGCTGGCGTAGAAGGGGAGGAACTACGCGACCCACTCAGTCAACTGCAGGCCACAAAGGACCTTTTGACTGAAAGCCAGAGAATCGCTTACGTTGGAGCAACCAGATTGACTATTTATCAAATGACATCGGAATTCCAAAAGATACCTTCGACGAAGGCTACCCGCAAATCACTTCAAAGATGCACAGACTCCATGAGGAAATGGGGCCAATCGACGATGGTTCGACTGTACGCCCACATGGACATCGACGCCGCAGAACAGATCATGATCGAACAACTGGCTGAGCATGGTGTACATCCTGAAGACTTGATAAGGCCGCTCATGCAGAATGCTCGAGTCAAAAATCCTTTGGCAGATGATGTCGACTCCAAGAAATCCATGTCATCCCCTGCCTCCCCTACATCTCCCAGCTTGAAAGAGAACAACCGAAGCATTCTTTCGATGGAGAAAGATGGATATGCAGGATCTGAAACGCCTCCTCCCCCATATGAAACCCATGACGACGAGGACCTTCCAGAAGTTCGCACCCCATCTCAATTACCTACTTCGGACAAGATCGATCTTGACCTTCGATGGACTGTGCTCTGCGATCTTTTCCTTGTTCTTATCGCAGATTCCGCTTATGATTCCCGCTCACGAACTTTGCTTGAAAGAGTTGGCGCTGCTATGGAAGTGCCGTGGTTACAAATAGCCCGATTTGAAAAGCGAGTCATCGATGCTCTTGAGATGCAGGAAGCCGCGGATAATCAAGAGACATGGGACGAGTCGGATAATATGGAGAAGCGCCGTAAAATGGCATTGAAAAAGAAGTATATGGTCATGGGCTTAGCCACCGTCGGAGGTGGGCTTGTCATTGGTCTTTCGGCTGGGTTACTGGCGCCAGTTATAGGCGCTGGTCTCGCGGCTGGATTCACAACAGTCGGAATTACAGGGACTAGTGCTTTCTTGGGAGGTGCCGGTGGTACAGCATTGATTGCATCTGGTGCAACCTTGACTGGAGGTACGATCGGAATGCGAGCTTCGCACAGACGTACAGGCGCAGTCCAGACCTTTGAATATCGTCCTTTGCACAACAACAAAAGAGTCAACCTGATCGTCACTGTCTCCGGTTGGATGACTGGAAAGGTTGATGATGTACGGCTGCCCTACAGTACAGTGGATCCCATAATGGGTGACATCTACTCCGTGCTGTGGGAGCCCGAGATGCTTCGAAGTATGGGAGATACCATTAATATTCTCGCCACAGAGGTAAGCATCAAATAATCCAAATGGTATACTGGTGTAAAAGCTGACAACGCCAATAGGCATTAACCCAAGGACTTCAACAAGTTCTCGGGAGCACTGTTCTGGTTGCTTTGATGGCATCTCTGCAGCTTCCCCTTGTTCTCACGAAGCTTTCATATTTGATCGATAACCCTTGGATTGTCTCATTGGCTCGTGCTAATGCTGCTGGGCAAATCCTCGCGGATTCTTTGATGGCCCATAATCTCGGCAAGAGGCCTGTCACCTTGCTTGGTTTCTCCCTTGGTTCAAGAGTCATATTCTCTTGTTTGAAAGAACTTGCAGATAAGGGAGGCAATGGGATTGTTCAAAATGTCTACTTGTTTGGATCTCCAATCGTGGCGAACAAAGACGAATACTTGAAAGCTCGCAGTGTGGTTCCTGGCCGCTTCGTGAACGGCTACTCTTCAAATGACTGGATTTTGGGTTATCTTTTCCGTGCCACCAGTGGTGGTATTATGCGTGTCGCTGGTCTCGCACCAGTCGAAGGCATCCCTGGGCTAGAGAATTTTGACGTCACGAAAATGGTCAACGGCCATATGGACTATCGAGCAGCAATGCCTCGACTACTGAAAGAGGTTGGATGGGAAGTGTTGAGTGAAGAGTTTGCGGAAATTGAAGATCCTGATCCAGACAACCACGCTGAACGGCAAAGAGAATTGATCCGTGAAATCGACGAGGCCCGCAAAAATGCAGAGGCGAAGCCAGAGAAAAAACGGTTTGGCTTGTTCAAGAAAGGGAAGCTGGCTGAGAAGAAAGGATGGGAAACATACGACGTTGATCGCAACAACTCCCCTTCCCGTGATTCGACTGACAGCAATGGCGCTGGATCGGTGCTCTTCGACATCGATGCGATCAAGGCTGAGCTAGCTTCCGAAAACCTCGAGGTCAGGCAGCTGGAGTCAACACTTCCTCCGATGAAATTAGATCTGAATTCACCTGCCTCCAACACCCAATCTCCAGTTAACCCTTCGCCCCCTCCGGCTACTGAAGAGAAGAAGAAGGGCGCCGAATCACCCCCGCCTGTCTATTCACCATCCGCTGAACCTGCCCCCAAGCAGCCCTCATCCAACGATCCGCATCCTTCTACGTCCGCGGAGGAAATTCAAATGACATTTGATACCTCTTACCACGAAACACCGCAGCGCTCGTATTCGCTTGAGCCAGCGACGGGAAGTGCACACGATTATCAATCTACCAGACCTGAACTCAAGTCTTCGGCAACTATGCCAGTCGGGGTCGGTGCGAGCGCATTGGGTGCTATAGCCCTAGAGCCCAATGCCTGGGCCGATCATGACTTAGGGGACGGGGAAGAGGGTGAGATTTCAATGACTTTTGAGTGATGAGCTATGGTTTCTTTACATATATATATATTAACGCAAAGGAGTGTGACTGTGTGTTTTTTTTTTTTTTTTTGGTTATGTCAACAGTCATGACGCTTCTTGTTATTCCTAACATTCATGCCTTCAACGGACTGAATTATACGATGTGGATATTGAGAAAAAGACGATGGAATGGAAGTTACTATTCTTGCTATTACTTTTATTATCACCAGAGCTTTTGATTTTGATTCTTGCCAATTCTTACTACAGCATTATAAAGCATTATTACAGCCTTTAATCTTGTGATACACGGCGCTTCTGATATTACTATCTACTACTACTATCTTGTTGGCGTTCTCTTCTCAATCTGTCTTCAGCTTCATGAAATAAATATTCCATGATTGAGCTCCTGACTCTCTTGCTATTACTTGCGAATTTTACACCATTGCTTTTGATTGTACCGAGTAACCTTTGGATGCGATAAACTCTTGATCTGCTACACACGCGATTCCATTGTTGATATCAACCATGACTGATATCCATACTTGCTAAAGAATTGACCAACAGCTAAGGTTCCCAATTCAAAATAACCAAGCAATCAATTGAATATTGTAGTAATATCTGTCATGCGTAAGATGATTATCAGGCGATGCGGAGAAAAGCCCACCTCCACGATAGCGTGTCACCATGGCACGCGTCTCTCGACCCGCCTCGCAGATTACACCTCCCTCCCTGTTGCCTCCCACGCAAACCACCTCAAAACCAATGCAGAGGAGGTGTATTTTGAGCTCTCTACCTTCTGTCTACCATCATTCTCCTTTCTTAACTCAATGCGCAATTGAGACCTACATGTGTCGTGGTGAAACTAATCTGACAGTCTTCTGCGGCGGGTAATCGCAGCGACACCACGAGTCACGAAAAAGCGACCGACCGGCGACTTCGACCTTACGTTCCTCTCGCATTGATTATTGGGTTGATAAATTACTCCCGAGCTCTTCATTTACGGTTAGCAGTTGTTGTTAGGGTTACCAGTTTCTTCTAGGCACAACCAGCGACTGCCAGTTCATCATGCGGACACCGGCCAAACCAGACTCGAGCTATGCCTCCAACAGGCTCACGCGCAGTGGCTACAAGGGCACATCTCTTCTTTCCACTTTCCGGGGCAAGAAATCTGAGGAGGAATCGAACCCATGCAAGCAGGAACCCGAACTGGAGGACATCAATGCTCCACCCATCTCCAGCGAAGACGAAGATGAGGATGAGGATATCAAGCAAGAACAATCTGAAGATTCGGAGGACGAGAAGAAAATTCGCACTCCCGGAAAGACGTTAGAGGAGAAACTCGCGGAAGAGGACACAAACGTGCGACGGAGCAAAAGGGGATCGCAGTCGGCCAAAGTAAAAAAGGAGGATCCAGAAGAGCAGAAACCATATTCTCAGAAGGCGGCTCGGACCAGGACTGCGAGTCAAATGGATGATGAAGAAGATATTGCGTTTTCTTCTTTTAGATCTTCACAATCATCTTCTAAACGAAATAGGAAATCATATGGAGCACAGAAGGCGTCACGAAAGAGTTATGATTCTAAAATCCCTCCTTCTTCATCGTCAGAATCACTTTCCAACAAAGCGAAGAGTGAGAATACTGAAGACCAGTCTCCCAAAGCCAAAGAAGAATTCAAGGTTCCAGACGACGCCTCAAGCCCAGTGAAGCCTGAATTCAAAGAGCCCCCTCCTTTATCTGCCGATCTCCTTCCCAGTTCCTCATTCCCGCATTCGTCTATTCGAGATCAAATTGACGATTCGGATGATGAGTCTTCTCTTACCTCCATCAGTTCAGTGCCTTCGGCCTTCGGAATCGATATCGATTTATCCCAAGCAGAAGCTAAGCTTAAGGAAGAGGGGGATTCCAAATTGCCACTATGTCCCATATGCAAAGAAGCAGTGGACCCAGGGCTTCTCATGTTATTCCAGGCGCAACCAAATCAACGCATCCGCGATCAGGAACGGTTCTGCAAATCACACAAGGCATCATCTGCCGAAAAAGAGTGGCAGGAGAAAGGATATCCGAAAATTGACTGGGATCATTTTGATGAGCGTATCGAGGGCCATTTTGCAGGCCTTGAGGAGATCCTGGTTTCGGATAAACCTTCATATTATAGAGGCATCCTTGACAATGCAATGAAGTCCGGAAAAGCAAAGAATTTCAGATTGACGCTCTTCGGAGACGGACTTGAAACGATCAGTTGCGGTTACTATGGAACTAGAGGTGCTAGTAAAATGTATGATCTATATCTTCTTCTTTCTCCTACTCCGTGGCTAACACAATCCATTTTACTTAGGCTACAAGCCGTGACTACACATTTCTCCAAACAATTGCGCCGCTTAGCAACCAGTGACCAAATTGTCAAGACTGCCGGTATTGCTGGTTACGCACAATCGGTTCTCGTCCCTGAGCTAGCCTCACGACTTGTCAAAGAAGACATGGGCGTCGACGACGAATCGGCTCGAAAGATCATGAGAGACAGTATAGAAATTGGTGAGAAGTTGAACTTTGCACTTAATGACGTGGTTCCTGTTCCAGAAAGAACCGAACGAGTTTTAAACGATTGAACAAACACCGATTGTGGGATATATACTCGCTCTCCCGATATTTGTTCACCTTGACCTTTCTCGGGATTTTCTACTTTTCTTTTCTTCTCTTTTCCGGCTGGCCGTATACCTTAGCGACTGTATATAAGAAAAGTTCAGCCTTCTCGATACCTATTTGTTGTGGTTATTGCATTTGTTTGCATTTTTATTGTGTGGGTGGGATATGAATGGAGTTGAGATAGTATTTTCTGTCATTTAAATGCTTTTCTATGTCATATATGAAATAAATGAAGATATCATCTATGGTTTATTAATAACAATGCTCCATGTGATGGACGGTTGTTGATCGTGAACTGGTTGCCAAATCAACAACTGATCGGCATGCGCTGTAATTGAATTGATCTCTCATTAATAGTATCCCAATAAGTCCTTTAAAACCTGATCAATCATATCCAATCGCCTAATCATCGATTAATCATCGACTCCTCGACCAATCGACTAATATACCTGTCAACTGTCGTGCTTCGCGTCATGGAGCGGGGGTCTCGGCAACTGATAAGATACGGCCTCCCTTACAGCTTCAGCTATCCCCAACCTCTCTCCGCACGCCTCCTCTCTTCTCTCCATCATCCATCTGACACGACATGGAACCGCACTTTCTATCATAAATCCATCCTGAAATTTCTTCATAGTTCTTAGCTTTTTAGCTCGGCCCACGATGAAGGAGAAATCCATCATGGCTCCCTCCGAATCAACGCCGTTGCTCTACGTTCAGGTCGCTCCCCAACGTCATCGGTATCCACACCATACCTTGCGTCGATTTTGCACTTCCATCCTGGGATTGACCCTTTTCCTCTCTCTGGTTGTCTTCTTGATCCCAGTTGCTCTCCTCCCACGAGGATATCGGACTTATATCCCCGGGGCCCATTCGCTCCCACACGCAGCATGGCCGCACGGAAATGGCCTCGGCTACCAGGAACTCCAAGCTCTTCTTCAGGAAATCCCATCCGCAGCAAAGGCTAAGGAGTGGAGTGATTACTATACTGCAGGCCCTCATCTTGCTGGCAAAAATCTGACACAGGCTCTCTGGACTCGGCAGAAGTGGCAGGAGTTTGGTGTGCAGGATACTGGACTTGCGGCGTACGATATCTATCTCAACTACCCGGCTGATCACCGCCTGGCATTGTTGAAAAAGACTGGAGATGCATCCCCCGAAGTCACTTTCGAAGCGACGCTCGAGGAAGATGTCCTTAAGGAAGATCACACCAGTGGCCTCCCTGATCGCGTGCCCACCTTCCATGGGTACTCTGCCAGCGGCAATGCCACTGCTCAATTCGTTTATGTGAACTTTGGTACATATGCCGACTTTGACGACCTTGTCAAGGCAAATGTCAGTCTTAGCGGGAAAATTGCCCTCGTCAAGTATGGTCGGATTTTCCGTGGACTTAAGGTGAAGCGGGCGCAAGAGCTTGGTATGGTCGGTGTAATCATGTACGATGACCCACAGAGCGATGGTGAAATCACCGAGGAAAATGGCTACAAGCCATATCCCGAGGGTCCCGCCCGGAACCCCAGCGCTGTGCAAAGAGGCAGTGTGCAGTTTTTGAGTACCCATTTCTCTGCCCGTGTTTGATTTCTTAAGCTGATTGTATTGCAAGGCTTCGCTCCTGGTGATCCTACGACTCCCGGATATCCGTCTTTGCCTGGGTGTGACCGACAGGATCCTTCTGATGCGATTCCGTCGATTCCTTCCATCCCGATCTCTTACAACGAGGCTCTGCCTTTCCTGAAGGCTCTCAATGGCCATGGCCCTAAGGCATCGGATTTCAACCAGTACTGGCAAGGCGGTGGACTCGCGTACAAGGGTGTGGAGTATAACATCGGGCCTTCTCCGGAAGACGTAGTCATCAACCTGTATAACCAACAGGAGTACGTTACCACCCCACTGTGGAATGTCATTGGAACTATCAAGGGCTCTATCCCAGACGAGGTGATTATCCTGGGCAACCACCGTGACGCATGGATTGCAGGCGGATCAGGAGATCCGAACAGTGGATCTGCTGCCCTCAACGAGGTCGTTCGCAGCTTTGGTGAGGCACTCAAGGCCGGGTGGAAGCCGCTTCGCACAATTGTCTTCGCTAGCTGGGATGGAGAAGAGTATGGATTGTTGGGGTCTACTGAGTGGGTAGAGGAAAACCTTCCCTGGCTTTCGAAGGCGAATGTCGTATACCTTAATGTCGATGTGGGCGCCTCGGGAACCCATTTTAAGGCTAGTGCCAGTCCCCTCTTGAACAAGGTGATTTACGAAGTTGCCGGACTCGTGCAATCTCCCAATCAAACGGTCGCGGGTCAGACTATCCTTGATGTCTGGGATGGGAAAATCAACACCATGGGCAGTGGAAGCGACTTCACTGCTTTCCAGGACTTTGCCGGCGTTCCCAGCTTTGATCTTGGGTTTGGCCGTTCGAGCAACGACCCTGTGTATCACTATCACTCCAACTATGATAGCGCTGACTGGATGGACCGATTTGGTGACCCGAGCTGGCGCCACCATGAAGCCATTGCCAAGGTTTGGGCGTTGGCAGCGGCCCAGCTGTCAGAAACTCCGGTGCTTGCCCTCAATGCCACTGATTATGCGCATGGTCTCGGCGACTACTTGGAAAGGATTAAGCCGAATGCGGAGAACCTGCCCAGCGGCTCCAACTTTAGCTTTGATGATTTGAATCTAGCTATTGTACACCTCCACAATGTTGCGGCGCAGTTTGATGCTCAAGCAGCTGAATTGGCCTCCCATCTGGATGATGACCTCCCCTGGTACTTGTGGTGGAAGAAGATCGCCTTGTACGTGCAGATTCGGAACGTCAACAGCAAGTACAAGGGCATTGAACGTGAGCTCTTGTACCAGCCTGGTCTAGACGGGCGCAATTGGTTCAAGCACGTGGTGTTTGCCCCTGGCATATGGACCGGATATTCGGGTTCAACGTACCCTGGTCTGGTTGAGAGCTTCGATGCAGGTGATGTTGCCAATGCAAAGGTATTTTGATCAACATTCTGATATGCCGAGTCCTCACTGACGTCTGTTTAGAAATGGAGCTCTATCATTCAGGAGCGAATCTACTCTGCTGCCAAGCTGCTGGAGTAAGTAAGCCTACGGGCTGTCGATATCGACGTACATCAAACACTGTTTTACGAATATTTGACTTTAAGACACATGAAGCAAAGGAAATTGGTATATAGTTATCTCTGTCTTGTATGATAGCCACCCCAACAGTTTGGCTTTGAATCTAGTATTATTGGTAGACCAGTTGGATGGATGGTTGCACAGCAGATGTTCTGACTGGGCGGGCCTGTGTACAATACTCGAACTATATACGGGCATACTGAATGCAAAAGTTGGACACACTGAACACCATCGATTATGAGTAGAACATTATTATTTTACGATCTAAACGATCACAAAATGTAATTAATTATCCTGGTTGATGTAGAGCAAGACCCGGAAAAAAATCCGCATGCGGTGGACATTCGGGGTTGCATCTTGGGCGGAGCGAACCGCGGACCAGGAGAAAGAAAATGGATGCGACGATGGAAGACTGGATGAGATGAAGCTGATATCAGACGCATAACTGGTGACTCATTCGACTCTGGAGGTGGTGGTGATGCCTTGCAAACTGCATGGGTTGCTGCATGGCCAGCATGGATGAATGCGGAATGAATTCATCTCGTCCAGGTTTGGAGTCGATTCGACACTAGTTTTTTTTCTCATCTCATCTCATCCATGAAGTGATCGTCCTGAGTATCCATGAATCAGGATAATAATAATAATACCACAGTATCTCGTGCATCTCCACTGCGATCTTCTCTTGCTGATCCCCACCGACTCTGTCTGTCTGCTGACACTAGTCGGTGCCTGCTTTTATCTTCACCTCTGTTTGTTTTCGCTTCTCCTCTTCTCCTTCTCGCTTCGCCTTTGCAATTCCTTCTCGAGGCATGCGCCTTTGACTTCTTTATCATCTTCTATCATTTTTTCTTTTTTCTTTTCTATTCCTCCATTAATCCCTCGATCCTCATTCCCCGCAATGCTGGAAAAACCGGCAAGGCTGCCGGTCCAGCAGCTGGTCATTCTGTGTACGCGTCCACCACGATAGCTCAATCATCCCCTCTGAATCGTTGCTAATTTCTTCTCTATACAGCAATATGTCGTTTCGCAGAGCCTGGTACGTCAGTATATCAACGGATTTTTACTCCCTCGTTCTATAATCAGTACCAACACTGGCTAGACTAGAGCTAAACTTTTGTCTCCCTTGTAAACAGTCGTTCTGACTTCCATCCTGCCATATCTTGTACGCATGCTCTCCTAGCTCTCGTATTCTCATCTCCCTGTCTAACATGTCGCTCAGCCTGAGATGATCTCGTATGTCGGTGTCCAAAAGGACGACATAGCCAAATGGGTCGGCATCACCTCGGCTGTCACAGCTGCTGCCCAGGCCGCCATGGCCGTCCCCTGGGGCACAGCGTCCGACTATATGGGCCGCAAACCTATCATCCTGCTCGGATTAACCTGCACTATGGTCTTCTCCGTCCTCTTCGGTTTCTCGCAGAATCTGCCCTGGTTAATCGTTTCCCGTGGACTTCTTGGCTTCATGAACGGAAATGTCGGCATCATTCGGACCATGGTCGCGGAGATGGTTCCTCACAAGGAGCTGCAGCCTCGTGCATTTAGTATAATGCCATTGGTGTGGACGCTTGGGGGCATCTTCGGTCCTGCTTTCGGGGGTGCTTTGGCGCGTCCGGCGGAGAAACATCCGGAACTCTTTGGTGATTCGGAGTTTTTGAAAAAGTTTCCTTTTGTATTGCCGAATTTGGCCTCAGCATGTATCTTTATCGTCGGAATTGCGACTGGGTTTCTCTTCTTGAAGGTAAGGGGTTTTCTGTCTTGTGCAGCGCTCGTCTCTAACAGTCCATACAGGAAACATTAAAGTCAAAGAAAGATCGTCCGGATTACGGTCTTGCGCTGGGCCAGCTGCTGATTAGCCCGTGCACTGGACAGAGGAGGGAGAACAACCCCAGGGTAGAGGACGACGAAAGGAGAGCTTTACTCGGTGATGGAAACGGCCTTGCTGCTCAGAATGGACACAAAAAGCAGGCCAAACGACCCGTTTGGAGGCAGATTTTTACTCCACAATCGAATCTGGTGTTGTTGGCCTATGCATTACTGGCAATGCACACTTTCGCATACGACTCGTTACTCCCTGTGTTTCTATATTATCCCGTTCAGGAAATTGACGGTAACCCGGATGTGCACCTGCCATTCAAATTTGTCGGAGGATTCGGTGTGGGTGAGTACTCCAAATAGGGCTTTTTGGAGTTATTACTAACCTCTTTCGCTACAGATTCCCAAACAATTGGTATCTTCTACGCTATAATCGGTATAATCGGAATGGTCACCCAGTTCCTCGTCTTCCCCGCAGTTGCCAAACGCTACGGCGCTCTTAAATGCTCAAAAGCCATCTCGCTCATATATCCCGTCTTATACCTTGTGACGCCATTTACGGCTCTCGTCCCGGCCTCACTTCGCAAATTCAGCGTCTTTCTGGTCATGCTGACCAAGCTGGCTGCGTCCATCTTCGCCTTCCCTTGCATCACCATTCTCCTCACCAACTCCGCCTCGAGTCTTAGCGTTTTGGGGACTTTGAACGGAGTAGGAACCAGCGTCAGTGCATTGGGACGAGCCGCCGGGCCTGCCATTGTCGGTTGGGCCTTTTCATTTGGTGTAAAGAGGGGATATGTCATTATCCCATGGTGGACTCTGTGCCTTATTGGTGCTATCAGTGCGATTCCCGTCTTCAGTATTAAGGAGACGGATGGCTTTGAGGATAAAGATGACGAATCTGAGGAAGACCAGCCGCAAGAGTCCGAGAATGGATCCAATGGCGGTACTTACGGGGCCGTTTCAAACGGTCGATCTTGATCGATATGAACCATACTGATATATATGGCAAGGTCATGTGACGACTTATATATGAACAACGAACAGTCGTTGATGAGCAAAAATTTCGATGAACAAAAGTTGGCGTCTAGCGTGTTATGTGTTACTCTTGACGAGACGAATTTTGGATTTATAATAATAAGACTCAAGATGAGATACGACGATATGATAGACTTTCAACCAGATTGTACTAAACATAAAATTAGCTTGAGCAACTATCTAAAATATGAAAATTAGTTTAATTCGAGGTGAAGATAGTTATCTGCAGTAGATGTATGAGATCATACGATATCGCATGCCCATTGGCCCATTATTAATCCACTAGTCGAGCGATCACCCGATGCCGATTGTTTACCTTGCCTTTACCTGTCTACTCCATCTCATCATCTCATCTCACCTCATCACTCCATTCAAACCACCTCAACCAGACTTCAAAATGGTACGCATCTACCCCTCTCACCATAATCCTACCATCTAACAAAAACCAACAGAGCCAAACCACCGTCCCCCCCACAAACTCCGCCATCGCCCTCTCCCTCCTCACCTCCCTGGGCGGCGTCATCGGATACGCCCGCACCGGCTCCATCCCCTCCATCGCGGCCGGCCTCTCCGTCGGCGCCCTGTACCTCCTCAGCTTCAACAGACTGCGCAACAGCCAGACCTACGGCGAGGAGATTGGGTTGGTCGCGTCGGCCGTTTTGGGGGGCAGCTCGATCCCCCGTGCGATTAAGACGAAGAAGGCGGTTCCCATTGGTTTGAGCTTGGTTGCTACTTATGGGCTTTTGGTGTTTGGGTTGGCTTTTCGGGAGAAGAATTCGAGGGCTTAGATGAGATAATTATAATCAACTATGTATACGATGTGGAGAGAATTATGGAGATGATTGTATGATACGAGGCCCAATGGACTCTACACTACAAGAACAGGTGTAGAGTAATTGATTGAATTGACTGCCTACCTTTGACGCTAGAGAACTTACAGCAGTTATAACCTCGTAAACAAGCGCGGACGTATGTATGTATGATGTCTCCAATTAACCCTCCAAATCGGTCAAATGGTAGATTCGGACATGTAATTGAACCGACGGTCGAGTATTCGTTTCGAAGATCCTTTCTTCCCCTCCCAGACATGATATCCAGTGATCATCAGCCTCCTTCAGCAAAGGTTGACGACCCAACTCACCAGCACTGATCGTAGCCTCGTCGTCCGGGCGGTCTCCGTTCGTAAGCACACGCCAGCGGGGAACTCAAAACGGAGGAGCCTGTTCACAGTCTGAAGCATGTCTTCTTCTTCTTTTCTTTCTTTTTCTTGCACTGTGTTCGCCAAACTACTGACAGATCAGGGCAGGAAGAGAAGACAACACAAAGAAATAAACACAAAGACCAGAAATAGATGAAATCATGCGGAGCTAGGACTTGACATGTATCGAACTTAGCTGGAGTCCGTGGTCCGTCCCTGCATCTGGAACCACTCGTTTCGGAAAGAGATGATAATTTCGGATCGATATTTCGAAGAGCGAATGATTCCTTCCCCGGTTGTTGACGTCATCGAGCACTTAATGCGCGGGATCGACGACAGTGTCCGTTTCCCTGACAGTCCCCACCACGGAAGCAGCTGGAAGCTCTTCAAGGACAGTCTCCGCTTGGCGATCGGGAACGAATGCGTACCTGGGCAATTTGGACATCTTCTCCTCCGGACTGGTTTCGTTATCAGAATATACCAATCTTGCTTGTTTGGACTTGTCTTTCTTGGCTGGTTTCTCTTCTGCAGCTGGTTTCTCTTCTGCAGCTGGTTTCTCTTCTGCAGCTGGTGTACCACCCGCCACAGCTTGGTCAGCTGCTTTCGCCGCACCGGAAATAAGATCGTCAACCGACGCGGATATCGGTGCAGCCTCTGCCCCGGGAGCCTTCTCGCCATTAGAGGTACCGGGCTGCACTGTTCCGGGAATCGAGTGGCCCATATGCATCTGTTGCATCTGGAAGGCGTTGACCTGCGGGGCACCGAAGGAAGGTCGTTGCGGCAGACTTGGGGCGGTTGGTAAGCTGCCCGGTCGTTGGGGGAATGCGGAAGCGGGTTGTGGAGGGGTAGGGTTCTGGGGAGTAGGTTGCTGCGAGAGGGGTGGAGGTGTGTTTCCATAAGCGGGAGTAGGCTGTCCTGGAGTCCCGGCGGGGAACGACTGTGGAGAGTATCCCGGAGTGTACTGTGCACTGGGAGGGAACTGTGGCTGCCCACCTGGTGAGAAGTTCTGATAGACTGGACTTGCCGTTTGTTGGTACGGGGAAGGAGCACCGCCGTACGGCTGCGGGTATGAATATTGTGAGTTGGCAGCAGATGGATTAGGAGTTTGGCCCTTGATAGGAGGATACCCGTCAGTATAAATCATTCAACCGTAATCCAAGCGACAGAAGGTTAAAAAAAAAAAAAAAAGGCACTTACAAATCCAGTAGGAGTCGGTGTCTGCCCTGCTCCAACCGGTGTGGCTTCCCCACTACTACCTCCAGCAAGGGCCTCGGCCCGTTTGGCCTTATGCTCTGCCAGACGCTTCTTGAGATCCGACGTATTTTCCAGCTTCGGTTTTTTCGCCGGCTGTCCGCCAGCACCAACACCAGCAGGAGGGTTCCCCGTCACGGCCTGCCGCTCCGCCTCCGCCTGCTGAAACTGGGTCAAAACACGCTGGTTGTGCGATTGGATGATATCCTCGGGGACACCCTCCATGCCGAAGATCTCGACATCAAGACTCGATCGGTTGGGAAGGGCATTGTCGACTGCGGAAAGTTGTTCCTTGTGTACTTGACTCATATGCACCGACAATCCTAAATCATAACGGGCCGCCCATTAGCAAAAGCTAGTTCGTAAATAGAAAAAGACATCCAGAAATCCAGAACCCACCTCCTGCAGTGTTGAGCCTCCGACCACATCTCTCACATTTAAAATGCTTTGCTTTCTGGTGCGAAATGAGGATTTTGAGGTCGTCAAAGTCGCGCTCGCAGTAGTAGCACCACGGACGAGCCAAAACCTCTTCGATCGTGGGGCCACGTCTTTTCTTTCCCATCGCAACGGTGACTTCTGATGAGGATATATAAAGGTTAAGGCGAAAAAGGCGAGCTCCCTTGGGAATGGGCGGTAATGGCGTTGTAGGGAGAGGCGATGAGGTGTGTGGTTGTGAACGCGTTCATCCAGTCGCAAAGTCCAGTGGAGGATGATTTGCCGCCGACTGAGGCCGAGGTCACGTGGTGATTCACACACGTGATATCAATCACAGCATAGTACAGAATAGAAAGGTCTAAACAGTGAAGATTAAATTAAATGATGGATGAGATGATTGATGCGAGTATTTACAATCACGATTGTTCTAGCAATCTAAAGTCACTGTGGCACCAGCCATCAAATATTCCACCATGATACAGATTCCCAGATGTACAAACAACAAAAAACTTCCTGCTATAACGCCAGGTATTCCACCATGATACAACTGTAACAAACCCAAAGTATTAACTGTATCCTCCGAAAATGTACAAGAACCATGCTTCGCTTGACCAAACCAAGTCATGACACAAAATCCAAGTCCCCCAAGGGATACACAAAAGCAAAACCTGCTCCAATCGCTAACACATGTACACGCTAATGGAAAACCGATGCAAACATCCAAAAGCAAAACAGAAAATAAGATACAATGTAGAAACAATCTATCGCACTGAAATTATTTGATCCAATGCCTTCCAGTTGGTCGTAGTTGTTGCTATTGAATGACTGGAAGGCACTGGGCCAAAAAGAATAAAAAAAGAAGAAAGAGCAGAATGGAAGAAGTTTCAGCCTACTCATGCAGGCCGCGTGTGGCCTGGTGGAGGCAATCCTGGAGCAGCCGTCGCCCCAAAAGGCATGAAATGCTCGGGGTATGGTGTTTGGTAGGGGATCTGGGGCGGCGGCTGCTGAAGAGGTCCATAAGGGCCCGGAACCGATGGAAATGGCGCCACAGCCCGGGGGTCAATGGGCGCATAAGGCGCAATCGACCCCCGGGAGGGAGGTGGCGGGATCGGGGCCAGCTGGGGATGGTGAGGACCGGGAGGGCCGGGGGGTGGCAGAGAAGCCGATGAAGGAGGTGGTAGAGATGGGTATGAATGTGCCGGTGGTGCAGTTGGTGTTGGTGCAGGTGCAGGCGCTGGCGCTGGTGCGATACCTGCGTCTCTTGGGCCTCCAAAGACCGGACTGGATTTCTTTCGTCCAACAGTCTTGGGAGGCTCGGTCGCCTTCTTGGCGGCGTCTGCCACTCGAGCAGCTTCAATTTGGACTTTAGTTCGCTTGGGGTTGCGAATCCTGCCCTCCCGATTGAAACGGGCCCAGTGGTTGAGCATGGCCTCTGTGCGTTTAGGGTTTTTGGAGTTGGCAATCTTTTCGCGCCGGGCCAGTTCGACTGGGTCGATCGTCTCGTTGGACAAGGTAGTTCCCACCTGCGTGCTGGGAGGAGCAAGTGCTGGGCCACTGCTGGGCGCCGGTTCGATGATGGGCATCGATTGAGCTGCATTGGCTGGCGCGAGGGCCGGGCCTGCCTGCAACGGTACATGGTTGGTCGTCGATTTGGCGGAGGACGCTCCGCGGCCAGTGGAGCGGGCTGGCACAGCAGGAGCTGGAGTAGCAGGCTGAGGAGTCTCTGAGGCGGCGCGTGAAGGCAAACGGCTACCTCCCCGACCACGGCCCCGTCCGCGGCCTCTTCCAGAGCCTCGAGTAGAAGCAGGAGCTGCGGAGGCAGGCTCTGTCTGGTCCGCCTCCGTTGTGACGCGACGACCACGAGTTCGGCGTTTCGGCATGGGTTCTTCGGCCTCGGGAGTAGCGGGAGTCTCTTCAAGAGCAGCATCGTCAGCTTCGGTAGGCCGGCTGGCTTCCATCTCAGCAGCCTTGCGCTTGCGAGTCGCCTTGCCAACAAATTCCTCCCGCGGAGGGTTCTGGAACATGGGTACATGATCAACACCATTTTTCTTGATCGCGGGCCACCCGTCGGGGTTGAGATTGTTGGGGCCAGCTTTGGCAAGCATCTTTCTAGCCTGGGCGGGAGTCGGCTTGAAACCACCCTGGGTGAACGGGTTTTGGTTGCGGACCTTGTCCTCTCTTGGGTCGTGCTTGTATCCATAAAGCATTGCCTCTTTCTTATCTTGATAGACTTCAGGCCGATCAAGCTTCCTTGGGTCAGTAGTCGGCTTAGCATTGTGTCGAGTCGCAAGTTTGTGAAGCTTGTCGATCGCCAAGTGCTCATCCTGCCACGCCTTGAGCGCATGGGCAACATTTTCGGTGATCGCGTAGAGTTCATCAACAGAGCGCGTCTCAGGGTCGCGAAGCTGGACTAAAAGGTCTTCGAGAGGCGTAATTTCAAGGTATTCACCCTTGTTGACCTTGGACTTTTTGTACGGAGCAGGTCGTCCAAGAATCTCGGATGCACCACGTTTTTTGGTGCGTTTGGGGTCACGGAAGACATTTTCCCAAGACTGATCTAGATGGACGGTGGTTTCGTTATATTCCTTGGAAAACTGGCATGGATCGTGGATATTCCACAGGTTGTGAAGACGCTTCTCCACGGATACCGAATCTTCCTCACGAGAGAATTCATGGAGCTGGTTGGATAGAGCAAGATCAGATTCGGCCTCATGGCCTTCGCCTTCGCCTTCACCGTCACCGTCACCTTCGGCTTCAGGCTGCTCTGCATCGACATCGTCGTGATCTTTTTCGCCGGCTTCAGACGCGGCATCAGCATCGACACCGTCAACGAGGCCTTCTTCTTCGGCTTCAATGGCTTCGGCTTCTTCGGCAGCAATAGCCTCTTCAATGGCTTCATTATATTCAGCAGCCTCAGCGTCAACTTCATCGCCATCTTCATATTCATCATTCTCGTCACTGTCGTTCAAATGGCTATCTTCTGCCTCATCATCGGCCGCGCCATCATACATGGCAAACTTAGCGATGTGGGGATGCACAGAAGCAATGTGTTCTTTGAGGGCCTCGCTCTGAGACTCAGCATCATCTTCAGGGGTTTCAAAATATTTGCCACACCAGTCACACTTGACTTTGTGCATGACAGGGGCAGGAGAGTCCTGGGTAGAGGTAGAATGAGGGTGCATAGGTTCGGAGAATTGTCGGCGCAGGGGAGAGTCCTGGCCCGAAGTGTGGCTTTCCACGTCGATGTCGTGGTGGGCAACAGGAGCCATGATGAAGGAAAAAAAGAGACGGAGAAAAGAAGAAGGAAAATTAAAGAAAAAGGAAAAATCACCCGAAGAGTTCCAGTCAACGGGGAATTGTGGTTCCCGTCAAGAAACAAGATCTAGATAGAGTGTCAGTTCGGAGTAGGTGAAAAAAGTTCGCTTGCAGTGCCAAGACGCCAGTAGTAATGGAAGCGCAATCCTGGACAAGAGGCAGAAGACAGGTAGGAAGCGAACGCGCAACAACAGGGCATGGAAAAGGATCACAAATAAAGAGAGATTCATAAAGATGGCATTCCAATGTACAGAGGTAGAGAAAAAAGATGAGAAAAGGTTGGAGAGAGAGTGCAGAGGGTTGCAAGTCGACAGCTGGAACTACTCAAACACGCGGCATGTAACGTACCTTGACGGTGAGGAAAACAGAACCAGTCTGCTGACCAGATTGGATATGATAAAACCGATGCCGTTTTTGAAGATATTCAGTCTTCGAGATGGCAGAGTTAGAGAATTGTTTTGGCCACAGCAAAAGAGCTGTAAATAGGCGCGAACGGCTGCCAGGGATAGTTGTGTTCTTGAAATAGAATCGTAGTAGAAAGAAGAGCGGGTACGCAGAAAGAAGTCGACCACCACGCTCCAGAGATGAGAGAAAGTGAGATGATTCAGATGAGAGGAAGAAGAATGAAGAAAAGAGAAAAGGGAAGATTGATGAAGAAGTTGGTGTAGAGGGTGGTTGCTGACAGAGTGGGCGCGAGGAGTATGAAAAGATCTTACAGAGGGAAGAAGATGTAAGAAAAGGAGGGAGAAACGAGGAGGGAGAAAAAGGGAGAAAGCAGATGGAAAGAGGGGGAATCGCTAGCAAGAGAGATCCATGCAACAGTGAATTCCAACAGGAGCTGGAAAGAGACGAGAAAAGAGAGGTTGTTGAGGGGGAAGAAGAGCGATGTTTTGTGGGAGTTTGTAGAGGAACATCGAATAATAGAGAGAAAAAGATTGAGTCGCTGTAGTTTGTCACGTAAATTATATCCGTACGGTATGGTATGGTATTGGCTGTTACTAACCATTATCGGCCAATGGGAGGGCATTTAATGAGTTGGCTGTATGATACCGTACGATTGTCTTTGTTGTGATGACTTTTATTGTTGGGGATTAAGGAGAATAATAGAATAATCGGAGAATAATAGATAATACCTATAATATAAAGAACCTACATATAATAATATGGATTCAATTCAGTCTGTTTATCTCTTATTCTGCTGTCGTGATCTGCGGTCCGTTTGGTATTGTAATATCTACTTGACATCATCCACTCTAGAGCCTAAATATTCCCTCTCTAATAGTCGAATATCTTCATCCTCTTCGTTATTGAGATATTGATTTTCTATTATATTACCGTTGAAATCTATGACTCACAAGTCATCGGACTCCAACAGTTCACGGTGAATGATGCAGGTCCATTCATTCACTGCAGAGATGAAACATACAGCGATAAAAAAAGGTGGCGGGATTTTTCAGTAAGGCGGACTCCATTATTTCTCGCTGTTCTGGATTTGGTCTCTTATGGAAATATCCGTGAGATACAATAGCCAGAAATAGAATGAGGGGCATCGAAGAGTAGATTCTAGAAACAGGATTAGGATTAGGATTAGAAGCTGACATCCGGATGGCTTGGGATAAGCTTATCACGAGGGATGATCTCTCTACCAGAAGCAAACTATCCCTCTATCAATAATACGGATACGTCGTAGAGCTGAACGTTTGAGAATAAATAATTGAAGAAGCCAATCAAATGAATAAAAGTGTATATAAATTTCATATCAAGGGTTCTTCTCGCCAACATCCAACGCTACCAGAAACCGGCTCACACAATTATACGCGGCCACAGTAGCCGTGATTTCCACCACTTCTTTCTCGCTGAAAATCTCCTTGACCTCTGCAAACACCTCATCCGGCACAGTCACAGTCTTGGTCATCGCATCTGTATATCTCAACACCGCAGCCTGATCCCGACTCAAAATCCCCTCAGCAACTTTCTGGGAGAAATCCGCTTCAGAGTCACGGACAACTCCCATCGCTTCCTCGCTCAGTCCACCTTCTCGCAGCAGCGGTGCGTGATGCTCCCATTCAAACCATGCCCCATTGATCACGGCCACGCGGCAGATGGCAAGCTCGCGGACAATGGTTGATAAGCTGGTTTGGGTGCGGATGGCTCCGATGAATGAGTTCCAGCCATTTGCAACAGGGAAGGAATGCAATAATGCCCGGTCAAGAGGGATGAGTCCGTTTGGGGCACGTCGAGCTTGAACTCGGGCGAGGATATCTGCTTCCTCGTTTGTGCTGGTGGGTGGGGGGTCGGGGACGTATGGGAGACGCATTATGCTGATTTCAGATGGTATATCCAGATGAATATGAGTCAATTGCTCAGATATCAAAGTGACGGTTATGGAGTCTGTCAATTCGTGAGCATGGAGTCAAGATTCAATATGCTGCTGCTAACACCTACTTCAACAGGAGACAGCAGTCGATCAGTCCTTTTTTTTCAATTGACACTCCAAGATATCTTCACAATCCGACGTGGAGTAAACCCTGAATATCTACTCTTCCAGTTATCTTGAACCCCGCCTCGGATGGGCCCGCACGGGATAGGATCCGCTACGAAGCCCGCGGCCATTATCGGACAAACGGACTACGGAGAGAGATTTCGCGATTACTTTCTGTTCATTGTGTGTCTGGATGGATTTTATACCGAAGGGTCTAGAGGCATTCTGTTGTTTTGTTTGGGGATACAATTGTTGTCTCGGGATATCGGATATGCTGATATTGGGCTTCTATATTTCTATATATGTCTGCTGAGCTATATAAAAGTTTGGGGATATGATAGAATATCTACAGGTATAATCTTTGGAGATTTTTTCCCCTTTGTTTCTTAAAGTAATGATAATAGTGACCATGGCTGCTGTCGGAGTATATGATGCCAGAGCATTCAAACAATATATATCTGGCTACCTTTTATACAATTGATTATCCCAAGCAACACAACACAAGACAATTATTTATATTTATATATTTATAATCTAAAGATGATACCTCTCATCTATCAAATACTAAATTGACTGTTAATAGACCAAGATACAGGTGACAGTCGTACCTCTGTATACTCTGCTAATGTCTTGGCACAGGTCATCTGGTCTCCACTCTCCAGACGGCACAAGCACCCAAACAACTAATCGCATCTCTCCAACTGCCAAAAAACACTCAACCCCTGCACGCTCAGAGCTCGTTCAGCCAACATGCCTCCCAAATCATCAAAACCCACCAGCGATGAGCTTCTCGCTCAATTTGATGATCTTGGGATTGATTCCTCCGACAAGCAGCAACAACAGCAACAACAACCGGCGTCGACGTCAGCAAATGCCGCCACGGGGCAGTCCGAGCAGGACATCCTTGCCGAGCTGGACAATCTAGCTTCTCAGCGTCCAAGCAGTGGTCCCGGCACTCCGCGTCTTTCTACGAATGAGCCTAGGCCGTCTATCAAATCGCCCAAGCCAGCTGCGAATGCGACACCCTCGGCCGGTCGGTCCAGTGAAGAGAAACCCGCCCGTAAATCAGCAGAGAGCGGTCGGTCTTCGCGTGCTGGAAACAAAGCTGGGAATAATGTGCAGCAGTCGGATTCCGAGAAGGCGGCAGCTGAGGAGGCTGCTCAGGGTGGTGGTGGTGGATGGTGGGGAGGTTTCTTCGCAACTGCCAGTGCTGCTATGAAACAGGCCGAAGCGGCAGTCAAGGAGATCCAGAACAACGAGGAAGCTCAGAAATGGGCTCAGCAGGTGAAGGGAAATGTTGGAACTTTGAAGGATATTGGTGGGTAGCTCCCTGATTTTGTGCTGTGTAGGACTTGCTAATGATTGCATTTGTCAAGGTGGCGGACTTCGCGACATGGCTATTCCGACGTTTACTTCTCTCATCCACACTCTCGCGCCTCCTATCTCATCGCACGAACGTCTTCAAATCCATGTGACACATGATCTATCGGGCTACCCCGCAGTCGACCCCCTGGTCTACTCGGTCTTTTCGCGTGTCATGGCCCAGGTGGAAGGAGGCGACCTCCTTGTCCTGCAGCGAGGTCAGGAATCGGCACCCAAGCGTGGGCTGGACATTGGTGGGTTTCAATCTTCTGGCGCAGGCTGGCATGATGGTCCCTGGTGGAGGACAGTCACCCCTGGAAACCCCCGTAGCATTTCCGCCGTCCCTGGCACCGTGGCGGCCACCAAGCTTGCCCGGGCCAGTGCCGAGTCCTACGCCGCTGAATATTTCTCATCGAGAGGCGGAGTCGAAGAAGCCGCGAAGCAGGCCTCGGAGGTTTTGAGCGAATCGAATCCCGTGCGGAGCAGTGACATCTTCTTGGCGATCCAGGCTATCAGCAACGAGTCTTCCACTGAGCTTTTCCAGGCTGGCCCGACCACCGAGAAAGCCACCCCTCAAGGCGTGGTCGATGTTCCTGACGCCAAAGAAGGAGAGGTTTCCTTTGCGCTCTACCTCCACGATCCCATCCACGGCATCGCGTTCCACACCATCTCCCAGGCCATTCCCCAGAAGTGGGTCGAATGGCTCGATGCCTCCGTGCCTGCTCCCGAAGACCCCCATGCCGAGGATGCACAGGTGCCTCGTGTCGTGATCCCGGATTCCATTGCGGAGATCATCGAAAGCGGCGGCGTCGACCCCCGCGAGTGGGTTGCTGAATGGATCGAGGACTCGATCTGCTTGGCCATTGGCATTGTCGCACAACGCTATGTAGCCCGCCGCATGGGTGTGGGTGAGGGCGGCGTTGGCAAGGGTAAGATGCGTGCGGAGACATCGTCTGTGGAGAAGGGTGCGGGAGAAATTGCCAGAGCACTATAAATGCTTACAGTTTTTTTGTCCAACTGATATGACAGGCCTCTAATGATATACCGATATGATTCCGTGTTTTGATATTGTTCACCTTGTGCAGGTAGTGAATTATTTTAGTTCTATGGCGTATTGCGATTTGTACATACTGCAAGTAATACTGCAGCGAAAGCTTAACTCGTCATTTACTCCATACTCGTACTTGAGATTTGTAGATAGGTAATCGTAAAAAAAAGTCAAAAAAACCTTTGCGGGTATCTAGGTATGTATCTATGTATCTCATAAAATTATTCATCAAGTTCCAACGAACCGTCGAGACCGGGAATATGCGAGAAATTTGCAAGCCATGGAGTGACACTGGATTCAACATTAGTATGCAATTAATATCATAGAAGGGGCTGGGGAGAACAAGTCATACCTGGTACTACCGTTCAGCACGGTATGCGCATCAGTGCCCTCCTCACTTGACTGCAGGTTCTTCTTCATATCAGACAAATCAGCCGACCAGGCGAAGCTGCGCTCTTTGAGACCCGAGTGCGCTGCGGCGGTTCCATTGACAGCCTTGGAGGTGCCGTTTACCTGCGCATGCGCTGCGTCTCCATTGACCATTTTCTCGCCATTACTGGATAGCTCCGTATACAGACAACCCTTGGACCAGTAGTAGGGCAGAGCGCGGGTGTAGCGAACAGGGCGCGACTCGACATCCTCGCGCATGGGCACGTTGAGGTTATACAATTCGACGCGCTCGTCCCAGTTCCGGTAGAGATGCAGGATGACCTTGACGGAGAGTCTGGCTGCTGCGCGGATGATCTCGATGGGCTGCGGGTCTTTACTGCCGAAGGAGACGGCGATGCCGCGCTTCCCGCATGTGGCTGCTTCGAGGGCGCCGCCTACGGTGCCGGAGGAGAGGTTGTAGATGGTTGAGGCGTTGCGGCCGTGGTTGGGGCCGGAGATGACGAGGTCGATGGGACCGCGTTCGGCGAAGAGGTTGAAGAGGCCGAGTTGGGTGCAGCTGGCGGGGGTGCCGTTGGTGATGACTACCCAGTCATTTTGGTTTTCATTGGGGGTTGAGTCGGTGTGGTGGTGGTAGTTGGCGTCCCAGGTTCCATCGTCGAGAAAGGCATTTGGGGGCACGTAGGTGGCTTTCAGGGATGCTTCGATGAGATGCGCTTTGCCGATCCAGGATCGCGAGGCGGCTGGGATGGCTACTGAGACGAGATGGCCTGCATCTTCGAGCGCGTTGACAAAGGGACGAATGTATGGAGAGAGACGATTGCACGGAGGCCCGTCATCGTTGACCACCTATGGAGTTTTTGGTAAGCATTCCTTCATCAGTCATTCTTAAGAGTACACAGTAGACAATATCACTGTACAACGGAGGACTCCGGACTCCGTGACTAGCACTCAGGACTATCGACTGGGCAGAAGAAAAAAAACCTACCAAGATATGCATATTGACCGATCCAACGCTTGGCGACTCAACCAGAATATATTACGTCTGAGAAGAACGGCCATTTTTGTAAAGACCGAGGAGCAACTCGATTATTTATAGGGAGGTCCTAGCTGGGTAATCTCTCAGCCCCGGAATCAGAGAGCAGTTTTTTTTTTCGTCGCATCCCGAACCGAACAACATACCGGGGAGTAAAGTCTGGTCAACGGTGAGGACGAAGATGTTCTGCGGGGGCGAGGAGGATGAAGCTGGGGTATTGGAGATGTAAGCGTATTACGGATACTGCATGATACAAGGTATTGGCCAGTAAGAAGTGAGAGATACAGTGTATGTAAGGTAATGACAAAACAAGATGATACAGCCGCCACCCAAAAAGAGTCTGCGGTGAGACGGTCGGCGAAAGCAGCCCGTGGGGAATTCGCAGTCCACAATAAGCAGAAATCTCAATGGCCGGGAGAGAGAGTGATCGGAAAAAATCTCTACGATGGATATTATCGAGGCAGATGGATTTAGTCATGTTGAATGGAAGTCGAATGTCGATATAGACTATGTGCTGGTAGTGGAGGGAGTGGCATGCAAAAGACGACTAGTTGGGTGATCTACAGGCAAATAGAGTAGTGAATAGACACTCTGTAACACTTGATATCCAGCTGACCTCAACAATTATCAGATACGAATGTGTCTTTATCAACAGTAATATAATGATAAATAATAATAATAATAATGATAATAATATGATAATCAACTAAGATGAAAATATTTACACAATTAAAATTACTGTGTAGACTGTAGAACCAGAAAAGATGGTTCCTGTACCGCAATTCCACCTTCTTTCTAGAGGGCTTCCATCAGGGACACCCATTCCACAACTCAGTTTCCAGTGGAACCTGTTGATATTTCCATGGACGAAACCCCATCGCATCATCCTGCATATTCCCTCTCGTTCAGATGAGGCGATTCAGTTGTGTAACGGCTTGCAGCTAATCATAGGATGCCAGTCACGCACGGTCGCTGATCCGGTCAAGCCGCCCTTAGCGAGTGCATCTTCATTAAGCCCACCTCGTGCCATCTGATCTTCACGTTGCCCCTGATGGTTCGGCTGCCTGTCTGTACATAACCTTGTAATGCCCGTCCATGATGTAGATGTTGTATTCTGTATTCTGTATTCTGTCTGCATACCAGCATAAAGAAATCGATTGCAAGTTTTATTATCTCAGCTGCAGCATAGTCAGTGCTCCGAAGGTAAGCTTCGGTGGCCGATCGCCGCAAAATCTTTGGTGGGGAACAGTCAGCCACGACGTATGAATTTCTGTCATCCATCACCAGTTCATTTCTTCATCTCTTTCCCTTCCATCATCTCCATCATCGTCTTCCATATTACCACGGCCAACCCATCTTCAATATTATCCCAATTAACCCTCATCCAGCCTTCCTGCCTCGTTCAGGCACATCGCACCAAATCCAGTCGGACTAGTCCCCTCCGCGAAGCCAAACCCTCTTGAAGCCCTGCCAGCTCAAGAGGTCCACGTTCGCCCCTCATCCTACCATTTTCGCGCAGATAACCCTGTATGGACGGTGGGAGTACTGGCACCGCTGCGGGCATTGACCCCAAAATCCTCGATAATTGGCAAACTGACGCCGCGTTTTCTGTCGCGTCGTGGGAGCACACCGGCTACGAGCAGCCGCAAGAGTGGGATACCAGCCAAGACTCGAGTCAAGGCGATGGGGACATTGTCGATCTAAGTGCCTTTCCAGACTCCCTGGCCAGAGACCATCCTGATGTGTCGTCTCTGCTGGGGCAGTCGAGTGACTTTTGCAGGTTTGTTTGTCTTCTACTACTTGATCTTGTTAATGTTGGTGCTGATGGTATCTAGCAACCAAGACACCACCCCCGAAAAGTTCAGCCTTCCGGATGGCACTGTCAGCGGCACGGTGAGCGGTACTATCAGCCCTAGAACGATCCCTTCGACCGACGACAACTTCCACCCAGATGAGTCATGGCCGCATTTTCAACTCTTCAACCCGGTGGCTTCCAGCATGCCCATGGAGGCCTTTTACCCGTACGCCAAGGAACCCGCACCATCTAATACAGTGATCGTCGAGGATGTGGGAGAGGTGCCTCATGGCCAAGGATTCCAAGACGTCCAACCGGATCAGTTCATGTTTCCGAATGTACCTCAGGCTTTCCCATTCGTTTCGGAGCCGTGGAATGATGGACCGACCAATCCCAATACCCCGGCCACTGTGCCTTCTACCCAAGGATCGGTCCCTCTTTCGATGGCACACCAGATGGGACCAAAGGAGGGTGACCTGCGCGACTTCCACGCCCCCATGCGATCGCTCGAGTCGCGTTGGCTTGACAGTCTGGAGGCGCAACTTCCTACAAGCCTGAACTCTGCATCGTTCCCCACCATCCCACATGATCTGCACTTCCACCAAGACGGTCGAAAGGGGCATGATGGCTTGCACTACAAGTCGGAAAGCTCTTCCGTTTCTGGGGATTTGTCAGGAGCACATGACAGTGCGTATTCCGCGACAAGCGATGAGGTTCCAACCTTTGCGGACCGACAGTTGGACGAGGACGATTCACACGTGGGGTGGAAGGAAGCGTCGCACGATGACACTCCATCTGCGACGACCCAGCCTCAAAATACCGCTGCTTTTGTGGTTAGCGAGGCCCCGTCAGAATCCCTCATCATGTCCGTCCCTTCAAGGTCCAGGGCCTCATCCAATGCTGCTCAGCGTGGTAACAACCGGCCCATGCCTCTTGCTCTTCAGTCCGTGGCCACCGTTAGGAAGCGTAAACCGCGCAACTCCACCATCTCTTTGGACCATGGCCAACCGAAACCATTGCAGATTGTCCAAGAAGATGGACAGGGTGGATCCATTGCTTCTGCCGACTTTGTATCTCCGCCTCGTGGGGCTCGTCGCAAGGGTCCTCTGAGCATGGTCGGGAGAGCAAACGCTGGATTGCGAAGGAAGAACAAGGATACTTGTGTTCAATGCCGCTTGAATAAGCGCAAGGTACGTCTCATCACATCGACTTCAACAAACAAATATCATTTATTCAAGTGCTAATTAATCGATGTAGTGTGACGGAAGTTCGCCGTGTGATGCCTGTCGTCCCACACTCCACGAACAACCTTGTGCACGCGCTTGCTTTGCCAACATTGTCGAGTTTGGCACTTGCAATTATATCTGTATGGGTTCCCAGTCCCTCAAATATTTAGCTCACATACTAATACATCCCAGCTCAACGCGCCGCCAACCATCCTACAATAGATGGAACAGGCCGAGTACGGGTTGAGCTTCCGTCTCAATTCGATCTCCATGATCTGCTGTCTTTGCTCAATGAACGACAAGGGCGGTTCAACATCCGTGCCAAACAAGCTTGGGGGTCCCTCTATGTTCTTGATCTCGGAGAAACCTATCGGTTCTTGAAGGGCCTGAGTGAATACAATGGCAACTCTCGCTCGTCATTCCTCGAGTTCATCGACCGACGGATCGTTGAATCCAAGGACAAGTCCAAGAACTGGTTGACTTGTGTCAAAGACTGTGACCCAATGAACAATGTTTATGTAAGTTTGCTTGCTTACTTTATTAAACTCCTGATTGACCTTTAACTAACCTTAACTGCAGACTCTACTCTCACAATGGAACAACATGCCTAGTCGCGCAAGCTACAGCTTTGTCCCTGCACAGCCTGGGGGCCAAGAGCGACCCATGGACATCAACAACCCTGAAGATCGACGCGAAATTCTTCTAGCCGCCCAATTGTCTCGCATCTTCTGCCGTATGCTGGAGGTGGAAGGATTCCGTAAACTGGAACGGGACTTCTACAATATTAAATGGAAGCAGATTACTCACGAGACGCACCTGCGCTTCTTGGGTGAATTGGGTCATATCCTTCTTTCCCTCCGCTGGCGGGTGTCCTGGTGGAAACGCCTTGGAGATGGAGGCCAGAAACCTGACCCGAGCCAGCAGCATTACGTGGATCGCGTGGAATTGCTTTGCCGCATCCTCTATGTCTACTACACCTGCGTCCTTGCTAAGCTTCCTTCCTGGTCTACGGCAGACGTTCCCAAGGGCATCTGGTCTACCTACGCCGACTCGGAGAACCCCGTTTGGGATGATTACCCCTCGGACCCTACCGACAATGGATTCCACGGTTGGATGGCAAGGGGCCAAGAACTGATTGAGCAAGCCGGTGTCCCTGGCCGTGTCTCGAGGATTTGAATACGAGGCAAAGAAAAGGAAAAAAAAAATAACCATAAAATAACAGCAAAAAAGAAAGGCATTGGCGGATTGGAAATTAACTTTGAGATACCCTTTAGCGTCTTCATGATGGATACAATTTTCTTGTCGTTTTATGATTAATGATTTATCTGCACTGATTCTTTGTACATTGGACCATTTTAGGCTTGCATGGAATTGCTTGCAAGCCATGGATATGTATCAATTTCGTGTCAATACTTTTTGAATTTCAGCATAGAAATACATTTTTGGTCTAGCTTACGATGTGGAATCTAAACATCTAATGTTAGATAGGGTATCTTTCATTAATCGTATCTAGTATAGTATATATTTTACTGGGTCGGAATGGACGGACGCAAATTGAAAAACCCATCCATTCATCCGTACTCCCAGGGCCAAAAAAAACAAATCAATTACAACTCGACAAAAATGGACATCTGCTCAGCTCATTTCTTCCCAGTCTTGTCTGCCGCCTTCTTATCCTTCTTGCCACCAGCAAGCAACTCCAAATGTCCCGCCTTGGAAGCAAGAGCGCGCTCCGTCTTTGCCGTCATTCCCGCGGTGAGTTTCTGCACAGAGCCATCTATCAGTAACCGGTATTTCTGGATGGGAAAAGAGGGTGTGGTAGTGGAAGTTGCGGGACGCACCTTGGTCATCTTCGTCTGCTTGATCAGGGCAGCCTTCTTGGGGGCAATCGTCTGAGGACCTCTCCTGGGACCGAGAGCAGCGGGACTATAAGATAAAAATATGTTAGCCGGTACTCTATCTCTTATATCACAAAGGTAGACAGAAAGAAAAAGACATAAAACATACCGCTTAGCACCGGGCTTTCCCTTCTTAAGCGGACCCTGGGCCATGATGAATATCAAGATGAGTTAAAAATTGTAGATGTGGAGAGGGGTACTGCCAGCAGCACGGATGGAAGGAAATGTTGATGCTTGATCGTTGCTGTGGGGGGAGTATGGAGAGATTCTGGCTGTTCTTTTTTTCTCTTCTCTTGAGGCTTGTTTGGAGAAAATTCCTTATCGGCGGTTTATCTAATGTCACGTGAGGCGGGACTTGCATTAATTGGGTTTTTATGGGTACAGACTACAGTGGAAGTGCTGGTGATAGTTTGTAGTAGTATAATGTTTAAGATATATTTGGATATGAATTGTATGATGCTAATTTTAATTTGATTCCCCTCCCCTTTCTCTCTCTTTATGACGTTGTGGTCATTCTGCTGTCTATGAAGTACAGTTCCCTTTACTGTTGCTATCGCAATGAACAAGTACAAAACCAGACTAACCACATACGGAATGATCGTGGCATCATATCCCACCGACCTCAAGCTTGTTTCTTTTATGTCTCATTTGCCCGAGTTTTCCACCTAGCATATGTATCTATTATTATAGAGACCAAAATCAAAAATAGAATAGTAGACAGAAAAAGAAAGCAAAGAAAAGTGGTTACATACAATCTCATATAAGCTACTATAAGCTGATAAACCATGACTAAATGGGTCGGGACTTTTGCCTCCCACTGTAGATCATCGCACTGCTTTGTGTTGCATTCGATGTTTTCTTATGCTTAGACTAGACATGCGTTGACAGTCATGACATGAGCTGTTTCATATTGTGTTTTTCAATTATGGCCTATTCCGTTTGTTCATTGAGCACGAGTACAGGGGGAGGGGGCTGTGGCCTTAGGCCTTAAAGACCAGGTACTTCAAACGGCGGGTGACACAGTAACGGTCACTCTGCATGGGGCTAGGTGTACGGGGTACAAACTGCCTCAAAATTGAACACTACAATCTGAGAAAATATGAAGTAATTGTTATGTGATGGTTGAACAAAACAAAGGGTATTTTAATTGCAAGAACTAGATATGTACATCTACAAAATGAAAAAGACCAGGTGATAAGATCAAATTCGTTCACATGACCTCGTAACTAATCCTGCATCCAGGAATATGCTTGCAAAGTAGATTGTAAAAAAGGGAATCAAATAAGTAGTTGACATTTCAGACTAAGCTGAAGCCAGAAGAATCATAAACAAGGAGCCCATCCCTAGGATGGGGGAGCTAAAGCACTGTACACCATTCCATGCGCACGCGCAGAGCTTAGAAAGCGAGAACAGCAGCGACACCGATGGCGACGGCACCGAAGCTGATGGCGTTGCGGTCAGCAGCACCGGTGAAGACGGGCACCGAAGGAGAGGCACTGGAGGGGCTGCCGCTGGGGACGGAAGAGCTGCGCAGGGTGCTGGGCACAGAGGGGGTCTTGCTGGGGGAGACAATAGGCACAGTAACGCTGCCGGTACCAACGATGGGAGCAGACGAAGGAGTGGAGACAGCAGTGGGAGTAGCGGTGGTGGTAGCCTTGGCCTTAGTCTCAGTCTCAGGGCAGATGGTGGTGGTGACCTCGTAGGAGACCAAGTCGGTGGAGGAAGCATCAGCAGTAGCAGCAGCCGAGGTGACGGCCGAGGTGACAGCGGTGGTAGCAGCAGCGGTGGTGGTAGCGGGGGCAGCAGAAGAAGAGCCAGAGTAGCCGGGGTTGGAGATGCCGAACTGGGTAGACCACTGGTACTGGCCAGTACCCTCAACAACGAGCAAGAGACCATAGTGGGTGGTGTCGGGCTCGAGAGAGGTGCTGGGGGTCCAGCTGAACTTGCCAGAGTTGTCGATGCTCTCAGCCAAAGTTTCGAGGGGGACAACGTTGCTGCTGGGGCCGCGCAGGAGGACCAAAGAGATGGGTCCCTGGGTGGTAGGAGTCCACTCAATGTTGAAGGCCTTGCCAACAGGAACCAGCTGGTTCAGACCGGGGTTGGTAATGGCATTGCCCTCGGGGGACTTGGAGTAGTCAGGCTGGGTGTAGGCCGAAGCAAAGGCGGCGAGGGCCGAGATGACGGTGGTGGTGAAGAAACGCATCTTGTTTGTTTGATGATTTTTAAGAAAGGGAATGACAGTAAGGATGAAGATCCGAGTATTCCAGTTAAAAGAGCGACTGGAGTGGGAATGAGTGTTTTAAAAAAGAGTGACTGACGAAAAGGAACGTCTGATAAACACGAGGAAGAAGCGATATGGAAAGAGAAGAAAAGAAAGAAACGCAGTCAGGGTGGCGGAAGAGGGAAGAAAAGGGTTCAAAACAACACTAAGCCGACTAAACAGAGCCTCGACAAGTGAGCCCCCCTTGGGCAATGGGAGGAGTTCCTAAGATTGCAATTTCCAACACCCCTTGAAGCATTGTCAAATCACCGGTGCCCAAAGGCCATTCTGCGGCTCAGATTATGGTGGGTCGGGGGTAATGGCCGCTAAGACAAACCAACAATTTCGACATTTTTTGCGACAGAGAGGATACCTAGAGAAGTCTAAGCCCTGGCAGTGGCACCGGTTAGCCCTTTGTAAATGATGCGATGTGGAATGCCCAAGACCGACCGTGCCACGCTGGACGGAGGAATTGAAGGATGTTACCTTGCTAGCTGACCCCAAAACATCGCAAAAATCCACCAGCAGAAGTACAAGAATAGATCGGGGAAGACTAGCGATCAGACACAAGGCTCCTTCACAGCAGGGATTGGCGGAGACTCTGAGTTTCGAGTTGCCATCCAGGATTGATCCCAATCTCCTTCGGCGGCCCTAGAGGTTAGCAGCGAGAGCTAAGAGCGAACGGCGTCAAACTTACAAAGTATCTCGTGAGTGTTAAGACTAGTGCGGCCATTAAGTTTGCGTTTTAAGACAGAGTGTGAGATGGATTGACTTGAGAAGTGAGATCGATTGAGATGCACTGAGATGGTGGTGTTGAAAGAGGAACAGAATATGGCAAGGCGTGAGGTTGAAGACGACTACGAGATCCTCCCTTCTCCCCATCTTTTCCTTTTCTCACCCAACATCCACCTCCAAACAGAGTCTCCCAGACCCCCTCTCGCGACACAGACCTCCGGATAATATCCGAGCGGCAATGCAACTAATTAATTTAGCATCTTATTATTTTGATTATTAGTCCCCTGCTATTAAGAGGTGAGTCTGCGGTGTGCCTGGAGGAGCCAAAGGAAAATGACAGCTGAATATCAATCTTCCTGCCAGGCAGCACGCGACGAAAGAGTCATGCAAACAGGCAGATATTCGGACAGCGGGTAGTTATCCAAATCAAGAATCTCTCCACGCCGTTATGGAGATAGTCCCACAATTGGCATTAAGCCCTTGCTTGAGAGAGTTTGGTTCCTGGACGATCGCATCCCCCGTTGTTCGAGCACAGCAGTGATCATCATTGCCTGCGGATAAACTCCAATGATCGACTCTTTTTGTGAAACTGTGTCACTACAACTCCATACTGACTCGGTGCAACAGGATTCAGGGATTCTTTCTAAAGCCATGTTGCTTTTAATGGAAATAGTAACAGCAATCACACTTCTCCCGTTTAAACCAATGCGACGGTGCGACAACTCCATTTAGAAATTAAAGGCATACAGAAGCAACACGGGTTATGGAGTACATTGGATTGGATATCATGCAGCCAAGGACTTTAGTCCGTTGAAACACGAGACGAGGCTGATATTTGATTCCGCCTTTAACGATGCATAGACTTGCCGCAGGGACAGTACATCGACTGCCTTGTTCCGGGGAGTTGACATTATTAAGGATTCTCATATGGGCGTCTCAAGAGCTATGATTCCAGTCCCTTCTGGCGGTTCAGATATGCAGCACAGTCCAAGCTGGACAGAGTGCGTTGTCGCCCTAATAGCTATGAGTAGACAAAGACTCAACATCGTGGGATGAAACAAGAAGGCATGAAGCTCCTCACCACCCAAAAAAGAATGCGTCGATGTGCTGAAAGAATCTGGAATCCTGGACCATTCCATGCCCTCAAGTTTTCCCTCGAGCATACTCATACTCATACTTGCTATGCTTCCAAGTTCCAAGAACATTGAACTGCTACTAACAGCCCACACTGACTTTTGCTTGGCCTTTCTTAATTATGCAATATTAATTATCCGGATGCCCCTCCGTGTTAAATTTCCACAATAATGACCACAATAATAATTTATTCTCCGAACGCCTTAGCTTAAACAAGACTACCAAGGCTCGAACAACCGTGGAAAAGCGCCCGTCATTTTGATTCGACCATGGATGCTGTACAATAACCGCTCACGGAATAATCCGACATCGCCAACACAATTTTTACGACTTGGGATGCCACCGGCATAAGCCTCAACACTAACGCTGGGTATTTTTTTGATCTATCGTCGCGAGTGGATAGCAGCCATACGAGCCAAGGGGCCTAGATCAGAAAACGAGAGGCTCAAAAATCCAAATGGGGCCAAAAGTGAATGAGGTATCATCGTTATTGGTATAGTTTCATATCCAATGTCCAAAGGGATCGCTTCCCATGGGTCCCAAATCTATAGACCATCTGACCATCTCCCTCGCTTGCTTCAAAGTTTGCTTTTGTCGTGAACCCTTCCTTAATATGCAAACCCTTCCCAACCCTGCATATTATAGCTCCACTAACACGAGCCCTATCAAAACTCAGTCGTTTCAATTGATAAAGAGACTTTGCGATATTATTCCACCCAGGTCACCGTTTTGGTTTGCAAAAATTCATCATAGCCCGACGTTCCTCCGAACCGACCGAATCCACTGCTCTTCCATCCACCGTGTGGCAGAACAGGCTCATCGTGTATGGTCAACGAGTTGATATGGACCGCCCTATAACAGCACTAATCAGAAAAGGGCCCCATAGTTCATAGGCCAGAAGGATCGAGGCCAGACTTACCCGCTTTCAATCTGCCGGGCAACTCGCAGCCCCCGAAACAGGTTGTTGGTGAAGACGGCACTTGTGAGGCCGTATTCCGTATCGTTGGCTAGAGCAATCGCATCCTCCTCGGTGTCGACAACCAGCAGGGATACAGTGGGTCCAAATGACTCGGTGGAATAGATATCCATGTCCTTAGTGACATTGTCAACTATCAGGGGTCGTAGGCTGTGACTGGAAGATTCGGTCGCTTTGGCGTCCCCAAACAGCACGTCCGCTCCCTTGGACAGTGCATCGGTTACCAGCTCTCTGTTCTTGTCAACGGCAGCGGATGCCACAAGGACTGGTGCCGGGGCATTCTTGCCAAATACATTCTCTGTTGTCTGAACCAAAATCTGACGGAATTTCTCTGCAATAGACCGCTGTACCACGATGCGCTCGGTGGACATGCAAATTTGACCAGACTAACTCTGTCAGGTTTCTTCTCAGTGCAATCTAACAAGTGCAAGTACTCACATGCAGAAAGGATCCTATAGTGCAGCCCATGGCGGCCTTTTCCAGATTCGCGTCATCCAAAACGATGGCTGATGCCTTGCCGCCCAATTCCAAAATTACTGGCTTGATGTATTTACCAGCAGTAGCAGCGATGATAGAGCCGACTCGAGTACTACCTGTGAAGTTGATTTTTCGGACAGCCGGATGAGCAATGAGGGCATTGGTGACCGCCGCAGCGTCTGAAGGCTGGTGGTAGAGGACATTGAGACAGCCTGCGGGAAGACCAGCATCCCGATAAATCTCACCAAGGGCATGGAAACATCTCGGAGATAATTCAGAGCCTTTAAGAACGGTTGTGTTGCCTGCTGCTAGTGGAAGGGCAACGGCGCGAGTTCCGAGAATGAATGGCGCGTTCCTGTGAGTTGATGATTAACTTACCATTGCTTCACAGGATGATTTCCACTTCCACAGCGAGTCTTACCAGGGCACAATCCCCAAGATCACTCCATATGGCTCCTTGAATACCATGGCACCCTCCCCTTCCTGAGACACCGACGGTACCTTGCCTTCGATCGAAGGAATTCTTCCAGCAAAGTCCTTCAGAAATTCAGAACCCATCATAAATGTTTTCTCTACAAATGGTCTCGCAGCTCCTGTTTCCTCCATCTGGTATCCGATCAACTCCTCTTTCCGGGAAAGCATGATATCCGCTGCCTTGAGCAAGATATCCCGGCGGTCGTATGGCGTCGTATTTCTCCATGCGGGGAAGGCCGCCTTCGCAGCGGCCACAGCACGGTTGGCATCGTCGACTGAAGCGCTGGCACAGAGACTGATCACTTCGCCAGTTGCAGGGGCTCGGACTTCGAATTTAGAATTTGTTATGATCGATTCATTGTTAATGATAAGAGGGATGGCACCCTTTGCACTGTTGCTGAATTCCGTCATTTTGAAGTCGTGCCACGATTAGGGAGCTGGGGGAGATTCTAGCATTCAACCTGGGTTGTTGCAGATGAGGCAGAGATAAGAACAATCGGCTCTGTAAAGGGGGAGGGGGATGATTAAGAATAACGGCAGATGTAGAGTCTCGACTCCCGAATTAGTTTCAATGTGGAAGGTTAGCGTGATGGGCGAGATCGTTAGTTCCAAGACGTTTGTCTTGTAGGTGCAGCTACCGAAGTGAGGGGAAAATGCCCCAGGTTCGACGAACGGTCGTTACAACAAAAACATTGACAACGCTGCTCCATCCTGCCCCTGCGATCTGTACATTCAGTTTCTTTGTTAAAAAAAGAGCCGAATCAAGAGGGACTGAAAGCTGGAAGTCATGACGTCTTGGACATCTGTCAAACCTAACTGTCACGGCATTTTCCAAGTTTGACGTTCCAACGTTGCTCCCGCAGTGGATAACTTTCCCGGCAGTGGCTACTAGTTATCAGTTCCACTATGGCTTGCAGACTGCAGCCACTGTGCAGGGTGTATCAGGTCAATCTGCAAGCCATAGCAGATGAAGCTCTCATGGGGGTCATGGATATTGTCAACAAGCAACAATAGTACGTGCACTAGGGCCATGTGCTGCGAGTTGTCCAGAGTAATGGAATTCGGTAGCTGCCAGGCCTGGTGCTGGAGTCTGGACCGATATGAAGACACGTTGATCATTAATTGGCGATGGATTGTTGCAATTATCGTCCTTTTCTCTGCACAATGGCAATAAAATGACAATAATTGCAACAATCAAAGAAAAAGAAAAAGAAGCAGAATTGAAGCTGCTTCTGTCGGGAGCTATAGTCCCAACTGGGATTAGTGTCGTCTGCCCCTCGCGTCCTTGATCATCGAAGCTGCTTCTTCCATCCACTTGAACAACTCGTGATTTTCATCCCTTTTCTCTCCTGGACATGGGATGGATCTACAGTTACACTGTCTGTGCCTAATTATTCTAATAGTACTTGATCATCCCCCTTGTTGCTAATCGTGGACTGGTGAAACTACCTATCTATGAGTGTCTTGGCGCTAGGTAGGCAGTAAGTCTGCCCCGAGAATTACGGAGTACTCTTGAAGGACATCTAAGATATGAGGGACGACAGTAAGATCAAATCTATATTCCAGTATCAACCGGGACGTGAAGTACTATGTTTGCAGGTATCAATGGATAATGACTGATGACCGGTGACTGGTAGATGATAGACAAACCCCAACACCCCCTATGCTTTACCAAGGAATGAAGCGAAGAAAAAATAACCCCAAGATATATATCACAATGCGCCTGATATGCTCCTTTTTGTTCAATCACGCTTCGATAAAAGACGTTTCATCCATCCCTGGATCATTTCCCAGCCCATATCTTGGTCTCCGTACCACTACTGCCGTTTGTGAACTCAGCAAAGGGACACGCGGAGGTGGCAGATGGAGCTCCACTGTTAATGCTGGAGCGATCATCTTCACTGGAGCTTCCTGTTGTGCTGCCCTCACCCAAGATCTTTTTATCGCCTAGGTATCCCTCCTTTTCTTCCTCCATATTGATTTGGGACATCTCGTCGGCGAACTCCTCACCATCCCTAACACGAAACCTGGCGAACAGGTCGTTCTGGATCCAGATGATTTTGTTGATAGCTCGCAGCAGAGCTATCTTGCGACTGAGAGAGAGGTGAGGGTGGGACATGAGGGCTTCCGTGAAAATGTCTTGGATGAACCCGAGGAGAGCGCCAATGTGGATATATTCGATATTGAGGGCGTGCAAACGCTCTTGGCCACAGTGCATCACACTACAAAGACGATTAGATAAAGGTCTTACACATGTATTGGAGGAGGGGGAGCGAACGTACCCTACTTTGTTCAGATACCGCCAGAACTCCATTTGGGAGGGATCAGAGCAGATCTTGATCAAGTACCACCGAAGAAACATTTTTCGACGCTTGATCTGGGGACTCTCTTCCGTGAAAAAATCCTCCACCGGCGTCTCATCGGCGGTACTCCTGGTGTGAAAAGCACGAGCAGTGATGTCCGTTTCCAGGAGCTTTTTATAGACGATGTTGACCACGGCGGGAATCAGGGCCTTGATGTACTTGGAGCCTGATGCAAGAGCTTCAACATCACCTGCAGGGATGGTCAGTTTGACGACACATACAGCTGGATGACTATCAGCTCTTTGGACGAGAGAACGTACAGGAATTGAAGTCTAGGAATTCACGAAGGTAGTTGATGCGGGCCTCGAGTCTGGTGTATAAGGATTTCCGGTCAACATGCTTGACGGGCCGGCCTTCAAGCAAATATTCCATCTTGTCGTTGTGGATAAGGTTCAATATAAGTATTTGTGATATAGCTGGAGGCACGAACTCCTGGGGTTGTTTCAAGGGACCTCGTGGGATAAGCAGAGATGCTTGAGGAAGATGGGAAGATGGAGACAACAGGATCGAACCGGGATACCCTTGGTGCTTATATATGTACATGCATTCGCAAGGAAATACCCTCAAGGAGAGAACACCTCCACTTCTCTTCCCACGCGGGAACCGTTCCAGAAAGGGACCATAATCGACGAGGCCTCGAATTGGCCCGGTATACCATTCCGGACACCATCAGGCCAGATCGATGCATCAGGATTCCGAAACCTGGCGACCAGTCTGTCAATCATGGATCCTCCAATGGTCTGATCAGTCCACAGGCTGAAACACGTGGTACCGTGGAGCTTTCGGGGATATAGATTGTATAATTGCATCGCGGCACGGTTTGAATGACCCGAAGCGCTAGTGGATTGTGATCAATGTTGAAGAATCAATCATAATGGGGGATTTCGAATATTTCCTGCTTCAACATGGGCGGCATAAAATAATACTAATCGCGCACACGTATTTGATGGTCAAACGGACGTTCGCGACTCCACAATAGTGGCCCATCCGAGCATTTCGGAGCCGACGGCAGACGGAACGACGGAGCTTCTTAGGCGATGGCAGATGTCATCCACTGGAGCAACAGAGAGACAACAAATCACAACACGTGAAAAAGAATAGTGCCTACGGATGTCATCTCCATTAGACGCGGTAGGTTGCTAACTTGTTTCAGGTAGTTGTTTACGAGTTACGAATTAGAATCGCGGCGATGACGATAGTGATTCTATTCTGATGGTCGCGAGAAAAAAAAGGAGCAGCGGGACTATCCAAAGACGTATAACGGTCGGGACCTTATATCCTAATGAGTACTGTCCTCCGGGGTGTCTCCTTTTTTCTAGACTCTTGTTAGACTGGTTGGGGCTGAGAATCGAGATTTGAGGGTGAAATCGGAGATCCAATCTGCCTGCGCTGTGTCGCGTGATGGTGGAGATTCCGATGGAGGCTGCCACCATGGCCTGATCGAAGAGAAAAAAATAATAACAGGAAACCCGGTTTTCCCTCGAGTGATTCAGCAACGATAATTGAATGGAAGAAACAGGAAAGTAATACGAGAAAAATTGATCGGAAAATGGACAGGTCAATTGAGGGTATCCCAAGTCTTAAGAAATCGACATCTTCTGCAGCATCAAATTTGCCGGTCCCTTCATCAACTTGAAACGGTTTACCGCGGCGATCAACAGCGTTTTTCCTGCTCATCCATTCACTGTCCTGATTTCTTCTTTTTCTCCTCGTTTCTCTGCCGCCATACGGAGATATCGCCCGTCATTTCAACATTAGAGTAGTTTCACAAATGCCGAATGGTCTCAGTCTTGACTGACAGTACTGTGGATCTCCAACGGTCGACATGAACCATGGAAGGATGAGGATTTGTTTAATGATGGTGTTTGCTATTCCTAACCCACTCGTGCATCCTTAATTTGAATAGTATTGCCGTGTCCTGGAAGCTGGGTGGTGTTGATTCGTGGTCGAGGGTCTTGTATACAGGTAGACTTGAACCAGGAGAGATGAGAATTAATTGACACCAACCATGGTACCTAGGTAGACTCGTATATTTATGCCAATAAGAAGCATTATTGTTATCTTGCACATCCAAGACGATTTCAATTATATTACTGAAGCCAAGACAATATTCGACCTGTCAATTCTCCCTCGCTCTTGGATCTGTCGACGGCATGACCTCTACACCACCATCATCGCCATCACCATCACGAGCACGAATGATGTCCCCAATCTAGAGCCTGAGGAATTGATTCACCGTTTCAGAATGTCTAAGCGAAGTTCGCAAATGGGTCGCATTGATCGTCGATTCAAGGGGCCCGATATAGCAATGCTGGTGCAGATCCGATCGGCTATATGGACAGGGAATACTGATCCATGTCGTATACAATTACGAAGAACAGATCTACATGTCTAGATCTAGATAGATTCAGCAGCAACAATGCCAATTATCCTATAGATGATGCAAACGGGCAATGGCAAAGATACTGTGCTGCGTAACTCTTTCGCTGAGGAATGCTGGCCACGTGCTGGCCGAATCCATCGCCTCCGCATTTCCTCTTCCCGCCTTTCATCCTCGACCGAAAACATCTTTGTTTCCTTTTCCATCACTCTAATTGAACTGTTACAATGCAAGGTTCCCTTAATGATCCATCATCTAAATCAATTCTACCACCAATATGGCACAAAGTCTGAGATGTCTATTGAACCCCCCGCATACTTGGCAGTTGATATCGGAATCATCCGAAGCCTCGAGAACCTAAGCCTAGCCAGACTCCAAGACCAGATGAAGAATTGGGCCTAATAGCAATTGATGAATGAAGACAACGACTAATCTGATTATCCAGCCAGCTTTCCACTTGAAGTTTCACTGCTTCTTTGCTTCCAGGATGATTGCTAACGGAAACGTGCTTTCCCGCCCCGAATTCGAAGAGAAGACAGCCCACGCAATTGAGAAAGACCTGAGGGGCTCTGTCCTTTGCTTGGGTTTCCACTGGATCTACATTGCATTCAGGATTGAATCCTACCCTTCTCTCTCCGCTCATTGCGTTGCCTTCTTCTCTGTAGCCCCTCCACATTCTGGTACAGTCTGGATGGCTAGGTATCATCGACCACTGCTGCCCTGCTGTACCTTGTTGCGCGTCCGACCGGGCCCATCGACGCTATGCTTGCTCACTTGAGAAAAACAAAGTCCTTTGTTTACTGACCTAGACCCAGTCTGATTCTTGGTTGCTCTGCTGTCACCCTTCTGCTTTCGGGCCACTCCTGCAAACAATTTCTAGGGGCTGTCTCTACCTCGTTTCATATTCTTGCTTTAGTCTGCATTCGGACGGCTAACTTGTCGAGGGCTAAAACAACGTTTACTTAAACCAGGTGGTTTCCATACCAATCGACGTGATATCCTCGTCCACCATCGGTCCTCTGCCCAACCTCCTAGTTTTCAAGAGGCACCGGAGCCTATCCATCATGTTCGTTAGATTCTCGAAAAAGGCGCTCCTGGCGCTGTCTCTTGTAGCAGCTGTAGCCAAAGCTGCCCCTCCACGGGTGTAAGTTACCACGATACTGTCCTTCCTCATCTAGGTAATTGCTCACGACTAGCTTAGTGGTTTAACATCTCGCGATCTCACCTTTGACTACGACAATGACAAGCTTCGCGGGGTCAACCTCGGTGGCTGGCTTGTGTTGGAGCCCTGGATCACACCGTCAATTTTCGACGGGGCGGGGGAGGCTGCTGTTGACGAATGGACGCTCTGTGAGACTCTGGGCAAGGAAGAGGCCAAGGCCAGACTGTCTGCGCATTGGAACTCCTTTGTCAGCCAGGCCGATTTCGATGAGATTGCTGAGGCCGGTCTGAACCACGTCAGAATCCCAGTTGGTTACTGGGCCGTCTCTCCCGTTGAGGGTGAACCATACGTCGACGGTCAGCTGGAGGCCCTTGACAATGCGATTGGCTGGGCCCAAGCCGCGGGTATCAAGGTTTTGATCGACTTGCATGGCGGTAAGTTTATTGGAAAAGAGGGGAAAGAGCAATAGGATTAAATGCATCCTGTTTGCTGACAAGGTTGGATGTGACTAGCACCGGGCTCTCAAAATGGATTCGACAACAGTGGACACAGAGGAGCTATCAACTGGCTGCCAGGAAATTCGAAGCAGGACCCGGCTCTTCTATCCATCAAACTTCTGGCTGAGCGGTATACTAAATATGCCGACGTCGTGACTGCCATCGAGGCCATCAATGAGCCCAACATCCCTGGGGGGTTGAGCAAAGGAGGACTGGAGAAATATTACTATGATTCCTGGGGTGCGGTCCGAGAGCATAACGACGACACCACGGTCGTCTTAAGCGATGGTTTCCTATCGACAGAAAGCTGGAATGGCTTCATGACTGACGACAAGGGTGTCTGGAACGTGATGATGGATGCACACCACTATGAGGTTTTCGATGACGGTCTTTTGGCAATGGATATTAGTTCGCATACCCGCGCCGCTTGCCAGTTCAGCGCCGAGCATATCCAGCCAACAGACAAGTGGACTATCGTTGGAGAGTGGACTGCTGCCCTCACTGACTGCACTAAATATCTGAATGGCCGCGGAATCGGTGCCCGCTATGATGGTACCAAGCCCGGAAGCTCTAAGATCGGTGATTGCGGTGTCAGGTTGCAGGGCAGGACAGCCGATCTCCCCGCGGAGGAGAAGACTAAACTTCGCCAGTTTATTGAAGCTCAGCTCGATGCTTATGAAAAGAAGACCGGTTGGATATTCTGGACCTGGAAGACCGAGGGGTCGCCCGAATGGGATATGCGACAATTGCTTGCGGAGGGTGTTTTCCCCCAGCCTTTGACGGACAGAGCATTCCCACCACAGTGTGCTTAAATCGAGGAATGGAAGCTCTTGCGGTTTATTTCTCTCTTTAATGGCAACGGAGTGTCTCTCTTTTGAGCAGCATTATTGAACCCTATTGGGACACATTATCAGGGTTCTTCCTGGAAAGTGTTATTGATATTGACATTTAGTCTAGTTTTAGAATGAACAATAAAATGATTTTATTTTATTTTATTTTAATTTTTTTTTTTTTTTTTTTCATATTTTCATTACTCCGGCGTCGAACGACTATCTATAGGGGGTACGTAACAATGTACGAGAAAATATGCTGGCCCAAATAAGCAGATCTGCAACGGCCGGAACAGCATGCAAAATCTCCTAGGTAGCAATTCAACTACCTATCCCAAGGCGGCTAAAATTGAGGATCACAATCAAATAAGGCCCAAAGCCCCAAATGCAGCAACAACGTCACGATCGACATTGAGAAGCCACTCCTCCTGGAACCGCTGCTCACCCCCACAACCCACAATCAACGAGTGGAGACGCTGTCGGATAAAGTCTCGAATGTTGATCTTGTGGATCACGTCCGATCCCTCCCAGTCGCGTCGACGTTCGTTCTCCGGTGGCTCGTTTTCGTCGTACTTGCCTGTCTGGGCATTGTTCCAGACGACCAGGTAATCTCCGCCTCGCGGGTCATTGGGGTCCTCACCGGCGCCTTCGGAAAGTTCGGTGACGATATCAGTCCAGATGTTCAGGTAGGACTGAAGGTGGTTGAGAATGTAATGCGGGGGCTGGGAGTCTGGGCCATTGAGAGTCAGGATCTGGGTGAGGGCGAGGGCGTGTAGTTTCTTTTGGTTAACGCTGCCGATGTTATCGTAATGGAGGAACCACTCGGTCAGGATCCAGGTCATGACCTGTTCGTCTGATGTTGCTGTTGCGGCGGAAACGGCGGAGACGAAGATCTTGGGGTTGGCGAGAGCCAGGCGGGCGAGGACGGAGAAGTAGTCTGTCTCGACTACGCCATAGACAGAGGTGGTTTTTCTGTTGGGTCCGGTGGTTTGGCTGGCTTCGTGGGCGGAGTGAAGGCCTTCGAGGAGAGATGCTAAGAATGAACTGTCGAGAAGCGATTGGGCGAGGACTTGGTAGCTTTGTTCGCTGCCGCCATCCACCGTTTCGGCACCGCGGATTATGAGCTCCACGAGGCGGGGGACAATGCCCAAACGCTGGCGGGTAGTTATTTGTAGAAGGCTCTCGAAGGAGGTGAGGAGGTGGAATCTGATACGGTCGCTGAGCACCTCCTGAGGAGCAAGGATGATGTAGGATTCTGCGATTTGAAGAGCTTGGGGAACACTGTCTGTGGCGGCTTCGAAGATCGGGAAGAGGGCGGGAAGAAGGGAGAGAATCTCAGGAGAAGCTGGCGATGGAGTTTGCATAATAATCGCGGACCAGAGCTCTAGCGCCTCATCCAGGAGGTATATCAGGGTATCCTGAGAGATGCTATTAGCCTGGCTCCAAAGGGGGCTATCCAAAACAAAGGGTGACTTACAGAGCCCGGCTCCACCGAGCTTTGAATGAGAGGCAGAATCAAAGAGTGGTACCGCGCCGAATCTTGTTTGAGAGAGTGTATCAAAGAAGAAAGGAGAGTGAGAATCGCCTGCTTCATTAAATGTTCCTCGCCCGAATGTTCCCAAAGCGGAGGCAATAAGGACAAGATCTGATCCGAGAAGGGGGTAATCTGGGAAGCGTTAGAATTACTCGGTCTACAGCAGGACGGGGTTTCTTTCATACGTGATCTTCCATCTTGACCACCGCCACACGAACTGTCTCCAAGAGGCCCATTTTAATTTCAGAGAGTTCAACCTCTTCAATAAGGGACATGAGACCCTGGAGTATGGCTGGCGCGTATGGCATAAATCCAGTAGGGGAAAATTCGTAAGGGTCAAGCACGTTACGGAGCTGTCTGCCTGCAGTAATCCGGACGACAAGATCGTTCAACGGATCCTGCTTGTTAAGCAAGTGCTGGAAGATCTGGTAGATAGCATCTCTGTTCAACTCGCCGGGTTTCACTGGGACCCATTGACCAAGCACAATTGCAATCCTCCTTCTAAGAAGGTTATATCCTTGCTCTTGGATCTGAACCTCTGGTACCAGGGTTGATTGCAGGAACGTGTTGAAATCCAGGTGCTGCTCTAAACTTGCAGAGGCCAGTCCAATAGCTGAATACAACGAATCCTTCAATAGCACGTCGCGTCCTTCAGGGCCTGGAGACTTGGTCAGTGTTGATTCGAGATGACCTCATCGTAACTCAAACTTACTTGCAAAGGAATAGAACACACTCAACAGACGTGGGATGAGCAGCTCCTTAAAATGAATGACGAGGTCAAGGAAAAGCTTTTCGGAACAAGAGCGAATGGAAAACTCCCATGCTTCAGCGACATCTTCCTCCTTTCTCTCCCACTCCTCAGGGTCTTCCTCCCATTCCTGGAAGTCACTTTTTCTAAACTTAAAGAACTGGGTAACAAGAAGTTCCATGACAGAGACCACAAATTCTTGTGTGAATAGTTGCGACTTGATCAGCTCGACCGATTGTTTCTTCTCTTCCTTATCTTGAGGTGTCTGATATTTGAATGTCTGGACTGGATTGAATGCCATCCTCGCGCAAGCTCTAATCAGAAGTAGTGCCCTAAGTCCAGTTTTCTCCATCAAGGACTTTCCTTCCGACTCCCCGTCAGCTCCTAATTTGCCGTAATCCTCACTAAGTTTGACGACCAAACTCCAGTATGATTGCACCAGAGGAATACTATCCGGGAGCAAGGCGAAAGAGGCAGGATGTGTTTTTGCCATTTCCACATGGAGTTTAGACAACTGCAAGAGGTGTTTCTCAATCGCTCTGTGGACTGGCTCTGGTAGTGTGACCGAGCCATGCACGAACGAAAGGAATCTGCTGAAATGAGAGTGAGTGAGAACCCAGAAGTCTCGGACTTCATTAGCACGGCTGGGGTGCTCGAATCCCGCGATGACCAGTCGTCGAACGACCTTCAAGCATATCAAGCTCTGTTCGAGTGCATCTATCAAAGCTGCCTCATCGGCCCCGCCCTGCTCCAAGAAGGCGCCCCATTTGTTCACTTTGTCCACATATATGCTGCCCAGCAGATTGAATATCTCCGGAGAAACGCTTTGAAGATGCGCACGCGTCCTTTGCAATCTGGCGGTGGACAACTCTTTGATAATTTGTAGGATGATTGTAAGGGTCCGAGGTAGCTGTAATGGGTTCGCGCCAGGCTGAGTCGACGATCGAAGGAAGGCAATGGCCGAGGTGATTCCATCGGGCCTTTACAAGCAGATCAATAGATGTCAATTTTGAGGGAGAAGGTATTTCGACGCACCATTCTGCGGGAAATTCGTAACGCATGATTTTCGCAATCATCAACGAGTTGTGAAGGGCCAAAAGAGGAGCGGGCTCAACCACACCAGCTTGGAGGGCCCTAGTCTTGATATGATCTTTCTCTTCTTTCTTGATTGCACTTTCTGATATTAGCTCACAGTATCGGGTATAGATATTTATTGTCTTTGGTGCACGCATACTTTGTCGCAGTCTTTCGCCAGAATTTGTCGATGCCATTTTTCAACTGTATAATGGAAAGATATCGGACCTCGATCGGTACGGAGTAATCTAGGAATATATCCTACAGAACTTAGCATCACTCAAGATAGACTGCCAGCCAAAGAAAACAAGTACCTGCAGAAAGGAATGGTACTTCTCCTGCTTCTCCCAATTCTGGAGTTGCTGAGTACCCGTCTGCACCTGCTGCTGCGTAGAGCTGGCAGCTAGAATCATTGCATTGAGCACATTCTCATGGCTTAGAGGATTAGCTTCCCCAGGCAACTCGAGAACCTGGGCCATGGTCAAGTGTTGATGGTGGAGACCGTCAAGGGTGTTGATAGCAGTACTACTGCAGATCGATCGGGCAAAGAACTTCTTAAGACAATGCTGCCATAAGATACCGGAAGATAGCTCGAACCCCCCTGGGTTTCCGTCCTGTAATCAACAGCGACACAAGAGAAATGATATTAAAAACCAAACAAGCTCGACACGGCAGCAACAAGCTCCCATTCATTCATTCCTTTGCTATTCCTCGTCAAAGGTCGACTCCCCGCCCTCTGCGGGAGAGGCCGGCGCATAGTTGTTCCCGACCGACAGTACCCTAGGTCTGGACCCTAGCTTCTGGCCTAAACGGGACATCGACTTAGGGCTGAAATTAAGGGTCGGCGATGAAGTCATAAGGCAAGCTGCGATCCTACCGGTTTTGAATGCGGTTCGATTCTTGCTCAACCAGCAGCTCATGTGGTTCCGACTACGAATAAGTGGACCAGGCCCTTGAGTCTGGATCCTGCAACACTGTGACTCTGCTGCCAGACTGCCTTGATGTCTTCTTTTAACAGTGGGCTGGTGACATCGCCATGATGTAGCATGATGCAACACCATCGAACTGTCCCTGGTGAAGGGATCGATTTTGAGCGCCCATGGATACTATATAATCAGCCATTTCCAGATGGTTAACTTTTCTCTCTCAGGTCAAACAATTCTTCTCTACCACCAAACAAATACCCAGCGATATTCCCCCTATACCGCTCAAATCAATCTACCTAAACACAACCAACATGTCTTCCGACGCACTTAACATCGCCTACCAGGCCGAGAAGGATCTCAACAGCTACCAGGCCAAGCAGGGTCTCGGCCCCAAGAGTGACTCCAGTATGTGCACCCGGATTTCATCCGATGTCCTACTGTTCACGATACTAATTCTTTAGCTGCCGAGTCTGGCGTGAACGAGATGGTCGACAAGAAGTTCTCTCAACCCACCGGCGTGGCAACTGGCCCTGGGGCTGTCCCTACAGGAAGCGACCGCAAGCCCATTCGTGAAGAAGAGGGAGGTGTCCGTGATGACCGTGGTCGGTAAGTAGACAACCTTGCCGTTTCATCACTACCAGGACATGGTGTGCTAACTTAGTGATACAGATTGGCACCCGCTGAAGATTATGAAGGCCCTGGAGGCCCTGAGGACAAGGTGAAGATTCAAACAGAAACTCGCGGTGGAGACCAAGATAATCTCAAGCTTCATTAAAGGAACTGCTTCATAGATTAGTGTACGGCCTGTATAATAATTAATTATGAGGAATGACCATGATTGACTCAACTTTTACCATGGATAGACTGCCCATAGTTTATCTGTAATCCTTTCCAGCATGACAGCTTCAAAGACAATCGATCACCACCACAACTTCTCCATCCAGTGCCAGCCCCACGTCAACTTGACACTCAGATCCCTCCACTTCGAGATGCCCCTGAGCTAACGGCTATGCGGGACCAATTCCGGCATGGTAAGACCTAGACTAGCTAAATCCTTCAGGTTTCAACCGTGTAACGATTTTGACATTTAATTGGGTTTTTGTGTGATTTCTAATCATACGATCATTCACTACCCAGTGGTATAAGTACTCGGTATCCTCGTTGCCATTAAAGAAAATCAGTTGGAAATATGGGGTCTATAACACTCGAAGAAAACCCGATTGAAGCAAGACTCTTCATCAATGGCGAGGTAAGATGTCGCTTATCAGCAGTTATTTTCATTCGCTTCATTCTGCAGGGGTAACACGATGTGATTCTAGTTTCGGCCCTCGTCGAATGGAAAAACGTTCAAGTTGATCAACCCTTTTACAAGAGAACCAGTTGCCGATGGTGAGTGTGTCATTTAAGCCTCACTATTAACATTCTAACTCTTTCCAGTCCACGAAGCAACAGAACAAGATGTCAACGACGCCGTGGCAGCAGCCAAAGCCGCCTTCCCAGCATGGAGAGATCTCAGTCCTCAGGATCGTGGCGTCTACCTGGAAAAGCTCGCCTCTTTGATCCGCGAATCCAACGGTGATCTCGCCCGCCTCGAAGCCATGTCTATGGGCAAGCCTGTCTCGGGGTACTTTGACGCTGGCGTGGCTGCGGATAATTTGTCGTGGTTCGCTCAGGCTGGTTGGAGTGTACAGGGTACCTCGAGCCTTAACACGCCTGGATATCTTAACATGACCGTCAAGCAGCCATACGGTGTAGCTGCTTGCATCATTCCTTGGAATGTTCCGGTTCTCTTCTTTGCGTCTAAGATTGGTCCGGCTTTGGCTGCGGGGAACACTGTCGTTCTGAAGAGCAGTGAAAAGGCCCCATTGACAGTGAGTTCTACACCATACCTACTAGCCAAACGACTCTTACTAAAACCAACAGTCTGCCTACGTCGCCAACCTCGCCGCAAAGGCCGGCTTCCCACCTGGCGTTCTCAACGTCATCTCCGGCTTCGGTGCACCAGCCGGCACCACCCTCTCCTCCCACATGGACGTCCGCTGCCTCAGCTTCACCGGATCCTCCTTCACAGGGCAAAAGATCCAAGCCGCCGCCGCAGCCTCCAACATGAAACACGTCCACATGGAACTAGGCGGGAAATCGCCTGCCGTCATCTTCGAAGACGCAGACCTAGAAACCGCCGCCGCACAAACACAGTTCAGCATCAAGTTCCAAAGCGGACAGACCTGCATGGCCAACTCGCGTATCTACGTGCAGGAATCTGTCGCTGAAAAGTTCCTGGCCCTGTTCAAGGAGAAATTCGGGGCTGCGGTTTTGGGCGATCCCTTGGATTCAACGACTTCTCATGGACCGCAGGTTGATCGGGTTCAGTACGAAAAGGTCAAGTCGTATCTTGCCATCGGTGACAAAGAAGGCGCGAAAACACTCGGTGGAGACGCTGAGAATGGAAACTTTGTCAATCCGACTGTGTATGAGAATGTTCCTGAAGATTCACGGATTATGAAAGAAGAAGTCTTTGGTCCCGTGGTCGTTATCAACACCTTCAAAACCGAGGCTGAGGCTGTTGAGAAAGCGAACAATACTGAGTTTGGGCTGTACGCTTCGGTTTACACCAAGGATCTTGATCGCGCTATGCGATTGTCCAAATCGCTCGAGGCTGGCACCGTGGGCGTCAACTGTGCCAGCCCAACTACGGCTAAGGATATGCCTTTTGGAGGATTCAAGATGAGTGGTACTGGCCGAGAGGGCTGGTTCAATAGTCTGGAGAACTATTTGGAGACCAAGACTATTTTGATTAAAATTGGATCGGAATAGTTTATTGTCTAGATATTAAAGAAGTATTACTATACGTAAAAGGTTTTGATAATATACATTTATCTGCTTCTAGTGGTCAATTGACTTGGCAATTAAGTTATGCTATTGAACTATTTTAAAAAGAGAACTAGGCTTGTAAAGAAACATGCAGCGTCATAGAACAGATTCATGACCGACCCATCAAGAGCACCGTTCAGGCAGTCTAAATGAAGTTGGCCCCAATGCCCAGCAAGAGAGCAGTGACGGCCCCGAATGTCGAAGCCCCCAAGGAAACACCAGCGTTTGGAGTGGTGGATGCCGAGGAAGAAGAGCTCGTGGAGCTGGATGAGCCATTTTTGCTGGCAGTAACCTTGACATTGTAGTCGCTCTTCGTGTCATAGGGGAAGGGGCTTGTGTAATTGTATGTTGGTGTGGTACCGGCGTAAGTTTTCTTGACAATATCCAAGATTCCATGACCGGCGGAGCAAGTGGCGTTAGTCAATGGGTTGGGCCACACAGGCGAGAACTTCGAATAGGTATTGCTCGACAAGGGTCCAGGATAGGTCTCGTTGAGATGGAGGTTGGTGGTGTCCACATCGTAGTTTATGTATCCAGTTTTGTTTGCCACAATTTCAAGGATGTTGGCACCGCAATCCCAGCGGCCCAGAGATGGAAGACCCCAGTTGGCGGACATGGTAGCGATGATGGAGTAGTGGGTGTAAAAGGTATCGTCCTTGGTACCTTTGAGATGGTTGGGAATAGCACCTCCCAGGAGAATACTGAAGATCTTGTTGCCCTTTGGATAGGTTTCGTCCTCATCAAATGTCAGAAGAACCAAGGTGTTGTTCATGAAATAGGAGTTGTTGAGCAAGGGTGTGATCCAGTTGCGCTCCCACTTAGCAGCAAAGGTGATGTTGGTGTCATGCGCGTCGTTGGTCATGTTAGGTGTGACAAACGCCCACTGAGGGAGCTTTTTGTTGGCCAGGTCATCTTCAAAAGAAGTGAAGTTTTTGATCTGACGCAAGCGAGTGCTATTTTGGGTCACCGAGTCGTACTGAATCAACGGGTTGTGCTTGCGCATGTAGTCATTGGCATAAGTGACTTGGTTGGAATAGTTGTATCCCTGGTAGCCAGGGTAGGGCTCGTGTTCTTGGTACTCGGCCCACGCGATGTGCTTGGTATCCAAGAGATCAGCGATCGTGGAGACGTTCGATGGGATCTGGTGGAAATCATCGTTGTCCATGCCAAAAGTGTCTCCTCCGGCTGAAGCACAGTAGTTTGGCTCGGAAGGATGGGTGGTAGCATAGTAGTTTGTCCTGTAAAGATAATATCAGCAATGTTTTCTTTTTTCACATACGAATATAAACCTACAACAGGATTCCTTGCGAGGCCAGCCATTCCATGTTATCATCCTCTTCGGCCTTGTCGTAGTCCTAGAAACTCAGTCAGAAACGATATGACGTAACAAGCCAACAGACGTACAATGTTCTCGAGCCACACTTGGAAAAAACGATCAAACCCAATACCCTTGACATTGGAAACAGGGGCGTAAGGCTTGACTGTGGCAGCAGCAGCCTCAATATCCGAGAGAGATGGCTCTTTCTCAGTGGCCGTCTGGGCATAGGCCAGGGACAGTGTAGCAAGCAAAGCAGCGACGGTCTTCATTTTGGAGGATCTGTTGCTTGTCTGGTGATTCCTTGTTGAATGACCGACTGACTTGAGAGTAAATATTGAAAGGATAGGAATTTGATGACATTTATAGGCAACGATTCACTCATCGCACGTGGTCATGTACGACGTCAAGATCCATTATCCATGGCTCCATTTAAGTGCGAGAAAAAGAGTGTAGATAGAGACTACGATGGAAGGATTGAAGCATCAAAGTGAATAACAACAAAGATCATGGCCACGCTGCTGGTCGACTGCATCTCATTTGATGGACGATGTCTGGGATGGTTGCAGTCTTACAGCGACCTAAAGCAGGCGAAGCTCTCCAGATGCCAAGAAGCGTAAGGCTGTATAGACAGCGGTGGGGCACTGCAGCACACGTGCCTCAAGCACTGGCTGTCCTGCTTTCATCCACCCAACATTCTCAGATCTGGATTGCAACGGATGAGGCATTTTGGTATGGAATCTCGCTTCGGAAGAGAGGGCCGGCTTGGAAGCAGGTAAATCGCGGAACGATGCATACTGTCAAGCATTTCCCCTCGTGAACAATTCCCGTTTTTATCGAGGAACTGAGTTTGAATGTTGTACCTGCAGTATAGTTATATGGGACAGAGAGTCTATAAAATATCCCAAAAGGTCAATTAATGTTGCATCGAATACGAATGTTCAGTGCTTTAACTTGGTGGACTTGTCGGGGAATTCCGATGCCTTCCATGTTAGTCCAATATCTATCAGGCCAAATCAGAAGGATTCTATTGTTACCAAAACATATGCTAATATATTCGGTTCCCATTAACCATTCTAATATTCTATGTGTCTGGAATGGGGATGTCTTTGTTTCCAAGTCCGCGGAAATTGGCGATAGCTTCGGGAAACCTATTTTCATCGTATTGAGTCCGCCATTACTTCCAAGTCAGCCCACAGAGTGCAAATTGAGCTCTGGATGGAACATTGAAGCTTTTTAAATCAATATTAAGGCTGATAGATTTAATTCATTCGCTAGAACCTTGGGGACTCTGAAGTTGTATTGGAGATTGTGGAGTACTAGCTGTAGGAGAATGTCGCACGGATTCCCATAATAGATGTCTTCCTCTAGAATATCATATAACAGTATAAAAAGGCATCGATCACCAAAAAACCATTCAATCATTCATAAACTCTTCATAAATACAACTTGCGATGTTTCTGATACAGTCATACTATGCAGTCACGTGGATTCCTTCAACCTCGGCTGTGTCCGATCTGGGGGACCGACGCCTGGACTGCTCAATTACCGACCATCTCTCCTCCTCTCGACTCCTACACCCCAACTCTTTGAGTGCACGATGATTTTACGATGAGTTCGACAAATTTTGCCGCTGCCCAGGAGCGGGTGCTGGAGCGCCGTCGTCTCCGCGAGGCCGAATCTCGCGCCAGGCTTGCGGAACAGCAGCAGGCGTCGCCGGTTAACCAAGCCGCTCTCCACAGACTCCCCTCTCCCCTCAACAGATTACCGCAATCGGGCCTGTCGCTATGGAATTCTATCAAAGGACGTGATGGTACTAGGCCGGCCTTCAGAGTTGGTCAGGTCGATGCCGAATTGCTCGATGAAGAGTTGCTGGGACTGTTGAAGGGACAGGTCGGGGATGCTTTGAAATACTTTGGGGTAAGTTATCTGGAGGGGTGCTGCTTCGCGGATATTGTTACAGCATACTGACTTTGTTCTTATCAGCCTCAAATGCGTGAAGATTGGTCCCACGAGATTCTATTTGTACTCCGCGCTCTCCTCTTCAAGCTCTCTATATGGGACCACAACGCTTCCTACGGTGCCGCTTTACAGAACCTGAGATATATCGACAGTCGCAGTCAAGGCCCTGTACATTCCACCCCAACGAGATGGCAAAAGACACTATACGGCCTACTCACTGTGGGTGGTCGCTATGCTTGGGACAAGTGGGAAAGCTGGTTAATCGACCAGGAAGGTGGCTATGAAGAAGTAAGGCCTCTCCGCGATAATCCCATCGTCTTCCCGTCAATCCCATACTGACTATAGTAGACATCTCAGGAAGTTCGAATGCTATCCCGTATGACGGATTTCGTTTCCACATCCCACTCGATTGCAGCCTTTGCCTCCTTTCTAGTATTCTTGGTGAACGGCCGATATCGGACATTGGTCGACCGCATTCTTCGCATTCGTCTCACTCCTCCATCTGCGCAGGCTAGTCGGGAGGTCTCTTTTGAATATCTGAATCGGCAGCTCGTGTGGCACGCATTTACCGAGTTCCTTCTCTTCCTGCTACCCCTTGTCGGGATCAGTCGTTGGCGGAGATGGCTATCCAGAGTGTGGAGGAAAACCAAGTCGACCTTCAAAGCGAGTGATGAAGATGATGAGCCGGATGAGAAGCAAGGAGAACTTGGATTCCTCCCTGAAAGAACGTGTGGCATATGTTACAAAGATCAGAACCCCACTTCTACTTCGGAGAGTGAAGTGATGGCTGCGTCATCGTCTGGGGGTATCAGTGGATCTGCGCATACAGATATCACGAATCCTTACGAGACGGTTCCGTGTGGCTGTATCTACTGCTTCGTGTGCTTGGTGCAAAAGATAGAGGGAGAAGAAGGAGAAGGCTGGGTCTGTCTTCGTTGCGGTGAACTCGTTAAGAAATGCAAGCCATGGAATGGTGATGTCCTTGAAGAAGCCCGTCCGCAGGCGAGTACGGGAAAGGTGGTTGGATTTGCAGTTGACGGAGAAGCCGACGAGACTGAACCAGAGAAGGTAACAGATGAAACGGTTGGCAAGTCGAGCCCATTGGAAGAGCTGAGCTCGGATGAAGCGTTGCAACACTCCAGCCAGTGGTCTACCGTCGACAAAGAGTCCGATGGACCGCCAGACGAGGAGCACGATTCGACGGAAGCAGATACGGTTTAAGACATTCAGTACACATAGACTGCGGTGTACAACAGTTTACTCTTTTCTTCATGCATTATAATTGTGATGGCGATTATTACGAGCTACGAGCTCTTATACTTAGATACCCACGCAATTCATCCAGTCATCATATCAGTTTTTTGCTAGAGTAATATATATGGACCCATCCCATCTTCAGCATCCTAAACACAAACCGCAGCACAAAACCCTATCACCGCCCCAGTCAAAGGAAACAACGCCCTCACAGCATTCAGCCCCGACCACCGCCTCAACAACACCAACGCCTCCTGATCCTCTCTCGCCCGTTTCGCCACCTCCTGATCACTCGTCACCATCCCCTCCTTCCCCTCTACCTCAGCCGCATCATCCCTCGTCGCATGATTCTCCAGCCCCCGACACGTCGGATACATCACCGTCAACGTAAACGGGACAATCGCCATAGTGACAGCAGCCGCGAGCGCATAACACACAGAGTTGCTCTCTCTGCTGTCCGCCCAGGCTAGGTATACGTGCGCGGTTGATGAAATTGCGGCCAGATCTGGGAAGATCTGTTTCCCGCGCGAGAAGATGTATAGCCATTGGTGGGTGATGTGGGAGATGGGGGCGCCGGGGGTTATCTGGATGAGGGATGCAGAGGAGGGAGGTTTGTGGGCTGGGAGGGTGAGAGCTGGGATTGTTATTAGGGTGGTGGATGTTATGCAGCCTGTTTTGTTAGCTTAGCTACTCTTATTTCGTGGGATGTAGGAGGGGAGAAATACCAGATGTAAAGGCACAGCCTAGGATTCCTATCGCTTGGGCTGTTTTGATGGCGTCGATGGGCATGGTTTGGTGTTTGTACAGAATATTCTATGCATATGTATAAATAGAGCAGGTGTATTTAGATGATAGTGATAATTTGCTTTGTTTTCTATGAAACAGATTGTGGCAAAACCACCATGATGCTATACTGACCTATGAAGCAGCCACCACTGCTTCTATACTGATGTAATTGAGGCGAGGTTTCATTCTATTTCCTTGTAGGAATTTCATTTATGGATAGATATCTAGTTAGAAGGCTCTCTACGAATGTGGTACCTTGCTACTTTCTAAACAAACTTTTACTTCATCAAATAGTCTTCATTTCAGTATATTTCACATAGATTGGGTATCACAATATGATAAGAGTTAAGAAATGCTACAAATACTTCACTCAGAATCACCACCATGCAAATGGCTATGTACTAAATAGAACCCACTGTGGATGTCCAGATCCATCGAATGACAGCCCTCAAATTCTGGCTGACCACCAGCTCTCCATCTTCCCCGCAACGGACTCCTCGCCGAACTGTGGCCAGCGACAAAACACAACTCCGACGTGCTCCCCTCGGTTCTTGGAGGGGTAAAGCGCTGATGAAGTCGGACTTGAACCGCACAATTGCTATTGTCCTTTCTGTTATCGGTTTATCTTATATATAACCCATTATATCATACGTTATCATCTTGGATTCGACCTACCCCGCAATCACTTTTATCCCAATTGACTGAGGAATCAATCCAACATTTCCTAAAAAATGGCCTCTAACAAACTGGGGGAGGGCAAATACCTCAATTTCAACAGTCTGCCGGACGATGCCAAACATGAAGATGGCACCCAGGCGTTGAACAGACATTCCACTACCATCACAAGAGGCCATGACTTTCCAGGAGCTCAGGTCGGTCGCTCTACCCGTCTTGTTTAACGTCCAGCTAATCCTTTTATTCCGGTGCTTAGGCAATGCTATTCGCAGCCGGTATCCCTGATCGAAATGCCATGACAAAGAGCCCCCAAGTCGGTATTGCTTCGGTGTGGTGGGAGGGTAACCCGTGTAACATGCATCTGCTGGACCTGGGAAAGACAGTGAAGAAGGCTGTTACGGATCAGGGCATGATCGGGTGGCAGTATAACACCATTGGAGTTTCGGATGCTATCACAATGGGAAGTGAAGGTATGCAGTCCTTGTTGCTGTGCTGCTGTTTGTTCGACCGGAAGCGTCTGACAGACTACAGGGATGAGATTTTCTCTTCAAACCCGTGAAATCATTGCCGACAGTGTCGAGACTGTGACCTGTGCACAGTACCATGATGCTTGTATCGCTATTCCCGGATGCGACAAGAACATGCCCGGTGTTGTAATGGGAATGGCACGCCACAACCGCCCTTCCATCATGATCTACGGCGGAACTATTCAGATCGGATACTCGGAATTTCTTCGAAAACCCATCAATGTCTCTACCTGCTTCGAGGCTGCTGGTGCTTACACCTATGACACACTGCGCCAACCGGACGATGGTGGTGATACCAGCAAGACCAAGGATGAAATTATGGACGACCTTGAGAGACACGCCTGTCCCAGTGCTGGTGCATGCGGCGGCATGTTCACGGCTAACACAATGGCAACGGCAATCGAATCAATGGGTTTGTCATTGCCCGGATCGTCTTCGACGCCTGCCTCTTCCCCATCAAAGATGCGCGAGTGTGCCAAGGCTGCGGACGCTATTAGGGTCTGTTTGGAGAAAAACATCAAACCCCGGGACCTGTTGACGAAACGCTCCTTTGAAAATGCCCTGATCATGACTATGGCCCTGGGAGGAAGTACCAATGGTGTTCTCCATTTCCTTGCTATGGCTCGGACTGCGGATGTGGATCTGACGCTGGATGACATTCAGAGAGTCAGCGACAAGATTCCATTCATTGCCGACCTTGCCCCCAGCGGCAAGTACTACATGGCGGATCTCTATGACATCGGTGGCATTCCGTCTGTCCAGAAGTTGTTGATCGCAGCTGGCCTGCTTGACGGCGATATTCCGACAATTACAGGCAAAACACTGGCACAAAACGTCGCATCCTTCCCGTCTCTGCCGGATGACCAGGTAATCATCCGTCCTTTGAACAACCCCATCAAGGCTACCGGTCACCTACAAATTCTTCGCGGAAACCTGGCTCCCGGTGGTGCTGTGGCCAAAATCACAGGCAAGGAAGGTCTCCGATTCACGGGTAAGGCAATGGTATTTGACAAGGAGTTCGGACTCAATGAAGCTCTGGACCAGGGCAAGATTCCCCGGGGTGAAAACCTGGTGATCATTGTGCGCTACGAGGGCCCTAAGGGTGGACCGGGAATGCCAGAGCAGCTCAAGGCTAGTGCAGCACTTATGGGTGCCAAACTCACAAACGTAGCTCTAATCACGGATGGACGGTACTCAGGGGCCAGTCACGGATTCATCGTTGGCCACATTGTGCCCGAGGCCGCGGCAGGGGGGCCGATTGCCATTGTTCGGGACGGCGACGTGGTGACCATCAACGCCGAAAACAATGAAATCAGCATGGACGTATCGGATGAGGAAATCCAACAACGATTGAGGGGGTGGAAACCCCCAGTGCCACATGTGACGCGTGGTGTGTTGGCCAAATATGCGAGATTGGTTGGGGACGCATCTCACGGTGCGATGACCGATTTGTTCTAGATGAAAAAGATCTATTATTGAATAAAAATGTCGATTAATGGATGTATGGGATCTATCCAATCACCTTGTTCCAATGGAGAATCTCATTGGACATGGTACTTTTTAAGCATGACACATTGAATTCGGCCATCCCTGAATCAGATCAACTTGAGATTACCTTCTAGTATAACCATGTTTCACAATATCCCAATCTTAAACAAGGATGATGGCTGTGCAGGTCCAATCAGGCTTTGAGTGCGGAGTATATGCCTTCTGATAGATCACTCTTGCAAGGGACTGGGATCTCCTCCACGAACGTTGATTTAGGGATGTTTTGCTGGCAGCTCTCTTGACAAACAGTGGATCCCACGGGACGCAGTCTGACGTCGTGAGTGGGCAGTCTATCCAGGATGGATGATTCATCCGCCAAGTTTGCGATCGCAGATCCTCCACGGTGCGCATCCCGACGCTGTGAGAGGTTGAGCGAGAGAATCAACATCCTCAATCTTCAGTATCACCTACTTTGTTTACCAAGTCACCTGGACAGCACCATCAAGGTGATCGCTTCGTCCGTGCTGTCTGCGGAAGCCACATTCGGAAGCCCTCCCCGCCTTGCTTTCTTCGTGAGTCACTCAAGCAGCAAACTTTTGTCCTCTTCCCCGAAAGTCTTTTTTTTTTTTGTGCTTCTTTTTGTTGACTTCTTCAATATGGGCTTCCATCGCTAACCGGCCACCAGCATACTGAACAGCAGCAATCCAGTAAAACAGACACTCGTACTCCTTCGACCGTGTTTTGTCTGATCGCAGGTGGAACAACACCCCCCGGCTATTCTGTTGCGACTGACTCCGCCCCGACGTCAAAAAGTGATCTCCAACGTGAGGGCAACGTGCTTCATCCGTCTCCCTCATTGGCCCATCGACCTCATCTTTCATATTTCAGAGGGTACTAGCAGTTTGACCTTGCCTGCTAGTTGGTTGATCCTCCCCGGTTCCGCCTCATTATTGTTGTTTTTATCCATATCGCCAAGGAGGATCCGTCACACCGTCTTGTGTTGGGCTTCGACTTGCATTCCAGAACTGATCCACGTCTTCCAAATCGGTTGGTGTGGAACCCCCCTCGTTGGTTGTTGAAGACTGCTTTGGGCAGTGGAAGCAGGGAAGACAGACAGTGACAGTGAATCCTCCCCTCCGGGAGGATTCGTTTCATTTGCGCTGAATCTGGGCCTGATCGTCGCGTCCATAACTTGATAAATATTTACCTGGCTTGGGCGCCTCATGCTGGCCATGGGGACTCCTGATGGTTTCTCTTCAACTTCTCTCCGGTCAAGCTTCTCCTTATCTGGCTTTGGTCCTATTTTGCAGTACTGGGAATCGATCTATACTGCTTTCTCCAGCCCAAGTGCCTTCGTTTCTTCCCTTGGCTCTTTCCAACCCATCGATGCCAATGGCTCCATAAACTGGGGAAAGGTTGTGTTCTTGACCACCTGTTTCGCTGCCATGGCCGGCTGCGGATTCTTGTCTTCGATGCTGCGGCGCACGAGCACAAAGCGACTGCAAGAGAGCAGGCGCTTTCGTCGCTCAGCACACAAGAACTACTCTAAAGCCTCCGCTGAGACAATGACCTCTTCTGAGGATGAAGACTACGATAGCAATGGGTCTCTACGTCATGGTACTGAAGGCGCTCTTTGCGAGAAAGAAGCGGCTCCTAAACACCGTGAGGAATCGGCAAATGGTATGTTTCTCTTATCACCGGGATATAAGATGGCACTGACAGTCAACAGCTCTTACTACGGATCCTGGACTCTTGAGGAAGCATTCCTCGTACATTTCTTATACAACTTCTGTCGCTACCTACCCGTCTATCAGAACATTCTTCTGTCCACACCCTCAGATGAGCAAATTTCCCACCAAACCATCTCCGGTTCCGTTGCTGGTGTTTGTACACGGTTTGGGTGGATCCCTGGCACAGTTCAACCACGTTTTGGCGAGCTTGTCCAACATCGGCCCCTGCTTCGGAATTGACCTGCCAGGGTGCGGTCGATCGGAGTTTGCGCCAAGTTCCTGGGATGCTTATACGGTGGAAGCATTGGCAGAATTGATTTTTGCCGCCATCGAAAAGCATCGCGACCGAGAGGCTGGTCAGGGCGTGGTCCTGGTTGCCCACAGTTTGGGCTGTTCTCTGTCGGCGTTATTGGCATCCTCCAACTCGTCTATTGGCGCCGAATTGAAGGAACATGTTCTCGGTCTTATTGCAGTCTGTCCCCGGGCGGCACCACCATCTGCTCATGAAACCACCATGTTTCGTCGACTGCTTCATATCCCGAGTCCTATCTTTGACCTCTGGCGTCGGTGGGATCGACGTGGCGGCCCGGATAGCGCTAGTGTCGCAAGATTTGTCGGCTCGGATGCAGATATCGATACAAGGGAGCTCCAAGTTCGTTACAACAAGCAGAGCAAGACTTCTGTTTGGAGACGAATGGCTTGGGGAACGCTACCGGAATATAGCAACGACAGAGTCACCGGAGGAATGCCAGGAGAGGAAGTCTGGGCTGGAATCCAGGCGCCTGTTCTTCTTGTTGCCGGTGAATCTGATGCGATCACTAAACCAGAAGAGATCCAGAAAATCCTCGGATTCTTCAGCGGCTCTAAATCCAATGCAAAGATCACTACTAGCAGCAGCATTGTTCCCGATGCGTCCAGTATCCATGATCAAATGCCAGCGTCCCACGACAGCCGTGCTCATGAGGAGGAGTATGGGGTTGAGCCACAGTATAGCGAAAAGGATTTGGGAGATGTTCAGGTTTCGGAAAAACCAAGAAGGTCCATCAAGACAGCAATCCTCCCAGCCCCGGCCTCGCACGCTCTTCTCTACGACCGTGCGACATATCGCACCTTGTCAGGAATCATCCAAGACTTCCTCTGCCACCATGTTGACAACCGGCTGAGCCTCGGATGGCAGCTACAGTATCTCAACACTTCTGGAAAGTGGGATGTCAAGAACCTGGCCAAATGGCAGAAAGTGCCACCCATGTCGGAACCACTGGCAGACACCTTTGCAGCGCTCAAGATGCTGCGCGAGGTGGACGATCAACACAACCCCGTGCTCTTCTCAGAGAAGAACTACGACCGAGTGTACGCTGTGATTGATATCAGTCACGAGAGTCCTGTCTACAACCCGGCATCGCTGGAAAAGGGTGGGATTCATTACTACAAGCACCCGACGGTGTCAAAGATCCCCCCAGGGCCTGATGAGACTCGGGATTTCATCGCCTTAGTAGATCGACTGCAGGAAGAGATTACGGAGAAGATGGAGAAGAGAGGCGATAGCACACTTCCACGCCCCCTGGTTGGGGTTCACTGTCACTACGGATTCAACCGGACTGGCTTTTTGATAGCGTGCTACCTCATCGAACGACGCGGATTCAGTGTACAGGGAGCGATTGACGAGTTTGAGAAACGGCGACCTCCGGGGATTCGCCATGGGCATTTTATTGATACCTTGTTTGTGCGATATTGTCTTGGGCTCAAGAGAGCGCCGACGCTGGAGAGTTGATTTATGATTGTGCAGCATATTTGTTTTTATGAGTAACGAATGCGATAGAGTGTATTATTAGTATATATGATTAATTTCCTGACTATTCACATATTCCGTCATAAAGAGTATAATTATTGATAATTGATGAAGGATTAGAATAAAATAGAATAAAAATCTTTCCAGTGATCCAAACGATGGAAGGATATCCGATTGATGCCTGAGGCGGCAACAAGCTCAGGACGGTTAGGGTACGGCTAATCCCGAACAGGCTAAGCGAAAGCCTCCCACACGCAACCGAGAACTCACGATGTCTGTGTGTGCGTCCGAAATTTCGAGATTCGACCTGACCTGACCGACTCCCCAACGACGACAACCCTCTCGCCCTCGTCCCTCGCTCCGGCATCCCCTCTTCAACTCCTACACCTTCGATCCTCGAAGCCGCAAAAATGGGTGGTGTCACCGTTCGCGATGTGGACGTAAGTTTCATTTTTTCAACCCTCTCGCTTTTGCCCTGCAGCAGTCTGTCTTGTTTGGCCCAAGGAAAGGAGGGGGAAACAAACACAAAAAGGAAAAGAGAAGGAGACGAAATACGAACTACGAGAAACAATCAGCGCCGATGGATTTGATGGAAATACCCTGGTGGGATGGAATTTGTCCTGCGGTTTTTATGCGGAGAGGACGGATTCGCGATATGGACGATCAACAAAGGAAGATTACGACGTGATATTTCAAGGGCAATGGTGGAATACTGGGCAACGACAAACACATGATTTTTTTCACACATTGCATGGAAAGGATCCGGTTGTGCTAACGGGTTTTGTTCAATACAGGCGCAAAAGTTCATCTCCGCTTACTCTGCGTTCTTGAAGCGTCAGGGAAAGCTCCCCATCCCCGGTATGTTCTATCAGAATCAACATACAGTAAAGAAAACAGGCTGACGATATGTACAGGATGGGTCGACACCGTTAAGACCTCTGCCTCGAACGAGCTCCCTCCCCAGGATGCCGACTGGTACGATAAACCTTGATATATCAAAACCAAAACCAGAAAGGGAGCACCGAAATCTGACCATCATACGCTAAATAGGTACTACGTCCGCGCTGCCGCCGTCGCCCGTCACATCTACATGCGCAAGACCATCGGTGTCGGTCGTCTCCGCCGAGTCCACGGCTCTACCAAGAACCGTGGCTCCCGCCCCGCCCACCACGTCGATGCCTCCGGCTCCGTCGACCGCAAAGTCATGCAGTCCCTCGAGAAGATCGGTGTCCTTGAGGTCGATGAGGACAAGGGTGGCCGCCGCATCACCCAGAGTGGCCAGCGGGATCTGGACCGTATCGCCAAGACCACCGTTGACGAGGAGGAGGAGGATGACGAGTAAACTAGGCAAATCATAATAGTTTGCTAAAATTCTGTCATCGTCTTTTTTTATTTTTATCTTATGTATCCCTCCTGTTTTCCTTTTTTAATTTCCACGGGGAAAAAAATGAAATGAGTGGCTTTGGGTTGAAGCGGTCAAGTTCTTAAAGTCGGCACAAATGGAATGATGGGTTGGATTTACATTGGAATTTCTTCTTCCACATGCAAAAGGAGTTGTGTGATGTTGAATTTCTAATGAACGACCAGGGCTACGCGGAGAGAAGAAGCTTTTTCTTTCTTTTCTTTTCCACATGAGATAAAGAGAACAAGAGAAAGAAAGCAGAAGGTTGAACGAAAAAAATACAGTTCCAATTTTTTTCAATACCTCCTTCTGATATGGAATATGACTGGAAGTTTACGATCAATTCCGGTTGATTCTATCAAACTGCGTGCCCTACGTACTACCTCATCTGACTACACTCCATGTTACTAGTAGATATGGTAAGTATACTATTCGTATATCAACAGTCTATGTAAACCCTTATTTCCCAGACTGCGCAGTAGGATCCTAGACAACCACCCAATCAGCCTCTCCCTCTCAACCTCGGTCCATTGCATCAAGACAAACTCACCAAATAAACCTGATAAAACTTCATCTTCAACCCCTCCCCCTCACCATCAAACACCACTCTCCCCGCCCACGGCACCTCAATCTCGCGACTCGCATCCGCCTTGAGCACATACCTGACTGTCCCGTACAGCATGAGCTCATTGGCAGCCCCAAAGTAGATTCTCTCGGGGAAGTGGCGCCGCGACGCAACGTGTGTCCAGATTGCGTGGCGGAGGTTGAGGATTTCTTTTTCGTTAGCTGTTTGCTTACAGTATAGGATTGGGTGGGTAGGTGTATAGGGAAGGGTACCATCAGATCCATTCGCTACCTTGGAGCCCATGATGAGGGTAGCGTTGTCGGTGAAGCTGGCGACGTATTTGGTATGCAGGGCTTCGGTATCGCTGGTTTGGTAGAAGGATTCCATGAAGGAGATCATGGATTGGGCGTTGGAGGGGGAGAGGGCTGGGTCGGTGGTGATTTTGTAGGACATTTTGACTGCCTGCACTGTACTGACTGTATCTTACTCTGAGTTGATAATTATGAAGTAGAATCGATTGGACTAATACTAATATCCTAGATAGATACTCGATGGTTATGTAGGTGGTGAGGGGGAGGTTTCGGGCCGATGGACTGACGTTACTATCCGATGGATTGGATTCATTATTCTTTAGTTTCAATTTCCTCGGATTGACGATCTTTATGCGAATGCTGTGTGATGAGATCTCGGTTTCAGGTTCTAACGGTTGCTTTTAGATCCCTGCATGCTCTGCCTCTGCTTCTATCTAGTGATGTATGCTTGCCTATCCTATTCTATCCTCTACTTCCGAATGCATGCACCCGTCGGCTACAGTCTATGTAAGAATCTTGCCACTGACCCACCACGCATCCGACGGCAGGTCTGGCGGTAGATTATAGGGTAAGGAGAGTTTGGTAGGTAGATGCAATCATGGTATGTAAAGTAATTAACACTTCTTCTCGCCCTTGTCTTGGGCAAAATCCCCCCAACTGGCCCGGTCAGTTCCATTCGGTCGACTAGCCCGTTCAAATACATTCTCAACGCCATCAATCTCAGTGATGGGTCGGACAATCTCAGTGTCGGCATTGTACGCTTTCGAAAACCACTTCTCTGTCAGCGCTTCCTGTCCGGCCTCCTCCGGAGACAGGTACAGATGCGGGAATCGGGTCTGCATGATCTTCAGGACGGTCGAGGAGATGCGGTCTACGCTGTCGCAGTGACGCAGGTTGAAGAATTCTTGTGGCTGTGCGGATCGCATCTTCTCCTGGACTGCGTCCGAGTATTTGCCCACGGCGAAGAGGAGAAGATCGTAGTGCATCAGGGAAGCCTTGCCGTGGTATGAACCGCCGGTCTTGGCTCGGTGGTAGAGACCTGTCAATGCAGCGATGGCGCCCATGCAGCCGGTACCGTAGTCGGAGATGGGGAAAGGAGGGACTGTGGGCGATGAGTGACCCATGAATTCACCCTGTGCCCATGCAATACCAGTGACCTGCAGTAGACATTAGTACCATTCGGTCAGAGAGTCTGAATGTCTGAATAGACCTACACAGTCCGCAATCTGCTGCCAACCGGGACGTCCAGCCCACTCTCCTTCGTATCCAAAGCAGTTCTCGTTCACATACACATAACCCTTTCCTCGCTTCTCTCCTAGCGAAGCAAGAGCATCAGGTCCATAGCCCAGCTTTTCCAGTGCTCCAGGACGGTACCCGTCGACGAGGACATCGGCATCCGTAAGAAGCTCCTCGAATTGACGACGTCCTTCATCAGTCTTCAGGTCAAGGTCAGCAGCATGCTTGCCCATGTTACCGTCCACCTGGAAGAACGGAACGTCGGAGAGGTGCGGGCTGGTGATCTTCAAGACATCTGCACCATATTCGGACAGGATACGTGTGATTGTTGGGCCGGCAATAATTCGACAGAGTTCCAAGACCTTGACCCCCTCGAGAATCTTCTTGCTTCCGCTGGCCGGGAAAGGAGTAGGAGGCAGATCGCCACTCAGACGGGACACCTTCCATGGGGGTTCCTGTACATTGAGTTGACCCTAGACGTACATTAGCAAATGGTGTTGGCTTTATAGATCGCAAAACATACGTGCGGGGTCTTGATGAAGTCTTCATGTTTGAAAGCGGTCACACCAGCTTGTCTTCGGTCCCGGTTCATATCTTCCAACTCTGCCGCACTATATTTCTGCACCTTGTCCTCGATCACCTTGATGACATCCTCATAGTCGGTCAAGTCTGGACGATGACCTTCAAGCCCGATCATGTTCAATGTTGTTGTGGCTTCCAGGGAGCCATGGATGTGGAAAAACTCTCCTTCGTTCTTAGTTTTGTAGAGGTTGGCGGACATTCGACGGTAGCCATTGGACTGCGCGGCCAAAAGGTCCGTATCTATAAAGTCAGCAACGAACTCAAAGTAAGGGAGATGTAAGCCACACCTTTCAACTTAGTTTTGACGGCCGGGTCCAGCTTGGACAATCCATCCACCTTGGCCATGTATGCCTGACAGCCAAATGCGGTCGCCCTTTCCAGGTTCACCTTGACATTTCGCTTCTGGGGTGATTGTCCGTATCGCAGATCCGCAATTGCTCCAGCGACGGAGCCTTCGAGACCCTTCAAGGCAGCGAGGGTTTCTGTCTCCTTGAACGGGATGGGGAAATAGATTTCGTCATGAGCAGAGTAAAAGGAGACGTCATCCTTTCGTTCCACAACCTCTGAAGGCAAGCTAAGACGTTCGGCCTGGTCACAGAGGTAGGAGAAGATTCGACCTGTCTCCTGGACAGGCGAGTATGTTGGTGCGGCCATGGTGTCAATGGACGAGGGGTTCAATCTGCCCGGGAAGAAAAGGTTGACAAAATCTGATCCACCTTGGAAGCCAGGCTATCAGGTCAGATATATATGTCCAATGCGGCCACCGTCGGCAAAGGGCGTTGAAGACATCCTCATCCGGGGTGATTCCGAGAAAATCGCCATCGGGTGACCACAGCGGTTCGGCTCATCAAGGACAGCAACAGGGCCAGAGTAAAATGGTGAAGAATGAGTAAAATGACCCCGCAGAGGAAAAGATATCCGAAAAGATGAACGGGCCGGGGGAGGAAAGTGTCGGATGTGAGGCCGATAAGATCGGAAGGGTGGTGGTCATGTGATTTGTATAGCTGACTTAGTGTCGTAGTGATGATGCAGAAAGAATATGGTTTAACAGAGAAACAGGGTAGATTAAGCGGAAGTGATATGAATTCTGATCTGAATTATTTCCTATCTGATAATTAAACGGGTATTTGGTTCATAGTGACGTATGGGTATAGCAAGAAGTACGGTAGTGGTAGATGGTGCTATGTAGAGTAGACAGATAGCAGTGTGGGATAGAGTGTAGAGACAGTATGAAGCAGAGTACTTGTATAGGCAGAATAGGTGGTTAGTAGAGACACACAGAACCAGATGGAACGTTTTAATCAACACCTCGGGTAAAGTATCACAACTCCAATCGGTTCAAAATGCAAGAGAAATCCGGCCAGACGCCTCAGATCGCCTGTCACCCCCACTTGGACAGAATCCATCGAGGTTTTGCGTCATTCCCCTGGCGATGTTGCATCTCCATGTAAGCACAGACGATGAGGGGTATCTTCAAGCAGGTACTCGGCAGTCTAGACGATCAGTCTGGAGATGCAAACATCGACCTCGATGATTCCATACATGTCAATGGAATGTGAAGATGAACTCATCCATTACAATTATACAGAGTGAAGCAGCCAATGGCTGGCAGAGATGATGCATGTGTGACAGAGTGCCGCTGTCCGTGGGGGAAAAGGCAGTCCACGTGCCGCAGCTTATCGCAACTGGAGGGCACGAGAGGCCTTGATATGCTGCAGTTTGTGGTTCAATTACAGCGCACTTTTTCTTCGGTATTTACTAGTACAGTATTACCTGAGGGATATCTGTGCGTGAGGGGTCGGCTATTCCTGCAGTACTAGTTGTTAGTAGTCCATATTCATAATTATCATATCAATAGTATCTCCATATCCTAAGAATACTCCATATCCCATATCCATATTCCATAATAATTCCTACGGTGTAGAAATGAATCATTGTGTATCTATCGGTGTACTATCACTATCAGTCTCCATCCGGATCCTCCCGGGCCCACGAGGCCTCGCAGTGCCTGCCAATCATCCGGCCCACATGTCCACTCTTAGGTTCAGCTGTTACAATCCTCAGAGAACGAGAACAAAAACAAGGCAGTTCATATGTCGCAATCCTCCATTCTGACTGGAGGATTCAGAATAATCCCTCATTCCTGTATTTTCTGGCCTGTGCCCGTACCGTACCGTACGCACGGTCGTATTCCTGACTAACCCTTTCTGGCTCGCCCCTGCAGTTACTCAGACTGCAGTCACGCTTTGCTGACATCCTTCCTCTCTCCTACTTCTACTCTGCTACCCCCTCTCTTTAATCTTCCTTCTCTTCTGCATCATCCCCAGCTTCATATCGTCCTACTACATCTGATCGTCTCGCTTCTAATCCTGTCTGGTCCCAAAACGCTCGCGTGTCGTCTTCCCTCCTTGCGACTTGGTCTTCGCGCGTCGTCGCATCGCATTCGCCCCTACTTATTATCTTCCCCAACCGCTGCAGTGCTGCGTTATCTCGGTTTATACGTCTTATAATCGGTCTTTGGTGACGTGAGTTTACTTTCATTTCATCCTTATGCTTATCATTAATCATCTTTGTCTTTGTGTCTCTTGATCTATTTTTTTTTTTTTTTTCACGCGTCGTTGATCATCCCCTTTATCCCCCTTACAACTCCTATTTGACTCATACTGATAACCATCCTACCACCAGTCACTCCAAACAACTACTTAATAATAATCATGGCTTTCCAATCCTCCTCCAGCATCGCCATGGCCCTTGCTGGCAAGACGGCCTCTGTCGATATCCCTCAGTCTCGTTCGGGCTTCACCTCCGGTAGTCGTGATCCTTCCCGCTTAGGACAGCCGGCCCTGCTCCCGACTCCTCCCAACTCCATCTCTCCCAATCTTGCTCCTCACGCTTTCAAGCACCGAGCGGCCGACATGCCTGGCTCTCCTCGCTCCGGGTCGCACCTCGATTCTGATATCGACCTGGGAGACGCCGTCGAACATGCCGATGCTCGGGGTGAGTCCCAGTCGGCTCACGACCTCGATAGCGTCGGTGCCATCACTCCAGGCATGCTGGCCAAATACCATCTCCCCGAGATTATGCTTCACCAAGGTCCTTTGGCCATTCGCCACGTCATGGGCTTTCTCACAACGTCCGTCCCCGGCTTCTCCCGCATTCCGCCGGCCAAGGCACGAAGACTAGTCGTGGCCGCCCTAGAAGGTCGGGGAAGTGAAGCAGAGGGCGGTGGCCCAAAAGGTGACGTCGTCTTTGAAAAGGTCGGATGGGGTCGATGGGATGCGCGACGTCGAGGCGAGCCCTCGCGGGATAGCCGCCATCTGAATGTGTCGCCACCCTCCAGTCTTTCGAATTCTTTCCAATCACGCGGTATGCAGATCCCGCGTAATTCTACGAGAGATAATTTGAGTCCCTATGGGACCAGTATGGCCGGTGACTCTGCCGTTTTCTCCTACACGGAAACTCACTACGGTGGGCCCGACATGCTTGAGGACGAAGCGGACAAGATGTCTCTAGATGGTGACTATTGCTCCTCGTCCGAAGCACCTGAAGACGAGGTCCGAGACGAGGACTGGGGAGAGGAAGACGTCACGGATGAGGAAGATTGGGCACAAATCGGTGCCGACGCCCTCCGAGCTCGATCGATGAATGGAGCCAGTGGCTTCGTTCCGAACCATCTGAAACAGCCACCCCAGTTGCGGGGCGGCGGTCCTGCCTCATCAACGTTGGCAAAGTCGGCACCACAAAACACTCCTATTCAACAAATTGGGTTCTCCGTTCCTGCCGGCATGGTCGGCGACCAGGAGGAGCGTGCCGCCGTTGAGGCGCTGTTACGACTTGGATCGATGTAATGATATCTTATTATTGACGGGCGTTGACATAACTTTTTTATATTACAAGGTCGTCGAGGCTGGACCGGACCACAGCGAAACTTGTCTTCAATTGTGCCAGAACGCTGGAGACAGCTCACATGGTTCGACTGGTTCGACTGACTTGCATTACTAGCATTGGGATGGATTTGATTGGGTTTGGTTTTATGGCGTTTATGGATGGAACTATCATCACATCGGCCTCGAGTCTCTCGGCCTATCATATTGTCTTTGGGGGTATTCATACCCATTTTAATGGGCACTCTTGTGCATTTGCATGCCCACCCTTCATTTTGCGTTCTGTCGTGTCAAACAGACACCTGATTCTTTACATTTATTTCATTATAATACTGCGGGGGATATTTCATATGGACCTTGACAGTGATGAGAATGAATGTTACTATGGGCTTGGGATAGTTGGTCATCTTAACTGCATTGTACTGACTTGGCTCTTGCGTTACATCTTTTCTTACTTGGTCATCTTAATTGATTGCACTGGGTCTGTCAATTTCTCATATCGGTCTAGTATATTAGTCTAGTGAATATAGATCTACATCAGACTTGTCAATTGTCTTTTGATATTAGTCAACTTAATCATAATATTCGATGTTATAAAAGTACACAGTTCAAGAGGATGTTCGTCCCAACCACCTAAAGTACAACCAACCCAACAAAAACTTTTACCTGCAGAAATCCACCCAACATAATAACAATACAGCCAAAATTACATAACATAACCAAATCAGTCATTTATTTATGAGCATTGTTAATCCGCCTCCAAATCTCCGCCTCCACCTCACCCAATTTACTCCCCGCACTCTGCATCCATGACTTGGCTGTTTCATACACACCCCCTTCTTCCTCTTTACCAAAGGAAGCACCTTGGCTAGCACTGTTATAATGAAGCGGTAACGACGACTGCACAGAGGCAGGCGCACTATAAAGCGACGACGCAAACGGAGACGCCGAAGTCGAGTTTGGAATTGCCTGCTGGCCTTGTCCCTGACCATAGGCATGCCCATGCCTATACCTGGAGCTGGACCCAGAGCCATAGCCATACCCCTGTGTTGGGGGAACATACTGCTGTTGCTGCTGCTGCTGCTGCTGAGCAGGTGCAGGGGGCGAAGCCACCTCTCCAACCTTGGGCGGAGGAGGAACAGCCGGACTCGTCTGTAACTGCGTTTGCGGGCCTAGACCCTGTTGCAGTGTACTCGGAGTCGAAGTGGACATATTGCCCGGCTGGGATTGGGGTTGTGGCTGTGGCGGGAGGGAAGGGTTGGTTTGGAGTTGTGTTTCGGGTCCGAAGTCATCTTGGATTGTTGTTGATGATGTCGAAGTTGGGGTTGGGATGGCGCCTGGTTGGGGTGGTGCTGGGTTGTCTGGATTGTGATTTTGATCAGTAGTTGTAGTTGTTGCTGTGGGCGTGTCTGTAGTTGTAGTTGGTGTATCTGTCGGAATTGAGTCGCCAGCTGGTGCCGCTGCTGTTGGTTCAGGCATTTTAGATGCACTACCCGGTTCGGGCTCAGCGGTTGTATAGATCGGTGGATATGATGGGGCCGTTGCCGTGGCTGAAGTAGTGGGAGGTTGTTCTGGAGATTCACCTGGTGGAGTCGATGGCGATGCGGTCTGGGGATTGGGTCCGTCGGGGGCTGATGGGGTCGTCATGGTGATTACAGAAGGTGGACTGTGTCAAACTCAGGGATTCAACTGCGTATCCCAGTAAGGGACGGTATGAACTCGCAAGGAGCTTCAGGTGGAGAGCTGTAGCTATTCAAGACATTACAGTGCTGAAGACGTCATTGCCTGCAGCGCACGTGATATTTCGCAGCAGCCAATCAAGATCGGGCATGTGAAAAATCTTCCGTGTTTGGATTACAGTCTACAAAGGCATTCTGACAACAAAGAACATTCGATTGCTTCACGATGGAAGTACAGATTGAGAAAAAAGCTTGCAGGCACTAAAGTACAACGGGTAGGAGGAAAATGTCACACTGCTCTTTACACCAAAATCAAATCCCGATTTTGATGCATCTATAGTCTTCCACAACATTGCTCAACAGCTGGCAGTTACGCCAGCCATTGGCCACCCCCTTCCCCAAAGCCGAATCGACATCAAACGATTTGAACTTAATCAATCGTTTACTTGAACTTCTTACCGAAGAGGATGAGCTGGACCTGGTCGTAGATGGACAGGACACCAGCACCGGCGACACCACGGAGGATGTTAGCACCGGCACCCTTGAAGAGAGACTTGGTACCCTCCTTGGCGACGATCTGGCGGGCAGCGTCGAGGGAAGAAGAGTACTTGACGGCCTCACCAGAGGTCATCATCATACGACGACGGACGGTGTCAAGAGGGTAAGAGGCGATACCAGCACCAGTGGTGACGGTCCAGCCGAGCAAGAAGGAAGCAAGGAAGTTACCCTCGAGAGAGCCAACGAGGAGAACAGGCTTGATGGAGTCGTACATGCCGAAGTAGAGACCACGGTAGACGACGATTCCGAGAACGGAGGGACCGAATCCACGGTAGAGACCGGCAAGACCGTCGGAGGCGAGGGTCTTACGGTAGACGTCAACGAGACCGTTGAACTGACGCTCACCACCACCCTTGGCGGACTTGGCGTCGTTGGCAAGACGGGTACGGGCGTAGTCGAGAGAGTAGACGAAGAGGAGGGAAGTGGCACCAGCAGCCTGTTGCGATTGTTAGCCATCTCGTTTCATACCAGATTCTTCAAGGAGATACATACACCACCGGAGGCAAGGTTACCCATCATCCACTTGGCGTATCCGTCACGCTCCTTCTTGTAGGAGAACATAGACTTGTAGGTGTCACGGAAGGCAAAGTTGAGAGCCTGGGTAGGGAAGTAACGGATGACGTTGGCGGTGTTACCTCTCCACATGGAGGCGACACCCTCAGCGGCAGCGGTACGGCGGAAGCAGTCGACGATACCGTTGTACTTGCGGTCGAGACGACCGGCGCGGATCATCTCATCCTATTCATCACGATTCGATTAGCATCAGCTGTAGCTGAGATGACGATCCCCGAAGAGCAGGTCCGAAAATTTCTTCTCATCCAATCAATCCAACCTCGGCCCGGTCGGACAGGTTCATTCGCGTGTTTTGACAATGCGATCGATCGATTGGTTCATTCTCGATTCCCGTTCTTCGCTTCACGTAGATGAAGGATATAACCAACCTGGTTCTGGACGAGCAGCTTGATACGCTCGATGGGGGCAGCAGCGGTCTTAGAGACAGCGGCGGAGACACCACCCACTGGGAGGTAGTTAGTATTTGGAAACAATTCGATTTATAGAAATCTTCATTCCAGGTTGATCGACTTTTTTGAAGCCGACTATCCGGGAAGATTTGGATGGAACGTACTCATGAAGTCGACGACGAATCCCTGTTGAAAACTGTTAGCCCAGCATTCTCATCGAATTGCCATCAAAGCCCAGCCAGTCTTTTCGATTCCGACATCTCCAGATGGATTCAATGGCATCAAGCATCAAAACTCATCCAGGGCGCGTGATCCAAAACTGGCCAGCTCAGCAGGAAGCAGAATCTTACCGGCATGCCGAAGACGGTCTTCTCGGCCTGGTTAACATCACCCTTGCCAGACATGTTGACGGCTGTGAAAGAAAACTAAAGAAAAGGGTAGAGAGGAGATGGAAAGAGAGAGAAAGAGTGTCGAGAAAAGACGAACACTTCAAAAGGGGATGGAGAAGGAAGGGAAGAAGAGAAGAGAGGGAAGGGAAGGGGATGAAAAAATAGCGAGCAAAAGGGCTCTTGTAAGCGGGAAGAAGCGAGCGGAGACGCTCGGACGATTTGTTTGGCTGGTTGCGTTTTTAGCAGGAGAAAATAACAAAAAATAAAAAGCGGAACCGACGCTAATGCTGGCCCAGGCAACGAGAGCCGATATCTCCCGAGACCGACAGCAGGGCAGAAGGAAAAGCCTCATATGGACTGTCATTATGGATACACTCCATTGAATATTAATACTCGGTTCTACCTATTGTATTATTATATATCGATATGACATTGACATTAGATCTGATATTCTGGTAGACTACTCCGTATTGTAGACATTGTAGGCTTTCTTCTCCTGTTCTCCCTATCCATTTCCCCGTCCTGTCCGAACTTCTCACGTCCGGGACAGCCTCCGCCCAACCCACACGGGGGAACACATCAAAAGTCTAATACAACAAAAAAAATTTTTTTATTGTTTCCTTTTTTTAATCTTCCTTTGGTCCCGACGTACCGGATGGACAGTTGGCCACTGAAGATATATCACCCTTCATGTGCCTCTAGTAATGTACGTCACGGTCTTTCGGGTCTTCATGCCGGTTTGGTTGTTTTTGTTCCACCGCTGGTTACGGCGCATATGCGCCATTATTATGATTTCCTGCGGTATTTTTGGTATTGCCGTTACCAGATAACGGTCTTGGCGTTTCACTCTGGTTGAGTTTTAAACACCTGAATTGCCTGCCATGACTGTAGAACCTCGGATATCTAATTTTCTTGCTAGGTAGAACAATAAAAGTCTGTTGGTAGAGTGTCTTTTAATATTCTGCTTGGTTCAATTCAATTGCACCGCAAAATGCTCTTCATGTCTCTCAGACTAAGCCATACTCTCAGTGAATGAGTACAGTGAACAACCCGGGTACTCCGTCAGCACTGCGAGTAGCTCAACCTCACCGCTAGTCAATTGAGGAAGCTGTATGAGTTGTCTTGCTGTCCAAAGGAATCACTTCAGGCACGATTGTCATGACCCGAGTTGTCTGCTCTGTCCACGGGTTACTCTCTGTTTTCGTTGCTTCAAAGCCAAGAAACTGGTAGACCGTTTGTCGGGCATTTCTGCGGTGCCTGCATTTCTTTTTTTTTGAGTGGCATATCACATTAAATTTTGCAAGCAGCTTTGGCAGAGGTAGCTCAAGAACATTGCCATCTCTTAGCCGACCTTTGCTGCCATAACAGTATCATGAACCTGGCGGGATAGCCCTTCGGACCCGTACCTGTGAGGAATTCAGCGAACTTGAGATCCTAAACAGGGTCTAAGTAGGAGCACTTGTCTATACTACCTTGCTTTCTGTATGGAGATGGTCAAGGCCAGCCAAAGATATGAAAAGGCAATCCTTTGCTATCGAAGGGGGGTCTGGTTTCTGAACCCCTTCTGGAAAACCACGGTAACTCCTTGGGGGATTTATATATGCCAGGGTAGTTGTATTCTCCCTATCCTAGCCATCTTGAAACTTTCAAGGCACGTTCGTATGATTTCATAGCCACGATGCTATAGATCTGACTTGACAATATGTTCTTAGTGTCTTCTTCATGGTTCGCAGACAGGTATAATCATGTATCCGATAGTCACCAAATATTCAGGTTGCTATCTGGATCGAATTCCATTAGCAGCCTGTAACTTGGAGCTTGCTCCTTCTCACCTCCTAAGAAAGCTATACAATGACTATATTCCCTAGCAAATGCCCACTGGCGTTTAGGTGATTTTCAAGTATTCTCCTTGTCCAGATGGGTGAAAATCTGGGGTCTTTGGTGCTTTAGGTCGTACAAACTTCTTCGTCGACACGTTCACCTGAGGCAAGGGAGAGCTAGCACGAGAAGTTGAGCTGGTCTGATGTAGAGTGAGAAAGAAGGCTCAATACGCATCCCATTGACTCATTTTTATCACAGGTATAAGATAATCTCTGGAGTGTTTGATATGTGAAGAAGAGTTGTAGCAGAAATGTCTGGTTGTTGGGCTGTCGGGTTGAGGCAGCACTAAAATGCCCATTGGTTGGGTCAAAGAATGAGTTAGAAAACAACGCAGTCGGCCTAAGTAAAGGGTAATTTTGCAATGAAGAGCACATGAACAGTAGTGCTGGTCTAGAAGCGGTTTTTATGGTTTACTATTTGATATCCCCAGGGGTTCGTATTATAGTGTGGAGTATATCAACAATATTATATATAGCGGGGTTATCCCCTCAACTTCACGCAGTTGTTAGATTCCATTGACTCTTCCTTTCCCCCCCTTGACATTCGAGTGAACAGATAGGATCAAATTTTATAAAAGTGGAATTAGTATCTTCTATGTCCAATTGTCTGGTATATATGCTACAACATAATAGCTCCACTCAGCGAATTTGAACCTTGAAAATTTTGTGAACCAACACCTAAACTATAGACAATCATAAGATTCTAAACATACAATGACTCAAAACAACACAATCACAGCTTCAATTGGTTCTTCTTGGACCTCTTCCTCTTCTTCTTCTGGGGTTCTCCTTCCCGGATATCGACCTTGCCTTCGTCATCGCCATCGTCCTTCTCTTTTTCACCGCCAAACTTGAACACTGGCCCTTCTTCATCGCCAAAAGTGTCCTTACGCCATTCCCTAAGTCGAGCCTTCTTGCCCAATTTCTTCTGATCATGGCGTTTCTGTTCAGGGTCACGGAATGAAGCCAGCTTCTTCAACCCCGCAAACTTATTGAGATGGGTATCGTCGGCCATGAGAATGTCGCGCGCCGTGAGACCAAAGCTCTGTGGAGAGGTTTCACGGTAGCGGAAGCGACTCGAGTTCTTCTTGGTTGCGCCGGGGAGGAGGTTGATGTCGAGGTCGAGATTGCGGTCGACCGCCTCCTCAATGCGAAGCCGGTCCTTGCGGGCGTCGCGCTTCTGGTCACGCTTCTCCTGGGCCTTGCTCTTCTTGCTCTTGGACTCAGAGGCGTCCTCACCATCCTCCATCTCAACGTCTGATTGCTCCACTGTTGGCTTTTCTTCATCTTCAAAGTCTGGAACGAGATCTGTGATGTCGATGTCATCGTCCCACGTGGGCTTCTTCGGCTTCTTCTTCTTCTTGCTCTTGCCTTCGTCGTCGCTCACTTCAGCATCATCTTCCGCATAGTAATCTTCACCGAAGCGCTTTTGCATTTCCTTTTCAAAGTTCTTATCGTCCCAAGCCTCGTCCAGGAATTTAGCCCAGTCTTCATCTGTAAACCCGGATGCGCGAAGACCTGCCACCTCTTTGACCTTGTTAACCTTGTCCTGAAGCTGCTCGACCTTCAGCTTGCGAAGGCGGCTCTTCTCAACTTCACGTTGCTTCTTTTCTTCCTCCTTCCTCAATTGCTCGGCTTCCCTTAGCTTCTTTCTAGTGCTCTTCTCTTCTCTGCGGACGGACTGTTGGTTGGTGGCGTCACGAGCATGGGTCATGATTCTTTCATTCATCTTGTTTGGATCTTCAAAACGGAAGTTATATGCCTCTTCGAAGGCCTCGGCGCGGTCCTCCTCATCCTCGTCTTCGGACTCGAAGGGCTGAAGTTCGGTTCTATTCGCAGGAATCCATGCCCTTGACGACAAGAAGTTGGATAAGAAATTCTCGGGGTCTCTGTCCGCATTCTTTACATCCAGCTGCTTGGTCTCTGCTTTTGGCGCAGGGGCCGGCGCAGACTTGGGAATGATAAAACCACCGTCCTCATCCATGTTCTCATCAGCCGATGAATCATCATCGGCTGCAGCAGCATGCATCTCCTTGACAATCGCACTTTTCAAGTCCTCTTGCTCCTGAGCGTAGGTCTTGGGGGGCTCTGATCCATCATCCTCCGCTAGATGAGCACCGCTCAGTAGGTTCTTGGTATGATAGTCTCGAAGGGTCATGGGCTTTTCCTTTTGCTCCGAGCCCTCTGGCTTGTCACCTTCCTCAGCCTTGGTGTAGAATGTAGTTTTCTCATCGTACACACGAGGGTCTTTCGATCGAATCGCATTCAAAGTTGCAAAAATCTCCGCGTCGAGTGCCTCGGTCGCCAGTTCTCCATCTTCGTCTTCGTCTTCCTCGTCAGAGGAATCTTCTTCATCGGACTCATCGTTATGGCGCTTTCCAAGTGCAGAGCCTTTTCCTAATTTTGACTCCACTGCAATAGGTTCCATAATTAGCAACTTCGAAACGCATTAACATAGAAGAAATACACATACACTGTTGCATCTCCTCTCTTTTCTTGTTGTATTCGAATCGACGGGCATATTCCTCGTTGACCTTGAACGCATCCGAAGTCTGCTTGCCAATGGGGACGCCGCCGGACTCATCTCCGGAATCACTGGAGCTGTCATCATCCAGCAGCTTTCGCGACCTTTTGGCAGGGGGTTCCATGATGGCTCTGGATGGATATCGAGTGATTTCAATGGATGTCAATATCGGATCTGCCTATTTGATGAAAATTGATCGTCAATGTTTTGCGGCGGCACACAGCAGAAAAAAGTTGGTTGCCGGCAGTAAAAAAAATCAGACACACCGCCCACCCTTTGATGCCTGAGTAACCAGGCTGCGAGGCTAGGTCAACTGACGTAGCCAATCAAGACTGTTGTCATCGCCGGATGGCCCCCAGCGGTTGCTTGCTGCACAGCTGAGTTCCTAGGCTATGAGACCAGCCACCTGCACGTCTTGGACGCCTTTTATATCTTAATTTTGAGTCTCTGGAGCCATTGTCTGTGTCATATTATCTCTATATTTGTTCGCATCAAGTGTATGGCTGGAGCTCCGTACACTAGATGTCGACCCAGTCGCTCCCCCCATTGCCCCAGGTCGGGAAGCTCGTCAGCGTGGTGTAGGTCCCACCATAACATAAGGAATTTACCCATCAATTCTAACTGTCCCTGAATGATAGTCCTGTCGGATTGAAAGAAGCAGCTCTTGATTCGCCGACCTTCCGAGCTACCACCCTTCATTTCGCCGACCAGATCGAATTCATAGAAAAATGGCTCGACGGTTACGCGAAGGCCGCATCCAAACTCACCTCAGAGCTAGCGGCTTTGGAGAATGCAGTGGGCGCATTTCTCTCCTATTCCATGAATCCTCTTATGGTTTCGGAAGCCGTTCTCGACCATGATTATACTCTGCAGTCAATGAAAAGATGTGGGGACAGCTCTAAAGATCTTTGGAATGGCCTGGTTACTACTACCAGGAAGCTGGACACCCTGGTCGCAGATCCCATAAAATCGTTTATACAGGAGGATTTGCGAAACTTCAAGGTATTAAGTGCAATCAATCTAAGCATGTGCATCGGCCTGCGTCTTACCCCGCTATAGGAGACCCGTCGCGTTCTCGATCAGACACAGAAACAATACGACTATCTTCAAGCTCGATACGCCTCACAGTCCAAGTCAAAGGAATCATCGTCCTTGAGGGAAGATGCCTTTCAGCTCCATGAAGCTCGCAAAGCGTATCTCAAAGCCTCCATGGACTATTCCGTGCAAGCCCCGCAAGTACGCAACGCTTTGGATCGGCTGTTGGTTCGCGTCTCCTTCGACCAGTGGCGCGAATTTAAGATCTTTCACAATCACAACGGCGCAGCATTTGGGAAATGGGGCCAAGAGATGGAACGTATCAAGGGATGGATGCATGAAATGGATGGAAGCGAAAGGTCCTCTAAACGGGAATTATTGTCCGCCAGAAAGCAAATTGAGGAGGCTGCGGAATTCGCGGCAAGGCCATCCCGTGAGCTGGACGACTACTCCATTTCAACTGTCCCCTATCTTGGGTCTCGCCCTATATCCTCTCTTGAGATGACCAAAGAAGTCAGGCCCGAAAAACAGGGCTGGGTCAGTCTCCGAACGCTTTCGGGAAAGCCTACTCGTACTATCTGGGTCAGGCGCTGGGTTTTCTTGAAGAATGGAATATTTGGATGTCTTGTACAGGGGTCCCGAACTGGCGGCGTGGAGGAAAGCGAAAGGATAGGCGTTTTGCTTTGTAGCGTTCGTCCAGCTTTCCAGGAGGAGCGGAGGTTTTGCTTTGAGGTCAAAACAAAAAGCAACAGCATAGTGCTGCAGGCCGAAACACAGAAGGAACTTATGGACTGGATAGCTGCCTTTGAAGCCGCCAAGCGCAAGGCGCTGGAGAACCCAACCAGCACTGACATTTCAGTTTCCGGAAAGACCACAGCTCAAGATCCGGCCTTTGCAATCTCTCAGCCACCGGCTCCCGAATTCGCCGCTGATCCGTCTGATTCTCTTCTGCCACATACGAGCGATGAACAAGCCCCCTCCGATCGCAGTGGTATTCTTTCTGTTCCAGAACGTGAAGCATATGCACTACGGCCCAGTGGCGACTACACAAACTCTAGGCGGAATACCGCAGCGGAGTCGGAATCATCTGCACGAGAACATACATCGAGACTTATTCAAAAATTAGATTTGCATCGCAAGCCGAACAACCAAGCGCAACCGGCTCCTTCACTGCCGGGTGCTGGTGGCGGCATAGCTAGTCTCATATCTGCTAGCCACAGTGCCTTTCAAAATTTTCAACCGGACAGTGAAGCGCATAGGGGTCGTAGCTTGAGCAACCGCAACGGCCCTCCTTCGACGCTTGCACCTTTTACATTAGCTAACCCACCTGCCCCCACAAGCATGAGCAAGGTAGCGGTGCTCGTGAGCAATGAAAGAGGTCTCGGCTTAGGACATGCAGATAGCACAGGAGGGATGCCTAGTGGTATGATGGCGAATCTGTGGGGAAGCTCGAACTGGGGCTTTGTGAACAGCTTCATGTCGGAACGCATAGGGCAATACGGTCCTGACCAGGACTCTACACGTCCATCTTCTCCCATGAGTGATTCATCGAAAAACACGATCACATCAGAAGCTGAAACTTCAAGCGCGTCGAAGCAGATGTCTGGTCCGCGCCATAGACAGACAGTAAGTCTTGACGGGGATGCTTCTAAAGTACAAAGAGCAGCTCTGGGAATTACGCACGAGTATCCTAGCTTCTATCCTCAACCGCTTAAAACCCAGGATGCCCAGTTCCGACTCCTGTTCCCGAACGTCAAGAAAGAAGAACCCCTGGTTATGGTTTTCAGAGCCACATGGAGTCCCAATGACCAGCAAGAGTTCCCTGGCAGGGCTTACACCACTACCCGAAACCTGTATTTCTACAGTCATCACTTCGGACTAGTGTTGACAACACACATGCCACTGGAAAACATCAAAGAAGTAACGGCTGCTCCTGGAAGAGACTGTGATTTCTTATTTCTGCATACCATGCCAAAGCTAGGCGACGATACGCCGGGTCGAATTGCTGTAAAAACCTTCCTCGAGCCACTCAAACTTCTTCAGAGAAGACTCAACTTCTTGATTCAAGATGCAACAGCTGTTGAGCCCTTAGAATTGGAGGCAATCTTCAAAGCCCTGATCAAAATGGAGAAAGACATACCGACAAGAACACCGAGTCTGGATAGCTGGGAAGATTTGGCCGCCATCGACAAAAAGGGTAGTGGAGAAGATGCTAATGGCCCCAGGAAAGATTTGCGAGCACCCATCTATATCGACAAAGATTTAGATATGAACCCACGAAAGTCTGATAAAGAAGGGATAAAGTTCAGATTACCAACGCAGCCTGTGCAGTACGTCCCTCAAGGCGATCTTCAACTTGCCACAGAGAAGGTGCTCGATGTTAGTCCTAAGGCACTATTCCATATTCTTTTCGGAGACAAGAGTGCCGTGTGGCAGCTTCTCTTACATGAACGTAGAGCTCGGGGTAGGTTGGACCATTGCGACTGAAATTTCAACTTTGCTGACGAGACTAGACATAAAACAAGGGCCGTGGGTCAATAACGAATCTCTCTACTTAAGACGAGACTTTGAGTATCAGATCGAAACGACGGATGTTTTTGGTATGTCATTGACCCCTTTTCTAGAGCACAGCAGCTCCCGTGATCTTATTTCTGACTGGTTTCTCTTCTCATAGGACGCACCGAAGGAAAGCCAATTCTAGATTATCAGATAATTGATGTTCTTAACGATCACTTGTGCTACGTGATCACTGACAAGCGAACCCCTTGGCATCTTCCCTTCAAACGGTCCTTCAGGTTGGTCAGTAAGATTGTGATTACATTTGTCTCCAAGTCGAGGAGCAAACTTGCAGTCTACACGAAGGTCGAGTGGGTATGGACTCCCTATGGCCTCAAAAGTGAGTATTACTATCCGAACCTCTTAGAGTTCCACTGACGGTTTCTAGGTGTCATCGATAAGCAGGCAAGTGCAGATCTAGAACAAGATGCTTTAGATCTGGTCGACCTGGCCAGTGATCAAGTACGAAGGCTTGGCGCACATAGTCGAACTAAAAAGGCCATTTCCATATTTGGTCATGTCGGACGCCAAAACCAGATTTCTCAATTCTCGGAGAATGGGACGAATTTGAAATTGGAGTCTAGCAGACCTCGAACCCAGAGAACATTATTTGAAATGCTACTCGAAACGTTCCTCTCCTTCGGTGAGACGGCGGTCTCAGCGGTGATGATTTGGATCCTCGCTGTCTTTCGCTGGATCTGGAAGACTACGAGTGCGAACAAGGTCATTCTGGTTCTGCTCTTATCAAGTGTTCTCATTAACGGACTATATTCTTCACGGGATGCCTATGATTGGTGGCAGGAACGCAACGCAGGGAACTTCATGGCTCGCCTGGGCGTCCACCCTGACAATGTAATGAGCAAGGCTATCTACATGAAGGATCTAGATGAGGCAATCGCAAATTCGACCGTTGGAAAGGTCAGCAATAACGCAACTGACTGCTTCGCCACCTTCCAAGCGCAGGGAATGCAAGACCAGTCTTTCTCCCTCGGTGTGTCTAGATCAAAGGACGCAGCGACCAGAAGTGCAACCAGGCGATTCCAGCAGACCCGTGAACGCCTGGCCATGTACCGGCACAACTTGCTGGTAGCACTCCGGGTGGTGAACAGTATTGAGAAGGAGGTTGTCCAGAACGAATGGGAACGTTGGCTCCGACAAGAAATCAAACGCTGTCGACAGGTTGAGGTTCTCCTTGGAAAGAACGTTGAGAGGGATGGGGTCGATGAGCAGGTGGACCGAACGGGCCAAACTGTCTTTGCCGAACTGACTGATGATGTGAGGGAATGGTACGATAAGTACTGTACCAGTTGCCATCAGGAACAAGAGCAGGTTGCCAAAAACCCTCGTGGTTATGGAATCTCATGAAACACTTTATAGCAGCGGTTTTTTTTATCCCCGGTCCTCTGTTAATTTCTTCAAACGATACCCGGTTCAGTTGGATTAGTCTGAATTTGCCGAATTTGTTGTTTTCTGATCATTTGGAGTCGGCGGCCATGCGTGACTCTGTTTGTAATTCTGCCAGTATCCATATATCATTTAGTTTCAAAGCCAATTCCACAGATTGAGATTGACCAGAGTGGGAACTGAAAGTGCAATATGGATCTTCAAAACATCCATAGCGATGCGACAACTGAAACGGCGATTGTTTTCAGAAGTAGCAATGTAGATGGCAACACACTTGGATAGCATCGCTCTCCTGCAGTGAGCCCTGGTTTGCGATATAGTAGCAGTCGCACTCTTGTCCTTTTTTTCTTAATTCTGCCGGGGCTTCACAGCACCCTCCTGAACGACATAGTACACCACAGTACCATCTCCACCCATTCCCTTATCCACCATGGCAAGCAACAACCTCTTGCTGCCCCATTCTTTGGTAGCGCGAGCCTTGGTCCTATATTCATAGTACTCTTGCAGCTTTGCCGCCTTGTCTTCCTTGTCACTCACTTCATATGACGACGGTTCCTCCTCGCCCTCAGGAAGCGAATCAAACACGGCAGCCATCTTGCGCAAACTCCACGACTGACCCTGCACAGTGGGGAGGACGAACATGCGCTCGAGTTCAATGTCTGCGTCGCGAAGGCCTCTCTCGAGCATGTACAGCTGTTCATCCGGATGCGTGTAGACCCGATGCGGCGGGATTCCGGAGATTAAGAAGCCGGATTTAGATTGCTGGTCTTCTGGGGAGGAGGGGTCGGTGGGGAGTTGGATATCGTGGATGTGGAGGGCGGTCCATAGATGCTGGTGTTGGAGGTTATGCAGGATTTGGGTGGTGGTTGCGGAGAGGGGATGGCCTGGGACGGAGGAGGCAGAGATGAGGTTGGTGAGGGCGGAGGGTTCTGGAGGAGGATGGACTGATATCTTGGAGGTCATTTTGAGCTTTGGGGTTTGGGATATGATGTTTGATGATCGGGTGGAGGGGATTTCTGGCCGAAGAGCTCTATTAGTATGCAGCAGATTGAAGGTGAAGGAGGTTGACAGTACTCACTCTGATTGAAAGACCAATGCAGGGAAAAGATAGGAACAATTCAACAGCTCAACATTCGACAATTGAGTCGAATTGACTGATCGATATTCAATACTGCGGGGCGATCGAGTCTTCCAGAGGCGGTTTTTGTCCCTTGCAGGCGGAGAAAAAAAGAGGGCGATCGCGGAGTTCCCCCGGCGCGTTTTTCTGCTGGCAGAAGCAAAAGAAGAACACATGGCATCATCGGTTTCATTTAAGGGCTGAAACATCTTGCGGATTTGTTTTCCTTTCTCTAGCATCTGCGCATCATTCGAAGATTTCTTTGGCCATTACTAGATAATTTGTTTCATCTCTTCGACAGCTGTCCTGTTGACTCGCGCAAGTTGATTCTCCAACACACTCCGGACGTCCTGATGGCACGGCAGAAACAAGCAGCGCCCCTACAGCGGGTGACTTCGTCTGAATTGATGCATATGACCTCTGACGAGGTGAATTCGAAGCAGCAGAATGGCATTGCTCAAAAGCCCATTGCTGCGAGTGGAAGCGCATCCAAGGGAGAAGCGCACGATGCCCACGAGACCCCAGGACTCATGAAGCTTGGAATCTGTGTACTTGGAATTTACGCTTCATTGTACGCGTCTTTTCTCTGCTGATCCTAATTCTCACAAGCTGACATTTTCTAGCCTCTCATGGGGTGTTCTGCAGGAAGCCATCACCACCGTGTCCTATCCCGTTCGTGCTGTAACCGAAGCAGAGCCACAGCCTCCAACGGAACGCTTTACCTACTCCCTCGTCTTGAATACCATACAGTCCTCTTTTGCTGCCATCACAGGCTTCACCTATCTCTTTTTCTCGACTCCATCAGGCCAGAAAGTCCCTTCCATTTTCCCCACCAAACAGATCATCTTCCCTTTGCTCCTCGTCAGCATCGCGTCTTCTCTCGCCTCGCCCTTTGGCTACGCCAGTCTTGCGCACATCGATTACTTGACCTTTATCCTCGCCAAGTCATGCAAGCTTCTCCCGGTTATGTTCCTCCAGTTGACGATCTTCCAAAAGAGATACCCTTTGTATAAATATGGAGTCGTGCTTCTGGTGACCCTCGGAGTCGCTACCTTCACCCTTCACCACCCTGGAACCAGCAAGAAAGTCGCGGCATCGGCAAATGCCCAGTCTGGTTCATCCTCATGGGGAATCTTTCTGCTGGCCATCAACCTCCTCTTGGACGGCCTCACAAACACAACCCAAGACCACGTATTTAGCTCCCCGCAGCTCTATACTCGTTTTACCGGCCCGCAGATGATGGTGGCTCAAAATGTCCTGTCGACCCTCTTGACTACTGGCTATCTCCTTATCATGCCCTTTGTGTCTTCCAGCGGCCTGATCCATTCTCTGCTGCCCTTCTCGATCCCACCTTCCACTGAGACGGAGTTGACGTCGGCTATTGCCTTTCTGTCTCGACACCCAGAGGCATTGAAGAATGTTCTTGGGTTCGCTGCCTGTGGCGCCATTGGCCAGTTGTTCATCTTCTACACGCTTTCCCACTTCTCGTCGCTTCTTCTGGTAACTGTGACCGTCACACGGAAGATGCTTACCATGCTCCTGAGCGTGTTCTGGTTCGGGCATTCTTTGTCTCTTGGACAGTGGCTCGGTGTCTCCCTTGTGTTCGGTGGCATTGGCGCCGAGGCCATTGTGCAGAAACAGGAGAAGAAGGCCAAGGAACGGGCCAAGGCAATGGCTGGAAAGAAGGAATAGATTAGATGTGTTTTTTTTTTTTTTTGCTATTGTTTTTGTTTAGATTCCATGTATATATAGAAACTTTCAATAGACTTGCTTCAGCTTTGTTAGTTTATATCTTGAAGACAAGACTCATTCATTCATGTCATGATAGTAAGAACCGTAGTATTCTAGAAATCACCTCCTCCCTTCGACCATGATGATATGGTATCCAAATCCAGTCTTGATATCCGCATACTTGGGACTGTTCGTCGTACTGGGCTCCAGTTCATACGCGGCCTTTTCAAACGACGCATCGAGACTACCACGGACTTTCCATCCAAGGGAGCCACCTTTATTAAATATCAGTAAACTGGTTCTAAAAAGAAAGAATGAAGACAAACATACCCTGTCTAGCCTTATCCTCAGAGAACTCTCTCGCAACGTCGTCGAATTTAGCACCGTTACGCAGCTTCTCCAAGGCTTCTTCTTTCTTGGAGTACTTCTCACACTGAATGGATTGTGGTTAGTCGGAAGAATAGAGAAATTAATCAAATAAAGAAGTTGTAATTGCAAAACAAAAAGAAAGAAAGATTAACATACAAGAATATGCCGAACATTAAGCGCGGTGGCAGGCTTCAATCCTCCCTTTCCACCTTTTCCCTTCTCACCCGCATCACCGGCATCTTTTCCCTTGCCCTTTTGGTTACCACCGCCTTTGCCCATCGTGGTGGTGTGAAGAATCGAAAGTGAGAGTGGGAGAGATAAGGTTAGCTGAAGAGCGTCACTGTCCCAAGATTTGAGAAACCAAAAAAAAAAATAAAGGGTTACTGCGATAGTGCTGGTTCCAGAAGACGTCACGGAAACAAAAAATCAAATCAAGAACTGGAGCAAAGGCAAAAGGCAAAGCAAAAGTGGTGATGCTTCAGGAAAAGAAAGGCCCATTTTGGACGTGGGGCTTACGGCGGGTGGTCTTAAGAGCCTGAGGCAGAAACCGGTGACGCCATGACTTATTGTCTGTGTAGTATGCGCCTCGTGATTTATTTCTCAACCATCGTCAGAGGCAAAAAGCAAGCTTTGGAATACCCAGATTTGACTTCAATTCTCGTATCCTATTCTCCAATTCGCTGGATCTGAGTTGTTTACGATCCATACTTGCATGACTCGTATACGATCAGGTCATTTGTCTTACGGAGATCGATGCACTGTCAAGATACCCCGGATTTGAAAGATATGAACGTCTAGACCAATGAGCGAAGAGGGCTCTGGTTTAGAAGCAGCTCGGATCAAATCACTACCTGAAGATGCATACTATATCTCTGACTTTCTAACAGAGGAGGAAGAGGGGTTCCTACTTCACAAGGTACATATCCCGTGCCCATGCCATGCCCATGCCCATGTCCCTGTATCACCAAACACTCATTATGCACGTCACTAATCAAGTACCCAGATAACTTCTGCCCCCCTCCCCCGCTGGACTCACCTCTCCCACCGTCGTCTCCAAACCTGGCCTTCTGCACTTACTAAATCAAATACGCTCATCGACTCGCCTCTTCCCTCATGGCTTGTTTCGCCAACTATCGCACCTCGTTTTGACGCTCTGGGTATCTTCGCTAACGCGCCCCATGGCAGGCCAAACCATGTCCTGATTAATGAATACCAACCAGGCCAGGGGATTATGCCGCATGAGGATGGGGCTGCGTATCACCCGCTCGTTGCGACGGTGAGTCTGGGGGCACCCATTGTGTTGGATTTATATCCGAAACGGAAAGAAGATGAGACGAGGGAGGATGAAAGGCCGACGTTTCGAATCTTGCAAGAGAGACGGAGTTTGTTAGTTACTCGGGGGAAGATCTATACGGAGTTCTTGCATGGGATTGCGGAGACAGAGAGGGAGGAGGGGCTGGGGCCGGACTCGGTGTGTAATTGGGACTTGCTACGGGAGGGGCATCGATATCGGGATGGGTGGTTTGAGAGAGGGACGAGGGTGAGTTTGACGTATCGGGATGTGCTCAAGGTTGCTAAGCTGGGGAATGCGATGAAGTTTCTGGGGGGGAATAGATAGATAGATAGATTCGGTGATAGATTGCTTTTCTTGTCTATGATTCTATTAGTATATCCCAGGGATCATCTTCCATCTTCCCCGCACCGAATCCGCGCCGAACTTTTGCATGTACCAGTCTTTGCTGTTTGAGGCAGTAATGCCTAGGTTGACTACAACAAAACCCAGACCCGATAGCAGTGTTTTATTGACCATCTCTCCTGGTGGAGCAGCAATCAGAGCCAGCGACAAGTATATGATGCATTCGGCCGTGTAATGCGGACATACGATGGTGCGGAAAAGTGGGTGATCAGGGAGGCTATATTTCTTGAGTGAGAACAAATAGTGATGGCAGTCGTGTTGAAGACCAGATGCAACCAAGAAAATGGGAATGCAAAGGAAAGTCCGCAGGGAGGGGGCGTTTGACATCTTGAAATCGTCCATCGTCAGTTTATGAGACTGGATTGCACCTAGGAAACAGAGCCAGACGTTAATTTAGATACCGAGCGTGTGATTCGACAATAACCTACCTGTCCCCTCAATCCAGATTGCAACTGAAGCTGCGAGATAAAAAGACAGGCCCAAAAGCCAGTGAACAAACCACATATTGGACGAAGAGGGCTTGGAGAAATCAAAGCACTCACGCAGGCGTCGTGAACCTTGGATGACCATCAATACCCAGGATACCATGACCTGGTGTATTGACATGGAATTTTGCAGATGCTCTTGGCTGACTCGTGTTGCTATGGCCTGGAACGCAACACCTTGAAATAACAGCTGGAGGGCCCAGAAGATCGACGACAGGATGGAAGCAACGTAGAATTGAATGAAGTAACTGTGGGGAACTCGGAAAGAGGCTAAATAGTCGAGAGCGCGCGTCCCAAGTGAGCTGTTCGAAGGCTGCGGAAGGGTCTCCGACTCGGCGCCGGAGGAGGTTGAAGTTGCACGGGCGCCATAGGCCACGAAACGAGATCGAAGCGACTCTGGCAAGGCGATGATAGACAGGGTCTGTGGGGAGATTATTTGATGCTATTGTTTAGTCCATCATATAGTAGCAACACGGTTGGAGCTTCAACCAACACTGAAATATTGGTCATCATACCGTGCAGGTTGCAAAGACGAAGAAAGCTCGAAGGGCGTCGACCGCATCCATGTGCGTGGAGGCAAGAATCGAGTCGACAGCCTGAGAGAGCAGATCCATTTTGTCGTCGTCAGAACCAGTTTCACGTCTTGGCCAGGCAGGGAGAAATTCGACGAGTCACTGCAGACGCAGACCAGCAGTTTCAACGTCACGCAGTGAACTGGGATGGAATCAGCTTGATCAATTGGGAGCTGGGTTGGAGGATGGTGTTGTTGTTGTTGTTGCTGTTATGATAATTCTGCTTTGGAGTAATATATTTCGGCCTGTCATAGTGATACACCGTCACCACACGTTCAGGAAGGGATTTTGTGTGGAGAAACTGGGCGGGACTCCACAGGAGGAATCAGGTAATAATTGCATCGAAATTAGGACTCCAGTTTAGCCTGATGGCGATGGACAGATGGGCAAGCAGATGGCGTAATGGAATACGAATATCTGCAAGAGATCAACAGCGACTCGACCGTTGAGGATATCGCCTAGCAATAACATCTGCACAATCGATACATTCTATCGATGAGAATAATCCAGATAAAGGATGAATCATCTTTCCCCTCCAGGTCACGAGCTCGTTTTTTTCTCTCCTTCTTTCCTTTTCTTACTGTAATCAATCGACGGTTCCAATAATTCATGCAACACAGATGGGAAGAAGGGGGCAAAGTGGGGCGATAAGCTGCGAATATCCCCTCTTGCCATTGGCTGCACTCTAGCAGATCGCTGCATCTAGAGTGGAGTCAGCAGGTTTTCGGCACCTGGCTAGGCCGGAAGCGGTAAGGATGGGATGGCTCCCTGCGCAGCCATTGGCTCAAGACCACCACCAGTTGATGCCTAGCCGGCACGCTAACCAAGCCTAGCTGCCTAGGCGCACACCGTTCCAGTCTTCCACAGAGTGGCGCCATTCAGAGCTGGCGGAGGCTGAGACTCGCTCCGCCCGCTTTTGGGCCTTCTTACATACGCGCAGCCTCGGCGGGCCTCTCACGTCGCCTCTCCGTTAACAGTTGGGGGTGTTTTTTAAAAAAAAAAAATACGCGTCGAGGGTTTTTTGTAGCCTTTTTTGTATTGCTGGATACGGTTGTATGGTAACAGAGCATCCATGACTAACCATCGCTGGTGGCCAAAGTAAATGATACCTCTTGCTAGCAAACTAAATCCGATTAACCCAGTCAAGTCGGGCGTTTCAACTTCCTTTCCATCTCGCTCTCGCGCTCTCTCTCTCTTCCTCTTCTTCTCTTCTTTCCACATCCTACGTTTCGTTTCTCTCATATCCGTTCTCTCCTCCCACACCACCCCCTCAATTAATTTTCTTCTTATCTTCTTTTTTTTTTTTTATTAAAATCTTCCTCTACCTATTTTTCCTCCTTTCATATTAACACCGTACCACACGCATCGAATTGGAAACGTTGTCTTTGGACCCTGTTTCCGTCCGTGATTTCTTTTATTCTCCCACACCTCCCACCTTTTGGCTTTCGTCGGACTTTTGTGCCATTTAGCAAATCCTCGATCCGAAACGGAATCTTGTGCTTTTTTCTGCTTCACCCACCCATTCGAAGATATCCGTCGCCAGGCGTGGTCGAGCACCAGCGTCCGCGCACAACTGCTGGTGTTTCGGACCACACGTCCACTCCTTAACCACGGCCCCCCAAAATGACGATCGGAACCCCCCGAAATCGAGTTCTATCGCTATGAGTGATGTTGAGGCAGTCTCCTCATTGCCAGCTGCCCTGGATGTTGGACAAAGTGCTCTTGCAGTGAAGGTGAATCACCAGAAGCTTTCTGGTCCACCCTCCCCCAAGAGGGCTTCTCCACCATCCCATCCCAGAGGAGAGGATGTTCCCAAGAAGAAGGCCAATCCGGCTGCAGATGGCGACGAGCCATCAAGCCCCAAGGCTGACTCGGAGGCAGAAACCATAATCCAGTCGGGCCGTGAGTCGTTGTCGCCGGAGAAGAGACGAAAGTATATAAAGCATGACCCGAAACGACGTGACGATGGAAATGACAACGTTGATGCTGTGGAGGGTGATCTTCCTCCTAATGATTTGCAGGTTAGAAAGAGAAAGGGTTCTCGGGACGATTCACAAGAGGGGTCTGATCATGATGTTCGCCCTACAAGTCTTCCTCCAAGGGTGCCGTCGCCGTCGGTTGTCAAGATTGAAAAGCCCGAGGAGTCGCAGAATTTTGCCAGGAAACGCGAGTCCTCACACGCCGGTGCTTCCATTCCCAAAAGCGACAAGGCCCGCATCTCGAGAAAGCGTAGCTTCAGCGAGAGTGTCGATGGAGATGGGGACGGCTACCGCCGTGCTCGTCAGAACCCAGGAGTATCCCGCGACCGAGGCCGGAAAGACATGAACGGAATCTACTTTGCTCGCCCCGCTTCAAATGACCGGTCGGTCTCCCCCATTAGGCCCTCGCACAAGCGGACCGCTTCTGGCCCCCAACTTGGTGGTAGCGACGTTTATCGAAAAAGGAAGGCGCCCACGCCGCTCATTACTGGATTTCAAAGACAGAGTTCTGAGGACAGGCAATCAATCTCTTCTTCTACCAGTGGATCCCCGCTACCAAGTGCCCACCTTCGGAAGCTCGCATCGGTGGATGGTGCTTCTGCATCTCCAGCCAGGCCGATGGGTCACAAAAAGCAACGCGATCAAAATGGCCGGACGCGCCTCGCACGAGCATGTGCGGCCCAGGAGTTGGAAGTGGCGATGGCAAGGCATGCAGAACGCCCTGATGACTTGAATGTTGCCGACAACGCTGGAAATACCCCGCTTCAAATTGCTTCTCTTGAGGGTTGTGCGCCTATTGTCAAATTCCTGCTTGAGGCTGGGTGCGAGATAGACACCAAGAATATCGACAAGGATACCCCCTTAATCGACGCTGTGGAAAATGGACACTTGGATGTTGTGAAGCTTCTACTTGAGGCTGGTGCTAATCCTCGGACTGTGAATGCGGAGGGCGACGAGCCATACGAACTAGCTCCGTCTGATTCGGATGACTACGATGAGATCAGACGGGTACTTGCTGAAGCCAAAGCCAACCCCCGACCAGGTCGACGCTCAGAAGAACGGGCCGGAACCGGAAATCGAGAATTTCCTTCACGGCGAACTTCTGCAGTTAGCCCTCGCGACTCGCCTCCAGTAAACGGCCCGCGGAGTCCACCCCTTTTTAGTGCCGCTGCCAAACGAAAGAGCGTTCGAAGTGAAGCCACTAGAAACGATTTGCTGTGGACGAAGGCAACACCAGAAAACCTTCAAGCATTTGCTGCGAAAGGCGATATAGCGGGAGTCGCAAACATTCTAAATGTCGGACAGAAGGCAGACGCTGACTCGATGATTGCAGCCGCCAAGGGTGGTCATGACGAGGTCCTATCTCTCTTGCTGGGCATGGGATATGCAGACCCCGATCCCGACCCCGTACAATCCCACAAAGCAGGCTACAGCACTCCCATGCTTGCTGCAATTGGTCGAGGCAATTTGGCTGTCATCAGACTCTTGCTGGATCAACCGGGGTTTAATCCCACTCGTCGCTTCCGCGGTCATACCTATTTCGATCTGTCGGAAGACCGCAAAGGAGAAAACTGGGAGGACGAATCTTCTCTTCTAAGAGACGCCTACGATAACTATAGCCGAACCAGGAAACCCCGGAAGGCAGACTTATCTTCACCCCGACGGCCACGGGATAGGGAGAAAGAGAACAAACGACCTGCACGCAGGGATTCGATTTCGCCCGTAGCCCGCCCACGGAAAACTAACGGTAGTCCGGGTGACAGTAATCGAGATTCTTTCTCCAAAGATCCAGGTCTGCTGAAAGAGCGAAGACGAGATGGCGTAGGCCACTTGAAGGAGAAGGCCAATTCTGGCACCTCGCGACCAAAGAGTTTCCGAAGAGAAAGTAGCGACAATCCCACTTCTGATGGCGATGCCCCTCGATTAGAGTCTTCCAGGCCAAAGGCGCATTCCTCAGCAAAAGACAGTGAATATGCTGCGGCAGCTCGTGCGGATGACATGCCTAAACGCAGACGTTTAATACCGGGGCGGCCACCGCAGAGACGACCCAGCCTGATTTCGTCGGATTCTTTGTCTGGACGTGACGAAAACACCAAACCGCGCCTTGAGAACCCACCTGACGCCCCCCCATCGAAGCATGGACCTCCGCCATTGAAACGCGTCCGTAGCAGTGAGAGTCCCGATGGACCTCGTTCCCGTGGACCAGAGACAGATCGGCATTCTCACGAGACACAGAAGAAGAAACGACGAGTTCTCTCTGAGGACGGGGCGCCGAATCTCACAAACGGAAGCACGAAGAAGACTCAGGATTCTCGGCATAAGAATGATGTCAACGATGATCGCCCCACGGATCTTGGGCGAGATCAGTTGCACAAACGAATTTCTAACCACAAAGTGGTCGACCGGAATCCCGTTAAACAAGAACGTGAGAGGCACGAGGCTCGTGGCCTGGATGCTATCCCAATGGAAGACTCGAAGAGCGCAGCAAAGAAGGCAGAAGCTGAAGCTGAAGAACGCCGGTTAGCCGAAACGAAGAAAGCCGAGGAAGAGCGTATTGCTGAACTTGCCGAGGACAAGCGAATTGCTGCTGAAGCAGAGCGGGCTCGAGAAGCCAAGGAACAAGAGGAACGAGCGGCCCAACTTGCACGGGAAAAGGCTGAGGAGGAAGAACGCAGGCGCAAGGAGGCGGAACAGAGGAGGGTTAAGCAGGCAGAAGACGAGCGCCAGAAACGTCTTGAACAGGAGCGAGCTCGTCTCGCAAAACTGCGCCGGGAGCAGGAAGAGCAAGAGCAGCGGCGCCGAGATGCTCTGCCAAGTAGGCTCCGTGCTGCCGCTAATCTTGTTGGCTCCAGCGATCCCCGAGCGAAGAGTCATACCTGGCTGCGGAAGTTTATGCCCGTGGTCACTGCTCAGACCAAGCAACTCGATCCCTCATGCCAACCGGATGTGGCGAACGAAAAATGGGTTCCCAATTACTTGATTGCACCTCTGCTCGCGACCAACGACCTCCAGCTGTCCCAATATGCCACTTGGGAGAAACGCAGGGCAACATCGACTCAACGCATAAATCTCTGGCGTGTTACACGGAGAATGCTTGTTCAAGCAGACGAGGCCGAATTCCATAACTCGTCATTTGGACAGGTCATGCAGAAGGATTGTGAAACACGACCCAAGTACTTCGATATGGAACATGTGTTCTGGGTCAGGGTAAGCTTTCTTGATTCAACAGCTGTTTGTTTCTTAGTGCTAACATTGGATTTTAGCTTTCCGACTTCATGGATCTCGTCCCTCATATCCCGCATTTGCACGGACTTGACATACAGTTTCTTCGTATGCACATCGACCACGAACCCTCACCCGAGGCGCCTGTCCTTGAGTTGCCGCAGCCTAATGGGCATGTATTTGGATCTCCACATGCTGAGAATATTAATGGTCTTTCCGCTGGGACGAAGGGCCTTACTAACGGCTATGGCCACACACGGCCAAGTACATATGTCTAATTTTTTGTGCTTCCCTTGAAGGATTACCTTGATTTTGGTGATCATTGAGTACAGCCTTGATGTACAGGTGGATTGTTTCCTTGATTGTATGACTATGATACCTCTGCTGTTGATGTGATGTGATGTTATAACCTCTGTTCGGGTAACAGTCCATATTATTGGATATGAAATGGAGTGAGCCTTCTGACGCTCACCATAATTCAAAAAGTCTTCTTGCGTAGATGTAGTCTAATACTTGCTAGTATGCTATTCTGACGTTGCCATTAGTCTTGTTAATCGTCGCTTCTATTGATAGTATCCGTACAAAAATCGTTCATCATGCCGAATGCGGCCTCAGGCACTGATGATTACCTAAGCAGTAGGGCACACCCCGCCACCCACTCTTAGCCGAGACGCTCGAAAATCCACCAAAAATTAATTGGAGATCCGATTTTCCACGACCACCAATTTAACGCCTCTATAGATCCCTACGACTCTTTGAGGATCATCCGACATTTGATATTACATCGTCACAGCTACCACTACAGACAAAAGTAGCGATCAAAATGGTACGCACCCCCAGAACCAAGAATTGGGCAATACAATCCACCTGCCTCAGTCAATCAATCATGAAGAGAAGAAGATGGATGCTAACCACCTCTCTCACAGTCGGACGGAGAAGAGACCATGTCCAACCCCCCTGTCGCGGCCGATGAGGTCGAGGTTTCCGCCGACGCTGGCGCAGGTGGCCAGATGTCCGTCCTTGACGCCCTCAAGGGAGTCCTCCGCATCTCCCTGATCCACGACGGTCTTGCCCGTGGTCTCCGTGAGGCCGCCAAGTCTCTTGACCGTCGCCAGGCTCACATGTGTGTCCTCAACGAGGGCTGTGAGGAGGAGGCTTACAAGAAGCTCGTTGTTGCTCTCTGCTCCGAGCACAAGATCCCCCTCATCAAGGTTCCCGATGGAAAGATGTTGGGCGAGTGGGTTGGTCTTTGTAAGTTTACCGGACACGATAATAAGAAGTACGAGGGGAAAGGATTGAGGCTAATGCGTTTTTCTCTTACAGGCCAGCTCGACCGTGAGGGTAACGCCCGCAAGGTCGTCAACTGCTCTTGCGTTGTCGTCAAGGACTGGGGTGAGGAGTCCCAGGAGCGCTCCGTTCTCCTCAACTACTTCCAGACCGAGCAGTAAATGCATCCCAGCATTTTCTTGCCTTTCGTCTCGGATGTAAATGACAGTGGGGGGTTGGTGAATACATGAAAACAACGGAAATGAGAGGAAGGTGGAAACAAGTCTACTGGATGGAATTGAAGGGAGGATTTCGCTATCTTCTTTTTTTTTTCCCTTTTCTGTCTGGTTGATGGGCGTGGGCTGAGATTTGGGTCATATTTGTCTTATGTATACCATTTTCAGGTCTTCGCTTTGGCCTTTAGTATCATTTTCGTGGTTTTTTATAACAATCCATCTACGTGATCAAATATGACGATGAACGAAGACTTGAAGTACTCAACTTTGTAGACGCGTAGATGTACTGAACTGAAATGTATGTTTGGAGTGGTCTATGTAGCTTGAAATGTAACTCAATAAAATACAGCAACCGCAACTGCAGTTGGGAAATATGATCGAATAAATATCTTCCCGGGGAGAGAATCAAACAAATAATCACTGGAATACCCCACGTGGGTATGGGACATGCAAAATGAACATTGTCCTCCAAATTGTCGGACGGGGTGAAAATTGAAGAGCAAAACGCCGGCTATGCGAAGAGTGAATCAATGCCCCCTTGGGCCAGAACGCCAATAGCATGAATGAAAGACGTCGAATTTGTGCGGCAAATGAACGTCCCAAGTAAGAATGTAACCAAGGACTTGCTGGGTTATCGAAAACTATACGATGGACGGATCATCTGTTCTGTCTCTGGCTTCAGAGCCAGTTGTTGGTAGGGAGAGCTTCCTGGATCATAGTAGAGACCCTCGATAAGGCCGGTTTCTCGACAGAGGGTGATGTAGTAGAACCCAGATATCGTAAGTCCCTGTCGTGAATCGGTTGGTGTAATGAAACAGCGTTCTATCATAAGATTAGCAAACATAGGATAAGGCAAGACGCAAGTAACATACCCTTCCATCTCATCAAAATCCATTTCTTTGACAGTTCTTCTGTAATCCATTTTCGACTTACGAGGTTTCTGGTCATCTCATCATCCGTCAAGTTTTTGAAAGGTTGCAATTGACGCCAATACGTGCTGTCGATTTCAGCATCTGCCTTAAAATTCTTGGTCTCCAGCGTATGCGAGTTGAAGTCGATGATCTCTCCCTCGAGAAATGTAACAATGTGTGCGTCTTGAGTAGGTGACGTTTTATCAGGAATGTTGTAGGCTTCCATCGTGCCAGATAAGGTCATATCTCGGTAGTCGATGTTATGAATGGTGACTTTGACCGGCCAGTTTTCGTCCCTGCCACCCCCAATGCTGTAGACATTGTTGGCCCAGTACCGACGCCCACTACTTGTAGATACAGCAATCCGGTTACTGTTGTTGTCACTGCCATTAACAATAACCGGGTCGTGAGGAGAGTTTGGATTCAGCCCGCGTTGCGAAAAGGTAGAAATGCCACTACTTGCTGCTCTTTGTGACCCTGAAAACACCATCCCGGGTCGAAGCCAGGAACATTCTGGAGGTTGGGATATCCAGGCCGTATCAAGAATAAAGTCGTCCTCATTCCACGCAAAATAATCGGATTGCATAAAGCCTCCCGCGGCGGCAGAGGTGATACTTTCCTCGTATGAATTCGAATACCGCAGGCGATCGAGATACTTAATAGTCTCCTTTAATCGTGGGCTGGGAGGATTATCCATATGAATCTGTCTATGAACGTTTATCCGGGCACGCAAGTCACTGTGGGTCAAGGTCCGGTGAGGATCGCCCCGGCTGCTGGGAAGATACCGGTATGCTCTAGAAGCGGACGATGTTGCGGATCGCTCTCTACTATCGTCCGAATCCTGACTTGCTCGCTCCCGATCTAGAAGATAGTTGTGAAGACGTGTTCGAGAAGACCGCGCATGACCTCTCACCGACTGCAACAGGGCCTCTGTCGTCGACATGGGGTGATCATAAGTCCTTTGACTACCAACTTCTGCAGATTGTTCAGTTAATGGAGGTGGACCGCGACCGACTGCATCCCGCCGCGCATGTCGTCTGGACATTGCACTGCGCTCTGAGAGCCGACCAAACCACGAGACCATGCTGCCGCTGCCAGTACCGCTTTCCTGCATAGGTTCATACGCTGTATCTTCGTCATCATCATTTTCATCCTCCGAACCGGGTGCCCAGCCGTAGAGCGACCGTACGTTGGAGACACGGCCTTCATAGTTGGGCATGTTGCTGTTTTGTTCGTCCTGTTGACGGCGCACGATAGGGATGCGGCGGTTGACTTCGACGGACATGCGCAAATTCCTAGGGTCATCCAGGTCCATCGGGTCTGCTTCCGACTCTGCAAGATTCTGCTGTCGCCGGCGACGTTGTCGACTGAGGGAGGAAGACGAAGAGTCGGGAGGGGAGCGTACACGAGACCGAAGAAAGTTCACGTTATCATCATGGGCATCATCGGACTCTACTGGACGGGATGGGGCCGGGATCGAAACAGCGCTCAGCTGCTGGAAGGACGATGCAGGTGCAGCTGGGGATAGAGTGGGGGTTTCCTGCTGATAAACCAGACCGATTAGTTTATAGACAAGCATGGAGCACCGGGGTGGGGTGGCATATCAGATGCACCGGGGCCGTGGTCTTCTAGAAATTCCAGAGCCAAGACACCCAGCCACAAACAGATCGAAGCATCGGAGAAACATACAGAAGGCGTGTTGACGGGGGGCATGGTCCTACTCCTCTGTGGAGGGCAAAATCCGCCGTTCAGAGTCGAAATGCACACGCGGAGGATCGGCGGGCGGGCGGAGGAGGCGAGGGAGAGAAGGCATGCGGCGTCGCCAGAACTGGAACACAGACTGGGCGGATTCGAGTTGAATTATAGAGAATGTCGAGGCGATCGATTGGAAGAGGGATATTGGAGAAAAAGAGGCGAGGAGGAACGATGGGGGGAGAGATGGAGGCGATGGAGAGATGAAGAGAGGAGGAAATGGGGAAAAGGAGGAGAAGCGATGATGATAGATAGAGTGGAGATGAGACCAAATAAAGTTGCAGATACAGTAACCGATCGGACCCGTGGACGACTCTGGCTGTTTTCTTTCTTTTTTGCTCACATCCTCATTCTCCAGAGACAAAGAAGATGGCGGTTTTGGAGTGACTCTGAACCAAGGCGAAGGCAATCCAAAGGCTGAATCGAAGTTGCTGTTAAAGTGGCGATGAAGTCGGAGTTGCCGATCGATGGAGGTTGAGTTCCACGCCGATGTTGAGGTTGATGTCGGTAATTGACGATATTCAATAGCGAATGTCAGTGATGCAGTTATTTGATATATGACATGGGATATTCGATATTCCAACTGGTTGTACGCTCTCAGCCTCATCCAGTCTCATCTTAGTGTTACATCTATAACTTTGTACAATCCGTCTACAATTCTACAAATGAAGACAACCAGAACAACTAATTTCTTTTCAACTATTTTGCTAATCCTATAGATTAAGTCTCCCATTGCCTTGCCTTGTTTTATATTGCGGGTTAGCGATGATCTGTTGACGAAACCTGTCCTGCAAATCTCATAGTATCCAAACATCGAACTATGACAAAGGGCAAATGAGAAAAGCTGCAATCTTTCCCTGTCGATTTGGTCCTTTTTGCTGATTTTCTTTTATCGTTTTCTGATTAACGTTGAGCCATTCGAACAGAACTCACCTCGAGCGATATCCCCCATCCTCTGTCCATCCTCACCTTTTCTTCCATCACGTCTTCTCGTTTAACTTCAAAGTCAGCCAATGGCCTAATCTTCGTCATCTGAATCAATGTGACTCAAAGGTTTGGAGAATATTATACCCTTAATCCCGCTGCCGCCATCTTCTCTGTTCCTAATTTCTTCTTGGAGCTGCTTCCGAGCGGTGCTCAAGATGTCTTCGCTCGATTCTTCGTCATCTGGACGATCACTGAATACCTGAATCATGCAGTGATTCTCAGCAAGCTCTTCCTCGTCGTCGTTCCTGATGTAGCAATCATATTCAATCTGAGAAAGTCGAGGGCTATGTGGAGGTATTCCAGGTAGTTGTAGAGCCTGAAAGCAACGGGTCCGATGTAGACCTTGTAAGCGTGCATTTTGACGGTTAGTTTGGTGAATCTGGGTAGGGGGAGTAGATTGTTGTAGAGATGTTTGCTTAGAAGCGATGGTTGGTGAAGATGAGTCGAAGAGGATTTTCAAGGGTATTTATACTCGAATCCAAGACATGAAAGATTAGAGATGATATAGACGATAGTCTGGTATCCTGGAGAGTCCATTGTGCTGAAATTCTTTGTATCAGCTTCACAAGGAGATGGTGAGAAGACAGGGAAACAAGGTAAGACAAAGAGAATTGAATGACACTTGTTTCTTTCTTTGATGATGAACCAGAGCTGCGACAAATCATAGACTGAAACAACAAGATATAAGAGACTACCAAGAACAGTTGAGCTGCTTTGTTGTGCTATGGCAACTCGTTGAGCCTGTATACAAGGACGAAATCAGCCGTGATAATTTCTATTATCATATTCCAAAGAAACAAATAGCGTTCATTCTCGGCTTAAACAATAGCATGGAAATAATGAAAGATCGAGCACGGGTTTCAGAACATTACCTGCATTGATTGTTGATGAACAAAAAAACCGTCAATCCACCGAAACCAACCGTCTTCGACTTTGTCCAGCCTTAATTCCAACCTCATCCCGTAAACCCGGGTCTGTCTTTTCCGATACGAAGATCATCATGGCCTCTTTTCCTTCGGATATCCGGGCTGGAAAACTGGAAGAGCTCAGGCGGAACAACTCCGAATCGATTCATTCCCCTCGTCAGGGTAGAATCCTATTTTTATGAGATAATTCCGTCAATTTCTGCTCCTTTCAACTTCCTTTCACCCCCATTCTTCCTGCCGATGTCCTATTTCAAACCCATCTCACTTCTTTCAGTTCAAGTTTTGGATATTTAGGGCTTTTCACCTCAACAGCCAAGCAATCTCCATACCCCGCCCCCGCGCTCGTCTTCCCCGCAACAATGGTAAAGATCAAGAGCATCGAATATTTCCGGGTTCTCCCACGATGGCTGTTTGTCAAGATCACTGATGAAGAAGGCCAGTATGGCTGGGGTGAAAGCACTCTCGAAGGGCATACTGAGGGGATTGAGGGAACCCTCGATTCTTTGTCGAAGAGATTCCAAGGATATGAAGCGGAGTATGGCATCCCACTTTGAGTTGATTATTGGGGAAAGCACAATCCAGTTAATGACCTTTGCTTCTTTATCAGTGACATCGAACATATCTGGCAAACGGCATGGCGTCTAGGGTTCTACCGCGGCGGTCCTGTCTTCATGTCTGCCCTTGCCGGTGTCGACATCGCCCTCTGGGACCTCAAAGGTCGTCGACTAGGTGTCCCAATTCACCAATTGCTGGGAGGAAAAGTTCGCCATAAGATTTCTGTCTATTCTTGGATTGGTGGAGATCGTCCCGCGGACGTGGAAGCGGCTGGCAAGGAGCGACTGGCGCAGGGCTTCAAGGCCATCAAGATGAATGCCACCGAGGACATCAACTGGCTCGACTCACCGAGCGTGTTGGACTCGAGTGTCGAGAGATTGAAGACTGTCAAGGCACTGGGTTTGGACGCTGCCCTGGACTTCCATGGCCGTCTTCATAAGCCCATGGCCAAACAGCTCGCAAAGGCTCTCGAACCGCACCGGCCACTCTTCCTTGAGGAACCTCTGCTCTCTGAGCACCCAGAAGCTATCAAGCACCTTTCTAACCAGGTATCATGTCCCATTGCACTCGGTGAACGACTGTACAGCCGGTGGGATGTCAAGCGATTCCTCGAGGATGGAAGTGTCGACGTTCTCCAGCCTGATATCAGCCACTGCGGTGGAATTTCTGAGCTCCGTCGTATTGCATCTATGGCCGAGACATATGATGTTGCCCTCGCACCCCATTGCCCGCTGGGCCCCATTGCACTGGCAGCCTGTATGCAGGTCGATCTGACCACGCCCAATTTTGCCATTCAGGAGATGAGTTTGGGCATGCACTATAACATCGAGGCCGGAGAATATGACATCACAAGCTACGTGAAGGATCCAAGTGTCTTTACCGTGAAGGATGGTTACGTCGATGCCTTGACAGCTCCCGGGTTGGGCATTGATGTAGACGAGGACACTGTCCGGAGGGTTGCACAGACAACGGTTCCCTGGCAGCCCAAGGAGTTCTACGGTCCTGATGGTGCAATTCGGGAATGGTAGTCTTTTTCTGTAATTGAGTTGAATCCATAATGGGTTCCTGCATAGCGGTGTTACGATTTAGATGAAAGTCATGGCAGACATGAGTTAACGTACCAGGGCCTTCATAGCCAGTGGTTCAAGGTTTCGTAAAAGTCATCGTGTTCAATAATGTTTGTCCATGTCAATAACATGAGTGCATTTTTAAATTCATGTATATGTAAATTTCGTAAGCCATCCATTCTATAAATTGTGAAAGGAAAGTATTTGCTTGAGCTATGTTCATCCAGTTGAAAATACCCAATCGTCGCCAAATTGCATCGATACCGAACCATTATTTTCCTCGAGCAGCATTGCACTGGTCTGCCCGTGAGATACATTCCAGTATCATGTTCCAAAACGCGTCCACGTCTACTCCCCTTGGGATGGCAACCCCATGGGGTTCTTCTGTAGCCACGGCGACTGAGCGTCCCAGTTGGCCCATTGCATCCACGTCAGTGTTGTGAAGACCATCAGTAATAATATCGATAGCAAATCGTTCACCACACTTGTCGTCAAACTTCAATGCCTGTTCAGGGTGGTTTTTAGCAAAGGCAGGGTTCAGATTTGATAGGAGTGCTGCCACAGCGAGAGGGTCATGCAGTGGTGGGCCTGTAGACAACCCAAACACAGTTTCGTATGTTTGCGCGAAGAATACAAGCAGGTCACGTAGCATGCGTCGAAGATTGGTTGGGGGAGTTGGCGGATCACCCGATCCATGCAAGACGCGAGTCTGTATAGCAGGCGACGCAAGGACCTGGTGTGTCAGATCGAGGGCCATAATGCTTGTTTTCTTATTGAGGATGGGGTTGCTGAAGATTGACTGAGAAGCTTCGGGGTCACACTGAGGATGAAAGAATGTTAGAGTGAACTTAGAGAGCGGCATATCTTTGGCACGATGGTCATACGTAAACATTGAACTCCGCCCATGGAGTAACGTTTCCAATCCTCAAATGCTGTCCAGGGAGTCTGCTCATAGGAGCATCTGTGAATCCTTCACCAACACCACCACCCATGATGGTCAAACCCTGAATATGTGCTGCTACTTCTGGGAACGTGGCAAAGAGTAAAGCGACATTGGTCAAGGCACCGGTTGCAACCACCCAAGGAGTACCCTTCGGTTGCGCAAGAAGAGCTTCGCGCATGGCAAGGATTGGGTTCTTGTCTGTAATAGGTGGTACAGAGGCATTAGGGAGTAAGTCAGTGCCATCCAGTCCCGAGTCACCTAGTAGAGGAGAACGTTAGTTATCAGTTGGGCACAAGCTAACCTGTCCACTTACCATGGATATTAGGTGCATGAATGGCTGGTCTGCAAAATGGCCTTGTACTTCCTGGATAGACGGGAATGTCTGGTCTACCGATTGCTTCTAGGACTCTCCCGGCGTTGATCGTAGTCTTCTCCAACGATGCATTGCCATGGATCGTAGTGATGCCCAGAAGATTCAAGGATGGATGATGGGCGGCGAGGAGAATAGCAAATGCGTCCTAATAATATTCAATATCCGTTGTCAATGATTCACGGCCAGAATGCAAGATAAAGGCATCTAGAACTCACATCGTGGCCTGAGGGGCAGCTTGTCAGCGCTGTCGGTGTTAGATGAGGGGATCTACTACTAACCAGGGTCACAATCCAACCACAAAGGAATGGGGAGATCAGACGATGCGCTCATTCTGGATGTGTATATTCCACAATACTGTATCTTTTCAGAGATTGATATCTGAGATGGTTCCGGCAATGAAAGCAGCGACTCTGTACATGCCTCCACTTATCAGAGGGGTAGATAAGCTGTCTTATCAACGCATGCCAACTCAAAGCCCTAAGCCCTACATTCCCAATACGGCACCCCCCCAGCTGGGGGTGGAGCAAAGCGTCATCGCAACTAGCGGCCGTGCCTAGGCCGTTGCCGTTGCCGCTGCTTGTTGTTGTTGTTGCCCCCTCGTGGATCATCCTTATCGATGGCGGTCTCTGCGAGATTGGTCTTTGAGATATCATATCATATCATTTCTGCTTTTGCTGTTTAATAAACTTTTTGTCAACAGATTCCCCCTTGCATTGTGATGAGATGACCAGCGATCCTGCCCGTTCCGGTCTGCATCCGTTTTCGCATCTCAAAGCTGGTCCAACAACCTCCAGCTCAAGGTCGACAGCACAGCCTGCCTCCTCGAGTTTGCAGCCACACTCTCCGACGACTTCAAATCGGCCTCGTCTGGCAAAGAGTTCTAGTCGTGATGATCAGATTGACGCGGCAAGTGAGAAGGCAACTGTTAATTTGATCCGTCGAGTCCTGTGTCCTCAGACGGGCAATTACGGTGGTTCAACCCCGCAGCCTCTGGAAGAGCTGCTACCTCCTCTTACGAGTTCAAATGATGTGGACCGTCAGCTCTATGCTCTCATCGCCATAATTATTAGAGAGTTCGTTTATTCATGGTATTCGAAAATCACGTCGGATCAGGTCCTCGTCAATGAAGTCCTCCAAGTGATCGCCCATTGCACCCGTGCTCTCGAGCAGAGACTGCGACAAATAGATGTCGCACAAGTGATTCTAGATGAAATCCCTGCTCTGGTAGAAACCCATATAGCTTGTAAGATTTGGCTGCACTTACTTCAAACTGATTGCCAAACATACCTTTACTGACGCATCCCCGGAACACGGTTTAGCATATAGACTGGCAAAACAGCAATCTAATCTGTCCGGCCTAACACCTTCTACTCGTGTGATATATCATTCCTTGCATCCGCATCCAGGTCTCTCGCCAGTTCCAGATCCCTCTGATACCGAAACCATTGCCCAACAGTGTGAAAACGAGGCCCTGTATCGACAGCTTCTAGTGCATGGTACGCTGGCCGTGCTCCTCCCGACGGAAGACCTCGAGAATGTTTGTATGCAGACAATTGTTGGAGATGTTCTAGCAGATCTCATTATAGGAAACGGAGTTGACGGGAAGGTTTCTGAGGGATGGTTCTTGTGGGAGAGTATCACTAAGATTCTAGATGGAGTGGAACAGCGTATCTCTCGTGATGAGGGTGGGCAAACGGCTCAAGAGTCCCGACAAAATCAATTGAAAAAGTTTGGCTTGCTCTCGACAGAAGAGGATTTCCAGAACGACCATTCGACGAAGGCCCAGTCGCAAATTTCAATTTGGTTCTGGAGCATCCTTCAATATGCCTACCTAACTTACGTTGCCTTGCGTTTCATTGCCACAGGCTTATTACAGACTGCATCTACCCCGCCAACGAACCCTTTGACCTCTGCGTATCCAACTTGTCATACCACTGAAGCGCTCTCATCGCCGGGCAGCGTCACGGGAAAGCGGCCCGTCCTCAACTACCGCATATGTAGTATGCTCTCACAACTTATGGATCTTCCCCAACGGATGCCATGGCTGGGAGGCTTCCTTGCGCTCGTCCAATACTTGATTCTGGCGGGGCCAGGCAGGCTGGGCGATACGGACAGTGTTCTTGATAGGTGAGTCTTACATCCACCGGGCTTCCCAGCCCACTTTCCCCTCTCACGCAGCGTATCTGTCCTTGGTGGCCCGAACCGCTGTTGACGTACGAGAACGATTCATCCCGAGGCAATGCGGAATTCCGACTGTGGAGAAGCAATGCGGTTGGAGATCCGAACCATGATCTACAAATACACAGTCAAGTGAACTTTTTTGTCAGAAAGCCTGGAGCGAGCCATTGGAAGACGGTTGATAACCCCGGCGGGACGAGGGTGCAGTAGACTTGCATTGCTCGCATGCTGCATCGATCACTTGATCTCAGGGTGGGCTGCACTGCCCATCCAACCAGGGCCCTGAGCCTGTTGATTCGTCGATGCAGGGTTGTATCGTCAATACGCAGTGAGACCGGCGCGTACGGTTTTATTACGGTGTCTGTATCGTCTTTACGGTCATTACCGTCGTTACCACTTGACAGGGCCCCTCTCCCGCCATCATCTTATGATTATTATTATCATCGTCTACTCTATACCGGTCGACACTGCTGTCAGATTTTTCCCTTTCCTTCGAGGGCTTCTCGAGTGGTTCTTTTCGACCTCCTTTTGTCAGTCCAAACTCGAGTTTGAGCATGACTGCTGGCCCGTAGTGGATAGCCATGGGCCGGCCCTTTCCGTGCCGCTCTTCTCCAGCTTCCGCGTGCAGCCAAAAAAGCAGTCCAATAGAACAAAATGGCTCCTCGTTTCCCCGATGCCTCTGCAGGGCGGCTTTGCACTGCCCTGGGAATTGGAGAAGGAAGAAGGGGGAGGGGGTGGAATACACCAGTCCAACCCTGCAACGGAGCCCTGATTGGCAAACAACGCTAAGGCGGATGATACATAAAATGATTCATGACGATCGCCCACGCATAGGAGGTGGTTAACGGCCATGCGACATTGGAAATTTGCATGGATAGCGGAGGGCCAGGTCCATTTCCGCTGCCCTTTTCAGGCCAATTAGCGAAATTCCTGCCAGCAAGATTTTGAATTCGAATCCCGGCTGAGGTCACCGTGGACTGTGCCTGTGGCTCCCCCCCTGCGCCCAGGCACGCTTCCCAAATCCAATATCCGCCCAATTTGTCCCAGCATCATTATTCGGACTCGCCGCCCATCTGACCTTGTCGTCATCTTCAGCTTTAGCATGTATTGGGATTTCCCCAATCGCACCAATAGCTGGCCCAAGCTCCTCGACTTTTTGGCCAAGCAGCAGATCTCATTAGCTTCCCCTCTCATGAGATCTCGACCTTGGACTTTTGCTCTATCTCTCTATCTTTCGATACATCTTTCTCGCCAGGGGCCTGGACTGCTCTCAATCGCTTCTCCACAGTCTGGGATTCCACCGCCTGACTTTTTGCTCGTCATTGCGCAATCTCACTGTTGATTCCTCATGTTTTTTTTTTTTTTTTTAATTTTTCATTTTTCATTTTTTTTTTGCGTTGAAAAAGAGCCTTGCTAACCCCCGGTTTAAAAATTTTTTCATTTGCTCCACTAGATTCCTTCACGAGACCATCAAAAACTATGTACTTACCCCCACCTTGTTGCCCAACCTCTTACTTGCCTCTAGGACGGCGCTTTTCCCATCAAATGCCCGTCCAATTCAGGTAACAAGCCTAAATGGCATAAATCGAACCCCGGTTTCTGCTCCGCACATGCCGGTGTCTTCCCCGACGCCTACTAAGGAGGGAGCCCCTTTCAACAATGCAACCGGGAAGAGCAATACCAGTAGTGGAGCTTCTGTGCCTATGGTAGAGCCAGTTTCTTCTGCGGCGCAGGACAACCAACAGAGACCATCCGCGTCTGAGATCGCAGCTATCAAGCGACGATGTGCATTGAGCATCTTATCATTGGTTCCACAACGGGTTGCACGATCCTTATTTGGAATTCCAACAGATGCTACCAGCACTTGCATTGACGGTCAAGAGAAGTGTCTCAACACCAACACCAACGCCATTACCCATGACCAGAAGCTACAGAAGGAGCTGCGGTCCCCTGCTTCCGCGAACAATGACACAGAAGAATCGCTCCTTGCGGCTATCGAAGGGGAACTTTTGGATCTTTTCGCCGACGAATATTGCAACAAACATCTGATCTACTCGGTCATTGAGACCGTCTTGGCGAAACTTCTTCCTGAGCTGTCGGAACGCAGCATAGGGGAACTGATGGAAGACAGGGGTGTGTCTCCAGCTACGAGTTGACCAATCTGATTGCATGAAAGACGGGGGCTACTAGTTTTAAGACATAATGTTAATGATACCACCATGTGTGAATCGGACCTGGCTCGCATAACGTGGAATGATGATTGACACCAAGAAATTTCTTGGAAGTAGGTAACCTGTCAAGGCGGGAAATATCCCAGGGCTATCCATCCAGACCCGCCGGAGTAATAGTATAGAACAGCCAACCTATATCCAGTGCTGAAAAATAAAAAAGAAACAATACGTAATTGTTACAAGGTACAGGCAACCAATAGAAAAAATAAGAGATAAAAATAAAAAAAGACGCAGAAAGTGCACTGCACACTGCAGGGAATAAGCCCGGTAATAAATCAATCAAATAAATGACGCAGACGCAGGTCCCGCGAGGCGCGCGCCCCATGGTCAGTCATGATGCTGATGCTGATGCTGATGCTGAATGACCTAGCAGAATTTTTCTGTTTTCTGTCGAATCATAGAATGAGTAAAAAAATAACATCCTGCGGATTTTCTCCTCCATTCTGCAGTAGTGAGTGATACTTGGGTAAGGTACTTGCGTGTGTGGGATGTATGTATGTTGGTTGGATGTAGGCAGAAAGGAAATTTAATATGGAGACATTTGCATGCGATGCGGAATTGCGGTCTCGAGTATAGAAAAAAATCAGGAAGATAAAAAAAGAAATTTCAAAAATAAAAATAAACGAATGCAGAGTGAAGAGAAAAAAAGAGGCGGTGAGAAATTAATGGATAGATAGAACACTCCATAATTGGAGGGGAAAAAAGAAAAGAAAAAGATGACGATGACGATGATGATGAATGAAAAAATGTATGACCTTCCTGTAACCCATATTTTCCATATTGCTCTGCCCATTGTATTATGTCGTTCCACCTGAATGCCATAAAGAAAAAAAGGAAAAAAAAAAAAAAAAAAAAAAAAAAAAAACCCTTGAATATGCCGTTCCGCGCGAGCGGTCCAGTTTAGAGAATGCATAGTATGAAACCCGAAGAAAATAGATGGAAAAAAAAAAATGATGATGAATATGAAACAAAAGGAAAAGGAAAAGAAGAAAAGTAATAAAAAAAAAGACAGATAAACAAAGCATATATGCTCGTGAAATGATACAAACAAGACAAGCCAAAAACTGGCGGGCAAAATGCTCCGGTATGTATGTATGTAGATAATGTCCATGCGCCTGCTCCGTACAGCTGTGTCTGCAGCATATAGAAATTCTGTTGCATATGAGGTTGCCCTCGCGTATGAGTGTACCATTCAATATCTTCACAAGCATTGGACTCGACCATGGTCAAGCTCACTTGGGAATCATTGATCGGGATGAATGATGTAACCAAAAAACCAAAATCCAAAGAACCACCCAGAAAATCAAAAACAAGAGGGATATAGATTTTGTATAGAAAAACGAAATGAGAAAAATCAAAAGGGGAATCAAACGAAAGCAAAAGATGGCCACAATCGTATACAACGACCACAATCTGTCCGGGTTGCCTGTAACCTAACCCAAGCTGTGGATACTTCTCTTCTTGATCAGATGAGGTGCATCCTCGTGTTCATCAATCCGAGTAAGCCCTCCTGGAAGAGTGGTGTGATGGCTTTTGGCAAGCTCAAGCCTTTCCATCAACTTCCCAATGGTCACGTATTCCTGCGCACCAAGTCCAGTGGGCTGATGTTGGAAGTAGTTCATCACCAACTCTAGTGCATTTCTTGCTTCATCCTGAGTAGGCGATCCAGGAGGGCTGACTGGGGAAACAGTGTTTGATTTGGAGTAGAAGGGAGGGTAGATCGATTTGGTCTTGATCTCTGGGTTGCTGCGGTTGCGCTTGATGATGTTGGGAGCATCCAAAATAGAAGCGGGTTTCTCGTCCTCGATTGGTGATTGGGGGAGTGCAACTGACAAGGCCTGCTGAAGGGCGGCTTGAGAGGCCATTTGCTCCTTGGACTCGTCGGTGGACGGGGCGTTAGGGTCGTACGTGCCAGAAGGAAGCGTTTGACTGCGCGGTCTGCTGGCGTTGTTATCGGTGGGCGAGATGCGCGACTGGCTGGTAGGAGTGAACGGGCTGTCGGACACCAGGGTAGATGTTGGACTGGTGATACCGGCAGAGACGGAAGAAGTGGTTTCCAGCGAGGTCGTGCTCTTCGAATGCACATGCTGCTGGTATTCAGAGAGTTGAGCCAGACTGTCGACAAGTTCTTTCTTCATGTTCTCCTGGCTCTGGGTAGGGGACAAGGGAGAAGGCGTCGCGAAACCGGTTGCGGTTGGGGAGATGGGCGAGAGCACACTGGTGGGGGATTGCATGGCGGAAGCCAAAGCCGAGTCGATACTGAGACGGATAGGACTGTCGGAATCGCTCTTGACCGTGTCGAAAGAGCTCTTGCGAGATTTGGCACCCATGAGGCTGTTCTTTTGCTTGAACTTTTCCAACCAGCTTCTGCTCAGGACTTTTTCTTTACCCTCGGGGCAGCCACAGGTGCTGGCAAAGAAGAGGGCTTTTTCTCTGATCATCTCGTCGTTCAAGGGGTAGCCCTGTCGTTGGTAGTTCCTTGCCCAGTTGGACAGGGCCTTTTCGATATCAGGGACCCTTCCTTTGGATCGCTTGATGGGGGATCGACTCCCGTCGTCAGGGTTGAGGTACTTTTCCTTCTGGCGCAGTACTTTGGAGACAGTACTTGAAACTATGTTAGAGAAACACCCAGTCAAAGAGTTGATTGACTATACCTTCGTTCGACGCCAAAGAGCGCTATGAAGTCTGTCAGCCTGAATTCCTCTGCGCATAGATAAGATAACTTACCTCCAATGTCTGTCTGCTTGGCCGTCTTGTTCTCCTCATGGTAGAGGCACATTCGTCGACGGTCATCATCCGTCAAGGTTCTCCGGGGGTTGGTACCGCCAGTCGACGACTTACGCGGCGGCGGGATAGGACCGGCCGGAGAGATGGAAGGAGGAATATGCATGGGAGGCAGACCCGCCTCCTGGTAATGCGGAGGAGGAGGAGGTTGTTGTTGATGCGAGGCGAGCAGGCTGGGCCAAGGATGGGAAGGCATCGTCAACGGTAGCGAGCTATAAGGGGGAGGAATGGACATGCCAAAGGAGGAGTCCAGAGGCATGACAGGAGAGGAGCCATAGTGGAAGCCCTGGTAGTCGGGCAGGGGAGGCGATTGCTGGGAGGAGTTGAAGGGAGGCATATCCATCCAGTGGGAGTGGGAGGAGTGAGAATGAGGAAACTCGTTGTCTCGGGTGTGATGAGATTCAGTGTCCATGGCTTGGATGTTCATGAGTTTGAGTGTTGTGTTTGGTGAATGTGAGTGTAGTGAGAGGAAGAAGATTGAGCAAAGCAGAAGAAGATCCGGGGAAGAAGAACGATCTAAAGCCAAGACGAGGAACAATGCATGTTCAGAAGCAAAGACTCAATGCGCAGACTGATTGTACACAATTGGCAGACAATCCCGTGAGGGGGGCAATTCTTTGATTCAACAGAAGCTATCCCAGACCAGAACAATAAGTATACAAAGAGGAAGGGACGGGGAGGGGAGGAGAGGAAAAGGAACGGAGGGGCGGATAGTCGTAAGTAGTAATACTAGCAGCAGTGCGTGCATGCGGGTAAGGCATGGACGGAGTTAAAAAGGGACAGAGACAGTTAGGATAGACTAAAAGGTAAAATGAAGATGCGAAAGACGATCAGGGAGACATTCGGTGCTCGACCGACTCGGACAGGGAACAGAAACAGAAAACGCAAGCAAATGACAGCCATAGATGGAGCTGGTCGGAGAAATCGAGCTGCGATAGTCGAACAGGGAGAAAAAGACGGGCTTCTGGGCGGCGATTGGCTGGTTGGGCTCGAAGCCCAAAATCAAAAATCAGCAGAAATGGTGGGGGGAGTGGATGCTGATTGGCCGGGTTGACAGGGATCTGGGTATCTGTGTATGTCCGTACGGTCCTGTATGTAATACTGTACTGATGATACTGTACCGTACACACTCTACCTCCCAGGTACTACTACCCTGGTTGACAGGGTGTGTGGGTTGATGTCGTAGATGAATAATAATATCAAACACGCCATCTAATAAAGATATATTGAAAGAGTATGGGATAGAATAGACATACAGTTGATACTGATTTGTACCCGATTAGTGGGCCCAGGGCGAACCAGACAAGGCAAGAAGTTAGCATACTGTACTAGATACTCCATAGTTAGATGGAAGTTGCTCACTGCAGAGTTTTCTTTTTCTTCGGCTATTTGATCATTTTTTCTCATTAAAAAAAAGAAAAAGAAAATACTTTTTCCTTTTTCTTTCAATTGTACGACTACCTATCATTCAGTGGATGCTTGATTCCCGCTTGACAGCTCTTCAAGAAAGCTAGACAGTTAACGATGCTACTATCTTCAATGGTCTATCGGATACAATAAAATAAAATAACCAAAACGGAAGACGGATCGATTCTGTCCGCTTTGAACCTAAACAAGAAGCCACAACGGTTTTAATTGACAGCTGAAGGTGCGGTTAAGAAACCTCCGTCTTCCGTTAGTTATTTACTATTCAGTTAGTCAGTGCTGTAGGGAGTTTCTTTCAGTCAGAGTTTCCCCGCTTACTGCGCTGTGCTGCGCCTTTTTGAGGATCCTCGAGGCGGGAAATCGATCGATGGTGCGATTGGTTTTTGGATGGGTAGATCGTATAGTCAGGATGGGATCTGAAGCCTGCCTACCTGCCTCACTCTGTCTCCATCTTACTTACTGTATGTACAAGACCACCCTGGGAAAAAAGTGAGCAAGGAAGAGAGAGGGACGAAAAAAAAAAAAAAAAAAAAAAGGCAGTCCTCCGTAAGCCGATCTGCACCGTACTTTGTAACACGAAAGTCGCAGCAACAGCCAATCAGCAGCCGTAGGATGATTTCAATTTCGGTTTTTGTTACATGGGCCGGCCCAGGGGCGCAGGGCCCAAGACTGGCTTGGCCAATGGCAGGCGGGGAGGGCAGGCAGAGGAACTGCGCTAGTGCCTTGGAGTCCCCACGGTCCACTGTGGAAGGCCCGCCGCGGTGACCCACGCCGGGCCGGCACCCTAAGCAATGCTCTGATGTACTGTAAATCTGCTATATATGAGAGGGTACACATACTTACTAGTCTGGCTGTCGACTACACTGTAGACCGAGTCGGGAAAGGAGTGGAGAGTACTACCCTACAGACCAGGCCCTAGACATGCAGACGACGATCGGGCATTATTTGCTCTGACTGGGGATGATGTCGTGGTATGGCTCTGAATACAGTCTAGTCTGCCAATTGCTGCAGCTTGCGATCCATGATTGGCCTGAAGATTCTATCCAGTATCCTTGAAAAGGTCTTAGCATCTGTATACTCACTAGGCTACTGGTATTATTATTATTATTCATCTCACTCATCTTCCAGACTCTCTTTGCAGCCTTACTGGGGCAGCGATGGATACCGAGTCATCGAGTCCACAGCGGGAAACGTGATCGCTGCTCCAATCGCCCATCCGCCCCGCTTGTTCGGATGACCACGAGGAGATTGTTTACCGTATGGGCCATACAGGCGAATATTACCGTCTACAATGACCTACTTTAGCAGTGTTTAACTGTTGACAGTTAGGGCTCGAATGAAACAGACTCACTCAAACAATAGAACAAAGACTCAAAACATGGTACCGAGATGGATCGACAGCTTCCCATCCGGCTGTTGAACCATGGATAGCTAAAACTTCAGAGGCTTAGGGGGAGATGATATCCTGTCGGTCTCTGGTTAGTCCATGAGCCAGCCTGACATCCGCCAGGGCCGCCATAAGATCCTTTTCTGCGACTTTTTTTTTTCTTTTTCTTTGTCCTTGTTAATTTTTTAATTTTTTATTTCTTTTTATTATTATTCATTTTAACTTTCTCATCCACACGAATCAATCTGCCTGTTGCCGTTTGACTTTGCCTTTCCCTCTGGTCTTTTTCTTACAGGCTGGATTTCGAAAAGAAAAGATGTCACTATATGCACATCCTTCCCTATCCGGGATCGTTGGAATTAGTAGTCAAAAAAGAAAAAGAAAAAGAGAAAAAAAAAAGAAAATACTAATCCTACAGGTGGACTCACCTTTGACTGACGCCATTCAATCGATTTTTTCCCTCTCACTCTGTGTTCTCGTTGGCGGATATCTCTGGCCTACACTGCCTTACACTACACTACACGACGCCCCCCCTTTTTTTTTCTTGCGGCTTTTTTATCTTTATTTTTTATTTTTTATTAGTATCATTTTTTTTCCTCTTTTCCTCTGGCCCGGTCAAGATCAAAATGGAATAGAATGCAGATGCAAAGTTGCCCTGCCTCAATCCTTCAGCTCAATTTGTCTGCAAGAACACTTATCCATCGTCTTACTTCATAAACTACAGTATTCCAAGTGGATAACCTGGAACTTACTTGAATAAAAAGTAAAAAAATAAAAAGCGACACCACTAGCACCTCCGATGCCGTCTTGATAGCCTTGCCGATTATTACCAGCTATACATACAGTATCAATACAAAATACATGGACATCGGCATCTGTCAGGTACACTAGTTTACTGCAGATGCGGTGCTTGCTTCTGTCGGGCTTTAATATAAGCGTACTTTGTTGACAGTAGCAGTCCAGAAATGACGATGTGCGCTTTTTTTTTCTATCCAGGAAATAAATGCCTGATGAAGATCGAGATGTATCCACCCACCATGGTGTTTTTTTGTAGGAATGTCGTCAGTAGCAATAGTAGTTATCGCTAGTTTACACTGTCATGTCATGAGGTACTCGGGGGCATCTAATCATCTAATCAAGGATTGAAATGATTATCTGTCTCTAATTGACGATCAAGTTTAACATGCAGAAGAGCTGAAATACAGTTCAACGGATTTTCTTTGTCCTTATCCTTGACTCGACTGTATTCCTTTGTTCACCCTTCAGCAGGGATGAGGGGAAACCTGCAGTTCAGCCAGAAAAAAATGATGGATCGCAAGCAAGAAAAAAGACCAAGAAAAAGAAGGCGAAATAAAAAAAGGAAAGAAAGAAAAGCTCTCACCGATGGATAGGCAGTTAGTACCAGTCTACTGCCTACCGATACACAGTAGTATCTACTACTAGTGACTTTCCTACTATGAGCAGATTTCTTCTTCAGCCGTAGACGTATCGTGGAGTCAGACTATCGAATCACAATCAATTCCATCATCTTCATCTACTCATTTCATATGTATCATAATCTCATTCAGAATCAGCCGTAAGCATCACTGACCACCAAGTGACCAGATCGTAGGTACTTAGCGAGCAGATTATCTTGGGGAGATCGGCACCATCTCCACTCGCTCTATTAATGACTCATGAATACCCCGTAATACTACTTGTACTACTCCATAGAACTTGTCTCTAATGAACCATGGATGATGAAATGAAAAAAGGCCAGAGCTATGTAAGCAAGAGGGGTACTTCCTATTCCAGAGTAGTTGGGATGTCAGATTTACAGTTCCAACTTGCAGTGTTTAGCTGGTAGGGATGGGATTGGATTTCCGCGCAGACCGCTTCTTATTCTTCATTGCTTTTTTTAATTTGCCTCTAAAGGGAAAATTCTTGTTTTGCATGCATTATCAGAGCATGTCATCGATTGGCTTTTTTATTCTATTTTTTTTAATTTTTCCTTGTTTTTCTTTCTTACTTTTTATTAGGCTTTAAGACCACGGGAGGAAAAAGTAAATATCCCACGTAGTAAAAAGGTTCACAGGCAACCAGCAAAAAAGAAAGTTAGAGAATCCTTCAACTATCGATTTATGATTTATGCATCTTGATATTTGTATCTACTATCTACTTACTATCTGCCTACTTCCAATGTGTCATACTACCAGATAGAAGAATAGCCGCTGAGCTGAAAACCCCTCCTGCAGGATATCCACTCTCGACCAATCACAGCAATCAATGTTAGTTACCTGACCGGGTACTTTACTAAGGAAGCCCTCCTGCCCCTGACCCTGTCGATGCAGTTCAAGGGTGATTTATTGCTTATCAAGAATTACACAAGATCCTCTGGGTCAAAGTACCTTGCCACCTACCTATCCTAGGGGCCATCCGAAGCTTGGATGGATACTTCATTTCTGTACTACCCAAACATTATGCAGATTTATATTACTCTCTACACACTTATCGGTCTATACACAGTGGCCGGCAGAGTAAAAGATTTAGGCAACGCATGTAATCCTGTCTACAAGCCAGTCAGCCTGTCTATCATCTGTCTAGACCCGATCTAGAACTTCTCGCTCGTCCTCTGGTTGGGGAATCTGCCGTGATCGAGTCCAGTCGATCTTCGGCCTTGCTCGCTTTTCTCTCTCTTGTCTTATGAAAATCAGATGCAATGATTCGAACTTTTTTTCTTTTTGTTACTCGTTAAAAAAAAAAATAAAACCCTTTTTGCGCTCCTATATCGGAACTCCTTCCCACCGGACTGCTTTCTCCAACTCCAAGGGAACAAGTTAAAGAAAAAGAAAAAGAAAACCCCTGCCCACACTTCTTCCTTTCTCCCCCCCTTAAAAAACTGCAATCGATGGAATATCGTCATATCACAATAGCATGTCCATATGCTACCCCATGATTCAGCCATCTATATCCTAGCGAGCAAATCCAGGCCCGCTAGGGAGCTTGCAGCCCGTGCGCATCCCACCCCCTCTTCAAATTTTTACGCGGCATCTCGCGGAGATCTGTCGCACAAGACCAAGAGCCGAGCCTGTTGAACATTTTGTTTGACATTTTTGACAGCATACCCAACAAAGGCATCATCGACACTGACCACTCTCCCTCATGAGCGTGATTCGCCACGGCGCTTTCTTCGCGACGCACGCGGGCGTCAGTTTTTAGGTTCATCCGAAAACCCTTATCGCTTAATAATCGACACTGTTTTCCTGTCAGCTACCCGAGCCTCTCTCTCGTTGATCCAAACCGGATCCACCTACCGATATCCTCGTCTGCGAGCTCATGCGAAAGTCCAACTCGCTGGGGCTGGTGCTTGACGGACCGGCCATACACAATGGCGGTCTTGAACTGCTCCTTGATGGATCTGTGGATCGAATTACACTATTTGCGCCGTTAGCATTGGATCGTCACTCATGTGGTCGGTTCGCAAGGGGCGCCGTACAAAGTCCTCCACTGTGCATGCATAGGATCTGAGCACAACAGGAGCTGTATAATCAGGAGCTCGGCCCTTGGGCTTGGTGTAGACTCTTCGGAGGTTGAGCTTCTCCCACATGGTCTCCAACAGCTCATCAACGTTCCAGCCGTGCTCGGAACTGATAGGGACGGCGTTGGGTATACGGTAGATCAGGTCCAGCTCTTCGATCGAAATGGAGTCGATCTTGTTCAGGGCGTAGACGACCGGGATGTAGCTTCGGCTCTTGGCTTCGAGGACGTCGATCAGGTCATCAATGGTAGCATCGCACCGAATGGAGATATCCGCGGAGTTGATCTTGTATTCGTTCATGACAGCCTTGATTTCCTGTCAAGTAGAAAAAAACACCAGTCAGTAATAGATCTTCAATCACATGCAGACGATTACCCACATCGTGGTCGATATGTGTCAAGGGCACGGTGTTGGTGATGGCAAGACCACCCTTGTCCTTCTTCTTGAAGACGATGTTGGGAGGCTGCTTGTTGATTCTGATTCCGAATCCCTCCAATTCATTCTCGATCACCTTCTTGTCGACCAAGGGCTTGTTGACATCGAGAACGATGAAAATCAGATTGCAAGTCTTGGACACGGCAATAACCTGTCGTCCACGACCCTTACCATCCTTGGCACCTTGAATAATACCAGGAAGATCAAGAATCTGGATCTTAGCACCGTTGTACATAACCTGTCCGGGCACGGTCGTCAAGGTTGTGAACTCGTAGGCCGCGGCTTCTGAATGTTGGCCTGTGAGCCTACTCATCAGAGTACTTTTGCCGACGGAGGGGAAGCCAATGAATCCACTATTCCTAGTCAATAACCACGTCTTTCCCTATTGGGGACTCAGGAACATACACACTAGCAACACCGGTACGGGCAACATCGAAACCGGCTAGAGATCCTCCATGTCAGTCGATGAAGATATTTCAGCACGTGGACATCACTCACCACCACCGCCGCCACCACCACCACCGCTTGGTGTCAACAGTTCTCTCTTTAGCTTTGCAAGCTTAGCCTTCAATTGTCCTATACCAAAAGTCAGCCCTCATCCCACGTCGAAAAAGTCTCGCTGGCGCATACCCAAGTGAAATGACGTATTTTTATTTTTTTGAGTCCGAGCCATCTGCAGGATTTTGATCAGTTTCCCAGATCCAACAATCCCATCGCATATCACATGAAACGAACCTCGTCCTCGATGTGTTTGATCTAAACATAGAGACAACATGATTAGCAAAGTCCATCCCTTATCCGTTCACCACGATCATGGCGAACTGCTTCAAAAGATTTGCGGCGGGGCAACCAACCTTTTCAATAGTGGTCGACATCTTGACGGTTAATACGAGGAATCCCCTCTCGTAGCAGCTAGAACTAGTATGACAATTGATAAACGCTGGCCGGTCGCCTGTCCCTGGGGGCGAGGTTGGTTGAAAAATTAGGGTCAAGTGAGAAATTCGAACCAGTACGTCAGTCGCAGAATTGGCCTGCGGAGAACAATATCTTCTGCTGTTGTGGCCGCCACTTCATTCGCCCGTTAGTCAGGCGGAGAGCGGCCATGGCGGGGCGGGTGCCTGAGGCCGTAAAAAGGCCGCACCGCTTATCGTCGGTTGGTGGCGAGGGGAAAGGTTACGCTGGTGAGATTATGCGAATGGACAGGTATGCAGGAGAACATCGAGAGCAGGTAAATCAATAGAGACAATGTCGACATATTCTGTGGAACAAACAATTGTGACCTCAAAACCTGGCTGATTTATTACTGCTCATCTTCCCGCTGGTTGATATCATCCCGACTTTCTTTTCCCGATAAGAACTTCCAAGTCGCTTCCTTCACCGTCTATCGATAACTCTCTTTTCCACCCCCTGATAAACCTTCCACCCCGGAACAGTCAAAGATCACCCCGCAACAATGCCGTATCTCAAGAACGGATCTTCCTCTCCTTCCGACTCAGAGCCTCCTTCTCCTAGTGATGCTTTCCAAAAGCTTGTCCTAGACCTCAGCGCCGCCCTGGGTCCGAGCTCCGGTCTCGACTCCGCCGATGTCGACCCCAATGACATCCAACGGCTGATGGAGAAGTACGTCTCCAATTCGGATGAGTGGTCTCAATTTGCCCTGGGTGATCCCAGTCGGACATACACACGGAACCTCATCGACGAAGGCAATGGGAAGAGCAATCTGGTGAGTTGAAATGATCGAACCATGGTCCGTCTGTTCCTGGCCACAGAATTGCAAGCCATGCGCTTCTCTACCTTGAATAACAAAGTCACTCTCATGCTAACTTGTTCTCATCGATAGCTTATCTTAGTCTGGAGCCCTGGTAAAGGAAGTGCCATCCATGACCACGCCAATGCACACTGTGTCATGAAGGTAATGATCCCCCCTCTAGCGTATGCTTTGACGATCACGCTAATTCCCGGCCCTTTTCAATAGATCCTCAAAGGTTCCCTCCAAGAAACCCTCTACACATGGCCCGATAAAGACAAGGTGGAACATGGCCAGGTGTCACCGCCTGAAATCACAAAACAGACCATATACGGCGAGAACGAAGTTACATACATGTCCGATAAGGTATATACCATAGTCAACCCATATCCTCGATAAATGCTAATAGTATATAGCTTGGTCTCCATAAGATATCCAACCCTGACCCTAAGAACTTTGCCATTTCACTGCATCGTACGTGCAAAAACTCCTTTTACACGATCACCCACACTGATGATAACAGTCTACACACCACCAAACGCTGCCACATTCGGTTTCAACGTCTTTGACGAAAAGACTGGCAAGTCAAACCACATCAAGCAGAGCAACTTTTACTCGGACCGAGGACAACGGTGCTAAGCAGGTCTATCACCGCATCCTAAGCCCTCCGCTATCCCCATGACACTCTCCGTTTCTCCATTTCGGTATTATTATTATCATTACTATCACTCTGTTTAATGTTTTATTTCTAAGCCACAGAGGGTATGCATTCTTTGGTTACCACAATACCCTGTTTGAACTTTGTTGTATTTTTCTCGGTTATTATCAGACTACTAGATAGAACTCGATGCATAGGCATTAATGAGTAAATGAGATCAATGAGATTGCATGTCTTCACCATCAGAATTGCCTTCTGACAAGTAGATCTAGATAATCTAGAGATTAATTACCTAAGAAAAAGAGAACATATAAGAATGGGTCTCTGGAGCATTGAGAACCGGAAAAAAAAAAAGGTTCAACAATCGAACGAAGAGAACAACCAAACAGAAACATTCGCTCATCAATGCACGGCTGGATCTATGAGGTAGATAATATACATCTCATGAAAATCAATCGGAGGATAGATGCTAAACCGCAAGAAAAACATATTGACACCAAAAACTAGACACAACAGTTATTGAATATCGCAGTGAGCTTTGACACCAAAACGTATCAGTCATAATAAAAAAAAAGGCAGAAACTTGACTATTATTATTTTGGGGTTGTCCAGATCCAGTACCGGTCAGAATGGTGATGTTCTCCTAATGATTAAGTCTGGGTTGTCCAAGATTTCGGACTGCCGCCGTTGAAGTTCTTCGAGGAGTGCCAACGGATTCTGTGAACTTCCAGTATAAGTATGATGCTTGCAGCAGGTGCAGAAACACATCAACCGTGATACCCACCCAGTCCTCTTGGTCTGGTACTCCTCTCGCGGCTGGTAGTTCTGTAGATTCCTCTCCCTGGTCCCAGAAGGTTGATCTCCTGATCGGTGCCGGTGTAACTGGAAGGCTAGGGCGGTCCACCTCACTTGGGAAATCCGTGATCCTGTGCCCAGATGTATCGTAACTGAATGTTTCTTGAATTGGTGCGCCTCCCGGTGATCCAGATAGTACTTGAGTTTTGGCTCTCCGAGGTTGCTGGATGGACTGAATATACCGCTGAATTTCAGGGACTTCATCCCAGGCGTTGGACCTGGTATAATTCTCCCATGACTCCGTCGGTGCTTGTTCCTCGGATGCCCATGATGTCCAAGATCCTACGGATGGCCCGGTATCATCTCTTGTGGATGGCGGTGAGTACGGCCGAGTGGTAGTTGAAACAGAGCTCTGCTCGTCATCCGGGAAAACGCGAGTTGGCTTTGGTGCAATGCCCTCCCAAGGAAACACTGGGGCGATTTTCGTCGGCTCCGGCTTCGTGGCAGGCACCTGGTAATACATATTTTTGGGGGCCTCTGGGTAAGATGCAGGGGGTTGAAAAAGTTGTGTATCTTCTGACATGGTGTAAGTATGTGACTGCAACGCGATTCCCTCGGGCTTCGAATTAAGTGGTGGAGGTTCCCTGTGCCACGTCAGAAAGAAAGCAATAGTAAAAACCGTATATAACCTACCGAGATGCATCCCAATCCATGGTGGGCGGCTCAAATACTGGTGACGCAGGCTCTGGGGGGTTTGGAAAAGAAGATGATTCTTGGCACTGCTCAACGACACCAGGCGTAGACACAGGCTGTGCTGGGTGTTGCTGAGTTTGGAACCCAAGATCGACCGGAGGGGTTGGGTTCTGTGGTATATTAGGCTCTGGTCCCCATATAGGCTGTTCCGCTTGAGTAACTGGTGGATGAGGAATTGGTTGTATGTAGGTTGTGATGTGTTCTTCTCCGCGGACGTACTGCGGTACGGCGCTCAAAACCGGGGCTTGTTTTCTCTCATCTAAATGAGGTTCGTGGTGATATGTTTGCGCGTGTTCCACGTGTACGGCCACAGGGCTGGACGGTGCGTCTGGGACCTGACTATCATGCTTGTAATGATTTTCCCTGAAGTTGGTATGTTCTATATACTGAGCTGGCTGTGACCCCGGTAGAAGCTCCGGTAGAGGCTCCGGCCGTGGTTCTGAATATGGCTCTGAGCGCAGCTCATAGGAAACATCGACAGCCCCTTCTGAAACTCCCACTATCCATTCTGGGACATACACAGGTCTTTCTGGGGTGTGAAAACTTGCTTCTGAGGGAGGTTGAGATAGCTTGGTTTGCGGTACCGCAGTAGTTTCTGTTTCCTGGGCTCGAACGTCGATCGGCGGGGCAAGAGACTCGATGGTAGGTTGGTGTGCAGGTATCTGGAAAACAATGAGCTTAAGGAAAGATGGTTCACAAGACACTCAACTCACATTTGGGGAAGGACGGTAGTGCTTATCATACACAGCCCACCATCTCCCCAGTAATTGATTGTACGGTGATTCGATAGGAACCACTTTCCTTGGCATATTCCAAGGCTTTTGGGCACCAATGAAATGAATCAAGCTGATTGTGCTTTGGAAATGCTTATAGGCCGGTACATACTGATAATTTGCACTAGGGGTGCAATTATACGTAAAGCTTAACCTATGCCAATCCCGAAAGTGCATGTTCAGCAACCCCTGGTCGGCCCCGTCGAAACTGATTCCCCTCTCAGCAAACGCTCTAAGAGCATAATAATCCTGATGATTTGGACGAAGAACCATCAACCCGCTGTTGAAGCAATCCGGCCAGCCGACATCCGGAGCAGCAGCAAAATCCACATCCAAGGACAAGAGCTCATCCGGAGCCCGAAGAGCTACAACATCACAGTCAATGTACACTATACGTTTGAATTGTGTTTGGCGCCAGAGTTCGATCTTGGTAAATGCGGCGATTAAATCCGGGCGCTCCATGAGCCAGAGATTTGCCGGACTGCCATTCGTCATCGGGTCGACAGGTATGAGCTCATCGTAAACAGTCTAGATTTGTTAGTAAAGCAAAGGAGAGCAGGAAAAAGAGCAAGAAATTGAAATCGAATACCTGAAGCTCATTCACCGTCGCCGGCCGCAATGTATCGGGCGTAAAGAGGACAACGAGCTTCGCAGTCGATCCATTGTCGCGTAACGAATGGGCAAGGACCATAGCACCTATATAGAGAGCAAGAAAGAATCGCAAGATCAGAGAAAGGAACAAATCCCAACGCTCGAACAAGATGTCAATTGTTTACCAGGGAGGTAATTATCGCTCAACAAAAGCTGTAGAAAACAGCTCATAATCAGCCTTTGCAGATAACGTAAACCAGAGGGGTTGCAACATACAGTGCAATAAACCGCATCTCCTTCGAGAGCCATTACGGCGGCAATTGAGTTCCTTCTTGAAAAAGAAGGATGGAGGGAAAATATAGCAGAATAAACGCCTCGCCACACCTGTCCGGCTCGAAAATAGGAGAGAGGAAGGGAGACGAAGCGAGAGAAGGAAGAGAAAAAAAAGAGGGGAATAGGAAGCAAACAGAACAGCTAGCTAGGGGGAGGAATTGGTCTCAGATGGGTGACGTTTGGAAACCTAGCCCCGCCCGCCAATATCAACAAAGTCGAAAAGACCCAAGTCGAAGGGACGGGGATGAGAGCTTTCACAGGAGCTGCATCTCGTCAGGCGGTTGCGCGACGTTACGAGGGATTCGCCCGATGAATTGAATGAACGTCACTCAGAAAGCGGAGCGGATAAAGAGGGATGAAGTAGTTCAGGATAGGATTCAATGGGAGGAGAATCGAACGAGTACCAGGATTCTCGAGGGCAGGTAAAAAAGAAAAAAGTGTCTCAGATTGAATTTGGAGAATGGAGAAGAAGCAGAAGGACAAAAGACCGAATTGAGGGGAAGAAGAATCCCGGATGAGGAGAGCTCTCCAGGCGGAGGTGACCAGGGGAAAACACGGCCAGCTGCAGAGAGCCGTTTGCCCCGCGCCACCAGCAGTTGGTGATAGGCTGTCAGCAGCGCTTGGATCCCTTGTGGGAGATGAGGATGGAAGAAAGATTAAGACAGGCAGAATTAGGGGGAATATTCCAGCGAGGGATGGAATAACAATGGCGATGAGGCGAGATTTGGTGGTTCTTGTTCTGCTGATCTAGGCCTTGCAGGAGGAAACAATGCATATGCCTTGCAGCGTACCTTATCTGATGCCAACAAGCAGAGAACGAGAAAGATAAATTCAACAACTCGTCAAGTTAGGTTGTCTGTCCTTATTACATCAATATGACATTATCCTTCCTGCGGAAACTCGATCCGAAGCACATATTTAAAGTACACATTGGTAAACGAAAAAGACATACACAGTATGAAAGCAGAAAAGCTCAGCCTCTCACAACCATCCATTAAAATTGATCGATGGAACAGAATCACTTTCGAAATGTCACCACAGCGCCAGGGTAGCTTGCCTCGATGACAGCGCCAATGTCTTCCTTTTCACCCTTAGCAGCCCACTCCGCAGCCTTCTCCAAAGCCATGCGACTCTCCTCCTCCAACGGGGTGAAATGACGAGCTCTAGGAAGCACAACAACCTGGCTCTTCTGAACAAGGTAATCAGAGATTCCATCCAGACACAACTGTTGCTCGAGCGCAATATCTTTCTTGCCCCAGATGATGGTCGAGTAAGCTTTGAGAACACCTTTCGGTCCGTCATCAAAGACACCCGCTCCGCTGCTGGTTCGTCGAATCTCCTTTCCTTGGGCAATACTGTGGAGAGCGGCAATGGTCTCAACGGACTTGTTCCAGCGAGCAACAGATGTGCCGTCCCGGTAGTAGCTTGCCATGTGCTCGTAGTTGGCGTGAACACGCTCATTCTTCAATGACGCTGGGTACTCCTCACCATCGGCAGTTTTCGTCTTGCACTCCTCTACAGATGGGCCCAATGTGCTAGCCAAGCATTCCGCGGCATCAAGGTCCGTAAATTTATTGTCTCCATAGGACCGTCTGTGAACCATTTTCAAGAAGGAATAGTTGCCTCCAACACCAAAGTATCGAACAAACACCATGGGTAGCTTCATCGCAAAAATATAGCCCGAGAGGTTCAATTGACGGAAGACGGGCTTCAGAGTATTGAAAGCCTTTAGCAATGTCGAGCGCGAACGGACCGGAGAGAACACGGAGGTTTTGAACATCTTGACTGAAGAGGACACAAGGCGACGAACATTGGAAGCAACCAGGGGAACCTGGTGACCCAAGTTAGCATATCAAATACAGAAGTAATTTACCACAATACATACCAATGGACCATTGCTCAAGATGAACCTATCCGCAAGCTCAGGTGCTTCAGCCGCGAGTCGCATAGACAGAACACATCCCCAATCATGCGCAACAATGACCGTCTTGGGTCTTTCACCAGCCTCATCATCGATCCCATATCTTGCCCTCACGGAAACGATAAATTCCGTCAAATTCTCCAACACACTGGTCGCCGAGTATTTCTTCAAACTATCAGTACCTCCGTAGCCAGGAAGATCCACAGCAACCACCGTGGCTGTACTCTGAAGGGACTTTGAGCTAACTATGTAGCGCCATATCGCCCAGCTATCCGGAAAGCCATGGATGAAGATCACGAGAGGCTTTTTCGCATCGGAGGCAGTCGCATCGTTGCAGAGGTAGTGGAATTTAAATCCGTTGCGCAAAGTCAAGAAGCGATGGGAAAGACCGCACCATTCTCGCGAAAGATCCCAGAAGCGATTACGGGCTGATGTTGTTAAAAAAAGAGTAAGATAGTCAATAATCAAATGTCTTGGAATAAATGCATGTGATTGATTTGTTACACCAAGTACATACCAAGCTGCAGCTCCAGGGTCTCCTTTTCAGTCGACTTCCTAAAAAAGTACCCATGCCTCACAGCAAGCGCGCCATACAGCACCAGGGTAAAAAGTCCATACGCAAAGCCCACGGCAGACACAACGCCGGTGATCAATGGGTTCGCCATCTTGTGAAAGAACCCCGCCGCTTTCAGTCAAGAGATGACGTTATCAGTCAAACTCGGGTCTGCGTATTCTTGAAGGGAAGTTGAGAAATCTGCATCAGAAGGATATTGAAAGTGCCAGGGACCAGCCTCTGAGCTCAGGACAGAAGTTGCCTGGTCTCTGTGAGAATTAGTGGGTGGAAATCAGCAACTGGACTGCCGAGGTTCCGCGTTGGATCTAAATTAGGGCCATCCATGAGCTCATGACCGTTGCTTTTAATAACATAACAGAAACCAGGGCAATTAAAATGAAAAATATGGCATGTCAAGGGTCTTATTGTTGTTCTTTATTCGTCAGGTTACTCTTGAGACTCAAGGAATATAGTTTTGATGAACTGGATGATCGTCATCGCAGCTATTGCTACCCTATGGAGCTGAGCTACCTACTTTGTAGTACTAGTACTCCAATAACGAAATTGAACATGTACAATGCATTCAATTATTAACTAGATGTAAGATGTAAAAAGTCCATAAGTTGGACAGCTTTATGGATTGTGATACTTGATAAAGTTGACGAGAATAAAAATTTTTTTTTTTTTTCAAATACAGCCAGATAAGTAGACTAAATTTGCTAGTATAAGGGTATCAACACCGAGCAGGAAGACGCAGATAGAAAAACAATATCCCAGTAAGAAACAAGTTGGCCATGATTTCGTTGGGCCTTTTAACACCGAAAGCAAAGCTGTAGTAAGTCATCGAGGTATATATACAGAGAAGAAAAAAGCGAACATGGTTCATGACGGAATAAAACGCAGATCAAAGAAAGAAACCCAGCTTATCCCGGTTGTCATCCACTAATCGTCCATACCTATAATCATCAACGTTAGCGGACTGTAGAAGCTGTGCTAGAAAAGGGGTATGCTTACTCTAATAGTAATCGGAAAAACCAAACCTCGAGATCATCGTTTCGTAAAACTTTCTGGGCCCAGTCCTGGCCTTGTTGAGCCAGCCGGGGAGCTGCGGCTTTGCCTTCTTCTTCCAAAGCAAAGTATCGCATGTTCTCAACGTACTCATCACCTCTCAAACTCAAGGGGATGTAGTGAACCCAAGGCTTAAGCCATTCATCGTGCCACTCGCGGAAGATGGCGATCTTGGCCACCAAACTGTTGCTGAGTAAGAAGGCATAAAATCGACCACTGAAAGCATTTCCATCAATGTCGACCAGGTACTTGTAGGCCCAGGCGTCTTGTTGGCCTGCAGCTTTAACCACGTCAAAGTACTCCTGCTGGGCGCGGCAATCATCGGGGTCACATTGTCCAATAAATGTGAACTTGACATCGAACAAGTCACGGTAATCATTGCGACTGACATCACTTGACGCCCAGAGATTTTCGCTATTCTTGGAAAGGACCTTTGCGGTGTCAAGAGCATTGGCGTTATTCACGAAATGCTGTCGATGCTGTCTTCGCCACCCACCGGCTCGTGAGAATCCTCCAGTTGTCGAGCCTCTCCAGTACATCTTATCTGCTTTCTCATTCCACTCAAAGTCCTTCTTCTTCTCGTAGGGAACCTTATCCGCCCAATACCAAGGGCTAGGGTAAAGGATATCCTGGAAGCTGGAGATTTTGCTCTGAGAGAACACCGGGAAAAGGTCGTGGACGATATCGAAGGCATTGGGACGGTCGAAAAATCCGTAGGTATATCTAAGAGAAGGAGTGTTGCAAATATCGGAGGCGGCAGTTGTGTTGTAGATGAAACCCAGTCCACCGTACGCATAGGCATGGACGTCATCCGTCACATTCTCGTCAAGAGATCGGGCGGGGCTATCCACGGGACACGAAATTCGAGAGTTGGTCCAGGTAGGCTGATGCGCGAAGCGATTAAAGCGAGTCGTACGCACTTCCTCAATGCGGTCGCCCTTGTTCAAATCCGACGGCCGAGCTGACCACGCGTTCGAAGGGGATGGGTTGTTGAAGGAAGCCGGGATCGCGTGGTTCTTGGCGATAGAGACCAGCCTCTCCAAATCCTCACTCGGCACAACAACTCGAGGCTCATCGTGGGTGTTGAAAACCAAATCCATATCCGGCAGATATTGCACAAACTTCTTCATCATGCCCGCTGTAGCCTCTCGCTGCCACTTTCGTCCATCACCGCCCCCATCAGTCAGGGAGACCTTGCCGTCCCGTATGAGAACTCCAAGCACAGCATTATCGAATCCAAGGGTTTCACGGGCGCGATCTCGAATTGTACCGGGCGGCAGAGCCCAGAATGGCAAGAGGGAATGGTAGATTGTGTCGTATTCGTCGATCATCTGAACCCCCCTGTCTTTGGCAAACTCGAACCACTTATCGAAATGCGGCGGAGGGTGCATGTTATAACGACGGCGATATTCGTTCACAGCCTCGGCGAGGGTCTTGGATTGCTGTGACCGCACATGGCTATGGTGCTGTTCCGCATTCTGGATGAGCTTAGCAATAGGGTGCGTCTTCTCAGGGAGGTAGGTTCCCAGGTGACTTTGCGGGCGTTCGATGGGTTTTGGGGGAGGGTGAATGTCGAGAGGGTCTTCAACAGGAGAAGATTTCGAAGAACCTCTAAGTAGGGCGATAGAAAAACATGCGAGAATGGCAATCACTAATAAAGTCACAAGCCGTTGGAGTCGCATCCTGCGATCAGGTGTATGCATGAGTAACGAGTGGAAGCATAGAAGCGAAACGAATGCGTATCAAATCAGTTCATGAATGGAGAGAGGAATAAATCACGGCTCCTCAGAGATTGGAAGATGTAATTGAAGCCACCTGGAGAGAAGAGGGGAGGACAAGAGAGGGGGGAAGAGGGAAAAACAAGAAACCCCAAAAAGTCGCCCTTTTGCGCTCTCCGCAGGGCTGTCGACGAGGCTGGCCCGCAAGCGATATGCCGCCAAGACGTCTTTATTGCCACACCTGAACATGGACGAAGCCAGCATTGTCCGGATATTATCGAGGATATTAATAGTTAAGTCCTATTACTAGATGCCTATTGACATATATACAGGTAGTGTCTGAAATATACGGAATATATGGCAAATTGGCAATGTTGACCCCAAGTCCTGCCTCTTCACCCTCTTGGAGATCTGTTCTTTTATTAGTAGCAACCTTGAATGCCACTATCTAACCCCAGCTATCCCTATCGCATCATTACCCAGCACCATGCACCATTAATCACAAAACTCCCCAAGGTCTGCATTACAAAACTTTGGGCTTGAGCAACATGGCAATATGCTGCCAGGCACAATGCACCCACCAACACCACATGAACGACATAAAAAACCTGCCTCCTGGTCTTGATTGAGCTCGTTGCCCACACCTGCAGGCCACGCCTTGGTCCCGTTGGACGCGTCAAAAGCAACAGGGAGATTGCTGCGATTATTCCGCCAATGCCCCACTGGACATCGGGATCCTGTACGCGTTTGGCCAGCAAAGAGCTAAAATCCGGATGGCTGGACTGAATGAAAAACCCTGCATACAGCACAGCATGTCCCAGGAGCAACGGAGACAAAACCACCCGGCCAAAAAGGCGATGATACGCGCTCAATGCAGGCTGTGGAATTGACGTCACAGCCGATGCAATCGAGGGTGAAATCGGTCTCGAGGTGGAGATATATGAGGCCGGAGACATAAGTACTTGGAAGGGCAGCTGTGAAAGGGCCACGTGGCCCAGCGCTTTTGTGAGATGCAGATAATCTGTCAAAGGTAGTTTTAGCTGGGTATTCTCCGAATGGTTCGTGAGCCTTCTGGAATTGGATTTGATGGTTTGGATAGCGTAATGACAATCAGCTGTCGGACATCCAAACGTATCATATTCCAATTCAACCCAGATAATCAAGCCAGGGAATGATATGAGTCCACATACCATCACCAGTATTCCAGATGGAAAGACTCGTCAACCAGCCCAGCCAGACAAAGCAAACAAGATATTGTTTGCGAGTCTCGGTCCATCCTGGAAAAGGCGGCCAATCCCACCATCCTTGTCTAGATTGAGTTCGTCCTTTATGGTCTATTTTCCGCAGATAGCTTCGATAGAATCGAATAGCAATGATAGCAACAATCAAGGAACATTGTGCATAATATCCGCGAATGTCCAGAAGTTCACGACGGCGTTCCTTTTCGGCTGTTGAAACCGAGACGAAGTGCCAGGGCCATGGAGATGACATGAAGGGAATCCGAGGAATGATGTTCAGAGAGAATGTATGGAGGGGATAATTATATATTTACAACGAGTGAATGTAATGTCAATATATTTATCTTCAGAGTCTTGACGAAGATCTCGAAATAATTGTCCACTGGGAACGAAGCACTTTCTAATTGACAAATCACATGACAGAGTAAGGCCGAGTGTATTCTAATGACAATACAGATCAAGTGACGGAGAATAAAAAGGCCTGTAACAGCTGAATATTGAATTCAGAAACCCACTATATTCCATTTGCAGACTAGTTTCTCACTATCAAGACCCACATTGATCTGTGTATTGTAATGGATAACAGAACACATAGTAGGTAGGTAGGTAGGTAGACTCTTTTCATCTTCTGCTTCATCTCTACGGAGTATTCCCTGAGAGATGCAGTAAATAGATATAGAATGAAATTCTCTTTATACTTAATAGGGCCTTGATAAGTTCATGTCAGAGTACCCCAATACTTCGTCTCAATGAGAACAACAAACACTGTCACACGAGCGTCCTATGGTGTTGCTAGGTACAATCGGCATCTTCTTGAAGCCCATCTATTTAAGGCCAAATAGGTATCTAATACATAGAGATATCTTTTTTCGATCTCTCTCAAGGATAGCCAAGATAGTGGTGTATGTGACTCGGGCATTGGGGTTGCTTGAGGAACTGAGGAACCAAAAGAAGACAGGCCTTACTAGGGAAATGGCTGAAGAGCACTGGAAATATTCAAATGACCTCCATTTGTCTACACGAACTTGGTTCCTATCTGTCCAGGGATATTGGATCCTTGTTCTTCGTTCAGGGGAAAGGGCCGTTCTACAGGGATGCAAAGCTCCAGTGTGACATTCCCAGTATATATATAGCAACATGTGGCTGGTCCGATTCGATCAGTGTCTTGGAGGTGTACTAGGTGTATTAAATAAACTCATGAAGGTAGTAATCGATGAGCCCGCTTAAAGTGAGAAGGCGATATTATATCATTATCCCAGGTGTCACCCAAAAAATATCTATGTTACCTGTTTTACCGACGAAGACACAGAAGATTGAAAGGGTTGTCTATCAAATTCCTAGTCTGCACGAGACGTGGTTGTTCCATATATCAATCACATAGTTCTGTATCATGCCCAAGTCATATAGTGCAAGGTACAGTCATTCATTGTTTTCAGAATTATTCAATGCAGATCAAACTCTACAATCAAAACGCCACGAAGCACTTCATCTGATCAGATGCTGACTATTTCTTGAAACTGACATAACAAGCTGCTCTCCAGGTTTCATGAGAGCTGTATTTTCATTCGCCACCCACATCCCAAAAGACTTCTTTCTACATGTGCATGGGGTATAGGGTGCAGGCATACATTGGCCAGTCCTGGTCAGTAGCTTATGGGGAGGTCTGCATAGTCTCATCGTTGCCACCTGCAGCTGTCGTAGCAAAGTATCGAACATCCACATCGTCATCATCCTGAAGCTTTTCCAAACTGGGCAAGACCCGTTTTTGGATGACTTCCTGGCTTCGTGGAGCCTGTTCGACCTTACCGGCCTTTTCTGCGTCTGCGATAGTCCCCTCGGCTGGCAGGCGTTTCAATGTGTCGATCAGTACTGCATAGGATTTGGCGACATTGAAACGGATGTTCGGGATCTCATCCGTCACAAGTCGATCCAAGATAGGGATAATCGAATTTTCAATGATTTCCAAAGAGACGACAGGAGTGAGTGTCTAATTCTAGTTAGCAAGCGATCATTGAGTGAACAAAAATATACTCACGGAAATAGCAAAGCATGTTGTCATTCTGTAGAGGTAGTTGGGGTGCTGGCCCATCGCCATGACCTTGGGGATAATAGAGCCCTTGGCCCAATCCACACCGAAGACCTCGGTGAGCTTCTTCAGGTTTTCAGTGGCAGCTTCTCGGATGGAGAAGACAGTGTCACCAAGCCAGCCCATACAGAGATCGCTCAATTGCTCATCGAAGAACTTAACGCCCAATTGGCTGGCAAGAAGAGGAATATATTCGATGATGGCGAGGCGAACCCGCCATTGCTTGTCTTCGGCCAGCTGAACGATTGCTGGAAGTAGCGACTGGGAAAGAAGCTCAATTCCAATAACTAGGATTGTCAGCAAAAAACAAGAATGCTCGATGGTGTATTGCTCTTCTTACCCTTGTTAACCAGCTCCAACTTCGAGATAATATGCAGGCGCACATCGGGGAATTCGTCTTTGAGCATCTGAAGGAACATTGGAAGGAGGTGAGAAATAGTCCTATAAATATGGTAAGTGCTCTGTAGTCAACTTTTCACACGAGATGATTCACTGACTCTTCCTTTCCGAGAATCGGGGCAAGGCCGCTGATCTGGGTACCCAGAGCTGCGCGGACATGCTGAGATGGATCTGAAACAAGGTCTTCCACGCTAGTCATAATCTCATTAAGCAAAGTTTCGCGGTCGATCAAGTGGCAGAAGCCTAATTCCAAATTAGTCAAGATCTAAACACGAAGTAACGGTGAGATAAGTACCCGGGATTTGACCAGAAATCGCAGTACGGACTTCAGCTTCCGTATCTTTCAAAAGCTTAACAAACGAGGGAACCATGTCACGAGTGACAACTTCTTCGTGCACAGCCTTGGCGATCTATTACGATAGTTAGCGATCGAACCTCCCTATCTGATAGAATGGCGAGCAATACCTTTTCATATCTGTCGGCAACCATATATCTAACTCTCCAGCTCTTATCCTCAAAGAGGTTCCGTAAAGATGTCAACAAAACACCGTGGCTGGGCTGTTGTTCCTTGGGGATTTCCTCGGCAATGGCAATGAGAATATCCACTGTGAGCAGGCGCACACTGTCTTGGTCATCGCTCGCAAGGTATTGGAACAAGGGTATCATTTCCTCAATAACAACTGGTGTATTCATTTCCTTCACAAATTTCGCGAGATTGTTTGCCGCCTGTCTTCTCACCATCGGCGTCTCGTCGTGTACCAATCCTCCGAAATATTGTCTGAGGCTTTGCTGCATTGGCTGGGGCGCTTTCTTGTATGGGACACTGTAGAGGCCAGTTGCGGAGACCTTTGAGGTGAACCAGTCCGCTTTCGACAGGCGTAGGACCATGGGGACGTAGTGCTCTTCAATTTGCTTTTCGGATAGCTGTTCACCGATCTTGTTGAGGGATTCGACGGCCTATCGCACTGTCATCAGAATATACAACACCAACGGCTGGCGAGGACCCTACCTTCTCTCGGACCAAAGGCTCTTCAATGGCTGCCAAGTTCTCGAGGGGAGAGAGGAGCACATGTCCATACTCTGGACCACCAACGTATTCTGTAAAGTTCCCCAACTCTTCGCTTAGTGCAGTCAAGACTTCATCTTCGTCTTCAACAGAGTCTAGTAGAGCAAATGTTAGGCGTGGACTGTCGTCATAGCATTTTCTTTTCAGAACTAACCATCAAGGAATGGGATGAGTTCCTCTCGGGTTCTCTCGGGCCCTAAGGCCAACGCGATAGTAGAAAGGCGGTGGATGGCATTGAGGCGAAGTAGAACATCGTCGTGCTAGGAGAAACATAGATGTTAGAACCATCGGTCCTTATCTGCAGGGGATGCCGTGATCGCAAGAAGCCAGCGTACCTTCAGCTCATCAATGAGAACAGCGATAGGGTAGAGCTCGTCGTTTTCACCTTGACTCTCCATCGCGGATATTTTGTGTGACTTGTCGGATTAGAGAAACGACCGGAGAGGCGAGGATGTGGCAGGTCCAAGTCCTCAGGATGAATCAATATCAGGCTAATGTTCAACCTGATATCACGCAAACACCGTGGACTTTTGAGGGAGTCTAGAAACGGGGGGTCGTCATTAAATGAACAACAATCCAAGAGAACTATTCAAACTTCGTATTAGTATTTTTGTTTTTGTTTGTCGGGAGGGGCGTAGATGAGCATGGGAAGGGATAGTGGTCAGTGAGATCCCCCGGAGCGAGGTTTCGTGGGGTTTGGTTTGGGCCGCCGCAGACCACTTGAGCAGCAGCAACAGCAGTGACAACATACCTCGACAATTTGAATTGTGTCCTGTGATCCAAACTCGATAAACCCAAAAGGATTGAGTTGCTCCTGGGATTAAGGAAGTGGGGGGATTTCGCGGAAATAATAAGTAGTGGGTAAATTATGTCCGTATCTCAGCACAGAATGTTGCGAAGGTGAGCTTTCAACGCCTGGCGGTGGTCAGTTCGACTTGGCCTGTGTGGCTGGTGAGGGGGGTTGATGGTACGGTCACAATACCGTCTCAGAACCGTATTTTTGGGGGAGGGGTGATTGTTGTGGCGGTGCAGTGGCTTCCCAGCGCCGCGAGGGTCAAGCCCCAATATGGGCCACGGACTTTATGACTACCCAACCGGTGGGATAGAGTCACAGCGACGGCAGACCCCTCCACGCTGAATTTCCCTGTTAGAAGTGCGGTAAGCCTCTTGCGGTGATGCTCCGGAGTGTGGGAAGTGTGTTGAGCTTGTCGTTCTGATCTTGATCGTTGTTTTTAGAAAACGCTGCGAATTGGAAGCCCCTCACCATGCCCACCATCTCGGTCGACAAGGCCGCGCTCTTCCAGGAGCTCGGGCGGGAGTACGTGCAATTTTCTACTGTTATTAACTGGGCTTATCGGCTGATCAGGATCCTCTCAGATACACCACCGAGGAGTTTGACGAGTTGTGTTTCGAGTTTGGTATGTCCGGGTCGCGATACCTTTTTTTTTTTGGCGGGGCTTACGCTGACTGCTTCAAATAGGCATTGAGCTCGATGAAGACGTACTGCTCCCCTTCACCTACGATCCCTATTCGATCGAAATACTAAGAAAGTACAGACCACCAACTCGGACCGACCAATCGTCGACGGAAAGCAGGAGCCGCCTCAGCTCAAGATCGAGATTCCGGCTAACCGGTACGCACCTCGCGGTTCCACTAGGTGATAACCTAATCGCATATGCTGAGAGATTCTAGATATGACTTGCTGTGCTTTGAGGGAATTGCGCTTGCGCTGAACATCTTCCTGGGTCGCAAGCCTATTCCTAACTACAAGTTGGTTGAGCCTTCGACCGGAATTCAGACGCTTACTGTCAAGGAGGACGTGAGTAACTGTTTGGGTCTTTGTTGAAAAACCAGGGACTAAGCTCAAGATTGGAACAGACCACAAAGATCAGGCCGTATGTCTCTGGAGCTATTCTGCGAAACATCAAATTCGACCAGGCTCGGTACGAATCCTTCATCGCGCTGCAAGACAAGCTCCACCAAAACCTGGCGAGACAAAGAACACTTGTGGCTATTGGTACCCATGACTTGGATACCATTAAAGGGCCTTTCACCTACGAAGCCCTTCCCCCGAAGGACATTAAGTTTGTTCCTTTGAACCAGACCAAGGAAATGAATGCAGAGGAAATGATGGGTTTTTATGAGGTATGGCTCATGCGCGCCATGATCGATGGAATGAAATACTAAGCCACTTGAACAGAAAGACAAGAACCTGGGCAAATACCTCCACATCATCCGCGATTCCCCAGTTTACCCGGTCATCTATGACTCTAACAGAACTGTTTGCTCTATGCCACCTATCATCAACGGTGACCACTCAAAGATCAAACTCACCACCACTAATGTCTTCATTGAAATGACTGGAACTGATAAGACAAAGCTCGAGATCGTGAACAGAATGATGGTTTCCATGTTCTCGCAATATACATTGGAGCCATTCACGTAAGTGTGTTGCAGTTCGTCTCGATTATGAAAGACTAACTTTGAATAGCATCGAGCCTATCAAGATTATCTCCGAGCACAACAATGAGACCAGAGTTGTCCCCGACATTGCGTCCCGGACAACTCAAGCAGAGGTCTCTTATATCAATGAGTGCTGCGGACTGAACCTTTCCCCCGCTGAGATTTGCGAATACCTGAAGAAGATGGCCTACCACGCCAGGCCCTCCGCCGACCCAAATCTTATCGATGTAGACATCCCTCCAACTCGCGCAGATGTCCTTCACCAGGCGGATATCATGGAAGATGTCGCTGTTGCTTACGGTTTCAACTCGCTCCCGCGCTCTTTCCCAAGCAAGTCTGGCACTGTTGCCCAGCCCTTGCCCATCAACAAGCTTTCCGATATTGTGCGAACGGAAGCCGCAATGGCGGGCTGGTCTGAGGTGTTGCCTCTGATCCTCTGCTCGCACGACGAGAACTTCGCCTGGCTGAACCGCAAGGATGACGGGAACACTGCAGTCAGACTGGCCAACCCCAAGACCCAGGAGTTCCAGGTCGTCCGCACTAGTCTCCTGCCCGGTCTTCTGAAGACCATCCGAGAAAACAAACACCACACAGTCCCCATGAAGATCTTCGAAGTAAGTGATGTAGCTCTGAAGGACTTGGAGCTGGAGCGTAAGAGCCGCAACGAGAGACGTTTTGCGGCCGCATGGTATGGAAAGACCAGTGGATTCGAGGTTGTTCACGGTCTCATGGACCGCATCATGGCCATGCTCAAGAGTGCTTTCATCACTGGCGAGGAAGGTCTCGAGAACCAGGCCATGAACGACTCACAATACTGGATTGAGGAACTCGATGGTAAGTCCCGAAAGAACTCCGTTTATTCTCCTCCATTTGCTAATATGAAAAAGAACCCACTTACTTCCCCGGTCACGCCGCCTCGATTTACGTTCGCATTGCTGGAAAGGAACATAAGATTGGCGCCTTCGGTATCCTGCATCCCACAGTGCTGGAAAACTATGAGCTGAAGTACCCCGTCAGCACGCTGGAGATCAACATCGAAGCTTTCCTATAAGCGGGAGTAAATTTTGTTTGGTCACATGATATACATGCTCTACATATAGATGATGCCATGAACCAGAGAGTCTTAAGATGAAGATAAAATAAAAAATGAAATTCGATTCGTTAGTTTTACATACATAGCTTCTTTCACACTAGCCTCAAGAGTATGTGGGGGTAGTTCCACAATTATGTAGTTTATCAAACACGAACGACGGTAGTTCTAGATCGTATGAGCAAGAGCAAAGCCTTGATCGGCATAAAATAATAGAGATTCGTATATATTGAAGATATGATGTAACATATCTCAAGGCCTACATACCAGGAAGCCCAATCTTGAGGCTTGGCAACCTGCCTGATGATCCGGGGGGTCTTATAAAAATTTGCCTGCCATAACACTTTACATTGATTGAATCTAGTACCCATCACTATCCAAAATCAAAGCCGCTTTTTTATTTTTGCTCTTGCCCAAGGTTTCGTTCGTTTCAAGACATCATTTTTTGTTTCTTTCCTACCTAGATCTCTCACTAGGGGGGTTTAGGAACAGAACGTGAGGTTGGGATGGCAACAACCTCGTCGTAACTGCTCCCAATAGCCATTTGCCGGAGGAAGCATGTAGCCGGAGGGGGGAGACAGTAAGTTGAAGATCATGTAGTAGTTTATTTTGCGTGAGGTAGAAAATAGGTAGGACGACAGGAACGAAGAAAAGGCCTAAGAAAAGAAACAACAAGATTACTCCTGAGCGAAACCCTCCGCACCGGCACCTTCCTGTGCTTCAGTAGCCTGCTGCTCGGCCAGACGCTGCTGCTCAGCGAGCTGCTGGGCGGCGAGGGCCTTGGCACCGTAGTCCTGGCTCATGGGCTGGAGGATGGGCTGCTCCTCCTTGGGCTCAATGATGGTGACGGAGTCGGGGAGGGTCTTCTGGGGACCGGCCTTGCCCTCGGGGTCGGAGCCGCGCATGATCTTGACCTTGATACCAAGGACACCCTGGCGGAGGAGGACGTGACGGGTAGCGCTGTCAATGAATTCCTTGGCGGGGTGACCGGAGTGGATCATGAATCCGTCCTATACAGATAAACACAGTCAGTTAATCGGTTTCCAAGACATGCTGAGCCCATGTCATCCAGAACTGTTGTCTTCCATCTGTTCCTCCATTTCCATTCCAACAGTTCGATTTGACGGGCACATTCCTCCAAGGGTTGAAAAATAAACGTACAGTGAACTTCATGGACTTGGCACGGGCAGCACGGAGCTTTCCGGAAACGACAACCTCACAACCCTTGGCACCGCTCTCCATGATGAAACGCAGGACACCATAGCAAGCACGGCGGACGGCGAGACCGTTAAGGAGCTTGTAGCGGAGGGACTCGCACTGAGCGACGGCGGAGAGACCGCGGTTCTGGACCTTAGCGGCGTAGAGGGAGACGGAGTTCTCAGGGAACTTGAAGCGCTTCTGGATGAGCGAGGTGAGCTCACGGATGCGGCGACCCTGCTCTCCGAGAACCTCCTGGGTGTGGGTGGCACGGATGACTGCAAAAAAGAGCCTCCGTTAGCATTCAAAATATCCTCTTCAATTCGTGTGGTTGTATTCCTCCAATTGAATCTTTTTTTTGTTTTCTTCTTCCACCATCCTGCGCCCCAACATGCCATCTCCTTCCAACAAAAAAACACTTGTATAGTTTTTTCTTCTTCTGCAACAAGGGGGAATCAAAGGTATGTTTCGGGCGACGTACTGATGTCGGTGACGGTGGGAGTAACACGGACTTCGACACCGGAGTATCCCTCCTCAGCCAGCTCGCGCTGGAAGAACTCGTTCAACTCGGCATAGAAGACACCGTCGGCGACGAACTTGCGGCGCTTCGAAATAGCTCCCTGGACAGCAGCCATGATTGCGTTTCTGCTGATTTATTTAAATTGTCGAAGAAACGGCCGAGGACGCGATGGTTGGCGGTGCACCGAAGTTGGGAAGTCGTTCGAGGGCGAAGTGGTCGGCAGTCGTCAGATCAGTTTTGAGATATTCCGCGTTAGTGGGGGTTTTTTGGGAATAGGGTTTGTCATTCCATTCTGGGATAGGGCTCAACCCTCGCTTGCGCCTCCGCTGGCGCCTTGCCGGATTGGGAATGCCAAGGCTTTAGAGCTATCTAAGGCTGTCAGGCATCTACTCCATTAGTAATCGAGCTGGTGATGATGCAATGGAAGTCATCGCTTGGATATCTACTCTCGACAAATAAACATGGAATGAATGGGCTGGAGAAACAAGCAGTGATAAACATCGAAACACATGATGCTCTAGGCCTATCTGTGGCCAACGTCTTTCGTTCAGCATAACATACATCGAGTCATAAAATGGCATCCAAAACCTTTCCTTGTATCCTCCTTCTGTCTCACTGCATCTCAACCTCCATCGCATCCATTTTTCCAGATCCCTGTCCATTTTCTTTGTTTTTGGTAAAGGCCAGGCTTGAGATTCCTGCAGTAACGGCAGCCATCCCGGCCGAGGAGCTAGTCTCTTTGCCAGAGACTCCGCTGCCCAAGGATTCATTGGCCGTTTCAATGCCTGTAACAACGGGGGTTCTCTGAGCACCAGAGGTAGATGTATCACGGGCAGGGGAGATGGTAGTATGAGATGGACGAGCTCCGTTCATCTCTGCATCAGTTCGGCCGAATACCTCATTCCACCATCTGACTTCATTGACCCGTGGGAAAATAAGACGCTCTTTCCCGCGCTTGTTGTCATCGATCAGGGGATCGTAGTTTGGATTTAGGAACTGGTCCCGCCTAGCAAGGAAATAGTCCCACACGCTTCGAGTGCGTTCCCTCGCTTTTGCTTCCACTCGTTCCTTTTCGCTGTTAAAGAGGAACGTACCGAACTGGCAAGAGTAGAGATGGTAAAGCAAACGCCGAAGAAAGCGCTCATTGAACTCGAAGCGAGTCGGGTATTGGTACAGCAGTTGGTAGGTTGCATCAAGGAACTGGTGGAAAACCGGACTCGTCTCCTTGACCTTGGTAACCTCCTTTTCGGAAACGATTGTTCTCGGGGCCGTAGTTGGCTTCCGCATTCCAGGGCTATCTGATTCGTAGTTTTGTACATCTCCATCGGATTCAGCAAGAGAGTCCCGACTTGTGTTTTCTCTATTGAAGAATCCTTTGGCGCTGAGGAAGGCGTTTTCGATGGCTTTGCCTGCACCACCAGCATCTCCGAAGGCACGGTTGGAATCACCTCCAATTCTCTCGTTCTCAATCTGAAACCATTTCTCGCTGTTCAAATGACCTGATCGATGTCGAAACATGTGTCCAAAAGACAACCAGTCTTTCTCCACTAGTACCATAAACCCTTCAAGCGTACGATAGTAGGGATCAAGGCATACTTGACTCAACGCACTCAATTGACCTGTACGGTCCCATCCATCCGAGCAATGAATCAAGACATGGGAATGATGAAGGCCGACCTGACGAGTAATTAAACTAGCACCGTCTAGGATGCCCGCAATGTGCTTCAACCATCCACTTCGCGCAAGTTGGTCTCTGTTTGGTCCCAGAGGAGTGACATCCGAATCTTTCAATGTATCAATCACTTTATTTAGCGAATCTCTCATCACGTGGATGTTGTCGATTCCAAGATATGCCTTAGTCGCAAACTTATAATTGTCCATGTTCTCCGAACCAAGACCAACAGCCTGCATGGCAAATGCATTTACTGTCGGCCGTGCATCAACAATCAAATTGCTCTGCTGCGCACCGTAAACTTGGTGTTTCTCCTCTGGGGCTTCTTGATATGACGCCAGCATCTCATCTTCTAGTTCCTCGGCATTCGTCAAATCAGACCGTGTCTGACTAGATGGGGCATCACCCTGGCTGGACCACGAAGACTCCGATTCCAACTGTGGCGTATTAAAACCGGACAAAGGCCTCTCTGAACGGGACGTAGAAAATATCGCTGCTAGTAGCTTTTCATCCTGGATGCTTCGGTTCTGACGGACACCCACGAGTGGTTGTGAACTTCTCGTAATCGAACATTTATTAACAGGGTGAAGATATGTCAAGACAGGCACTCTCGCCCTAGAGCGATATCGTCCCGCATAGTTGAGAGTGTTATCCGAGATTGTACAGGGTACTGGTAGAATAGCCGGATAAGTCGGGGAAAACTAGACCTCCAAGTCAGCGAAACCATCCCAAAGCAATCTCCCACGGAACCGTCAGCATACCGCGTAGTCGGAGTTTATCTGAGAGATGCGCCAGCCATGGCCTTCCTGGTCCACACCCTGCCGGGCCCACTCTTTGCGAGGATTATACAAGTCCCAGCCGTTGAATTCTCGCTCAGGCGGAGGAGGTTGGTACGCAAAGGCGTAGAGTTTATCGATCCGACCGAGCTTGCATGTCCATTGTTTGATGCTATCATATACATCGCGGGCCTTGTTCTCAGTTGCCAAATAGAAACAGACAAAGGTAAAATCACGACATCGCAAGCGAATCGACGACGGCTGACGCGATGCAGCAGGAATCGGGCGCAGGGTGCATTGTGAAATAATCGGATAAGTGATCCAGAGCTCCTTTGGCCGGATATTTACCCCCTGTGTCTGCGCAGTGTCGGACGCCGCAGGTATGTGGGAGAAGATAAGATGGTGAGGGGTGAGGTGGAGTGTGCCAACGACTTGTTCACCACGTCGTGCCAAGGTCACATCTTCAACCTGTAGTGCGATAGCAAAAACATATTAGAGACGGCTCCCCTTGCTGATTCCTGTTGTTTTGCTCCGTATATGAGTCATCAAGCGTACCTTAGCAATGCGTGTTCTCTCCATGCCTTTGCTGTTACTGTGTCGGCATCACCTCATGATTTCCCTTCGAATAGACCAGATTGGCTGTGACCCAGCACAGGTAGAATGTCCTGGCGATAGATGAATATCCGGAATTAATAAATAACAGAGTGTTGGATACCCAAACAAGAAGATGGGGGGTATTGTGACACACTCGCAGCTGGATTTGGGGTCGACATTTCGTCCAGAGGAACGTTGGGCAACTCCGGTCAGATGCGGAGCCCCTCGCTAACTACGTCAAATGCCGCTGTACCAGCCAAGCAGCTGTCGTGGACGTTTGGACTCGAGTATTCTACATGATTTCTATGGTGAATTAAAATTCTACTATTCCGCAATTACTTTTTTGCTTACTGGTTGGAATGGTATCTGCTATTTTTGCTCAACATCAACTACTTGTGACATCCCTACTAGCATCACGAGACAAATAGATATATCTCAAAATGGACGAAACAAGCACCAAGACAAAAGATGTATTCTAATAGCGATCTCAAAGCAGGAATCTCACTGGCTTACTGCTTGACCCAAGATGATCTTGTATGGCTGAAATCTTGCAGTGTAACTCGATGAACATAACATGGCTTCAGGAAAGGAATGATCGAAATCCATGCCTTCATTGGCATAGAATTAACATAACTCAATTGATAATCGTCTTGAGGTGAGAATATCAGCAGGTATATAACAGTTTAGATGGCTTGACCATGATCTATTCTTCAAATAACAGCAGTTTTATACATATATGTGCAACAAATTGCTCCCGATGTCCTTGGATAGCCTCCCAAAATAAACAGAAGCATGTATCCCCAAAAGATAAATATTATTAATACACGTGAAATAGAAATATAAGCTCCTTCAATCATTAGGACATTCGCCAGGTGTTGTCAAGTTCAAACGCCAACTTGCATGCTGTTTTGTAAAATGTATTGAACTCCAGGTCATATGAGTTGGCTTGCCCTTGAGCTTGATTAGGGCCCTTGTTTGGAACAACCATGTCTAAGAACATATCAGTCGTTCTGTCCGGCAAGAATGGTCCGCTTTCGTAGAAACTGTAGTTAACGCGCTGGTCTTGGAAGTCATAATGATGGACCCGAGTGCCTCTGATATCACTGACTGGCATAAACATGTACTCTCCAGTAACAAATTCATCCATGTCATTGTTTGCTCCAGGCGGTATTTTTCTTAAGAACCTCTTAGGCAATGAAATGTGGGAAAATGCAGGAAGTGGTGATTCGGCTCTGCTCTTTGAGAAAATGCGTTGCAAGCACTCATGGATTGTGTGCTGGACGTCTTCGACTCCTCCAACAACGTGGGAGTTATCATAAAATTCATCCAATAGATCTTGGAACACGTTTCGAGTAAACCGGAGGTCCAATCCATTCTCCGGAAGGAGATAATCGACGCTACTCTCAGTTATAACTGCTTTTGCGCCACGCACAGCAAAAGTAGCGTCTTCCCCATTTAATCTGCTAACCGCAACCTCCAAATCAAGTTCTGGAAAAATGGCTGTATTCGGAGCCGTTGGTACCAACCGAATACGGTGGGTTTTCAGGCTATCATCAGATATACGAGGCGTCAATGACTGGAGAAATGATGTCACTCGAGGAACATCGGTGGTGAAAGTCCGGGGAAGAGTCATAGAGCCCAATTGAGAGGCGCTGAGGCTTTGTTCGTCAGAATGCGGTTTTTGCTGGAAGAGACACTTTCCAATTGAAGCTGTAAGAGTTTCGTGGTAACCGGCAACATTGCTATAATTGGGGATACCGGAGATAGGCCGCCTAAGCAATTTGAGCAGCTGGTCCGAAAGGCGTGTCTGATGCTTATCGAAAATAGGTCTATCCAGTTCCTTGGCCTCGGTAGATTGGGTCGATGACATCGCCCATCGAAACCATTGTTTTTGTCGATCAAACCACGACGTATTGTGACCAGGCTCGACATTATAAACACTTGCTGGTTGGGAAGCAGGCACGTAAGTGCTAAAAGGTACACGAGGAGGTACTGTATGGTTCAAGGCGAGATTCAGGGTTCTTCGGGCATCTTCAGCGTCTTCCTTGTCCTCGATAAGATAAAAGAACTTGCTCGGACCAAATAACGGGTTTTGTTCAAAAACCACTCCATAAGTTTTACCGAGCCATTCCAAGAACTCTGGACTGAACAAGCGGGTGCCCTTAGCGTCGCCTTCTGGGTGTAGTCCAATCTTTTCTTCCCGTATCCTAGCAGTCGCATCGTGGACGATTTCGCGGATTGACTCGCACGTATACTGTTTTCCAGTAATCCTAACAAGCCCCAATGTGTGTGTTACGTCGATCTTCGCGTCGTGCAGACTGGCCAATTCTTCGAACGAGAAAAAATCAGACTTGAGAAGCAGAGATATCGAATGAGAGGGAAGGCGAATGTCGAGCTGTCCAATTTCGCCAGTGACTCCAAGCTGCCAGCAGTCCCGAAGAATTCTCTCAGCAAGCAATTGTTTGCCCTTCAGAGCCTGTGTCGATGCGACTCTGTCGGCAAGACCCTCCCGGGAAACAGGATCTGTTTCGAGAAACATCGAAACTCCAGGCTTCCACACTGCAGCCTTCACAATGTCATTCTGCAGCTCTTCCTCCGTTGTATCCGATTCGTTTGGTTTATTATCGCTTATATAGTCCGACAATTGCGCGTAGGTGAAAGAGGACTGGACTTCGAACCGAAGGTCCTCCCAGTCCGTGGCGGTTAACTTGTCGTTCGGCTGATGAGACGAGCGAACACTTTCAATTCGTTCATTGACCACCGTACTATCAAGCGAAATCCTTTCTTGTTCGAGTTCTTCTAGAAAGAAAGGGAGGCTGCCGGATTCTTCGGTCTGCTTGTCGGGGTTCTTTTGAACCTCTGGCGTTCGGCGGCGACGAACTCGATCTTGCACGAGAACAATTTCCCCAGGTGATCCTAAGAACTCCACGTCAAGAGGGACTGATTTACTCTCATTTTTCCGTGGTAATTTGGCACGAGGGCCTGAGGTCTGTCCGTAACGAGGGTAGAACTTCGGTTTGTCGTTGTCGCTAGATTCATTTGACGAGCTGTTAAATCGAACAAAGACATCTTGCCGGCGAGAAGTCAAAAATAAGGATCGTTCTCTGCATGATGGGAGAGCTCGGCGGCTTAGAAGCCCTGCTGCGCCCCTTGACGACCGTGAGAGCATGTGGAAAAACAACAGAGCGCATCAGCCCGGCTTCATGAATTCTTTGGCGATCGGAATGAATCTTGAGCTTCAGATAGAGGATTACACTAGTCCTAGAATGGAATTAATTTGCCTCAGGCATCAAAATACGTACATAGTACAACATCTCTCTACCTATCAGTCATGCCGAATTACACCTTGAACATTTATCCCACCAACGAAATGACGCAGTAGACTCTGCAGACGATTGTCGACGTAAGCTTGTCGCCAGACAGCTTTTCTCCAAGCTTGCTAGAAAGGGCCGACTTGCCCATTCTGCAAATGACCACGGTCCTTTCAAGATATGGTGTGACAATCTTCGGCCCTCTAATGTATTGGTCAACAAAAACCTGCAGATTGTTGGTGTTATTGACTGGGAGTTTGCATACGCAGCACCAGTTGAGTTTTCCCATGCACCTCGATGGTGGTTGCTTCTTGAACAGCCTGAGTACTGGCCAGATGGGATAGAGGCTTGGGCAAAACAATTTGAAAGTCGTCTACAGACATTCCTGAAAGTTCTTACCGAACGCGAGGAAACAGCTATGCAACAGGGCAGGTTAAGACAGGAACAGAGACTTTCTGGTCCCATGAGACAGAGCTGGGTAAATGGCGATTTTTGGGTCACATATGCAGCGAGGAAGAATTTTGCCTTTATGATCTTCTGGAAGAAACTTGACCATCGAACTTTTGGCTCTTGCACGATCCCCGAGGAAAATCGTTGGGAGAAGAGGATGAAATTGCTGAGTGAAGAAGAGAGTCAGTTTATGGAACAGGCTGTGAGCCGAAAGCTCGAGCAGATAGAAAAGAGGGTTCTAGCATGGGAACCAGAGGAAGTGGATATGGTCGTCTAATTAGTCTCAGTTCAAACAACGTACAGTATCAGCAGGTTAGCATCTTTCTCGCCAGTCCTTTTGTCATGACTTGGTTGAACCAAGACAATATACAGGTTGATTGTCCTATTGCCAAAGTACGACTATTCATAAGCGACAAGCTTCACAATAAACACATGACTCGGGTAATGATAAGCTATGCCATGATGAAGAGAGCTAAGAGCTATCGCTCCGTGGCCATCACGCTGTCCAAATCCTCTAACAGGATTATGTTTCAACACAGGTCAAGTTAATTTAAATAGCATAAGTTAAGACAAGATTTAAATGGGTATTCAATATAGAAATCAAGTACAGATGTGACTAGGACTCGTACAGCCCTAGGTATTTTTTGCAGAAGATATTTCCCAACTTCTCAAATCCTCACGTACATCAAACTCGGTCAGTTCCTGCTCGGCACTGTGAGTTTTCCAAAGCTTTCCTTTGGCATTGTCGTATAGTTGCTGCTCGATACTTCCAGACTTCCTCGTATGGCCCATAGTCGAAGGAAAATCCGGTGCTTTAGCTTCATTGCGGAAATGGCTGCTTGACGAGCTTTTTGGCCGTCGTTCAAAACTGGGTGATAATCTGTTTCCTGAGCTGGTCTGCTTTGGTTCCATCTCAACACGTAATGAAGATTCGCTCATGGGGTCACCTAGTCTCCCAGTGCGAGTACCATGTGATGAAGTTGGCAATCCACCAGATCCTCCGGAAAACAGTTCCTCGATCAGCTTGTCAGCTGGCATGTCGCCAGCTCGAGAGACCCAGGAAGCAGCCAACGTGCGACGATACATGTCTTGCATGTCGGACACTTCTCTACTCTTTGTGTTTATCGACGGGGCCCGACCAAGATCATCATGGTCGCCCTGCTCGGCAGAAACAACGCCTGCGATCCCCCCGAAGACCATGGCGGATTTCAAAGGCGGGCTGCACACCATTAGCAAATCACAACAATACACTAGACCAAGTCCCGAGCAAACTTACGTGCTGAAGTTCCTATCCCCCTCTACTTGGCGCATGGAGATCCCAATCTTGAGCGTGCTGTTTATTTTGCTATCCTGCATCAAGTGCCTTCTTATGATGCCCTCCTCGTCATCGCTCTTGTCCACGTATTCCGCCAAGTTGACCCTGATCCTCCCCAACAGGTTCTTCTCGCCATTGCCGCCAGAGGCAAACTCTTGTATAACTTCCAAGTAGAGCTCGCATTCCTGAAGGGCCTGGTTTCTATCGATCGTGAGCCGGACCGACGACAGCTTCTCGTAGTTCCAATTCGCTCGGTGGTCGAGAATGATCGCCTTATCGGTATGGCCGTGGTTCTCGGTCGCACTCGACGAAGGTAGACGCCATTTCACAAACGCCGTTCCGCTCACGAGGGGGACATTATTCAGATCGATAATCTTGAAGCGAATAGTATCAGTATCGTTTCCGGCTTCCGCGGATGTCGGCGCTTACCCTCAAGATAAACTCAAACCTAGGCTAAACCTCGGGTTTTTAGTACATGAATATCCATCACCCAGCAGCTAACTTACCCTCCTGTTCTTCGGAACTGAAATCGCAACCATAGTTAGTATCGATAACGAAACTCCCGTTACGTTACATAGATGGGAGGTGCAAGATAAGGGGGCCTAACATACCGAAAGCCTGCATAATTGGCACGCCCCAATTCTAATTGGGAAGTATCCTGAAGTATCGAATTTCCATATACAGTAAATCCCAACAGACTTTTCGGATTCATCATACATGCAGTCACTCAGGGAGTGATGAACGAGCGCATCCCCGCATAAGGAGTAACAGCGGCGGTGTGGCTTATATTCCAGGCAGAATACGACCGCCTTATCAAATTCCCCAAGTAATTTGCGGAATGCGGAATCACATTCACCTCCGTCTACGATCAAGTCTTGCGATAGAATTATCTCCTCCTCCTCCAGTCTCCTTCCAATCCAAACAAATCCAAATTCCAAACAAAACCAAAATGGACCACCAACTCCCCCTCTCTCCCCCCTCAGAACCCACCCCAGCACCAGCCGCCCCCTCCACCAAAGACCTCCCAGTCCCGCTCGACTCCCCAATCCGCACAACACCCATCCACAGCACTCTCCCGGACCTGCGCGTTCCCAACGACCCCCTCCCACCACACAAATACCACCCAGTGACATGCGTCCCTATCGACTCTTCCACCCCCGAAATAAGCACCCACCTCGAACAGCTTCGCGAAGAGTACCCGTCCCCCGAAGCCGCGCTCAAAGCGCAGGAAGACGTCGCGAAAGAAGTCAAGCAGAAGATGGAAGACGCGGAGAAGAAGCGCGAGGAGGTCCAGCGCGCGATGGATAAGAAGGTTAAGGAGAGGAATACTGAAATGAAGGTTTTGTCCAAGTTCCAGGAGGTGAAGGCGTCGGATATTATTCCGTCTTGAGGGGAGGTGTTGGGGTTGGATACCTAGAAGAAAGCTGGATACGGATTACGACTTTGGGGATATCTATTGTTTGATATTGAGCACCCAATGCGGTTGATAAAATCCGCCACCTACGGCGCGACATTCTTATACACGGTTTTTGAGAGAATCACGGCATTCCTCGAATTCACCTACCGAGTACCCTGAGGGACCCGCGGTCTCGCCCACCGAATTACCACCTTCGAGAATCATCTATCGATTCAAGCGTGACAACTCAGCCACCAAGAAAATCACGTCAAATCGCCCAGTCGTACAGACCCTACAAGCCTGGACACAAGATCAGCGATACCAGTCAGCGCCACTACATAGCAACGACAATAGAACTACATATGCAAATGCAACAACATTCAATCAATCAAAACAAGACAATGGAAGCAAGTACTCATATTCACAGTTGATTTGATTCAGTGAGTTATGGACGAGTTTATATATAAATTATAAAAAAAAAAGAAAATCGTGCTAGGCGTTCGTTATACACCACGATCAAAATTCCAGAAACATGAAAATATCATCCATCCATCCATCCACCCACCATTTCAATGGGGTGGGACGCGGGGGCACATGATTAGGTGTCATTATTAAATATACTTCGTTCCATTAATCATTCATAAGGCCTTGTCGATAATTTCGTCTCACATCGTGCCCAGAATCTTGACGACAGCAGGGAGCAACTGGTAATTTGTTAGGTTTTCTATATCTTTGATTTGACTAGGGTGAAATGGGAACTTACCTCGGAAGCATCTTCAATCAAGGTCTGAGTCTCGTTGACGAACTTGCGAGACAGCAGGGTGTGGGCGTTGTCGAGGACACCGCCAACCTCCTTGAGAAGATCAGGAGTCACAACCGGCGAAACGTCGTCAATCAGGTTTCTGGTCTCGTTGACAAAGTTAGGAGTCAACAGAGAAGTGGCGTTGCCGACGAGGTAGCCGACTTCTTCGAGCAGGTGAGGAGTGACGACGGGCGACACGTTGTCGATCAAGGTGGAGGTCTCGTCGACGAACTTGTCGGTCAACAGCTTGTTGGCGTTGCCCAGGAGACCCTTGACCTGCTTGAGGAGATCGGGGGTGATGACTGGGGACACCTCGTAGATCAAGCCTTGTGTCTCGTTGACGAACTTGGGTGTCAAGAGGGTGTTGGCGTTGTTCAAGAGGTCGCTGACTTCTCCGAGCAGCTTGGGGGTGATGACGGGGGAGAGGTCACCGATCAGGTCACGGGTCTCCTTGACGAAGTCCTTGGTGAGCAGGTCGTTGGCGTTGCCGACCAGACCCTGGGTCTCCTTGACGAAACCATCAGTCAGGAGCGAGCCAGCGGCGGTCAACAAGCCGCTGACGTGCTTGAGAACGTCGGGGGTCAAGACAGGGGCGACGCTGCCGATGAGTCCCTGGGTCTCGTTGACGAAGTTGGGGGTCAGGAGGTCGTTGGCGTTGTTGAGCAAGCCGCCAACTTCCTTGAGCATATCCGAAGTGAGGACAGGGGCGACAGCGCCAATCAAGGAGGAAGTCTCCTTGACGAAGTCCTGGGTCAAGAGGTCGTTGGCGTTGCTCAACAAGGTGTTGACCTTCTTGAACAGGTCCTTGGTGAGGAGCGGTCCGACAGCGCTGATCAGCGACTTGGTCTCCTTCACGAAGTCCGATGTCAACAGATCGTTGGCGTTGGTGAGCAGGTTGTTGACCTCCTTGAGCAACTCGGGTGTCAGGATAGGTCCAACAGCCTTGATCAAGGAAGAAGTCTCCTTGACAAACTCAGGAGTGAGCAAGTTGTTGGCATTGCCAATCAAGCCATTGACCTCCTTGACAAAGTCGGCAGTAAGAAGGTTGTTACCATTATCCAACAGAGTGGAAACCTTCTTGAACAGGCCGGGAGTGATAAGCGGGCCAAGCTCGCTAATGAGCGAAGAAGTTTCATTAACGAAGCTTGGCGTCAACAAATCATTGGCGTTGCCGATCAAACCGTTGACCTCCTTGACGAAGTCACCAGTGAGAAGGTCATTACCGTTATCCAACAGAGTGGAAACCTTCTTGAACAAGCCAGGGGTGATAAGAGGTCCGAGCTCGCTAATGAGCGAAGAGGTCTCGTTAACGAAGCTAGGTGTCAACAAGTCGTTGGCGTTGGTCAAGAGACCGTTGACCTCCTTGACCAAGTCCTTGGTCAAGAACGAGGAACCAACATCAACCAGGTTCTTGGTCTGGACGGTGGTCTTGTCATCGAACAGGTAGGCGAAGTGGTGGAAGAAAGACTCGACATCCTTGAGGAAGGTGGGCGAGAGCAGACCAGTCAGACCATCGAACGAGTTTCCAAGATCCTGCAGAATGTTACCACTTGGGTCACCGCTGATGTGAGTGTAAGAAGCGGTTGCCGAGCTGCTGGTCGAGGTAGAGGAGCTGTCTCCTCCACCCAAAATACCACCCAACCCACCCTTTGTCGTAGTGGGCTCGGGAGTAGTAGACTCGGCAGCGGCGGTGTTGGTGTCAGAGCTCTGTGCAGAAGGCTCGGGAGCGGCAGCACTGGATTGAGTTGCCTGGTGTTCGGTAGCGCTGGAGTCGCTGGACTGGGACGGGTTCAGGAATCCCAAAAGACCATCTCCTCCGGTTGTGGTGGCACCTGCGGTGGTGGCATCGGCCGAGCTGGGTTGCGGGATAGCGGCTTCGGTCGTTGGCGCGGCGGCCTGGGAATCGGATTGCTGGTCATTGGGCTGCTGCTGCTGCTGCTGCTGCTGCTGCTGCTGTTGAGGATGCTGGACGGCGGCAGTGGTAGTGGCCGGCTCCTCGGGGCCCTGTAGGATGTTATCGGCCGTTGGCTTCGAGGCTGCGGTGGTGGTTTCGGCCAGAGTAGGTTGGGCGGCCGCGCTCGTGGGAGGTGCTACAAGCTGCTCATCTGGCGAAGCCCCCTGTGACGAGGCATTGCCCAATTGGGACGAGACTTCGGCGGGCTTAGCCAGCGAGGTGCTGGAAAGCAAGAGAGTGGTGGAAAGAAGAGTTGAGAAACGCATGCTGGGTGGATGCTCTTCACAGGGGTGGATGGGCCAGCAAGTTGACGTTCTGGAGAGCGCGACTGACTACAGATCGGATGGAGATCGCATGGGCTTGCTTCCTTTTATAAGTCAGTCGTGCAAAAGCAAGTGCTTTGCTTCTTGCGTTTCTCCACAGAAATTTTAAATTGCTGGCTGCAGCAAACCGAGGACTTTCAGTACCCACATGTGAACTAGGTCCGTCGACTCTTTTTTACGACGAGTTAACTAGTTCCATCTACTACTTGGTACTACGGGACAGACTACTGATGTCAGTGGTACCCCGTCGAACGTTGGGATTTCCTCCCCAAAGTAGCGGAGGTATTACCCTTTTGGGACCATGATCGAATATCAACGGGAAGAAGCGTTGTTCGGTTACAGAGAGCCGCGCCCGTATACAATCGGCGCAGGGGAGAGGGCTCGAGCCATGGCTACCACGATAGCTAGTCGTAGCATTGTCAGCGGAGAAGTGGCTCAAGATGGAGCAAAGCTCTGCCCGGCCGGAGAGAGCCGTGCAATCTATGGTTTAGCCCAAGACGAAAGGGCATTAGGAGGTTGCGGGGGAACGAATGAGAGGAATGGGAAATTGCGACTTGCAGGCCGCATCTCTATTTTGACCCAGATATGATGACGGGGAGGACTGGGTTCTGGTTGTCGACCTCGGTGATCAGCGCAAAAACCTATCGTTCAGGGTAAAGCGAGCATCTGACAATAACCATCCTATTCCTTGGCAGCTCGAGCTGCACGCTCCAATTGACTTGCTGATCGGTGTTACACGAACGCAGTGATTGGATGCAGGCGGCGAGAGGAGTTAGTACCTGGCTAGGGTGCATGCCATTGAAGAGTCTAGCAGCAACCAGCTGGAAAATTCACTGCACTGTGAACTCCAATACTATCATGAACGATAGTCTGATGGAGTCAGTGATGGCCTAAGAATTATTATTATCAACCAGGCGACCACGGTTCGGACAATCGAATACGATTTCCACTCTTTGCGGGGAACGGATATTGACCCTCTGGGGAACAAGGTGGAAAATCCCTCCCGGGCTCCAACAGTGGAGGCCAGCCTCGGTGACTACTGGCTAAGAGGAAGCCTTAACCCTCTAGCGCGAGAAGGACATGGAGAGTACCTCCGAATTGACACCCAAAGGCAGCGCAGGGACGCCCGCCTTGCTGGAGAGTCGGAAGTAGTCACTCGGTAACATGTGATGTTTGCAACCTCATCTCGAGTCAAGCAGAGACAAGCCAACCAGGGTCGAGATGAAAGTGCAGGAGCAAAAGTGTAACCACGTTCCCTTCGCGGGATTAATCTCAGACTAGGGCGATGATCGACAAGGGCGAGTAAGCGGGGTTTGGATCCATTTCGGCCGTGTAGGAGAGGGCAAAGACTAGGAAAGAAAATCTTGTTTTTTGGCCCAAATTGGATTTGGGAGAAGCCTTGGGGTTCCACAGAAGGCCCTAGAGTGTGTTCGGTGTAGGTAGTGTCGTACAGATTTTGATCTGATTGTATCTATTGAGTATTCACTTTTCGGTATGAGCAATGGATAAGAATTCCATCTCAGAGTTTGAGGTGATTGAGTCGTGTTCCTGACCCAGGATTTCCGACCCAGAAGGGACGTACCTGAGGAACCCAAGTCTTAGAGTCTGGGATGAAGAACCCAGAGTTGAGAAAAACAAATAATTTGCCACCTAGTGATATTAAGATCCACACAGAAGAGGAAAAAGACGAATTCTCCGGCGCAAGATCTGTGTAGACTGTTCTGGTCAAGTGAGACATTTGGGGGATTGACGGTCGGCAAGGAGGAGAAGAGGATTAGGTTGGTCACTTGACTCAGGGGTATTCACGTCATAGTATTTATTCGCTTGAACGGTTGTTTATTTGGTTCTGTTTATTCTGTTTATTCTGTTGTTGTTGTTGTTATTATTATCTGTTTATTGCCATGGTTATGATATAATTTAATTGTTATCATCTGATGCAAGGTTAATGTTGCATTGATATGTTGAATAATGTCACCCGCAAGTCCCTTGCAGTCTACTCCGTGCAGACAGCAAAACCACACCATAGACCATCTCCAAAATTGAGATCCGGTGTACACAGTAGTTGTTGATTTGTTGATATCAGAATTTTCCAGCTAGTCTGGTGTTGACTCGTTGAGTGAGTCAAAAGGGCTAGGATTGTCAGGCCCACAGCACACTAGTCGATAGTATTGATGCTGTCGTTTCACTCTTCTTATTTATTTTATCAATAAAAAGATAAACAGAATACAGATGATAGACTGAAGATTGAGTCTGTTTGATTGCAGGACGCTGTCTGCTGTCTGTCTGGTCTTGTCTTGTCTTGACTCAAGGCGTGATGGCAAGACAAAAATGAGAGAAAATAATAGAATGTCGACTTCTAGAATCCACGATAGTCCACGAGTCAGTCTAATGGCGCAATAGTCTGCGATATAAACGCATACCATAATTGTTTATTCCCACGGATAACTGCCGAGTCCCACTGTTGGTTCTTCTGTTCCTGACCCAAAAGTCGCCAAAGTCAACCCGTCGAGAATTCGAGAATTCTGATCCAAAAAAAGAAATACACGCTTTTTGCGCATTTAAATTTTAAAATTAAGGATGATTGCATCTCTTGGTTCGTGGCGATGTTGAGGGCTTTCTTTGGTCTTTCGTGGTTCGTCTGGTTTATCAGATTTTGCTGATCGGCTGTTTCTGTCAGTCTGCTATCGTTAGGCGATGTTGACACTATCTAGATATCATTCTACTCGAATACAGACAGCAATTCAGTGACTATATCTCTCGCATACTCATCGAGAACAGACAATCTGGACTTGGACAGCTCATGTCTACGGTTTATCTGCAGCAGATAGCAGATATATCGGAATAACAGATTATCAAAGGGCACCAGTATGCTGATACTATCTGGAGGATACTAAAGAGTGCCAGATGCAAGTCTGCTGTCATGTTACTGCCAATTGTACCTAACCAGTGTGTTATTGCTAATCATCGTTTTTCATAGAGATATCAAGCAGTCTAATCCCGCTGGCTATTGCATGCGTTGCTGCATGCTCATCGTCACACCGAGTCTGTCATCCGCAGAATCAATGCGAAGCAAACTGTTGTTGTGAAACTATCGCATCTGGTCTGCATTTCCATCTCTCCTGCGCCTTGTCATACTATCCTGTCGATTGGGCTGCATATCAGTTTCGCAGCAAGATGATGTCGTCATCGTCTGACTTGCATTCAACAATTAGATGTATGATTATGCTGGACACACAATGTCTTTATCCTCTACATCAGCTTTTGGATGGATGTAGACAAGTGGCGACTCTTGACTACCATCTGATCTATACACCCTATCATCGCTCTATCCGTCTCATTATATGAGCTTGTCTTGCTAATTCTTCCAGTGTCTGAATGAATGCTAGATTATCGCCCAAGTCAGTTGTCCAATGTGGATTGGGCCATGAGTCTTGCCCAGTGCCTATGTCGTAAGTCTGCTGCTGTCGTGGCCATCCACCAGGGAGCATCCTGGCGATATACACTGCACTATAGGCAAGTCTAGTATTCTAGGTTGCTTTCTCTTCTCTCTCTCTCTTTCTCTCTATGGTAGGTCTATGTTGGAACTGATCAATCCATAGTTATATAGACATTGTCTTAGTAGCCATGCACCAGGTGTGGTTTACCAGAAGTATAGAGCAGCCTGTCACATATTCCACTTTTATGGATCCATCTCATCCTCTGCAGGCTTTTTTTAAACAGACATACTGGGTGTATACAGCCCCCATCAATTCTATGTGTAGTTCTTCAGACCATGTTTCTTTTCAATCCACAGGTATCACATAATAATGAATAGATGCTCTACTCAAGCTCTGGATATGATAATCTGTAAAATATGACATGATATCCAGAATATAAGATATGATCAAGGTCAGCAATCCAATACATTATGAATTGGCTTTGTATATGCTACCATTTAATGCATCGAACGACTATTTCTCAGGTCATTACCTGGTTCATCCATCATTAACCCATAGATACTGTCGGCGATGTATACTTCCCAGTCTATCTTCTTGGTTAACACATGGCCAAACGAGTAGCATGATTGAACGTAAAACATCAGGATAGGATAATTATAGACTGCTTGGCCTTTTGCTCGTCTCAGCCTGCAGATTGTTCATCCCTCTTTGTCTGGTATATGCCACTGGCATCTCACTAGGAAGCGTTCTAGCAATATAGCGCTGCGTTACCAGCAAAAGACTACCTTAACCTACTAGGATTTTAAGACACCAGTCCTAGAATCGCTCTCTCTCTCTCTCTCTCTCTCTCTCTAGTAAGTCGTCATATTCTGCCATCTGCCATTAACATGCCCTAGATCCCGGTTATTTCTGGTTCTATTGCACGAGTGTTGTCATTCCTCTTTCACCTCAAAGGCACAGATATATCAATATGATAGAGAAATACAATCGACAGTGGCAGTCTGCAGATGGTATAGGATAGTTATATCAAATAAATATACTATGTCAAGTCCAGCCATCGAATCGCACCCGTTAAATTTATGGAAGTATTTTGTTGTCATCTAAGCTTAGTTGTGCGATAGATTATGCAGATGGCTGGAATTGCTCTCTATTAGGCAATGGTATCATTTAAGATGCTATATAATAGCCATCATTGCTGTGCTAATTACCAAGTCGGTGAAATATGGAATAGATGCCTCTTTGATCCACTCTTAACAACAGCATCGAAACGACAGTGAGAAATAGTCTAGATATACAGTTGAAATATTCGATATTTTTAAACACATAAATCTATATTGGAGTTTTCAGATAATGATTCTATATCAAAAGTGTACATTAAACTTCAAAAGTACCGTTCATCTGTTCATATAAAGCATAATTGCTAAATAGGCGTTCAATGCATCCAGGTAAAGTCCATGATATAAAAATAAGAGAGCTTGTTTAATAGTCCATTCTTCATACTGTTCAATATACTGCCTCGTTGCCTTCATTAACACTAGGGTGTAGCTTCCACGACTCCAAAGTACACATGCCATGAAGGTATCCTACTATAGACTCTGGATAATCATTCAATTAAGCGAGAATCACAGCAAGTGTAATATGATGTCAATTCTCAGCCACGAATGATCAATGTTGGTCTGGAATACCTACTAGATAGTGTATCAAGTCTGCTGCATGTCTGTTCTAGATTGCAGGTAAGCAATCTATATGTTGATATAACTATAGCAGTCAGGGATGATGCAAGATTTGTCAACAAAGCTATATGATAAACATACCTCAAATGCAGCAAGTCAACCGAACAGATACACAAGTACCAAGTCCTACTATATTTACGACATCCCAGACCTCTATATAAACCCTGCACGGGGAACACATCCATGATCAACATCTCCTGAACCTCTCCTCTCGTCTAATCTAGAACATCAAGAAAAGGTCCAAGTCGAGAACAGTCGATGGGCATCCGAAGAAGGTAAAGTGTGAGCACATGACTGAATGCCCATGCGGTGTCAGCACCCTTAGCACGCACTAGCAGGTGTGATGGAAGCGCCTGAGGGCCATTCATCGCGAGAGGAATGGCTCCATCTGAGACAGGCAGGGATGCGCATTGCTTTGGCCTTTTCGGGGGTGTGGTTCCGTATTTTTTATTTTTGTTATTATTATTATTATTACTATGTCAATGCACTACTGTATGTTTCTTTAGTGTTTGTTTTGATTTGGAAATGGTTGGGTGTTGGGATTGTCGTTGTTAGTCGTGTATATATCTAGTCTGTTCGATATCCATCCATGACATCACATCTGTATGATCTCTACTACATATTCTTATAGAAATATTTTATAAATGATATGATATTATCACTAATATTAGATTTCAGCTGTCATGTCTCTGCAGAAACCGCCACGAGGCCATGATCTGTGGCAAGGCAAGTGTGGCTCCACCTGTGGCGCAGTGACGGCCATCCCCGATATCCACCGTCCACGCTTTCCACCACGGAGGACATTCTGTATCTGTTCTGTAAAAGCAGGGAAGTGGATGTATTTTCCCATCAAAATCTCTTGTGATATGTCGCATTCCTACAGCAGAGTTTTTAGTCCGAAAGGCTGACGACGCACCTTATTTTGTACAGTCCATTTCCCACTGTACGGAGTACCTCTGTAAATTGTAAGATTCTATTTATTCAACCGACTCCAACCGACCCCGCATACTGTATCAAGTATCTAGTCAACAGTGAATGGGAATCTGATTCATGTGATTTCCATGCTGCGATATGTATCTGCCTGCTTGTGGAGAGTTATCCTCCATTCCCAGCGAGTCTATCCACAGCCAGCATCAGTTGACATGCGAGATTTTCCTTCCTACTCGAGCAGATCATGAGGTCTTTCTACCATCCCCTAACCAGCCAGACACCACTAGACTGCATTACATACATTACCTGTACAGCCCAGTACTTTCAGACTAGAATCCGAGGCTCAGTCCAATCGCAGATCGCAGCAGGGATGGGCGCAGCGGCATAAAAGACCGGACTGATGGCCGGCAACGAATCCCTGGCCTGAAGAGGCCCAAGACCAGATGCGGGCTCCACGATGCTGACCCTCCTTCAGCTGAATTCGACAGGTCGGATACTGATGTTACATCGTATTATCGTATGCTGATCAAGACATCATCAAAAATAAATAAAATAAAGTAGACATGATAAAAGAAATATAAAAAAGAAATATTCTTGTATAAGAAGCAAAAATTAACCTACAACCCAGTACCATAGTTCAAGTTGAAGGATATGGCATAAAAAAGAAAATAAAAAAGATAACAGACTGGCGCTGCCCGGAATCGAACCGGGGCTGGCACGGCCACAACGTGACGTCATACCACTAGACCACAGCACCTTTTTCCTGTTGAAAGGAAGCAGCATCTTTTGATTCATGACTAGACTTTTATAAATGATCAATCTTAATTCATAATCTTATCATTCTATCAGATACTCATTTTTACTCTGTAGTCTGTATTGACTGTAGCCTGTACTATGTATATTCATGTAGTTAATATGCACAGTCACCACGGCATGTCTACCTATTCTAGCCGTGTCCGACATACAGATGCAATTTCTTCCTGCTCACGCGAGAATAAGAGACTGCAGTGAACTGACGCCATGGTTCTTATTCAGACCCTCTCTGATTGGCTGCCGACTGTTGCATTGCACTTGCCAGCTGAGTTCAGCATAAATCCATTCTTTTGACCTTTGCGTTCCGCTCGTCCTGTGGCGGATGCAAGTCATCCTCTACACGACCGACCTGAAAACGAAGTCGACAACAACACTACCTGAGTCTACGATTCCACATGAAGCCGTACTGTGTCCGTAGTGGAGTATGAATCATGGATACAGCAGGTTCTTACTACTTCTGCCCCTACGGACGACCCGAGATGCATCGCACAGTGCGGATCATCGGGGCTTAGCCAGGCTGCCCTTTTGGGTCTGCTGCAGTTCTCTGCAGTCCCAGATCTGTCTGTCTGTATTGTACGGTATGGACGGACTGGGATAGTATCGACCATCGACTGGTGATCAAGAAACCCCAAATCATGTTTCAACCCCGTGGATGGGCGCCTGCCAGGTGAATCCCTTTGGTTGTGTGTGTTCTGGGAGCGTCAGTCTTGGGTTTTACATCCAGTCCATCCCTTCTCCACCCGGATAGTCTCTTACCACTTTGGACGCCTGCATCTCACTAGGCTGGGCAAATATGCAAGAGTCAAAAGCAGATCGGACGGAGAGGCCGGGCGACGGACGAGGATGTGGCCAATACCTGGTAACCGTACGATCGGTATTCCGCCCTGGAAAGTCGCCGTGATATCCATCCCACAGTACACTTGATTTTCTCGGTCTGCAGCTATACCATCCTGTCATATTATTCCATACCCGGTTTTTTGATTTTTCTTTTTTCCCTGTATATATATATTTTCTTTTCCTGACTCCTGACTCAAAATAATATAATATAATAATAAAAAACACATCGTGGTTGATATATCCAACTCGATCCTTCACTTTTCCCTCCGTCATCCTCCTATTTCCTCTTCGGGTCATCTCTCGTTCTTCCCGCCCCTCCTCCCTCTTCGTCTCTTCTCTTCTCTCTTCTTTTTTCTTTTCTCTTCTCACCTTCCAACTGCCTCTCTTTTTATCTTCTTCCTTTCGTTCTTTGCGCGTTCGCCCGCACTGTAATTTTTATTTTATTTTTTCATCTATACGTCCACCTTCCTTCAACTACAAATTTCCCCTTGGGATCCATATTGTCTCCCCGCCTGGTGCATTCCCAAGATACCCCTCCTCTGGATCGGATTCGGATCGTGTTGGAAAAAAAAAAAAAAAATAAAAAAAAAATTACACTCTGTGTGGGCGAATGTCGCCTTTATGATTAACTTCTTTTTCCTTCCCTCTATACCTTCGCATCAGTCGAGTGTATCGCCCCTCGCCCAGAGTCTCACCCTCAATCATCATGCCAACAGTCTTACTCCCCTCGTCGGCCGCTGCCTTTGCGCCACGATCCTCTCCCAATGTCGTCCTCAACACCAAGGTGGAGTCTTGGTTGACCGCAACCTTGAAGCGGGTCAATAGGGTCAAGCGACCTTTGAACAATGTCACCCAACATACAAGATGCCTGACCGAGACGCTGTCGTCGCCCAACGCCATTTGGACCCTATGCTCCCTCATGTTCCCCAAGGCCCCCGAGTCGGACCTCCGCCAGGATGAGAACCCTCTCGTCGAGGGCCTGTTCAACTACCAGATGATCCATATGGAAGCGTACGTCGTGCATGTCGACATGGTCTCCCAGAATGAAGTCGCCTTCAAATTGACTCCCGAAACCATCGAGTCCCTCGTCGACTTTCACAAGGATATCTACTCGGTCGATGCTGCTGCCAATACTTGGGACTGGTCGGAAAAAGCAAGTCAGTTGAAGAAGTTGCAGGAGGAATTCGTCCAAGCCGCCAACAAGTTTGTCTACCGCACCAACGCCCAAGCGCTCGAAGGATTGGAGGAAGACGGCGCAGGAGAACTGCTTGGTGGTCGCGGTGAGGAAGCAAAGGCTGCTATCATGGGCCTCTTTGTTCCATTGCTTCCACCGCCTCCCCGGGTGGTTGACGTGATGCGCCCTGCTCCCCTCTTACCAAGCTCGACCGGCCCAGAGACATGGTGGCAAGACCCCATGCAACAAGCTGCGCCTCTGGAGCCGTGGAAAGTACTTACATCCAGCCCACCCACGACCAACATTGCCGATTCTAATCTTAACCTGTGGGCCAGTTTGAGCGGCTTGGATGAAGTTCAGCTCCCTTCCCCGACCCCGTCTTACACCCAGCCCTATACCACCTCGCCGTACAACATGACGCAGTACTATAGCGCCCCGGAGACCTCTGCCGCCATGGCCGCGCTTCCGTTACCGAGTATGCTCATTCAACCTTGCAGTACGATGGCAGGTATGAATGGATTTGGCTGGGGTGATCGATACCAGGATTTCGCATTGCCATACGGGACAACGATGTAAAAAGCCCATCAAGCAGAAACCTTGATGTTGACGCTTTCCCTGACTTGGCGTGTCTTGGATTAGATCTCGGGGCTGGCATCGACAAACCGAACATGGCTCTCCTGTGCCCTCTGCACCGGAAATACACGATCACCGGAACGACGCTGGCGACCTTCCACCCATGCACAGACATCAGACTAATTGGCATCAGTGACGGCGTTACCCATTGATTGATTTGCGAACTCATGATACTCCACCTCGTCTTTGCTTTTGCTTTTGTTTTTCTCTCTGTTTTGCATTTTATTTGATCTTGTTTTGATTCAGAACATAATCTCTTCCCTCCTTATGCGAACCATGTGATTTCTCTTGATATGTTTTGTTTTGAGCCAGTGTTAGCGTTTTGTTTCCTTCATTGCATCAAGAAGCGCGGGTCGGCTATTTGATTGTTCTTATGTTCCCTCGGCGGATTTCCATTTGTTCAATCCCGCATATATGTCATAAAGACTTGGTAAGCCTCACGGCTGGGATATGATTTGGATGAAGAATGTTTACGTTCTCTTCGTTTCTCCTGTCGCGGGCTCGTTAGATCTGGATTGAGGCGCGATGCTGCGACTGGTACCACCATCGTCACCCTTGTCCTTTTCTGTCGACGCCCTCTTCCTGGTACAGAGTACTGGGCTGGCCATCTAATCTTAGATGGTGGGGGCACCCGCGACAGCGCAGTTCACATTATGTCTGAGATATTTTGTGACTGCATTTTCTTTTTGGTCGACACAGTCTATGAGGATGTAGGTAGGGGAGGAAGTTGTCTTGATCGTGTCGAGCTCGAGATCCGTCCGTGACTGACTCGAGCAAAGGTTGGGACAACGCATTGGTCTGTGACCTTGTTGATCACACCCAGCGATACTGACAAGCGCTTTCTTCACTACCTCTTCATCATATACTGTGAATGACCTGGTAGACTCATCTCCTACTATCCAGGCTGGTTTTTTATTTCCTGGATAACTCGCCTAGTTCACCTTCACTGTGTGGAGTGTTGGGACTGGCGGGAATAAGATGCTGGCACTTTCGTTCCAACAGTTTGAAAAACGAGGCTGGCCTCTGAATTCTTTTCACTCCTGGCTATGCTTGCTTCTTTTCGATTCGTTCTCCCCTTTTGCATGATGTATCTAGTTTTGACTTTGTAATTGAGAAAACATAAAGCAAGAATGAAAAGTACCTAGTTGGTTGCGTCATTATTTTATTCCCTAGCGCCCTATAAATGCTTTAATAAGGTCGAATCCTTACTCGACAATAGCTAGAAGATCAAATGTTGTACTCTGTAGAATCCGGATGTCGTGGAGGCAATGGGCATCATGACGTCAGCACCTCATTGTCAAGGCGGCAGTCATTAATGCGGAGATTCAAACTCAACTGACGACTTCGGCTGCATTGCATTGCTTGTACAGAAAGCAGCTACTGTACCGTGTTTATTTTCCTTTACCTTTTCTGCATACCTTTTTCCTCGTGAGATGGTTTTATCTTGAACGACGATAACTACCTACAACAACACGCAGAACAGAAGACCCAATGTCCTCCCTCCAAGAAGCTCTACAATGTCTCTCCCCAACACCCTGGGCCGAAGTCCCCCAAACACAAAATGAACTACGAGCCTACATCACCGATATATCCAACAAGGCGAAACTAATCGTCGACTCGATCCCGGAGTCCCCGCCTCCGGATCCGAACTACGTCGCCGCCGACTCGGCGTTAGCACGGGTATCGAACTCGAGTGTGCGTGTCAGTGATTCGGACCCAGAGATCCAGTCGCTGCAGCAGCAATGGGGGAAGGCGATTAAAATCAGCTCTGTGAAGGATAACCCGTTCGCGATTCCCGTGTATAAGCTGGCGGGGGGTGATGGGAGGGGGGCGTGGTTTGCGCGGCGGAGCGTGCACGAGGGCCTACCGTTTTCGACGTGGAAGGGGAAATTCTCCAGCGAGATGGACGAGACGTTAAAGGCGAATCAGGAGTGTATGGGGAGAGGCGGGATACCGGATAAAGCGGTGCGGGGGATAGGGGCGGAGCAGGAGATTGAGAGTGTGAGTGTGATGGACGAGGCGGGGAAGAGTGTTCTGGGGACGGTGAAGGTGTATCATGTTTCTGCTCGGTTTCCAAGACCGACTACGTCGAGGGATTTTGTGGTGTTGGGGGTTAGTTGGGAGGGGGATGTGGGGGGGTTGGAAGGGGGGAGGTGTTGCATGACGGTGTCGAAGCCTTGTTCGCATCCTGATGCACCGGCGGGTGAGGCATATATTCGGGGTGAGTATGAGTCTGTGGAGGTGGTGAGGGAGATACCGGTGAAGAGGGATGGGGAGGGTTCTTCTGGCTCTGGCTCTTCGGGTTCGACAGGTGAAGAGAAGGATGCGCCGTCTGAGAATCCAGAAGAATCAAACCCCGTCGAGTGGATCATGGTGACCAGGAGTGATCCTGGAGGCAACATCCCACGATGGATGGTAGAAAAGGGCACTCCAAAGAGTATCTGCTCAGATACCGTCAAGTTCCTCGACTGGGTTTGTCGAGATACTCCACTGATCGAGCCAGAAAGCGAGCAACCCAGAGAAGCAAAGAGTGACCAAGAAGACGGCGATACAGATTCAGACTCCGACTCAGACTCTGAATACGACTCGGCCTCTGAAGAACCACACAACGGCCTCATCGCCAGTTTCGCCTACTTACTCAACGCAGGCCTAGAAAGATACGCACCGCAGGCAGTCCTTGACTACATACCACAACACTCACACTCGCGTGAATCATCCCAGCAACTCGGCGAAAAGCACACAACTGATGACCAGACATTATCCGACAAGAAATCCCTCCAGAACAACGGAGATGCCGAATCGCACCTTTCGCCTGATAAAGCATCACTCATGTCTGGCAACTCGGGTCTCGCGTCGATCGAAAATGGACATACTATCCCGCCTTCTGAGATTATGCAAATGGACAAGAAGGGCAAGATGACGTCCAACGAGAGACATCTCGCCAAACTGGCTGAGCGGAAACGTGATGTCGAAAGTAAACTGGAAACGGTCCGTGCTGAGATTGAATCACTACACCTGGAACGTCCGGACAAGGATTCCAAGGAAAAAGATTCCAAGAAAGATAAGGATGAACCGAAAGACAAAGATCCGAAGAAGAACAAAGAGACGAAAGACAGAGACAAGAAGAAAGAGAAGGAGGAGAAGGAGAGAGAGAAGCGAGAGAGGAAGGAAGAAAAGGAAAGAGAGAAGAAAGAGAAGAAAGAGAAGAAAGAAGCAAAGGAGAAGGAGAAGGAGGAGAAAGAAAAAGAGAAAGAGAAACCCAAAGGCGAGCTATCAAGCAGCGAGCACCCCAACAGCAGCGCCAGCAGCCTAGCCAAACCCCCCGACAGCTCCCCATCCAGCAGCAACATCAACCACAGTCACAATCGCAACAAGTCATCTTCCAACCTCGAAACAGCCCAAATGCACAAAGCAGCCTCGGGCTTGTTCGGCACCGAATCCAAGCTCCTCAAGGAACTAGGCAAGATCGAGAAAGAACAGCTCAAGCTCACGTCCAAGATCGAGTCCCAGGCGCAGAAGGATGCGAAACGCGAAGAGAAATCCCGAGACCGCAGTAAGACGGATGCAATGCGTCGGGAGATTGAGGAGCTCAAGAAGGAGGTCGATAGACTTCGGACTGAACGGAGACAATGGCTTGAGTTGGTAGGGACTTTGGAGGCGGAGAATACGAGGCTGGCTAGTAAGGCTGGAGTTGGGGAGGATAAATGATCTGGGTTTGTTTGTGATGGTACTATTCATTGATATTTGGCAGAATTCTGGACAGCGTTCTTGTTTGTATAGTTATAGTTGAGCGTCTAGTTATAGCGAAAGTATATACCTGAACACGAATGGGATAAATAAGTAGGTTCATGTTCATGTTTCATTTCTGAATTATTATACCTAGGATCCAACATCACCTAGCTGAACAGCGAATATGCCGTGGTATCATGTCTTAACACGTAATAGTACAAGTTCTTGAGGACAGAATCCCCGACCCAGTGTCCCAGCCTGATGGTTTTGTATACGACAGGATTCGATACAACCCATCCGAACCATCATTATATCTCTGAACGAATCCGAGTCCTTCACTCTCTTAATATCGTAGCGATTAGGGTAAGAGGTGATCGCAAACCAGCGCGATAGGCGAACCCAATAAACCTCGAAGCGTCATGCGAAACCGTCGCAGGGCTGATATGGAAAGTAGTAGATAGCGAAAATTCACACCTTTAAGTCCGCTTACTCCTGCGTCTATAGAGAAAGAAAAAAAAGTCAGACTAGAGATTCAATCGAGAGGAAAAGAAAGACAAACCTCAGGAGGATTCCCAGCCCCTCGAACCATCTTCTCGATCATCGCCGCGCGCACCTTCTCCTTGGGCTCGCCCATTCCAACAGCCATATACGACAGAAGCGGGGCGTGTCCGATGTAAGAAGCGTAGCTGTCGCGCACGATGTTGGACGTCCATTCGTACTTGGTTGTGTCGGCGTGACCGGTACCGACGTAGCGGGCCTGCATGGCCTCGAGGTTCTGGAGTGTGCGAAGTTTGTCGGCCATTTTGGTGATTTGCTATGCTAAGGTTTTTTTGACACGGTCTTGGATGCAGGTTTATCTGGTCTGTAGTGGTTTAATTGCGATGAAGAAGTAAGTTAAAGAAGATCAGATCTCGACTCGATTCCTATGATATGCTGACTCAGCAAGGTATATCTGTAGGAAACCACGTGATGTCGATATTCTATTCTGCGACGACAACCTCAGAGTCAACATGATGGGTTTATCGACTTGTTGAAAATTCACATTGGTATAGGTGAAGGAATGTCCGATCGATTACGGTCAGGAAGATGGAGAACGAAACCCCGAAACCCCCGTTATCGTCCCGTATAGCATCATTGGTGCATACCCATTTCGAGGGTCTGCCTGTGCGTAGCAAGCCGACTATTCATCCTGATGGATCGAGGGAGTGGATTCCTATGAGTGCTATTGTGGTTGTGAAAGGTATTACCCAGGTGTAGAGTGGATGGTTGTTCTATATGTTGAGGGATCTAGCTAACTTATCACCAGGAGAGAATACTTTATCTGAGAAATTGACTTGTGTGGCTGTCACGTACGTCTGCGTCTTGTGATCAATAGTCTCTATTGATGAGTCTAACTCTGTCAGAACTGGTGCAAAATGCCTATCAGCTTCTCAGATATCGCAATGCAGAGGTCTAGTACTCCATGACTGCCATGCTGAAATACTGGCCATCCGTGCCTTCAACTACTGGCTGTTGAATGAATGCCACGGTTTTCTGACACAGGAGAGGAAGCTGAAAGAACTATTACCAGAAGATGACTCGAAAGGCAACCCTCTAGTCTCTCCATATATCCGCCGGAGAAGTACAAACGACCCAGATCATGCATGGCCTCCATTTGAACTCTGCCCTGATATAAAAATCTACATGTACTGCACCTGCGCTCCATGCGGTGATGCAAGCATGGAACTCTGCATGGCAGCCCAAGAGGATGCAACACCATGGGATGTCACACCACCCAAACCAGATCCCAATGCTTCAAATTCAGAAGATGATGACCCTTCCACAAACCTCTTAGATGGCCGTGCCCACTTCTCCATCCTAGGCGTGGTCCGTCGCAAACCAGCGCGTATGGATGCGGAATCTACACGCAGCAAGTCGTGCTCGGATAAGCTTGCTTTACGGCAAGTTTCTTCCTTGTTGTCCCATGAGACTAGTCTGCTCGTTGCGCCTACGAGAAATGCGTACTTGGAAGGCGTTATCCTACCCGAGGAAGAGATTAGCCGAGTGGGATGCGAGAGGTCGTTTAGTGAAACAGGCCGGATGAAGGCATTGAATGGTCGATTATGGCCTGAAAATGAGGACAAGCACAGCTATGGCTATGGCTATGGCTATAGATTCCAACCGTTCAAAATCCTTCCCGTCCCAACCGAACAAATCGAGTCACTCTGGCCATTTGCTAAACCAAAACCCACCACCCTCACACAAGAAACACACAAGAAAAGCAAACCTGGAAATGTATCTGCAATCTGGACAATCGCCCCATCGGTACCATCCCATCCAACACCCCCCACACTAGACAACGGCTCCAAGTCTCTGCCAGTACTGCGCGGCTCAAAAACAGGCCTCTATGAAACCATCATCAACGGAGTGAAACAAGGGAACCGTGCATCCTCGCCTTTGGCGCGTGGCGCTTCGGCCCTCTCGAGGGCGAAGTTGTGGAGCCTTCTGCGTGGTGTGTTGCAGGCGCCGGGTTTTCATTCTGGGCAGGTAGAACCACGTTTACGGGATCCGGGCGTCGATGAACTTCATTCTGTTGCAGATATTGAAGATCCCTTATTGCATGCCGATGACCTTCGACGAGTTCTTGAAGCGTCTACTTATCAGGAACTTAAAAGAGCCTTGCTGTCTTCAAAGCCGACTAACGCGCGAGACAAAGCAATGCAAGATGCTAAACGAGTACTAAAAGGCTGGATACCCAACTCAGGAGATGAAAACTGGGGTTTGGATGTCCTGGTCGATCCCAAGAAGCGGAAACGCTGAAGCGATATGCTCTCGAAACAGAAGATATATATTATTTATTACCAAAAAGATTAGAATCAGGCGTGCGTCAAGTACGCACGCCTGACAATGAATGATCTCATGCCTAATGTACAGGACTTTTTTCCTTTCCCACCCAACAGAACCATTTTTAGTGCATAGGTTGACCAGCTTGGAGTAGAAATACTCCTTCAACCAAAACCAGCATCAAAAATTGAAAGAACAGTCAAAGGTATTTTCAACCCAGGAATAAAGAAAAGCAGGCGATGCCGTTAGTAAATGCCTGGGACGATCCGGCTGCGGACCAGGGAAGTGTAACGGTCCCAATCGGCACCGTACTTTCTCTTGCACTTCTCCTCGTCACGTCTCTCACGGTGAATGAGCAGGACCCCAAAGTACAGCATGAAGAAATAAGTAAAGATGTTTCCCCAGCCACGAGCCTCTGGGGTCTGTACGGCTTGCTTTACCACATCACCGGTGGATGGGTCGATGCTCTGGATAATAGCAAAGCCCGCCATACCCGTTGGTAGGCAGTATGCCCACGACATGACCCAGTCACCCAAGTAATTGATGTGACGGGCGTAACCCCACCAGCCGGAGGTCATCAGTCTGGATCCACTGGCGGTCTGGATGAACTTGATGTGCTTGATGCGAGGGTCGTTTGGATTGCTGCGGAAACGGTTCTTCTGGTTGTTGGCGCCGCGGAAGATCGAATAGCCAACAGCAGTCACACCCAGGACAAGAGCGAGGCCGGACACACCAAGCTCGAGCGGGAACATGGCGAGGTATCGGGACTGGAAGTTGTAGATGAACGGAACCCAAACCATGTCGCCAAAGGAAAGCATGAAACCGAACCCATCCATAATCACATCCATCGTGGTCAGGAGGGCGGGTTCCATGTACAGGCCATCCAAAACATAGAATGCCTGGAACACGGTGACGAGGACGACTGAATCGGTGATATAACCGAACGTTCTGTACTGACGGGCGATGTTCGACAAATTCAAGATAATCCATCCGAGCAAACCAGGTCGCATTTCACACCAGACTTTGATGTCGATTGTCCGCGCGGTGTCGCTGACGAACGGAATAGGAAGCTTGACCCGGGGATTAAGCTCTCGGCCGATGAAGAAATCGTACAAGACATTGCCAGTGTGACCACCAGGCGCCAGCTGTCGAAGTTCCGGGTTGCGCTGACCAGGGGCGGGGACGGAGAAACTCTTCACGTAGACAAAGGCAGCGATAGCAGTGCAAATCACCAGGTTGGCTGTGATGACCTGCAAGTAGTTGTCCCAAAGAAAAGTCCACACCACCAAATCCGCACCGTACATGTATGTGCCGACTGCGAGCCCGGAAAGAATCAAAACGGCCGAAAGGAATGCTGTAGCATCAAGTCAGATATGATGAGAACCATAAGAGGCAGGATAATTACAGTTGAATTTATACTTGAGCTTCCCTCCACATGCCAATTCGGTACCTTCAACCTCGTGGCCAGGAAGGAATACCTGCAGCACAAGACTGAGGGCGTAGTAACTCAACACCCACAGGGTGACCTGGGTGTCGTAAAAGGCCGCGATTCCTCCTTCAGGCCAACCAATCTCCGCCTTCAGTGTCTCGGTAGATAAGGTCGAAGGGTGAAGCAGCGACGGCGCGGGGCAACCGGAAACATCGTTACAGAAAAAGGTGAAGCCATAAATAAGGACAGGCAGGCCGAAGGTGATTCCGAAAGCTCCTATTCTGTCCAACTGTTAGAACCAACTTTTATCGCCGTCAGATAATATTAGAAACATACGGCCCAGCGAATTCATAGCCACGCTTCTCTGGCACGGGCTGAATGGGGATTGTGGATTTGGAATCCTTCTTGGATGCCATCTTGAACGCGATGCAAAGTGGGGATGCAGGGCCAAAACAGAGAATTCTGCAATGACGGAGGGGTTGAGCTCAGCGTGATGCTGGCACGGAATTGCCGGGAGGATAACCCTGGTTGATAGTCTCGAAAACCGAAAAAGTTGCGATCAAGCTTCCCCTGAGCGTGGTGATTGATGGTCGAGGGAACGAGATCGGAGGCCGGGAATCCGCCTTGCCCAACTTCTCCGCATTGGGGCTGTTTGGAGATGCAAGACTGCCAAGTCGCCCGATGCTTGCTGTCTCATCTTCCATCAGCAGCCTTGCACGTCTCTCTTTTATTACTCCTGCTGACTTTGCTGATATATTCTTAGCTATTAACAATCAAGGATTCCATTTTATACTGTTTCTTTTGTTCTTATTCCACTGATACCCTTCCAGTCGTTGTGATCGTCAAGCGCCCGCCCTCCCACCGAAGTGACTTGTCGACACCATGAAGCTGTTGACCAGCCCTCTCCTTCAGTTTATTCTCCTTCTCGCTCCATTTTCACCAGTTGCAGCTGCCTCGGATGATTCGGGATCGCACGATGTCCTTTCGCCCTGTGTCGCACGTTCTCCGACCACTGGATTGTACTACGATCTGAGCTCATTGTCTGTATATCCGGTACTACCAAAGGGCGGCGAGAAAACCCATAAACACACTCGGGATGAGAGCTGGCATGCTAAGGGCCATGACTACAACGCCAACTTTACGCTGAATATCTGCGCACCTGTCGTTGAGGATGTTAAGGATGTGGTGGGGGTCGAGAGTTCGAGGTGGAAGAACGTCAGCGCATACTATGAGAAAGAAGGCAAGGTATACTCGATAGGGTATGTTCTATTTTTACGATCAGCCTGGAAGCAAATACTATAGAGACTGATGGGTATATGGACAGACAACAAGCATCAGACCCCTTCTTCCGTGGTCGCAAGCTGGTCTTGAACTACACCGACGGCTCACCCTGTGCTGGCGACTTCATCGGTAACGGCTCACGTACTAAGTCGACAATCATGTCTTTCCTCTGCGATCGTGATGCACCTGCAGCCCAGGCCACCGCATCTTTTGTGGGCACTATGGATCAGTGCACGTACTTTTTCGAAATTCGAAGCTCTGCTGCCTGCGGTGGCATTGCGCCTGGTCCTAACGGGGACGGACTTGGACCAGGCGGCGTGTTTGGTGTGATGTGAGTATACTACCGGCCAGTCTCATCGGTCATGCTGGCTAACATGTCTCTAGTGCTTTGATTGCTATTGCAGTATACTTGATTGGTGGTTGTGTATACCAACGAACGGTGATGCACCAGCGGGGCTGGAGACAGTGTCCCAACTTTAGTTTATGGGCCGGCATGTTCGATTTTATCAAAGTAAGTATACTGGCCTTGTCACCGTTCAGATTGTTCAGGTCGATATCGACGCGTCGCGATTCCTATAAAGAGTTTGGCAATTCCAAGTTGCCGGTTTCACGGATGGATTGAAATGCTTTGGCTGGTCTAGAGCTCAATTACATCGAAGGCTGCGCTTGGATATCCCTTGTCCTTTTTTTCTTTGTTTTTTTTTTTTTTTTTTTTTTTTTTTTTTTTTTTTTTT